GGACAGTTGTCGCACGGCGTGAACTCTCTGCACCTTAAAGAAAGCGAACAATGGATGTCGTACACCTCGAGGAGAGCGAGAGATGGTTGTCGCACGGCGTGAACTCTCTACACCTCAACGAAAGGGAACGATAGTTGTCGTACACCTCGAGGAGAGCGAAAGGTGGTTGTCGTACACCTTGAGAAGAGCGAAAGGTGTTTGTCGCAGAGCGTGAACTTTGTACATCTCAAAGAGAACGGAGGATGGTTGTCCTACACCTCGAGGAAAGCGAGGGATGGTTATCGTACACCTTGAGGAGAGCGGAAGGTGGTTGTCGTACACCTTGAGGAGAGCGAAAGGTGATTGTCGTACACCTTGAGGAGAGCGAAAGGTGGTTGTCGCCAGGTGTGAACTCTCTACATCTCAAAGAGAACGAAGGATGGTTGTCGTACGCCTTAAAGAAAGCGAAGGATGATTGTCGCACGACCCCCACTTCTAATACCTCAAAGAGAGCGAGGAATAGTTATCGCACAACGTGAACTCTCTACGTCTCAAAGAGAGCGTAGGGTGATGGTCGTAGGGTGCGGATTCTCTACGTCTCAAAGAGAGCGAATGATGGTGATCGCACGGCGCGAACTCTCTACACGTAGAAGAAAGCGATAAATGGCCATTGCATAGCGTAGTATTCGTACAGTAAGGAGACAACGGGCGATGTCGATCGCAAAGCGTAGAAATCATACATACTGAAAATGGCGAGAAGAGATTTTCGCAGAGCGTAGAAACCGTACAGTAGAATGAAAGAAAATAAGAATTATGGCAGAGTGTAGAAATGATGCATCCCAATTTCGAGGACTTTTGAAAATGCTGCAGCGCGGTAACCCTAACCCTAAGTTATCGTACATCGTAGAAATAACGAATTCTAATCCTAAGAACTCCTAAAAATGCTATAGCGCTACAACCTTAACTAGAGATTATCGTATACTAAAGAAATGATGTATTCTCATTTCGAGGACTTCTCAAAGTACTATCGCATAATAGTCTTAATAATTACTTATTCTTATATAATAAAGAATTATTATATTTTAGTTTAATTATTTCTTAAGAAAACTATATAAAGATTTATTGTATTTATGTTCAAAGTATAGCTTAAGTAATTATCTTACGTAAATAGAACGCTTCTATCTTTATAACCTATATGTCGTTCTATCTCATGTAGTAATTGTCATTTAAGATGATAGGATCATTGTTATGAGGCTAGCTCATCGCAAGGCTGTGCAAACAGATCTCTGCCTTACAAGCCGACATCTTAATCTCGGGCTCATCATTCTGTGCTCGTTCGACATCAAACTAGTGCATCGCCGCCAATGTAATTGATACACTACCTGCCCATGGTGTGACGACAATCTTATCTGGTCCACCTCTGCCACCAAGGTGCGCTGATACCCATAACCATGATGGACATGAAGCGACGATGAGAGTCAGCAAAAAACCCATTGGCCCACAATGAATATCGCCATTGATTGTAAAAGAGCGGTGTTGTAAAGACCACATTCTTCCTTTCCCTCGCACTCGTTCATCTAGCAATAACTTCGTAGCCATGGCCAAAACTAAGTCGAAGTCTCACCAGCCCAATGGAGTGGCCAAGGCCAAAACCGCGGCTGCATTGGCTGTCAAGCCTCCTCAGCCGGTCAAGGCATTGCCGGTCACGTTGCTCTCGGGTTTCCTGGTATGGCCCTTTCCCTTCAGATGGCGATCGCACCGGACGAAGCTAACGTGATGGTGCAACAGGGGAGTGGAAAGACCACCCTCCTGCAGCATGTATTGCGAAGCGAGCACGGCTTGCGAATCGCAGTCATCGTCAATGACATCGGAGCGTGAGTGTGCCAACCCACGTCCGATACACGATCTTGCTGACGGAGAGAATCCTCACAGAATCAACGTCGACGCATCCCTCATCCGCAACACCCACCGCCTGACCAAGACGGAAGAAAAAGTCATCGCCCTGCAAAACGGGTGCATCTGCTGCACGCTCCGTGGTGATCTCCTCGAGGAACTCGTGCGGCTATCCGAGCTGGCCGAATTCGACTACATCATTGTCGAAAGCAGCGGCATCAGCGAGCCCGAGCAAGTCGCCGAGACCTTCGACTCTCGCCTCGCCGAACAGATCTCTGCCATGGGCGACGGGCCTGAGGGTCTCGATGAGGCGACGCTGCTGACACTCAAGCGGCTGAAGGATGCTGGCGGTTTGGAGAAGTTCGCTCGCCTCGATACAACGTGCACGGTCATCGACGCCTTTACCATGTTTCATGACTTCGAGACGGCGGACCTGCTTTCGTCGCGCCGCGACGATGTCGTGCCTGAAGATGAGCGGACAGTTTCCGATCTCATGGTCGATCAGATCGAGTTTGCGGATGTTATTGTCCTCAACAAGACTGACATGGTCGACGATGTCGCCAAAGCTCACATGCGCGACCTCATTGCCAAGCTGAACCATCGGGCCCAAGTCATCGAGAGCAGCTATGGTAGAATCGATGTCGCGCAGATCGTGAACACCGGCATGTTCAACTTGGATGTTGCGCAGACAGGCTATGGCTGGTTGCAGGACCTGCATGCGATGACCTTGCGGGAGGTCAATGGGAAGAAAATGGTCACGCCGAAGCCGGAGACCGAAGAGTAAGTTTATCGTCATCTGAATATCGACAGAAGCACAGCTAATCGAACGCAGGTATAATGTCCGGAACTTTGTGTACGTGCGCCGTCGTCCGTTTCATCCGCGCCGCTTGTTCGAACTATTGCATGATAAGTTTATCTTGCAGCACGAATTTGAGGAGGAAGGCGAAGATGGGGAAGAAGACGGGGACGAGGAGGAGGATGACGAGATGGAGAGCGATGAAGACGAACAAGACGTTGAGATGGGCGAAGCACCACAGCTTCCCGACAACGCCACGATCTTGGCCAATAAACGAGCCCACCCTCTCTTCAGCCGCCTCTTCCGCTCCAAGGGCGAGATTTGGCTAGCCACCCGACCGAATCGCGCGGGCGAGTGGTCCCAAGCAGGAGCCATGCTCACACTGCAAGGTGGTCGTCCCTGGTTCAGCATCATCGACCGCTCGGAATGGGAGACCGGCGTGCCAGACATCGACGAGCTTGTCGAGAATGACATTCAAGCCGGGGGCGAGTATGGTGACCGCCGACAGGAACTGGTCTTCATTGGGGTGAAGCTGGACATTGAGGGTATTCAGGCTGTTCTCGACGAATGTCTGCTCAACGACGAAGAGTGGGCGTCTTTCCAGGAGGTGTTGAAAAGGGGCAATGGCCCGAACACACGTGATGCTGCGGAACAGGCGGCGAAGGAGGACGCTCTGGCCGATCTCTTTGAAGATGGTTTCCCGGATTGGGCGGAGGATGATGAGCATGATCACGCTGGGCACGAACACTCGCAGGACTCTCACACTCATGGAAACGGAAGGCCTGCAAAGCATACCCTTATGAAAAATGGGATCATTAGCCATTAGCGTGATCATCGTGTGTTCATTTAGAAGGCACCGCAGCGTGTACGGCGTGGCAAGACGTATAGATCCCCGCAATCAATCGCGTCGATGTCGTCTTTTCTCGTGAGGTGAGCGTGAGCGTGACCTGCTCCGGCTGCGATTCCGCCGGTGTCGCTTCTCTCGGCTTCTCGACCGTTCTTTGTAATCTCGATGTCGCTCATCTCGTGCGTCGCTCCGTCTGCGGTCTCTGCTTCGTGATCTTCGTCTTCGGTCTCGGGAGCGAGATCTTGATCTATCGTGACGCCTTCTGTGCCCTCTTTCTCTGTCTCTTGAGCGAGACCGCGACCTTCGTCTGTGCTTGTCTGATCGCTCGTCCCTTTCATCGTGTTTTCTTCGACTTCCGTGTCGACGCTCTTCGTGCTTTGATACCCTGCTTCCCGTATTTGTCTCCTCCTCCTCCTCGCCGACGTCATCTCCCAAAGCCTCTTTCAAGGCACGGTTCACCTCAAGCTGCTTTGTTTTGTCCATTCCCAGCGGAATGTTATTCGCATTGTCACGATCCGGCACCGGCAAACCCAGCGCCCGTGCCATGGCATCTTCTTCCGCCTCTTTGACCTTTCTCAGCTCCTCCCTCTTTCTCTCCTGCTCTCGCTCCGCCCTCTCCTCCGGCGTCAACTCGGCATCTTCAGCCTTGGCGTACCATGACAGATCTTTGTTCTTTTGCCAGCGCCCAACCGGGGCCATGAGGGAGTGGCCGAGATAGTTCTCACGGCGGGCGGAGCTCTTGACATCATCCCAGCTGAAATTGACTCCACCCCGGGAGCCTTCTTTGCGCACAGTCTGGACGAGATCCATCTTGTCTGTGGCGCGAGAGTCCAAGTCGTGGCAGTGTTGAGAACTTGAGAGAGGATGTCGGACGCACTCCGTAGATAGACTTTGCGCGAGGCTGCTTTCAGCAATTAGTTAAGGTGTGGCTGAACCTTAACCCTGAATTCACGTGGAGAAGTCCCAAATAGTCGACAGCTGGCATTGGCTTCCAGAAGAAAACCATGTGCACTTGATACAGTCGCCTTGTTGGCGCAAACGACAAACGACAAGATGCGTTGGAGCAGCTCCATCCTGTGCTTGCTCAGCGGCTTGCTGGTTTCTGCTCAAGACGCGCCGCAAGTCTTTACGCAGGCCTCCAACGACTCCTTACTATGGGGCGCCTACCGACCCAATGTCTACTTTGGCCTCCGCTCACGCCTGCCCACTTCCCTGACCACGGCGCTCATGTGGAGTCGAGCGGAGCACTATGAGACCATGGCCAACACCTTCCGATACACTTGCGAGCAACATTCTGGGATCAAGGGGTACGGATGGGATGTATACGATCCGAGAACCGGTGGGGTGCAGACTATCCGAGATCAGGAGAATGGCATTGACTTGGAGACGAGTTTTGTCAAGTTTGACGAAGGAAGAGGCGGGTGGGGCGCGCGAATCAAAGGAACAGTGAGGGACGATGCACAGCCTGGTTCAGGGAGTCAGAATGGAGTCAAGGAGCAGTTGAAGACCATGTTGCTCTTTACCGTTGGAGTCGAGGGAGAAAGAAGTGTATCCAAGGTAGTAGACACCGAGGCGGCAAATGACAATGGCTTCAAGGGCGATGTCACTATTGAGGGACAGGGTGAAAGTATGGGCCCTTTCCGAATCACAATCACAGAGCCGGAAAGCAATTCACATCCGGTACACAATCATCCTTCATATCAGGCAAAGCCATTGGATCGTACCTACGTGCACTCCATGATGATGCCTCAGGAAGCCCTGTGGCAAGGGAAAGGTACGTCTCAACTAACGCCATCCAAGCATTGAAACTGAGAAGTGGTGATTTTATAGCTCTCGCTTTCCGTTCCATGAAGGCAACCATCGACCAATACGGAGAAGAATACACCGAAAACACCATGCCCCCGCCGTGGCAAACGTACACCATTTCGCACGAGCCGGGAGCCGGAAACGTGCACCTCATCCAAAAGTCATACGATGGAGACTTTCAGTTTGACGTGTTCTTTACTCCCTCTACGCAGGGCATTCAGCCCACCAGCAAAGACCTTACCAAAGCTATTCAGAAAGTGACGGAAGACTTCAACGCCAAATACGCAGCGGTGCTGGCCCCGCAAGCGCCATTCACGGGGAAACAATACCTGCCCTTCAGCAAAGCCCTGTTCTCCAACCTCATCGGCGGCATCGGCTACTTTCACGGCGAACACCTCGTGGACCGCTCGTATGCTCCCGAGTATGAAGAGGAGAACGAAGCTTTCCACTTCGCCACTGCAGAAGCCCGCGCCCGCAACCAGCAGAAAGTGGAAGGTCCATATACGCTATACACCTCCGTTCCCAGTCGACCTTTCTTCCCTCGTGGGTTCCTATGGGACGAGGGATTCCATTTGCTACCCATTTTGGACTTTGACCCAGAAGTCGCAATGCAGATTGTGAGCTCGTGGTTTGAGGGATTGATGGACGAGGATGGTTGGATTCCTAGGGAGGTCATCTTGGGCCAGGAGGCGGCAAGCAAGGTGCCCGCCGAGTTCCAAGTGCAATATCCGCACTATGCCAATCCACCGACTCTTTTCATGGTGCTCGAGGCTCTATTGGACAAGGCGAAGTATGGCAGTGGTGAAAACGCCCTGGATCAAGGACTGTTGAAAGCCTGGCTTGAACGCCTTTACCCTCTCCTCCAGCGAAACTACGAATGGTATCGAGAGACCCAATACGGAGATCTGAAAGGGTACGATCGAGGGGAGATTCGTAGCAGAAAGGAGGGATATCGTTGGCGCGGCAGAACACCCCAACACATCCTGACCTCTGGCCTGGACGACTATCCTCGTGCTCAGCCCCCACACCCGGGCGAGCTGCACACGGACCTGCTTTCGTGGATAGGCATGATGACACGCGCGCTTCGACGCGTTGCCTCTTTCCTCGGCCAGAGCGACGATGCCGAGAAATACGGCAAAACGCTCGAGGCGATCAAACGCAACGTGGACGACTTGCATTGGGACCAGGGCAATCGCACGTACTGCGACGTGACGGTCGACGACTTCGAAGAAAGCATCCATGTCTGTCACAAAGGCTACATTTCCCTCTTCCCGTTCCTGACGGGGTTAATGGGGCCGGAGCACAAGCATTTGGGCGCAATGCTGGATTTGATCGCGGATGAGAATGAGCTGTGGTCCCCATTCGGCATTCGTAGTCTAAGTAAGAGTGACGAGCTGTATGGGACGGAGGAGAACTACTGGAGGAGTCCGGTGTGGATGAACATTAACTATCTGGTTCTTGAGAATCTTCTGGTGAGTCGTACATCTTCCGGTCGCGTTCTCCAGACATGCTGACACGCGGCAAGCGCATTGCCGAGATCTCCGGGCCGCACGCACCGAGGGCAACGAGAATGTACACTGCCTTGCGCCAAAACCTGGTCTCGACGGTGTACAGAGGTTGGGAGAAGACCGGGTTCGCGTGGGAGCAATACAACCCGGAAAGTGGCGAAGGGCAGCGGACGCAGCACTTCACCGGCTGGACGAGTCTGGTTGTAAAGATGATGGCCATGCCCGAGACTCCCGTGGTGGGAAGAGCAGGCGGCAGACACGATGAACTGTAGACAGCGTGTCCCGTATGGACCACGAACAGATCCTTCCCATTTAGGCCAAGCGTGGTGGACTGTAGTAGGGATGCACGCGGCGAATTGCTCGGCGGATCGCTGTGGGGAAGAACACGAGGGCGCCTGCCTACCTTACCTCTACCAACCTCACCTTTGACAGCTCCTCGGCACCAAGAAACATCCTCCCTTCCCTCACCTCGCTCTCCTCGTCATTCGCTGTCCCTCCCCCTTCTCCCTTGGGCCAGCACGGCTCTTTTCGTGATCCTCCGCCTCACACCACCCTCCTGCACGACCGTCGACCCGAGATCGGCGTCTGACCTTCTCCACCCCTCGACCCGTCGACATCGACCAGGCTCGAGTCTGTCGACGCGCGCGTGACAACACGTCAGCCTTCACAGCCCGGGCAGAGGATGTGGCTGTCAAGGACGCGGTGATACTGGCTCCTCTGCCCACCGCGAGTCTACACACATCCTTGTCGAGGGCTCAGCTGGCTCGCTGGCTAGCTACCTGACCGTCACTTGCCCTGCTCCCAACCTCACTTCACCCTTCTCCATCGTCAATTTGATCCACTCATCCCCATACTCAGTGGTCGAGCGCGATGGATCGAAACATGTCCACGGGCGCAGACAGCATCGACTGGGCGGATCCCGCCTTCACCTCCTCCGAGTTCCAAGATGCCATGCTGGCCGAGTCCCCGTGGGGCAACAGCGCGTTGAACGACTTCACCAATCTCGCAGACTACAGCGATAGCCCCGCTCCCTCGAGTCTCCATCCACCTTCTCGATCGGCAGTCACCAACGCGTCCGCCGTCGACGCCCCCCTCCCTTCCCTCCCACAAGACTCCTCCATGTCCGCCGAGAGCTCCAGCGCGGACTCCGGCTCCGACTCCTCCAGCAGACGAAAGCGAAAGACGACCTCGGAGTCGCCACTGTCGATGGCGCCCACCACGAGGGTTGCGACGATCAAAGAAGAGGCGAGATCGGGCGTCAACCCGTACGCAGAGCAGGCATTTTCACAGACTCTCACTCAGCCTCTACCGACCCTGGCAGTTGACGAGAACATGACGGACGAAGAGCGCATCTTTGACTTCAACAGCGCCGCGTCCAGCCCCAATCTTCCGCGAGATTTCACGCAGCAGCTATCACTCGACGGAAGTCACAAACTGATACCCTCAAACTCTGCCGCACAGTTCTCCCGAGATCCGCCAGTTCAAACCATCAACCCGGGCATGTTCAGTCTCGCCGGATCTCGGGATCAGTCGCCTGTTACGAACGCCGCAATGTTCAATGCCGCCTCGCCCAACTTCTTCTCCACGCCATCATCCGACAGCAACGAGCCGTTCACTGGCAACGCGAACTGGGCCGGCAACATGGGCACAAACCCCTCGTGGCCCGCAGATTTCGCGACACAGTTCGCGTCACCTGCCGGTCTCAACTTCACCCCTTCGCCGGTGGGCAATGGATCGACACCCTCAATCACATCTCGGGCTCTTGCGATACGCTCGGGTCGATCGCCACTACACGTTGCGCCGATCGCCGCCAAATCGCGCGTGGAAACGCAGATCAATGTGGTCATGACGCTTGAGAAGCCCCCGGCAGGCGTCGAGTACCTTCACCTCCCTCTTCACACCATCGCCAAGTCCAAACTACTCGCCAAGGACGACTACGACGCGACCAAGGTGCTAGAGTTGCACACTATGCTCGTGTGCTCGAGTGCGATGCACAATCCCGCCCTAAAGGAGAAAGCGCTTCAGCGTGCCGCATCGCAAGACAATGACGAGATCCAGCAGCGCGCCGAACGCGAGAGAGAGAATGGTGACGAAGAGAAGAACAACATGAAAGATGTTGCTGAGGCGGATCGGCCGGCCAACGGCGGAGAAGTCAGGATCTGCAATAACTGCATCCAACGGGAGCGGAAACGCGCGGGGCGAAAGAAGCTGAAGAAAGAAGAGGAACAGCAACATTGGGAACGATACGAGACTGAAAGAGTGGTCGTCTTCAACTCCAGCGAATACCTGCCCTTCAAGGCGTGTGATGAGCGGGATCGGGGTCACAAGGACAACAGCCTGCTTGTCGAAGCACCGTATGAGCCACCGGCCGGCGCGCTCTTCGTCTCGGCAGCTATGCGTATTGCTTGCTATTGCCGACATCAAGCGGAGAAGGAGGGCTTCCAGGTCATCTTCACGATGAAAGACCACAAAGGCAACGTCGTCGCTCAGGAAGTGTCGGATTCGATCTTGATTACAGACGACCACAAGACGCACCCTCCCGCACTCAATCCCATGTCGAATGAGGCCTTCTACCAACAGGGACAGATGCAGGGCAATGGACTTCCCACGTCGTATTCCATGATGGACCTCCAGTCGCATGCGCACCCGTTCACATCCTCTCGCTCCGCAGGCAATTTGCACGCCCTAGGCTATGGGCAGTCACTCCAGTTCAACCCGCACAGCCACATTCATCAATTACCGAATTCACTCGGTGGTGGATTTGCATCTCAGGCCACCTCTGCGACGATGACCCCAACCAATCTGTCGCGCCCCGGATCTCCCACCTTGGCAGGGCAGTCAGGACCCAACAAGAAACGCAAATCAGGCTCCTTTCACAAGCGGATACCGAGCGGCTTGCAGATGACGCCGCGGGTGGACACCAGTCACAGCCAACCGCCGTCAGCGTCTCTGTCCTCCGCCATGCCTTCTGGTATCTCCATGAACAACTTTTCGCCGACAAGAGGCCTCGGTGGACAAAACGAGCAGGCTTACATGACCATGCCGAACAACCCCGACCCGAATCAGTATTTCGGCAGTGGGCCGCCTACGCCAGCAAATGACAACTCGCAGTTCTCGTTTGGAGTCCCACACCAGTTGGACATCACTCGAGCACAAAATGCAGCCTACTTCTCCCATCCCTCGTCGGCCGTGCCGAGTCGCTCCAACTCGCCGGTATTACACCAGGGCCGACAGGCAATGTCCGCTTTCCCCCGACACCCAATTCAGACGTCGACGAACCATTTGAATCGGCCGGCAACGATGTATGGAGGCCAGACATCGGCAGTGAACAACGAAGATGACCAGGCTGCCACACCCACCATCACGAAGATGACTCCCACGCAGGGCCCAGTGATCGGAGGTACCGAAGTTAGCATCTTCGGGTACAATTTCGCCCACAACACCCAAGTCATGTTTGGAGACAGCCTGGCGAACGCGACCTACTATGGTGAGCATTCCATCCTGGCCACGGCACCTCCGGGCCGCCGCGGACCAGTGCGAGTCAGACTCGTGCCCGCGCCAGGATCCGCGCAATATGCCATCTCGCCGCAGAACAGCAATCATGTCTTTACGTATACGGACACCAGTCCCCACATGATGGAGATGGCGCTCAAGTTCTTGAGCCAGCAGCAGACCGGTGATGCGACTCGGTGGATGCAGTACACCAACGATGTGGCGAATCAGTTCATGCAGACTTCGATCTCTCCGGCTGGAATTCACAACCAATCTTACGGCAGCGGCAATATGCTCGCCGGCTCGTCCAAGGAGATGGAAGAGGTGGTGTTGAAGGTGTTCGATTGGGTGGATGTGAGTGAGAGCCCGCGGAAGCCTTGCTATGATCTCCGTTCCAGCAGCGGGCATACCATGTTGAGCTTGGCCTGCGCTCTGGGCATGCATCAAGTTGCCGCGGCCCTTCTCGCTCGAGGCGCGAATCCCGATGTCAGAGACGAAGGCGGCTACACCCCTTTGATGCACGCCGCACTGCACGAGCGTTCACGCACCTTTCAACTGCTCCTAATCAAAGGCGCAGACCCGACAACCAGAAGTCTCACGGGCTACGCAGCCATCGATCTCGTCCCGGAGCAATCTCGAGACACGTTCTCACAAATCCTGCAGAACACGCGTCGAACTCGCAGCGCACGCCCCTCCTTCCACCGAGTCGTCTCCAACCCGTCGTCCGCAGCCTCCTGGGACATTGCCAGCGCCTCGTTCTACGACTCGGAGGTTGCAACGAGCGAGGACTTCTCACCCGCTCCTTCGCCCCGGCCGTCGAGCGCGAGTAGTGCTCTCCCATCAACCACTCCCGATCTACCCGACATCGTGCCACTCAATGCATCCGCGGCAATGATGGCGTGGCGCGACGCCTTGGCCACGCACATCCACCACTTCCAGCAGAGCGTGCAAAGCAGCATGTCCAGCTTCCAACTCCCCACCCTCCCGCCTCTGCCGGACTACCAGGACAACGCCATGGTGCGCCGTCTGAGCTCGCTCGTGTCGACGCGCTACCCGGTTCGGCAGGACGGGTTCAGCGGCGCGCACGACTTCGTCGCGTCGATGAGTCCGCCGAAGTTCTGGGATATGTTCTCATCGCTCTCGCCTACCCTCTCTTCTGCGCCGCCCCCGGCTTATTCGGAGCTGTTCCCCGATCACCACGTGCCGGACGAGGGTGTCAAGAAGGCTGCGATGAACACGGCACTCATCGACGCTGTGGCCGACGGCAAATGCGCGGCGATATTTGAGCAAGCGACGTCTTCTTCATCGTGCCAGGTAGCAACGACGTCGAACACCGAGCACAACGACGAGACCCAAACCGAGCAGACAACCTGGCGCCATCAGTTGCTTTGGGTGCGTGCAAACCTTGCAATGCAGAAGTCGACTCCGCTGACGATGTTGCAGATGGCGCTTTGCGTGCTCATTCTCGCTGCGCTGCTACCCTTGCTCGTCGCTCGCTTTTCCGTCCAGCCTCGCTTTCAAGTCTCGCTCTCTGACGTCGACGCGCTGAAGTGCTGGGGTCAACATCAGGTGGGAGCTATGGTCGAGGCTTGATAGGGCCTGTGGGTTGCTATGCGTGTGGGAGGGCGGGAACGGAGGGATTGGAACTGACGCAACGTCGTCGTGGCTAAGAGACTCGCTCGGCATGAACTAAGCAAACTCGCTCGGTATGGACTGAGAAACTCGCTCGGTATGGACTGAGAAACTCGCTCGGCATGAACAATGCTCGAAATCATGGGGTTTGGACGGGGGATTAGCTGGGCCAAGGAAGGTCCGATTAATGTACATGCGTGATCCGAACACCGGTGCACACATTGCACAGATGGGGTTGGGACATAGCTGCCTTCGATAAGGTATAGGCAATGTGACGATTGCTTGTCAACACACTCTCTACTTTCTTGCTGTTATTCTCCTTGCCTTGCACCACTTTCTTTTCGCTGTTACACGCATGGAGATATCTCGGAACGCAGCGCGCCACAACGTTACGCCATCGCCGGTTTTACGAGCACACGGTCGCACTGCGGTTGTACTGCTGTGCGCCTACATCCTCGCCAAAAGATGCCGTGCAGATACTTCATGCATTTTAGCTGTAGACTACAGGCTGGCGTCGCCGGGGGGGCGCTGCATGCAACGAAAGAACCATCCGTTCTGCATGACCTCGGGGAGAGACGTCAGCGGATTCGTGTCTTGTGACCTCGCACTGGGATCTGAGTCCACAATAAAGACTGGTTTTGTTTGGAGGCTGTGAGAGAGAATGCCTGTCTACAGGGTCCTACAAGGATGGAGTTGGTGTCTCACGAAAGCAAGATAGTACCTGCCTAATTAGGCTAGACGGTGCGAAGGCTGGAAGGCACACTGCGTTACAGTCGCCCGTAGTGGGCGTCCAATAGGCTGTCGGGGCTGCGCGGCATCCACCCGTTCTGTCTTAGGCCCTGGAAATGACACGAGCACGCGAGTCTAGCAGGTCCTCATGAGTCAAGTGGTCATCGATGATTGGCTTTGCAGGGAACCGCCTGCCTGTTATAGGCCGGGGTGGGGAGACTGGATCGGAGGGTTTGGCGGTCAAAGAATGGTTACGAAAAAGACTGGGTCGCACGGAGAGAGGCGTTCCGCGTGGTACGAACGCGTCAAAGGCAAGGCGAGGCATGCTTTGCGTGGGGGGAGTGGAAGACATTGAAGGCTGAGTTCCAGGTTGACAGCCATTTCCGACGCGGCGGCTTCACAGATCGGCGGGCGATAGGGTCTGCGCATCGCTATTGGGCGACGCTGACCAGGCAGGATGTTCATCCATGGATGCGCTCGGGGGCTATGACACGGTACGGGGTTGATCTTTTTCCCCGTCTCTTCCGTGCGGGCTTGAGTGCCGCTGCGCTGTGCGTCCCAGCGCCGGAGGACGGCGTAGCTTGGCGCGGCGCCTCCATCCAGCCGGGTGGGACATGTGGAACTCGCGCGTCATCTGGGGGATGGCCTGCCGTTCAGTGGTGCGCACACACGGCTCGAGGCGAGAGGACACGGAGATTGACGTGAATGATGAAACCAGTCAGGTGCACTGGAGTATCGAAGGGTTGGTCCGATAGGCTTTGGATCGACATGCAGATGAGATATGCCAATCTTTCATCAGCACGCGGTGGAAGCGTTTCTGGAGACAGGCCAAGAGGCAGACTTGTGGAGAGCAGCAGGCAGTGACACGCTGTGATTGACGCACGTGAACGACTCGCTTAAGGGAAAAGGTGGGCACTCGCCGACTCGTTGTGGTAGGAGGCATGCCGATGCCCGCCAGAGGATATGCCCGACTACTGACGATCGTCAGGGAGCGGGGAACCTGGAAGGGGGCATTTGGGAATGGTTCATGCGCGGATCATCGCCACCCGGGAATAGCAGCCAGTCGAACATGCGGCCTTCAAGCGATCGGGGTTGAAGTGGATGGGGACTGCCGTCTCGTGCACCCACGCCAACGGCTCCCTCCTGTCAGGGGAGGTATACTGTACCGTAGACATGCCTGACTTGGCAGATTGGCGCAAATGCAGCAGCATGCGGGCACGCATCAGTCTCGTGCAGCACTGGGGCGACGTTTTAACCCCGGGTGGATCAAGCTTGACGCCAGGCCGCATGCCATCCCTACCGATTGGGAGGGGAGCGGCGGGTGGTGCGAAAAGCAAAAGCAAAAGCGAAAGGGCACAGAGGGTCAGTGATCAGAGGGCCAAGGCGTCCGGTGCGCCCGACGGCCTCTCTCTTCCCTGGATGATCCACGCTCCGCCTTCCTTCCCAGATCCCACTTTCCCTTCCCCGGTCTGACGCTTTCCACCGATCATCCCCCATTCACCCTTCTCTCTTCTCTGGAACGCGGGCAATCAATCACCGTCTGGCCCAGTCTTTGCCCACGCCTGGGTCTTGCCTGGCTGCTCTTCATCATTCGTCCATCCGGCTCTCGGCGCTCCCTTGCCCGTCTGCTGCCCTTGCCACCTGCCTATTCGGGCAGAAGCCTGTCCTTTTGCCCATCCTCCGCCCTGCCTCCGTCGTCGCTATATTTCCATTGGCAAACCCCCAACCCTCCGCCTTCAACACGCAACATCCACCTCGCAGCAACACATCTGCCTGTCGGCTGCCTCACATTCCGACTTGAGCTGCTGACCATTCCATACCTTCGGTGGGTCTCCCTTGCTTGCCAATTCTCTCCAGCGCCGTGGCTCGATTTTTGGCGATCCGCGCACATGGAACCTCGTTCCCGAGTCCATCACACTGGACCGGAGACAGAGGCGCTGCGCATCGCGACAGTCCATCTTCCCGAAAATGTCCTCGCTGACACCTCCCCAGACACCGTATTACCACTGTCTACCCGACACCCGTCGAGCCGCCACCATGGACGGCCACGGCCCGGGTATCCTCCCCTGCGAGAATGAGACCCAATGCCAGGTGTCTCGGAAGAGCAAAGAGGGCAAGACCCTCACCTACAAATTGCACATTATCCAACAGCCGCTTCAGGCCAGAGCGTGCGGCTCGGGGCAGAAGTGTACGCTCATCCTCTTCTCTCCTCCACGCCTTTGATCACCACTGACAACATCAATAGCTTCCGCCGACCGCCGACCCGTCGACCCACCGCCCATCGTCGAGATGAGGATCTTCGAGGGGGACACTGAAGCCGAGCAGAAAGACATCACCTTCGCCATGAACGGCAACTACCTGCTCTTCGCCCAGCTCGAGCAGGCCCGTAAGCTCGCCCCCGTTCGTGGCCAGCCAGACCACAAAGGCCCTCCCGTCCTCACCGGTACCCCCGTCGCCGGAATGGTCTATCTCGAGCGTCCCACCCGCGCGGGCTACTTCATCTTTCCGGATCTCTCCGTTCGTCATGAGGGCAAATACCGCATCGTCTTTAGTCTGTTTGAGGAAGTCAAGGACGCCAAGGACGAGGACTGCATTGCCGACCACGAGAAGCCCATTGGCTGGCGCAACGGCTACATCTCGCATCGTGTGGAGATCCGCTCGCAGCCCTTCAATGTCTACAGTGCCAAGAAGTTCCCTGGTCTGGCCGAAAGCACGCCCTTGAGCCGTATGGTCGCCGACCAAGGCTGTCGCGTTCGCATCCGACGCGATGTGCGCATGCGTCGCCGCGACACCAAGCCCGGTAAGGACTGGGATGGGTATGATGATGAGGGTGGCAAGATGCGCGGTCGCATGTCTGCCACCCCAGACAGCGGCTACCACCATCCCTTTGGCCATCCCCGTCCCAGATCGCACAGCAATGCCAGCCACCGCTCTATCATTTCATCGGTGTCTCGTCGTCCTTCTATGGAAGAGATCGCATACCACCAGGCGACATATGGAGCCGCGCCGCCGGCACCGCAGAACTCATACCCCGAGTCTCCAGCCCTTGGCCCACAGTCGGCAACGGTGCAGTACACGCAGGCACCACCGATGCACGTCCATCCACCGATGCAGACCCTTCCGCCCACCTATCCGGCCTCTCACCTGCAACAACCTGCCCACCACACACGCCCAACGTACACGAGTTACAACAGCTACGGTAGCGCTCCGGCCCCACCGCCCCAGGCTCCTCCGCCGATGTACGATGCTCAGCCTCTACCGCACCGCTACAGCAACGGTTACTCCTCGCCTCAGATTCCGGTGGATACGCGTCGAAGCTTCAGTCACTCGCTAGCATCCGACTCGGCGCCTCCTCCACAGCTCGCCAGCTACAATCATCCATCCACATATCCACCCCCACCCTCAACCTACCATACGCAGCACACGCATCAATCCTCGCTGAGCTCGCTGGACGGATATGCCAAACCGGAGCCACTGCAGCCGCCCACGCGCACCACCGGCGCCCACACGCCACTCTCGTCGCGCCCCTTTGACGACAAGCTCCCACCCATCAACACCGCGTGGAAAATGCCTGCGTCGCGTCCCCTCGAACCTTCCTCTCCTCCGTCCGCCCTTCCGCAGCCTTCAGGCTACGGCTACTCCGCCGCCGACCCGCACAAACGGAGCTACGGCTCGGTCTTCAGCGACCGCCACCTGCGCGAGCCGCTCCGGCAAGGCGCTCGTCCGTCGGTGTCGTTGGCGCCGTACAATGTCCTCGCGCCCACGTCGCTGCACACGTCGCCGAATGGCGGCTCGCCGGAGCAGGATTTCGAGAACGACATTCCGCACAATTCGATCCAGATGAACTATCGGCGCGCTGATGGGCGGGAGGTCAATCGCTACCTGCCTCAGCTCGACTAGGATGTTTTTGGAATTGATGAACGAGAGCTGAACTTGTGTACGAGGGGAGTTGTCTTGTCTTCTTTCGACGGCTTAATCGACAATCACTCCTTTGTCATGCACACGTCTCTATCGATGTCGAATGCCGTGAAAGCACGACTGGACCATCATGGAGACGCTTTTCGGATCTACTGGGAAACGGACATGCCTGCTAATATGGCCTGGTATCATTTTGCTCTGCTTGGATCGCTGTTAATCTGCTTCGGTGTTTTGCGGAAGGGAATCGAGGATACCTTATACTCTGCGGAGGCACGGACAACGGGAATATCTGTTATGTGTTTGTTTCGGTTTTATATCCATCCTTTACGAAGTATTCACGATCCTTCTCTTAAATCGCTCTGCCCGTTTCGGCATTGTTCTCCTATCTCGCCGCTTTCGTTTCGGTTGGTACGAGAAACACGTGACTTTGCTGCTAACGTGCTGGCTGATTCGCGTTGCTCGAAGATGCTACATACCTAGATACCTAATGTCCATGCACACCCGTTACCCAGTGACGCCACACCACACACAATCCTGCTTTCATCAATACTGGGATGAGACGTGGAAAGGGAAAGGGAGGCAGAGGTGTGGCTGGCATGACGTGTGGCGATGTCACATCTCCAACTTCGCAGCCTTGTTTTTCGGCGCGAACTTTGCATGTACACCATATTCCGACTGGTGGGTGTCAGGGTGAGGTGTCCACATCACGTTGCAAAGCAAGGTCTTGTTGAACAGGATTGTGAGACGTAGCTGGGTAGGGGTATGTAGGTAAAGGTAGGCTGCCTACCTTTCTCTTTTCCTCTCCTCTCCTCGCTTTTCTAGTATACATATATCATCTTCCAACATAACCTCCTCACTACCTTCTGCATCATCATCAAAAGGAATCCAAGCCCAACAATGTCCAACAACAAAGCCGACATCCCCGTCGTAGCAGACGACGGCGACGACGAGTACACCACCAAGGAATCGGGAGGGCCGTAAGTCATCGCATCGCATCCCAACTTCACTCCACCCCATCCCTCTAACCAGATTCCTCCAGTCCGCCCAAAAGCAAACAAGCCCAAACTTCCAATCCCAACTCCAACGTCGGCGGGACGGCGTAAGTCCCTCTCTCCCTACACCTTCACACTCTAGCCTCGTGTCAAGCTTGCGTGGTCTGCGCTCATTTCACGGGGCTTTTGGGGACGCACTGGGACTGACGTCTTCCGCTTTTTGGGAACGCGTAGCAAAGACGGCGGACTCAGTACTGCTGATACCGTGGCTGATGGAGGGGAGGATGAGGCGGAGGCGGATGGGGAGTATAAGCCTTCGTAAGAAGAGTGTGGATGGGGGATGGGAAGGGGCAAGACTTGGGACGGGGCAGATTGGGATAGTAAGGTAGTTCAGGTCGTGCCGGTATGCAGGAATGGAATTCGAGCGATTGATAAGTTATTCTCAGTCGATGTTTTGAACGCTGCTATCAGATGTTTGATAATTTCTTCCCTCCCGTCCCCATCAAAATGTCTCTCTCTCTCTAGCTATTTGACCGCCTCGAGGCCCAACCAAATATACAAAAATCGATTCTTGGCTCTCACAGCCCATCATAATCTATCGTGGGAATCGCTTTGCCCTCTATCCGTCGCTTTCCTTGCTCAAGATAATGACTCTTTTTTGCCAGCCGTGGACCTCATCTCACCTCCTTTTCTTGCTGAGAAGAAATAGCGCCGCGCTCAAAACGCAGACGTTTCGCATCGAAAGGAATCAAAGGAAAATAAAAACAATGCTCAGAAATCGATCTGTCGACTGGAGGTCGTTTCGCAGATCCATAGCCACAGCCACAGCCGGGCCTCACTCATCCTTCTCATCCTCCACCTCAACCATCATGCCCCGCTTGCCAGGCGCCGCAAGCTTCGCCGGCGGCAAACCGAGTCCATTCCGGTTGCGGAAAAAGAGCACATTCGCATTCTCCCCTTTCGCGCCCTCCATGGGCTCCACCCACTGGCACCACCGCACACTCTTCCACATGGCCTTGATGAAGCCCACGGGTCCGTCGGTGGTGTCGGAGCGGTAGTGCTGGCCCATGATGGGCTTGATGGCCTCGGTGGCTTCGTCGGCGTGGTAGAAGGGGATGACGGAGACGTAGTGGTGCAGGACGTGGGTTTCGATGATGCCGTGGAAGAGCTGGCGGCCGATGAAGCCGAATTCGCGGTCGATGGTCGCTGCGGCGCCGCGGGCGAAGGTCCAGGTCTCGGGCTTGTAGTGGGGGAGGGAGGGGTCGGTGTGTTGGAGGTAGGTGATTGCGACTGTGGAGATGGGTTAGTTGGGGATTTTGTTGGGGAGTGATTTCGCAGGACTTACCGAGCCAGTGGTTAACCCAGAGATATGGCAGAATATACCACACCAGCAGGTTGGACAAGCCATATGTCTTGCCAACGAAGAAGAGCGCGGTGCCGGTGAGCAGCAGGCCAAGGTCGGAAAGCAGAATCAGACGCTCGTCCCTCTTCTCGTACAAGGGACTGCTCGGGTTGAAGTGGTTGACGCTGCCGTCACCGTTCTTGCGGCCAATGCCTTTGCCTTCGGGCTGGCGCGAATGATAGTTGTGGCCAGTGACGTTGGCGATCAGGTAGTACGGCCATCCGAACAGCTGCTGGGAGATGAGCTGAGCGGCGGAGTAGATGGGCGTGTCCTCTAGCAGCTCGTGCATCTCGTGCAACAGCATGCCGCCCTTAGTGGCGTGCTCCTCACGGGTGCGGGGCATGAAGACCATGTCGCGCTCCATGTGGCCCGTGGCCTTGTGGTGCTTGCCGTGGCTGATCTTCCAGCTGAAGTAAGGGACGAGCAGGGCGGAGTGCAGGAACCAGCCGACGGTATCGTTGAGCGTCTTGCTGGGCGAGAAGGACTGATGGCCGCACTCGTGTGCAATCACCCACAGACCGGTGCCGAACAGGCCTTGGGCAAAGGTGTACCCGGCCCATAGCAGGGCGCGAACGGGAGTGGAGGGGATGTACTCCGGGGTAATGTAGGTGTTGCAGAGGTAAAAGACGGTGGCCAGACAGGCAATGTCTCTCACGACGTAGGAGAAGCCTGTCAAAGCCGATCGCTCAAAGCAGTGCTTGGGAATGGCATCTCGTATCTCTTTGATGGTGTAGTCGGGGATTTTGAAATCATTGCCGTATGAGTCGACGAGCTTCTGCTGCGGCGGCTTGTTGTACTCCTCCACCGAACCCAAAGAGGAGAGGGAGGTGGATGAGGCGGAGCCGGTGGGCGAATCGGTTGGTGAGCCCGCGCTGGAGCTCGAGGTGGTGGAGGGGATGGAGTCGAGGTTGAGCTGGCGACGCTCGGCGTTGCTTGCAGGGAGCGCGGAACTGCTCATGGTGGGCCAATGGTTTGGGAGAGGGGAGGTGGCGTATTGAAATTGTCGACTCGATTGTCAGTTGGACGTAATTCCGCAAGATGGGGCGAGGCGAAGGAGTCGAGGCTCGTTGGAATAGCGTTGAGCGGCGGTCTTGGCGGGGTGTTGAGAGTCTGTTACCAACGAAGGGAGAGCGGAAGAGGCGCGGTGGAGGTGCAACACAACACGACAGAGGATGGAGAGGGACAACGGACAAGGAATGGATTGTAGAAGCGGTGGTGGAAGAGGAGGAGAGGTGGGGGCGGAAGGGGGAGAGGCGAAGGGGTGGTGGTAGTGTTAGTGCGTGCACTCCGAGAAATCGTTGATGGCCCAAAAATTTCTCGACCCACCGGACCCTGGCTTTGGCCTGACCCTAGCCCGAGGCGCGGGTGTGGTTTTGCGGTGTGCTCCGGGGAAAATCGATTAGCTTCCACTGAATTCTCGGCCCTCATTGGCGCAGGCCATCGCTTCTCTTGGGCCCAAGTCTAGAATGCGATGCTGGGCGCGGGCGGGGGAGTGGAAGATTCCAATCGCCCCGACAGTATGGCAGGGGGAACGGGAGGCTCAACAACGCCTCGGTCGGCGTGTCGCAATTCAGGCGAGCTCCAACTGACGTAGATGACGCGCTCTGGCAACAAAGGACCTGTAGGTACGGTACCTGCACTCGGGTGCTGCTGTGTACACTCGCTCTCCCGGTACCTGAGAAGCTCGCCGAAACAGGAATCCCCCTCGCGGGTGAATTAGGCTGTGGACGGTGGGCCGAGGGCAAGGATCGTCACCCGTTGAGCGCTGACTCTCCACCTTAAAACCACCTTCACCTTACCTCCCAGCACGCACATAGTGGTGGACGTGATCTCATCCATCAAAGCAGGCACGCCTTGGCCGACGGCACAGCCCTGCGGCACCTGATGGGAAACCCCGTGGCCAAGCGAGCGGACGGGACGCGCGATATCGCGGAAGATGCGTTGGGATGGCAGTTGGTCGATTCGCTCCGGCATGTGGATGGACATCTCGTCGTCATTGGTCTGCTCCGGATGCGCACATGTCTGTACCTCTGGCCCGCGTGCGTCTTGGTTGGTTTAAGAAAGGGATGATGACATAGCCCTGTGGCCCGTATCTATCGCACATGCTTGCACATGTCAGTACATTGCCTCAGCATCAATTCGCCCTGTCCGGCCACAGCTCCCTCGCCACCTCTTGCACCAACTCCAACTTGGCAAACATCTTCGCCTCGTCCATGCCCTCCGCCTGTCCCTTGGCCATACTCGCAAACCCGCACTGCGGCGAGATGCCAATATTCTGCATCGCCTCATCAACACTGCGCCCCTGTCCCTTTGCAATAATCTCCGCCGCCTCGCGCACTCGCTTCTTGATGAGCTCTCTATCTTCCAGCTCCGCCAGTTTCGTCGTCACCACTCCCAGCACCACATTCTTGTTCTTGGGCAGGAAGCGCAGCGGCTCGAAGCCGCCCGAGCGCGGGTTGTCGTACTCCAGGTAGAATGTGTCGTAGTCGAGCGTTTTGAAGAACTGCTCGGCAATCGTCTCATACGAGCCTTCACTAAAATGCACCGATTTCGAGAAGTTGCCTGGCCATCCACGTTAGTTGATGCACATCATCCTCCTCCTCCCTACTGCACATACCTCTGCACACGTGCAAGCCGACATGCATATCCTTCGGCCGTCCAGCAATACAATCATTGTGCGCCTTCAAATACATATCAAACATCTTCTGCGTATCCTCCCCATCACTCCTCAAACCCTCCAACATCTCCGTCGAGCAGAAGTACGCAAGCGTAGGATCATCAATCTGCAGATTCCGCAGTCCCTCCCCATGCAACGTCTGAATCTCCGTGCGATACGCCTGCGCCAGGTCTGCAAAGAACTCCTCGTCATTCGCATACGCCTCGGGACTATAGCACTTGCCCGGCCCCAGACGCAAATGGAAGTAGCAAGGCGGCGGCATGGTGAATTTACACTCGCTCCACAACTCCCTCGGCACCGCATCGCGCAGCATCCGCCAATTCTCCGTGTAGGGACTGCTCGTATTCCGAATCTTGCCCTCGCACACCGCCGCCATGGGATACTGCTGGCCCGCCTTCTTCAGTGCGGCAATCGGGGCCGCAGACAGGCGCGCCAGCTCCCACGGCACGGGGCTGACTTCGCGGAAGCCGTCGAGCTTCTCGTGGAAGCCGCCGAAGTAGTACTTGCGGTCGAACTCGCCGGAGCTGATGGCGCGCACGCCATGCTGCTGCTGCTTCTGCACAATGTCCGCGATCGCTGCTTTTTGCACTTCCTTCAGCTCTGCCGCGCTGATTTTGCCGGCGTCTGCTTCGGCTTGCGCGGTGGAGATGGTCGCGGGGCGGATGAGGGAGCCGATGTGGTCGGCGTGGTAGCGGACGGGCATGCTGGCAGCGATGCGGGGGAAGGGGGGGTGGATGAATGAGAGAAGGAGAGAAGGTAGTGGAAGAGAGATGAGAACAGCACGATCAGCCTACCATTCGCTTCTGGCGAAGGTTACATATGTCCAACTCCACTCCGCGTGCAGTTCACATGGGGAAGACCAGAATCTCAACTGCCGCTCCATGTCGAAATGCACGGCAGTTGCTGAAACCCCACTTCGGCGAGCCCAGGAAGTAGCGTGAACGCCGCCCATCTTCTTCAGGCGTGCCAGAAATGGCTGATGGAAGAGTCGACGACCGGAATGAAGGACAGTGTAGATGGAAGAAGGGAACTTTGGGCGAAAGTAATAAGTCGATGTTAATCAGATGAGATGCTGACCGATTCGTTGCCTGGTGACATTCTTCCCAAACCCTGGTGGCCTCAGGCGTTGGCCGGCCTGAGGCAGCACCCAACTGCAACAACTTCCATCGTCCACCAGATCACACCGGAAATGGGAACGCAACCTTTCAAATACGCAACACCCTCGAGATATCACTGCCCTCTGGGACTCCCACAGCATCACACCCTTCAACGCCAGTCCGATTCCAGCCTCTGCTTACGGCTGACTGAGCATTGCTAAGGCACTGCACACCTATGTCAATACTTAGCCACCGAGCTCTAGACGCGACAACACAAAAGACAGCACACCCCATTCAATGGACTCGAGGGCAAGGCATTCGAGGGCAATGCCTTCGGGGCGAAGGGGTCCGTCTATGGAGCAGGTCTTCTTCCCCTCCCGGCCTCCTCCTCCTCCTCCCACTCCTCTCTCTCCGAACATATTTGCAGGCCTCGCCATCGTATACGCAGCCCTCGTCATCTTCGTGGCAGTCTATTACGCCTATTTATTCTGGCGCTCCAGACAAGCAGACAAACTGCCCCTTCCCCCGGGACCCCCTCGTCTCCCCATAATCGGGAATCTGCATCAGGTGAGAAAACACACCCGCGGCTGGCTCAACCATAGTATAGAGCTCACCAGTTCACAACGCTCCAGGCCCCCAAACTCTGGCCATGGCGAACCTACCGCGAATGGGCCCAGACTTACGGCCCCGTCATGTCGCTGCAATACGGCAAGGACACGGTGGTTGTGCTGAGCAGTCACACGGCCGCCAAGGACTTGCTCGACAAGCGGAGCAATTTGTACAGTTCGCGGCCGCGCCTGGTCATGGGGCAGGAATGTGTGAGCAGAGGGCAGAGATCGGTGTTGATGCCGTAGTAAGTGAGGGGACGAGAGATCCTGATGGTAGATAACCCTTTGCCTAACTGTGACCACCCAGCGCCGCGAAATACCGCAACCATCAACGCATCCAAGGCGGCCTAGTTCAACCACGGTACGCGCAACAGTACGTAAAATTGCAAGACCTCGAAAGCCTGCAGCTCCTGCACGACCTCCTCTCCACCACCGACGACACCTGGATGCACGCCTTCCACCGCTACTCCGCCAGCCTGATCTTCGGCCTGGCGTACGGCAAGCGCATGCCGCGCGGCGACGAGCCGGAACTCCAAAGCGTCGCCACCATCATGGACAACTTCCTCTATGCCGCGCGCGTCGGCACGTGGATCGTCGATGCTCTGCCCTTCCTCAACCACCTGCCGCGCTTCTTGGCGCCGTGGAAGCGCATTGCGGATGGCTTTCATGACTTCGAGGCCAAGTTCCATCTCCGTGCTTTGACCGGGGGACTGCAGCGGCCGGGCTGGAATTGGACCAAGCTGGCTACGTCGTGGAAGGAATCGAGTGGCATGTCGGAGGAGGAGCTGGCGTACTGCGTGGGCAGCATGTATGAAGCGGGCAGCGACACGACGACGATGGCGTTGCATTCTTTCGTCATGGCCGCGTTGACGGCACCAGAGGCTATGCGGAAAGTTCAGCGAGAGCTGGATTCGATCGTGGGCGATCGAATGCCGGAGTTTGACGATCGAGGCCGATTGGCCTGTATTGAAGCTGTGGTAAAAGAAACACTTCGTTGGAGTGAGTATGCAAGGAGAACGACTCTCAACAATCTACCCGCTAACAATCCATTTCTTTTCCCCAGGACCGGTAAGCGCAGGCGGCATCCCGCACGCCATTGACCAAAAAGACGACGAGTACATGGGCTACCGCATCCCCAAAGGTGCCATCGTCGTCCCGAACCACTGGGCAATGGATCTCGACGAGAAGATCTACGGCCCGGACGCCCTCGATTTCCGCCCTTCGCGATGGATCGAGAACCCGAACCTGCCCCTCGCATCTTTTGGGTATGGCAGACGGGTGTGTACGGGACAGCACGTGGCGATGAACTCCCTGTTCATCAACATTGCGCGCGTGCTGTGGGCGTTTGACATCGAGTGTGCGGATGATGCGGACAGGAAGGGGGAAAAGGTGCAGCCGGACCCTTTGGCGTACTCGCAGGGCATCAACTCGGGCCCTCTGCCGTTCAAAGCGAAGTTCGTGGTGAGGAGTCCCGAGCGCCGGGCTGCGGTGGAGGAGCGGTGGCGGAGCGCGGAGAAGGACGTGAGAGCCATCCTGGACGAGATTGAGAAGGCGACGTCGAAGATAGACTAGCCAGCCAGCCAACCATCCCAGACCCATCCTCCTTATCATCGTCCCCAAGCATAGAGCCGAGTATAGAACCTCACCAAAGCCTCCGCTCCCACCAAGTCCCCCTCGCGCATCAACCTCGCAACATCGAGATTGTACGGACTATCCGGGTTTCCGCCGGCACTCAGCAACTGCTGCACGGCTTCGAGCGTGCTGATGAGGCCGTACGCAGGCGTCCAGGAGCCCTTGAGGAGGTCGAGACAGATCTCGCCGGTTTTGAAGTTGACGTTGGGATGGCAGCAGGGAGTGCGGAAGCGGATGTCGGGTGGAGCGGCGGGGTAGTTGGGCGGAACGGCGAGGGTGAGAGTGAAGGTGCCGCCTGAACCATCATACTGTTAGTATGTCGAATTGAGAGCGGAAGTAGAGTGGAGTGTACCTTCGTATGCTGTCTCCTGCGGTCCTAGGAGAACAGCGGTCAGGTGGAGGAGATCTCCATCGTCGGCCGGCTGTAGAATTGCTACGGCCGGGGATGGATCGGAGTGGTAGGCGTCGAGCTCTTTGATGAGTCTCTTGGCTGCCATTGTCATCGAGCCATGGTTATGTGCAGGGATGCAAGTGACACTTCCAGCGTGAAGCTGTCTCGATGCTCCACGTCAGGTGCGGCGGACTTTCGTTTCTCCGAGCCTCGGCTTGAGTCGCGTGTCAAGATATTTCTCTGGGCGCCGTGGCGCATATCAATCTCTCGACGACCTTGCATTCCCATCACCCTCTCGATCGAAAGACCTCGGACTCAAGATGTCCGCCGTAACGCGCCTGGGCCTCATAGGCGGCGTCCTCACCACCTCCGCCGCCCTCGCCGGCCTCTCCACCCTCCCCGCCGTCCGCGACACCCTCACCAAACATCTCGGCCCCAACGGCGTCAAGCACACCTGGCGCCTCCTCGCCCTCCTCGTCGCGCTACTAAATCTCAAAAATCTGCCAGGCTTCTGGCACATCCGCGTGCTCCGCGGCATCATCTACCAACTCTACTTCCAGCCGCACCCGCAGCAGCCGAAACACCTCTTCGCCCCGATGATCACGAGCAGCTACAACACGCCGTACGACACCGACTACAACTTCCACAAATCGAACAGCACTTATTTCGCGGATCTCGATGTCGCGCGCGCGCATTATATGGGGTGCATTATCCGCACGGGTCTTGCGAGGCTGAATAAAGGCGATGAGCAGGGATTGCCGAAGGATACCACCGAGGCGGGCGGGAAGTACTTTGTCGCGCTGGGGAGTATTAGCTGCTTCTTCCACAAGCAGATCGAGCCGTTGCAGCGCTTTGAGATTTTCACGCGAGTGCTGAGCTGGGATCGCAAGTGGCTTTACGTCGTGTCGCATATTGTGAAGCACGGCGCTGTGCGGCCGGAGAGCTACGCGCTGCAGCCTTGGAGGAAGAGGAAGGCGCGGCGGCAAGGGAAGGGCGGAGAGCAAGAAGGTGATGCGCAGGATCTTTCAAAGGTCATTTTTGCTACGAGCGTGGCGCGATATGTGTTCAAGAAGGGGAGGAAGACGATCAACCCGGAGGTTGTGCTTGAGAGGTCACGACTGCTTCCTCCGCGGCCCGATGGCGTGGATCTGCCTCCGCGGACAGAGGGGACTCCGAGCGATGCAACACCCGCACCTGCTGAGACGCCGTCCGGTTCCGGTAATGGCGATTCACACAATGTAGTCAGCGAGGCCAGCACCCGACTCACCCAAGAAGCCGAAGCGGACGATTCCTGGACATGGGATGATATGGAAAAGGAGCGGCTTCGCGGGCTGAAAATTGCCACCCACTTTGATGCTTTGAGCGCTGCACAGCACGAATTGAGAGCGAGTGAGGCCCTTGGACAGTACGGCGATTACTGGTAATCCTGGATGTGCATTGATTGAACCCCCTCTGCATAACCCCTGATAAACCCATAGAACATAGACTGGCGTTGCTGACAGCTAGTCGTCGCTGGTCGGCGTTTACTCCTTGCACACGCCATTTTCCCCCTTCATTCTCATCGCCTCAAACCTCAACAGCTCGCGAAGCATAGCCATCTGCATCGCGTAGCTGGGTACGTAGCGTTTGACCGGCAAGCCATCACGGTCGACGTCATCGACCTCCCACCCAACGGACGACGGCAGTTTGGCAAAGTATTCCATGATAGGGTCCGTACACGAGAGCCGCAGGACGAGTTCGCGGTCGTCGAAGTGGAAGTCGGTCGTCTTGTTGGCCTCGAGCTGCCACCAGGCCCGCGCGCCGGGCTCGGCGTACACATACTTCTTTCCGCCCAGGGTGCGAAAGCTTTGGTACGCGTCGGTCAACCCGCTGTCCTCGCGAAGCATCTCGCGCGCCGGCTGTGCCCAGCTGTCCAGAGTGGAGGGGGTGATGTTGAAGAAGACGCAGAATTGCTGCCGTTTTTTCAATGAGGTTGCCGTCATGTATATTTCGTAGATGTCCTCCTTCTCCGGCGGATTGAATCCGCTTCGCAAGGGGTCGGCTTGGTCAGGGGTTACCATGTTATTGGCTTGTGGACGGGGTCGTCTTGGTTGTGCTGTTGGAGTGGTTGTCGGGTTGTGAAGCTGCCGTGTTGGTTGTAGTACTGTTGGGAAGTTCTTGAGGGGAAGATATTCGCTGGGAGGGCGAGGAAGAATGTGATGGAGGTTCGCGTTCAGATGTCTGATTGGAGAGGCAGTGCACTTGTATGCGATCGACTTGCGCCTGCTGGTGCATTGATGTGCACTTGCAGCACTACCCTCGACAGCGTAGCGGCAGGCGCAGACACCAGCCTCGACTGCATGAGGGAAGCCATCACAACTTCGACTTCTTCGGCCCCATGAAGCCAAACAAATACCCAGCAACCTTGCGCATCTGAATCTCCTCACTCCCCTCCGTAATCCGATACCGCCGATGATGGCGCCAGATGTGCTCAAACTGGCAGTGGCGACTATACCCCCATCCACCATGGACTTGGATCGCGCGGTCCGCGGCTTGCCCGCACAGCCGGTTGGCCCAGTAATTGCACATGCTGACTTTGTCGCCGAGTTTCTGCTCCACTTCGACGTGAGGCATCGAGTCCATCTCCGTGGCGGTTTTGCGGATGAGTAGCCGGAGCATTTCGCATTGTGTCGCGAGTTCGACGAGGGGGAATTGGATGGCCTGGTTTGTTGCGAGGGGTTTGCCGAATGGCGATCGTTTGCGAGCGTACTCGACGCTCTGGTTGATGCAGTACACCGCCGCGCCGAGAGAAGAGGCAGCTTGCCGGATGCGATTCTCGTGGACGAAAGCCTGCGCCACAGCTAGACCCTCGCCTTCCTTCCCCAGCACCGCAGACGCCGGGACTTTCACGTCCGTCAACGACACCGTCGCGTGATCGGTCGGCATGTTGAGCGTCCACTCGTAACTCTCCACCTTAAGGCCCGACGAGCTCTTCGGCACAACGAAACACGTAATGCCCTTTGCATCGCCATTCTTGCCAGAACAACGCGCAAAGATGAAGCAATGCGACGCCTTGTGCATGCCCGTCTGCCACATCTTGCCACCATTAATCACCCAGCTGCCGTCCTTCTGCTTTACCGCCTTGGTCGCCATGTGCGTCGCATCGCTCCCATGCCCCGGCTCCGTCAGCCCAAACGTGATCCGCACCCGCCCCTCCAAGCGCCCCCAAATCAACTCCTTCTTCTGCTGTGCGTTGCCAAAATGCTGCACCATGACAATGTCCGGGAAGTTGCCGACAACCGAATGTTCCGTCTGCAGATCGTTGAACAGCCCGAGTCCCTTGCTCGCCATGTGCTCGCGGATCACCGCCATCCACAAATTCGATCCGCGTCCGCCGTCATCATTCTGTCCGCCGTACTCTTTGGGCAGGCTGAAGCGATAGAAGCCGGCCTTGTCTGCGCGTCGCGCGGCCTCGACCATCAGATCTTCCCATTCTTCGCGCGGGAGGCCGCCGGCGTCCCAGTTTGTGCGGGCGTGTTCGCGGCGGTGGTCGAAGAAGCGATTGTTGTCGTTTTGGTGCTGAAGAGGGGTGATTTCGTCGGCGATGAACTTGTCGAGGCGTTTGATGTAGTTTTGGAGGTCGGAGGGGACTTCGAAGTTCATTTTGACGAGGAGGATCAGGAAAGGATGCAATGAAGAAGCAGAGAAAGACAACAGACACTTACGAGAAGAATGGGTGGACTTGATGAATGAGTGTCTTTTCCAAGCAACCGTGAGCTGTTAGCCTTCTACCTCGGCCGGGTACTGGTCAGGTAAAGTGAGGTGAAGCGGTTGCGGGGAAAGAACGGAGATCAGAGTCCGACGACACTCCACTCCTCTTCCAAGCTGCCAACATCTATCTCGGTTTGATGCTGTTGGGATCTGGCACAATCTTCAAAGCCACAAACTCTTCGATCACCGAGAAGATGGACTCGTAAGAATCGACGAAGCCGAAGAAGCCAAACTTCTTCGCTTTCGTGGCGCTGTATGCTCGCATTAGCCAACATCCACCGAGATCGTCCAAAAGCCATCACCTACCTCATCACGCTCGCGTATGGCCGATGTAAGCAGAAATTGGCCCTTCCAAAGATGGAACCAACATCCTTCCACTCTGCATCTCTCAATCCATGCTTCTCACTCAACTCCTTCCACGCTTGAACATTCTCCGACGATTTCGCCCATTCCACAAACGAGAACTTGAACCTCATCATCGACCTCCTCCCTCTACCATGAGGTGGTGGGTCACACTTCATCCCTTGCTCTTGAAATTTTGCTGCGCTGCCATCGTCCGGACCAATGTAATCCATATCGAAATAACTCGCCAGCCTGGGCCACATTTTGCCCCAGGTGAATTGACAATCGTCCGAGGCGTTGAACGCCTGGTTTGCGGTGTTGGGTGCCAGGACCGACCATTCGTACAAGTAGGAATTCAGCACCGCATTCGATAGAGACTGTGGTGCATACCAAGCATCAAGGTCGCTGGGATATTCGAGTTCCCGCCCCAGGTACTTCTGCACGCACGCATATGCCAGGATGGGGAATAGCAGGGACTGGGACGAGTCGATAGCCGCTCCGATGACGAAAGAAGGCAGTGCGGTATTCCATCCGATGCCGTGTTTTGAGCAGAAGGACTCGAGAATGTCATGCTGTGTATAGTACAGATTCGGCTCGAGGGTGAGACGATCATCGCTTTCCTCGTCTGGAATGTCTGTGGCGCCCAGATGGACGCCGTACCATTTCTGCCCGAACTGTGCGAATACTCGCTTCGGTAGGGCGTTGGCGAGCGGCAGGGCTTCGAGGAAGTTACTCATCAATTCATCTGTCGGTCGAATTAGCTGTTGTCGTGGCATCGACGCCACTCATGTATTACTGTTCTTGTCGACCAGCCTTTGATCGCCCCATTGAAGCGCACCATCGTCATCGACAATCAGGACGTAAGAGAAGAAAAAGACGTAGTCCGGCTTGATACCCCTCGACTTGAGAATATCCGCAATTTCCTGGGGAGTCGTTAAGAAGTCCACGGGCACATGCTCTACGGTGTCTGGCCACTTTCCCGATGGTGGTCGTCGCGAAAGGGCGTAGATCTTGCTCCATCTTTCGCTGTTCTCTGCGAGCACTCGGACCTGCACAAAGTCAATCAACGAATCATGGAGGATAGCAGCATTATTTTCATACCATATGCGCTCCTGAGATTCCATTTGCACCAGTGACAGTTGCAGTCAATCCTTTGGATGCTGAAGACAGGTCCGGTAGGCCGCGGTAAATGCCTTTGCTATAGATGCCTTGCACGCTCGACTTCTCATTGTTATCTGCGGCGCTCATCATGATGGCGCCGTTGATTTCGACTTTTTGTCCTTCCGTCGATTAACAATGAAGTAATGGCAACAGAAGTCGAGACTGACATCAATGCATCGAGCTCTGCAGCCTTCAAGCGGAGGCGCTCGCAGCCGAAGCGCACCTCACCTCCACCACCACAAATTCCACGTCTCCAGCACAACAGCCTACCAAATGCACGCAGCGCAGGGCATCCAAAAACACCCCATGTCCACCTCCGCAGCCGCAGCCCCAACCTACGAAAACCAACACGTGCACGCAGTCTACAACCAAATCGCCGCGCACTTCTCCTCAACGCGGCACAAGCCGTGGCCCATCATCGAAAACTTCCTGCGCACGCTGCCCGCCGGCGCCATCGGCCTCGACGTCGGCTGCGGCAACGGGAAATACCTGTCCGTCAACCGCGACATTTTCATCGTCGCGTCGGACCGGTCGCGCAACTTGCTGGAAATCGCGGGCAAGGAGGAGTCGCATCGGCCGCATGCGGTTGTGGAGGCGGATGTGCTAGAGTTGCCGCATCCGAGGGGGACGTTTGATTTTGCGATTTGTATTGCTGTTGTGCATCACTTGTCCACTGCGGAGAGGCGGGTGGAGGCGGTGAGGGGGATTTTGGAAACGTTGAGGCCTGAGGGGAGGGCGCTGGTTTATGTGTGGGCGCTGGAGCAGGGGGGTAGTCGAAGGGGGTGGACGGCGGACGACGAACAGGATGTGATGGTGCCGTGGGTTATGCGGGGATCGAAAAAGGCGGCGTCTGCTGATGCAGATGGGCCGGCCAACGGAGGGCAAGACAGGGTGTTTCATCGGTACTACCATCTCTACCGTGAAGGGGAATTGAATCAAGATGTCACGGCCGCTGGAGGGGTCGTACTGGATTCTGGATATGAGAAGGACAATTGGTGGGTGGTTGCCGGGCGGCAGCTGACCTGAGGTCACTACCCACGCAAGCCACGTTGAACATCGACTGATCACAAGTCCTTCCCCTTCAACCGTTGGGATCGCCTTCGGCTGGGCTTCTCAGGCTCTGGTACGGCATCTACTTCCTCCCTGTTTGATGCCTTCTTTGCAGTCAGGCTGACTTGGTCCAAAGATTGCACGACGTGAAATCGTGCCTTGTCTTCCTCAGACAGCGGCGCATTTCCGGGTCTGTCAACGATGGAGGAAGCCATCCCAGCTTCGATCGCCGCTTCGACCTCTTTGACATTGTCGCTGAGGAAATGGATATCCTGAGGAGCCATCTACAGAAAGTTGAAGTCAGCTTCACTGCAACGGTCACAAGATGTCGTGACCTACCTGTAACGCATCAGCAATCTTTTTGTAACTTCCCGCATCCTGCTTGAGTCCGGCATTCGTCGTGTCGAACCAGCCACTGATGAGGTGTTGCAAGTCTTCAGTAGAAGCATTGCCATCTTCGTGTGGAAGGTTGGTAGTGTCGGCCTGGATCGTATCGATGTTGTTTGTTGCAAGATCGGATGACATCTGAACAGCTCCATCAGAGCCATCTGCTGCTCCACCCTCACCCTCAATGGCTTTCTTCTTGGCGGGCACGGTCTCATCATGATCCAGATCTCCTTCAAGTGCTCGTTTCCGCTTTTGTCCAGCTTCTGCAGTCGGACTGGCAACATGACCGAAGAGCAGCTTTTGCGCAAAAACGCTCCCCGAAGAGTAAATGACGAGCTGCACTCCTTGCTCCTTCCATTTCCTCAGCTGAGGCGCAACATCGGGAAACAGAGGAGTGGAGTATGCGCCAGTCTTGTATCCAGTTTCCCAGAGATATCCTTGAAGGTTCTTGAGATACGCGATCTTGACGTCGCGCTTGGTGAGATCTTCAACGTGGGCCTGGAGTTCTTGAGCGGACTGACGTGCTTCTTCTGGGAAGGCGTCGCGGTATGGTCTGAAGTCCTCGTCGTCCCATTTGGAGGACAAGACGTCGGGTAGGGCCTTGAGAGCATATGGGAACTGTGCTCATGGGATATGTTTCAGTAAGAAGAAGTCGAACTAAAATAGCAAAGAGGAAGGAAGCTGTGTGCTATGCGGAAGACCTACCAGCGTGTCCTTGACGAAGGATATTGGGCAGACAGTGCCCTCTGCGGTGGAAAACACACTCAGTCGCACATCTAACATCAACCCTTGAAATACACCTACCAATGTCAAGCAAGACACATTTGACGGCTGCCATGTTGCGTGGCGTCACGTGTCGGGAAGTGTCGACAATACAGTCGGCGGTGGGAGGCCCAAGGGCAGACGAGGCTGCGGTTGCAGGCTGCTGTGGCACCACTGAAAACGAGCGAATGCTTTCCCCCAATGGACAGTGAATCCTCACCTCCCAAACGCCAATCTGGAAGCAGTGCTTCGTCCGTGCTCCGCGGCGCTTCGCTGCGGGACGGGACAATCAGGTACTGTACAGTACCTTTGACTTGGTACGCGCGGCTGCAGTCCCCGGTGTCTCATGCAAAGTGCAGCAATCCGAGGGATCCGGGTACGCAGATGCTCGGGCCAAGGCCAAAAGTCAATGCCCGTAAGGAGGATTATGCTTAAAGAGCAAGATTTTCACAGCAGAGCCGGCTCATTCGCCGCTTTGGTGTAGGGCCAGGTACCTTGCAGCGTAAAGGAAGACCAGTGGCGATGCGGACAATTCACCGCCTGTGTGGCGGAAGTACATTTACACCGCAGCGGTCAAGGTCGAGCACGTAAGGTGTGGTAGGCGCCGTGGTGCACAGACCGTGTCGTCGCCCGAAACTCGGCTCCACTGTTGAGGACCGTGCCTGATCCCCGCGTTTTCGTGCGGTCAAGGAGATTGCGGAGAGGGAGAGACAATCGTTGTCCCACACACTGGACGATTGTTATCCACGGCTAGTTGATGATCGTTATCAGGGCAGCCGCTGGAGAGTCCACATCAGGCCCATCCAAGAAGGTTGATGGGTGGAGCGATCGTCGGCCCAGGCCGCTCTAGTCCTATGCAGGCCAGCTGCAGTAGCACCTCGACTTGGACTGCGCACGCATGCATAACCCCAGCCATTACTCGCCGGGGAAGCTGTGGCTATCCTCAACGGCATAAAAAGAGGCAGACGCATGCACCTGCCATTGGACTCGAGCTCCACCGCAACAAAGCATTGAGAGGCGGGCATCGTATGTGATGCAGTAGGTAGTATTGATGATGCTTGACACCCCCGTGCACGGTTCTCTCCAGATCGCTGGCAGCAGCTGGACTCCTGCCCACCCCACCATGGCGCAAGCATGCTTAATTTCCTTTGACTTTGTTTGATGCAGAAGGTATCGATTGGCCGTGCGAGCCGGACCAAGATTTCTGCGCGTCAGGCTGTGCCTCGCCGAAACACTCATTACGTGAAGTAGGATGGGTGCCAGCAACTCCAGACGGGTGTGCTCGAGGCGCCGGTTTCAGGGAGCCGGGTAAGCTTGGGCTTGTTGGCCTGAAGGAATTGAATCTCCGATGTCGCCCCTCGTAAGACAAAGACTGCTCACACTCCTTGCCGAGTCATGGATAGCGGTGTGAAGGCCGTTGAATCGTGCTCAAAGCCACCGCATCAGGGTCGAGACTCTCGAACGAGGACTTTGCCTTCACCTCTGCCGGGCGTCGGAGCAGAAACGTGTTGCTTGGCGGAAGCGTCCGCAATCCGACTGCTGGACTTGGAAAATCAGGTGGGTCGGCTGACGCTAGCTCTGGACAGCTAGTCCGCATTCAGCGATAGCGTGCTTTCCCCGGATGGCCAATCACGAACAAAGGTGGCGAGCCTGGATTCGAGAAGGTGCGACGGGCCTGCCCTCTCTTGCCCTCCATGTCCATCCCACCACAACACACCCTCCTCCCTCTACACCGCTTCTCTTCGCCCACATACACCTCTCCCTTCCCGCCTGCTCTTCGCCTGCCATTGTCCTACTTCCTTCCATCGTCTCGACGACTCTTCCTGCTACCCTCGAATCCACACCCGGTCATCCATCGCTCCTTCCTGCGACGGCTCGGCGTCGGCAGTCATCAGTCATACATTCCTTATCGTTTCACCGGGCGACACCATTGGAGGCGTGACACCGACCACACTCCCACCTTCCTCAACACCTTCCACCCTCCCCTACGACTCTTGGCCACTGTATTTCTCGTCCACCTCCTCAATTCCGCCAGCTGTTCAAGGGGTGCGACGACATCAGCGGAGCTCTCGCAATCCCGAGGATCCGTGCTTTCGTCATCGGTCACCAGGCTTCGCAAGCTCGCTTATTCGGACAAAACAACACCGCAACCTCACCACTCGTCCGTCTCTCCCGCAACGACAACGCCTCTCGGGAAAACAGGTGGTCTTTGATGCCCAATGAGACACACACACGCTGCTTTCCTCCCCAGGCACTGACTCTAGGCGCCAACGCCTCTACAGTCATCCTTCTCCGACTCATCCGCCTCCATCCCTCATAACCCCCCTTTCCTCCATATACCTTGGACATACCCCTCTCACGTGCACGATCACCTCTTCTATCACGCCCCTTACGACTCTCCATCACCTTACCCTTACGACCCTCTGTACGACTCCCGCCATCCTCAACACCATACGATCGATCCGTCCGGAACACTCAAGAGCCCGGCCTGATCACAACCTACCCTGCACCTTCCTTCTCTGTGGACCCCAACCTGCACATCTCTTCCTATGAGATAGCCACAATCATTACAATTTCTTCCCGTTGATTCCGGAGCGAGCGTTGGTCACTGTCTATTATTCTTATCGGGTCCACCGGACACTACTGAGCCCTTTTCCTCCGTGGACAGGGCGGTTTTCTTTGTACATTGGGGTTTCCTGCCATCAACACCACCATCAGGGTGGATCCAAACACTACACGGACGAGGGGCCATCTGTTAATTTTCCCGAAAAAAGCCAACGGGCGGGCTTGATCACTGGTCGGACCTTCTTGGTCCATCATTGTACACTTCTCCCTTCCAGGCATCCATCGCGCCCACCTCCTTCGACTTCCGAGTCAAGACATCTCTTGACCTCCGGCATCCCACTACCGGCGAGAGACTTGTCCAATGGAGTGTTTGCGAGATGGCTTTGAGGAAGGACATATACTCAACGACCGTTTCGTGACCCTCGCTCCCCTCAACCATGGCTCGTTTGGCATGGTCTTCACTGCCACGGACAAGTTGACCGGAGCTGAAGTCGCTATCAAATGCATCACCAAAGCAGACGCCGTCAAAGATCACACCCCCTGCCCAGCTGCTATTGCTACCGATGAGCGTTCCGAGGAGCTCGAAATCCATTCTCGCCTGAGCTTGCACCCTCACATTGTCAACTTGATCCATCACTTCGAGACCGCCGCCCACCAATATATGGTTTTGGAGCTTTGCAACAATGGCGACCTGTACGAGGCCATTCGCACTGGCCGAGGACCCCTGGAGACCGAGCACGTCCGTGATTTCATGCTCGAGCTTGTCAACGCCATCGAGCACCTGCACGTCAACGGAGTCTACCATCGTGACATCAAGCCTGAGAACATCTTCCTTACCGCCGATGGTGCCATGAAGCTGGGTGATTTTGGGCTGGCGACAACCGAAACCTGGTCGACAGAGTTTGCCGTGGGATCCGATCGATACATGGCGCCGGAGCAGTACGAGTCCTCGGTCTACGGGTTTGGGTACTCGCCTGCCTCTGCCGACGTCTGGGCCATTGGTATTGTTCTGCTCAACGTGCTCTTCCAGCGCAACCCCTTTGCATCGCCAACTCCAAAGGACCCCTTGTTCTCGGACTTTGCTCGCAGCCGTGAAAGCCTCCTCGACGTCTTCCCGACCATGTCGCAAGATACGTACAATGTCCTGACGCACTCCCTGGCCTTGGATCCCGCCAACCGTTCACTCGGCGCCGTGCGGGAAGCCCTCAAGGCTGTGCGCAGCTTCACTACCGATGACGAAGCACTCGATGAGTTCTGCACCGAGCAAACCGACTTGGCTCCCGTTTCCACTGCCGCTCGCGAACCCCTCCGAACGCCGTCCATCACCAGCCCGAACATGACCGCCGACTCCTTCCCATGGGCCGACGCTTTGCGCAAGACTCCCCAGAAGGCCGTCCGACAGCTCTCGACTATTCGTGATGATGAGCCGGATCTATTCCCCGGTTCGTTCAAGAGCGAAGAATGGCAATACGTCGACGCCGACACTGATGCTGATGCTGACGGAGCATCCCTGCATTCCAACGTCGACTCTGGTCTTGGCATGTCGTACAAGTCGGCAAGGTCTAGCAAGAGTATCGCTTGGTCCCTCCCGGCCCCATCCAACGTCCTTGGCTCTCTTCCAATCACCTTCACCAAACCTGCTGGCAAGACCTCACCCTACGGTGCGCTTGGCAGTGGCTTTTCTAAAAGCTGGAGTGATTTGTACGAAGAGGACTTTGAGATGGAGGAGCAAGGTCGAGGATCTTTCGACTTTGGCCTGGAGCTTGAAAGCGTAGGCACTGCTCAGCCAAGCACGCCTCAGCCGCAGACTCCGAGTGAGGATGATGGCGGAAGTGCTACGCCCCGGCCCATCCTCGCAGAGGCTGATGTCAATGTCCGCGGCTCCGTCAGCCCTATGAGGAGGGTCCTGGACAACGACAATGCCACTGCTGAACTGCCAAAGATACGCTCGTCGTCCAGCTTCCTCGTCGATAAGTGGGCCATGCTCGGGAACCTTCGCCGTGGTGTCAAGCAGGAGAGCTCGTCAACTACCCCAACTCCTATCCCACAAAAGTCGAAGTACTCTGATGCCTTTGCCAATTTTTCGGCTTCGTTTGGCAGCAGCAGCACGAAGAAGCAGAAGCCCGCAAGCAAGCCTCGTGAGGAGGCGCCCAGCTGGCGCCAGGATTCTCCCGAGAGGCTTCGCTCGACGACAATGAACAAGAGTCAAGTCTGGGAACGCAAGGACAGCCCGCCTCAGCCTGCGCAAAGCTGGGAGCTCGACAACAACTGGCGCGACCATCGGCGCCCAGCCAACACCATCCCCTCTCCATCACCCTCTCCAACCAAGAACCCCTCCGAGCGACCCGCCTACCTCCGCCGTCGCAGTGGGGAGAACTTCCTCGAAACCATCCTCCGTCCCGCCAGCAACGCGGGCAGCGACGACGGCGACCTCCGATTCGACATCAACGGCGATCTCGAATGGGTTGGCAAAGTCCAACCATTTCATACTTAACGACGTTTTTCCCTTGGGTGGGTGGGGATTGCAAACACGCATCCCCCCCTTGTGTACCCTGTCTTCACTCCTCCGGTCCCCCCTTCACCCTGTTCTGATTTTGCTCCTCGGGAAGACATTCATCTCTGCAGTCTGGATTGTACAATCAATGGCTTTCGGGTACAAGGGCGTTTCTTTGGGGGTCGCACGGCGTTTACAAAGATCCAAACTGCAGAGCATGAACTCACTCGCACACACCGAGTCTTCCATGACAAGGAGAAAGCACAGCATTGGGAAGGGATTCGAGACGGACCTTGCTTGAAGCAGGTGGTACTCGTATCTGTAGATTAGCAACTTTCATAGATAGGCCGGCACGCACTGTTGCGCGATGGTGTCCACTGAGATGCTCGCGTGTGCTGGCGCTGAAATACAGATCTTACTCACCCAACTATGTTGCCTCGTCTTCTTGCCTTTTGTTGTCAAATGTCTTTCTTGCGATATGGACATGGGCTGTGGTGGTGACTTCAAGGAATCACGGCGCGGTTTGATTGGCTGTGACTGTGCGGGCGCTAGCGGGCGTCCTTAAGCATTTACAGTCTTGCGCTCCCGGCGTCAGGCTCGCCAAGTTTGGAGAGGGTCGGGTCCGAGTTCGAACGAAGCTTGCGGTGGAGATGACATTTCCGGGCTCGACGAATGGTTGAATTGCCATTGATAACTCTCTCCGAATTGCGTGGGACACGATCCATGAATAACGAGAGCTGCTCCGTCACTGTCCTCTTCTGTTCCTTCCATGCTCAGGTCACGCTCACAATTTGGCCCTCCGCCAACATCTCTCTGAACAACTGGTTGCTGACCTCGTTCCGTCCCTCCTCATCGAGCTGCTTCAGTACATCCGCAATCCGACTCGCTACCAACTCCCTAGTCACGGCCATCTGATAACTCGTCACAGCCTTGAACGTCACCTTCCACGTCTTCAGCGCCGCTCCCTCCCCGTCCCGCCCGTTCTCCCTAAGCGCAGCAGCCAATAATCTCAGCCTCTTCAAAGCAATGTCTACATGCCAATCGGCCGACAAATGCAGCGTAATCTCGACATGCTGAATGCTGCGCAGCAACTTGTTCGTGCAGTCCACCGGCCCGGCGAACTGGTATTTTGGCCAGCCATCGCCGACGTAGATCTGGATGCGGAAGTGTGCGCGCGCGTAGAGGAAGGGCAGGGCTTCGCGGTAGAGGGCGCGGCTTGTTCTAAGGATGCTGGGGCCCGCGTGGTCGAACCAGCGGTGCAGCGGTTGGGAGATGTAGGTGTCGTTGCGCAGGATGATGAGGGGTTCGACGCGGTTGGGGTAGATGTTGGTGTAGATTTGTTGCCGGATTTCGAGGGGGAGGGTGAAGAGGATCGATGCTTCGCTGGAGGGGGACATTGTTTATGAAGGGATTGGTGCTGCGGTGGATGAATGCATGTGTTGGCTGGCGAGTGGAGTGGTGTTGAAGACAAGGCTATGTCATCACATACAGGCTGTTTCCCTTATCGAGGGAAGCATCGGGCAACGGCTCGACTTTTGGCCATCTCGCGTCTGGCGCACACGACTTTTGGCAAACCCGCCGCCTTCCCCAAATTTTTGGAAATATTGCAACGAGGAATTTCTTTGAACCGGAACACCCACCATCCACCACTTCCCGTCTCTCGTTAGCCTTTAGGTTAACACACACCCGCCAACATGGCCTCCGACGAGATTGTGTGGCAAATTATCAACCAGCAATTCTGCTCGTTCAAACTCAAACTGCCGGGCAACGGCTCGCACCAGAAATCCACCAAAAACACCTTCTGCCGCAACGAGCACAACGTCACCGGCCTCTGCAACCGCCAATCATGCCCCCTCGCCAACTCTCGCTATGCCACCATCCGCGCCGACCCCTCCAACCAGCGGCTCTACCTGTACATCAAGACGATCGAGCGCAGCCACATGCCCAACAAGTGGTGGGAGAAGATCCGGCTGAGCGTCAACTACACCAAAGCGCTGCAGCAGATTGATGAGCGGTTGATTTATTGGCCCAAGTTTTACATTCACAAGTGCAAGCAGCGCTTGACGCGGTTGACGCAGGTGCGTGTCAGGGCGCAGCGGTTGGCGAGGGAGGAGGAGAGGTTGGGCGAGAAGATGGTGACGAGGATGGCGCCGAAGGTGAGGAGGAGGGAGGAGACGAGGGAGCGCAAGGCGGAGGCTGCGGCGAAGATTGAGAGGGCGATTGAGCGGGAGCTGGTGGAGAGACTGAGGAGTGGGGCATATGGCGATCGACCGTTGAACGTGGAGGAGAATGTGTGGAAGAAGGTCATGCGGGGTCTCGAACGCAGCCAGGAAGGCGTGAGGGATGAGGATCTGGATGTTGAGGAAGAAGAGGAGGGAGTGGAATATGAGCGGGAGAGGGAGGGAGAAGAGCTCGATGTTGAATACGTCAGTGACATTGACGAGTCTGACGAAGATGGAGATGCAGGAAGTGACATGGAAGATTTTGATGACTGGTTGGGCGGGGGGAGCGGGGAAGAGAGGGAAATTGACGGTTCGTCTGCGGAAGAGGAGGACGATGATGACGACAGTGAGGGAGACGCAGATGATGCGGAGGCACTGAAGAAGAAGCTCGACTCTCTCAAGCGCAAGAGACCAAGCGAGGCACCTCCAAAGTCGCGCAAGAAGCCTTCCAAGGGTCCAAAGACGAAGATCGAATACGAGTATGTCCAACAGGCGCCGCCGGAGAGGGAGATGGTATTGGCGAAGTAAGAGGCGTGTGCGCAAGATTCGGACGGTTCATAGCTGCCGGACATAGTTTGCAAGTTCTGAGAGCAGGGCTCTCGTATGCTTCCCATGACGCTTTTTCCTGACGACTGTATAATCTCATCTATGCCAGACATCCCATCGCCGGAACACCTCGCTTGAAAACCCCAGACAGTGCCCAATCAAAACAGCCAAACATAAAAGAAGATCAAAGCGACAAAGGCAAAGAAGCCCAGCCACACCCTCCAACCCACGCCCGACCGCTTCGCCATGATCAACATGCGGTTCATTGTGCCTCGTAACCGGTTGCGCGTGCCCTCGAAACTGTCATTCATCTTCTCCGCGAAAGCCGTCGAGTCGCGGATCTCATCGCCAATGGCTATCGTGATCTGCGCAGTAACGATCCTTGTTAGCCCCCTGAGACACACGACGAAGATTGTCATCCATCACATACACTCTTCAACATCTTCACCTTCTCCGTCATAATCCCCACCTGCTCGTCATTCTGACTCTCCAACTCATTGTATACCGCGTCCGCATACCGGCCCTTCTTATCCGGCGTCGCAGATCTATATCCCCCGTCTCCGCTACCGCGCGACACGATATCGTTGGCTCCGGGGTAGGCGCTAAAGGCTCCGTTGGGGGGCGGTGCGGCGCTCAGATGTGAGGAGGAGTTGTTCGGCTGCGATGGGAAGGCGTAAGGGGAGCTATTGTTGCCGTGAAAGGTGCTGTAGGGCGCTGCGGAGGAGGGACGGGAGGAAGGGCCGCCTGCTGTTGCTGAGGTGGGGCGGGAGCGGTTGGGGGGGTTGTCGTAGTTGGAGAAGAGGGCATCGCGGGCGTTGCGCTGGTGGAGTCTGCATGGGAGGGGTCAGTAGCGACTCTTTGGGGGAAGGACGCAAAATGTGATTTTGGCGGCAGGGGAGTCATCTTGTCCGTACCTCGAGGCCATGGTTGATATCTGGACGACGCAGAGGTTTGCGCATCCAAGTTGCACATCGCTTGTACGCCAGGTGTTGAACGGGAGGTTGTAGCCACGTGGACCCGCTTTTCTTCCGCAAAGGGAAAGTTTGCTCCTTCCTTTGTATGTGACTTGGACTTGACTCGACTCTTCAGACCATCTACATTGTTTGCTCGCATAGTTTGCTGGCGTCAGTGGTGGACATTGGATGATTGTGCATATATCACGGCATTCATCTTTCTCTGCATCTCTTTCCTTTTCTTCTCGCAGAGCTATTTCATCCTCATCCGTACAGGGACGGCACTGGCATGCTTTCACTGTCATCCATCAGACACTAAATCAAGTCATCCATAGTCGACGGCGCACGATAGGCCCCTACAGGACATATTCAAACTCATCACCTCTGCCATCTGGATACTCGATTCTTCATACCTTGAACAGTCCCTCCAAGATGGTAAGGCAGAAGCAAAGGCCCCCTTCCACAACCACAGCCGCTGACAAGCATCGCAGCCCGGACAAGCACCCAACGGCGCATCCTCCGACCACACGCATCTTCTTTTCCAGGAAAACGCCAAGTTATACTCCCACCAGGTCAGCATACAATCCATCATCCCCTTTGCGGATCTCGACGAGGCGAACCGCGCACTATACAAAGCTGGAACGGACTCAGATCATGCCATCATCACCAACGAAACCATCTTCCATCCCCAAGGAGGCGGCCAGCCCTCTGATGAAGGCAAGATGGAAGCTTCAAACGCCACATTCGACGTGGCGATGGTCCGCATGGACGCCGTGAACCAAGGCCGCGTCCTTCATTTCGGTCGTTTCGTCTCCGGAAACCCAGATGCCCTCCCTTCCGACTCCCCCATCACCCAGCACATAGACGTAGACAAACGAATTTTCTACTCCAGATACCACTCCGCCGGCCACGTCCTTGGCGCCGCCGTTCGCGCCCTCCTCGAGAAGGAAATCCCTGGCTTCGACGAGCTGAAAGCCTCTCACGTCCCTGGCTCCGCGGCTTGCGAATTTCAAGGCTCCATCGATGGTAAATGGAAAGCGGACATCCAGCAGAAAGTTGACGAGTACATTGCGGCCGACATGCCTATTGAGATCGACTGGTGGAGCCAAGAGGACTTCGAGAAGGAAGGCCTGCAGCGACTCGTGCCCGATCCGGCTATCTTTGATTCCGTGCCGGGTGGGAAGTTGAGGGTTGTGAGGATTGTGGGTGCGGAGATTTATCCCTGCGGCGGCACGCATGTGGATAGTACGGAGGGGTGTGGAAAGACGACTGTGAAGAAGGTTTCGAGGGCCAAGGGGACGAGCAGGGTCAGTTATCTTTTATGAGGTTGGTGGGTGTGGAGGTCCTGGTGTCGCAGCAAGGTGAGTGGTGCGTTCGCTGTTGGACTCCTTCGACCGTGGTGCTCGAGACTGACGTGTCGTCGGAAAAAGGTGACTTACAACGGTGAATAGCGTGGACCGGAGGTGACTGCAGCGAGTTGCAGCGAATAAACGGAGACCGTACGCGAAAGTAAAATAAAAATCGAACACGAATATAAAGCGAACACCGGACGCGGGAGATGTAGTCAACCTTTGGCGAATGGCGATCGAGGTACACTTCCGTTACACCAACCGCTCGAGGCTTTGCGCTTTGGCCTTGCTGGAGTGGACCTGCACAACTTCCTCCACTGGACTCTTCGCCTCCACACCTGTCGCACGCGACAGATCGTTGCTGTCGGATCGCACACGCCTCGAACAGCGCTTCCTACCGTCTTCTCGCTTCCCTCTCCCACATCACGAAGCGCAGAGCGGGGATTGAGCAAGCTTCCAACTCATCGACAAATGAGCCCACAGAAGCGTCAACATGGTCAAGCTCATCTGCCCGATCTGCCAAACGACCAAGTTCGAGATAGCAGGTGGTAAGTCGACGATCAGACTTCCATCGAGACCAACGGATATCTCCCTCGGCTCGTTACTAACCGGTCTACCAGGAGACCAAGACCGTATTACCCAATATACCGTCACCCGACACCTCCAATCCGCGCACAACGTCACCATCACCGACGAGCAACTCCCCGCTCTACGCAAGCGTCAGAACAAAGTGTGGCGCCGGCTGTACAACAAAGTCGTCGCCAAGCGCCACACCACTTCCCGCCTCTACCAGCAAGACTGGGAGGCGTTCGCAGACGACGCGGCCGGCGTGGGGATGCCGACGAAAAAGTCCACACAGAAGTTCCTTGGCCAGGAGCGCGATGTCATGGACGCTGAGGATGACAGTGAGGACGAGAGTGAGGAGCGCGACTGGCGGAGGGATCCGCGCGGGCTGGAGGCCAAGGCTGACAGCGAGCGGTTCGAGCAAGGGGGCGTGGAGAGGGGGTATGCGCCGAGTGAGAGGTGGTTGCAGAGCCCGGTTGATGTGGAGGCGTCGGCGAAGCTGCGCGTGGGGTCGTTGTTGAGGATGGCTGGGTTTGCGCGTGAGAGTGATGTGGCCAGCTAATGTAACGAATGGATACATACTAAAGTCTCTACTCGCGCTCAGACCATGACTGATGGCGCTATGAACTTGCCACGCTTTTAGAAGGGTATGCCTCGAGCTTACGCAATGGTAGCATACCCTCTTCGTCATATCGTCGTCAGAATCATCGCTCTCTCGAGACCGTCCATCAGCCTGTCTTGCCTCCTCGAGCTCGTGGCAGGCGTGGACGGCTGACCAACTCTCCCAAACCGTCTCGAGGCATTCGAGTCAGTGTGGTAATTTGCTTTTGGTTTCGTCAAGCTCGCACGGCAAGAGGAGGTATTCAACTCAGCCGCCCTCTGCGTGCCCTCGCCCTCGCCGCACCACCACGACCACGTTGCATCACCGGGCTGCTGCCCACAAACGAGCTCTCCAGGATCGAACTGCCCAGATTGAAGTTCCCGGGACTTCTCAACAGCGTTTCGGCACCTGTAAGGCCTCGCATATGCTCTGGGGAGTCCCTGGTCGTGGCAGTTGCGGCGACGGGAGTACCCTCCTGCATGCGCGCGCGCATCAACCCCGTTGGAGCGGGGGAGGAGTCCTCATCGGCAGCTTCTGACGAGCTGTCCTCCTCCTCGGTATCCGTGTGTTGATAGCTGCCCGCTTCGGGAATCGAGTCGTCGAGGTTGCGCTCTTCGTGCTCCACGCCCAGTTCCTCTTCATCTCTTGCTGCGCCCGTGAGCTCTGCTTCCTCTTGTAATTCATACTGCTGTTGTTGCTCCCCTTCAAGCACGACATGACTTCCTTCCACCAAGCTGTCCTCGTTAAACGTCACATCTTGCCCCTCATCATCCTCCTCCTCCTCCTCTCCCTGCGTCCCTTGCTCATCCGCATCAGGAATATCATCGTCCAAATCCCTCTCTTCTTCGTCCCCCTCCTCCTCCCCAACACCCCCAATCTCCTCCACAGCAGCATGCGCCCTCACCCTCGCCTCCTCAACCTCCTGCCGAGCCTGCAAATCCCGCAACCCCTGCTCCTGGCGCGCCAACTCCTCCTGCTCCGCAATCTCCGCCTCCTCCTCCCTCTGCGCCTGCAGCGTTTTCGCCACGCCGGGAGGCCGGATCCATGATGCGCCGAAGTCGCGGATGGCGGCTTTGCGCGCTGCGATTGTGCTTTCTGCCTCGGTGAGGAGGGCGAGGGGGGCGCGCGCGTTGTGTGCGTGCGATCTGTGGGTGGAGGGGTCGGCGCGTGGTTGGCGGTGGGGGAGATGGTCGGTGGTGGATGTGCGTGGGGGTGGGGAGTCGGGGCGGGGGCGGAAGTGGGTTGGGAAGATGTCGCTTTGGGGTGGGATCAGAGGGAGGGAGAGCATATTGGTAGTGTGTGGGAGGTGTTGTTGGAGGGGTGGGAGTGTAGCTTTTGCTTATCGAGTTGCGTCAGGGGGGATGGTGTTCATGGCGACTGCAGATTCCAGACAGCACACGCAGAGGCGACACGTTCGAGAATCTTGGGAGCAGTGTGCTTCGTAGAGGAGGGAAGACGTGAAGGAAGCAAGGTAGGATGTTGACATGAGGTGTAGTGTTTGGGGAACGCCCGAGCACAAGCCGCGTATATTCCAGTCTGCGAACTGCCAGTTCCCAAGGCTGCGGACTCTGCACCTGCATGTGCTTACCCGCCCGCCTAATGAACGAGCGGCACTTGCTCACACGATTCACGATGAGCCAAGCTTCCATTGTAAGTTCCAGTCGAGCGTGAACTTTCTGATGCACAGCACTATGGATTAGTCGCCCGTGATGGCCACGCTCGCAATCTTCGCCCAGTCTTGCATGCCACGTTGAACGCAAGGCTGTGACCCGGGTCCACGGTTGACATGCCAAACACCTACAACGGAGGCTTGACTCAACAGCACTGCCGGGAACATTCGCTACTATGTGCCGGACTGCTGAATATCATACACCGAGTCGTATGGGGTAGGCCGTGCCTCGAAGCTCACCAGCACACCACGCACATACCATCACACTCAGCGACACGCAGGCGGGAGTCCGCAGTGTAAGTAAGGATGGGTACAAAGCAGTGAACAGAGGACGCAGATATACCGAGGGCCAGTCTGATAAGCGGCGCCCATTCCTAGGCCTTGCGACGAGAAGCTTCACGTGATCAGTGGCAGACAAGACGGCAGTACAAGTAAGGCTACGAAACACCAGCTCCCTTGCTTTGACAGGGGTCCATGGAGTTGCGACGCCGAGGAGCTGCAGTTATTCCAGGTTTACCCTGGCTCGTCGCATGACGAGTTGCTGAGCGCCGACAGACACTCTTGATCGGGAGATATTGCCGAGTCACACAATCAACCCGGGGCTGGCGGCAACAATGAAAATTCTGGAGACCAGGATTCTCCCAAGAAGAAGAGGAAAAAAAAGGCGGAAGACGTGGAGCATGGAGCGGGAGCAAAGTGCCCAGAGGAGTGCCCAGCGATGCGCCGTGCCCACATTGCCAATTGCTGTCTCTGCCTGCGCCAATGGCACACCGAGTACTTTGCGCAGTTTGCTGCGCACCTCATCCTTGTACAAGTATGCGGGACGATGCAGTACTGCGCGCACGCGACCGTTTGGGCGCGATGGCAACGCACCGAAGATCAACAACCAGCAGAAAGGAATACAGTAATCCTCCGACGATTTCGGCAAACCACGTGTAGCGCCGCCACTGGAGCGGGCGGCGGGCCGGATGTGTATCGTTATCATCGCAAGATCCATCAACCAGACGTGGTGCCAGCGCATACAATGCAGGCTCATTGGCCAGTAGAGGGACAGAAGCAATAAAACTGCCATGGATCACCAATAAGGAACGTGTCGAGAGTTTGGGAAAAAGCGGGCGGCAATTGAACTTTACCCACAGCCTCGGCGCCATGAGTGGCCGGCGCTGCCCCTGACGGCTCTCCGCCCATCGAATCGGGACACACGCCGAAATTCCCCCATTGCGAGCCATATCGACGCTCCAGAGTCCATCTTGCCTCGCGCACAACGACGCGGAATCGAGTTCGCGCGGACTTCGTTGGGATGGAACAGGGCATTGCGGGCCAAATGACACCGGCGGCGCAATCAAACTGCGCGCGCATCATCATTCGCCTCTTCGCCTATGGGCTGCGTGCTGGGTGGCAGGTTGGCGACGCTGGATGAAACGGGGCTAGCCGCTTGGGGCAAGGTTTGATTGGAGGTCAAGAGTGGTCCAACGGCTCCCTAAGGCTTGGGCCAATTTGCGCGCTCGCCGGGGCGTGTGTGTGTACGTGCGGTGATATGTCCACGGGTCAGGGGGCGCGCCGTCGACGATGCCATCGGCCCTCCCCTGCAAGCCTCCTCGGCCTCGAGTCTGTCGCTTCCGAGTCCTTTCCTCCCCTCCCTTCTCCTCCTCTCTTCTCTCTTGCATCTGCATGTCTTGGAGCGTCTCAGCGTGAATACATTTCACCCGTCCCTCCCTCGTCACTCTTTTGATCCCCCTCGCGCACCACAGTCACTCATTTATTCCCTTTCTTGCTGGACAATCAGAGCAACGGCAGCGCCGTCAGTCATCCACCGCCCACAACAAACAAACGATCAACACAACCACACCACGTCTTTTCGCGTCCCGAACGTCGTCCCACGATCCGCTGTGCGTAGATAACACGATCCGCTCGAGTCCCTTGCCCGTCCACGCACGCACACACACACGTACCCCGTACAACACACGCGTTTTTCCAAACACAACCTACCGCAAACCGCCAAGATGCTGTTCACCGACCTCTCTATCGCCGCGCTCCTCGCCTCGACGGCCGCCGCCGTGCCTTTCGCCGGCCACGACCACTCCCACCGTCACTTGCACCGCAAGCAGAGCAACGGCAACACGTTCAACATCAACGTCGTCAACAGCTGCTCGAGCTCGCGCTCCGTCGGCCTCTTCCAGATCACCAGCGCCTTCCAGATGCTGTCCATGTCGACGCCCGTCACCCTGCAGCCCGGCGAGAACACGACCGTCGCCGCGCCCTACCAGCTCGCCGGCATGCGCCTGTCCGGCACCGCCGACCAGGGCACCGCCGCCCAGTGGCTGCCCCAGGCTCTGTTCGAGTTCGGGTACAGCGCGTGGGGCAGCGTCGAGGGCACCGCCTACGACCTCAGCTTGATGACCGGCACCACCGACGGCATGTCCGTCGTGCCCGCCAACTCCAACTGCGAGTCCAAGTCCTGCTCCTCGCCCCTCGACTGCCCCGTCTCGCAGGCCTGGACCAACCCCAACCAGGACGCCATTGGCAGCCCGGCCGACACGACTTGCTACTACGGCCTCACCGACTTTGACGTCGTCTTCTGCCCGTCGTCGTCGTCTTCTTATTAAGCAATTGGAGAGGGGGAGGAGAGAGAGAGGGTCATGAGCTGTTTGGAGATTTCGGTTCTTGTTTTTGGATCCTCATTCTTTTGATTGTTTGTGTCAACACATCTTTATAGGTTTTGAGATTTTTGGAATCAAGTCATCTCAAGTGCAGTACGGTCTTTCCACACTACTATTGCTCAAAGAGATATGACGAAAGGGTGACTTAGCTTCACACTCCATGACTGGATGCTGAATATGAGTGGGCTTGGGCTCGCCCCGACCGGCCTGTAAGGCTGCACAAGTCAGTCAAGCAGTCACCATCTTCGTCCACCGCCGCCCACGTCAGCTGCGTCGCTGGCACAGCCCAGTCCGAGACCTGCTAGCTGGCGGCACTGACGAAACGCCGCAGATGAAACGCGTGACAAGCATGAAACGCTTCCAGTTCCAGCAGCGCAAGGTGCATACTCGGATCCAGACGACAGGTCGCAAAGTGATGCAAGGCGAGAATGCGAGAGGCTGGTCAGGCAAGCGAGTGTCGTCGTAGCAAGGTGCGTCGCACAGCTCTCGAGCAGTGGTACGGGCCGGGGGGTTTGTACGAGTGTGGAACGGTAGCATGCAGTGGCACGCTGGCTGCACGTGTGTGGCTTATGCCAAACGCGGCGGCAGTCATGCAGCTGGCTTCGCCACCAGCCTCGTCGGTTTGACTGTGACGGCATCGTGCTTGGGAATGCTCTGTACGCGGCTCGTATGGTAGCGGACAGGAAGAGAAGGTGTATCCTGACAGTTGAGCCAGGTCGTCCCTGCCTTACTACAGCTCTCGATCTGGAAAGGCGGATGCACGCGTGGCGACCAATCGCAGCTGCCCTCAAGTGACGCCATCTCGTGATATTCGCAAAAGTTCACATTCTTCAGGCCTTCCCTTCTACACCGCACCCTTCAACACTCTTGGTATGGACAACACGAAATGCTCGTTTCAGAGCCTTCCCGTGGAGCTTCGTCTACTCATCTACTCCTTTGCGCTCGTGGAATCCCCGGTCATCACCATCGGCACCGCGGAGCTGGTGGGATCGCATTCCGACATTGTGCATAGGCTGTACGTCGCGTGCCCTCTTGCATTTGCACCGCGCCTCACACCGAGACCGAGACTGACGGAAACCAGATACGCCGACCACCGCAAGCCCTTCCCCGGCATACCGCACCACCACGAACCCGTCATCGAAGCAGCCTACGACCCCCACCTCCTCTCCCTCACCAACCCAGCAATCGTCCACCTTCCCCCAGCCCTTACCAATCCACCCTCCCACCCCCGACTCCCCATAATCCCCGCAACAACCCTCTCGAGCCTCCTCCTCGTAAACAAACAAACCCACTCCGAACTCACCCACCACCTCTCCACCACCACAAACCACCCCAACCTGCACACCTCCCTCTTCCTCTCCTTCCCCGCCGGCCTGCACGTCCTCACCACCCTCGCCCCCACCCTCGTCCGCCAAACCCGCAGCATCCACCTCGCGGGCATCTACACATCAGGCAACTTCGACGCCTCCCACGCCGTCTGTCTGCCCCTCAGCCAGCGCCTGCCCCCAGCCCCATACGCGCAAAAACACAACGCGAACTTCACGCCCAACACCGCCGCCGAGCTGGGCGCGCTCATAACCTCCCTCTTCGGGCCGGAGCCGCGGTACCCCGGCGTTGCGAAATTGGAACTCAGAATCTACTACCCTGGTTCCAGCAGTTACAACGCCGTGTGGGGCGACGACGATAGTCCGACGTGCGTAGCGCTGCGCAGCATCTTCGCCGGCGAAGTGGGGATTGAAATCTGGCGGGGGCAGAGAGGGACAGGCGTATATCTCAGTGCGTCGCGGATGCCTGTGGAGGGGACGGGCGAGGCGCAGCCGAAGAAGCGACATGTGAGTACGGTGTGGAGGAGACTGGAGGAGGGGCGGAGAGGGGAGCCGGCGTGTGGGAGTTGGGTCGTCGATCCCAAGTGGCCCGAGTGGGAGGCGAGGCACCGTTTTGACGGCGGCGCGGGCGCGGTGGTAAGCGGTGAGGTCTCTGCTGTTGCTGGGGCTTAGAGAATGCTCGCTGGATGGAGAGCTGGAGATGTGCGACGACCTGAATACTCTTTCTTGAGGATTAATGACGATAATGACGTTGCATGTTCCACCTGCATCCTATCTACCCAGACCTACCCCATGTCTCTCATGTCCTTCTCCTTTATTGCACAGTAGTCGATAGGTACGGATGGCGAGAAGTAGTACAGAAGGGAGAATTCAACAGTCTACGATTGCAAAGAGTATGTCGATACGCCGCTCTCGCACCGAAGGCAACACCGGTAGGTAGCTATGGCTATAGATGTCTCCGCGAAACGTGCACCTTTCGATTCAAGATCGAGTCATTATCGCACGCTCACAGAGGGAGAGCTCCATTCAAGGAAGCAATCCATTACCAAATCCGCCACGCGCCTTCCCCCGTCCTCCCTCATTCTCGTGCCGCCTCCATCCATCCATCCACTACCCAGGAAAGAAAAGAAGAAAACACAAAAACCCCCAATCAAGAAAAAAGCAACGATCTAGACATGCTCGAACGCCCGCGTCATGTTGATTGAAGATCATGCAAAGCAAGCAAGCCCAAGCATCCAAACGTGTGTTTTCCGTCTTTCCTGCTCGAGATCTCGTCTGCATTTAACAGCAGCCGCCGGCGCTGCCGGATTGCACGCCTTGGCCTTGCCCGACTTGCACGGTGGGCTTGTTGTTGACCGTCGTGTTGCCCATGCGCTCCTTGATTTGGCGCGCCATGGTGAGGAAGGCTTGCTCGACGTTCTGCGCGTTCTTCGCCGACGTCTCGAGGAAGGGGATGCCGAGGGAGTCTGCGAATTCCTGTGTTGGGAGAAGGGGTCATGTCAGCGCCATGGCCTCTTTAAGAGTCGGGGATGTATGGCCTCACCTTCGCCACGGTGTACTCCACCACCTTCTTGTCCGTCATATCGCTCTTGTTGCCCACCAGCAGCTTGTTCACACCCTCGGTGGCGTAGCGGTCAATCTCCTGCAGCCACTGCTTGACGTTGTTGAAGCTGTCCATGTCGGTGACATCGTACACGACGCAGATGCCGTGCGCGCCACGGTAGTAGGAGGATGTGATGGTTCGGAATCGCTCTTGTCCGGCTGTGTCCCACTGTAGCACTTGCGTCAGCCACTGCCCCTCGCTACAAACGCAAGGATGAATGTGGAGGTCGTACAATCTGCAACTTCACCGTCTTGCCATCAAGCTCGATCGTCCTGATTTTCTGTACCAGGCGGCGTCAGTATACCCAGCACTTCCTTCTCTCTTCCAATGTATAGTGGTGGTGCAACGTACGAAGTCGACGCCGATGGTGGAGATGTAGCTCTCGGTGTAGGTGTCATCCGCGAACCGCAGCAGAAGACATGACTTTCCAACGCCGGAGTCACCGATGAGGAGGAGTTTGAAGAGGTAATCGTATCTGCAGGGTGCATTTAAGTCAACTAGACGTCCTCGGTGATGGGATGTGTCGCGATGGACAGCTCGTTGCGGGTCCATTCAAGGCGGCGGTGGTGGTAGTAGTAGAGATAGGAGTACTCTGCGTAAGTTAAGTCTGTCAGTCTACGGTTCACAGCAGGGATAGAGTCCCGACGGCTTCAAGTACTCCTGAAGCGCCGAGAGAAGCCCTTTGACAGGTAGCTTACCACTCTGGATTCATGATGGCGATGGCTGCAGTCCGGTAGGCACTACTCTATCGCTTTGTTTCCGAAGTGTGTCTGGTGCGGCTGGCGGGGGGCACGGCGATGCGAAGAGAAGGACGAGAATCGGAGAATCAGAAAGGAGCAGACAAGTGTGTTTCCCGAGGGACTGGCTTGCGCAACGAGGTTAGGGAATCGGTGGCGGTGATGGGCGTTGAAGGGGGGAGGGCGGATGATGTCTTGGAAGCAGCCTGCACTTGACAACGAACGGGAGCCCCAGCGGCGGTTGCGTTTACCCACTTTTAGACTTTGCGCTAGCGGAGTTTCCACGTCGCCGATCATGTGATGTTGGAAAGATGAGATATCTAGCAGGCCGGAGGTCTGTGAAAAGTACTCACAGTTTAGTACGCCCTCCATGGCCGATGATACGATTGGAAGAGACGTATGCTGCTTCATGTCATGTCGTGATTATATCAGGCTGCGCACACTACGAAACTGGGTCTGCCTCCAGGCGTGACCAGATGACCAGCTCAGGCGTGCAAAGAGAACAAACGAAAACGCTTAAGACGATGCCGTATGACTACCTCACCCTCATCATCTCCAGCCCGGATTGGGAGGCTGTTGGTACTGTTGCTGCCCTCCGTACCCTCCTTGTCCATTCGACTGTCCATACCCGCCTGCATACCCTCCTCCCTGCTGAGAATTGGGCGAGTAGGCCTGATACTGTTGCTGATGCTGTGGATTCGGATGCGAGTCGTGGGGTGGAGGCGGTGGGAAGGATTGTTGTCCGTAACCGGATTGCTGTTGCGCATATTGGCCGGGAGGGGGTGGAGGGAAGGACTGTTGACCGTACTGGTTGGACGCAGAGCCGTAATTCTGCTGTGCCTGCTGTCCGTATGGCGCTCCTGATGCTCCTCCGTACCCGCCTTGCGGGCCAGGGCTTGACTGGTACTGGTTCTGTGAGTATTGGTTGTAGTTGTTTGACTGTGATCCTCCATAGCCTCCTTGCGGCCCTTGCTGTCCTTGTTGTCCGTAGGGCGGATGCTGCTGACCACCATGCTGTCCTTGTCCCGGAGGTTGATAACTTCCACCCTGCGGCGCGAACCCTGAAGGCGTGGAACTGTGCGAGCCCGAAGGCTGATACGCAGTCGGAGGCGCAGTGCCACTGTACGTCCCACCGGCTCCCCCGGAATGCGAGTAGCCGTATTGGTTGCCGCTCGTGTTGTGTGGTTTGCCGCCGCCGAAGAAGCTACCGGCCAGTGAACTCAGACCGCCGCCAAGGCCGCCACTTTGATGTTGGCTTTGGCTCTGCCCTGTTTGCCCGCTCTGGCCGCTGTGAGAGGATGACCCGCCGAGGAACTGCCCAGCGAGGGAGCCAAGGCCCGACGACTGGTGTTGTTGTCCACTTGAGCTCGAAGTGTTATGATTGCCTCCTCCTAAAAAGGACTGGGCCAAGCCTCCGAGTCCAGATTGTTGCTGAGAGCTTCCACTCGATGGGCCGTGGCCGCCTGTTCCAAAGAATTGTTGCGCGAGTCCACCCATGCCGGACTGGCTTTGAGAGGAGTTCGTCTTGCCGCTATGCATGTACATCTTCAAGAGGTCACCCTGTGTAACCCCAGTCAGCGATGTGTCACCCAACGCATGGGATTATATCTTACACCCAAGCTCCGATCCCCCTCTTGCCCATCCATACCCCTCGTCTCTTCAGACCCCGGCGGTGGGTAGGGGCTGTCTTGTGCAGGCGTCGCACCAGGCGTAGGGATCTGGGCCGCCGCTTTCGTCGGAGTCTCCCACGTTGACTCGCCGGTGCTGATTTGCACAAAGTAGTATTTCCTTGATCTTTCAGGTGGATGTTAGATTCACGATCCTCGAGGCAGCAGGTCTCTCATCGTAGGTGGGCACGTACTTGGCATCCCATTGTGCAATCCTGGATTGAACACAGTCAGTACGGAGATGCTCGGAAGTATAGAGAGGAGAGTAACATACCATCCCGGAGGCAGAGAGGGCGGCGCATACTCGGGCCCTGCATCAGGCGAGCCTGGTGGTTCTGCCATCTCGCTTTGACAAGTGTGCAGCAAAGGTAGGGTTTATTGCGATTGACGAGGATGCATCAACGGAGCGCTGGAATGTTTCAGGTGTGCGGCGTCAGAGCAGAGCAGAGAAAGAGAAGAGGAGGGGAGTTGTCGAGAGAGTAAAGGGACCAGCGAAGGGCGAAGGCGGGCAGGGCATGCACACGTGAAGTCATCGCCCGCGGGAAAGCCAACGTGCTCAGATCTACATTTACGCGCACGCGATGCATTGGCAAAGGGCGCCGGACGGTCTGAGCCGTCATCTTGCGGGACTCTAGGTAAGCGTTGAACGAAGGGGCGATGAAGTGTGTGGCTGTGTGCATTGCGCTAGGTCATGGATGACGGCTCACGGGCATGGCAATCCTGCCAGCTTGGCAGGTGATGGAACCGGGGAAGCATAGACTGCGGATGCACTCGACAAAAGAACCTCAAGCATACTCTCTGCAAGTAGTGGCCTATTCTGTGCTGCAATCTCAAAACAACGCTCTCAGTATCCTCCTCCCTCTCCACTGTTGCTCCGTTCGGTGGCAGTCCCAAGTGGGTGCTTTGCAGCGAGTCACAATCTTCACACGCTTCAAGTCATGTTCGCGTCGATGCAGGAGCCTAGTACTCCGCCTCGGCGCCCTCATCACCCTCGGTAGAGTCGGCAGCAACCTCCTCGTAGTCGCGCTCGAGGGCAGCGAGATCCTCGCGAGCCTCCGAGAACTCGCCCTCCTCCATGCCCTCGCCCACGTACCAGTGCACAAAGGCGCGCTTGCTGTACATGAGATCGAACTTGTGAGAGAGCGACGACCACGCCTCGGCAATGGCGGTGGTGTTGGACAGCATGCAGACGGCACGGCTGACCTTGGCCAGATCCCCGTTGGGCACCATCTGCGGTGGCTGGTAGCAGATGCCGATCTTGAAGCCGGTCGGACACCAGTCCACAAACTGAATGGTGCGCTTCGTCTTGAGCGTGGCGACGGCTTGCTGGACGTCGACGGGCACGACATCGCCGCGGTAGAGCAGACAGGTGGCCATGTACTTGCCATTGCGGGGATCGCACTTGACCATCTGGCTGTTGGGCTCGAAGCACTGCATGCTGATCTCCTGCACGCTGTTGGCCTCGTGGGCCGCCTTGGCTGCGGAGACGATGGGGGCGTAGGCGACGAGGGGGAAGTGGATGCGGGGGTAGGGGACGAGGTTGGTCTGGAATTCGTTGAGATCGACGTTGAGCGAGCCATCGAAACGCAGGGAGGCGGTGATGGACGAGACGACCTGGGCGATGAGACGGTTCAGGTTCTCGTAGCCGGGGCGCTCCAGGCCCAAGTTGCGACGGCAGATGTCGTAGATGGCATCGTTGTCGACCATGAAGGAGCAGTCGCTGTGCTCAAGAGTGGTGTGGGTGGTCAGGATGGAGTTGTACGGCTCGACGACCGAGGTGGCGACCTGAGGGGCCGGGTAGACACAGAACTCCAGCTTGCACTTCTTGCCGTAGTCGACGGAGAGACGCTCCATCAACAACGCCCCGAAACCAGAGCCGGTACCACCGCCGAAGCTGTGGAAGACGAGGAAGCCTTGGAGGCCCGAGCAGTTGTCCGCCACACGCCTGACCTTGTCCAGCACCTGGTCAATGAGCTCCTTGCCGACGGTGTAGTGGCCGCGGGCGTAGTTGTTGGAGGCGTCCTCCTTGCCAGTGATCATCAACTCGGGGTGGAAGAGGCTGCGGTAGGGGCCGGTGCGGACTTCGTCGACCACGTTGGGCTCGAGATCGCAGTAGATGGTGCGGGGAACGTATTTGCCATTGCCTACGCGTACGTTAGTAGTCATGTTCATGTCCAATCACGCAAGTATCACGCATACCGGTCTCGGAGAAGAAGGTGGAGAATCCGTGGTCATCATTGTTGGCCTTGCGCTCCTCGGTGAGGAAACCGTCGGGCTACATGGGATGTCAGTGTGCTTCCTCATCTCTTGTCGACCATTGGTGCTCACCTGAATGCCGTGCTCGAGGCAGTAGAGCTGTAGTTGTTCCAATGTCAGTATATGTCTCTTCGAGGCCCCTAGGCACCCAATTTCGTCCGTGCTCGACGGCCAAATCTTCAATTTTCCCTCCAAAGATGGGTTGACTGACCTCCCAGCAGCTGTTGGCGATCTGGCAGCCGGCCTGGCCGACTAAAACGCGTCGGTTGTCAGCATATCTTCAATTGTCTCCGTGTCCCCCTATCAGGCGGTCAAGGCGCGTGGGGCCGGGAAGGGGGTAAACACACCGTTCAAACTGATGACTTCGCGCATCTTGACGGGTTGGAGAGGTGGAAAGGGTGGTGTGCGTCTTCGGAGACGGGTGAGAGGGAGGTGGGAGGTGGGAGGATGCTGTGATGCACGACAGCAGGGCGACGCGGTGTGTTTGGTGTCCGAAGTGCTGGTGGGGAAGGTGTTTTGTTGTGCGGTACTTGTCACGCTTTAGACTTTCGCCGGGCTGACCAGGGCTTGGCGTGTCTCCAGCCAATCAACGCCCGCCATTCATGTGCAGGTAGGCTGCTTCGAATGCACGAGGCAGATGTCGATCATACATGGCCGGACAGATATCTACCCACAGTGCGAACGACCTGCTCTACAATGTAGCTCGCGCTCGACGATGAACGAGTCTGGCGACAAGTGTGTCCGATCACGTGTGCTGTTGCTCCTCCCTCTTCCGCCATGACCCTCCTGACCGCTTTGTGCACACTGTTTGCCCTCCTGGTCACCGCAGCAAACGGGAACACCGAGAAGGTCATCTTCCTCGCACCAGCGTCATCCCAACACTCCTTCCCAATTTCGTCGTCACTACTTGAGAGCTTTGACCCGAACGTACTTTCGCCAAACCGAAGCACTGCGAGAAAAGCGCTGCCTGTTGCCTTCCCAACTACCGACACGCCGCGAGGCCTCGAGTATTGGTATCTTCTCCGACACCTCAACGAGGCCCAGAGATACGAAGTCAGAGTGTGCTGGGTAGCGAGCCAGCCGACGGAGTTTTGGCTAGACGTGTTCGAGTTGAGCAACCTCCCACCATCGTCTCCGGCTGCTCTGGAATTCAAACGACTGCTGGAGGACGCCTCAGCAAGCAGTACGCGTGAGACCAGCTCGGAGAGTGTCCTGGCGCTCCGTGTCCAAGCAGCTGCGGACTTCTATACCAGCAATCAGACGCTGATGCAATATCCGCCGCCCGTTAACCTGGACATCATTCTTGACCCTTACTTTGCCAACGTCTTTCCTACATCGCTTGGACCGACAGCAGTCTACATCACGGTCCTCGCCATCCTTGGGTGGTACATCTCCGACTGGATCTGGTCCCATCTGCTCTCAACTCATGCTTTGCAAAAGCTCCACACGGAATGAATCAGACATCCCCATCAAGCATGACGGAGACCACACCTACTCCCCCAACCGACGGACCATCGATTGCCCCACCACCCAATGGGTCGACAACTTCGCAGCCGCCTCGACACCCCTTCTACACGCTCCCAGCAGAGCTCATCTTCGACATCATCGATCTCTTACCCCCAGATGCCTTTATCAACTTCGCCTTCGCCAACTACCCCTTCCTCCACACGCACGGCCTCGTCCCGGCATTGTCACAGCCGCGGGTGAACTACATCACGAATCAAACGCAGATATCGTCGATGTTCCCGCTCCTACGCCTGCCCGCGGAGATTCTGTTACACATCCTGCATAATCTGAAGCCCATTGACATCATGAGATTTGTCGTGGCGAATTACCAGGACCTGTCGAGGCAAGGCATTGCGCCGCCTCTGACGGCAGAGATGGTGAAGCAGTTGCAAGGCGCTGTTCAATCTGACTGGGCTCCGGGATGATCTCAATATGAGACGTGGCAGACCAGAATGCGGGGCGCGCAACGAAAGAAATCACAAACACCGCCAGACTTGCCTTGACGGTTCCTCGTAACGGTCATGAAAAGTAGACTAGCTACGAGCATTCATCACGAATTAGAATACATTATCGGCTCGTAGCCCAGATCGTAATCTTGGACAGCTTCAGTGGTGCTGTTCACCATGAAGATCTATAACCTGTGCAGCTTCCTCAAGTGGGTATAACTTTGCGCTGCCTCTCCAACGCCCTTCACGCTCGAGCAGCATTCTGCCTCAGCGTCCCAATAACCTCGTCCACTGCATCCATATCCCCTGCATCTAGCCTTGAGCTCCCACCCCACACGCTCTTGGGCAGGACCCGCATCAGCTCATCCAACCCGGGCTGGAAATTCCTCACCTCACTACTCAACGCCGTGGTCGCCTTCTTTCTCACACTTTGTTCGGGATCCTCCGTCGCCAACCCCACAAGTTTCTCCATCACGTTCAAACCGAGCAGCTTCTCTTGACACTTGACGTTGTTCTGCACCGCCGAGCTGATACACCACGCCGCCATCCTCCTCATCTGCGCCTCCGGATTGTCGAGCTGCTGGATCAACGGCGGCCATAAGCCTAGACTGTCGAGGTTGTTCGCGTTGTCGATTCCTTCTATGAGTTGTTCGAAATTGTCCCATGCGATCAGTTTGTTCTCGAGGTCGACGATGTCTAACGGCGCGACTATGGCTGTCATTGCACCTTTCATGCGGTCTGCGTCGGAAGGACCGCCGAGGAGTTCTGCTAGGGCGTTCGCATCGAGGCCGCGATTAGGATCTCGCCGTTGATTTGCGGTTTGGGCTGCGGTGTCGGGGTTGGCGTCGGGGTTGGAGTGTTCGATGCCCCATTGTAGGAGCTGGTTGAGGGAGCCTTGGTCTGCCATGCCCGATGTGGGTGTGGTGGGTAATCAATAGCTCGTGGAAGGACGTCAGAGGTTCAATGAAGAGTTTCAACTGCAGGGATAGCGCGGAGAATGAAAAGAGTCGAGCGGATGACTTGGTAGAAAATGTACTTCACTTTCTTCAACGTGCCTTCCGAAACGAGCAGGCTGCTGTTCGAGAAAGCGCTAGTCCTTTCTCGGCGTTTCCGTCGGTTTCGGAGGCGGTTTGCCTACGAGTAAGGCGGCCGTCCCGCGCAATGGGCCTCGAAATATGCTCACTGAAAACAGAGGTGGGTTCTGCTCGGTTGGCAGAAGTGGAAGATTTGAGGGTGGCGAGCAGCGTCAAGAGAAAGAGGAATGCTGGTCGAGAGTGGCCTCGATAGTGCAGCACACAGGGCACCCCGCCATGTGCCCCACCTGGCTCGTGCGTAATCGTGTTATCGGCCCTCGCCAGCCGTTGTCCACTGGCAGAGCATCTTTCCAACGGCACAGTCTGGAATGGGACATCGCCAGGGCGTCTCCTCGGCCAGCCTCCACAGAGAAAAGAGGTCGGTCAGGTGGCTGGCAGGTTATGATGGGGTTGCATGACGGTGGAGTATTCGCGATTGCCTAAACGGCTTACGTGTCGAGGAACGTGGGTGGCGGTGTCTAGGGCTTTGCTGCGGCGGGCCATGGTGGAAGTGCTTGCGTGGATGCCATAAGCATGAGTAAAAAGGGCGAGGAAAAATAGGCTACTGCAATCATTCACCTTGCTCCTCGTCCACGTCCACTCTGTTTCCTTCTTCATCCACTTCGTCTTGCTTCGACAACTGCATTCAGGTCATTAGATTCCACCGACCGGCCGGCTACTCTCGACTTTGCGCGCAGCGAGGCGGGGCTCCCAAACCGGACTAGCGTGCTTTCCGTAAGTTTAGCCTCCGTCGCTTCACCCACAAAACCACCACCCTGCCAGAAACGTTGACCTCTCCCTCACCGACAGGCTACTCCTTGACCAACTCCCTTCACCTTCTTGCCATCTCCCAGCGTTTCTGCTGCCACTCCATCAAGTCTTTGAATCCATTTGAAGACCCCACGACCCTCCCATCCCACCTTTCGACCCCGCTCTAATTTCGACACCATGGAAGGTAAGCGCTGAGGAATTTTGATAGTGGCGTGATGGAAGCTGGCGCAGCGGAGGGGTGATGGACGACCGCATAGCATCAACTTGCTGACTTGACTGGTGGCTACAGAAGAAGTCGCGGCCTTGGTCATTGACAATGGGTAAGCTGAACCCCTCTTACCACATGCCCCTCGTGCAGCCCCTCGTTTGGCGTGGCGCAAGCTGTCCATCGCCAGACGCACGCATGCTTGAGGCTGTGTGGGCGACGATGATCCCTTTGCTGACACCGATGATAGCTCCGGTATGTGCAAGGCCGGTTTCGCCGGTGATGATGCGCCCCGAGCGGTGTTCCGTAAGTTCCCTCCCTCTCTACTCACCCGCTTTCAAGCCCCGGCTGACCACGGCAACAGCTTCCATCGTCGGCCGACCCCGTCATCATGGGTAATGCAACCCTCCTCCACCAGCAAGAGACAGAATGACTGACCGCAGCGCAGTATCATGATCGGTATGGGTCAAAAGGACTCCTACGTCGGTGACGAGGCACAGAGCAAGCGTGGTATCCTGACCCTCAGGTACCCCATCGAGCACGGTGTTGTGACCAACTGGGACGACATGGAGAAGATCTGGCATCACACCTTCTACAACGAGCTTCGTGTCGCCCCCGAGGAGCACCCCGTCCTCCTCACCGAGGCTCCCATCAACCCCAAGTCCAACCGTGAAAAGATGACGCAGATTGTGTTCGAGACCTTCAACGCCCCCGCCTTCTACGTCTCCATCCAGGCCGTCCTCTCCCTGTACGCCTCCGGTCGTACCACCGGTATCGTGCTCGACTCCGGCGATGGTGTCACCCACGTCGTCCCCATCTACGAGGGTTTCGCCCTGCCCCACGCCATCTCTCGTGTCGACATGGCCGGCCGTGACTTGACCGACTACCTCATGAAGATCCTCGCCGAGCGCGGCTACACCTTCTCCACCACCGCCGAGCGCGAAATCGTGCGTGACATCAAGGAGAAGCTCTGCTACGTCGCCCTCGACTTCGAGCAGGAGATCCAGACGGCCAGCCAGAGCTCCTCGCTCGAGAAGTCCTACGAGCTTCCCGACGGCCAGGTCATCACCATCGGCAACGAGCGCTTCCGCGCCCCCGAGGCCCTCTTCCAGCCCTCGGTCCTCGGTCTCGAATCCGGCGGCATCCACGTCACCACCTTCAACTCCATCATGAAGTGTGATGTCGATGTCCGTAAGGATCTCTACGGCAACATTGTCATGGTGAGTGTATATCGGTACCGAGCGGCTATTCTCGAGCTAACGTAGTATTCCCAGTCCGGCGGTACCACCATGTACCCAGGTATCTCCGACCGCATGCAGAAGGAAATCACCGCGCTTGCCCCGTCCAGCATGAAGGTCAAGATCATTGCTCCCCCCGAGCGCAAGTACTCTGTGTGGATCGGTGGCTCCATTCTCGCCTCCCTCTCGACCTTCCAGCAGATGTGGATCTCCAAGCAGGAGTACGACGAGAGCGGACCGTCTATTGTGCACAGGAAGTGCTTCTAAGCGCCTCGTCGCCCGCAGTGCGTCTAGGCTCTTGCGTGCCGTCCTGGTCCACAGAATCGGCAATGCGGCTGTGAAACCGGGGAGGAGCGTCTTAAGAGTTATTCATGGAACAATGAGAAGAGAGTGTGTGTTTGCGTGTCGAGTGTTAGAGCGGTGGTACTATGCGAGCAGTTGTGGGTGCGCGGCCCAAGCGTGTGGTTCTTTGGCGGGCTTCGTTCGGCCTCTGCTCTGCTGTGGTCGGCGATGGTTGTTCTTTGACTACTTTCCTGCATCTGCTACTAGATCACTGTCTCATGGCGAGACGATGAAAATGGATTGATTTGCATGTTGTCTCTGGCCTTGTTTTGAACTGTCCTGGAACGTGAAGCTCCGCTTTTGCAGGTCAGCAAGTTGGCTTCTGCATTTGCTTGCCACCTGTTGTCCAACCACGTCTAATCTTCATTCATTTGCGAGCCATTCTCCAGGCTTTGGCTGCTAGGGAGGCTGCTGCCTTTCCATGGCCCTCAAAATGTGAGCTGCGCGTTGATCAACGTGAGGCATGACGTAGTGTCGAAGCTGTCTCGACGACCCTTCGAGTGGCAAAGTCAGGTATCTATACCGAAGCTTCCACAAAGGCAAGCACTGTTGCCCTTTTGATGATTAGATCCTTTTCGTATCCTTAAAATCACACTGGCTGTGAATAGACTTGCTCGCCTAAGCCTCTTCCAGCAGCACCTGTCAACACTCAGTCCAACCCCACCCGCCACAATGGCAGCAACCGACGGCAAGAAGAAGCACATTGTGATAATCGGCGGGGGCATCATCGGCTGTACATCCGCCTACTTCCTCTCGCGCCACCCCTCCTTCGATCCCCAAAACCACACAATCACCCTCCTCGAAGCGACGAAGATTGCCGGCGGCGCCTCGGGCAAGGCAGGCGGTCTTCTCGCTCTTTGGGCTTACCCTTCCAGCCTTGTCCCGCTGAGCTACAAACTGCACAAGCAATTGGCGGACGAGCATGGCGGCGAGGAGCGCTGGGGATATCGGGCGTTGCACGTGGGGCAAATAAGTTGCAAGGGACGACGGTTGGAGGAGCCGAGTAAGAGTAGTGTCAAGGGGAAAGATGGGGACATGGACGGGGAGAATGGTGGGGGTGGAGAGGCGAGAGTGAGTTTGCAGAAGAGGACTAAGGAGGCGATGGGCAAGTTGAAGGCTGCTGGTATGCCTGCCGACTTGGACTGGGTGGATCCCGATTGCAATCCGTATTATGATGAGATGGGCGATCCTAGTACGACGGCGCAGGTCCATCCGTTTCAATTTACGACTGCCATGGCGGAGCTTGCGAAGGAGAAGGGCGTGGACGTTCGGATTGGTGCGAGCGTGAGCGCAATCAACTACTCTGCCAACGGTGACAGCGTCGAGAGCGTGACATACGAAGACAAGCACAACGGAAACCAGACGAAAACCATCCCGGCCACCGACGTGATCATCTCCGCCGGCCCGTGGACTCGCTCCATCTACCCTCAAGCCCCGATTGCCGCCCTGCGAGCACACTCCGTCACCATCAAACCCTCGCGCCCCATCAGCGCCTACGCCCTCTTCACCCAAATCAAACTCCCCGCCGGTTTCGGGCAGAAAGAAAGCGGCAAGCTCTCGCGCGCCCTCCGTGGCGAAGAAATCGTCACGCCGGAAATCTACGCCCGCCCGAAGAACGAAGTGTACGCTTGTGGCGAAGGTGATCATCTCGTCCCGCTCCCGAAATCTACGGATCTAGTCGAAGTGGACGAGAAGCGGTGTCAGGAAGTCGTGGACTATGTGTCGGCCATATCGGACGAATTGCGTGATGGCGAGGTCACGGCGCGACAGGCGTGTTATTTGCCTAATAACACGGCGGGTACTGGATCACCGCTGGTGGGACATGCGGGAACGAAGGGGTTGTATATTGCTGCTGGGCATACGTGCTGGGGCATTCAGAATGCGCCGGGCACGGGGCTGTTGATGAGTGAGTTTGTGTTTGACGGGGAGGCGAAGAGTTCGAAGGCGAAAGGGTTGGATCCAAGGAATGTGATGTGATGTAGACGTTAGAATGATCAATTGAATGTTGTAATGTGATTGCAGTCCTCACGTGAAGTGTTATGCATTTTCGTGCCTGAGGCATCGAGACTTCCCTCGCCGCACCTCAGTCGCGGCGCGCCATACGGACAGCCACATGTTTGCCAGGGGCCATCGCATCGCTCTGCATCCCGGGGAACGGACACTTCGACGCGTAGCGGATGGCAGAAACCGCGATAGGCCCAGCGGGAACGGATCTGGCTCCATGCACGTGATGCGACCGGGTGCTTTCCACAAACATCCCAACCTGACCTGAGGACAACCGGCCATCCACCTCCGGACCCGGTCCGCCTTCATGCGCATTGGCGCGTGTGCAACCAGCCGCGAGATTTCACAACACTGGGCTCACATCGCCCCGTGCTAGCCACTGAGTCTCACACCACTCGACTCATCATCCGCCTCAACCTCCGCGCGCAACTCCCCGCTCATGTTTGCTCCTACACCCAGACATGCTCTCCCTGCACCACGCGCCTGGCTTCCCATCTCGGTTCCCTTCCAACCAACCGCTTCCCCGTTCAGCACCGTCGCTGAGCTGTCATGACTGAGGACGCGAGCAGCCACAAGAGAGCCATTACTACCGCATGTTATATCCACCACCGCAACAAACGCCGCTTTCATCCCCGCTACCTCCGCCGCAACCTCCACCACATCCTGGACGCCCATCAATCCCTCTTGCAGCAGCAGCATCATCAGCAGCCTCCTCCGCTTGGCCCCGCACTCTCCCATGAGGACATGGTTGCGAACGAAAAGCGCGACTGGGGCTGGGACTTTCCTACCACCGCCATGCTCGAGGAGTACATGAACGGCAACAAGCCCGTCTTGCACCTGCACTCTTTGCAGATTCGACGCCCCGACTCCGCGGCGAGAATCGAGAGTCCAAGACGAGAGCGCGTTGGCCATGCAAGCGAGTGCGAATGGCTGCCCGATCCGAAAGTGGATGCCATGTGGCCTTGCACCGTCGGCATCACGGTGTCCGTCCCGCGTGATAATCAGTATGCCAAGAAGCAACTCCACCACGAATACCTCTCGGCCACTATCTTGCGAAAAGGACGAGATGGTGCTTCCGATCCTTACTTCGATGTCCGCCTCGACAAGCCTTTCTATTTCAAAGTCGACAAGCTGTTCCTCGTCACCGACTCGGGCAGCAATGGCGCACGATCGTGGAAGCGCACCATTACCGCGCCCTACCACCTCGACATCTCCATTCAATGCCAGGATCTCGACGACAATGCCGATTTCTTGAGCGTACTGGAAAGCAGAGATATCTCGGCCTACCAGAACATGCCCGTCAGCGAAGGCATCATCCGCGCCGTTTGGGAACAAATCCCGACTTGTCCACCGGACGGCCACCTCCTCCCACTTAGAAGGTCGAGAGGGCATAGCTTGCTGAAGCTCGACTACCAGCTCGAGGCTGCAATGGGCTGGATCAGCCGGAGAGAGTATGCGCTCAAGGCGTACAACAAATGCTACAACGCCAAACAGCAAGCAAGCCGGCAGCTCCTCACCCCCGGCGCGTCAGACGACATGGATAAGAGCACCACCAAGCAGCGCAACATCATCTGGCAATTCCGCGATGCTTTCGTAACAAGACGCCTCACCCTCGACACCCTCACCTGCGCTCTATGCCAAGACGGCCGAACATTCACCTGCTTCGGCTACCTCATGTTGCATTGCAAGCGCGACCACGACCACTTTGACATCCACACCGACAACCCCCAAGACTTACAAGCGCACAGCGCAACCATCACCCTTAGCGCCGCGCCTCCCGTCCGCGAACCGCTAGACGCCGAAGAAGACAAAGAAATCGAATGGGTCGCGCCCGGCCGACCCTTCGACCTCTCCGCCTACCTCCGAGGCAAAGACACCTGGACGCGCGAAGGGCACGCCACCAGCACCAAAAGCAAGCGCAGCGGCGCCACTCGCCCCCCAAAATCACACCCGCAATCCGCAACATCAGCACTCCCCGCCTCCCCAGGCGCCTCGCGCAAACGCCCCGCTCTGAACGAAGTCCCCGACTTACCGCAGCACATCGCGAAAAAGCACCGCGTCCCCACCGTCCCTGGCGTGACCTTCTACCACACCACCAGCAAGCAGCAAATCGCGCACGGCTCGTACGTGTCTGAAAGCGACGACGAAATCGACGAGAGCTGGCTCGCGCAGAGCCAGGATATCGCGCTGGATAGTCTGGGCATTGATGGCGTGGGGAAAGCCTTCACGCGCGCATTCAATGTGCACCTGGGCGAGGAGCTGTGCAGTCATTCTTCCCTGCTGACGCGCGATGCATTGGTGAGGTTCGCGAGGAGGTGCAAAGCGGAGTGGAGGCATTTGTTTAAAGACAAGCTAGAGCAGTTGAGGCGCGTGGGAGTCATCGGGTCGGAAGTGGTGGAATTCTGCCTGAACATTGCTGGAGGAGAAGAGCAGTTAGGAGCAGACGACACCGCCCCCAGTGCAAACCGAACTGCACGCCACGACGCAACAGCAACGGCAGCAGTCGCCAGCACAACCGCGAACCCTCATCCCGCAGCCCGGCACGAAGGGGGGACGAAGAAGAAGAAGAAGGACTCGGCGAAAGGCAGTCCGGAATCACTGTCGCCTGTTCATGCCGCCTCGACGCAACATCCTACATCCAAAGGCGTCTGCTCGTGCGGCCAGGCCGCCGGCGAACAGCGCGGTTGCATCGCGTGTGCTGACCCCGTAAGCACTCTATCCCTCTTCCTGCCCCGTCTCGTTACCTGTCCCAAGCTGACTATGAGAGTTACAGCGATGCATGCGACGAGACTTCCATCTTGCGTGTGTAGGGTTAGACCGGCGGGTGCCGGGTTGGCGGTGCGCGGTTTGCGCTTCTTGACATACTTGAGCATGTGGCGAGGTAGATAGGGTAATTGGCACTGTTGGAGAACTCCATGGGAAGAAGACAGGGTAGCAGGCATGTACCCTTTACGATAAGGTAGTGTAAGATTCAAAGCAAGTAAATCGCCCGAGTGTCCTCGAATGGGGGAGAGGGATAAGAACGAGAGGACCAAATAGCACTTCTTCAAACCACCTTGCATGATCTCGTAGACAGGGTATATCCAATAATAAGCAAGCAAACTCCCAAGCCCCCAATCGTCACCATCATCTCCCAAGTCAGTCATGTAAGAAGTTCGTAAAACATGTTCCTGTTCCTTCGTGTGACCAGGCCCAGCCTGTATTCATATTTCCTTTTCCAAGAAAAATGCCCAAAACCATGAGAGAGAAAATGCGCCAATCCCCCATCTTCATCCCTCTCCAGTGTTCCGTTTCATCGCTATGCAGCATATGCAAAATTCGTAATCCAGTGTTCCTTCATTGATCGTTCCGCATCATCCCTCGCTCGTCAAAGTCGTGTGCCCTCATCGCCCAAACCTGCCTCCATCAGTCGAAATCTCACTCCCCTTCCTACTCCCCGGCGCAGCGCCCTCGACCGCATCCCCATTCACACTCTGCAAAGCGGAGCTCTGCGGGCTCTGCGTGGCCGACGTAAGAGGCGGCGGCGTGGTATTGGTGGAGCCGTAGTTGCTCGCGAACTGGGAAGGCGGGAGGGGCGGTGGCGGCTGGTAAGCGGCGAAATGAGGGGGAGGCCCGCCGCCGCCGCCTAGACGGAGGTCGGAGAAGCGGTGGGATTTCTTCTCGATGGCGAGCATTTGCTTGCCGCAGCCTGTGCGCCTGGCTTGTTGCACGGCGGGGTTCAGGAGGTCGAGGAAGTGGGCGTAGTCTTCCATGCAGAGCGTTTCGAGGAGTTTTTCTGGTGAGATTTTTGTGTTAGCGGAATGATCGGAAATCGGAGACAAGACGACTTACGGATCACGTAGTTTCCGAAATTATCCTTGATCAAGCCGACGATCAAACCCTCGCCTTCGCATCTCATGATATCGTCGTTCGCAAGCGTGTAGATTACGCGTCGCCTCCACTCGTCGTCGGACTTTTCCAGGCACTTCTCAACCACATTGCTCGCGAATTTGTGTCTGCTGTACGACTCCAGATTCCCGGCGACGATGTTGAGGACGTGGCGCTTCGCTTCGCCATCGTCATGCTCCACCACATGCTGAACGACGTAATTGCCGTATTGATCCGAGATCATGCCTTGAATGCCGCCCATCAGCTCGGCCATGATCATGGCTTTGGGCTGTGGCTCGCAGCGCTCCAGACAGCGCTGGATGACGCGGCAGCCGTATGGGTGGATGCTGAGATGCTGCACCTGTCCCACAAAGGCCTTGATGATGAAGTCGATCGTGTTGGCTGGACATCTTTCAATGGCCTTTTGAATGACGTGATTCCCGTTCTGATCTTTCACGCATCTCATCACGTGTCCATCAAGCTCACGCACGAGTTGTGCTTGCTGGTCGACCAGAACATGGTCCAGGGCCTTTTGCACCACCCGACACCCATACATCTGCATGCTCAGGTTCAAAACTTGTCCCTTCATTTTATTCGCAAGGGCCCTTTTGTGCGTCTGATCGCCGTGCTCAAAGAACTTCTGGATGACGTAGTTACCAAAGACATCGGTCATTAGAGGGATGGTGTTTGGCTCAATCTCTTGAAACACCCGTTCTTTCTCGTCCGAGTTCGCCGTCTCCAGCTTGTTCTGGATGAATCTCGACCCGTGTTGATCCCCGCTGAACTCCGCAATGTGGTCATAAATGTCTTTGAGCTCGTACCTAGCTTTGGTGTTGAGCTTGAATTCGTACATGAGGTTGCTGCAAAGATTCGTGCTGGTGCTGGCGCCTTGCGAATTGCCATTCGCGTCGATACCACCACCCATGTTCATAGGCGTGAAGGGCACGAACGAGCCGGGGAAGCCAAGTGGGAGCTGGGGCGCGAATGCATACTGGTTGAACATTGGGTGGTATGCGTTGCGCAGGTGGGACTCGAACAATTGCTGGAAACGCGGGTCGATGTAAGAGCCGTCAGAAAGCGAGGTTGGAGAAGATCCATTACCAGCCATACATGAACTCGCGAGCATAGCCCACTGGCCGGCGGTGCGAGGCGCCGATGAGAGGTCCCAGCTCGAATAACTGTCGTTTCCGTTTGGATGATGCTGCTGCGTTTGCTTGCCCGGCTGACCAGCAGAAAGCTGGAGAAATCTGTTATTGAAGCCCGGATTAGTCCACTCTGCACTGTTCTGAGGCAGTCGGCGAGGTGAAGAGGGATCGGCGCCGATATATCCAGTGCCGGCATCCCTAGCATCGTGAAAGTCAGCCCCAGCTCCGGCAGGGTGGGTGAGATCGTGAGAAGCGTCGCGACCACCTCGGGTGGGATGCATCGAGTTGTTCGAGGGCGGCGTTGCGTAAGTTCTGTTAAAAGACGATGGTGGACGGTTCCCGGAGTTCATAGAAAGCTGGCCAAGTTGGAGAGCGATCTGATCGGCACTCGGCAGCATGGGCGAAGCGTACGAGCTGTTGCCTTGCGACGAGAGCGATGTTGTTCGAGAGTTGCTGTAGCTAGGACGCTGACTCGGACGCGAGTAATCAGGCTTCGTAAACACCGGACGGTCCTCGGATTGGTGTGAACGGGCTTGACTCGCGGTGCGAGAAGCGGCTGCACTCCCGGAAGCCCCAGTGCGCCACGCAAGTTGACCGCTCCGTTCATCAGTGGGAGATGAGTCCCACATACTACCTCTGCCAGAGTCTGGCAGCTTGGGGAGATTAGGGTCCACGGGACGGTCGAACTTGGTGTAGACGGTGGGAGGGTGCTCGCCGATTTTGTTGACCGGCGGGTTAGAGAATGTCGAGCCATAGTTCGTCCTTGCTTGTGCGGCTCCATTCGAGCTCAGATTGATGGCAGGTTGGCGAGATGAGAGGGTAGAGAAGCTTTGTTGGGTGGCAGAGAAGGAAAAGGGGAGGCCAGCGTTGCTCACACTACGCTGTGGAGAGTAATGCGAGTCGGGGTAGGCGGCATGGGAGACGGTGCGGGTAGAGGACAAAGGCGGCATTACACTCCACTTTGATCGGTAGGCGGAGTCATCGGTGGTGGAGGAGTCGACCAACGCGCCCGAGCCGGTTTTGTTGGCGAGTCCATCGCCGTGGTTGTTGGTCGCAGGCAGCGGAGCGTCGCGTGACGCCGGGTTACGAAGCGCTACTCTTGAAGTCAGTCCGCTGCCCAAAGTACCGCTGCCCCAGATGCCTTTGGCGCCCCAGGGAGTAGGATTAGCGGCGACATGAGTGTTGAGAGAAGCGCCCGGGTTGTTGTCGGAGGTGGTGGAAGAACCGACGTTGGAGAACGAGCGTGACTGCGCGTGGGGATCAGTAAGGTGGTGATATCCGTCGCGACGACAGGTGCTTACGCTGTTTGTAAGAGGCCCGCCTTTGGAACCAGCGACAGCGTGAGCCATATGAACAAATTAACCAAGGAGGTCGAAGGAGCAGCAGTGTTGAATCGAGGCTGTTAGAGTATCGACTTTACAAATCAGGCGAGATGCACGGTCGAAGTCCGAGATATGGGAGTAGGGTGGCCGGCACGAGACCAGGCCAGACATCAGTATGACACGCCGGTCCGCGGTTGAATGTGCAAGAGATCGAGGGGCCGAGAAGGAGAGTGTACAGAGAGCCGGCGGAAGAGTCGTGCGGAGTCGAGATATAAGGCTCGAGGAGCGAAGGGGCGAGTAGAAGTAAGGTATGTAACAAGCGGGCGACGGCGCAATTCACGGAGTGCGAGAGGGAGGTGCAATCTCCTGGGGTTGAATGATGCGCGCCGTGGTCCACATGGACGGTGGCGGAAAGCAAGGGATGGATGGGTGGAATGAGGGCAGCTCGTAGCCTGCTGCGCGGAAAGCGTGTGATACCACGCGGGGAATGTACAATAGTCGGTGGGGCAGTGCGGTGAGGGGAGAGTGAAGGAGAAGAAGGAGAGGCAAGAGGAGGAGCAGGGAAGAAGAGAAGGGGAGAGAAGGGAAGTGATGGGTGGTGTTGGCGCACAAGAATGACAAAAGGAGAGCAAACGGAGGGGTGTGGTGGGTTTGGAGGCATGCCATGTCCTCCTCCAGCATTTCGACACGCACCCTGCACCGTGATTTCTGCCGCAGACATGACGAATGGCGCAAGCGATTGGCGTACGGGATGGACAGGGTGCACCCTAGCCCCAACGGTGCGCAACGGCCCAGGGGTGTGGCGCCGAAAGTCTAACGCGCTGCACAACCACGTCGCCTCTCCACTGCCCTCTCCTTGATGCCTGATTGAGCAGAGGCAAGGCTCGTCCCGCGCCACGCTGACCTACAGCAACATCGCTTTTCGTCTCACAGCAGTAATATCTACGCCCGTCGGATATTGACCGCCTCCTGCCGAACCACCACACATCTCCCAGAGTGAGACGAGGCGAGGAGCTCGGCCAGCCATTTGTGGGCGATCCATGCAATATATGGACCCGGCGTTCGTTCATTGTCACACAGCATCCACCCGCCTGAGGCGAACACGAGAATAGCCCTGTGGCCCTTGACTTTGCGAGCTGGTGTATGGTGGAGATTACATCGACTGCACTCGCCCCAAAACCGGTAATGGCGAGCATGACTCTTATTGATGTCAACGTTGCGCAACCATCGCGACCCTTGACTCATCGCCTTCTACGCTCGTGTGCTCATGCTTCATGTTGTCTTGAGTCTCGCCTTCAGGAACAGGATATGCGCGCTTAAGCTCACTGATACTGACACCCGCGCTTAAATGTTCGGGTATGGTAGAATACACGGCTTTCCTTTGGCGCTCACTGGAATGCGTTCTGGAATATTGCAGGTCTACTTGAGCATTCCAGAATTTTATGATCTCCCATCTCCCATCCCAAAGTGTCCAAGACATCGCGGCCCTTGAAACGGTGCATATCGGGTTTTATTATTTAGTTCTAGAAGATCTACGATAAAGTCCAAGTGCTAGAGACACAGCATCTGGAAGCCGATGGGCCAGATGCGGCTAGCGCGCCGGTCGAAAAGCTTAACGGCAGCATCATCACCGACTCAAGAAGACTCATCCCAGCAATTTCTCCCCATTCGCTGCCTTGGTCTTTCGACATACAAATAAATCCTTTCTTCTCTTTCTCGCCTCTCGAATCTACCCTTCAAACACATATCAACAAAGCAACCCACTACTCGCCAACATGGCCGTGCGCGCATCATTCGAGAACAGCAACGAGTGAGTTCATCTGCCTTCTACCATCACTGCCATTGCTGATCACGAGACCCTCCACAGAGTCGGTGTCTTCGCCACCCTCACCAACTCCTACAGCCTCGTCGCAGTCGGCGCCTCAGAGAACTTCTACTCCGTCTTCGAAGCCGAGCTTCAAGATGTCATCCCCATCTGCCGCTGCACCATCGCCGGCACCCGAATCATCGGCCGCTTAACAGCAGGTGCGATCCTCCACCCCTCCCACAAACCCACACACCAAACTGACAATCACCTCGCAAAGGCAACCGAAAAGGCCTGCTAGTCCCCACCTCCACCACCGACCAAGAACTCCAACACCTGCGCAACTCCATCCCCGACAGCGTCAAGATCCAACGGATAGAAGAGCGGCTCTCCGCCCTCGGCAACGTCATCTGCGCCAACGACCACGTCGCCCTCGTACACCCCGACCTCGAGCGCGAAAGCGAGGAAATCATCGCCGACGTCCTCGGCGTCGAGGTCTTCCGGCAGACAATCGCCGACAACGTCCTCACCGGCTCCTACATGGCCCTCTCCAACCAGGGCGGCCTCGTGCACCCCAAAACTTCCATTCAAGATCAGGACGAGCTGTCAAGCTTGCTACAGGTGCCGCTTGTGGCGGGCAGTGTGAACCGGGGCAGTCAGGTGGTGGGCGCGGGCATGGTGGTGAACGATTGGATGGCGGTCACGGGGCTCGATACCACAGCGACGGAGCTGAGTGTGGTGGAATCGGTGTTTAAGCTTGGCGAGGGCATGGGGCCCGATGCGATCAATACGTACAACAAGGAGGCCATGGTGGAGAGCTTCTACTAGCTGGGCCTCTGGCGTTCCTGTCAGTCAGTCTTGTCTTGCGTACAAGCGTGGCGTTGTTGAGAGGATATCAATTGGCGTGTACAAAGCATTAGGGATTTTGTCGAGACGAGCGTGAAAAGACATCGTTCAACAGATATCATATGCCACTTTCGCCTGACCTTGAGATTCTCGGCCTAGACCGCACGTGACAACGACGGTTCGTCGCTGTTCCCGACTTCCGAATCGGGAAAAACAATGCGGCTACCACACCTCACATTCACTATCCTAATGCGGTGGACAGGAACACAACTGGTGTGCAGTGGAGTAATTATATGAATGATCTCTCACCCGCCGTCGGTAAGTCGCACACGCCTCTCCTTTTCTCCCTCTCACAGCATCTGCCCAATGTCATCACCCTCGCGCAGCTCCGCACTCCACGACCTGACCCACGACGAGGACAGTCACCTCGCCATGGGCTCAATAGGTACACCGGCGCCTCGCGTCGTCATCATCGGCGCCGGGATCGTCGGCACCAATGTCGCAGACGAATTGATCCAGCGCGGATGGACGAATATCACCGTCGTGGAGCAGGGGCCTTTGGACCTGCCAGGCGGTTCTACATCGCATGCTCCCGGCCTTGTATTCCAGACCAATCCTTCCAAGACGATGACGACCTTTGCAAAGTACACAGTAGAGAAGTTGTTGGGATTAGATTGCTTCAGCCAGGTACCATTTTCCGAGATTTGCTCACATTCTCGAGACGGATGGTTAATGACGACTGTTTCAGGTCGGTGGTTTGGAAGTCGCAACAACCCCGGAGCGACTTGAGGAGATCAAGCGAAAGCATGGCTACGCACAGTCATGGGGAGTCGAGTCCTCGTTGATCAGCCCGCAAGAATGCGTTGACCTCTACCCGCATTTGAACAAGGACCGAATCCTGGGTGGCTTCCACATCCCGAGCGACGGTCTTGCTCTCGCAGCTCGTGCCACCCAGCTCTTGATCGAACGTACACGACAAGCAGGCGTAACGTATCTCGACCGGACAACAGTCACCGGTATCGAGCGGGCCGGCGGGCGTGTCACGGGTGTAACGACCAATACTCACGGCTCCCTTCCCGCCGACATCGTATGCTCCTGTGCGGGATTCTGGGGCGTGGAAATCGGTGCTATGATTGATTTGAAAGTCCCACTACTCCCGCTTGCCCACCAATACGTCAAGACCTCGCCAGTGCCCGCCTTTGCTGGAAAGAATGCTCAGCCCAACGGTGCACATCTTCCGATCCTTCGCCACCAGGATCAAGATCTCTATTACCGAGAGCATGGAGACAGGGTTGGCATTGGCTACTATGGCCACAAGCCTATGCCCGTCGTTGCATCGACTCTACCTGTACTCGGGCATACCGACGATAAGAACATGCCATCTCGGCTTGACTTTACCGCTGAAGACTTTGCACCTGCATGGGCGGAATCACAGGCTCTTATTCCCGCTTTGAAAGAAGCGGAAATCGAGGACGGTTTCAACGGAATCTTCTCGTTCACCCCAGATGGAGGCACTCTTCTCGGAGAAGCTCCGAATGTCGATGGTTTCTGGGTGGCCGAGGCCGTCTGGGTCACGCACTCCTCCGGCGTCGCGCGTGCTCTCGCCGAGCTCCTTACGACCGCAAGATCATCCGTGGATCTCGCGGACTGTGCCCTCTCTCGATTCGAAGACGTCCAACTCACCCAATCATACATCCACGAAACGTCGAAGCAGAATTTCGTCGAAGTCTACGACATCCTGCACCCGCTCGAGCAGAAGATATCGCCGCGCAACGTGCGTGTCAGCCCATTCTACGCACGCCAGCTCGAGCAAGGCGCCGTCTTTTTGGAGGGCGGGGCATGGGAGCGACCGCACTGGTATGAAAGCAACAAGTCTCTCCTACAAGAGCTTCCCAAAGAGTGGACACCGCCGGCGAGGGATGCCTGGTCCGCCAAATACTGGAGCCCGATTGCGGCCGTCGAAGCGTGGAAGACGCGAACTTCCGTCGCGGTATACGACATGACCCCCTTACGCCGATTCGAGGTCAGCGGACCGGGTGCCGTGGACTTGCTTTCCAGGCTGTGTACGGGCACGGTCTCGCGCAAAGCTGGTGCAGTCACATATACCCTACTTCTCGACGAGGCGGGAGGTGTGAAGAGCGACATCACCGTCGCGCGCGTCGAGGAGGAGCTGTTCCAAACGGGTGTCAACGGTCCCGTCGACCTCGTTTACTTCCAAGCCGAAGCTCGCAAGCAGAGGAAGATCAACCCCGACAAATGGATTCACATTCGCGACATCACCGGCGGAACATGCTGTATCGGTCTCTGGGGCCCATACGCCTACAACGTCGTCAGCGCGCTAAGCTCCGACGACTTCACCAACAAGGGCATCACTTACTTCCGTCTGAAGAAAGCCAGCATCGCCGGAGTACCGGTGGTAGCCATGCGTCTTTCCTACGTCGGCGAGCCCGGCTGGGAAATCTACACCACTGCTGATAATGGTCTGCGGTTGTGGGACGCCATTTGGAAAGCGGGCGAGCAATACGGCATCATCGCCGGTGGCCGCAGCGCGTTCAATTCCCTTCGTCTCGAAAAAGGATACCGCTCCTGGGGCACCGATATGACGACGGAGCACGATCCCTTCGAGGCAGGCGTGGGCTTCGCGGTGAAGTTGGACAAGAAAGGCGGCTTCATCGGCCAGCGCGCGCTAGAAAGCAAGTCGCAGCAGGAGCCGTCTCGACGACTCCGATGCCTTACTATCGACGATGGCAAATCGGTGGTCCTCGGCAAAGAGCCTGTATTCCATAACGGCAAGGCAAAGGGGTACGTCACGAGCGCCGCGTACGGCTATTCGATCGGCAAGCCCATTGCCTACGCCTGGCTGCCTAGCGATGTCGCCGAGGGCGATGCGGTGGAGATTGAATACTTCTCCCGCAGGGTCAAGGCTACGGTCACCCCGGAACCGATCTTTGATCCGAAGATGGATCGATTGAGGGGCGACTTTATCACTTCGCAGTCAAAGCCGGCGGCGCAAGCTAATGGCCATGCTAACGGCGATGGCGTGGTGAAGAAAGTCATCAATAAGGCTGAGGAGGTTGCGGGCAAGATTACTTCCAAGGTGAATGGCACCCCGAATGGCACCGCGAATGGTACCCCGAATGGCATCGCGAACGGCGATGCGCATTACGTTAATGGCTTCTCGACGAAGACGGAACAGTCGCTGCGGAACGGCACGGAGGCTACTGTGACGGCCGGATGAGAGTTACGACTGGATTGACGGTTGAATTCGTTAGCTTTAAGTGACTGCAGCGCATTTCAAGGAGTTTCGTGTGAATCATCTTCTTCCGCCACGTCGTCTGATCCGACACGAGTGCACTGAAATGTGAGAATTGTTCGTGCAGATGTATTAGTAGAACTGCAATTCCCATGCATCTATCTACCATTTAAGCAAACAAGCAGATCCCATCGAATGTAGACACCACGCTCAGAGAAAGATGTCACCTAGCAGCAACAGCAGGAAGCAGGCAAGACCGCAGCAGTAACGCCACAATGCCCTCAACCCCCATCGGCCGCTCAGCAATCGCAGCAACATTAGTAGTAGACGAGAAGAAAAGAGCACAGCAAAGGCAAGGCCCCCATCACTCCGCCTCATCACCACCCTCGCCCCCATCGGCATTAGGGATAGAGACACCCGCCTTCTGCGCCGCCTGCTTCCACTGCTCGCACTCCTTCCACGCGCGCTGGCACTCGGTCTTGAGCTTGTCGCAGCTGCCGCTGAGCTCGGCAATCGCCTGTTCCGTCAACAGCTTCTCCAGCGTCCACTTTTCGATATTCTGCGTTTCGTTCTCCTTGAGCTGCTTGATGAATTGCACGGCGCGCGCGAGCACGCTGCCTTTGTTCTTCTCGCACCCGGGCACGATGGCGGAGAGCTCGGAGATGCCTTCGTTGATTGTTTCGCGGCGGCGGCGTTCGACTGCAATCTGGGTTAGGGGAGGGAGATCCACGGGATGTGGTGGGGATGATGAGAGCGTACCTTCTTTGTGATTATCCTTCCGCCTCTTGTGCCATTCGTCCGATCCGACGGCTGGGCCATTCTGCTTCGAGTCTTCCTTGTCTGGCGACGACTGAATGTTCTCGGTCAAGGTCGAGGTGTCTTGGGCCGCAGCGGCACTGTCCTGGTTGGCGGAGCCGGCCTTGACCACATCGTAGTCCGTCGGGAGATTCGCAAAGGCCTCCTCCGTAGCTTGCGGCACAGTCATCTGGTGGAATGCAATGGCAGCTGCGGCAGTATCATTCTCATTCGAGTCGTCGCCGCCTTGCGTGTGTAACTGGTCGGACGTCTGCCCGTCTGTATTATCGTTGCTCTGCCCGAACGCGGCGGCAAAGTCTATGCCTCCGTCATCCGCTGTCTGGAGGTAGTGATGCTCGAATTCATTGCCCATTTGGTTTGTTGCGGGTGCTGCTCGGGCGCTGGCAGTGTCTTGGCTTTCGCGCTTTCTCTTGTTCATGGGAGGCATGGTGGGCGAGAGTGTAGAGGGTGTGTCGGGTGTTGTTCAACAGGAGGTGCAGAGGGCCTGCACGGTGGGTACCCTCTATGTCGAATTGCCTGTACAAGTCGACCACATGTTAGCAATGATCTCCAGTACACATGTTCAATCACGAAGAACAACTACGACACCTGCTCGTTGCAGTCGCCCGAGACGCAGCACCCAGGCAGTCATCTGCTTCTCGTCGTCGGCAGAACGTGATCGCAGCGTGCAGATTAGGACAAAGGCCATGTGCCTTGCCCATCATCCACACGGATCATGCCGATACGAGCGCGATGGCGTGGGCAGTGACATGTCGGTGAGCTCAACGAATAAGCCGCGACGGCAGGTAGCAACGAGGCCAGATAGGGTACCATCGTGGTCCGGCGTAATGGCGGACGGCGAGATGAGATGGCTGCTCGCGGGAAGAATTGAGGCTGTCCATGACTTACCGCGTCGCTTGGGCAGGTCACGTTATCTTCAAGTAACGTGACGTGTGACACGGTCGGTGGCTGGCGGGATTCGCGGCGAGCGGGAGGTCGCGTCGCGCTGCCTTGAGGAATCGTGGGTGAAGTAGTGACGCGGATGGAATGCGCCTAGGCAACAGAAGGAGTCCGCGGACCGAAAAGCAACGTATGTTGGTGGACGGTGCGATATCAACGAGAAGACGGAATGGTGGTGGACTTGATTGAGCTCTCATGTGACCGCAACCGGGGAGGAAGCAGCACGGGGGAGGCAGCAGCCAATCAGACGCGATCTGAACCACTCCCCACATCACATGACCCAGGGCGCGCCTTCAGCTCTTTGTGATCCAAACTCAACCAACCTCTTCCGTGGCCATGCCAGACACGTGAAGTACGATGTCCGCAGCTCCTATTAACCAAGTCTTTACGCGACCGAGGATATTCCTCTCCATCCGGAAAAGGGAAGTCTAAGTGTAGAACGAGAGCGGTAGGCATTTACTTGTCTTTTTCCAAATCGAAAACATACTACGTGCAGCACACCAACGTGCAACCAAAAGCAACTTTCTATCAACAAGGTACATCTCTGCACACCATTCCATTCCTACTCCGTCCGTTGCTTATTCTTCTCACCCCCTGCTTCCTCCTCATTCTTCCTCTTCCTGCTCCCACCATCACAACCCAGCCTCGCAATCAACCAGCAACAACTCGCTTGGACCCCCTCAATCTTCACCTTGGGCGTCGCGATATGCATCGCATTCAGCGTCCACCACCAATTCTCGGCATCGACTGCCTCCTCCGGCGCCTCGCCATCGAACTTGACGCTCATCTGCAGCATCAACCCTTTGTATCCGCCCTCATCGTGCCCATGCCCTTTATGCAACCAGCCGAACTCGCACAAGTACTCCAGACAAAGAAGCCCGTGCGTTTGCGCGTAGGACAGGGCGTTGATTCCGCGCAGTGGATCGTGGGAGGTATCGAACAGGATCTGGCGGAACTTGACGAGGGGTGAGTTGCGCTGCCAAGTGCGGATGGTGACCGGGGTGAAATCGATGAAGTTGGTTGTGTGGATGATGACCAGGAGTATGGGAATCCTGCCTGCGGCCTTTTGCTGTTGGAGTTGTTGTTGATGCGAAGAGACGGGACGTCCCACGCTACTTGCCGGGGCTTGTGTCGAAGGATTCCTAGTTGCTGGCGTCTGCATGGAAGTGCTCGCAGTCGCGACGGTGGTGAGATACGTGGGAGCGTTGTCGTCCTGCGCGTTCCTTTCCTGCTCTGCAGTGACAAGCGCTTCTTGTCGCTGTCGGTCACGTAAGCGCATCCGGGTGGCTACCAGGCCTCTGACTTTTGCCTCGAAGAATGAGTTGGGCGGCTCGGTCCAGTCGAATCGCAGGGTGTGTCGATCAAGAAAGCTTCCAGTGTAGTGATGATGGGGATCAGTAGATGTAACATCTTGTGTAGCAGGAGTATCGACAGGTGCTGGGAGGTTGGATGTGGCTTCTGTGCTTGCCATGGTGGCTTCCGTGTTGGGCTTTGTGGGCGACATTGTCTGGACAATGAGAACTCAAGCAGAGTTTATGAGGTTGAGGAAGTTGAGGAAAGCGAGACCAAGAAAGGGGAAAAGGGAAAGATATTGCAGGTGCGAGCGTAATGGGTGCGAGCGAAAGGACGACCACGGCTGGTCCCACTCATGTTGTCCTTAATATTGAACACATGAGGACAGCCGCAACCAAGAATTTCACCTGTGGCCTTTTCCTTTGTAGGCATTCTTTATCCTCCTTCGCGTGATGGCTCGAAGTCAGATCAGATTCTCGCTATCCTCTCCTCGATCGCCATGCTTGGGTATGAAATCAGATGGCACATGCATGAGAGGTGCCCAAGCCTTGACCTTCTTAACATTGCTCAACTCGTTAGCTAATCGCTCTCTTTCGGCACGCTCGCATCGATCGCATTCAGTACAATGCAGGTGTAGGCATACGAGCCCGCATAATGCACAAGCTTGATCGTGCCATCTTTGCCAAAAGTCTTGATACACTGGTCCCAGAGCTCCTGCGGCAACGCACCAGGGGTTCCAGCCAGGTAGCTTGCAGCATCATAGGCAACACGCAAGTCCTCCTTGAGGTCATCCGGCCTCTCTCCTCTCGCAATGGCATCCGCAACGTGCTGTGGAATCCCAGTCTTCTTGACAGCAACGTTCACATGCGCGTACAGCTCGTACGCCGACTTGAACTTGGCTCCGACCGCGAGAATGATCACTTCCCGGGCGTCGGGTGGTAAGCCGGGGATCTGCGCGATTTTGCCGTACAAGTTGAAGATGGCGTCGCCCGACTCGGGCTGCTCCAGGAAGAATGGAAAGGGGCCGACTAGAGCACCATCCGAGGGGCGTTTGGTGATGAACATGGGCTTTTTGCCTTCTTCAAACATTGCATCGGCCGTTTCGGAGAAGCGATCGTAGAATGGTTGGGTTGAAGCGTCCAGTTCGGAGCGAGGTTGGGCTGGAAAGCGATCTGCCATTTTAATTGACTGAGCTGACTATGTTGTTTAGTGGGTGTCACTGAAGGCTGAGAGCATATGGAGTGAGCTGGAATGAAGCAAAGAGAGAGCTGGTCTTCTCCTCTTTAGCCCATGGACATGGTTTCGAACATCAACAGCTGCGTCATCGCCGGCTTCGGGTCCTACATCGCAGGACATCGCAGCCCATACTGACGAGCATAAATGTGGCCATCATGGCGCACGTAGTCACCCCTTCTGCAATCCGAAGTGGCAGACACTCAAGTCTTCATCGACCACCAAAACCACGTCGGTCAGCCGGTCCGGCGGATCAAGTCAGGACATGGCCGAGGGACTGCCGGTCAGTGTTGAAGGCAGACAGATTTCAACCAATCCCAATGGAAGCTCATCCTTCCCAACTGGGTAAGCGCGGCAAGCGTTCGAAGTAATAAGCTCCAACTCTCAATCCTCCGCAAAAAAAGCACATGATAACGGCGGTTGTTCTCCTCACCTCGTTCGCTTCCCTTTGCAGCATCGGAGCTGGTCCTTTGACAGACAGTGAAGGGGTGCCCGTCAGCTTCTCCAAGTCTCGCGCTCCCGAACATGTCTGCTTCAGATGATGCTGCCAAGAAGGCGGCCAAGTTGGCTGCCGTAGCTGCTGGGACTTCCGCCAAAGGCATCGAGAAGGAGTCAACCGCAGCGCGACTGCTTGGAGCCGGTATGTGATCAATCCCGGCATCATTGACAGGACCACCCCGTACTAACATCCAACAGGATCCGCCGGCATCGCCGAGCTCCTCGTCTTCCATCCCGTCGACACCATCGCCAAACGCCTCATGTCCAACCAAGGCAAGGTCGCCTCCGCCGCACAACTCAACAGCGTCATCTTCAAATCCCACGCCTCCGACCCCGTCGTCCGCCGCTTCTTCACCCTCTTCCCCGGCCTCGGCTACGCAGCGGCATACAAGATTCTGCAGCGTGTATACAAGTACGGCGGGCAGCCGTTTGCGCGCGACTACCTCGCCAACAACCATGGTGCCTTCTTCGAACAGACGTTTGGCAAGGGCAATGGCAAGGCCATGATGCATGCGACCGCTGGTAGTCTGATTGGTGTGGGTGAAATCGTGCTCCTGCCACTCGATGTGCTCAAGATCAAGCGACAAACGAATCCCGAGGCGTTCCGAGGTCGAGGCGTGATGCGTATCGTAGCAGACGAGGGCTTTGCGCTTTATCGTGGCTGGGCATGGACTGCGGCGCGCAATGCCCCCGGTTCCTTCGCGCTCTTCGGCGGCTCGGCTGCGGCCAAGCAGTACCTTTTCAAACTCGAGGATTACAACTCAGCCTCATGGTTTCAAAACTTCGTTGCCTCCATCGCCGGCTCCTCCGCCTCCCTCATCGTCTCCGCGCCCTTGGACGTCGTCAAGACGCGGATACAGAATCAGAACTTCGAAATCAAGCAATCTGGTATCAAGATTATCGGCAACATGGCGCGACAGGAAGGTTTCACTTCTTTCTTCAAGGGCCTGGTGCCCAAGTTGTTGATGACGGGCCCAAAGCTGACCTTTTCGTTCTGGCTTGCGTTCGTACTCCCCAATCTCACTTCCACAGCATCGTCGTGCCTTGCTGACTCTTTGATCTGCAGGCAAACACTGATACCCACATTCAATCGCATGATGTAACGCAGCCTTCTTGGATCGGGGAATTCAAATCGTTGTGGAGCGCCAGGGTTAGCGCGAGGCGCTCAAGGCGTACGCGAGCATTCGGGGGGTGGGGACACAATTCGGGCGATTACATTCACAGCTGGCACGGCTGCTGCCCCTTTCATATGTACAGATAATACGACACGCTCTACTCACCGCGATCTCGCATCAGAGGCCCTGCTGCTCGCAGTCTTCCTCACTCCTGCTTACGCAGCAAGAGGATGTGACCACCCGCCTCGATAGTCTCTCCGGGTTCGATCAGCAATTTCTCCACCTTTGCTTTGCCGAGATCGTCGGGAGCGTTGACGTTGATCTCGAGCTTCATGGCTTCGAGGATGACGACCAGGTCTTTGCCGTTCACCTCCTGCCCTTCCTTGACCTGGATCTTCCACACGTTGGCGGCGCAAGGCGCGTCAATGGCCGTAATCTCCGGATCTGCGTTGCCAAAGACACGAGCGGTCAGCCTGCATTGCCCACTACACCTCCAACCATAGTCACGCGCAGCAACTCACCATCAAGCAACGACTCAACCGTGCTCTCATCAACCTTATTCCTCTCCTTCTCCTCCCTCCACTTCGCCAACGACTCCTTCTCCGCCTTGATCATCTCCTCCTGCACCTTGCGTTGCTTCTCCCGCATCTCCCTCACCTCCTCCGCCGTCTCGGCCAAAAAGCGATTATGCTCCGCCATATCGAACTCCGTCTCCTCCCACTCAAACTCGTACTGCCCCGTGCGGAAGAGCTGCAGGGCTTTATTGAGCTCGTCTTCGCTGACGCGGTAGAAGTCCAGCAGATCGAAGTCTTGGAACATGTACGGCCGCTCGATGGAGAAGCCGTGTTTGTAGCCTAGGTAGTCGAAGCCGGGCATTGTGCGGCCGAGCATTTGGTAGCCTGTTGGAGACGGTTAGAGGGGTTGGTTGTGCCTAAGGAGCAGATGTGGGCCTTACCACCTGGAGCGTCGACGGGGTAGAGCGCCGCACAGGAACCTCCCCATCCGAATGTCCCCTCAGGAGTGAAGACGCGCGAAGGGTTGGCTTTCGGCGAGCTCATCCGCTTGCGAGGATCGACGGGTAGGGACACGGCTGTAGCGCAGAAGAAGCCGACGACGACGACCATCTGAGAGCCCTCGGTCAAGTTCTTCTTCAATTGATCCGCCGTAAAGGCATTGTTCTTCGCGACAAATTCCAGGTTATCCGGCAAATACGGAGCATGAGGCCGTTGCGTCTCCATGTATCGCTTCGTAGCTTCCGTCTGCTCCTTACTTTCGAACGACAAGGGGAGTCGGAAGCGTCGACAGGGCACCTTGATTTTGCTCAAGTCGCCGAGTTTGTCTTCGATGCCTTGAAGGTGTTCGACTAGTTTGCCGCGGTCCATCTTGCCTCCGTCGTAGTACATGAGTAGAGTCGTGCAGGCGCCGACGGTCTTGAGGAGGGATTCCTTCAACCATGAGGGCGCGTCTGGACCGCGGATGGCTTTTTCGAGAGCGGTCACTCTGCATCGATGGTTGAGGTCGAAGTTCTCATTGCCGTACCTGTGCTCGATGTCAGAGTAGCATCAGCAAGAGAGAGCATTGAACTTACTCGACAAGCAAATGATCGTCGCCGCCCTGTCTGTACCGAACTTGCGGACTATTGCCCTGTGCTGCGCGCTCCCAAATCACAGCGCTCGAAAACTGACCAGAAGGCTTGTAGTTAGCATCAATCGGTTCGACGTGCTTGTAATCACCCGTCTCAATCCCCTTCTGTACAGCATCGAGGAAAGCCGCGAGATCCTTGCGTAACTTTAGTGCCTCCTCCAACGACACTCTCTTATACCTCAGCGCATGGCCGGCCTTCAGCTGGCCCATCTTCCAAAGATCGGCGTGAATGATAGTCGTGCTCGAGCAGAAGCCTCCAAAATCCGGAGCGTCAAAAGCGAAGATGCAAGGATCGTCGCCCGTCCAGTTCAATGTCCCCAGGGGATAGCCGTACTCGATTACGTTTGAGGGGTGGCTGCCTCCTTCTCCGCCATCACTGCGTGCCCATTTTGGAGGCTTTGGTGGGATCAGACGGATAGCGGATCGGCTTGCGTTGTGAGACACCTTCCAGTCCTCGCCGCCGTATAGCATCTCGACGTCTGCGTCATCCAGGTAGCCATCTTGATGCGGACCAGGCATGACCATGATCTCCCAGTCTTCTGCGTAGCGCGGTCTCACCTTCTCAGGGATCGCGGGGTGCCCACCGAGATTCTTTGGTATGTCTTTGACTACATTGAGGAGATCGCCGGGTGCCAGTCCGCGGCCTTGAAGACCTCCTATTGCGACTATGGCGGAGGTGGATTTCGAGCCAAAGTACTCGGCCACGGAAGGGAAGCCTCCGTGCACGGCGAGGTAGCTGCGACAGCCGCCGCCGGTCTGCTTGCCGATCTTGAGCTTCTGGCCTGCTTTGATGTGCTTTCGCGTCCACATTGGAAAGTCGTCGTTGTCCAGTTTTGCTTCCCTGGTTCACTCGATTAGCACAGGCCGAATCTTCTCATTGAGACAGTCGCGCGGACGTACATGGGGGCACCTGTCAACGCAACGACGGCAGGTCCAAGGAAACGCAGTTCAGGACCGCTGAGTGTGATCTCCAAGCCTTCCTTGCCTCGTTCATTGCCCACAAGCATGTTTCCAATGCTGAGAGCGACTGGATCCATGGCACCGCTATGGCAGATGCCTTGTCCGACAGTCGGTCGACCAGGTAGATCTGGGAGGGGTCAATACACACGTATTATCTGTGACAGCAGCTGGGATTACCTTGGACAACAGTTTGAGCGCCTCCTGAAATCACGTCGATGGCCGAGATCTCATACTTGAAGTCTTTCAAGAAGCTGGTGATCGTGTGGCCGGACTGAAACGTCTCATCTCTCATGATAGCATCGAGAAACTCCAGGTTGGTCGGTGGGCCGAGTATCTTCGAGCGACTCAGGATCAGATCCATGCCTTTGATGGCCGCCTGCCGTGTCTTTGCGTGATTCATGACTTTGGCAATCAGCGGATCGTAGTTCGGACTAATACTCGTGCCCGTGAACACCCAAGTGTCAATGCGAGCTCCGTCACGGTGCGAAAACTCGACTTCCTGCAGCAGACCAGGAGAAGGCGCGTAGTCTCGAATGGGATTCTCAGCGTAGACTCTTGCCTCGATTGCATGGCCCGTTGGACCTTTGGGCTGTAAGGATTTCAAGTGGTCTGCTGAAAGCCCGCCTTTGCCGGCCAGCTGAGCATCCGCTTGTTGGAGCATGAGCTCCACGAGGTCTACATCGTAGCAGAGCTCCGTGATGCCGTGTTCGACTTGCAGGCGCGTGTTCATTTCCAGGAAGAAGAAGTCGCCCGATTCGTCGTCGACCAGACACTCGATGGTTCCTGCAGAGGCATAGCTCTGGCTCTTGGCTAGACTGACTGCGGCCTCGGTGATCTTCTCTCGTAGACCGTCGTGCTTTTGAACGAACGGGCCTTCTTACATTAGTATAAGGTGGGTTACGGTGAGAAGAGGTTCGCTCACTCGGGCATTCTTCGATCACCTTCTGATTGCGTCGTTGAATGCTGCATTCTCGTTCGCCAAAGTGAATCGCTTCTCCCTGGCCATTGCCGAAGATTTGGACCTACGACCAATGGTTGTCAGAAGCAATTCGAGTTTAGCAAAATGTAGGAATATACTGACCTCGACGTGGTGCGATGCCGGATAGAACTTTTCGATGAATAGATCGCCGCTCTTGAACAGGCTCTGACCTAGTCATACCGACGACCAGATGTCAGAACAACGCAACTTTGTAGACGAGCAAGGACAACATACCTCGAGACTGCACCATCCGAAAGCCCTCCTTCACCTCTCCCGCCTCGTGACACACGACCAACCCCATCCCACCACCGCCAGCAGTGGCCTTCAACATGACGGGATACCCCAACTTCTCACACTCCGCAAGAGCCTCATCCTCGCTCTTCACCAGACCTTCCGTCCCGGGAACGATCGGGACTCCAGCCTTCTGAGCAAGTTCCCGAGCAACATGCTTGATGCCAAAGGCCTCGATGGACTCCGGACTCGGGCCCACCCAGACCAGTCCAGCGTCGCCGACGGAGCGGGCAAAGTCTGCATTCTCGCTCAAGAAGCCGTAGCCGGGGATGATGGCATTGGCCTTCTTGTCTTTGGCGATCTTGATGATTTCATCGCCGTCAGTGTAAGCGGTGGAGTTGGAGCCGGGTAGGAGGATGGCCTCGTCGGCTGCTGAGACGTGGAGCGAGGTTGCGTCCGCGGGCGTGTAAATGGAGATTGTTCTTATTCCGAGTCTTTTGGCTGTTTTAATAATTCTCACGGCAATCTGGTGTGGGCTCAGTTAACAGAACATCTCTGAAGAGTACGTGGTAAATGCAAACCTCGCCGCGATTCGCTATCAGCAACGTCTTGATCTTCTCCATCCTGCTTCTGCTTGCCTTTCACTTCGTAAACCCGTCTTCGTAACGATCGAGAAAGAGCACAAAATCAGGAAGAGGGAACACACTGTCACGGCAAAGACCTGGCCTGATAATGCCCCATCTTTCCGCCGCGCAAGTCCCGGGTGCGACTACCAGCCTGGGTCTTGATAAGCCCAACCCCTCCATCATCCATTGGAAGAGGGGTTCGACTCGAACGGGGGTAACAACCCTGCCCTCTAGCTCTCGAAGGACTCCTCCTAACCAAGGCGACGTCATCCACATTCTGAGCTTCGCGGATCGGATGTGATTGTGTTTCTAACGATCAAGTCTCTTTCAACCAAGTCCTCTCCATCTCATCGTAGCGGGACAACATCAATCATGCCGCCCATCAAGAAAAAGATCCATATCAACGTCGACCTGGGCGAAGCATTCGGCAACTTCAAATGCGGGCCGGACGAAGAATTGATCCCGTTGATCGGTAGGCTCTTGTGGACTCGATACATATATCCATGGCCATGTTGACACGAAGTCTTCGATAGACCATGCCAACATCGCCTGCGGCTTCCACGGAGGCGACCCGATGGTCATGCAAGAGACCGTACGTCTACCTACCCACCATCGCTCCTGCCTAATCAGGGAACACCTCGATGAGTGCCGCTGACCGTGTATACCGCAGGTCCGAGCGTGCAAGAAGCACGGCATAGCCGCTGGTGCACACCCCGGACTGCCTGACCTGCAAGGCTTCGGGAGACGAGAGTATGTCCAACATTCTCGCACTCCTCTCTCAAAGCACGCCACATTGACCACACCCTCAGGATGAAGATGAGTCCAGAAGAACTCACCGCCCTGACGCGCTACCAAATCGGAGCCTTGCAAGCCTTCGTACGTCGCCATGGCATCGACCCTTCCACCATCACCTCAAAAACTGACTCCCTACATCGTCGTCCAGCTGGACGCAGAAGGCCTCCCTCTGCACCACGTGAAACCGCACGGCATCCTGTACGGCATGATGTACAAAGACAAAGAAACGTGCCGAGCAGTCTACGCCGCAGTACCCAAAGGTACCCTCCCCCTCATTCAAAGCCCTCAAATCACAACTGACAGTACTCCAGGCGTACCCGTCTTCGGTCTCCCAGGCACGCTCCACGAAGAAGTAGCAAACGAAATGGGCATCCCAGTACACACCAACTGCAACCAAAAGAAAGAAGAACCCCACCCGACTAACACGTCACCCAGTTCTTCGCCGAACTCTACGGCGACGTAAAGTACAACAACGAAGGCCAACTCGTCATCGACCGGAAAAAGAAACCGTGGACGGCCGAGGAGACGAAGAAGCACATTTCCTCGCAAGTGGATGACTCCTCCGTCACAGCCGTGAGCGGCGAGGAGTTGAAAATCGATACCAAAGACTACCCCGTCACGCTGTGCTGTCATAGCGACTCGCCGGGCGCGGTGCAGATTGTCACGGCGGCGAGGGAGATTGTGGACGGGCATAATAAGAGGCATGCTTGAAGGGTATGAATGAAATGCATTTTGTTCATTCGAAAGGGTGTGTCCGCCTCGCTATGCTGTTGCTTTTTTGGCGAATGCATTCCGCCTTGCTGGATGCAGTTCGTAACGCTATGCCATTGAATGAAAAGAGCATTCCAATGCCCAATGACCGTGAGCCTTCCGCATCGTCAGAAGCAGCCATACGACTTCACGATCGTCCCATCATACACCAACCGCCTCTTAAACCCCCAAACCCATCCTCCTCGCGGCCCCTAGTCACCCCGCAACCCTCCCAATCTCCACAACCCGCCGATTCAACTCGGCAATCCTCTTCAAAATCCCCGGCCCATCGCCCCCGCCCGTCTCCGACAAATTCATATACGCGCCCTGCAGCCTCTGGCTGAGTACATCCATCAGCTTCGGCGCGAGCTCCTTGATATCCGCATCTTCGATTTCCACCACGTCCAGCGTGGCCGCGAGCCAATCGAGGCGCTGGTGGACGTGGGAGTCGAAGGAGGTGGTCACGGCGGCGGAGACGGAGAGGGCGATGAGTGGGGCTACCTTTTCGAGGTAGCGTGGGTTTACGCGGACGAAGATGGAGTCGAAGAGCGCGGCTTGGCGGGGGGATTGGAGCCACTAGACGACATGTTAGCAGACTGACATAGCTGGGTGATAGGAGGACAGAGGAAGGCTTACTGCAACGGTTGCGTCGTCGTATTGCCCAGTCATGAGTAAGTTCGTAATATCGTCCACCTCCTTCTCTTCGACCGTCTTCTGCGGCTGCGGCTGCGGCTGCGGCTCTGGCACCGAGGATGTCGATGGAGCGCTTGACTGCTGCTGGTGCTGAGTCTGTGTAATCGTGCCCTCCCTGCTACCCGGGCGCTGCATCTTCAGAATCTGCTCTTGGAACGCGGCCTGGCTCTCGGACATGTTTTGCACCATACGCGCCAGGCCTTGAACGAGATTCGACAGCTCTTGGATCTTGGCGTTGTCTTGCTGACGACGAGCCTCCGCTTGTTGCAGCTTCTGCTGAGTCTGAGCGTCGAGATCAGAGACCATCTTCTGCGCTGCTTGGGTCGCTAGGTTCGGAAGCGATTGCTGGAGGAATTGCGACACCTGTTGCTGCACTTTCTGTGCCACCTGGGTGGAGATGGCGTTGTGCACATGCGGGTCTTTCAAAGATTGCTGAATCGCATGCGGCAAGGCCGCCTTGACCTCCTTGGACAGATGTGAGTTCAGCTCCTTTGGCAAGGTCTCGGCGAGCTTCTTCTCGACGGTCTTGTGAACGCTGTCGGTGATGCTCGGGACAATCTCCTTGATCATGCTCTGATTGACGATACGGGTGAGGCTCTTCTCCACATTTTCGGTGAGCGTGCTCGACACCAAGCGAAGTACGGCATCCTGCTTAGCCGCGCCGGCCGCATCTTGAACTCGACGGTCGCCTTCCAAACGCTGGTACAGAGAGTCAAACTGCTTGTCGAGCGAGATGCGCAGATCAGCGTCATTCGTAGATGGAGGTGCCACCGTAGTCGTTGCGGCCGTAGATGTGTTCGCAGCCTTGACGGCGGTCTGAGCAGCTTGCGTAGGAGATTTGGCACGCTGGGCAGCCAATGCGTATGAGTTGGGACTGGCTGGAGGTGGTACGACGGCTCGGGTTGGTGACAGCACCGGCGCATCAAGCACCGGCTTCGATGCCACGGGTGCTTTCGCAGAAGATCCATTAGTGACGGGAGCAGGCGAAGGCGCCGGCTCCCTCCGAGCCACTTCCACTTTGGTAGTCGAGCTGGGCGTCGAAACCTTTCCGCTTTCCTGCTTCTTAGCCCTGGCCAAAGTCTTGCTCGGCGTGCCTTCCGCAGTGCTAGAGATTTCACTCGGAGCTTGCGGCTTCGCTGGCGGCAGTACCAGTTCCTTCACCTCGACCCTCTTCTCCTTGACTGCATCCATTGGCCTGACCATCTTGCTGTCTTTGTCCCACCCAAGGTCCTGCTTCTTCACGGACATGCCCACCACGCCCTTGGAGTGGTAGATGTACAGCTCGAACAGCGTTGCGTCCTCATCATCCTTCTCACCTGCGGCGTTCTCGATAGGATGGGCCAGCATGTCGAGCGACCGAACCTGACCGATCTTGGCGAAGGAGAATTCGCGCAGTCCACTCATAATGGCTGTGCTATCCGGTCGCAAGACGGTGGAGTCCTCCCGTGCCAGCAGACTGACGTATTTCGCCTGCTCCATGGCAGCGATGGTGTACTTGGGCGCGCTAAGGTGGATGAAGTAGATGCTGTTGCGGGTCGGATGCCCAATGGCAACAATGCCGCTACGCGGGTGGTACGTCAGGCTGCAAATCCCGTCGCTGTCTTTTTCATGAGGCAGGCGGATCTCTTGAACAGCCTTGCCCAGCGCCAGGTCCCAAAGCTGCAAGATGTGGTTCTGCTTGAAGCCGATGAGCACGTAGCGGAGAGCGATGGCTCGAGACGTCGGCCTTTCCTTGTCGATGAGTGTTACCGACGAGACGGACGCCTTCTCTTCCGGCTTGCTCCCCGACGCTGCAGCGTGCAAAGTCCAGGTGGGTTCGGTCAGCTCGAGAGGATCGTGCGGGCCTTGGGAGAAGTCGCTGGCGCGGGTGGTCAGCTCCCTGATGTCCCAGAACTCCAGACTGCCGGATTTGTTGAGACTGATGATCATTGTATCGTCTTCCGAGAAGCAAAAGTCTTTGCAGGCCTTGCCAGTGGTGATCTTCAGCCCATGCTCGGCAAAGTATTTCTCGCTGTTGACACGGCGAGTCTGAGGGTCGAGATACGCTCGGGCTTTGGCGATCTCAGGCGCGACAAGGTAGATGTGCTTGCCCCTCGAAATGGCAAAGTACTCCGGATGCCGGGAGCTCATCTTGGCGCGAGTCTTAATCTGCGACCCCGATGCCTGCTCCTCCGGCGTGGACACTGGCGGCATCATCAGGCCTTGGATCTCGACATCGTCATCGGCGAACAACTCGCCCCGTGATTTGGCGAGAGTTGTCCAGAAGACGGATCCATCGACACCGGTCCCGAGGACTGCTTCGATGTCGTCTCCAGGCGTCGCACTGCTGCAGATCTGTACATTGGAGATGCGCTCGCCGCTGGAACGGAAGACTTGCTTATGGTCTCCGGTGTCCTGACGAATGATTCGGAAGCCGCCGTTATCTTTCTTGGTCGCGGACTGGGCGTAGATAATATGTGACTGGCTGGCGGTGACGAGACAGCGGTCGATCTGATCGAAACCTTTGTGCAACTTTGCAATAGACATGAAGTGGTCCTGAGGGATCGGGCGTAGCTCATCAACCTCCTTGACGTGAATGGCGACGAACGGTCTCATTGGGAAGTTGTACACCTCCACGGCGGATTCCTGCGTCGCTTCTGCGGCGTCATCTTCCGCGCTCTCCCAGCTGGATATACCGGCGTCATCGTCGGCAGGCTCCTGCTTGATAGCAACCTCATCATCTGCAGCGTTGTCGCCAGTCTTGGCGGATTCCACATGGACTGCGGGTGCTGCCTTCTCTTGCGCGCTTGCTTGCGCGAGTGCTTGCTCGACTTGTTTATCGACACGCTCACCAACACCCTTCAGCGCCTCCGAGACACTTTGCGCCTTTTCAAGCTCTGCCGTTGCGAGCGAGCCCTGCTCAGACGCTACCTTGCCTCTTTTTGCCGCTGGAGGCGCAGAAGAGGCATCGAAGCCATCATTGGACGTGGATGATGGATCGCGGTCGTGCTTCAGAATCTCGATCTTGTTGGATTCGACCTTGGTGGATGCCGGGCGTGGTGAGGCGTTGAGTGGTGAAGAGGCATGCAACTGATCAAAGGGGTTGACATAGCTGAACTTGGACGCCTTACTCGGTTGAGGCGCTTCGAATGGCGTCGGGGTGGACTCCGCGGTACCAAATTGGCGCACCGGGGTAGGCTCACGGGAGACGCGAGTCTGGACTGGGGATTGAACGTTGATGGCTGCGAGGCCGGTTGTAAGTTGTTCCACCGACGGCACTGCCTTGGCCTGTTCTAACGCTTTGTGATCCACAACCTCTTGACCCGCAAAGAGCGTAGGCTTTGCCTCCTTGGGCTTGGTAAGCAGATTGAGCAAGAAGTCCTTGGAGCTTCCCGGTTGTGTTGTAGTAGTCTCCACCTTCTCTGCACCACCGCTTGTCGTGGTTGAAGGTAGTACGTTCTGCGACGAGCTCTTCCGTTGAAACGATGCCATCATATCTTGCGCAGACACTGGCCGGGCGTGAGCCGCACCTTCACTGGCCCCCAAGCCAGTGGAGGAGCTCCGCAGACCTCCAACGTTCTGGAGATTCGCCATTGGGCCAGATTGGCTTCCTTGATTATTGAATTTGAGCAGATTCAGCAAGTTGTTGGTGCGAGTCTGGTCGGGAGCGGGAGTGCCAGTGTTGGAAGCTGGGTTCACTGGACTCATGACGTTGGATGAGTGAATGGGGTTTGGTGTATGAATGGGAGGGGAGAAGATTGGGGAGGAGACGGAGGGTTGTCGATAGGCCGGCTGTTCGGATTGCGCCCATATCGACGATTGAGGTTGAGGTTGTGATTCGGCGGAGGAGGCCTTGAGGCGATTGAAAAGTTCCTGGAGCTCGTTTGGCGGCGCCATGATGGCGTTCCGCGGGGGAGTTGAGGTGGCACAGAATCTTTGATGGCAGTTGTGGGCGCGAAGAAACGAGGTGTGGTACAAAAGGATTGAAATGGAGGGAGGTGTGATGTAGCACGACGTCCGATGGAAGGCAACGAGATTATGAGAGAGACTGCTGGAGCTTCAAGCCTTTAACTTTCTCTTGGCAACGGCCTTTGCACTAGGCTCAATCTGGCAACGACGACGAGGTGAACGATCGCAGAACAATACTCTGCATAAGGCGGTGATGTGGATATTGCAACTGAAGAGAACAGTGTGCGTTTTACATGAAACACGCTCATGTTGGATTCCGGGATAAATCGACACAATTCTCAATCCCATCCATCGTCACTTCACTTCCGACATGGCTGCCAATTGATGAGCTATCGATTTCGCTCAGTTCACTTTCAAAGAGACAGATCAAAGAGGATGGTTGAAAGTGTCGAACGGCCATCTCCCAGACTAAGCACTTTGAAAGTGATAGCAAACTCCTGTCCATCATCCACCGCAGATGCATCGTCTGGGTCGAGGCTGTCAAATCCAGTATTGCTAAACCGTTCTTGCAGCATTTGATCAAGTATGTGACCGCATTGCTTGATGATGACCGAGATTTGAATCACAATTCATCATTTAATCGCCGTCAGTACGTACTGCAATATTCCAACACATCATTACTGACGAGACGTCGTCGTGAGGCTCGCTTAGACTTTGCGGCGAGACACGGAGGTGTCGAAGTGGCCCGAGCGTTCAGGGACCAGCTTCCCTTCGTTTGGGCACTTTTTTAACAAGGAAAGGAAACGTGGAACAGCACCGTACAAGCTTCACCAGCCAACCTCACTCCTAGGCGCGCAACAAACACATCCTCCAACCCACACACGTCCAACCTGGCGCCCCGAGGCGGCCAGTTGAAGCACAGCCACCATGAACATCTTCAGAATACTGGGTGCGCAGCACTTCTCCCCCATCCATTGGAACACCAGGCTGACCAAGGAGACGAACAACAGGCGACTTGTCGCATCTCGCCTCCATCTTCATCCTCCTCGCCAAAATGAAATCGTCGAGCGTACGCGCATGCCCCTGCCCGATCTTGAGCTCCTCCCCCCTAACACGACTCCCCACAGAGCGCGTCCGGCATCTCCTTCAAATCCCAATTCCTCTACATGCTCGTCTACGTCACCCGCTACCTCGATCTCTTCTGGACGAGCCCGACGCGTAGCCTGTGGAACACGACGTTCAAAATCATCTTCCTCGGCGCGCAGTTCTACATCATCTACCTGATGCTCGTCGACTACAAGCCCACCCACGACCCCAACCAAGACACCTTCAAAGTCGAGTATTTACTTGCAGGAGCGGCGGTGTTGGGGATAGTGTTGCCAGTAAAATACCAGCCCGCGGAGGTACGTTAAAAAAGAAGGATCACCACAAGCAGCCAAAAGGACGGAGCTAACGCAAGAGGGGCAGATGCTCTGGGCCTTCTCCATCTGGCTCGAATCCGTCGCCATCCTGCCGCAGCTCTTCATGCTACAGCGCACGGGCGAGGCAGAGACCATCACCACGCACTACATCTTCGCCCTCGGCGCCTACCGCGCCCTCTACATCCCCAACTGGATCTGGCGCTACTTTGCCGAGGGCTACTTCGACCTCATCCCCGTGCTCGCCGGCATCGTGCAGACGGTGCTGTACTCCGATTTCTTCTACATTTATTGGACCAAGTATGTTGCTGCCCCACTGCGTTCTTCTCCTAAGCTCCTTCGAAAACGTGGCGTACTGATCTTCATACCAGGGTCATGCAAGGCAAGAAGTTCAATCTGCCGGTATAGGGGCAACGCTGGCGGATTCTGGACGCAGCAGGGACAGACTGTGCGCAGTGTTGAAAAGCAGGCTCCAGACATCAGTCGATGGCAATGGGTGTGGTGTTTTGCATAGCATTGGAGTTCTGTCAAGCGGGTATAGAAAAGGGTCATGAGAGGGGCAAGCGTTGAGCCACGGTTGCGCCGGACGCGGGACGTAGTTCGATATCGATTGGCATGATCAAAAGTCGCAGCAACTCATCGCTGTTCCTCCTTCTCCATCGCTAATAAGCAATGTTTGCTCGGATCTAATGTACACCCGGGGGCGAGCGCCTTACTTTTCCCTGGAATGCGTGGGGTGGGCGAAAAGGATATGGTAAGAAGCGAAGCTCACCATACTTGACTCCACGAGCCATCATCCCACTTAATCACGAGCTTGTCCTTCAGCTCCACCTCTCGGTCCACGCCCTCGACCACCTCCACGGCCACGGAACTCTCCTCCCTCTCCACGGCCGCGGAAGCCACCTCGGCCGCCGCGTCCACCCCTTCCCTCACCATCGCCTCGGAAGCCTCCTCTCCCCTCTCCTCTGCCCCGCCCGCCACCGCGGCCGCGGAACTCGCCATCGAAGCCACGACCTCCTCTTCCGCGTCCGCGATTGTGACGGCCGGGAACTTGATGGAAGCCATCGGCATCCTCGCCTGCACGTGCCGTAGCGGTATCACCGAGGTTCCCCTGGGCGCCTGCTTGCGCAGCGACCTCTGCTCCGTTCCACGCGTCGGCGCTCTGCTCACCGGCTGTCTTCAGGTCCCAACGCTCGCCAGCTTTGTTGCCAGAGGCAGGGCCGGAAGAGACGGGAGCCAGGGGTTGAGGTTGGTCATCGGCCCAGCTTAGCGTCGCTTCCGCGCCAGAGGGAACGTCCACCTCCTCCGACGGGCGGGGGACGATTTCGTAGTCCTCTTCCGTCAGCGTGCTCCTCTCTAGACATGGCCCGGAAGTACCAGCGGGATCCCACTTCTCCCCGGCTGCATTGCCGGAAGCGTCGGCTCCAGTGGCTTGCGGTGGCGAGGTCAAGGGATCCTCTCCGCCTACACCGTGAACGCCGTTGGCCGGGGGCGCGCCGGTGTCGAGTTCGGTGAGACCTGCGTGTGTGATTGTCGGATCGGAGCCGGGGGGTATTGACACGGTGGCGCCTTCTGTAGCGGCGTTCGCTTCGGCAACGGAGTCTATCCACTGCTCTTCGGTTTGGAAGGGGGCATGGGCGATGGAGGCTTGCTTAATTTGAGAGTCTGTACTGCGTTAGTCGACATGTAGTCGAGCGTGTGGCATGGCCTGAGCTAGGCCAATGCGGATAGGGTAGAGGAGCTTCACTCACACTTGAAATCCAGCGGCAACCCCTCAATGCTGACGACTCGCTCATCGCTTCCCTCAATCAACGCCATGGCAGCTTCGACGGCTTTGTCATCGCCTCCGTAGACCAGCAGCAGAGCTCCCTCGAATGCGCGACTCTCCTCGGATTCGGTCTCCTCTTCGGTAGCACGCTTCGCAGCAGCACATCGTAGGAATTGCGAGAAGATGAGGAGCTTCTTACGCAGCTCCGCGGTGGAGCCCGTCACGCCCAACACCTTGCCGTCCTCACGTGCCTTCTCCATCTCTTTCTCATGCAGAGAGGTGAGGTCCTCCTTCTGCTTCTGCATCCGAGATTGGTAGTCTGCATCAAGCTTCTTGTACTGTGCAACCTGCTCCTCCAACGCGTGCAACTGCGCCTCTAGCTGCGGCTTCTTGGAGATGGAGCTCCTCTGATCCGCGTTGAGCTTCCGCGCCTTCACGAGATCGTCCAGCGACACGCCCGGATTCTCCGCAATGATGGACTCCGTCTTCCCCATGCCGGACATCTTCTTGTGGACATTGCGGATGTTTTTCGTCAACTCGCGGATGTAGGGATGTTCGAATTGCCCGTTTTCTCCCACTTCTTTGGACCCCAGACTGCTGTCCTCCTTTGCTGCGACATCGGGAAGCACAGGAGCTGGAACATTGCCGTTCGCTGCAGCGAGGTCGGCTTTGGCCTTCTTCTTGCGAGCAGACTTGGATTCGGTGGTGTTCGGCGGCGGGCTCGGAACTGCTGTGGTAGCCATAGTGACGTTTGGGAAGGGTGTTGTAAGTTGAAGGAGGATGTTCGATGCGGATTCGGTGAGGTGGGTTGTGCTGGGGAAGTGGACGATGGATGTGATGAATTACTTGGCACGGGTTGATGTGCAACAAAGGGGTAGAAGTCAGGCAAGGTGTCGTGTGCTTTCAATTGTGATGCTGCCCTGATTCAGCGTTCAGAAAACGAAGCCGTCAGGTCTAAGCCTTGACCTCTTGGAACCTTAATCAATTAGAGTTTCTGACCTGCAGGGAACACGAGATCTAACCCGATTAGTTGTCCACCTCGTGATATCTCTTGCATCTTCAAATGCACCACACCAACATACATACGCCTGCACAACTCAACACCTCCGCCGTCATGGCCGCCTCCACGGCACTCACCAAGTCCGACTCGGACTCGGCGCTAATGCCACCTCCTCCACAGCCAAAGCGTCAGAAACGGCCGGCCAAAATCTTGGAGGAGGATGTCTATTCTGATGCCCTCTCTCACATCATAGCGCGTGACTTCTTCCCGGGCCTGCTAGAAACGGAGGCCCAGCAGGAATATCTCAACGCCCTGGACAGCAACAACAGCGACCGGATCCGCGAAGCAGGACGGAAGTTGACGCAGGTAATGACCCCCGGTCCCGATACGCGAAGCCGCCGGATGGCACGAGGCACATCATTCACTCCGAGACGAACTATCGATTCTGGAGACACGCCGAGGGGCTTTGTTGGGGATACGCCGGCACGAACGCCAGCGGGAGTCTCAGCCAGAGACTTTGCGGCGGAAGTCACGCCAGATGTGGATGTTAACATGTCGCTTGGCGCTTTCCAGGCGAAATACACCTCGGAAGACAACGAAAGCTTTAACGAACTACTGGATAAGCAGAATGCGTCTCGGGCTGCGAAGTACGCCTTTTTCCACCACGGCAACAAGATACCTTCGACGAACCAAATTGCATATCGATCACGAGAGCAGCGATTACTTGAGAGCGGTGAAAGATCGACTACCTCGACGGCACTAACCAGGACAAACTCGGCACATGGAGGGCAATCGACCGTATCAACGGTTCCTCGACCGTCGGAGGACTTAGACGAACGAACGGCATCCGTGGACTCTTTTCCCTCCCGCCAAGGGCCAAGAAACCATCTGATGTTCGGTCCGGAAGGTGTTGAGGACACACATCTCACATATGCACGAGCTGCTGAGGACAGATCGAACGCTCCACCCAAGAGCGTGACATATGCAGCAACTCGGATGCAACCCACTTCGACAACATCGGATACTGCGGTGCCATCGAGTCCATCGATGAGCGCAATCGACGCAGCTATAGCAGGCCGCCCACGACTCTCGGAATCCGAAGTAGACTACTCCGGAGCAGAGACGCCGCGAGTGAATGGCTACGCATTTGTCGATGCGGAGCCGACGCCCTCTGAGCTCGGCATGCCTGTGACAGACGAAGAAGCGGATGCTGCAGAACGAGAGGCCGCGATGAAGTTCATGCCAAAAGCTGAGGAGGGAGGTCCCAACCCCTTCAACCTGCGTGAGCGGAGCAAAAGAGAGGACCTCCACATGCGACTCGTCGAGAAGGCCGATGCTACGCGGCGGCAGGAGCGAGGAGGCGGTGGTAGTCAGCTGGAGAGGTTAAGAAGTCTGGGTGTGACGCCGGGTAGGACGCCGACGCCGAGATTCACCAGTGGTCCTGGGAAGGGTGCAAAGAAGGACTCCGCCGCTGCCATGACTCCGGCTGCTAGACGGCTAGCGGGGAGCATTGCTACTCCGAGACGGGGAGATGGTATGTTTGCGGCTGAAAAGGACAGTCGGAGCCAAGAAGACATCTGGGCACCCACGCCGAGGCCGAAGAGAGGCGCATAGCGCTGACGGAAAGGCTTGGAGCAACTCAGTACTAGGATGCGATACATCAATCCGTCCGACTGACTTACGCCAGCAATGTTTCGAGAGCTTCGACTAGTGATTGCTTGGAACTGCTCGCTCGCTCGAGTATTCGGTATGTGTCTTTCTCTGCTACACAGTATGCCAAAGCCGCAATTTTGTCAGCATTACAGCTTCTTCCTCGATGGAATCAAGCAAGATGAGCAAGATGCCTTTTCATCCCCTCGCCACTCCACGTGATAGAGTTCACTAGGCCAAACAGCTATGCCCAAGTACAGTACTCTGTCTGCCGTTGATGCGACCAGGCAGCAGTACAGTGTGCCTGAGCTTATCCGGCTTACCGTACTGATCCGGCTTACTGTACTGGCGATCATGTCGCCCAATCCACTCGAACAACTACACCTCGTGTAGGATCTTACTCAGAGACGGTATTTTTGCATTCGGCCAGCAAGGTATGTAGGAGCGCGCGACCAGCCTTCTGCCAGTACCCTGCCAGATCTCGCTGCTATCATCCCGCTTTTCAGCCGCCTTTTATCTTTTCTGCTCGACCTCCTCGCGATGTCTTGTACTTATCTGGCGACCGGTGCTACGGGCAATACCGGAAAGACCATAGTTTCGATATTGCTATCCCATGGCCACAAAGTCCATGCCATCGTGCGCAACCCTTCTTCCCGAGCAGCACAGGCAATCGCCTCCTCCGGGGCAACTCTATTCCAAGGCGACTTTGCATCGCCTTCGTCGCTTTCCTCCGCAGCAAGCGGCTGCAACGGCCTCTTCCTGATTACCATTCCCGGGCCGGATGCGGTGACTTTTGTGCAAAATGCTTTGACAGCATTCCTTGGTTGCTGCGCGCCGGATCCGACGGTCGTTTTGATGGGAAGCATATTTCAAGATGATGCCACTACCGCGCTTGTGCAGAGTCCCAATTCAGGTCTGCCAGACAAACCACCACATGAGTTCGTCAAGGGGTACTGGAGCATGACGGATGCGGTCGAGAGGGCCGTCAAGGAGAGTCGCTTCCCGCATTGGACCATCCTTCGGCCTGCTTGGTACATGTCAAACTATCTCGACTTCGCCGTTCGACCCATCCACTGGCCGGCACTGGCACCGGAGAAGAAGTTGGTAGCAGGAGTGCTGCCGGCAACGCCTTTCGAAATGATCGACCCTAGTGATATTGGCACGTTTGCGGCCTACGCTTTGACGGAGAAGGGCGAGCCGAGATGGGAGCACAAGTGTTTGGCCTTGGCCAGCGAGCTTCTTACGCTGGAAGGAAAGGCAAGGATCATGAGCCATGTCAGCGGGATCGAGGTCAAGGCGGTTTATCTGCAAGAAGACGAGGCCGCCAGGTTTGCCGAGGAAGACTTTGTCGGATATTTGCACTTTTGGCAGCGCGTGACTGCACCCAAGGTCAATATGGATGATATGCGGGCATATGGGTTCAAGTTGGGGTCCTTTGAAGAGTATTTGACTCGGAACAAAGAGAGGCTGCTTCTGGCCTTGAACGACGACAGTGTTGCTCAACGAGGGTTGAGTTCCGAAGAGATACTGGAAGGCGCTGGACAGCACGGTCATTAGCGTCGTGGTCGGAGACTTGATCGGACCAGGTTGGGCAGACCTTCTTCACGGGGCTGGGGGCCGACAATGGACAAGGCTGCCTGTTTGGTAGCTGGAGTATTTTGCGGCAACTATCTTTGCGTGCCGGGTGCTCGGTGTGCTTTGCATGTGCATTAGACTCGATCACCGCCGTCATTCACCGCCGTCGAGTTAGACAGGCGCGCAGCATGAGGGATAAGTAGCACCGAGAAACATGGACGTCCAGCCTCAGGCTCGCTTTCGGATTCGCAAATGTCTTGACAGCTCCGCGGCGAAGTTTAAATTTCGCGACTCCACGTCTTCCTTCGCAGCTTCACACCCTGACACACACTGCACCAATGCCTCTCGTTTGACACGGAGTAGAGTCCGCCACCGACTCTCTTCGTCGCCATCGCTCATGGAGGATGACGCCGGGGCCGTGACTCGTCCCCGAGCCGCGCAGGGAGAAGTCAAGGCCGATCGAAAGCGGTCGGCGATTCACTTCAAGGCCCAGCACGCCCTTGTCGTCGCCTTCTTCCTCCTTCTCTTGTAAGCTTTCGCCTGTCCACCCACGCGATTGGGCGCCGACTAAACTCCATCCTACAGTGTCTTCCATGCCCTCGCAGTCTACCTCTTCTGTAGCGGCTTCCTCCTCTCCCGCCTCGTCCTCCAGGACCGTTCGGAATGCCCCCTTCCACCCATCGGACTAGGAGACGGACACACACCCGGGTCGTATGAATTGGGGTGCTGGCATCCCAAGACCTTCGACAAGGCGGTGATAATACTGGTGGATGCGCTGCGCTACGACTTCACCGTGCCCTTCACGCCGGCGCAAGGCGCTGACACTTTCCACTTCCACAACGCTTTGTCAGTACTGTACGATACATCTGTGCACCATCCTGCGAATGCCTTCCTGCGGCCATTCATTGCCGATCCGCCCACTACCACTTTACAACGGCTGAAGGCTCTGACGACCGGGACGCTGCCGACCTTCATTGATGCCGGCTCGAATTTCGCCGGAACGGCTATTGACGAGGACAATCTGATTGAGCAACTACATCGGGCCGGCAAGAAGATTGTGCACTTGGGCGACGATACATGGCATTCCTTATTTCCTGGCTTTTTCGAGCGGAATCTCTCCCAACCCTACCACTCCTTCGATACCCGCGATCTGCATACTGTTGACAATGGGGTCAATGACCATTTGTTTCCTCTGCTCGAGCAACCTCAAAGTGGTCAGTGGGATGTTGCCATTGGCCATTACCTTGGTGTTGATCACGCTGGACACCGATATGGACCGGATCATCCGGAGATGACGGCAAAGTTGCGGCAGATGGACGATGTCTTCCAAAGAATCATTGATTTGATAGACGATACCACCCTCCTCATCGTCATGGGTGATCATGGCATGGATACGAAAGGCGATCACGGTGGCGAGTCTGATTTGGAGGTGGAGGCGGCGTTGTGGATGTACTCCAAACAACCTGTCTTTGGCCGCACAAACCCTGCCTTTGTGACTCCGCCAGCAACTGCAAAAGAACGGCCTGTAAATCAGATCGATCTTGTGCCCACACTAGCTCTTCTTATGGGACTGCCGGTTCCATTTAACAACTTGGGACAGCCAATCGAGGAGGCTTTCATAAAACCAGCAGGAAAGAATTACTTGAACTTGGCGCAAGTGAACCGCTTGACTTCGGCTCAGATTCAGCGCTATCATACCGAATACGCAAAAGTGCGGAGCCTGGATGCTCGGATGATCGCACCGACCGTGACCTCCTGGCTTGAAGCTAATGAAGCCTGGAGCCGAACATCATCCAGTGCGGCAAAGACAGCAGATGCTTGGAAAGAAGTTTTCAATGGCTTTGCTGCATATCAGACGGAGAACTTGCGGGTCTTCAAGTCACTTTGGGCACGATTCGACCTCAACAGCATGTCCATGGGTACTGTAGCGCTGGTGGGAACTTTCGCCGTCATCTGCTTCTATGCCCAAGGTATTGTGACCGATCCGTCGGAATTGACACCCGCGCTGTTGCTGCGTGGTGTCGCCGGGACGGTGGTCGGGGGCGTCTTGGGCGCAGGCGTCAGTGCTGCCGCGGAGCTTCCGTTCAACCAAATCACTGCCTTTGGGGCCGTGCTGGTGGGAATCATCGCGACTCTGTCGGGCTTGTGGTCCGGAAGAGAGGTCGTGAGGATACCGCGTCCGACCACATTCTGGGGCTGGCTGTGCACCCTCTCGACCTTACTCTTATGCGTCGGATTCGCAGCCAATTCTTTCACAATCTGGGAGGACGAGCAATTACTCTTCCTGCTAATCACTTTTGGCCTCGTCATGTTGATGGCTTCTCTTGGTCTTGCCGATGCGCAGGATCGGACATTTGGCGTGATCAATTCACTGTCCTTTCTGGTAGCCACACGGGTTGCTTCGCTATCACGGCTATGCAGAGAAGAGCAGGAGCCGACTTGCAGATCGACGTACTACGCCTCTGCAATGTCTTCTACTTCTGCTGGCTGGCAGCTGAGCATTCCATTCCTCGTGGCTTTGATTCTGCCAGAGGTGATGAAGTACTTCTACATGCGGACAAGAAACTATCAAGGCTCTGCTGTCATCTGGATCGGAATCATCCTTCGACTTGGGCTGTTGATCACGGCTGTTTTCTGGGTCGTCGATGCTGCTGATGACGGCAATTGGTATCCTCAAATGGCAGAAGAAACTCTCACGACGGCGCGGGCATACCTTGCGCAGACCGTTCTGGCTCTGGCCTTCGCCGCTGGGTATGGGACATACGTCTGGGCCTCTCCCTTGCTCCTGGTGCGAACCGAGGAAGCCAAGTCAGCCCCAACAATGACATCGAAATCGCTCGAGCCGGCAAAAGCAAACGCCCCCGTCTTGACAGCGATCAACGGATCTCCGCAGCCTCGCACAAAGCTAATAATCCTCGGATACGCCAACACGCACGGCTCAAGGTACTTCCTGCTCCCCGCCGTCTGGGTACTTGCGCTGCTCCTTCTACAAAAGCCCATGGGCCAGGGCACACTCGCGCTCTGCATGGTGTCCATCATCAACATCCTCGAAGTAATCGACGTCAACAACCTGCGCCGCTCCCCCTTCGGCCCCACCCTCTTCGCCCTCCTGGGCAGCTTCTACTTCTTCAAAACCGGGCACCAAGCCGTCCTCGCCACCATCCAGTGGGAAGCGGCCTACATCCCGCTCAAAACGCTGCAGTACCCCTGGAGCCCCCTGCTCATCGTCATCAACACTTTCGGCGCGCAGATCCTGTGCGCTATCGCTGTGCCTGCCATTGCGCTGTGGAAAGTCAAGCCCAGCCTGCCCGGGTTGCTGGGCAGGGTGGCGAGCGCCATGGCGACGCATTTGCTGTTCTACGCTGCTGTTGCTGTTGCCACGGTGGTGGAGGCGGCGTGGCTGAGGAGGCATCTCATGCTGTATCGCGTGTTCATGCCGCGGATGCTGATGTCGATTACGGTGCTGTTGGTCGTGGAGCTTGTGGGGGCGGTAGTGGCTATTGGCGGCGTGCGGTGGAGCATGCTCAGTGTCTGTGAAGTGTTTGGGTGGCCGGAAGTGGTCAATGCCAGTTGATGGGCTGGCCGCGGTTTAGAGAAATGATCTGTCGATACAGGTTCTGTGATCTGTGCATAGCGTCTGCCAGTGACCCTCTCTTGTGCATGTTAAGCTCCCGCAAGAGTTGCGCGGTCCCATCTTGGCCATGCGTGAGGAGATTTTCTTGTCGGCGTCTTGCGTAAGCTTTGTAACGACGTCGAATGGGGAAAGCCTTACGAGCGATACGAAGCCGACCTACTACTTGATGGGGCAGTGATCTGCACCGGCATGCTAGCCGTCCATGCTAGCCGTGCCTGCTCCAGACCGTCGATGATGTTCGCGACGGAAATAAAGTTGACGCGAACATTTCAGCCCCTAGCGAGCTAAGTTATGTCAGCGCTTCATGTTGATGATGTTATACGTCTGCTGGAGTCCATATATATCGCGGCTGCATTGTCTTGAAGAACCGTAATTGCAACGACACTCATCTTGCATTCCAAGTAATCGCTGCAATCATGCCGCACGCAACGCCCAACAACATGCTCCCTCAAGTCCCTCTCAAACCGGAAGATCGCCCACGCTACACCAAAGACCAGCTGAACGCTTATTTCCACATGATCAACCTGCCTCCAACGCACCTCAAGTCCCCCATCCTATCCAATCCCAGCCTGGCCACAAGCACCCAGCATGCCCTTCCACTCCTCAAAGCCCTCGTCCTGCACCACCTCACCACCGTCCCCTTTGAAAATCTCTCCCTGCACTACTCGCCGCGCAAAACGCTCAGTCTCGACATGCACGACCTGTACGCCAAAATCGTCGGTCGGAACGGGCACCGCGGCGGGTATTGCATGGAGAACAACGGCTTGTTCGGCACGGTGCTGCGCTCGCTGGGGTTCCGGGTGCGGAATTGCGCGGCGCGCGTGTCGAGGATGATGAGTCCTTCGGAGCACGTGCGGGCCCAGCAAGGGCAGACGTACGATGGGTGGAATCACATGCTGAACCTGGTGTTGCTGGACGGGGAGTGGTGGGTGGTGGATGTGGGCATGGGCAACATGGGGCCCTGTGCAGTGTACAAGCTGCAAGACGGCGTGGAGCTGGAGAGTATTGCGCCGCGGCGGATCCGGTTGCAGAAGCGTGCGATTGCGGAGAGTTATTCTGCCGAGGAGGAGGGCGGCGGGGCGGTGCCGAAGCTGTGGTGTTTTGATGTCTGCTACAAGCCGGAGGTTGCAGAGGGAGAGGAGCGCGCGTGGATCCCGACGTACGCATTCACCGAGGCCGAGTTCTTGCCGCAGGATTTCGAGATGATGAATTACTTCACGTCGACGAACAAGGCGTGTCTGTTTACGTATGTGCTTATCATCACCAAGATGCTGGCGGACGAGGCGGGTGAGAAGATCGTGGGCGATATAACGATGCTGAACGACACGGTGAGACGTAACTTCGGGAGCGATCGGAAGGTGTTGCGGGAGTGTAAGACGGAGAAGGAGCGCGTTGATGCATTGAGGGACTTCTTTGGTGTGGAACTGACAGAGGAGGACAGCGAGAGCATTACTCCTGAACTAAAGATTCAGTGATGGCTTTCGAAGGATGGGCACGGCTGGATGGGGTGCGAGAGGCGATAGCATAGAGAACACACCTCTCATGTCCATCTGATCTCCCGAAGCCCTTGCATCATCGGTGTGGGCAACGGAGACCGATTATCGATCTGTATCGTGCTTCTTCGTATCACGACTTAAAACTCGTAGGATTCTTGGTGATAGGTTTTGCCACCTCACCTCATCGGACTTCTCGACGGCCTCCCCTGGGGTACTGGCTGAGCATGCCTACCCCGTGGTGAGCTCAGCAAATCCATGTTTGTCGCCTTCGAAGGGGACTGCGGACGCTTCGACGCAGGCTTCGGCGCAGGCGACAGCGAAAAGTTGCTAATCGGCGGCAACTTCGAAGTGGCAGGTCGATCGACGCTCGCTTCATCCTCTGACATCGGCCTTGCCGACCTCCACTCTTGAGTATCTTCCGAAAGCAGCTCGTAGACAGCGTCTTGATGCTCGATGAGCATATCGGTGATGGTCTCTTCACTGCTGCGGTTCACCTTGCCGAACCGCTTCTTCGGCTTCCGTGATACATCGCTCGACCAGAAGTTGTGTTCGGATGTGACGAAGACAAGGGAGATGCTGTGATACCACGAGCCAAGGGAGACGCCCAGAGCATCATTGTTGACGGATCTGCAGGACTGCAGGGGTACGTCTTGGACGAAAGATATCGCGCCCGTGAGCTGATCTTGTGCGCGCTCTTCGTTGCCTTTGATGAAGTTGATGATGGCGCCGTGCCCGATGTTCGTGCCCATAAGGAAGACGTGGGTGGAGTCGTTGAGCTCAATGTAGTTGTCCCACAAATAGTTCAACAGCTGCGTCGCTTCGAGCGTCCTGTTCTCCACCGAGTCGACCTCCTCATGCTTCTGCTGGCCGTCAATGTCGGAGGCATGCTTTGGCAGATTCACATCGATGACCGCGAAGCCTTGGTTGACCGCCCACTCGATGTAGGTCTTTACAATATCAGTCTTGATTTCTAGGTCAGCGATCTGTCTGCAATTGCATGACAGTTGTGCAACACTTACTAGCCAGGTGTTGTGAAGCTCGACCACGCCGGTGCGAGGGTCTGGAGAGGCGAGGAGCTCTGGCGGGTCGTGCAGGATGACAAGCAGCGGCCGAGCGGTGTAGTAATTCTGACTATTGAAATGTCAGTGAAGAAGTCATTTGCGTTCTGGGTTCTGACTTACGTTGCGAGCACCTGGTTCTCAAATGACTTCGAAAGATGCTTGTTGTAGACGAAGAGAGGAGACATTCCAAATTGTTCCCATAGTGTCGTCGCTTGCCACTTTCGCACAACATCGTGCATCCTCTCGCCGTGCAAGAGGCCAACATTGAGTCGCGTTGAGATGTCTTTCGGGTAGAGGCTGGCCCAAAAGCGACTCTGTTGCCGTAAGACACGCTTGATGTCGTCAACAGCACTGGCAGTAGGATTGACATCTTGGAGCCGTTCAGGTGGTTCGCCCATCAGTGTTCGGGCAACGGCCGTCGCAGATCTCGCGATCGACTCGAGGTTGTAGCCACCTTCGAGGCAGACAGCGACCTTGCCTTGTGCGAGGGACATGAGCATATGCGTCATGTGTGCGTAGCCAGCGGGAGTCACGTTGCATCCTCCGAGCATGTCCCCTTCCGCGGCATCGAATCCCGCCGCAATGATGACAAGATCTGGGTCGAATTCGTTGGCGATGGGCATGATCACCTGCTGGAATGCATACACGTAGTCTGCATCGCCCATTCCCTTCCTACTCCACGGAATGTTGACATTCTTCCCAAGCCCGGCACCGGCGCCACAGTGGAGATGATCTCCATACGCCACACGTCCGTCGCGATAAGAACGTTCAGGATAGAATCGTCCTCTCTCGTGCACGTGGAGAGAGATGTAGAGGACGTTTGGATCGTTGTAATTCGCCTGCTGAATTCCGTTGCCGTGATGCACGTCCCAGTCCAAGACGAGCACTTTACGGCATCGATCGCCGAACTCCCTTTGACACACCTTGGTTGAGATGCTGACGTTGTCGTAGAAGCAGAAGCCTTTCGCGTCCTCTCGCTCAGCGTGATGGCCGGGTGGTCGGATGACAGCAAACACATTCTTGACTTTGCCGAGCACGACCGCGCGGCAAGCTTCGATCGCACCTCCCGCTGACAAAGCCGCGCAGTACGGCGTAAGTGGAGAGATGTACACCGAGTCCATCTTATGGCCAGGATGCTGCTGCGGCTCTTCAAAATCGTCTTCTGTCCAAGTGTTGATGGATTGAATCCAGTCCCAATGGGCTTCGGTATGCACGAGGCAGACTTCTTCTTTGGTCACCTTTCGAACATCGATCCGTCCCATGTAGTACTCGTTCGATGGACCATTTGTGCCTTCACCCCAGGCGAGGCCAGCGTTGACAAAAGACTCAAAGATGGCGTGGATTCGACGTGGGTCTTCGGGGTGAACATCATCTTCTGTCGGCATAGTCTCGACGTGAAAGCGCATTCGCACATCATAGACCAAGCCAGTCTGCAAGGTGGCGTACGGGAGGTTGCCATACTTTGCCGGTCGCGGGGCGTCTTTGCGTTTCGTCAGGTGCTGGTCAAAGACCTCCAACTTGACCCCTTCTCCCTTCAACGGTGGCGTTCTACCGCCGAAGACTGCTGAGGAAACATGGGAGTCCAGTACATCCCGCTCGGTTGTTGCGAGGACGTCCTCATCCATAAGAACGTCGGCATCCCCATCGAGAGCCATAGCTGCTTTCAAACAGGCGCCACGAGCCTTGCTGGATGTGGCATCACCTGTCCGCAGACATCAGGTCGACAGGTTCCTGCGTAAGTAGATCAGCATACGTGCCAGGAATCCAGTCGATATGCTTCACGTGGGGAGATTGAAAGCATGGCATGTGGTTTCAAAGATGGCCACGAGAGTCTGGCAACCATTCACATATTCCAAACCACTCTTCACAAGTTGAATTGTGAATATATTTGCGACATGAAACCCGCCGGGTAGCTCTTACCCCACGTCAAACACTCACTCACCTTCACGGTTCCCGAACGCCTACGCGTCTCAAAGCGCCGCAACACTCCACCAAACGAAGCGTCCTAAGCTGGAGTCGGTTGAGGAGGGCGTGATCGGAGGGTGCACGCGCTTTTGGTGTCGCTCCAGGCAGGCAGGGCCTCGCGGTGGTTGTAGTTGTTTAAACGAGGGAGTTGAAATCGAAGTCCTAAGACTTTCAAAAGAGCGCTAGTGCGTAATTACGTAATAAACGCTGGTCCATCTACATGTATTCCTCATATATTTAAATTAGTACAGAGGCTCTAGATCTCCACTTTAAGCTATTCTATTCTATAATTAATGAAGAAAATCAGATTTAATAGCACTTTACTAGATAAGAAGACGACAAAGCACCTTTTAAAGCTTATAGAAGTCATATGTCTTCGGTTAATCGTTGTTCTACCTTCTAAATCTAAGTCCTAGACGCCTTAGGCTTCTAACGAAGAAATAACACGCTCTGAAGCCACGAATTTACCACGACTTTAAAGGCTGACAGCGCGACCACTTCATCCCGCGACTTTGAGCAGTGAGTCTGCAATAAGGCTGACTTGCTCGAAAGGCTGCGCTTCACAAAAAGCAGGAGGCAATCAAACAGAATAGCCAAGATCGAGGAATGTTTTGGACAAGTGATACAGCATTTACATCGATACATCAAGTTACTTTTTTCCACCTTTGTATCAAGCCCCGATTCGCCATGTCAAAGTGATGCCCATGTTCCCATTCCCAAAAGTCTTTCCGAGAGACTCGCCGAAATCCAAACGGCGTCAGCATCAGCACCAGCAGTCATCTGGTATCTGCTGAATCATCAACGCCCAAAAAGCGCCACGCTAAGTAATCAAGAAGCAATTCTTCGTAAGGCGAAAGAAGCTGGAGAATGAATATCGGCGATCGTTGCCGGAAATTGAAAAGGAGAGCTCAGGCGGTGACAGAGACAAGCATTTGCGGGCGCGCGCCCGTCCCGGCCCGCGAGTGCGGCAGCTTCGTGTGCTGGGTTGCTGGGGGGTGGTCACGCCGGCTGCTGGCGGAGGAGGAGGAGGCGGATTTGCGAGACTTCTGCGCGTCCTCCTTGCGACCGGGTCGCTTCGGGTTGCAGGCTGCTGGAGCTTGCTCCTCGTCCGACATGTCGCCGACCTCCACTACTACCTCGAGCTGCCGGGTCTGCGCCGGCTTCGCGCGAGTGGAGTTGTTGACCATCCGAGGTGGAGCATGGACGGGTGCATGCTTGACAAGGGGACGGTTTCGTGATCGAACCAGGCCCGGTGATTGGCTGATGTCCTCGACCTGCTCGATCTGTTCCATCTCGAACACGTCGTTGTCTTCGTCGTAGGAGTCATCATCCGAGTCGGTGTCATCGTAGTATTCGGGGTCGGAGCTGGAATCGCTGTCTTCGTCGTAGTAGTTGGGCTGCTTGGTGGTGACGGATACTTGTTGCTTCTGAGGCGTGGAGATGGTGCAGGAGCCCATGTAACTGTCGAGGAGGTTGGCGTGGCCGATCAAGACGCGCAAGTTCATGTCGCCTTTGCCGACTTCGCGGAGGAGCTTGCTGCGGGCAGAGACGGCGACACGGCGAGCCTGCTCGCTGGAGGAGAGGTTGCGCATAGGCGCTGCGCTTCGGGAGCCAGGCATGTTGGAAATATGTGTTGAGATGAGAGTAGGAGGGAGTAAGGAGGAGCTGCTGTTGTGCGGGTGGCTCGATTGTGGTTGTGCTGGGAAGTTGACTCGACGATCCCAGGCTACCCAGGCGATAGATATACCTTCGCGCGGTTGGCGACGGACGCGTCGGGCGTAAGGCATTCTATTCACGTCCTCCACCAACATGGCCTCGCAGCCCTGTCGCATACTCGTTTACTAAGTGTGTGAGAAGCATGTCCGTCCAGCCTTATTTGGTACACATCCCGGGAACCCCTGGTTGGCGAGGCGGCACGGCGCATGACCACTCCAAACGCCGCCTGCAAGTCCACGCGGTTCTCCTCGGAGGAGACGCTGTAGCTTTCGAGGCCGCGATACCTGCATGTGGGGGCAGGCAGGGTGGAAGGCAGCTGAAATTGGTACCGTGATCTTAGTCAGACGGTGCGAGGATAGAATAATAATAAAAGTCTAACCGATCAGCGATGGTTCAGGCAATACCTTCTGCCTACTGTGGTGCTTTCATCGCCGATCCGGAAGCGGCCGGCAGCGACTTCACTCTACCGCAATTGCCGCACAACACCAACCACACCGCGCGCTCGTCGCGCATAGCAGCGCACCCTAGTCGGATAGCAAGATTGCGGGTGTGTCATGATGCATCAGCAGAAGCAAAGCCCAGCGCGGGGAGCAAGGAACAGCGCGGACTGCACCCGCCACGGCAGGGTTGGCGCAAGGCGTTTGGTGCAGATGAGCGGTGGCAGTTTTTAGAACCGCCAGCCTGTTTACTCATCTAGCTCGATGTATCTCGTTAATCTTGAATCTACATAGCCTGTCGCTTGCGGATGCAGAAGGCTGCAGCGAGCCGCGTTGCGCTCGCGTCGCCTTCCCAGCAACTCTGTGTCAGATAGCCTTGCGGAACGAGCCTAGGGTGGCCGAAAGCAACACGGACGTCCTTCCGCGTTCGAGCTTCCCCAGATATCTCTCCACATGCCGCACGTGGAGGGAGGGACCAACGTTGGAAACCAGTCGGTCGGTACGTTCCGGGAAGGCCTGAAGAAAAGATTCCAACGCGGCTGCGCGCAAGTGCCACCGTGGCTGAACATACGTGCGATCACAGCCTGCGAACTGCGATCGATCCGCTCTCATGGTTCGTCGCATGGCATCGAGAGATCTCTTCGGGGATGAATAGGATAGTCAATGTCCTTCTCGGCTGTCTCTGATGTTGGGGTGATGTGCCAGGCTTTGACCACCCTGGACAGAAAGCAATCTCATGATTAGTCGAATGACATGTTCCATGTATCATTGACCATTTCAGATAAGGTATGCATGCGATCGTCGATACCCTTCTGGCCGCCTTTCATGCTCGAGAGATGAGCCCCGCTCTGACACCACGGACGCCATTTGAAGTCGTCATTTGGCTCCGACAAGTCGCGTGGCGTCGAGGTTATTTTACGTCGAGGGCTATTTTAGATACGCATGGGATCGTCGATGATCGTCGATATCCTTCCAGCGGCGCTCCATGCTCGGGAGACGAGCCGAGCTTTGACACCCCGGATTTGAGCCGAGGTCATGGTTGGTTGCGTGGCAGGTTACATGGCGTGGAGGATTATTTCAGATGTGAATGGAATCATCGAATTCCTTCTGGCGGCCTTCCATGCTCGGGAGATGAGCCGAGTTCTGACACCCCGGGCGCAATGCGACGTCGTTGTTGGTTGCGTAGGAAGTTGCTTGGCGTGAAGGATCATTTCAGATATGCATCGAACCATCGATTTCCTTCTGGCGGCCTTCCATGCTTGGAAGATGGGCCCGGCTCTGGCACCCTGGACAATTGTGCACGGTCTCATGGCAAAAGACGTCACAGTCGATGCAGAAGTGATTCTGACACGTCTCACATTCGTAACGACTCGACTCACTCGCTCCTTCGGCTCGCGGGCGTCTGGCCGCTGTTGGTTCCTCGTCATGGCCCTGCTGAGTTGCAGGAATACGCGGGAATGGCGTAAGACAGCCGTAGCATTGCGTACTCCCTCTTTCCCTCGCGCGGCTCCAAGAAACTTCGGCCCAATTCCTCAACGGAAAGAGGTGGTGGTAGGATCGGGCCAGATGCGTGGAGAGAATGAGGGTGAGGTCACACGTTGGACATGTGGCCGGAAGGTTGCAGACTTTGGCCTTGCACCGGCTGCACAGGTAGCCACCGCGGGTGAGGTTCCCATGACACGCGCACAGCGTTGCATTTTCCTCGACAATGCGTGACGGAAAGCCCATCATGAGTAACGCGGCTTGATTCCGTCGCTGCGCTTCGGTGTCAGTCGAGCGTACGACTGGCGGTGTCGTAATTGACATCAGCAGCTCGCGATAGTCCACCTCATCGATGGCAACGTGGTAGCAGTTCTCATCACCAGCATTCGTCTTTCGGCAGATCTCAGCGCAAATGTGCATTTGAGCAGCGAGACCGATGATGCTCACTCGGATCCGCGCTTTGATGCACGCTTTGATGGTATCGTGAATGTCGCCAGGGTCTGAAGTAAGTAAAGCGCCAAGGACGATCACCACCTCCCTTGTGCCATGCGAGGGGGTGTGGTAGAGTGCCGCCCGGGCCATATCTAGCGCATTTTGGAGAGAAGGGTTTCCCTTGGGCTCGATGGCTCGCAGCGCCTTTACTGCGTTGATGTGATCGTTTGGGTTGCCAGACATGTCGCTGATGCGGATGGCGATGCCATCACGCATGCCCAAGATCCCGAGTTGAGAGATGGGGTTCTGCTCGAAGAACTCCCTGACAAATCCGATGGTATAGTTGATGGTCAGTAGGAGCCTCGTGGGCCGTAGATCCTTCTCGGACATCGCAGTGGATAGGTCGAGGATGAGTATGGTGTGGCGAATGATACCTCGTTGCAGAGGCGTGGTGTCTTTTAGCAATCTACCGGCCCAGAGTCAGTAGAGGACAGGGGCATACGATCGTCAGTACACACCTCTTGCGTTTTCCCGCCTCCTCGATCCCGCCGAGAACGCCCTCGATATCGCCATCAGCACCTTCGTGAAGTTCCCAGTTGCTCGTTGCGGCGGCTTCCCATCTGGCCTGCTCCCTGCCCTTGGAACGAGATGCCATCGCCCGGCCATTTCCACGCGAGCCCCCGCCGCCGCCGTTCACCACCTCTGCAATATCATCGTCCGAGCCGTGATCGTCATACTCGCCATCTGACATGACTCTGAGTTTGAACGGACAAGTCTCCGCTCTGGCGTTCAAGGCTGTCAATGACGAGCGCCTCCGGTCTCGAGATGCCGCAGGTGGTTTGCTCTCGCAATCATCGGAGGCGTCAGACGCGGTAAGGCTGGTTTCATCATCCTGCAAGAGGCAAGAAGTCAAATTCAAGGCACTGCCACGACCGCCACACGCGAGCACGTGCACGCCAAGGCCAAGGTGGGGCGCGGTTCAGGGAGGGTTGTGCTTTGACACCATTTTCTTGACGGGACCAGGCAAACACTGGCTCACGAAAGCATCCACTCTCCCCACACCCTTCCACACACGCCTCTCCCTTGTTCCTCACTCCCCTCACGACTACCGAAGCCGGGCGTGGTACAAATCTCGCCGACGCACGCGACACGATGGCCAACGACGAGTACGACGTACGAGCTGCAACGTTGCCTAACTCCCTGCGGTCCAGAACATCATACTAACAGCACCCCCTCGCACAGTTCCTCTTCAAGGTCGTCCTAATAGGCGACTCCGGCGTCGGCAAATCCAACCTGCTCTCCCGCTTCACGCGCAATGAATTCAACCTCGACAGCAAATCCACCATCGGCGTCGAGTTCGCGACCCGCAGCATCCAGGTCGACAGCAAGACCATCAAAGCCCAGATCTGGGACACGGCGGGCCAGGAGCGCTACCGTGCCATCACCTCCGCCTACTACCGCGGCGCCGTCGGCGCCCTGCTCGTCTACGACATCAGCAAGCACCAGACCTACGAGAATGTCACCCGGTGGCTGAAGGAGCTCAGGGATCACGCCGACACGAACATTGTCATCATGCTGGTGGGCAACAAGAGCGATTTGAGGCATTTGCGGGCTGTGCCCACCGAGGAGGCCAAGGAGTTTGCGAGCCAGAATGGGTTGAGCTTCATCGAGACTTCGGCGTTGGATGCGAGCAATGTCGAGCTGGCCTTCCAGAATGAATTGACGGGTATGTTGCATCCCTTATCGGAGGAGACGTGGCCTTCGCCAGGTCCTCACCCGGTCCACCTGCAGTGCGTTTGTGGTGAAGCCCAACGCTAACAAGTGCGCAGAGATCTACCGCATCGTCTCATCGAAAGCTCTGGACCAAGGCGAGGCAGGCCCCGGCCCCGGCCAAGGCACCTCCATCCCCCTCGGCCCTTCCAATCCTCCTGGAGACGGCAAGAAGTCAGGCCAGTGCTGCTGAGCAGCGGATGGCATATTGGCTGTGGAATGACCTACTTGATCTCGGCAATGGGTGGTTGGGAACGTGCTTGTGCAATACACGAACCGCCAGACGTGCGATGTCTTTTCATTGCTTGACGTGAGATGGAATGGACGAGCATGCGGAGAGGTTTAGACGATGCTATTGGGCGTTGACGGCGTCCGGACCGGAGCAATACGCTTGTTGTTCGCGGGAGTGCCTTTGTAATTTGAAATGAAGGGCTTTGAAAACCTCGAGACTCACGATGATTTTCACAGTGTTTTCTTTATTGAATACTTATGTGCTCGTATCACGGTTTACCGTATATACTGAGCCTAGCTTCTGCCATGTCCGTGAGCATCGCTCGGTATATCCTCCTAGCTGGATCAGATGCTGTGCTTGGGGCTGCTTGCTTCCTCCTATCTCTCCAAATACACCATCCGCCGCACTCCCCAGGTCATCTCATTCGCAGTGCTCGCTCACTTAGCATACTCGCGCTTGATCCTCTCGAATGTGTCCGAGAGTCTCGCATACTCCGAATTGATGGCTGGAAGTTCCCTCTTGAGATGTTGTATCACCAAGGTCTCCGTCGGATCCTCGATCTCACGCTCGATAGTTTGATCAACGGTGGTGTAAAAGTCTTTGTAGATCCGTCGTACGCCTCTGTTGATCCGAGCTTCGTGATGTTCTTGCGCTTTTCGTATCGCGTTGGTAGCCTTCCTTGCGAGGATCGTGTAAGGAGAGCGCTCGTTGACTTGCATCAGGTGGTTCTCGATTTTCGCCATTGAACGCGCCGTCACGCCTTTGCCTGGGAATGGTCAGGTGGGAAGATAGAACCACATCAGGCTGCGGCTTACCGGAGTCATTGTTGCAACTGTCGTAGACGGGAATCATGGTGAGACTGAAATAGTTCTGGTCACTGTCTTGCGTCATGTCGAGTTGGATCGTTCTGCATGGATCAGCCAACGGTCTCTTATCATGAGGGATGGTTCGGCGTACCGCAGGTGCCTCTCACGGGCCTCAGCAGCATCCCTGAACGCGTTGCTGATGCCAAGGACATGGCCTTCTACCAGCTGTTTCAGTGTTTCCACAGGAATGGAGGCGTGATAGGGTTGGCCTAGCATCGTTAGCATTGAAACGAAGAAGGCCAATAGATGTGTTGGGTACCACGGAGAACTGTGATGACCGCTCGGAGATCCTTGTGAGCCTTGGCTTCCAACTTGCCGTCGGCTCCGAGCAATTCAGCTTCCAAGGCCGGCATGGCGGACATGGCTTTGTCCGAGGATACTTCCGAGAATTCTTCGTTCCAGCATTGTTCTGGGCACACACTCGTAGCATGCGTGCCGCGTTTCCTGATGAATGCCCGAATGGAGGAGTGATGCATATTCCTGCTCTTGCCTGCAGTCACTTCGAGTGCTGCTTTAGTGGCAGCGTGGCGCACAGCACGCATCGGAGTTGTAATGGTGTCTCTTAGCACTCGCTCGAACTCTCCCTTGCGAGGCAGCATGTGTTTCGTAAGCTCATTGTACGGGCGCTTGACATGCTGCATAAGTCCTCGACGAGGTTCGACGGAAGACTTGCTCACCCAGAGTTCCAAGTTCTTGAGGAAAACAAACAAATTGCTTTTGTAGTCGTCGAGCTCACGAAGAAGCTTCGATGCAGGAAGGGTGAGCGCAAACGCACGCAAAGCTGGTACCCCGGTGGCAGCGGCTTCCAGCGTAAGGCCTTCATGCTTGACGAGGCCTCTGGCGGCGGCATAATGCGAGTTCGACACACAGAAGACCTGCAGCACATCACCTGCAGGTAGATTGTGCTGGGCTTTTTCTTGAAGCTGCTCGGTGACCCAGGCATTGCGCGCCTGGACCAATGAAGCGAGGCGCTGGCGTTTCAACGAAACCGACGCAGCTTTCAACCGAACAACCTCCGCATTCTTCGTCACCGCCTGCGCTCCGCTTGCTCGAGCTGTGCGAAGTTTGCTCTTCGCCTGGGCGATTTGAGTCTCGATTGTCTTCAAATTGATGGTTATCTGTTGGAAGCGGGCCATGTCTTGTCCACGACTTTGCAGGTCTTCGGCCAATTGCTGCTGCTCGTTGGCAATATTGTCGTCGGATCGTGTACAAATGACCGCGACACTGCCTTTGAACACCCGGCCGTAGGTGGATAGCAGGCGCAGCGCCGTATCATCATCGACAACCCGGTCTATCCTTGACACAATCCAGACGCAGTCGCAAGATTTGATGTACTCTTTCGTCAGATTCGCACGAGACTCATTGGTGTCCGATATGCCAGGAAGATCGACGATGGTGATGTCGTTGAGAATGCGCGGACCTCGGACGAAGATACTGACTTGCCGGATGAGGGGCCACAATGCAGGCTGATCGAACTTGCGCCCGGACAAGGTCAGAGGGTCAATCTTTTTCCGCAGCGCTTCGAGTGTGTTAGCTGCGCGCCATTCGAAGTATCCTTGGTCTGTAATCTTGTTTCTCAGCTTCTCTTCACACGATCCCACAATCTTTTCGAGTAGCCGATTGTCGTTTTTGTTGTACGCTTTCTCTAACGTCTCACGGGCGCGGTCATTATCCTTGAACTCGAGGAGGTCGCAAAACAAAGTTCGAAAGGTTTTGAAGGCATTCTGGTTCTTGAGCTGATAGCCAGTAACGATCTCGGGTGCCCACTGCTGGTCGCGTTCGAATTGATAGACGTTGTAGTCCCAGAGTTGCTCTTGAAGCATGGAGCGAATCTCTTTGATGTCGAAATAGTGGATGTACGCATAGCAATTCTTTCTTTGGCCGGGGTATGCCCCAGAGTATTCTGTGGGAACACAGGTGACGCTACTTCCGATGCTCGACTGGACTGTGTCAGCAATGAAGCACATCAAAGAAAGGAAGCACGTACCGATTTCGCCAGATTTCCCAGATCACTGAGCGAGTTGAGCACTGAGCTTTTGCCTGGGGTTGTTAGCAACGATCCGAGCTCATTTTGGAGTCCATACATACCAGTGCCAGCGTTTCCGAGTAGGGCGATCCTGAACTTCTTCACCGGATGTATCTGGAGAAGGCTTTTCGCAGCATCTTGCTGAATGCAAAATTGCGGACTCTCGCACCAATGCCGCTGAAGAACATCATTGATTTTCCGTGGAAGCTTGATGACCTCTGGTTGGATCTCGGAAATGCGTTTGTCGTATGCGGCGCATCTGGGATACGGTTTGGTGGAAGGATCGTACATAGCTCCAGTGCCGGCGCCCTCATCCATATCATCGTCGCTGTCCACCTCTGTGTATGGTTGAAGCGGGGACTCATCGAGCTCGCTATCGTTGTCGTCGAATGTTGCAGTGTCCCCAGTGGGGATGTTGTTTTCATCGAAGATGAAGAGCGTGCCCTCGTTCTCCTCCACGGGCTCGGGCTCATCTGCTCGGGAAGCGTAAGCCTCGCCATCGTTGTCGTTGCACGCGGCAGTGTATCCGGTGCGACTGTTGTTTTCGTCGAAGATGAAAAGCGTGTCCTCATTATCATCTTCGCCCTCGTCCCCGTCCCCATCTGCTCGTTTGCGCTTGCCGAGCATGGCTTGAATGTGGAGTTGCTTCGTTCTTGCCGAGTTGTGGTAAAAGGAAGTTGACGAGCAGAGAAGTTTCGAAGGTTGAAGGATGAACGAAGCATCATAGAGTAGAAAGAAGGAAGAAAGGAGGAAGACAGGGGATGAGAAGAGAGCAAAAGCACGGCAAATTATTCACATGCGTAGAGAAAGTGAAACACCATGTGAAGGCACAAATAAGCCAGGTAACTGAGCAGCAAATGGACGAGTGCGTAATGAAGGTGAATCTGAACTAGACTATCTGAAACAGAATCACTGAGACATTGTAGTGTGTGACATTGCTGCGAGGGAGTATTGTGAGACTGTATTTCAGAGTCAACGTTGACGGACAAAGACAGTAGAGAAAGGACTGGCCGTGAGCAGGAAAACATTCACTGTGCGGACAGCTTTGTGCATTTCGAATACTCTAGGTGGGGGCTCCCATGGTGACGGTATGAGAGGGTCGCTAGACATGTCGTTGTCACCTTGGACGACACAAGACAGTACGACGCTGCATTCTCGGACAGATGAAGTGAAGTCGCAGACCCCTGGTTAAAAGTCGAGGTATGATACCTCTCGTTTTGTCAACATCTTGCCGCCGGGGAAGCCTCCCCAAATGTCGTGCTTGGCGCCCGAGCATCTTCAGCGCTCACGTTTGAAACGGAGCACACGACCTACACCTTCAACAAGATTGTGAATCCGACGACTTGCTGGGCATATGGACCGACTATAGTCCCTGCGATCAACCAAAATCGCCACCCTTCCAACCCCACCCCTGGGAAAGCCGAAACATCCGGCCGGGAAAGTCGGGCAAGATGTTTTGTCTACGGTCTTGGGTTTTTACTCTTGCTTGCTTGTACGTTGCCTTTGGCTCAGAAGAGATGGAATGAGTTGTTGCTAATGGACGACAACAGAACGAATGCATCACCCATCTACGTCTTCCTCTTCCTCACAGCAACCTACGTCCTCCAACGACCCTGCGTGTACTGCTCGATCCTCTTATTTGTCCTCGTCTTCTCCCTCTACGACTTCCACGCCGACTGGTTCGAGCCAAGATGGCAGTCAGCAACATCGATCGCAGGACCGCTCCTGGGATGGAACGCAACGGTTGCAGATGCACTGGACGGAGCAGCGAGTATCGCAATGTCCGCCTTGAACGGGACTGCTGGCTCGGTCGTAGGGGCAGGACTGGACAGTGCAAGAAAGAGATGGACGGGCGGGTCGGAACTCGGGGCGTCCGCTTCTATCAGTGGGTTCGAGTGGCTTAGGAATCTGGTGGAGAGAAGGCAGTTCCGCATACCATGTGTGGATGTGCTGGTGCGGCTTTGAAGGGTCATTCATGAAGAGCGTGTGAGCATAGCGTTGGTATTAGGGATGATGGCATGAGCACGGCGTTTCAGCAGCAGCGTAGAGGGCGTTGCGACATTCCTAGAGAGTCGTTATAACGATAGGGAGGACTGGAAAAGCCGTCTGTATTTGTGAGAAGAAACGGTACATTCTTCCCGCCATCACACGCGCCCATCTTCCAGCAATCATTAGCCGGCTCCCTGCCTAAAGTAGATGGTAAAGCAATCGTGTAGAGGAAGCAATCAGGCTCAGGGCACGCGGGTACCTGCACCTGCCTAATCCGCACGCTCCACATGCACTCGCACCTTCCACTCCGAACTCCGACCTCCACAATTAGTGAAATACTCGGCCTTCTAGCTTCCATCCACCTGCACAATCCCGCCCTCCCTCTTGAATGCTCCCCTCGTGGTCTGCGCGTGCCTTACAGAGAGGGACTAGTGGGGTGTTGCATCCACTCTTTCACTCCGGTCCTCAGCTGCCTATAAAGCCGTCGTTGGCCGCTTGCGCCATCAGAGCCTACTCTCTTTCGAGCTCGCAAGCAGCATCACACTTACAAAGGGCTGATAGAAGAGCCGCCATCCGCAGGATACCGCGACTTGCAAACACATACCCTATCGGGCTCCAGAAGAGACATTGTTCCAGCGAAGCATCCAGCACTTTGCTCAAGATGGCGTCCGATCGTGACATTCTCCCGGCTGAGTACGAGTGACCATTGAGGTACACCTTGTCGAGAAACAGGCTAACACACCCACGCAGCGTCAAGCCGATCAACTACGCCATCTCCCTCTTCGATCTCAAGGCCGGTGAGCCCTGGACATACCAAGGCACCGTCGACATCGACCTCAACATCAAGAAAGCCACCAAATCAATCACAATCAACACCGTCGACACCAAGATCCACTCCGCCTCCGTGACGACCGAGAGCGGCAAGAATGCCTCGTCCATCAAGGCCTCCAACACCTCCTACGACACCACCAACCAGCGATGCACCTTCACCTTCGATCAAGATCTCCCCGAGTCGCCCAAGGCCGTGCTGCACATCTCCTTCGAGGCCGTGATGAACAACCACTTGGAAGGCTTCTATCGCTCGCGCTACAAGCCGACCGTCCCCGCGTCCAAGGGCGTTGCGAGGGACAGCGACAACCACTACATGTTCAGCACGCAGTTCGAGTCCTCCTCTTGCCGCCGCGCCTTTCCCTGCTTCGACGAGCCCAACCTCAAGGCCACCTTCGATTTTGAGATTGAGATTCCCGAGGACTTGACCGCCCTGTCCAACATGCCTGAGAAAGAGACGCGCAAGAGCAAGACGGAGGGCCACAAGATTGTGTCTTTTGATCGATCGCCCGTCATGAGCACCTATCTGCTTGCGTGGGCATTCGGTGACTTCGAGTATATCGAGGACTTCACGAGGAGGAAGTACAACGGCAAGAACCTGCCCGTCAGGGTGTATACAACAAGAGGGTTGAAGGACCAGGGTCGTTTGGCGCTCGACAGCGCACATCGCGTCGTGGACTACTTCTCTGAGGTGACTTCTTCCTCAGCCCTTGCTTCAATGCTGGACATCGACTGACTGACTCGCTTTCCAGATCTTCCAGATAGATTATCCCCTGCCGAAGGTGGATATGCTGGCTGTTCATGAATTTGTAAGTCGATTCCTCATTCTTTGCAGCAATGCTCACCGCGCGTGTCTGAACTCTCATCCCAGGCTGCTATATGTTCCCCCGTTTGTTCGCATCGTATAATGAGAATGTTTACTGACCGTGCTTCGTAGTCACACGGCGCAATGGAGAACTGGGGTCTCGTCACCTATCGTACCACCGCCATCCTCTACGACGAATACACGTCCGATCAAAAGTACAAGAACCGCATCGTGTACGTTGTCGCTCACGAACTGGCACATCAATGGTTCGGTAACCTCGTGACTATGGACTGGTGGAGCGAGCTCTGGCTCAACGAAGGATTCGCCACTTGGGTCGGCTGGTATGCCGTGGACCACTTGCATCCTGACTGGAACGTCTGGGCGCAATTCGTCACCGAGGGCATGCAAACGGCGTTCAACCTGGACAGCTTGAGGACGAGCCATCCGATCGAAGTGCCAGTGAAGAACTCGCTCGAGGTCGATCAGATCTTCGATGCCATCAGCTATCTGAAGGGAAGCTCGGTGATTCGCATGTTGGCGGCGCATCTCGGACCAAAAGTCTTCCTCCAGGGTGTGTCGGACTACCTCCACAAGCACAAGTACAGCAATGCAAAGACCAGCGACCTCTGGGATGCGCTTAGCAAGGCTTCAGGGCAGGACGTCACGGCTTTCATGGACCCATGGATTCGCAAGATTGGTTTCCCGGTTGTCACCGTCGCCGAGGAGCCGGGTCAGATCAGCGTGAAGCAGTCTCGCTTCCTCACGTCGGGTGAAGTGCAGCCGGATGAAGACGAGACCGTCTGGTGGATTCCCATTGGACTGAAGACTGGCCCGCAAGCTACCGATGCCAAACGCGAGGCTCTGACGGAGAAGACTTACACGTACCGCGATGTGGACACGAGCTTCTACAAGATCAATGCGGATCAGACTGGTTTCTACCGAACCAACTTGCCGCCACAGCGCCTTGTGGAGCTTAGCAAGTCGCTCGACAAGCTGAGCGTAGAGGACAAGATTGGACTGATCGGTGACGCCGGGGCTCTTGCTGTTGCGGGCGAAGGCACTACAGCCGCCGTGCTCTCTTTCCTTGAAGGCTTCTCCGTCGAGGACAACTACCTCGTGTGGTCAGAGGTCATCACTACGTTGAGCAAAATCCGCTCCACTTTTGCCTCTGATGCGCAAGTATCAGAGGGCCTGCGTGCATTCACGCTCAAGCTGGCTTCCGCAGCGACGGACAAGATTGGCTGGGAATTCGCACAAAACGACGACTTCCTTACCGGGCAGCTTCGCGCTCTGCTCCTGCAAGTTGCTGGTCTCGCGGGCCACGAGTCCACGAAGACCGAAGCTCAGAAGCGCTTCAAAGCGTTCGTCGGCGGAGACAGCAAGGCCATCCATCCGTCCTTGCGCTCGGCAGTGTTCAGGATCAACGTCAAGTTTGGCGGCGAGGAGGCGTACAAAGCGCTTCGACACGAGTACAACACTACCACCTCGGCCGACGGCAAGGAAATCTGCCTGCAATCCATGGGCCAAGTGCAGACAACCGAACTGGCAAGGGAGCACCTGGCCTTTGCCTTCTCCGATGTGGCCACTCAAGACGTCCACACCGTCGGCGGCAGCCTTGCAGCGAACTCGCAGGTGCGCGATGAAGTGTGGAAGTACACCAAGGAAAACTGGGCGGCGATCCACGAGCGCTTGGGCGGCAACCCCGTGGTCCTGGAGCGCTTTTTGCGCATGGGTCTGCAGCGTTTCACGTCGCTTGAGACGCAGAAGGAGATCGAGGCATTCTACAAGGACAAGGATACTCGTGGCTTTGATCGTGGTTTGGCGGTTGTTGGCGACACGATCACGGGCAATGCCAAGTATCTCGAGCGGGATCTGGAGGTCGTGCGGGAGTGGTTGAAGGCGCATGGATATGTGCAGTAGAGCATGCATGCTCGGGCAAAAGCGTGTGGTTGACAGGAGTGCAATAAAAGAAATCGCATAGAATAACCTCATGCAGTGAGGAGTGGTGGCCATAGCTCCAGCCTCGGTCCCATGCTCATGACTAAGCATCGCGTCCACGACATCACCACCTGGCAATTTCAGTAAGTCTCCTTGAGACGAAACATACGCCGACATTCACAAATCAGCATCAAGATGCACGCCATTCGCCCGCTGCAGCTCGACGCAGTGCTGACGTCGTGCGCCAAATCGGCGCGGTCATCGGCATATCGCAATGCGTTGTCTGGCAGACATCAACTTTGTCGTAGTGCATGCCGAAGATGGATCTCCGATGGCACACGACCTCCTCTCCCGCCAGGAAGTCCCCAGAAGACTAGAGTGACTGCTCCAAAGACACGGTTGGCGGTTGGAGTGGTCTTTGTAGGGACGTTGGCGTACTCAATGGTAAGATGAAATTCGTACATCGAAGCTGATGCCTCCGCTAATCGAGACTCGCCTCAGTTCACAGGAGAGACATCACCACCCGATGAGCCTCCACCAAATGCACAACAGCTACAAGCACCCACTATAGCCGAGCGCGACCAGCTCAACAAGCGCGAGTCCGGCATCAACGCCAATTCCCCCATGCGTCTGCGAATGGAGCAATTCATCCAGCAAAACCAGGAGGAAATCGTGCAAGCCCTGTCCGCCATCGACGGCAAGAAATTCACCGTCGACAAGTGGGAGCGTCCGAGAGGTGGAGGCGGCATCACCTGCGTCCTGCAAGACGGCAACGTGTTTGAAAAAGCCGGCGTCAATACATCCGTGGTGTACGGCACGCTCCCCCGCGCCGCCATCGCCAAAATGCGCGTGCACCACAAAGCCCTCGACCCCGAAGTCGAGAGTCTCGAATTCTTCGCCGCGGGGCTAAGTCTCGTACTCCACCCCATCAACCCAATGGCGCCCACCGTGCACCTCAACTACCGCTACTTCGAGACGGCGAACAAAGACGGCACCACCAACTCGTGGTGGTTCGGCGGCGGCACCGACCTCACGCCCTCCTACCTGTTCGACGAAGACGCCATCCTCTTCCACCGCGGCATCAAGGACGCGTGCGACAAGCACGACAAAGCCTACTACCCGCGCTTCAAGCAGTGGTGCGACGACTACTTCCACGTCACGCACCGCGGCGAGCGCCGCGGCATCGGCGGCATCTTCTTCGACGACCTCGACGAGAGCGAGAAGGATCAGGAGTCGCTCTTTGCCTTTGTGCAGTCGTGCCTTGGCGCGTTTTTGCCTTCGTATCTCCCTATCCTGCAGCGCAGGAAGGACCTGGCGTACACGGAGAAGGAGCGGCAGTGGCAGCAGTTGCGGCGCGGGCGGTACGTGGAGTTCAATCTGGTGCATGATCGCGGGACGGCGTTTGGGCTGAATACGCCGGGGGCGAGGATTGAGAGCATTCTGATGAGCTTGCCGCTTACGGCGCGCTGGCAGTATCAGCATGAGCCCGAGAAGGGGAGTCGAGAGGAGAGGTTGCTAGGGGTGTTGAGGGACCCGGTGGACTGGGTGTGATGGTTGTCCAGATATGTTCGAGCTTGTGACTACTTGTTGCTCGACATATGCAACATCAGTCGACTGACAGCTACTCGACTGCATAATCATAGTGAGGGACCAGCGCTCGTTCCCAGAGCGAAGCATAGTACTCCCTTTGCCGATTCCCCAATCTCACTGCTTCTTCCGCCCCAGCCAAGACCTCTTGACCCTCACGCCGCTCAAGTCCTCCATCCATCTTTTTGCTCTCCCGCCTCGTAATCTCATAGCCCAATACACCCGCACTCCACGTAGTCCCACACGCCTCACAAGAAACTTCCATCGCATCACAGCTCACAGCCGCTTTGCCCGCACACCGAAAGCAAGCAAAACAGCACCTCTCGCACAATTGATTCTCCGTCGCGTTCGCACCCAAAGCAGGACGAACGGGCGCAGCGCACCGCTCGCAAGAAGCAGTCAACCCATGCTTCCTCCGAGTGCATCGCTCACAGAGCGCGAATCTGTTTTTCCCACTTGGCCGCAGCGCTGGCGCGAGACATGACATGCATTTGTGCGTGTAGCCTGCTTCGACGAGGTCTTCGTGCGGCAAGTCGGTCGTTTCGTCAGGTAGGGGCGGTGCAATGGCTCGCAGGGCGGCGGGGATGCGCGATTCGGAGCGCTGGGAGTCGGGGACTACGTCTATGCTTGCGGGGAGGTAGTTGCAGTCGAGTTTGCAGGATTCGTCGGCGGCGTCGAACGTGAGGCAATTGCGGGCTCGGCACTGAAGGGCGAGTTGGTTTGCTTCTGCTTGGGGGAGTAGGGTGGCTGCGTCGTCGATGCCTCCCCACACCAGGCTGAGTTTGGCTTCGGCTTCCTGGAAGTGTTTTTTGGCTTGCTGGACTCGTTGCTCATTATCATCGTTGTCGTCGTTGTCGTTAGGGTTGGGTTCAATCATCGAGGCGGTGGAGTGAGCTTCTTGTTGGCGGTACAAAGCATCATAGTACTGCTGTTGCGCCTCCTGAAGTTCGGAGGCGGATGCCGCGAGGAACGGGCCTTGGTATCGAGGTCCTTGAACGGCCTGGCGTTTAGGCAAATCTCCCATAGGCTTCAGCGCGATCTGTGAGGAGTGTAGTAATTCACGAGCGGCCACAAAAGGGGGATCCCGCTCGTTGAGGACCACCGGTGACGGCGCTGACTCCAGTTCAAATCGTGGCATAGACCGGACTGGCCTGTCATCGTAGCCAACGCTTAACCAATTGATGCGGCCTTGGTCTTCTCCGATGAGGAGATCGCGATAGTCCGGGCTGAATGCACCTGACATGACTGCGGAAGTGAAGGTGGCCACATCCTTGATGTGGGCCCCGTCGGTAGATCTGTAGGGATTCCAGACTTTGACGACGCCATCGGAGGAGCCAGTGTATAGACGAGAGCCCGTAGCTCCCCACGAGATGAAGCGCACACCAGTATCAGCCAACTCCCGCTCACGGTCGTGATCGAGGACATTCAGTGTAGCGCCGTGCTCCAGTATATGAAGCGGCTTACAATCTCGTCTAGCAAAGCGCTGGTCCCAAACGTATACCTTGCCGTCCGTTGCGCCGGCTGCGATCAGGTTCTGGTCGTGTTGACAGTAAATCACATCATTGATGTCGGAAGCTGGACATTCATATGCAATGCCTTTGGCAGCGCTATTACCCTGGCCCGTGTAGCAGCATACAACGCTTCGCGTGCCTCGACTGACCTTTTCGCTGCCACGTGTGCTAGCGACAGCGAAGACTGACGATGCAGGGCTGGGGTTCGGGTTCCACGCTATGTCAAAAACATTGCGAGTGTCGCCGCTGACTTTGAGACGATCTTCGGCGCGGGCATCCCACAGCAGGATTTCGCCCGCATCAGTGCGCTCCGCGTCTAAGCTGTCGATAGAGAAGCCCGCAAGAAGGTAATGGCTGTGGTGGGCAGCTGTTCCCCACCGCAATGCCGACGGATAGATAGCAGTATCGGTCTGAGGCCCCATCCGGCTAGGGGAGAGCGATTGTACACGCTCGGGTCCGTTGAATATAGCGATACTGCCATCGGCCGCTTGGTGACAGGCGGTGGCAAGAACGTTCGAATTGCTGACAGAGATGAGATCAAGGGGAGCGGAATGCTCAAGTTCGTACTGCAGAGAAGCGCGCCCAGGACCGACGGAGTACGCTCTGACCTTAGCATCGCTGCCAGCTGAGTAGAGCGTCTGATCATCCGGCGAGAACTGCACACTAGCAATGGTCATGAAAAGCCGAGGGTCCTGCGTTTCGCGCATTGAGTGTAACGCATTGACATTGCTAGAGCCTGGGTCAAGCTTAGGGCGAGGGATGTGATGGTCGGGAAGTTCCTGTAGTAGGCTCCGCTCGCAGTCGCCGACTAGCAGATTGCAGGACTGGTTGTACTGCATGCTTCTTTCATCCGTGAGTGCGATCGAACCGGCAGCGAATCGATTGCCGTCCGAGGCCCAGGCAACACACACGACATCTCCAGATGTGCCTTTGTAGTACTTCCTGGGGCCGACAGTTTTGAGAGCGTGTTCCTTTAGCTCGTTCGGTATGGATCTGGCCTGCAAACCGTTGCCTAGCTCGCGTTGCCGTAGGAGGCGGCCGAGTGATTTCGGGTGTAGACATTCCCCAACGAATTGCGCGTAGTCTCTTTCCGGCGAGCTTCGTTCTGTGGAGGAGGGCTCATCAACATCAGCGAGACGCCCGTTTTTCAAATCAGCCCAGGAGATGAATCCGGAAAGGACCGAGGCCTCGTTGTTGCGTCTTCTGCGTTGGCGTTGACGGCCGACACCATCACTATCTTCGAGCACAGGAGTGGCTGCATGCGGCTGTGTTGTAGATTTGGACCTTGCTGAAGAAGGTTTCGCAATCTCGGCGGCTCTCCGCTTCTTAATCGCAGAGTACCGCACCTGAACTGAGCCGGGGGTGCGATTAGGAAAACGTGAGAAGATGGTATTCCAGTGGTGTCCTTCCACCTCCTTCAACTTGACGAGAAGAGCATCTTCAGCAGGGGTATAGACATCGCCATGTCTGCCAGAGCTAACATCCGGCTGGGTTGGCTGTGCTGGCTGTGCTGGCTGCGTTGGCTGCGTTGGCTGTACTGGCTGGATCGACTGCGTCGGCCGCGTTGGCCGGAACGAATGTGCATTCACGGGCACTGGCTGGCTCGCGGTCAGGGCCACTGGTTGGGTACGCTCCTGAAATCTTGCTGAGGGCGAGATGTATGCTGGAGGGTCATCGACACGCCTTCGCTTAGCGGAAGGGACATTAGCACTGCTGAACGCCGACCGGGCGCCGACTCCGGCCGACGGAGACAATTGAACGCGCTCATCTTCGAAGGTACCAGTCACGTCAGTGTACCGTCTGCTAGACCCAGTATGCGTTTTGCTCGCAGATGCGGTCATGTGAGAGCCGTTGACCTGCCGAGACCCGTTTGTCGCATTCGACTGTGCCGATGCCTTCCAAGGTGAGGGATGATTTTGGGTTGAAGGAGGCGTCGCTACCACGCCTCTCCGCAGCAGCGAGGCGAGAGAGTCCTTCTGCACTTGCGTCGGTTGGTGCGCGGGTGTAGAGAGCGGACTCCAGCCGTTGAGAGTGGTGTGTGCATGGCCGTTGCCTATTACATGGTGATGTTCCTGTGGGTTGGGATCTAGTACCAACGGCACGAACACTCCAAAAGGTGTGCCTGAACTAACGCTTGTCGACCGCCGACTGTCTTCTCTTGCCTGAAAGCCGTTCAGCCCTACTTGCGAAGCGGCGCGGTTGATGTTGGTGTGGCCATCCTTCTGCTTCCGAGGCTGAAACCCGTTCAACGCCGATTTTGCCGCTGGAGAGAAGTCATCGGGCTCTGGCGTGCCAGTGAGATCGATCACTGCGGGCGCCATGAGTGTCGAGCTCGCGAACATGAACACGAGCGGTGGTAGTTCGTTTCATGGCTAAAGGACCTATCGGACGCAGCAAGGTAGGAAGTTTGGTGAAGTTTGCGCTGGCGTAAAGTTCACTTCCGTCATCGGCAAGGCACGCATCACGTGCCCCCGCTCGTGAAGGCGGTTCCGGTGAAGTGGACGAGGAGTGAAGTGAGATGCGCGCAGGGCAACATGAACTGTGAATTAGAGTGAAGGTCGCGGGCGCGCTGGCTGTGGCGTTTCAAGATGTGGCGCTGCAGGCAAGCGCGCCCCGCCAACATCCACCGGCTCCGCTCTCCAGACCACGCTTGCACCTGTAGTCTACCACTCTCCACCATCACGACAACCTCCTTCACTTGGCAAGGCTCTGGCAGGTTTCGGAGACATTTTCGGCTCAATGTGATCATGTCCGACTACCACAAATTGCTTCCCAAGCCGGCGCAGGATGCGGATGACGACGACGGCGCAAACGAGTTTCCCGAAGTCAAGGCGCGACCACGATCTACATGGAATCAGTTCTGGAATGGTCGACTGCCGGCCGTGCGATTCGCGGTAGAGATCTACATCGCCTTGCTGGTCACCGCCATCTGCTACATGCAGGTTCTCAATCTCAGACAACCCCTCTCCAGCGACGCCGATGCACTAAAAGCGCAGATTGAGTCACGAGGCAGCTACGAGTGGAGGTATTCGGCCAACGCAAGCTATGAGAGCCTAGATCCTCAATTCGACTTTCTCTGGAAATGGCCGGGTAAGACCGGCCTGGCAATGCTTGCACCAGAGCCTCCTCACGATAAAGTACCGGTAGGCGTCAGCATGTAAGTATTATTCCCTTCTCTAATGAACCTGGACAGGGACGTCTGCTAATTAGCTGTGTGCAGGTTCCATCAGCTGCACTGCCTTGGCATGATCAGAATGGGCCTCCAGAGCGCCAAAGCAGGGAAAGAACTCGTCTGGGACGAACACATGCCCCATTGCCTGGACTACATTCGGAAGGTGGGTGATCACATCGTGTTACACCTGTTTCCGGATGCCATGCTAACTTGAATGCCATGGTTTAGTCAATCCTTTGCTTTGCCGATGACACAATCGAGCTGCCAGGACTTGTCAACGGGGAACGAAACGATTTTATCGACGGTGACGGAGCCACGCATATGTGTAGATCCTCCAAGACTCTGTTCGATTTGCGAGGATGGCCGATGCGGCATGTCGAGGAAGCAGGTGTCGGGCCAGGCGCTTGATCACTCACGACGAGAAATGTTGAAATGATCTTTTTGATGTCTTTACGAGTTGATGGTGCACTTGACCTTCCTAATGTTTAGCTCTTGCAAGTTGGGCGTGGCCTGGATCAGCTTTGTCTTACAATACTGGGCGATTTAGCGTGCGAAATTGTTCACAGTACGACCTTTTCTTCCTCAATCGACTAACATCCTTGCCAAATCGCGCGCATGTATCGGAATCTACTTGACTATCTGTATCCGTCCTCGCTGTGAAAGTGAACTTCCAGCCGAGAGCCTTCCGAAGCGCCTCGGCTTCTTCAACTTCAGCCTTCGCTCCCTCCCGCTGACAACAGCATCTTCCCGAGCAAGTAAAAGATTCTGATTATTGGCAAATGCATTGCAGCTGCTGTTTAATCCATGACCAGCGACGACATGAGTCCCGCAGAAGAACACGAACTTGCACAACTCCCAGAGATCCGCGGTGATGCAGTGGAGATCAACGTGGGAGAACAAGAGGCTGCTCACTCAGCCACCCAGTCCTTGTCACCATGTGATGGCGGAATAGCTGCATGGAGACTGCTCATAGCAGCTTTCATCTTCGAAGCCTTGCTCTGGGATGCGTACTTTATGATACGATGTGAACGCCTGATGCTAACGCCATCCTCCCAGGCTTCCCCCTCTCCTTCGGCGTCTTCCAAAACTACTACTCCCAACTGCCACAGTTCAAAGATGATAGATACCTCTCCGTCATCGGCACGACAGCATCTGGCATGGCTTACATGTCCGCGCCCATCATGATCCCCTTCATCAAACGGTATGCCAAATACCGTCGACCAATGATCTACATCGGATGTAAGTGCGCCACTCCAACACAATCTCCTCCATCGCTCATCACGCTACAGGGCCAATCTGCATCCTCGGCCTCGTCGCCGCCTCCTTCGCCAACACCGTCCCAGCCCTAATCCTGACGCAAGGAATTATGTACGGCGCAGGCTTCATCACCTTCTACTACAGCATCCTAAGCATGGTAAACGAGTACTGGATTGCGCGCCGCGGAATGGCGTACGGCTTCCTGTGCAGCGCCTCCGGCGCCTCGGGAGCAGCAATGCCATTCATCGTTTCCACGCTGCTGCACAAATACGGCTACCGCACGACGCTCCGCTGCATCGCCGTGGGCCTCACCCTCTCCACCGGCCCCTTCATCCCCATCCTCAAAGGCCGGCTCCCGGAATCCGCAACCAGTACTCCAACGCCCACAGACTGGTCGTTTCTGCGCACCCCGCTCTTCTGGATCTACAGCCTCTCTAATCTAGCAATGGGCTTCGGGTACTTCTTCCCGCCCCTCTACCTCCCCTCCTACGCCACGGCCACAGGCCTCTCTCCGACCAAAGGCGCACTCCTCCTAGCCCTCATGAGCATCTCTCAAGTCCTAGGGCAGTTTAGTTTCGGCTACCTCTCTGACAAACGCATCTCCATCAACCTGCTCTCCGCAACAGCCACTCTCGTCGCCGGCATCGCGGCTTATACCACCTGGGGCCTGGCCAGCACGTTCAGCCTGCTCGTCGTGTTCGCTCTCATTTACGGCTTCTTCGGGGCGGGGTACACGGCCATGTGGGCGAGGATGGGCACCGCGGTGAGCAGCGAGCCGACAGCGGCGTTTGCAGCTTTTGGTCTGCTGAATTTCGGGAAGGGGATTGGGAATGTGCTTGCGGGGCCGATTGGAGGTGCGTTGCTGACGAGTGGGGTGGATGTGGAGGATTACGGGGTGATGAAGTATCAAAAAGTGATTTTATTCACCGGATCGTGTATGCTGTTCAGCGCGGCGGTGATTCCAGCGCAGTATTTGAAGAGGGCGAGGTTGCAGTTGGGGGTGAGGCGGTGAGTTCATGCCATGGCCTTATAGCGTGGGTGTCGATTCAGGGTGAGGATGGTTAAGCGCCGCCCTTACCTTCACACCAATACCCTCCAATCGATGGCACGGCTCATTAGAGAACACGAACCTAATGAAGCCCTCCCCATGAGCTTCTCCCCAGCCATCCATCGGAGTGACGTAGATCCCTTCCTCCATCAAAGCTCTCGATGCCTCCCGTCCATTCTCAACTCGAAGGACAAACGACCACCCTCCGGCTGGAACGCCCACCGGCAGCCCCTGGAGCTCCTCCATCAACAGATCGCGTCGGGCTTGGAGCTCCCTGGTGAACATCAGGCAATCCGGTGCAGACTGTTCTAGGGCCGCTTGCGCCGCTTTCTGCGCGATGCCAACCGGGACAACGACGTTCGCCATTCCCACAAGCCGAATATCGGCAATCGCCCACGTCGGCCCAACGACCCAGCCCACGCGCCAGCCGATCAAACGTAGCTCCTTCGACGCACTCCCGACCGTGATCGTCCTTTCTGCCATCCCCGGAAAGAAAGCGGGATGGACGACTGGCCGGCCATCGAAGAGAAGTCGCTCGAACGCAGCGTCGTAGATGAGCAGAAGATCACGGGAGATGCACACCTCCGCTACGGCGTGCCAGTCGTCTGCATCCAGGTACGCTCCCGATGGCAGCGCGGGGGAGCTCAGCAGCAAAGCCGTGATTCGTATGCCGTCCGTCTCCTGCGCGGACTCGATGAACTGGCGCAGCTTTTCGCGCGGGAAGCGCCAGGGTTTACCAGGGCGGAACTCCAATGGGAGGAGGACGGGAATGGCGCCCACGAGCTTCACACGGTTTATGAGGCCGATATACGTCGGGTCAGTGAGAAGCACGCCTTCGCCAGGCTCGACGGTTGCGAAGAGCGTATTCAGGACTCCCGAGAGCCCGCCGGCGGTGATAACGCAATTCTCCTCGCCAGAGTACTGCGTCACGCCGCCTGTCATGCGAGATACATGCGCTGCTGCTGCTTTGCGCAACCCGAGCTGGCCGATGAAGGGCAGATAGCTGTTGTCTTCTTTACTTGATATTGCCTTTGCCGTGGCTTCGAGGGCGATGGGATGGGGAGGAACGTCGGTGTCCAGGTTTTCCATTCGCAGCGGCTTGTCACGCTGCTCTCGACCTTTGGGTGCGGTGATGGACGATTCTTCCTTTTGAGCTGCCAGTGCGCCCACGCGATCGACGCCGATTCCAGTCAGCGCCTGCACTCGGGTAGTACGTCGTCCAGCCATCTGAAGGGTTTCCCTAGCGGACGGGAGGGAAGTGAGGTACTGTAGCTCAACGCTTCAATGCAATCACTGCCGCTATAGGCAAGGATACTCAGCGTCTAGATTTGTGTGTTGCATTGCAAAGATGACAGAAATGAAACAGAAGGTGATTCATATCAATGGATTCCTGCGAGGGATATGTAGCACGAGGCATAGCTTACCTCATCCTCAGGCTCACAGCCTTTACATGTAAACCATGTATTGTAGTAGAATACAACCCCGCGCCCCAGACACCCGTGTTCTAGCCCCTCTAACATCACACCGCAATCCAACTCCCAAAGTGCGCCCCAGGCTACTCAGTGCTTCGCCGTCACCTTGTCGCCCGTCACCTTCTCCACCCACTCCTTGGCCACATCGCCCAGCGCAACCATGCACACCGTCTGCCACACGCCGAGGCCAATGCGCGGCGCCACGCCACGGTACAGCCCCTTGAGGCCGTTGGTTGAGTAGACGTATTTGAAGGTGTTAGCCACCGTCATCTTCTTGGGCCGATTCGGGTCTTCCTTCTTGGACTGCATCTCCACCCGCACGACTTCAATCGGCTGGTTCCAGGCGGAGAGACCGCCGCCGATGGCGGAGGCGAGGATCTTCTCTGGCACGCTGAGCTTTTGACTTGTGTCGGTCTTGCCGGTGAAGGAGCGGATGCTGTTTTCACTGTGGTGGACGTTTGTTAGTGGGTTTCGAAGTGTGGGCAGGCTAGGGCTGCGACTCACGCAACTCTGCTCAACCCGAATCGCGAGCCCCAGTTCGTCACTTGTCTCACAGCCACGGCGTTGACGCCCTTGTTGATGCCCGCGATGCCCTCTTTCCGGTAGATGTCCATGAATGTGGACATGGTGCCCGGCACTTTTTCCCCTTTCGCCGCCGCCTTGTGCTTGGTCATCTCCACCGTCTTCATGCAAGTGCAGAACCCCATGGTCGCGTAGGCCTGCGCAAGACCACCCGCCATTCCGCCTCCGATTCCCGACACAAAGTTCGAGGCGCCGGCGTTTTTGGCGTAGTATTCGGCTTCGGAGGCGACGAAGAGGAGCACGGCACCCTTCGTAGAGGCTTCGATCCAGGCCCAGGGAATGAGACCTTGGTAGACTGTGTGGATCACGTAACGTCAGCTCTCATCTCCACCTCATATCTGAGAAGAGTAGGAAGGGGAGAAACTCACATCCCAGCGCCCCACCGCGGCCCCAAATCCGCGACACAGCACCCATCATGCCATCCGCCCTGTTGGCCGCCATGGTCGTCTTCATGACCTCCAACGGCTGGCCCAAAGTCGTGACTTCGAACATGTTCAGGCCGGCGCCGAGCAGCAGATTGCTGAACTTGACCGGCTTCTTCTCGACCTTGACGGGCTTGTCGCCCATGTGGCCGACGGCGAGCTCGCGAGACATGGCAGTGTGAGGATTTGCGAACGGGTTCTGGGCCTGACCAAGGCGGTTGGGCGGCTTCTTTGCCTTGGGGGTTCGGGAGGAATGTAGAGGAGGGGAGGAGTTGAGCTGGCTGGGCGATCAGGAGGTGCTTTTTCGCTTGTGGTTGCACTGGCGTCACCGGAGGGCGGGTAGGCGTAGAGTGTGGAGAGGAGTGGAAGGTAGAGAGGGAGCGGAGAGGAATGCTGCGAAGCTGATGGAGCTGGAGCTGGTACGGACCGAAAGACAAGTGGGTGAGGTCAACAGTGCGGCGGGAGTCGGAGCGGCGGTCCCCAGAATTTTTGGTGAGACAGTTTGGGGAAAGGGTTTGGGAGTCAGCAGCCTTACGCTCGGGCCACTCAACGCGTGCAGGTTGAGCCTCAATGGCTGCGGCTCCACTCACGCCAGCTTAGGCTATATGTATTTCTTAACATACTGAAAGGACATCATCAGATGGGATGGACAACGAGCGGGCTCAAGGTGAAGATGTATATGGAGTGGAGTCGTATTAATGCAGGCGAGCAACAACAAATAACAGGATGCGCGCTCGTTATCGTAGTGGACACGCTCGGGGAACTTGCACTAAAAGTGTATCTCAAACACCAGAAGCCCTCCACACAACCTGTGCCTCGCGTCTTTGCAGTCGTGCGCTTCAGGTACACAGGTGACTGCGCCGATCGTGTATGGTCTACGCGACCGCAGAACGCTCACAGCACCGCACCGGCCTTTCGCTCTCAACTACTCCCCCCTTCAGAGCTGAGCGCCGACCAGCTTCGCCCAGGCTTCCGTGGAGAAAGACTTGGGCCTCTCAATGGGCGCACCAACAGCACGGTCGATGATCAGCTGCGGCAACACGCCAATGGCACGGCTCACGCCGAACATGACGGTGTAGAAGTTCTGCTCGGTCAGGCCGTAATATTGCAGCAACACACCAGAGTGAGCATCGACGTTGGGGTAGGGGTTCTTGGTCTTGCCGTGCTCGGTCAACACGCCCGGGGCGATCTTGTAGACTTGGCTGACCAGCTTGAACATCGGGTCATCGGGCAGGTGCTTCAGGGCGAACTCGCGCTGGCATGCGTAGCGCGGGTCCGTCTTGCGAAGCACGGCGTGTCCGTAGCCGGGGACCACGCGGCCGGACTTGAGGGTGTCCCAGAGGTATTTGGTGATGTTCTCATCGCTCAAGTCAGACCCGACGTGCTTCTTCATCTCCACAATCCAGTTGAGCACCTCTTGGTTGGCAAGACCGTGCAGCGGGCCGGCGAGACCGTTAAGGCCGGCAGCGAGGGAAAGCATGGGCGAAGAAAGGGCCGAGCCGACGAGATGTGTGGTATGAGCGCTGACGTTGCCGCCCTCGTGATCGGAGTGGATGGTGAGGTAGAGTCGCATCAACTCCACGAAGTCTTGGTTCTCGGCGAAGCCGAGCTGGTTCGCGAAGTTGTAACCGTAGTCCTTGTCTTTCTGCACCGCCGGAACCTTGCCGTCCTTGTAGACGTTGCGGTAGATGCGAGAGGCGATGGTGGGGAGCTTGGCGATGGTGTCCATGGAGTCTTCGTACGTCTTCTCCCAGTACTCGCTCTTCTTCATGCCGCGCGCATAGGCCTTTGCAAAAGAGGATTCGTGCTCGAGGGCGGTAACGGCCATGGAGAATTGAGCCATGGGGTGCATGTCGGAGGGACAGCGATCGATGAGCTCGTTGAGGTAGGAGGGCACCTCGGAGCGAGCGGCCCACTCGGCGGAGAGGTCGCGCACCTGCTGCTCCGAGGGCACTTCGCCGGTGAGGAGCAGCCAGAAGATGCCTTCGGGAAGCGGTTCACTGCCGCCGGGGGCTTTGGGCAGCTGTTCCTGGCATTCCGGGATGGTTCGGCCGCGGAAGCGGATGCCCTCTTCGGAGTCGAGCACCGAACCCTCCCACACCAACGACTTGATTCCGCGTGCGCCGCCATACACCTGGTCGAGGGTGACCTCGCCCACCACTTTGTTGCCGTGTTCCTTTCGCAGCTTCTTAATCTGCTCGATCTTTTCGGGGAGGGAGTTGGCGAAGGTCTCTTTCAGGGACTGCGCGGAAGGCGGATCAGCTTGGTGCTTTGTTGCAGTATGGTATAGGCTGGAAGCAACTTACGGACTGCTTGCCAGCGGTGGCATAGGCGCGTGTGGCATTGAATGCGAGAGAGGAAGTAGAGTGGACGGCAGCTTTGCGCAGAGCTAAGCGCGAGAAGGTCTGAACGGCGGCCATGGCGGATCAAACGGCTGGCAGGGGGATGTGGAAGAGAGAAAGCGGGATTGGCGTGGAAGGAGCGGATGGGGCAAGACCAAGCCGTGAAGACCGGTGGATTGTGGTAGAAAGGCGGAAAGGAGTGTCGGCGTGGGAGAGAAGGCGGGAGTGGATGAGGTTGAGCTGGAGCTGGGAAACAAACGGACGGCCTGAGAAAAAAAGCCCAGCTTCCGAAAGTAGTGCAGCACAGACGTCAATGGGAAGTGGTGAGACCGTCGTCTGATTATCGTTCATCTTGAGAGGATGCACGTTGCTTGAGATAGTTGGAGTGTAGATGCACATATCTGAATGCTTTATATCATTTTTTTCCTGCTCATTGTCACCCGATCCTTCTGTACAGCAATATTCGAGAAAGTCGCCTTCACATGCAAACACGAGGCAACCCGACAGGCGCAGGCCGGCGCAAACTCTAAGGAGCTCACGTTGGCGCCGCCTGCCGTCTTAGCGTGCGCTGCGGGCCGCCGTCCCGCGCAAGCACGGCACGCCAAGCGCCTGCCTACAAATCTTCTCCCGCCCTCGGTCGCTTTCTTCACTTCTCACACCCTCCTCCCTTGACCAGCTCCCTCCCTCCATCTCACTACATCATCGTGAGTATACCACACGACACTGTCAACCTGCCCCCTTGTTCATTCCGAGATCTTATCCACGTCTGCAACGCGCCCCTGCATTCCCGGACAGTATACGTTGAAGTCGTCGCAATCAGCTAGGAAGGTTGCCACGATTGAGTTGCCGACCTCTCGTTCACTCACTTCCTCATTAACTGTTCCAACTGGACCGTCTGGACTGCCGCAGTCACTGTCTCACGCGTGAGGTCCAGTCAGCCCCGCGGCCGCGACCTTCATTCACTCCGAGGAGGAAAAAGTCCGTTGACTCACACCCAACTACGTAACCTGCGGCTACATCTACTTTGGCCCTCCGTTCTGGATACTGTCCTTTCCTCCACCTCGTACCCTCCTTGCGAACTACCGGTAGAACGTAGCCGTTCATTGCCCGTACAGCTTCAACGAGAGCAAAAAGACCACGCGCCACGACCGTAAAGGAGACGCGTCAACATACCCCACGGCTGAGAGTGCGGAACCTGCGTAGCTTGTCGCTCCATCACCTAACTCGTGCGAGAAGTTGCTGCTTGCCACTGACTAGTGTCCACCAATAGTGTGACCGTCATCACTTCCACACCTTGTGTAAGCCAGTAGGCGCTCCTCTGCGAGACGCGCGACCTTAGCAGTCCATCGCTCTCCACACAACGTGCGTGCCGTAGACACGTAAATCCGACAACATGGCGCCTCCCAACAACATCATCACCGACTTAGATTCTCAGCTCGCGTCTCTGAACCAGCTGAAACCACCCGGAGCGAGTAAGGGCAAGATCGCTTCCATCACTAAGCTATGCGTGGAGAACCTTCAGGTGAGCAAGCCGCGAACACACTATAGTTCCATCCATCATGTCTTCGGCGATCTGGCCATACGTGGGCAATCACTAACCTCTATATCTTCATCTCAGGCGGAATCCAACATCGTACAATCCCTCTATCGCGCGCTCAAGAAAGCACCCCCTACCCACAAACTCGGCGCAGTCTACGTGATTGACAGTGTAGTCCGTCGGTGGATCGAGCAAGCAAAGTCGAGCGGGCAAGACCTGAACATCGAAGGACGGGGGGAGTCCGGCACGGAAGCCGCAGCCATCAAACGCATCACCCAGCTCATGCCCGCCCTCTTCGACGACACTGCCAAAGACATCCCCACGGAGCAGAAAGAGAAGCTGGAGGGCATGATCAGGATTTGGGAGAAAGGCAACACATTCCCGGCGAAGATGCTGTCCGAGTTCCGAGCGAAACTCAGCGGTGCTTCAGTCCAGACAAACGGCACCGATGCAACCCACAGCAGCGGCAGCAAGCATACCGGCGAGAAGTTTTCAGCGCCGGTGCCAAGCAGACCTGTATCCACTCCCACTGGGTTCCCGCCGCAGCATCTGTATGATCAAGGGTTAATTGTTCAAAAGGGGTTGTCAGGTGCAGCAAATAGTGCTGGTCCAGCCCATACACAACCACAACCGCCACCACAACAATCAGTTCCTGCCCCGCCATCCGACGTCAACAGCATCCTTGCCGCGCTAGCAAATACTGCGAGCAAGCCACCACCACAGCAAGCCGTTCCTCAACCTGCAGCCCCAGCGCAAAACGGCCAACCGCCTATTCCAGCAAACATCATGGCTATGCTTCAACAAAACGGCGCTATCCCTCCACCAGCTACACAATCGTTCCCTACATATCAGCCCACGCCGCAACAACCAACTCCATATCAGGCGGCACCGGGACCGCCACCGTTCCAGATGCCACCGAACTTTCCGGCTTACCCTGGCTTACCACAACCGCCTCCCTCTGTTCCTCAGCAGTACAGCCAAGCACCTCCACCCTACCAGGCGCCACCGGCAACACAGCCAAACGACCCTCTTGCAGCTCTACGTGGCATTCTACCTCAAAGTATCATCAACGATCAGCAAAAGCTGGTCCAAGCCCTCCAGGTGCTGCAAGACCTGCAGAAAGACGGCATTCCTATGGAGCAGTGGGCCCCTGTGCTGCAAGCGTTTGATCAGCAGTACCAAGCGCCTGCCCAACAATCATACGGTGGGTACGGCGGTCAGGCCAGAGGCCGTGATCGCAGTCGAAGCCCAGATGGTGGTCGTCGGAGGGCAAGTCCAGTCTATGGCAATTACGACGACTCTCGCAAGCAGAAGGACGAACCTTACGGAGGACGCAACGAGCAACGTCGATACAGGCAGCGCTCTCCCGTCCGCGACAGTCCTGCCCCGGCGGCCCACTCACTCCCTCCCGGCACCAATCTCGCCATGAACGGCATGCCGATGCAGCCCAAATACATCGCCATCGACAACAATCTCCCACGCGACTCCATCAAAGTCTTGTCGCGCACGCTGTTCGTAGGCGGTGCAAATGGAAGTCAGCAGGAGATCCAATCTCTATTTGAGCGCTTCGGACGAGTCCAGACATGCATAGCCAACCGCGACAAGCGTCACGCCTTTGTCAAGATGACTACACGTGCACACGCCGTCAACGCCAAGTCCAGTATGGAGCGACTGCAGGCCAGCAATGATCGCGAAACCATGGCCATCGCCCGCCAGACGAAATGGGGTGTTGGCTTTGGACCACGCGAGTGCTGTGATTACGGACGAGGCGAGAGCATCATCCCTATCGGCAAGCTGACCGACGCGGATATGAAGTGGCTTCTCACAGCCGAGTATGGCGGGACAGGCGGACAGAAGGTGGAGGCGGGGATGGTGCTCGAAGAACCCGACATTGAAATCGGCGCCGGCGTCAGCTCCAAAGCCATGAGCAGGCGTGTCATGCCGGACGCTTCTGGAGCGGGCGCAGGCGGAGGGAAGCGAGGAAGAGGAGACGACGGTGGACAGCGGAGGGACAACAATCGCGGGGCGAAGAGGCACGACGACGGCGGTGCTGGTTACGGATACAGCGGAGTGAGCGGTGGTCCGCCGCAACTCATGGAGCAATATGGATACGTTCGGCCGGAGCCGGTGGCTGTTGCTACGCCTCCTGCTGTGCCGGGCTTCGGTTTCACGCTTCCGGGAAGCGGTGGGGGGCAACCTGCTTATCGCTAGGGGCGAAAGGGACATTCGAGGAGACGTTGAAGGAGAAATTGTTTTTGAGAGGGGACGTATTGCATTGGGAGGACAGATGGAGCGAAGTATGGGGTTTTGCGGGCTATTGCTGATCTCACTTCTGGGGTTCATGGCATTTGAGAGGAGTTTCACGTTCATAAGTAGCATTACTACGATCAGAATCTGCAGAGCACCAAGTTCTTGTCCTCCAGCTATCCAGCCATTGACACATATTTCCCTCTCACACCTTTCTTTCCACAATCTTGCATCACCTCATGTCCTCACCGCTTCATCGGCTTCACCACTTTCGCTATCCTCAAGGTAGATATCAACACGAGATTCATGATACGCGACACCGCCGATACCGGGTCCGCCAAGGTCCCAGCTGGGAAGGTGCGCGGCAAAAGCGGCATCTCTCCCTCGCCTTCGCTTTGCCTTCGCCGCCCATCTAAACGCAATTTACAGATGTGCCCCAATTGATGGCCCAATTCTTTGGTCTCGCGCCCCAGCCGATCACCTGGGGGAATGAGGTGAGGCGAGTTAGGTAATGTCGGCTCCAACTGTGTCCCGTAGGAGTGTCGTCTTCGTTATTTCGTGGCTCTCTTTACGCCTCTTATTCTATCTTGTTCTCACTCTCCTCGGTGCTGTCTCTCTATGCATTGCTGGGTTCCCTGAGAAACGACATATTTGATGGAGAGGAGCAGATGTGTTGACGTTGCTGGCCTACTGTGATACATCACGCGACCACTTGACGATTCACGACTTACGACGACTTTTCCGCCAACCATGACGAAGAAACAAGACGCAGCGGAGGAGGCGCTGCATGACCAGACGCAACTGCTGCCGAAGAAGCAGGTGCTGTTCGTCTTTGGGGTCATGAGTCTCGCTTTGTTGGTCTGCTTTATCGATCAAAACTCCGTCGCCGTGCTTCAGCCTTCTATCGCGCGCGACCTCAATGCTCGCTCTTCGGTCTCATGGACAGGAACGTCGTCCCTCATTGCCAATACGACCTTTCAAATACTTTATGGAAGGCTCAGTGATCTGGCGGGCCGCAAAAATGTAATGATATCGGCGCTGGTATTGCTCTCCCTCAGCGATCTGGGCACCGGCCTGGCCGTTAACTCCACCATGCTCTACATATTCCGCGGCCTCGCGGGAGTGGCAGGCGGCGGCATCACGTCGCTATCAATGATGATCGTTAGCGACATTGTCACCTTGCAGGAACGCGGTAAATACCAGGGAATCCTCGGGTCTCAAGTCGGACTGGGCAATGCTCTGGGCCCGCTAATCGCGTCTGCTTTCGCCATCCACGGCACATGGCGAGGCATCTTCTACCTGCTTGCCCCGCTCGTTATGATCGCTGCTGGCATATCGTGGAGGTGTCTACCGACGAACATGCCGAAATTGAACCTACGGCAGACGCTGGCGAAGATCGATGTTCTTGGTTTGGTGACGGGCACGGCGGCGGTGATTTTATTGCTGATTCCCACTTCAGAGGGCGGACATGCTGGCGTGCCGTGGGATTCGCCCATGATTATCGCCATGTTCTGCGCAGGAGGAGCGTGTCTGATTGCCTTCCTCCTGATTGAGTGGAAGTACGCAAGGCTGCCTATGATGCCGCTGGGGATGTTTCGCAAAGCATCCGTGGCGGCCATGTTGATGCAGACGTTCCTGCTGGGAGCATGCTACTACACGTACCTGTACTTCATCACGTTGTACCTGCAGAACGTGAGGGGCAAGTCACCATTGATTGCGGCGGTGTTGCAGCTTCCGCTGGTGGTGACGCAGTCGACGTTTTCGACGTCCGCGGGCTACTATCAGTCGCGCTTCAACCGATACGCCGAGCTGATTTGGTTTGGGTTCGGCATCTGGACGGTCGGGGCGGGATTGCTCGTTTCGTGCGATGAGCATACACATCTGGGCTTGTTCTGCTTCTACCTCATCGTCATCGGGATGGGCACAGGGTGAGTGCACTGAACCACGCCAACGCAAACGCTTACTGACATTATGCAAAAGATGCGTCTTCCAACCCACCCTCGTAGCGCTACAAGCCCACTGTCCCAAAGCGCAACGAGCAGTCGTAACATCCAACCGCAACTTCCTCCGCAGTGCCGGAGCAGCAGTGGGCCTCGCCGTCTCCTCCGCCATTCTGGCCAACGTGTTGAAGGGCTCGTTGCCGCCTAGCCTAGCGAGCGTGGCTAATAGCACCTTCGCGCAACCCGACCTTGCGAATTACTCGGCTGCGGATCGCGCGACGATTTTGCGGGCGTACGCGGCTGCGAATCGCGCGGTGTTTATTTGGTGTGTGCCGCTGACGGGCGTGAGTTTTTTGCTTTGTGCTTTTATTAAGGATCGCGGGTTGGTGAGGAAGGAGGAGAGGGAGGGGGAGACGGCGGTTGTTACGAGGGAGCAGGTGGAGATGTCTGGTAAGGATACGGAGAAGGGCGGGCAGCACGTGGTCGAAGTGGGAGATGGGGACGGGGACGGGGACGGGGGCAGTGGACGAGGCAGCAGGACAGTGTCGTTGACGAGCGAGCGGAGTGGAAAAGCTGAGAAGTGAGGTGTCTCTCTACTGCATTTAGCGTTCAGTCTGCCGTCAATATTTCCCAATGGCCACGATGTCATTATTAGCAAGCAATTCCAGATCCGCAGGCAGCACTTGTAGCATCCATCTTACGGTGCGGCGAATAGAGCCCAGCCTGGCGAATGACGTTCACTAGCCGACAGCCAACGAAACGCGCATGCGGAGCTTCGGCCGGCCACACGTCGTCCACCTCCCGTCCACCATGTCATCGTCAGCCTTTGCCCTCTCATCCCGGTTCCCTGCCGGTACATCCAAGCTCGTACATCCCGCGTGCGTGTAAAGGAAAAATCCATATAACCCCGAGTTCCCGTCCTGCTTGGCATATCCAAGCCTATGACATCTTGCTGACAGCCGTCTGACGGGAAAGGCTGATCGCGTGCTTTCCGGACGAGGCAGTAGCGCACACGATCTCACTCCCGCCGCCCCCCGACGCCGTCAGCCTTTGAGCATTTGCGGCAGTCCTCACGCTTCAGCCCTACCGGACAACACACTGGCTCCTCCCCTTCCGCACTCGTCCGCGCACTCTTGGCTCGGTCCTCCGGACTCCTTGGCCTCCCGGGATACCGTTCTTGGCCGATTATATCAAACACACAACCCTCGTAATCAGATTTCGAGATGGCTTCATTCGCATCCAACTCCGGCTCCAGCGCCGCAGATCAAATGGTGCGGTTAGGCGGACCAGCGCATTCCAACCATCACGCAGCCTTCTTCTCTCTGTTCTTGGCTTCCGCGAGCTTATATCTACTATACACATTTTTCCGGCAGAGTGATGGAACACAGGAGCTGTACAAATGGACTCGACCGGCGCGCAGGAGTCCAACGAAATTCGCGGCGCCTCCGTTGAGAACGAAGGGGCGATATATTCTTGATGCAAATGGGGAGCGGATCAAGTTGGTTTCTGTCAACTGGTATGGAGGGAGCGATGTTTTCTTCGTTCCTATGGGGTTGGAGACGCGGCATCGCAAGGAAATTGCGCAAACGATCAGAGACATGGGGTTCAACAGCGTGCGCTTGCCGTACTCCGATCAGATGGTTATTCAGAATCCCGTCATCGACCCTGTCCACCTCGGCGCCAATCTAGACTTGCTAGATGGCCACAATGAGGACAATGAGACGGGAGAATTGTCGGGACCACGAGCACTAGACGTCTTCCAAGCTTGCGTCGAGGCTTTGACGGATGCTGGGATTGCTGTCATCATCAACGATCACATCACCAACGCCCACTGGTGCGACGGGATGAATCTATGCGATGCGAGTTGGAAGAACGATCACCTCGGCCCTCTGTGCTCCATCAGACAAACCACACAAAGCTGGATCGAGAACTGGAAGACCGTCATGGCGCCGCACGTCGATAACCCGCTCGTCATCGGTGCCGATCTGCGAAACGAACCTCGAGGACTATGGGGGACCATGACGTGGGATGCACTGGCATCGGCTTCGGAGCAAGCCAGCGAGGCCCTCTTAGCAATGCAGCCAAACTGGCTGATGTTCTTCGAAGGCGTGTCGTCCGCGAACGACGTTTCCGGAGCGCGGGCACGCCCAATCAAGCTGTCCATCCCTAATCGCGTGGTATACAGCAGTCACGTCTACGCGTGGTCCGGCTGGGGCTCAGGCGTGCCCTTTGGTCGCCGAGCGTACGCCTCGTTTGCTGCGGAAATGCATCGCAACTGGGGATACCTGTTGGCTGAAGACATCGCGCCCGTGTGGGTGGGCGAGTTCGGCAACGGCAGGAACATGGGCCCCGAGGACTTGCACTACTGGAAGAACCTGATGCGGTACCTTGCGGATTCCGACGCGGACTGGGGATACTGGGCATTGAACCCGTGGAAGCCGGGCCAAATTGACGAGACGTATGGGTTGTTGAAGAAGGATTGGAAGACGCCGCGGGATGATGTACGATTGGAGGATCTTAGAAATCTGATGGGTTCAGCGATACAATGATATGAAGCGTTTGGCTATGACAATTTCAATCTGTTGTCCATTGCCGTGCATTACAGCGTATGGAGAAGGTGATGTGCCCTCGCCACCGCCGACGCGGCCAAAAGCGGTGTTCAACGCGTGAGTAAGCCGAAGCAGCTCCGCCAATGGCATGCGCGGAAAGCGCAACCTTCTTTGCAAACCTTGACCACCTCACGCGTGAATGTTACGCTGCGCCGACATCGGTAGCATTGGACGACTCAACCGCATGTCTACTCTACCCGCGGTTGTCTTGGTAAGTCACATCTATCATCTCTCTCTATTTCGCGTTCGGAATTTCAACGTCTCTGAGAGCCATGATTCCCGGCCTCGGACCATCTCATTACATGCTTCTAAAACACATATAATCCAACCGGCCATGGCGGATGAAAAGCATCCAGACCTGCCCAAAGTGGCGGAAGACGAGGACGTCGAAAAGCACGCAGATTCGGAGGAAGACCACGACCTCCCCGACCAGCCGTCCCACTCCAGCAAAGATGACAAGGAAGCGGCCACCTACATCCACTCCACCGCCACAGAAGACGGCCGGCCCAGCCTGCACCACACCCTCTCCCACATTTCCACCCACGACAGCCCTCCCATGCCCGCGCGCGACGAGTTCTACGAAGCCGGGGACGAAATCTACAACAAGTACTCGCACCCGCATAAAGTCGCTATCGTCACTATCCTCTCCTTCTGCGCCTTCCTCGGCCCCATCAGCTCTACCTCCATTCTTGCTGCGAGTCCTGAAGTCGTGGCGACCTACCATACCACGGGCACGATCTTCGGCATCTCCAATGCCTTGTATCTCATTTTTATGGGCTTGAGCCCGTTGCTCTATGGGCCTTTGGGAACAACATACGGCCGGAAGAAGCCCTTGGTCGTCGCTGCTGTCACCTTCACCGCCTTCTCCGCCGGCAGCGCTCTCGCGCCTAATCTCGCGAGTTACTTCATCTTCCGCATGTTGACTGCCTTCCAAGGCACCGGCTTTTACATCTGCGGCGCGGCAGTCATCGCCGACATTTACAGGCCAGTGGAGCGCGGCACATGCTATGGCTATTTTCTATCAGGCATACTTATCGGACCTGCCCTCGGACCGTTGATTGGCGGCGTAATTGTCACATACTCCAGCTGGCGGAATATCTTCTGGCTGCAGACGGCATTATCAGGAGTCAGCTCCATAGGCGTTATTGTGTTCATCCCCGAGACGGCACACCACATGCGGAGCGAGGAACTAGCCGGCCTTCCGCGGAAAGAAAAGGCGAAGAAGTTATGGGAATGGACGAACCCGCTCCGCGTCATCAAACTCTTCCGCTACCCCAATATCCTGATAGTAGGCCTCGCAAGCGCAAGTCTCGTCTGGGTACGTCCACGTCTTCCCTCCCTCAAAACTCTCTCCAACTAACCTCCCGCAACCAGAACATGTACTCCCTCCTCACCCCCATCCGCTACGTCCTCAACCCACGCTTCAACCTCACCTCCCCCCTCGAAGGCGCCCTCTTCTACATCGCCCCCGGCGCCGGCTACCTGCTCGGCACTTTCGGCGGCGGCCGCTGGGCCGACCGGTGCGTGCGCAAATGGATCCGCAAGCGCGGCGGCAAGCGTGTGCCGGAGGACCGGCTGCGCTCGTGCATCGTCGCCATGGGCGGCGTCACGCCCGCGTGCATGCTGGTGTACGGCTGGTCGGTGGAGAAGCGCGTGGGCGGCATTCCGCTACCTGTCATATGCATGTTTGTGCAGGGCGTTGCGCAGCTGTTTTGCTTCCCCAGTATCAACACGTACTGCACGGAGGTGATGCAGAAGCGCAATTCGGAGGTGTTGGCGGGGAATTACGTGATTCGCTACGTTTTTGCCGCGGCTGGCACGGCGGCGTGTTTGCCTGTCATTGAACGCATTGGCGTCGGGTGGTTCAGCACCATTTCCGCCTTGTTTGTGTTTGTGGCGTCGATTGGGACGTGGATGACGGCGAGGTATGGGGCCGGGTGGAGGGAGAATGTGGAGAGGAAGTTGGGCGAGGAGAAGTAGAGTGGAGTGCGGGTTCAACCTGATTTTGGGCATAGCGGTGGGCATCGGATGGACATGGATGTACAGGATACCCTTGGATTCGGCGATGTAGGCATGCTAAAAGTAATTGAGATATTCTACTGCTTGTCTCGAGGTTGTGAAGTACGGCTGCGGCCGTGAAGCTGAGGGCGCGTGCATGAACAGGGAAACATATCGAAGAACCGTGCCAATGGATTGTGCTTTGTACAATGGCCTAAGCGGCGAGTGGATGGTAAGATACACGACAAGCACTGCCCCGTCCGCCATCTCCAATCTGCACCTCTAGGTTCGATGTCTAAAAGGAAAATACACGTGCGGGCCGCGAGCTTCCCCACTACGCGCTTCCATCCATTCTCCTGCCGCGGATTACTTGTGCTGCTCCGACCCGCTCTGGACTTGGCCTTTGCCTACATAGCCTTCGGACGACACACCGGTGATGGGCTCGATCTTGTTTTCCTGTGGTGCGAGTGCATTAGTCTTCGTGCCTACCGCCCACATTCGGGCGGGTGAGTTTGAGGAGCCATACCTTGAAGTACTCGTTCGTGGCTTCTTGCCACTCTCTGTTCATGGTGCTTGGATGAGGACCGGCAAAGAGATGTGTCAGGCCGAAGATGCCGACTCCGGCGAGGGAGCCAATGATAGTGTAGAGGAGGACTTTGCGGCCTTCGCCCGGGGGGTCACCGGCACGGGGGCCGTGGGGTCCAAAGGCGATCCAGTACGCTGTTTTGGTGTTGTTAGTGGGCGTTACTTGCGTCAATGGGTCGTATGTCCACGCGTTCTGGGCTGTGACGCCAATGGCATACACCCCCTCGGCCTCTCTCCGTCCGCTTCCCAGGAGCGACAGTGGGAGTATTGAGAGATGAAAACGATGACAAAAGGATTGTAGACGTACCGGCCTTCTTCTCCTGCAGCGTCATCTCATTCCAATCCACCTTCATCCGATCTCTGAGCGCCATCCACAAATCCGCCTGCTCCTGCGGCGGCATGGCCTCCCATCTCTTCTCAATGTTCGCTAGAGTCGGGTTGCTGATGGCATGTGCGCCTCGCCTTTGCTGGAGCGATGTGGGTTGTTGACGGCACACGAGGCTGGCGTTGAGGGCGCGGGAGAGATGACGGGGAGCCGTGGACGAGGAGGTCGGGAGACGCAGGGCAGGAAGTGTGCGCAGCATGGTGGGCGGGTTGAGAGTGGAGAGGAGGGGAGATGGAGTAATTAGGCTAGTGAGCGGCCAGCCTGGGGGCTTCTCGACGCGCTGTGAGGATCGCGGAAGAGGGTGAGGGGTGTGCTGGGCCAAATTGCTTGCTCGAATGCTGGATGAAGTCGACAGCAGAAAGCTCGACCTCGCGAGAAACTTTAATTTGCCAAGACCACGTCCGGGATTGGCCGAGGTCGGCAAAGTTGCCAGCTGCTCTGACGAACAGATTACTGTCTCGGTGGTGGACCTTATTGAAGACTGTAGTTGAAGATGCAATAAGACATGCGTATCAACTGGAGTCGAGCATGCGTAGTTCAAGTTAAAACGGGTCTGGTCACGATTCAGGAGGGCTGATGAACTTGCACGAGGCAATCAGCTCACCGCGGCTCCCATGGCATTGACAGGAAGATTTCTAGGCAGTCTGTCGTTCTGTCCGATGAATAGACGGACTGAATGCAGATCAGAGATACACTACGTGTGAAGCCTCATGCCTATTGGCAACGAGGATGTCGGGTGCGCCATTGAGCGCGTGTAGGAAGGCTTAGCCGCTGGCCTTATACATGCTGACACATAGCAACTCTATTCCATCGTCACTTCATCTTCCACCATATATGTGTATTTACCAGTGAACGTGACTGAGACGAGCAAAGACAGAAGAAGGACAGACGTCAGGCGAAAGCGTGCACAACAAGCCTGAAAACATGGATGCTCATGAACGACGTCAATTCCATGGCTGGCTAGTTCGATGGGGTTGCATCCGGCACGGCGGACGGATCTGGACCGCGCTGATTCGCAGTAGGCCTTCCACAGCGTCAGACTCGGACTCGGCGGCATCACCTCCACGCTTACACGCCTTCTTCCGACCACTGCTGTATTCGGCCGTCGAACGAAACCCCGCCCTCTCCACGGCAGGCACCGTTCCATCGCATGAACTCAAATCCTCCCGCCTCGTTCCATCTCACATTTGAATGCTCGTACGCGTGCACTATGTACACTTATCTAGGCAACGAGCACCGTCTTTGGACCCCGCAAACCCCTCTGAGCACCGACCATGGTTGCGACGCTAGCAGATAGGAAAAACCCGCATGACGCACGCCACAGGCCATGTCCATACACGGAAGGCAGGTAAGTCCAATGGCTATTTTATCGTTTTCAATCGCGCTCTCTTTCTTCTACTCGTATTCTCCTACCGTATAGCGACATTCAATATCAATATCGTCGCTTGGAAACATGCTGCTTCTCGTCCCATTGTTCGCCGCGCTCGGGCTCTCGCAGTTCGTGCCGGCTCCCACGGATCTGACCAATGCGACTGGATACATGGGCGTCCCAGTGCGCTACAAACAAGTACCGGACGGCATCTGCGAGCTTACGCCCAACGTGAAGTCCTACTCGGGCTACGTAGACATTGCTGAAGATGCACACATCTTCTTGTGAGTCGTCCGTTGTTTCGTCGCGACGAGCACGTGAGCTCACACTTCGTCGCAGTTATTTCTTCGAGACTAGGAACGGCGATCCAACTACTGCACCTCTCTCAGTCTGGATCAATGGCGGTCCGGGCTCTTCGTCAATGTAAGCATTTTCCCAAACATTCTGGAATTGGCACGCCGGCACCGACCTTCGTGACCACGAGACCTGCCAAACAGTCCCCCTCTTGCTAACGTGCGCCTTCCGTTTACAGGCTCGGACTGTTTGATGAGAACGGGCCGTGTCGTATCAACGACAATCTGGAGGTCGTCAACAACCCTTACTCCTGGAAGTATGTTCCCTCCCTCCTTTACGACCACGTGCTCATGACTAATAATTCCAAAGCAACGTCTCCAACATGATCTACATCGACCAACCCTCGACAACCGGCTTCTCCTACTCCATCCCAGTCCCCGGCTATTACTCCGGGATCAAACAGCAATACGCCGCCAGTGTCCAACTGCCGAATAACAGCAGCTGTCCGGATTACGCCGAGGATACCTGCGGCACGTACTCGCAGTATCTGATCTCGAGCCTCACCAATTCGACCGACAGCTCTGCGAACAACTTTTGGCTGGTCTTGCAAGGCTTCATGGGTGCTTTCCCCCAGTACTCCCGCGGATCTTTCCATTTCACGACAGAGTCTTACGGTGGTCATTATGCGCCTGTGTATAATGAGTCAGTGTATGCCACAAGCGTCTGTTGATCTCTTACTGACCGAGTCCAGGTACTTCCTCAACCAAAACCAACTCATCAAGTCCGGCAAGCTTTCGGGTGCTCATGAGATCAATCTCAAGTCTGTCATGATTGGAAAGTACGTATTCTACAACCCCATCGGTTCTGAGTGTCCTTATACTGATTTTCTTCTAGTGGGTGGTACGATCCCCTCATCCAGTACGCGGCCTACTACAACTACAGCGTGTCACCGGGAAACCCTTACGACCTGGTGCCATTCTCTAAGAAAATCCAGGAAAAGATGTACAATTCGATGTACGGTCCTGGTAACTGCTACGATCAAACGCTCGAATGCTACAACACCGGATCAGACGACGTGTGCTCGGCGTCCGACAACTTCTGTGCTTACGAAGTGGAGGAAGTCCTGGACATTTACGGCAAGCGGAACGAGTACGACATCCGCGAACTTCTAGCCGACCCTTTCCCTCCATACTTCTTCCAAAGCTACTTGAACCTCCCCAAGGTACAAAAAGCTCTCGGGGCCTTTGTCAACTTCTCAGCGGATTCCAACCTTGTTAGCGCCGCCTTCGGGACCACAGGCGACGACGACCGCACGCAAAACTCGCCGGTCGATGTCAAGAGTCTCATCGATGCTGGAATCTACATGGCTATGTATAATGGTGATGCAGACTACAATTGCAATTGGCTCGGCAATCAAGTTGTGGCCGACAACTGCAATGCCTCGGGCTGGTCGAATGCTGGCTTCGAGAACATCAGCACGCCCGACGGCGTCTGGCATGGTCAGGTGAAGCAGAGCAACAACTTCGCCTTTGCGCGTATCTTCGAATCGGGGCACGAGGTTCCGTTTTACCAGCCTGAGGTTGCGTTGGCCCTGTTTGAGCGCGTCATCAATGGTATGGACATCGCGAAGGGGACCACGAACGTGACGATGGGAGGGAACTACACTACTACTGGCCCGGCGCTGAGCACGTACAAGGAGGGCAACGCTACTGTGCAGTACAAGAAATTGCCGACGAATGCGACTTACAACACGACGACAAACGAGCCGAATCCGACGAGGAAGACTAAACATAGGAAGAGGATGGCGAGAAATCTTCCCATCTACTAGATATGGTTAATTAGTTGGACATGTGATGGAGGGAATGCAGCGATATACAGGAAATGTAGTGCAATGTATAATTGCTAATCGGCAGCCTTGGTGTGAATGACAAAGCTTTCCATTTTAGGAAGTTTGAGAGAAGCTCAAGCCACATGTCGGACGCGCCACGAGTGGCTTGCTATGCCTCAACCGCATCCCCCCTCACAACGAATACGCAACTGCATGCCAGACAAAAGAAGAACGAGAGCATGAAACAGCCGGAATGGACGAGGTCGAGAACCCCAACCTGCCCTCCGCCGGCGAGGCTAGTCCAACCTTGAGACCCATCGACGACGAAGACGACTCCGCCATCGAGGACGGCAGCCCGCCCAAACCGCCTCCAACCACCACAGAATCTCCCCTCGCGGCAGGAGAGAGTCCGCGGCGAGCACCAGCATCTCCCCGACGCCTCGATCTCCCCGCTCGCCCGCCGTTGCGAAGAGAAGGCACCGCCCCCCCGATCCAACCTCCGCCTGCACCCCCCGAACCCATCCTCGACTCCCCTCAAGACCAGCCTGATAGTCTCACATTAGCCGACTTGAAACGTATCCGGAGAGACTTTCCGACTGCTGTCCTTCCCGCCAAACAAGAGCTGTTGGACTGTGACAGCGTTTATGATTTTCAATACGAAGATGCGGAATCCCTGCCTGTGGAGCTGGAGGAGTGGTTTACATACAGCGATGAGGAACAGTCGAAGCTGAGAAAGTGCAAAGTGGCGTTCAATGAGGCGTGGCGGGCCACGGAGGAGGGCAAAGCGGACTGGCTGGATGTGACGGAGGATATGCGAAGAGGCTTCCTGAGCCAGAGGATCGAGTATCTCGCGCAGAACTATGGCGGAGAGGGGACGGCGTCTGCGCTGATGATTCTGACGTATGTTGGTCTTGGAGTATGGGAAGAGACGGCGGGAAGACGCGAAGGGTACAAACTTGAAGACCTGTTCGTTGAGGAGAATGGTGGGCATATGAGGATGCAGGACTTTGCGTCTTCGAGTCTGCAGCTCCGTTGGATTGTGGCCATGGTGGATACACTGCATGCTTGCGATGGCTTGAAGGCGGTGTATGATGCTTTGCGGAAGACTTGCGACAAGGACTTCCAGAGCGCCCCTGTGGAGCAGTCCTCCTTCCGCAATGAACCACAGCCTCGACGGCCGGAAGAGAGTGTGGAACTGTGGTGCTGTCTGACCCTCATGTATCTCTTTATTGAGGTTGCGAGGACGACGGCGGGTGAGAGTGGACAACGTCTGAAGGGGGACATTGTGGCACTCGAGCCCAATCTGCTCAACTACCTCACTCACACCGTCTCAAGACTGAGGTGGGATGACACCGCTCCTATTCCGCTGGCCAAGATGTTCCTCCTGGCATGGAAAGCCATCTTGGTCTCTGTGGGTGGAATCAAGGATGTGGAGAGGGTCAAGAGCTCCCTTCGTGAAGACAAGGATAAAGATAAGGTGGACGTGGCCGGACAGCCCCTCATCACCGCCTCACCACTGGACTACCACCTGTTCAGGCAAGAAATCAGCTCCAAGTATCCCGCTTATCAAGCACCGCCGCCTCTCTTCCCTCTGGAACCGGAGAACAACAGCATCTTGCCGCCCTTGAAGCATCGGAGTCTAAGCTACGCCTCCTCCGACTCAGCATACATGGGTGCACCAAGCGTGGGTACCGAGTCGATCATGCATCAACCCGTGCACATTGCAACGCCCGCTCCTTCCCCTCCTCCGACTCCCGGAGGGCCTGGCAAAGCTGGCAAGAAACAAAACTATCAAACAAACCAAATGTTTCCTTTCTTGTACCCCCCGCTCGACCTTAGCAGTAACGAGATCGGCGGCAAAGGCGACACTCAACTTCAAGATGCCCTCGTTGGTCGCAAATGGATGGGCTCGGACGTCCCTGCGAGCATTCTTGAAGCCGCCGAACTCTTCTCCAAGCGGATGCGGGCAACACGAGCGATGAAGCAGCTTTGGGAGGCACGGGTGGATTTCATGCGGTATGAGCGCGGCTGGAAGCCATCAGATGGTGCTCAGGACGATGAGGGAGAGTTTGAAATTGTCGAAAAGACGGCTCCTGAGGAGACGGCAGAGCAGGGCCAGCCTCTGTTACTGACGGACGAGCAGAGACGCTTAGCGGCCGTTGCTGCCTTCTACAAAACTTCGTTGCCGCACCTGCAAAGCGTCATCATCGTGTTGCTAAAAGCCACTTTGCAATACGTCACGGACATTGTGTCCAAGAACAACGGCCAGAATGGCCTACAACCCGGCATTCAATTCAGCGACGTCAATGGAATGAACGGCTCGATCAAACCCCTGGAGAACGGAACGGCCGACGCACCCGACCACACCGCCGAAGAAGTAGACAAGCTGCGCACGCAAGAAGTCGCCTCCAAAGCCATCAGCGGCATCCTCATCCTGCTGCTCAAGTGGCTCAAAGTCTCCCACATCCTGCAGTACGAGTACATGACGCAGCTCCTGCTCGACTCCAACTACGTGCCCCTCATCCTGAAGATGTGGCAGACGCACGACATCGCCAAGGCATGCCACACGCGCTGGGAGAAGGAAGAGCTGAACTTCTTCCACTTTTGCCAGGCGAACAGCCGCGCTGGCCCCCCCACTCCACCACCCGCAGCACCAGCAGAAGACTCCTCGGATGAAGCCATCCCACCTCCCATCAAATTCCACCGCGACTCCTCCCTCGACGCCCCGCTCCTCTCCCCAACAACAACCACAACTCTAGACCCAACCCAACCCCCCGAAGTCGACGAGCTAGGCTACCCAACCACCCCGCTGCCCACAACCCCAATAACAACCTACTCCTACCGCAACGTCATCTCAAGCATCAACCACCTGCGCGTCCTGCAAAAAGTCACGCGCCGCAAAACGCACCGCGCCCTCCTCCTCGTCAGCTACAAAAGCAGCAACCACCTCAAGCGCACCCTCAAAATCCCCATCCGCGCTTTGCGGTACTACACGCTCAAACTCTTCAAATCGCAAGTCCCCTTTTGCGGGCGCAAGTGGCGCCAGGGGAATATGAAAATCATCACCGCCGTGTGGCTCTCCGTGCCGGCGGAGTTGCGGGATGACTGGCTGAGTGGTGGCGGGGGAGGGATGGGCGGCGCGTGCGTGGGGGATGTGGATGGGACGGTGGAGGATGCGTTGCCGCTGGAGCAGAGCCTGCGGGCGTTGACGCATTGGTGGAATCTGCGCAATTTCCCCGAGGTCATGGGGTTTGATACCAAGTTGTTGGAGGAGGAGATGGAGGTGGATTACTTTACGCGCGAGCTGGAGAAGATGGATTTGGGGCGTGAGGGTGGGGAGGGGGAGTTCTTGGGGGATGAGGAGAGGTTGGCGGAGGATGCGTGGCCTGCTGGAGAGGGGTATTAGACGTCCTCGGCAGGTGAAGGCATGCAACTGGATTGAAAGGGTTTTGGGGAAAAGGCATTGTCGTCTCTACGAAAGGCCTATGATACAATCAAGATATGTCATGCTGATCGTGATGCAGAAGAAAGGAAAAAAAGGGGCATGAGTAAAGAAAGCAATCGCCGATGCATCATGAGTGAACCATTCCCATCCCTTCCGCCCAAAGAAACACCCGCATATCCATCCAGCCGCTCGTAATCCAGTCGCCCATGATTCGATCCGTCTGCTTCTTGAATGTCCGTCGTGTTCATCATCGAGTTTCCGGGGGGGTTGGTAAATGCAGGTGAAGCCGCTTGAGTTGAAAAACAAAGAAAGTCTTTTTTTTGTCGCCGTTCGTGAGTTCAGTGAATGCAATCGCGTACGATGAGCACCGGGTTACCGCTTCCATAGTCGTAGCAAAGACACTTGCGTGCGTGGAATCGTTGAGCCTGGTTTTCTCGTCGTAGCAGTAATCGTGAGAATCGTGGTGCTTGTGATATGATATATTTCGTAAACTTCTGTGATGTTGACTTCGAGTAGAACAAAAGAAAGAGAAAAGCCTCGTGGATGAGTCGTGAAAGTAGTAGTATTGTGGCAGGCGAACCAGTCGTGGAGACCGAGTCGATGAGAAGTAATGGTACAGAGTCATCAGTATCCCAAGAGGGGAGTGATGATGTCCAGATACACTCTTTGCCAAGATGCCGTTCGTTGGATGTGCAGCTTGAAGGCCGCAGCAGATCGCCCAAAAGAAGTCTCGCTCATGTCTTTGTCGTCGTGGGGTGGCCGTTAGGGAGAATGCAGTTCATAGCTCTTGCGAGACTGGCATGAAGGAGGGTGGCGCTTGACATCTGCGACGTCATGATGAGGAGCATTTGGTGATCTTAGAATTGGCCGTAGTGAGGGTTACGACCGAAGCCGGGGAAGCCTGGGCCGCCCATGCCCTGCTGAGGGTAGTTCTGAGAACCGTTAAGGGCGTTGTATGCTTGGCTGCGCGGCGCGCCGGAAGAGCCGGTGTCGCCGCCAGAATACCCGCCGTTGGCAGCTGGCCCGTTGAAGCCGTTGGCAGCTGGCCCGTGGTAGCCATTCGTAGCTTGACCGGAGAAGCCGTTGATTGCAGGACCGGGGAAGCCGTTGACATTCGGAGCATTGAAGCCATTCATAGCAGGACCGTGGAAGCCATTGACAGCAGGACCGGTGAAGCCGTGCCCGACAGACCATTCGGGCGGCGCACCAACCATGCCCATGCGATTGCTACGACCGCTGGCAGGGGCGGCGAAAGGGGGAACAGAGGGCACAACAGCAGAAGCGATCGAGTGAGCCTGAGAGGAGGAGTCAGACTTGTTGATGTTGGCATTGTTGAGAGGCCCGGTGTTGCCGTTGTCGTAGTCTTGAATCTTGCTCTGAATGCGACGCCCGTGGGGAGTGTTGCGAATAGCGGGGATCATGGGACGCAGGCTCTCGACGATGATGGCCTTGAGCTCCTCGTCGGCAGTGTCCATGGCGGTCTGCACGACGTAGTTGGCGAAGGAATCGCGGAGAAGCCTCTCCATGTCCTGAGGCGAGCTGATCTCGTGGATGAGGATACGCCTCGTGTCGGGGCCGGCAGAGCGGATGCACTTCTCGATGACGTTGGAGCTGAACTTCTGCTTGGAAAGGAAGGCAATGTTGCCGGCGAAGCTGCGGCACAGCGGCTCGGTGAACATGGGCTCGTTGAGATCCAGAACGTACTGCACGACGTAGTTGCCGAACGGATCCTGCACCAGAGCAAAGGCATTGTCGATGACGGCATCTACCATGGCACCCTTCTGAGGTCCGGTAGCATGGTCAACGCAACGCTGCACGACGCAGCAGCCATGACGGTGCGTGCCGACCACAACACAGTTGGCGCTGACGGCGTCGAAGATGAATTGAGCATCCCGCGAGCTGAGGTGGTTAAGACATTTCTGAATGACGTGGTTGCCGTTGAGGTCTTGGATGAGCTGGACAACGTCGTAGCGCAAGGCGTCGATGAGCATGTTGGTCTGCTCGGGAGTGGCGATGGACTCGATCATGCGCTGAAGAGCGCGAGTGCCATGCTGGTTGAGAGCGATGCGAGTCATGGCGGGCGCGGCATTCTTGACCAGGACGGTGCGCTGCTCGTTGTTGCAGTGCTCGAGCAGACGCTGGCAGAGGTAGTTGCCGAAGGGATCGACCATCAACTCTTGGAAGTGATCCTTGACTTCATCGAAGATGATCTGCACGTCCTGCTCATTCTTCTCTTCCAGCTTGCGCTGCAAGAAGCGGCAGCCATGCTGATCCTTGCACAGTCCGTAGATCTGCCCTGCCACACCCGGGACGCTGACGTTGGCGTAGAGCTCATCAGTCTGGGCCTTGCGGGGGTGGGTGGCGGGTTTGTTGGCATCATAACGACCGGCTCCTTGAATGGCCTGGCCATTGGATGGGTATTGCTGCATGCCACTGAAGCCGTTGGGCTGGTAGAGAGAGGGCTGGTTTCCCCACTGGCCTTGCGGAGCGTATCCGCCAGTGAGGTTCATGTTGCCGAAGCCGTTGTTGAGTGACTGCATGCCACCATAGTAGGGCGACTGGCCGTAGGGCATGTGAGGAGCTTGGAAGGGAGGCATGCCGTTGGTGGTGTCGGAGAAGTGAAGGCCGCCGAAGGAAGCACCGTTGCCTTGCAGAGCGGCTTGAGCCGTAGCAAAGATCTCAGGGTTGTGATGCAAGATGTTGACGAAGTCCTGGCTCTGACGCTGAGTGGGGTGAGCCGTGGCGTCAGATGCAGTGCGGTCACGGTGAGCTCCGTTGAGGTCTTGGGTGGCGGAGTCGGCGGTGTTGCGAGCTTGAGGCTGAGTCGAAGTGAGGGAGACGCCACCAGAGTGCTCAGATTCGATGCTCTTCAGAGTGGGAATGTCGTTGGTAGAGTAAGAAGAGGCAGCCTTGGCCATGCCGTTTGACATGGAGCTGCGAGGCGGTGTAGCCATGAGTGAAGGACGCTTGGTTTCTGTGGAGAATTTGACTTCGAGAGAGCGACGGCTGGCGGCAGCTGCAGATTTGAAGTCGTTTGAATTGGTCAAGATGCCGTTGAGTGGGGCAATGGTGCCGTTGCTGCTCACAGCCGAGGGTGGGAGGGAGATGCGGTGACGGCTAGCCGTGAGGCGGTCGGTACCCGGCTGCTCCACGTTTGACAAGTGGTTTAGAGCGAGGTCAAGAGCGGCAGAAGGCCCGGAAACGAGCTCACTATCGTCACTGCGGCGGATGAGCTTGGGGAAGCCGTCTGCAGTGTGCTGGACTTGCAGGTAGGTCTTGATGTCTGGTGGAGAGGGCTTGTTAGTGGCCAGTTTGGTGGGGAGCGCGGATGGTTGCTCTTCTTCGTCAGTGAAGAAGCTCGAATGATCGAGCGCACCGAGGCTGGAGCGGAGATCTGCTGCGTTGCTGTTGCGCTGGCGGTCGTAGGAAGGTGCGGGCATGGAGTTGCGGTTCAGACTGTGATTGAAGAAGTTAGCTAGCTGAACCACGGAAGAAAAAGAGAAGTAGTGGTGGGTGTTATTGTGAGGGGGTGTCAATAGGAGTGAGTGAAGGTATTGTGAGCGAAGTGAAGCGAATATAAGTATTGTCGTGGACAATAAGGTTTGGCGAAGCATGTGATCGCGCTGAAACGCGCCAAGACTTGATATGGCAAGAACAAGGAAGTGAGCTTGAAGTGAAGACACGACACTCACTTTGCCGCAGAGCGGTGAAGGCCAGGATCAAAGTACAGGATGTCGACTTCTTCTTCGTCGTCCGAGTGACGGCGGGAGCCAGGGACAGACTGAGAAGGGAGTGCCGAGGGGTTGGTGGAGGAGTAGGGCCTGGCTCCGAGGACTGCAGGGGATGTCAAGCGCGTACTTGAGCGATTGGGCCTGCCTGGAATGCCTGGTGGTGACGTCAAGCTTGCTGCCGAGTAGCGATTTGTGCGAGTAGTCACGTCTGTGCGGTGATATAAGTCAGCTCCCGAAGGCCACTACTGCGCCAAGGTAGGACAAGATACATACTGCGAACGGGTTCATGATACTCCGGCGGCGTTGTCGGCTCGCTCTGAGCAATCATGTCGGACACTGCACGCTCATGACGAAGGCCGTCCTCGACTTCACGCCGAGTCTCATCATCAATCTTCTCCAATTCGGCATTGATGTGGCGCTGCTGTTCCAACAGGCGCTCGATGTGGCGAATTCTGCGCTCGGACTGCGGCCGTCAGCATTTGTGATACCTGGAACGGGTACGCCATGGAGGAAGCTTACTGGAGCCACATGGCTTTGCAGGCCGGACTTGGATAAAAGGTTAGCAATTGCACTGCAACTTCGTCCGCCATGAAGACTCGAGGGATTCCTTCTCTTCCTCTTTTCCCTGGACAAAGACAGCCATCTACAGCAGCACGAAGAGGTCTCGCAGTGCGGTAGAGCCAAGAGCAGACCAAAGCGTCTCAACACCACAACACCACCTCCCAATCCAACTTCGCAGCCGGGCCACAAAGTCTCACCGCCATTTGCTGTACCGACCATGCCGCCTCTTCCATGTACTACCATGCCAGCCCGCCGCGGTGTCTTACACTGCCGTGCATGACAAGTCTGGAAATGCACTTACCATTAAGGTGTCCGGTCTTCTCTGCTGCCTAGGAGGCGGTCCCAAGGTGGGGAGGGCGTTCGTGGTGAAGCGCCTCATCAAGCCTCCTCTTGCATCCGCCGCCGTGGAATTCGGGAAGGGGCTGTTGGTGTTATTGTTGCTGTCCCGAGGGCCAAAGGGCTGGCGGAAGGGAAAGGTCATGGTGTGGTGGAGCGGGCGACGGCCAGCGTGCTTGCAACGCAAAAATGTCCAATGTCGGAATGCAAGTTGCTAGTTGTACACGTTCGAAGGAATGTGATGCTGGGCAATAAGGACAGTGGTGCGGAGAGGGAGGACGGAGGTGGGTGTGTCGTGGGCGAGGACGAGGAGAGGGGTGGCAGGGTGGGGTGAGGGGATATGCGGTGTAGAGGAGAGAAGTGCGGTCAACAGATGCTCCTGCCCCACCAAGGAAGAATCGGGGACGGAGGAGGAGATCGCCTCAACCGAGTTAGCTCGAAAGTCAAGCATGGACCGTTTTGCGCCATGCCAGACTGCACCGCAACGGGGCAAGGGAAATCATGGCAACACGACGCGAAAATTGCTCGTGAATGGGACGGTTCATCTAGATAACACTGCATATGAAACCGTAAATGAATCCGGCAGCACAACGACCCTCCCAAGACTCCCGGTGCTCGCAGAGTGGAAAGCTAACCCGTCCACCCTCGGCGCATTAAGTGGGCTTCAATTTCTCCGCAGCCACACGTGGAGTCTCGGGTTGGCGGATTGTCGCGAGATGATCATCCTCCCGCGGGATGTTTGATTCAAGCAGGTCTCACGGCACCTCGCTGATTCTTTGGGGCCTGCCCTGCAGGCAAGCAAGCGTCCTTCATGCACTGCACACTCTTGACATGCATGTCAGGGGAGGTGACAGTAATTTAAGCTCAACACTGCCATCGACTAGCCTCACAAATGACAAAGACGCTTGGGGCCTTGCTGGCGCTGCTTGATTGCACAATGTAGCTCAAACACCGGACAATCCTCTTCCATCCTCCAACCTCAAGCTGTACGACTGTAGGCATTCTCTAGACATGTGTAGCCATAGCAAATCCCGAAATGCACCTCCGTCCTCAGCTTCTGGTTCCTGACCAGACCCTGGAAGCTTAATCGTGATAGAGTTCCAGGCAAGCGTGTGGCTGAACCGACGCCATCAGCCACACTTTTCACTTTGCTCTTGATCGATCAAAAGTCAAAATGCTTCACGAACTGAACATCACCGTTGACCAGCCACGAAGGACCAAATGAGCTGACATCACCCCTCACTCCCTCCAGACCCTCGGCCGAGATGCCACCGCGTGCGAAGAAGAAGGCAGGACCGATCGAAGTGGCTCCGAATGAAGTACGCCACCCAATTTTCACTTGCATTTGGCCATGACTGACTTCTGCCCACAGGCGACAAAGAAGCGCAACGTTGCTCTCAAGCCAAAGCAGAAGGATCCTGCGCCAGCGCAGCATGTCTCATTACCCAAGCAGATCCAATCGGCTAAGAGACGACCCGAGGCCGCTACGGACGACATTGATGCCCTACTCAAACCCTTCTACTACCAAAAAAGACTGACGGATCCCATCGACACGGCCAAAGATAAATGGAACCTCTTGCCCGCCTTCCTCCGCGTCAAAGGCCTGGTCAAACAGCACATTGACTCCTTCAATTACTTCACCGAGCTGGAGCTGAAGAAGATTGTCAAAGCGAACCAGCTCGTCACCAGCGATATCACGCCACAAGGGTCGGAGAAAGCGAAATGGATCCAATTCACCGACATTCGCGTCGGTGTACCCGACCGTCTCGAGGACAAATTGAACCACATCGACTCCACCGTCACCCCGAATGAATGTCGGCTACGAGACATGACCTACGCCGCTCCCATCTACGTCGACATTGTCTATCCCAAACAGTCCGGCAAACACACCATCCGAGACATTTGCATCGGCAGGCTTCCCATCATGCTTCGAAGCTCTAAATGCGTGCTCAACGGCCGCTCGGACTCGGAAATGGCATTGTTGAACGAATGCTCGCTTGACCCTGGCGGCTACTTCGTTGTGCGAGGGCAGGAGAAGGTCATCCTCGTCCAAGAGCAACTCAGCAAGAACAGAATCATCGTGGAGCAGATGAAGGGCATCATTCAGGCGTCCGTCACCAGCCATACCGCCAACGTGAAGACGAAGACGTATGTCTTGCTGAAAAAGAACGCCCTCTTCCTCAAGCATAACTCCCTCAACGAAGACATCCCCGTCGCCATCCTGTTCCGAGCAATGGGCATCCAGTCCGACAACGAGATCCTCTTTTTGGCAGCGGGAAGTGACGCTCAGTATCAAGACGAGTTCGCTCCAAATCTTGAGCTCGCGGCGCAGGAAGGGGTCTTCACCCAGGAACAGGCTCTTGACTACATTTCCACCCGAATGAAAGCGGACCGCTTTGCCCCAAGGTTCGGCAAAGATGCCAAAACACCAAAGCAGGCGGCGCTGGATAAGCTTGCAAACACCATCATCCCTCACGTTACGGTGACAGGGATGAACTTTCGACCAAAGGCACTCTACGTGGCCTTTATGACTCGACGAGTGTTAATGGCAATGCACGATCCCTCGCTCGTCGACGATCGTGACTATGTCGGCAACAAGCGTCTCGAGCTGGCAGGCCAGATGCTTTCGCTCTTGTTTGAAGATTTGTTCAAGGAGTTCACGAAGAACATCAAGATGAACATGGACAAGCTTTTGAGGAAACATCACCCTACCGAGGAGTGGAACCCGCGGAACACTGTTGAGCAATTCGCAATTCGCATCACCAGCGGCATGGAGCGGGCCATCGCCACCGGCAACTGGACCTTGAAACGCTTTCGCATGGATCGGGCTGGGGTGTCGCATGTCCTGAGCAGATTGAGCTATATTAGTGCTTTAGGCATGATGACCAGGATCAGCAGCCAGTTCGAGAAGACGCGAAAGATTTCAGGACCCCGAGCGCTACAGCCCTCACAGTTCGGCATGCTATGCACTTCGGACACTCCAGAAGGAGAGTCTTGTGGACTCATCAAGAACTTGGCGCTTATGACGCACATCACCACCGCGGACGATGAGGAGCCGGTGAAAAAGATGGTCTTCATCCTCGGAGCTGAAGATGTCACATCTTTGTGTGGAGAAGAGATCTACGGCGCGGGTGCCTTCATCATCTTCATCAACGGCACGCCAATCGCGCTCACACGGCATCCCAAGCAGTTCCTGGTTGGGTTCCGGAGATTTCGAAGAATGGGCAGGATATCCGAATTCGTCAGCATCTATGTGAACTACCAGCATAACGGAGTTCACATTGCTACTGACGAAGGCAGAGTCTGTCGACCCTTGATCATAGTAGAGAAGGGCAGGTCGAAGGTGACTGCTCGATTCTTGGAATCATTACGGAAGGGGACTATGGACTTTGACGACGCGCTCTCCCGCGGCATTGTGGAGTACCTGGATGTCAATGAAGAGAACGATTCGAACATCGCCGTCTACGAAGATGGCATTGGCGCCCATACGACGCACCTCGAAATCGAGCCTTTCACGATTCTTGGAGCAGTGGCTGGGCTGATCCCTTATCCGCATCACAACCAATCCCCTCGCAACACCTATCAGTGTGCCATGGGCAAGCAAGCCATCGGAGCGATCGCCTACAACCAGTTTGAGCGCATTGACAGTCTGCTGTACTTGATGGTCTACCCCCACAAGCCTCTCGTCAGCACCCGAACGATCGAATTGGTCAAGTACGACAAACTGCCCGCCGGCCAGAATGCCATTGTGGCAGTCATGTCATACTCAGGATACGACATCGAAGACGCCCTCGTCATCAACAAGGCCTCTTGCGACCGTGGCTTCGGGCGCTGCCAAGTCTTCAAAAAATTGAGCATGCCGCTGAAGAAGTATGGCAACGGCTACCAAGATCGCCTGATCGATCGAGATGCCACAAATCCCCGACACAAGAAGCTCGGCAAAGACGGCCTACCTGACGTCGGCTTCGAGCTGGAATCAGGCGACATGTACATCCTCAAGGAAACACCACTCCAAAAGGACGCCGCCGTGCCTCCCAACCAGCAAACGTGGGCGGCAGTGCACATGGCCTATAAACTCCCCGACCCCTGCTACGCCGACAAAGTCATGATCTCCGCCAACGAAGCCGACAACACCATCATCAAAATCCAAACGCGCCAGACCCGGCGCCCGGAAATCGGCGACAAATTCTCCTCCCGTCATGGCCAAAAGGGCGTCGTGGGAATCATCGCCGAGCAAGCCGACATGCCCTTCACAGACCAAGGCATCGTGCCGGACATCATCATGAACCCCCACGGCTTCCCCTCCCGCATGACCGTCGGCAAAATGCTCGAGCTTGTGGCGGGCAAAGCGGGCGTGCTGGCCGGCACACAGGAATACGGGACTGCTTTCGGCGGCAGCAAAGTCGAAGACATGGGCGCCGAGCTCGTCCGTCGCGGCTTCAGCTACTCCGGCAAGGATTTCGTCACCTCTGGCATCACCGGCGAGAGTCTGCCGTCTTACGTCTTCTTCGGCCCCATTTACTACCAGAAGCTGAAGCACATGGTGCAGGACAAGATGCACGCGCGTTCCACGGGGCCGCGCGCGATCCTCACTCGTCAGCCTACCGAAGGACGCTCACGCGCCGGTGGGCTGCGATTGGGTGAGATGGAGCGCGATTGTCTGATTGCGTATGGCGCCAGCCAGCTCCTGCTCGAGCGGCTGATGATCTCCTCCGACGCGCACGAGGTGGACGTGTGCGAGGCGTGCGGCATGATGGGGTACAATAATTGGTGCCAGGGGTGTGCGAGCAGTCGTGGCGTCGTGCGGATGACGCTGCCGTATGCGGCGAAGCTGCTGATTCAGGAGCTGATGAGCATGAATGTCAAGGCGGCTTTGCAGTTGGAGGATGAATTTCCGAGGTAGTGAGGGGAGGAATAGCGGCAGATCTGGGGTAGAAGAAGAAATGAAAGACTTGACACTGTCCTTGATTGTGCGTCTGCTCGATGACAGTCGCAGTTCCGCTGCGAATGTTAACACGAGGTGTGGGCTATGCATCCCACGGGGTATCATGAACTCCTCCGAACCATGACCGAATGCAATCCTTCCGAGTCGGTCCGCAAACCTCCACCCAGTCGACACCTAATGCTCCTCCTCCACCAACCCCTCCCAGTCAAAGCTCTTGCTCGCATCATACGCAAACGGCCAACACCGAATGTAAGCACTAACATCCCTCTGCACGCGCAACCGCTCCAGATACCTCGCCACCTGCACCAGCACATCCGTCTCCATCTGCCCCGCCGCCGCCGTGAATTCCTCCAGCCGCACGAGATTGAAAGGCTCACTTACCCCCTTCAAAGCGCTATCGTCAATCAGCACCGTATTCGCCTGGCTCCATTGGTTGTCCTTGTTTGCGTCGGGGTTCTTCGCGCGGATGGCTTCGTCCTCCCATATCCAGCTTAGCTGCTTGTAGACTTGCACCTTCTCTGTGTAGTCGGCTTGGGAGAGGCGGAGTTTGTCGCGGCCCCAGCAGGCGACGAGTTGGGCGTTTTGCTCTGTGGTTAGGAGTTTGCTGCACATGTCTCGCACGTTTTTGGGCGTGGCGGAGGACCAGACCATGACGTGGTGGTTGGTGAAGAGGTAATCGAGGAACTCTGCCACTTTGGGTCGGGATTTGAAGGTTCTGCGGTTGTGAGGGTTGCGGGAGAGGAGGGTGCCGTTAAGATCGAGGATGACGAGGAGGGGCCGGGGGGTTGAGTCACGCTGCGCGGGACAGTGGGCTCGTTGGAGGTAGCTTGGGGATGGCTTTGGGGCTGGCGTTTTCTTCGGTGCTGATGATTTAGATACTGCCAAAGAGCTGAAGGCCATTTGCCACTCCGCGGGGCTGGGCATGCACCCAGGGAGGAAGATTGACGGTTGTCCCAACGGGTATGGGGCAGTTGCCGGGAGCCCAAAGTGAAAGTTAGAAGTCGACGGTGCATCATGGTTGGTCTGAAGTTGCGGCATGTACTCGGGCCTAGATGCAGCATCGATGTTAATCTGTTCACATACAAGTTCCTTCTCCAACGAGACTGACCTGAGTGAGCCGTTTGGCTGATACGCTGGAGCCGTGGGATCAAAGCTTGAAGCATAGGGGGGAAGAGGTGGAGGTGCAAAGCCCGGAGGCACGGGAGGGAGGAAGGGGAGCGCATGAGGAAGGGGTGGCAGTGGTCCTTGATGCTGCGTTAGAGGGTATGCCGAAACGCCATAGCTATCAGGAGGCTGGTATGACTGGGAGGGATAAGGTGCGTACCGCTCTCTGTTTGCCCGGTATGTCCTTTGGTTCTGCGGTGCGGTGCGATGTAGGGTTTGGCTGTGTTGCTGTCCTTGGATCCAGTAGAATGACTGGCCTTGGAGGGTTTGCTGTCTTTGGTCCCAGTAGGAGGGTTGGCCTTGGGGGCTTGGTTTTCCGCTGGCGTAGTAGTTGTTTGGTTCTTCTTGCCACCACGATGCCGGGGTTTGCGATGTGTAGGTGCCTGGGAGGGGCCAGTAGTATGGGCTTTGGGAGTCGTAGAAGCCTGGTTGGTATGCGTTTGGTTGCTTTTCTCCGTACCCAGGTTGAGTTTCTCGATGTCCGCGACCAAGTCCACTGTCTGATCTGACGATGCCATTTTGATGAAGAGCCGGGGGAGAGATGTGGTCGACTTTCGTGTTATTGCTCGGACGGAATTGACGGCTTGCATTCCACATCTCGTCAGGACGCGCTGCTTGTTGTTGTTGAAGAAGATGATGTAATGAAGTTGCGTCGACGCATATCTTGAAGTTTTTGGGGAAGGAACGAAAGGCGATGACTAATAAAGTACAGTTCCTGCCCGAACAGGCAGCAGTCGCTAATCCTCTTTCGGAAGCCTGCCTGCTCGCGCCCTCAGCCTTACCCTCGTTCTATGTATGAAGACTCTTTCGTGCACCCGGCTCGCATGATTGGACATTTAGTCTCCAGTCGCTGCGATGTTGTGTTGCAACGCTCACATTGACACTCCCCCTACAATCCTCGTTCGCGACCTGCTACGCTTACAATCCGAGCAGCTACTTTCGACACTCCATGTTTCTGATTGATGACGTTGCCTTAGGCAAAGGGAAAAAGAAAGTCACAAAGGCATCATGATCAAAAGTCAGTATTCTCGGCAAAGCTAAGGTATTCAAGCATACATCGATCGATGCTCAAGCTGCGCTCGATCCAAGGCAAAAAGGAGAACAGCAACGAAGGCAGCACTGCATCCGCGATTCCGTTTGCTGGTGGGTACGACCGTATCCTCCTCCTGAGGAGAAACCTGCACATCCAAATATATGCACTCGCTTCTCGTATCGGGAACAGGCAGTTTCATGTGGTTGCACGACCCATCGGGTGGTGTGCTGGCATGCGAGGGGCAGCTGGTAGAGAGCAATTATGTCTCAGTGCTGCATCGTCCCACCGGCACTTCCTTGCTTACCGCGCATGACTTACGAACGGATAGAGCGGAATAGTAGTGAAATGCCGTCAGCACTCGCTTCCCGGGAGCTAAGCGTTTGCGATCTTCACTGTCAACGCCACGTTGTCCTCGCCTGGAGTTGCAAAAGAAAGCGTTCTTTCCCATGTGCGCTAGCGAGATGCAGGTGCAGCCAGGAGGATTCGGGGGTTGAATCTTGGTAGAGCCGGCGGGAGAGACAAACAGCCAGCAGGAGTTTTCTCGGCTTTCGCCGTGAACAGCGCAGTCCGGCAAAGGTGGCGGAGACCTGCATGTACCCTTCCGGCATTTGGTCTGGTTGAAGTGACATTGCGGCTTAGTGGCGTTACGTCTTTGGTTGGGCCGATATAGTTACGGATGCTGCGGCGATGAGGTTCTGGAGTGCTCATAGAAGAGTAAGCCCCAGCCTCCTCTTGCTCATAGATGATCATCTAAATTGCGATAGACAATTAATAGAAGTCCCAAGAATTGGCACGAGCACGGCGAAGATGCGAATGAGCGCGGCAAATTTCGACGACACCGGCTGGGATTTAGCAAACCCTGGGCATGTCATTGGCGTCCGTTCGGCGTTGTGACAAGTGTGCAGGTGCAAGCCCGCAAGGCTCGGCTAGGAGGTGGTGGAAAGGTGGTGGAAGAGGTGAGATGTCGTGACCCCAGCCTCCTCAGATCCCTCCCCGCGGCTCCTCCCGTGACGATCCCCGGTGCCGAGACAAGCGCACCAGCCAGTCGCCGAGTCGGGCGCTCGGCTGTGCCTGGGGCTTGCCCCTTTCGGGCCTTGAGCCTCGCCCTTCCCTTTCATCTCCGTCCTTTGCATGCTGCAGGTACGCGGGTTTCGACTCTTGGATGGGTCGCGTAACGCCAAGGGCAGGAGCGGATACTGAAGAGTTTGGCGCTTGGCTAGTAAAATGAGACAAGACGGGTACACGTGATGGGCACGCGTGCGCGTGCTCCCTGACCGCAAACGGAGGTACACAAAGCAGGGGTGGTGCTCCCTCGGCCAAGTACCGGTGCCTGGGCGCAGGGGGAGACATTAGGACAAGGTGTTGGCAGACCGCAAGCAGCATTCCAGGGCCTTTGTATGTTTCCACAACGACTGAACAAAGCGCGCATGCCGCAAGGGAGCAGAAGCCGGCATGGCCTCAAATACCTCCGCGTGCCCCCCCTCGCCCGTTTGTGAGCGCGCACCGTTTGTGTTTCACTGTGCCACCCACGTAATCGACGTTTCCATCCGACGACGCATGAACGCGCTGTGACTGGCCGCTCCCGACTCAATCTCCAGCAAAGGCGCCGCGAGTGGAGCAGCCTTGCAGTGTCCAGGGGGCGATCGCCGCCAGCGTTTGCAGCGGCCGCTAGCAACCTTAACACCTCCCGCACCTTCCTCCCCCCGGAGAGCTCCGCACCTTCCCAAGTTTGAAACGCCAGGCTGGACCTAGTCGCCCGAAACTCAATCTCCCCCCACGAACACGAAACGCAGCTCCTGGGCTTTTGTCGCCTTCCACCCTCCCTTCCTTCGTCCTCCTTCTCTTCACCACCCACGTCCACCTGAACGCCTTTCGTCCTCTGCACCACCACCACCTTCTCTTCCAACACTCCTTCGACTTGCAGCTTGCTGCAACCACATTCATTTGAAGAATCCAAACCCACCAGCGCCACGCAGTCGCCTCACTGCCGAGTCAAGGTCGAGCCTCCGCCAGCCGGAAAGTACTGTAAGTCCCATCCATGGTCCAGCTGAGACCTTGCATACACGAGCATGAGCCCTCTACGTACCTCGCCCACAACCACAACAACACCTCGCGGCACGTCTTTTTACGCACACGTCGTTGCCCATCTTCCTATATAATGTCCACGCAACGTCGCATCACTCGCTAACCATCCCTTCCAGTCACACACAGTCTCTTTCGCCTTTCAACCGGATCTGCGATCCCCAGCACACGCATCTCGCCCCTTCTTGTCCTCCCGTCACTTTCACTTCAAGGACATCTCATTCACCATGCGCTCTGCATTCGTCGCCGCGGCCTTGGTCGCCAGCGCGCTAGCCGTGCCCTTCAACAAGCATGAGGAGAAGCGTGCTCTCGTCACCACCACGGACATCGACGTCATCACCGTGACCGACTACGTTACCGTTACTCTGCCTGAAGGTTCCGCCCCGACGGGTGGTAACCAGAGGTTCGGCTTCGGGGACCACCGCCATCACCGTCACCACCACCATGGAGAGGAGCCTCCCCAGACCACCCCTTCCACGACTTCCAACATTTTCCCGTCCACCAAGCCCAGCACTCAGCAACCTTCAACCAACACCAACACCGCCCCGCATTTCGCTCCCACGCAGTCCGCTCCCACCTCCGCGCCGAGCTCTCCGTCCAATGGCGGTGGCTCCACTCCTACGCAGAACCCAGGTGCGACGCCTACCGACTACCAAGAGATCGCCGTCTACCACCACAACATCCACCGTGCCAACCACTCCGCCTCGGACGTGACCTGGGATGACAACTTGGCTTCCATTGCTGCCCAGATTGCCAGCTCCTGTGTCTATGCGCACAACACGTAAGTTCCCTGGACCAGTCCCTTCTCGCCCGTCTATTCACTAACGATGCGCAGCGCTACGGGTGGCGGTGGTTACGGCCAGAACATTGCTGCCGGTGTCAAATCCGACAACATCTCGGCCATCATTACCGATCTCTTCTACAACGGCGAGGTCAACTGGTTCAACGGGCTATACGACCAGGCCCAGCCATCCATGGTCAACTTTGAGCACTGGGGCCATTTCTCGCAGATTGTGTGGAAGGCTACCAGCACCGTCGGATGCGCCACCCAAGACTGCTCCGGGCAAGGTCTTTCTGGTGTGGGCAGTGATGTCGCTCCCTACTTCACCGTCTGCAACTATGGCGGCCCTGGTAAGTTTTGACTACGGATGATGGTGTTCGACGACAAAGCTGACTGATTCCTGCAGGCAATGTCGAAGGCGCTTACGGCAAGAACATCGGCGAGCCGCTCGGCCAGCCGACTGCACAATGGAACACGGGTCTGTGATTGCGTCGATGACAGCTTTTACTCTTTCGTTCTGCGATGGGCTTTGATCGACGCGGCTTTTAATCGCGATCTGCTTTCTCCAATTCCCCAACGATGGGCGCCTGCCACGCGCCGAGATTCACGCTGCGATTGCATCGAACCTGCCGGACAGATTCATGTAGTTATCTAGCTGGTCATTGAAATGGCAAATTCGACTGTGACTGTGATCCTTCTCTGTTCCTGGTTCCATCGTCGACGCCTCGTCTTTACTGTCCGAATAAGCGCTGGTCACTGCGGCGATGCTTTACGATTGCCTTTCGGGTGTCTCACATCCTTCCGACCAACGTGCCGGGTCAGAACTCAAAAAAGACCAGGACTGTGTCCGTGTTATCTAATCTGACCCCATCTTCTATCGGCGATGACGTGCCTTCTACAGAACGGGCTGCGTGGGGTTGCCGTTGCCCAGGACCCTGACTTTTAATCGCTCGGCGCCCGGAATGGCTTCTGCCTTACTCAACCGCTGACACCCCGACCTAACTCTTGCACCCACATCTATCTCGACCCTTGATGCAACACGTGCTACGCCGACGATGCTTCTCCGGAACTCCTCGAGCCCCTTCTAGAATCATTGCGTCCAGCCACCGCCTCCTCCACTCCAGAGCAATCCCACCTCCTCCCCCGCGGCACAGCCTTACATCCCCAACGACATCCACCCTCCCCCTCCACCCCTCCACCCCCTCCCACCTCGCCAAAATGACCAGCAGCGCCTCCCGCGTCGTCTCCCTCACCAACCGCTGCGCCGACAGCAAAAGCCCCTACGTCCGCTCGCACGCCTCCAACCCCACCGCCTGGCAACTCTGGTCCCCCGAAACGCTCGCCCTCGCCAAACAAACGAACCGCCTGCTCTTCGTCAGCATCGGGTACTCCGCCTGCCACTGGTGTCACGTGATGGCGCACGAGTCGTTCGCCGACCCGCGCATCGCGCAGCTGCTGAACGAGCACTTCATCCCCGTCAAGATCGATCGGGAGGAGCGCCCGGACATTGATCGCCAGTATATGGACTTTCTGCAAGCGACGAGTGGGGGTGGGGGTTGGCCGTTGAACGTGTTTGTCACGCCGGAGTTGGAGCCGGTTTTTGGGGGCACGTATTGGCCTGGGCCGGGGAGTGAGCGGGCGCGCATGGGGACGGGGTTTGAGCAGATACTGGTCAAGTTGGCGGAGGTGTGGAAGGAGCAGGAGGGGCGGGTGCGGGAGAATGGGAAGCGGATTATTGAGCAATTAAGGGAGTTTGCGCAAGAGGGGAATCTGAGGGAGAAGGGACAAACGGAGGCGACGGATGAGCTGGACTTGGATCTGCTGGACGAGTCGTATGTCTATTGGAAGGGGAGGTTTGATTCGATTTACGGCGGGTTCAGTGCGGCGCCCAAATTCCCGACGCCGACGCATATGGCGCATTTGCTGCGTTTGGGCTCGTATGCGCCTGAAGTGCGAGAGGTGGTGGGCGAGGAGGAGTGTGTGCAGGCTCGCGCCATGGCCGTCCTGACGTTGGAGCGCATGTGGAAGGGTGGAATCAAGGACCAGCTGGGACATGGCTTTGCGAGGTACTCCGTCACCAAGGATTGGAGTCTGCCGCATTTCGAGAAGATGTATGTCCGCTCTGCTTCTGACATCTCAACCATTGCTAACCTTTACCCACCAGGCTCTACGACAACGCCCAGCTTCTACCGCTCTATCTCGATGCCTGGCTGGCCACAAAAGCCGACTCTTTCCTCGAAGCAGCTCACGACGTCGCGAAATATATGACTACTGAGCCTATGCTGTCTTCTTTGGGAGGCATCAATGCTTCCGAAGACGCCGACTCCTACTCAACACCTATCGACAAGCACAAAACAGAAGGCGCATACTACGTCTGGACAATGGACGAGTTCAAAGCCATCCTATCCGAGCAGGAAGTCGAGATATGCTCGAAATACTGGGATGTGCGACCCGACGGCAACATCGATCCGCGCTTCGACGCACAAGGCGAACTCGTCGGGCAAAACACTCTCTGCGTGAAATACGAAATCCCAGATCTAGCGAAAGAGACCGGCCTCGGCGAGGACCAGGTCAAGCGCATGATCCAAGACGGCCGGCAGAAACTCCTCGCCCATCGGGAGAAGAACCGACCCCGTCCCGCCCTCGACGACAAAATTGTGACAGCCTGGAACGGGCTCGCAATCGGCGGCCTCGCCCGCGCCGGCGCCGCCCTCTCCACCCCCTCCTACATCTCCGCAGCAGAAAAAGCAGTCACCTGCATCCAGCAACACCTCTTCGACTCCACAACCAACACCCTCCGCCGCGTCTACCGCGAAGGGCCGGGCGAAACACCGGGCTTCGCAGACGACTACGCCTTCCTCATCTCGGGCCTCATAGACCTGTACGAAGCGACGTTCAACGACGCCTGGCTCTCCTTCGCCGACACGCTGCAACAAGCGCAGCTGCGCCAATTCTGGGACGCGGAGAAGCACGCCTTCTTCTCCACCCCCGCCAACCAACCCGACATCCTCATCCGCGCCAAAGACGGCATGGACAACGCCGAGCCCAGCACCAACGGCGTCTCCGCCAGCAACCTCTTCCGCCTCGCTTCCCTCCTCAACGACGACAGCTACGCCACTCGCGCCAAGCAGACTGTCGCGACTTTCGAAGTCGAAATCGGCCAGCACCCCGGTTTATTCTCGGGAATGATGGGCGGCGTCGTGGCGGCCAAGTGTGGGGTGAAGGGCATTACCGTTGTAGGCGACGGGCCGGCTGTGCAGGCTTTGCTGAGGGCTTGGAAGGCCAGTTTGACGCCTGGTTATACGCTTTCGCGGGTGGGGGATGGGGAGGGGAGCGCGTGGCTGAGGGGGCGGAATGAGTTGCTGAAGGACTTGGATGGGCGGCGGGAGATGGTGCAGGTTTGCGAGGGGGGTGTTTGTCGGCTTTTGGGCGTGCAGGATGTTGAGGGGTTGTTTGTGTGAATTTCTTGTGGTGGTGAGATAGATATGTAGTTACCTATAGAGGCACTTTGAATGGAAGATAGAATCAGGTATGGGTTTGACGGATGTCCGGAATCACCAACTCGCACAGTTCTCCCCGATATGAAAACCTCGACCTCATTCCTATACCCGCGAACCTTCGCAGTCGACAGCAGCTCGGAGAGCCAGCCATCCAGGCAGTCCTCGGAAGCACAAGCACTGGATTCCTCGCTCAGCCGACGGTCAAAGGCACAATATGGCACATCCCCGCCGGCCGCCGCTCGAGATTCTGGTCTAGCCCGTTCACCCAACATTGCAATCAACGGTTCGGGGAGCCGACCATCCAGGCAACAAAACCCACGTGCAAACCAAATGTCGAACTTGCTCGTTGGCTGACGGTGCAAGGTACAACACGGCACATCTCCGTTGGCCGAAAATTGGGCTTCTAGCATAGGAGGCGCCAGATACTGAATGTTGACGTTACGGGAATGCGGCCATCTGCGCTGCAAGGCTGCAAGCGGGATCAAGGGGTGAATTCGTCTGTTTGCTGACGGTCAACGGTATAATTTGGCACATCTCCGTCGGACGACTCTTGATGTTTTGGTTTAGGGGTTGGCGAGTGGAGGATACGATGTCGCGGAGATGCGCCCGTTCGGCGCATTCGTTGGGCGATGGCGGATACATGTAGACGAGAAGGAAAGGGAAGACGCGTGCCTTTTACATGTCATCGAATTCATCTTCTATGTCCTATCTACCGGAATCACCAAGGGGATTTGGGGGGGGAGGTAAACTTTTGTATGCTTTTTTTGCCATCGGGGTATCAGAGACGGTAGAGACAGACACATCCCCTCGCCTTTCTCTCGCAAACCCTCTCATCCCTGCGCAGCCATGACTTGTCCCAAAGCCTCTCTTCCCTGCGGATCCAACTTCTCCCCCACAAACCGCTCAATCCTCCCACTATGCCTTTGATCCGCCTCGCGCAGAGTAACGCCCACCCACGCCTTGACATCCTGCACGTCCGGGAAAGGGTCACGAGGCGGCTGCTTGCACGTGTTGAGCTGCGTGAAAGCCGCGCCGAAGCCGAGCTCATCTACATCGCGGTCTTCGATAATGTGGTCGTTGGCAGTCTGCGGGACGGGAGGGTTGATGAGGAGTTCCAGCAGAGCTTGGCAGGTGATTGTCCAGCCGCGTTTGGAGTAGCGGTCGACGAAAGCCTGGGAGTCGGCGAGGGTGCGGGTGAGGGAGATGACGGCGGTTTTGCGGTCGAACGGGCGGGTGATTTTCTGCGTGTCGGGGAGGATGATGGTGGTGTAGATGGGGGTGAAGATGTTCTCTTGCACGCGGTCGGCGATGCTGATGAAGAAGTCGGCGCCCAGGCCGCGGTTGACCAGGGCGGAAACGAGGTGGTAGAAGCGCACAAAGCGGATGGTGAAGGTCTCTGTTTTGGCGTTGGAGAGGCGCGTGAACATGAGTTGCAGCATCGGGACCCAGTAGGTTTCCAGCGCGGTAGGTGGGAAGGCGGCGATGACGGCCTCGATGAGATCCATGGCGTGCGTGTCGTACGCCTTAATGCTGATGAGTTTCTGGAAGATGATGAGGATCTTTTCGGTTTGATTCGAGGCGGCAATGTGTTCCGCGCCGGGTGGAAGCAGAGTGATTAGCAGTCGAGTCAGTGCGGGAACGTTGCCCTTGCTATCCCACATCGACGGCGTGAGGACGGGCCCAATCAGGTCCCTAAAGTTGGTAGAGAGCGTTCCAGCAGGTTGAACGGCGGCCAGAGCGGCGTACAGCTGGAAGATGTAAGGATTGAACTCCTCCGCCGTGCCTTGTTGGAGCACCTCCATGAAAGTTGGAAAGAGGGTCGACTCCAGTTTCTCTGGCTGCAATGGTCCAGCGAATCGGATGAGGGCGCCGAGGGATTCAAAATGGTAATAGCAAAAGCCTGGGTTGGAAGGGTTGTGCCGAATCACTTTGGTGATGTTGACGAGATTGGCCAGCACCATATCGGCAATGGGCTCCACGCCTTCTCGGATGACGATGAGAACCCGCATCACACACTTCATTAGGAACTCATTCTCTTGCACCTTCTCCGGCTTGGACTCCTTGGTGATGAGCTTGAAGAGGTGCTGCAGCAGGTCCTTTGACAGCGGCACGATGGACTCTCGAGGGATGATTGGTTGTCGCTGATCGTCGGTCAGGTAGAGCGCTCGATCGACCGCGATGGCGGCGTATGTGTAGACGACGTAGTTGGAGGAGTTGAGTTGCTGCACCAGCAAAGGAAAAGCAGCTTGCCAATTCTGGGCAGAAAGGATGCTTCGGAAGATGTAGAGGTACTTGATGGCATCGACCACCAGCAAGGGAGATGCATCCGCCTTGGTCAGGTCTTCGGCAATGTTCTTCTGGAAGAAGTCGAGGACGTCCACGTTCGGGTTGACACTCAAAACGCCCTTGGCCGCAGTGGACGCACCCTTTGCCGCAATAGAGGAGAACAAATGAACGGCGGTGTCCTTAGCTTTCCAGTTGTTCGCTTTATCTTTTGCATATTCCGCCAAGAAATGGGTAACGTAATGCGAGACGCAGTCCGTGACCGGCTTCTCGAACTGCTCCATGAGCTTCTTGAGGAAGTTGGTGGCACCACGCCGCCGCGTGTCATCGTCGGAGCCCTCCAGATCCTTGCGGATGAACTCGATTGGCTCGTCCTCGAACTGCTCGATGTCTGACTCCCTCAACGACAAGTTCGGGATGACCACCTTCTCCGTCACTTGCGCGAGGACGTCCGGGTTATTGAAATTCTCTGCATGCTGTCGTATACTCGCAACGGTGGTGAGGAAGTCCAACGCTCGGCTGACGACCAGGTCGTACTTGGTCTCGGGCCCGACCGCCGTGAGCATGTTCCACGAGCTTCCCACGAATTGACCCAGATGTGGCCGGAACTCCTCCTCGTACTTCTTCGTGTACAACACGAGCACACGAAACACGTCCGCACGAACGACCTCCAAAGGCCCGGGTTCGTCGTCGGAATCCGTGTTGAGCTGGGCGTTCTCGTAGGTAAGGTACTTGTGTAAGAGGCCTGCAACGGCAGCGATGTGCTCTTCGAACTGCGGTGGCATATCATGCGTGGAGAGATCGTAGGTCAACTTCATGATGAGATCTAGCGTCTCGAACAGCGGTTTGAGGGCGGTGGGATTGTTCGCATTCTGCGATATAGCCTGATCGGTGTTTTGCCATAGTTGAAGGAAGGGCAGGGCGAACTTGGAGAGGACGTGGTTGATCTCGGTGTAGAGTTCGTCGGAGCGGTAGAGGGGCTCCCATCGCCTGAAAATGGAGTGTGCGACGGTGAGGACTCCGTTGTTGACGATGGCGTTATCGGGAGTCAGTCGGGAAACCAAATCGTCCACGAGACTCTCCCACTGTTCCCAGAAGTCGCTGTCGGCAATGATGCTGATGGCGTCTCCTAGCTGCAGCTGGATGTTTGACGGCACCTTGACCATCAGCCCAATAAGCTCGCTCTTGATGGTGTCCACCTCATTCGGCGGCAGCTTGTGGTTGCCATCTGCATCCACCCAGGATCTGCGGATGAAGTTCTTGAAGAAGATGGCGGCAGCGAGTCGCGTGCCGAGGGGATATGAGTCGGTCGCGACAATCTGGAGGACGGCGAGGGAGAAGTCAGGCTTTCCTTCTTCTGCGGTCAACTTTTCCGTGGCTATACGTGCAGTTGTTAGTTCATGGCCATGACTCTCGATGTGGTAGTGGGGAGTGTACTGACCTTCCCGTTGCCGTTGCGGGTCGATGGTAGCCTGAAGCAGGCCCGAGATGAGCTGGGGATCGATGGACATGGTCGCTGCCTGCGATGCACCTGGCCTGAAAGAGAGAAAGGGTGACATTCAGCAAGAGAGCAGGCGTAAACAGCCCAGCGGGCCAAAGTAAACGAACTCGGGTCGGGAAGCTTTGACAGCCCGCGATGGCGGAAACTCTAAAAAAGTGAAGTTCAAGGCGTGTGACGTGCGGCGCATGCTCCCGCGGCCCGTCCCGGGCGGAGCCACGCGTGAGTTTCCTGGAGCCTGAGGACGTGACGTGCATGTGCTTGCAGAGGCCTAAAATGGCATGCGGCAACAAATCATCGCCACCTCACACCACTCCCCGTCCCTGAGACACCAGAACATTCTATCGAGGCACACCTCCTTGTCACCTTTCCCTTTTTGTCCCTCTTGGCCACCTGTACATTTCCTTGTTCGTTTTGCGCATCCTCCTTCTTTCAACATGGTGTAGGAAGCCGCAGATCCATCCGACATGGCGTCGACGAACTACGCCCGTCTGCGCGAGCAGACGATGATCTCGCACGAGGATGAAGAGGCAGTCACCGTCAACACAAGAGCACTGATCGACAAGGTCCTCGCGCGATACTCCGGCGAGTGGACTACTCTTCGCGAACTCATCCAGAATGCGGCCGACGCACAGGCAACCAACGTTACCATCCGATTCGAGACCTCGCCCTCCTCCACCGTTCCCCTCCCTCAGAGCCAAGACCCTTCCGAAAGGCTCAAACACGTCCTACTACACCATACCGTCAAGACGCTCCTGGTGAGCAACGATGGCGATTTGTTCAACGAGAACGACTGGCAACGGTTGAAGAGGATAGCAGAGGGCAACCCGGATGAGACCAAGATTGGGGCGTTCGGAGTGGGCTTCTACAGTGTCTTTGCAGACTGCGAGTCGCCTTTTGTATCATCAGGGAAAGAGACCATGGCATTTTACTGGAAGAAGGACAGTCTATTCACGAGGAGAGGCAAACTCCCGGAGGAGCAGGTGCAGAAGGGCACTACCTTCCTCCTCGACTATCGAAGTCAGAGCACGCCGGTCCCGCCACTTCTCAGTCTGTGTCAGTTCTTGGCGACAAGCTTGACCTTCGTCGGACTACATACCATACAGTTGTACCTCGACGATTGGAATGTCCTCACGTTGACGAAGAAGATCGCACCGGCCGCCAAGGTCAGCATACCGAAGGAAGTTAACCCTAAGACGAGAGACGGCCTGATGAAGATCTCGGACGTCGAATACCAGAATGCGCAAATCGATGCGCAGTGGATGAATGTGGTGGGGTGGGATCGAAAGGTCCCCCAACCCGTCAACGTTGCTGCAGCTGTACAGCAAGAAAGCGCATCGTCGAGCTCACTTCGCGGCTGGTTCGCAAAGCTCACTAGTGGTGCGCCTTCCAGCACCAATGCAGCAACACAGAGGGCACGCAAGGAAGAGGAGGCGTTGCAACGAGCCCTCGTGGAAGACTTGACCGGTATTAGCACAGCGACTGTCTTTCTGCGAATAAGCACAGTCAACGTGCATACGTTCATAAGCAAGCAGCTGGCGCAGGAGCTGGAACGCGCGACGAAGAAGCCACCTCCGAAGCAGACACGCATCGCCATTCTCACTTCGTCCTACGACGAGAGTTCTGCGTCGATGTCGACCATCTCTGGCGCTGGCGCAAAGAAAGCTAGCGAAATATTCGCGTCTGTCCTTCCCACGAAGAATGGCAAGATCTTCATCGGCTTTCCGACTGCTCAAACAACCGGCCTTCTCGCTCACATTTCGGCCCCATCTGTCATACCCACCGTCGAACGAGAGAGCATTGATCTCAATGCCAGATACGTGCGTGATTGGAACGTGGAAATGCTGCGCGTGGCTGGTATCGCTTGTCGAATAGCATATACAGGCGACATGTCCGAGTTGAAAGCGAAGCTCGATCGCATTGCATCTGCAGACGGCAGGAAGAAGATTACAAAAGAAGATGTGACTTCCGTCTTGCCTTCAGCAATCCACACCTACAAGCAATACAACTTCGATGAATCCACTCCGTCGAGCAAGGTGGGCGACTACATTGAAGAGGCCTTCTGGATGTGCAACCAGAAGGCCAGCATCGACGTTCTCTCCACTCGTGGCGTCTTGCCCAGCCAGATGGTCCGCGTCGCGACCGAAGATCTGAGCTTCGTGGAAGGCATTCCGGTCGTGCCGGACGAAGTGATGGAGAAGTCGAACCAGTTTGTGACGAAACTGCGAGAATTCGGTCTGCTGTCCGACATCACCACCGGCGACATCAAGAAAGAACTCGAAGCGCAGGCGCTCACTGAAAAGCAAGTAACGGAGCTGGTGAAATGGGCATGCTCGAAGGTTGCGAGAGGGGACTTTGACGCCAGCGTTGTGCAGACCCTTTTCGATGGCACGGTGGCGAGTATCCGCGAGGAGTTTGTGAATCTGTCGGCCAGCCCAGTTTTGCAACTTGGCCAGATCACCGGCTTCGTCAACGTGGCGAAGATACCTGCAGAGATGCCGACACCGCCGAACACGATCCCTTTCCGGATCACGAAAGGCCTATCTCCTACACAGCTTCAGTCTATCGGTTGGGACGAGCTTCAGATTGTGCCGTGGCTGCGCTGGATTATTGAGAGCGACGGATATGGATTTGGGGCCGGCCAGAGCTTGACTACTACTCCGGCTGTGGCCGCACAAGTCTTGCCAGTCATCTCAAAGGCGTGGGACAGTCTTTCGCAATCTTCAAAGGATACCACTGTCACTCTACTATCCCCAAGGACGGTAATACCGACGAAATTGGGCATGCGTATACCACCACGGGCATACTTCGCAAGCGTGAAGCTCTTCGATGACCTCCCTACCATCACCGGCTTGCAAGGCGTGAAGGAGAAATTCCTGGCTGCTCTCGGCGTGCGAAAGACCGTCGAGCTGAACGTGGTGTTCGACCGGCTCATGGCCAAATCCACCAATGTATCCGCGACCGAAGAGAGCAAGTGGAGCCACGTGGATCTGATCAGGTATCTGGTCAGCGTCAAGGACGACATACCGGCAGAGGATGTTAAGAGGCTCCGCAACACGCCGATCTGTACGGCTGAGATCAAATCCGCTGATCAGACAGACAAAGGGAAGCTGTACCGCGTTTCTGAGCTGTATGAGCCGACCGATTCGGTGAAGAAACTGGGTCTACCCGCATTGTTTTGGCCAGGCCAGTACCGGCCATCGACTCCAGAAGGCAGATTCCTGCGAATGCTCGGCCTGAATCCGTATCCTTCTGTCAACGATCTCGTCAATATCCTGAGCACTGCACCCAACGGTGGCGACCTCCAGAGAACCGCACTTGACTACTGGATCATCAACAACTTCCAGAACGGCTATAACAAAGTCAACGTCGCCGCCATCGACAAAGCCTTCCTTCCCGTCCAGCCTTTCGCAGGAGAAAGTAACAATAAGATTGCCAAGCCGTCGCAGTGCTTCGCCAATCCGAAGGCGGGTGTGCTTAGATTTCGCATCTTGCGCGAGGACCTGCTGCAGTACTCGCAGACCTTTGGTGTCCTTACAGATCCATCTATCGAGACTTGCGTGGAACGACTCGTCAAGACACCTCCGACCGACTATGCAAGTGCAAAGGCGCTGTATGGGTATTTTGCAGGTCGACTCAACGAGTTACCGCCTCGTGGCAATTTGACTGACCGATTGGGGAACGCGCCTATCGTTCCGATACTCCAGCGATCAGGAGGCGAAAAGCGCAGCAGTGCTGTGCGCTATGTGACGCCCACATCGTGCTTCATTGGCGACGGCGCGACATACGGTGACATCTTCGACTTCGTGGACTTTGATGCGGAGGCCAATACATTCTTGCTACGGGTTGGGTCGAAGCATGAGCCGAGCGCGACGGAGATAGCGAGTATGCTTGTCCGGCAGCCCGCACGACTGCTGGAGACGCTTGGTCACGAGAAGTACTTGCAGATTTTGAGGAAGATTGCGGAGAGCGCGGCGACGCTGAAGAAGGATAAGAGCCTTTGGCAGCAACTCAAGTCTTCGCCGTGCCTGCTTGCGGAGAAGCAAGTTTCGAATCTGCCAGCCGGTGATGATGAGAAAGTGCGCGAGCTTGAAGACGAGGAGATGTTCATCAAGGAGTATTCGCTGGCCGCTGCGCCTGGAATGGTGTTGCTGGATGACTTCGCCACCTATCGCATCTTCCAATCGAGTCTACTTGTTGCGCCGCAGGAGGAGCTTTTGGAGAGTCTGTATGCTTCGCTTGAGACGCCATGGCTGAGCAAGCTCGTTGAGGATGATCAGCGGATGGGGAATCCATTGCGAGACCAGTCCGGGGCATCGCTGCTGCAGAAGCTCATTGTCGAACGGTCGCGGCTGTTTCTCTACGACCACACTGCCGATGTTATCCGACACGATGCGAAGTGGCTGGAGCAGAATTTGACCGTCAAAGCGACAGAATTTCTGCAAGTCACGCGACGTCTCAAGGGGTACCGCCTGCAATTTGTCGAGAAGCGGACGGCTGCTTTGCACAGGGAGTCGAAGCGAGAGGCTACGCTGTTCATCACTGCCAAATATGATCTTTACGAGGTCAGCAGAGCGTTGATGAGCCTGTTGCTCAAGCGGCCGCGTCAGCAGGATTACCTCGCACTCGAAATGCTGATGGAGAGCGATTTGAGGCGGTTAAAGGCGAAAGGCTACAATGTCGATCGCATTTTGAGGGCAAAGGCCGCCGAGTCCCGCATTGCTGATAGCGAGCGTAGGAAGCGTGAGGAGGAGCAGAAGCGGCTGGCGGAGGAAGAGGTAAAGGCACGAGCTGTGGCACTTCCACCTCCGACTCAACCGGCTCTCACGAATGGTGTGTCGGGCCAAGAGCAGACGAGTGATGTCGAAACGCCGGAGCGCGCTTTGTCCATCCCCGGCGCATTTTCCGATTCACCTCCAGCATCGAGCCGGGGGAAGCGAGGCAACATCTTCAATTCGATCAGCAAGCACCTCGGCATGAATGCCGGCAATACCGCCGCTCAACAGCAAATGCAGAACCTGCTCACCAACGGCTCGCAAGATGTGCCTCCGCCATATGATGCGCGCGACCCGAACAGTGCTGGCCCAGGCACGGAACAAGTGACCTCGCCCCGAGATCTCCAACGCAATCTCGAAGCAGCCATCAGCGCCTGCAGACCCTACAACTCTTCGACCCTCTTCTCCCCCCCGCAGACGACCACCGTCAAGGAAACGGCCTCCTACTGCGACAACAAGCCGGGCAACAACCTCGTCTTCGTCGCCGACCTAAGCAACAGCATCAAACTCTTCCTCCACCGCCACAATCCCGACCCCACCGCTTTCCTCACCACCCACGCCGACGCCCTCGCCAACTTCGTCTTCATCCTCACCGAAGTCGCCGCCATCTTCTCCCTCCCCACCTCGCGGCTCAACATCTTCCACGACGACGCCGGGGCCTCCATCGCCTTCAACACCAACGGCAGCATCTTTTGCAATCTGCGCTACTTTGTGCAGCTGCATTTGGCTGGCATGGCGTCGCCTGAGGGCAAGGTCGAGGCGTGCTCGTATTGGTATATTACGCTGTGTCATGAGCTGGCGCATAATCTTGTGGCGGATCATAGCTCGCAGCATTCGTTTTACACGGAGAGTTTTGCTGCGCAGTATTTCCGGCGGATGGTTTGGTGGGCTTCGAGGATGGGTGCGTGAGGGTTGGGTAGAGCGTTGTGTGTTGCATAGCGAGCGTTTGAACGTTGTTGTGCATTTGCGGGTGGATGTTAGATATTACCCTGGGCATAGATGATGATACGCTGTTAGAATAGAATTGATCCCATCTTCCACATTGTTTATTTCTCTTATCTCCCAAAGTCCCAGGCAGGCTACGCGGCGACGTCAAGGCCAGGCTCTCGGCTTGCCAACGTCAGGACCCACACCTCCCGTCCAACGATCCCCAAAGCGCAACCAAAAAAACCCGAGGGGGCATTCCGGAAACACCTGCACCTCATTCCCCACATAAAAACTCTTCGACCATCGGATACCTCCTTTCGCATGTGGAGTAGAGGGCTGCTCCAACCACAGCCCTACCTCCCTCGCCCACCATTCCGTTCCATCTGGCTGGCAGCGGCAGCAGCACCCGTAAGCCTGCCAACATCCCCCTGCACACCCTCTCCTCCTCCGCTCGCCGCCGGAGCAGTGCCGGCAGTTACCACGACGAGAAGAGGAGTGCTCGAGAGCGGTTCGCGCGGAGAGCAGAAGAGCAGGGCTCGGACGAGGCGTACGACGACGACGACGACGACTCCAACTCCGACTTCTCCCTTTTGAGCGATACCGGGGACCTGGTCGATCAGCTTGGAGACGAGGATCCGCTTGCGCACCGAGTCTTTGTCGATTCGCCGCGGCGGGATCGAAGAGGCCGCTTGGGCGGACGGCGGCACCTTAGCCACGACTCTGCTGCTTCGGGCGGGGAGAAAGACGGGCACAACGAGGCCTCGCATGGTGTCCCGAAGAAGGAGGACATACCCATCCCTACACCGCCGCCGCGACGCATCAATTGGGGCGAACGCCTGCTCGTCCTCGCCATGGCGCCCGGCGATGGCCCGTCGCGCATGCACGGCCTGCACGGCAAGAAGCTGATTTATTTCTTGTCCATTTTCGTCTCGCTCGGCGTGTTTTTATTCGGCTATGATCAGGGCGTCATGTCGGGCATCATCACCGGCCCGCACTTCAAGGACTACTTCAACCATCCGGGCGCGGCCGAGATTGGGACCATGGTGGCGATTCTGGAGGTTGGGGCGTTTATTGCTTCGCTGAGTGTGGGGCGCATTGGAGACGTGTTGGGCCGGCGGAAGACTATTTTCTACGGAGCGGTCATTTTTGTGGTGGGAGGAGCGTGTCAGGCGTTTGCGACTGGCATGCCGATGATGATGGTGGGCAGGATCATTGCTGGTCTCGGCGTGGGTGCGTTGAGCACGATCGTGCCCGTCTACCAGAGTGAAATCAGCCCGCCGCATAACCGTGGCAAGCTGGCGTGCATCGAGTTCTCGGGAAATATCTTCGGATACATGACCAGCGTGTGGATGGACTACTTTTCGAGCTACATCGAAAGTGACTGGTCGTGGCGGCTGCCGCTTCTGATGCAAGTGGTTATGGGAGGGTTATTGGCGGTGGGCAGTTTCCTGATCGTCGAGTCACCACGATGGCTGCTGGACAACGACCACGACGAAGAGGGCATTGTCGTGATTGCCAACCTCTACGGCATGGGCGACATTCACAGCGTCAAGGCGCGCGACGAGTACCGCGAGATCAAGATGAATGTCCTGATGCAACGCCAGGAAGGCGAGCGCTCCTACCGCGACATGTTCCGCCGCTACTACAAGCGCGTCTTCATCGCCATGTCCGCCCAAGCGCTGGCCCAGCTGAACGGCATCAACGTCATCTCCTACTACGCCCCGCTGGTCTTCGAGCAAGCCGGCTGGGTCGGGCGCGACGCAATCCTCATGACGGGCATCAACGGCATCACCTATCTTGCATCGACCGTGCCACCGTGGTACGTCGTCGACCGCCTAGGCCGCCGCTTCATCCTGCTCTCCGGCGCGCTGGCCATGATTGTCTCCCTCTCCGCCATCTCCTACTTCATCTACATCGACATTGAACTGTCGGCCACGCTGGTCGTCGTCTTCGTCATCATCTACAACGCCGCTTTCGGCTACTCCTGGGGCCCGATCCCATGGCTGTATCCGCCGGAGATTCTGCCTTTGAGCATTCGAGCCAAGGGCGCGAGTCTGTCCACTGCGACGAACTGGGCGTTCAATTGGCTGGTGGGGGAGATGACGCCGATTTTGCAGGAGACGATCAAGTGGCGACTGTACCTGCTGCATGCCTTCTTCTGCGCTGTTAGTTTTGTCGTCGGTGAGTGAAGGGTGTGAAGCGCAGTGAGATGACGCGAGTTGCTGACGTTGTGATCTAGTCTACTTCATCTACCCCGAAACAGCCAATGTCCGTCTGGAAGACATGAATTCGATCTTCGGCGATGCTACCACGGCGGCACCTACGCCTGCTACGCTGGCGGAAGCCGAGTCGCTATTCTCGGGCAATCGCTCGCCCGTCTCGTCATTCCGTCTAGGCGATGAGGATGTGCAGCCTCCGAATCTGTCACTACAAGCGGCAGATGGCAAGGACGGCAATGCGAGTGAAGGCTTGGGCGGCTGGATAGGCAATATGATGAAGCGGGGCAAGAGAGAGGGCAGTGCTTCCGGGAGTGGACGCTATCGACAAGTTGGGCAAGACGAGGATGGTGATCAATAACATGGTGAATGCATTCATAGCATATTGGATAGCTTGGGGGATGCATATTGTTCCAAACCCTTCAACTTCAGGCGCAAGCACGTGCCGAGCTAAAGGACACGAAGCCTTGACGGCGCCGTACCCTGAATTTCCCAAACGGGAAAGGCGCGGCGGGCGGTTGGGCGAAAATAGTTGGTCGCGCGGCTCGTTACGAGACACGCGGGTACAGTAGTACGTGATCGAAGTACTTTACTGTCTCTCCACTGCATCTCCAAACACTGCGCTTGCAACGCAACACGCCTCTCCCTTGTCTCCTGCTCTTCCTCCCCTTCATCCCCCTCGGTCTAATGCCGTAATCTACCTCGCGTCCATCTTCAGTCCCTTCCCACCACGCTACTCCATCGGCGTCCCTTGACCCCTTTGGAAAGGGAGAGTCCTTCGAGCTACGGCCAGGGAGACGCAAGTCGTCAATTCTTCTGCCGTCCTTTTCGACCCTTCACACACACATCTGGCCATCGCCGTTCATCCCAATGGCGGCCCAAGATGCGACGACGAGCGCATTAGACGCGCACGGCGATGCGAGGAAACGACATGTTGCCGGTCAGCCCAATGGCACCTTCGTCCCTGTCATCCCCCGAGTGCCGGATGAGAAGGAGAAGGCAAAGCACAAGGTAGAGTTCCCCCGGTGGACTCGCTCGAAGATACTTGGCTAATCGAGGACGCTTCCCATCAGACCACCTCCCTCCTCCAGACCCTCGACGACTACGAGTTCATCATCGCGCCCCTAATCTTCACTGCCCTTGCCTTCTTCACTCGCATGTGGAAGATCGGCCTCTCCCCCATTGTCACCTGGGACGAAGCACACTTTGGCAAATTCGGCTCGCACTACCTCAAGCGAGAGTTCTACTTCGATGTCCATCCGCCCCTGGGCAAGATGCTGGTCGGTCTGTCCGGCCTGCTCGCGGGCTACAACGGCTCCTTTGAATTCAAGTCCGGCGAGACGTACCCGGAAGAGTTGAACTACACCTACATGCGCGTCTTCAACTCAGCCTTCGGCGCGCTGTGCATTCCCCTCGCCTACTTCACGGCCAAGGAGCTGCATTTCAAGCGGCCGACCGTGTGGCTGATTACCGCCATGGTGTTGTGCGAGAACAGCTACACCACCATCAGCCGATTCATCCTGCTCGACAGCATGCTGCTCTTCTTCACCTTCACCACCGTCTTCACCTGGGCCAAGTTCCACAACCAGCGACACGACCCCTTCTCTCCCGAATGGGGCTTCTGGCTGATGATGAGCGGTCTCTCCATCGGCTGTGTGTGCAGCGTCAAGTGGGTGGGCATGTTCGGCACAGCGCTCGTCGGTCTCTACACCATTGAAGATCTGTGGAACAAGTTTGGCAATCTCAGGATGCCCAAGGTCGAGCTGGCGGCGCATGTTGGCTTCCGCGTGGTGGGCCTCATTATCCTCCCCTTGATGGTCTACATGTTCTCCTTTTGGATCCACTTCTTGATCCTTGAGAACAGTGGACCCGGCGACGCTCAAATGTCCTCGCTTTTCCAGGCGAATCTGCGAGGCACCGAGGTGGGCAAAGACAGTCCGCTCGAGATTGCATTGGGGTCGCGCGCCACGCTCAAGAACATGGGCTACGGTGGTGGACTCCTCCACTCGCACGTTCAGACCTTCCCTGAAGGTTCCCAGCAGCAGCAAATCACTTGCTACCACCATAAAGACGCCAACAACGACTGGTTCTTCTACCCCAACCGCGATGAGCCGCTGTTCGACCCGGAGGCACCACTGAAGTTTGTCGGCAACGGCGACACCCTTCGTTTCGTTCACGCCCAGACCGGCCGCAACCTCCATTCTCACCAGGTCTCCGCTCCCGTCACCAAGAGCGATTACGAAGTGTCTTGCTACGGCAACACCACCGTGGGCGACACGAAAGATCACTGGATTATCGAGGTGGTGGACGATGCCGCCTCGAGTGACTACTCCAAGATTCGCACGCTGACCACCGCTTTCCGCCTGAAGCATGCCGATCTCGGATGTTATTTGCGCGCGGGCAACGTCAACCTGCCGCAGTGGGGTTTCAAGCAGATTGAGACGACGTGTGTGAAGGTTAACAAGCCGCGTGACGTGTACACGCATTGGAACGTGGAGTCTCACTGGAACGAGAAGCGTAAGCATCCCTATGCCTTCCTCATACTCGCTTCAACTAACACCCTCCCAGTCCCTCCGGGCGACCCAGGCTCCTACAAGTCCCCCTTCCTCCGCGACTTCGTCCACCTCAACGTAGCCATGATGACCTCGAACAACGCCCTCGTCCCCGACCCCGACAAGCAAGACGACCTCGCCTCCGCACCGTGGCAATGGCCCCTCCTCAACGTCGGCCTGCGCATGTGCAGCTGGGACGACGAAACGGTCAAGTACTTCCTGCTCGGTAACCCGCTGGTGTACTGGGGCTCGACCGCCTCGCTCGGCATCTTCGTCGCCATGCTCGCGTGGTACCTGATTCGCTGGCAGCGCGGCTACGACGAGCTCACGTGGGCCCAGGTCGACCACTTCCATTACTCCGGCATCTACCCCGTCATCGGATGGGTGCTGCACTACCTGCCTTTCCTCGCCATGGCGCGTGTCACGTATGTGCATCATTACTACCCCGCGCTGTACTTTGCTATCTTGTGTGCCGGCTTTATCGTGGACTGGTACACGCGTGCGCTGCCGAAGCGCGTGCAGTGGACGCTTTTCAGCGTGCTGTATGCGGCTGTTGTCGGGCTTTATTGGCTGTTTAGGGCGATTTCATTCGGTATGGAAGGTCCTAACCAGCAGTGGAGTCATCTGAGGTGGTTGGAGGGATGGAAGATGGCGGATGAATAGGGAGTGGAGAGTGAACGTAGCAAGAGGCGGTGAAGGAAGGTAAAGGAGAGGCGGAGGACGAGTGGCTTTTCATTTTCTCGAAAGGAGTAAGGCGGAAAATGAAATGGCAAGCATTCATACTGGGATGAATGGATGGGTGGGTGGGTAGTATGTAAGGATTACATCGGTAGAGCTTAGCGAAGTTGAAGCGGTTTCCTCTCGTTGTGTTGCTCGATGAATACATTATTACATTATGTTGTGTTATTATATGTCGTGCCGATATATGCAAACGTCAATCAACCATCCTCAACCCACCAAAAAAAAAGACAGCACCTAATGCCCCGCCCGATACTCCCCATACAACTCCTGCACCCTCTGAATCTGCCCGGCAGTAAAACTCTCATAGCACGCATCAGTAGAATAATCCATATAATTATGAATCGGATCCGCGCCCGCCACAGCCACACCCGGACACGAGTTCTTGGGCGGATGCGTCGGGCACCCATCCGTGCTCGCCTCCTCAACCCGCGTGTCAGCGACATAATCCCCCGGCCCGGAGCACGAGTACCCCTCAAACGTGTGCAGCAGCCCCAACCAATGCCCAGTCTCGTGCACGGCCGTTTTGCCTAGATTGTACCCGTAGAAGCTCCCGCCCGGCATCGTGTTGGCGTTCACGTCGCAGCCGTCGGCGATGTACGTTGCGGCGGTGTAGTCTGATGGTAACTGGGCGGGGAGGGTGCAGGTCCCCAGCAGGCCGCCGGAGAGGTCGGTGTGGAAGTAGATGTTGAGGTTGTCGTAGGTGCCTTGGCGGAGGGCGTTTTGCGCGTCCGACAAGTCGGTCGTGGCCCAGGCGTCGTTGACGGTCCACGTTGTTGCCTTCAAGTCGAAGGAGATGCCGTACGGGTTGTACGCTTTGTTCAGCTCGCCCAGCTGCGCGGACACCATTTTGGGCGTGATGCTGCCGTTGTGCGCGGCGGTGGAGATGATGTGGAAGTATGTGGGCACGCGCAGGGGGAACTGGAACTTGCGCGCCTGCTTTTTGGAGCGAGGGGCGCGCGTGCCCAGGGCGGAGGCGTGGTTGGCGGCGGCGGGGTTGTTGCTGTGCATGCGCGCGATGGTGTGCTTGAAGTGCTCGCTCGCTTTGGTCAGGTCGACGTCGCAGCCGAAGCGCGGCACGATTTGGTGGCTGTGCTGGTCGACGAAGTGCGTTGCGTTGCGCAGGGTGCTGGCGGACGCGAGGCTGGCGAGCGCGGCCGTCGCGGCGGAGAGGAGGGTGAAGGTCTTCATGTTGGTGTTGCTAAGAAAAGATCCGGAGCCGAGGAATGTTGCGTTATGTCCACTGTATGTACACCTGGAATGTCAGCGAAAGGAAATACCGAGCGAGGAAGACGACCGTAACGAGGAGGAGAGCATATCGACGATGGCCTTGGCCAGACCCTATATAGGTCCAGAACGTGGCAATGGTCAAAGTGAGGGTCGGCATTGATGCGAGGAAGAATGTAGCTGCAAACGGTCGGGCGAGCCGTGGACGCTGGGAGACAAAGGCGCCAGCCGAGGGGGATGGCCAGATACGGCGAACTTCCAGAAGGTGTTGCGGAAAGCGGAGGGAGGGATAAAGGATGAGCGACGGACGCATTGTTCTGGCAGAGGCCTGGACAGGAATGTCGCGTGGAGCGGCACGCGGATCCGTTGGGAGGGCATGACAGATCTGACCAGCGGCCGATGAGCAGCACATGAGAAGGGAGCAAAGGCATCAGATGGCAATGATCAAATCGTACACAAAACATACCTACACCTACCCCAATCGAGCAGACCCCGACGGCGGAGTCGTCTGGAAAAAGGATCCCCAACGCCAACCCCCATCATTCTCGTCTATGCAGCAAACAATGAAAGGGAAAAGACGTGCATCCACATCCACGTGGGGACAAAGAGCGTTTTTGGTGTCGTTCAAGCGCCGGACTCGCCTGGCCGGAGGGAGCGGCCGGTTGTGGTTGCCGTGGAGGGTGTGTCGGTGTTCCAAGTCAGGTAGGAGTGGTCGCCGAGTTTTCTGCACGTGGCGTATTAGCTGCGTTTTCTTTGTTCAGGTAGTGCGGTGCACGATGGGAGGTGGCTTACCTGGGCCTCACGAGTTGAACGACGGTGAACACGGCACCGAGAATGAGACATAGGCCTCCGACGACCAAGTAGGCGATGCCGAGGAAGGGGTTCTTACCTCCTATCACGGTGCGGGTGGAGATGAGGACGGACTTTTTGCCGTCGTAGATGGTGACGGGGAAGTCTGTCGTCACGTCAGCAATGGCCCATCTCCCTTGATGCTCATTCCCCCATCAAACTCACCGTCGTAAATGGTCATGCTGTAATGCCCAACCTGCATAGGCGCCGTGTCATTCCTCAATGCCAGCTTGCTAAACAGCGGCAAGCCCGCCGTGCGCATCCACACCTGGAAGCTCTCATCCGTGTGCAGCGGGGGAAACGGGAACTCGGTATCATCATAGCGCGGGTACTTCTTGCGCCAATTCACCGGCGGCACCACCTGGCTGGTATTGTACTTCGTCTTGCCATACAGATCCTTGTCGCTGCTCCACGCGATGCCGTCGGTGGTCATTTGGTAGACGGCCTGGGAGTCGCTGCTGGCGATGGTGTCGAGCTGGACGGGGGAGAAGAAGGTGTCGTTGAAGAGGGAGTTGGCGATGAGGCCGCAGGGGTAGTAGGGCTTGCCGTCCTCGCCGAGCTGCAGCGGGCTGCAGTCGCCGGACTTGATGTCGCTGGCGCTGACGGCGTGGCCTTGCAGCTGGTTCTGGTCGTAGGACTTGACGTAGCGCCGGTGGTTCTGGTAGAAGTTTTCCAGCTGGTAGTAGAGGAGGACGGGCGGGTGCAGGGTGTCGGGGATGTAGTACTGCAGGTGGCAGGTGTCGGTGGGGACCTTGTAGTTGCCGCTGATGCCATAGGGGACGTCGGTGGTGTTGGTGCACCAGCGCGGCTCGGAGCCGGACGGGGTGGCACTCTTGAAGCTAGCGGACACTTTGCCGCTGGGCACGAGGCCCATGGTGGGACAGGTCGGGGCGGAGGCGACGCAGTCGGAGTAGTCGATGATGATCTCCTGCACCTTGGAGCTGGCGTAGAGGAGGGCGCCGCCGACGGGGGCCATGACGATGCCGATGGCGAAGAAGAGGGGGATGACGGTCTTGGGGGTGAGGATGGGCTGCCATGCTTTCAGGCGCTGCTGCCGGAAGGCGGTATCTGTTGTGGAGAGGGGGTGTTAGCCATCACTCTTCTCCATCCCTCTGCATCCGCGCGGAGGATACGTAACTCGCTGGCCGCCGCGACTTGGGCTTGGACTTGTCCGGATGCTCCTCGTGGAGCGAGTCGGGTGGCGACTGCTCCATCACTTGTGTCGACATGGCGGTGTGGTGTGCTGCTTCGAGCCGTGACGATGGCGCGAAACGTGAGATGAAGTGTCGATGGAGGCGGCGCGGATCCCGCGGGTTCAGGGTCTCTCGGTCGGAGGCTGGACGATCTTACGCCGACGCCCGATTGAGAAGGAGGGAGGCTGTGAGGAATCGCCAACGCCAAGCACCTCAAGACTCTTGGAATCTACCTACATGTAGGTAACTACACATTCACAATGCAGGAAATAAACAATCAAAGCCGGATGATTTCATTCAATAGAGTGTAGCGAGTCCATTCCAAATAGCAATCTACAGACGAGAGGAGGGTATCTTGTGCCAAAAACGCCGTGCTTCCAACCCATCCCATGAAAAAGCAAACTCCAATTGTCCGTATGCCCTCCCTTGTAAAAACGAACGCTTGAGTCCTCCGACGCTAACCTGCATATGCGGTTGCCGTGGTCGTCATCATCGTATATCCATGAAGTCCGCGATATGTGTCGTGCATCCGCTTCCTCCTTCATTCGTGAGTCAATCTCCATGCCCGGTATGGCGCCGCCGGGCGCCTGAAACAATCCAATCCCTCGCAAATTGAAAACAAAAAGCAAATCGCAGTAATAGTGATCAGCCGTCCGGCGACTGATGGTCAGTCTCATCCATTAAGTAGCCTCAGCAATCTTCTCTCCTAACATCCCCTTCACAACCACTGCTTGAACCACTCCGGGTTGAACCAGCCCACGCGGTCGAACGCCTCCCACAGCTGACTGGCCTTGTTAACGTCGATCTTGCACGCGCTCTGCGCCGCAGTCTTGGTGAAGTTCTTATTGTCTTTGAGTGACTGCAGTCGCGCTTGGAAGATCTTGCGCTTGTTGGTAAGGTAGATGGCCGCGCTCAGCCGCAGCGTCGATGCCACCGCCACTTCTTGTTCGTGGAGATGGACGACGTCGGCATCGGTGGGGGTCAACGGATGTCCGTGCCAGGTGACTTTGAGCGATCTGGGCATGGTGTCGAGGTCGGCGACCGGTGGCGCATAGTCTGGTAGGTCCGTCCAGTTGACATTCTCCCCTTCCACCTTCTTGGTCGGGGGTGCGCGCTTGTGCTTGGTGGTGGATTCACGTTGCGGGAAGGCGGAGTCGACAAACTCATGCATCGTACGTGCCTTTGGTGTTCGTCGCTTGGAGGGCGCAGCCTTGACTAGAGTGGACGGCGCGAGGGGTGCCTTGACCTTCGCAGGGACTCGTGCGGCGGCCGGTCGCGGTTTGGAGACGCCAGCCGGTCGGGTCAGCGACTCGAGTTGCCGCCGGTCCTCTTTGTGCAGATTCCATCTCGGTGACTTCTCGGGCTGCGGCAATAGGCGCGGCCCTCGCATCTTCTGCAACTCCGCCATGCGATCTTGATAGTACTGCCACGCTTGCTCCTTGGTGGTGACGCCGAGATTGTGAGGGTAGTGGAGGGTCTGTCGCACAGGGGCGGGGGTGGCGAGCGTGGGTGATGCGACCGGCTTGACGATTGCCTGCTTCGGCGACGGAGAAAGTGACGGCTCTGTCGCAAACAGCGGTTGTTGCGAATCGATGCGCGCACGAGGCGTCTGCTCGGGATAGAGGGGTGAGTCGGAGACGGTGAAGCCGATGGCGGAGGTGATGCTGGGGAGGGTGGTGGTCTTGGGCGAGGCGGGCGGGGTGTGGACGATGGGGGACAGTTGTGCTGGCTGTCGGACTGCCGTTCGCCACCCTTCAAAGACCTCTTTCTGCAGTTCCTCGTCGTCGAGTTCTTGGTGGGAGAAGGAGTCGACCGTGTTCTCGGGTGGGGTGAAGAGATAGCCTGCGGACTGCAGAGCAGTGATGTGCTTGGTGTGCTGAGCGGCCATGGTGGTGGTAGTGGTAGAGGGGGAGGGTAGAGGAGAGTGTGAGGAATCGTGGGAGGTCATGAGGATGTAAGAATCAAGTCGGGCGCAAGAGAGTGGGATGGGGCAGGGTGGCGGTGCTGCGTCTTATATTGTGCTGCTTAACAATGGCGTCGGGGCGTGAAGTCCGCGTAAGTCCGTGGGTGAGATTGAGGGGTGGTGACTGCGGTGGGCGAATGCGAAAGTCGGGGGAATGGTGAGACCGGGGAGCAGGCGGCCTTTTGAAGTCAGCAGGCAGCGACGGAAGGGAATGTCTTGTGTGACTGTGAGGCTGTCTGAGGTGAGTGTGCGTGCTAGGCTACAATCGCCGGGGGAGGGAGCGGCGAGAATAGTGGGATGCGTGCGTGAGTGGGAGGCGAGAGCGAACTAGGCAGCCAAGGATGATGACTGCGAGGGAAAGAGAGAGAGACTTAGCCTGCGCTGGCATCAATGACCATTCGCCAAGGGGTCAATGGGGGAGGCATTGCATTGGACTGCCTGGCACTGGACTGGGCCGCGTGAATGCGCACATGACACGGCGATGGAGCGAGTTGGGCGAGAGGGATGACGGGCGCTTAGCGAGCGCCGCCCGCCGAGAGAGAAGGCGCTGGAAAGGCATCATCCAGGAATGGAAGGCGGTGATTGGCTCCCTCGCTCCTGCTCTGTCCAGCTGGCCACCTGGACATGAGGTAGATTGGGTAAGCCGGAGGGGGGATGCGTGGGCTGGAACTCATGTTGCGGACGTGTACCAGTGACAAGCGCGCGCGGTTCGCAAGTGACTCATCCCACTTTTCGCCCACATCGAATGCTAGTGCACACCACCGCACGGAACAAAGGCGACATCACACTCCGGCTTGGCGGTTTCGCCACACTTCCTCGTCCGTGCCGTACCCTTCCACCGCCAAGCCCCGTGCTTCGGCCGACTCCTCCGCCACGGCCGTTCGCCGTCTCCTACTCCGTTCATTCCGTCCGCAATCATCTCATCTCATCCCATCATACGAGCATGATGACCGCAGCATTGCACGATTCCCGCGTCGTCATCTATTCTTAGCCGTTCCACTCTCATTCATCATCGACGACCTTCTCGTACGTACCAGTATCGAATGCGCATTCCACGCGCTACTCGCCGCTTCGACGCTGCTGCGCCACACCCAATGACCTCGCCTCGCCCAGACTCTCTACGTATCATACATGCGTACCCCTACACTTGCCACGCCATGTCCAATGGCAAACATGCACCCCAGATCCCCCGTCGTGCAAGCGAGGTGACGCAGGGCAGGGCAGTCTTTACATAACGTACGGATAAGTGTCTGTCCGAACCGCCCTTATTCACGGGCTTCCGATGGGATTATCCATGGACGTACGACATCCGGCTTGGTCACATGCTCCAATCCGTATCGAATGTTTCGCCACCCGCCATTGAATGCTCCAATGCATGCACAAATCGAGCGAGAGGCTAGACGGACAATTGGAAGTGTGAGCGGTAACTTCTCACGCGTAGTAAGTCTTATTATGCGCACAACCAATGATGCCCTCTTCTGCATGTGATCGCAGCCGTCGCAATCAAGATCTTTGTCCTCAACGATCATGATGATGCTTGCTGACCGCTGGTGACGAGCCTACCTCACGCAATATGCAAAGTCGAAACGTCTCCCGCCCCAGATGTCGCAGAGTTGACGCGAGCAGGATAAATGCTCTCGTCATCGTTTGACGCGGAGTGGCGAAACCAACGGTCACTTCCCTGCAAGGCAGTAGCCATTGGCCCAATCGGGAAACCCTGGTCACCTCCACGGCACGCAGTCACGTGCCTTCTTTCCGTGTTGGACTTCACGTGATTCTTGATTGCCCGCAATCTAAGCATTTGCTCATCTGGCATCAAACAGCCGATCAACACCGGACTTGACATCCCCTCTCAATTCCACTGCCGGAACCAAATCTCCATCCACTCCCTGCTAACAGCCTTCAAAGACCCCAACGTAGCACTCAAAGGAACCGCGTTGCCCACGTGAAAATGAGCACCATAGCTCCCGCTCTGCAAACTCTCAAAAAACTCCAGCAGCTTAATCGCCGGATTCAAATCCGACGCCTCCTCGCCATCGGCCGCACTAGCCTGCAGCGCGAGAATCCAGCTCTCCAGGCTGACCGTCTTGACCGCGCAACCCTGCGCCTCTAAACAGTGCTGAACCTCAGGCACCAATTCGCTCCACTCGCATGCGCTCGGGTTCAAAATGTCGTAGAATCGCGCCGTGCAGCTTCCACTCGAGGCGCTCTTCAGGCTGCTCTCGGAGATCTCGATGATGGTCCGCGCCACTAAGTCCACAGGGATCCAGCGTATCTCGTTCTGCCCAGCAATCGAGTCCGGCAGCTGTTTGAGGAATTTCGAACTCGCGATGAGGGACGGAAACCACTCCTGCTTGTTCCAGATGCCTTTGTCTCCAGTAGTGACGGGCCCAGTAATCTGCCCGATTCGCAATACGACACTCGAAGCGTGGTTCATCTGACTTGCTCGCTCGAGAATTTGCTCGCTGACGAATTTCGATTCGCCGTAGCCTTGCGCTTCAGGCGCCGTCCAGTCCTCGATAGCGGTCTCGGGGACCTCCTCGTCTCGGTCGTGGTGCGCCTGCCAGTGCGAGGCGACGCTAATGCTGGACGTGAAGATGATTGGAGGCTGGAGAGGCGCCGCGGCGGCCAGGTCGATCAAGTGTCGCACGCCGGCAACCTGTGGCTCGAAGGATTCCAGGCCTAGATTGAAGTTGACCTGCCATTGGTTGTGAATGATGAGGGACGTCTCTTTCATGAGTGTTTTGTAGTCCTCGTCGTTGAGGCCGAGGTGAGGTTGTCCGATATCGATGGCGAGGAACACCACCCGCGAATCGAAGGACGTTTCGAGTCCTTTGGCTGCGTGGCGCTCAGCCTGGATCCTCCCGGCGTCCAGTCGACGGTTCAGACAGTACACCTTTCGGATTTGGAGGCTGGGAGACGTCAAGAGCTCGTGTAAGATGTATATCCCCAGAGACCCAGAGCTGCCGGTAAGGATGACAGTCTCAGGCTTGCGTGTCTGACTTTCTGCCTCTACTCTGGGAGACCTGGGAAGGATATCTGCAGTATATTTGGCAAAGAGGCGGCGCACTTCCTCCGCACTGGAGTTGCCGTTGCCATTCGTCTCGTGAGCAGATGAGAGTTCCCGCAGTGCCGATGAGAGCTTCCTACACGTCGAATGCCGGTATACAAAGTGATTGTCGATGGCAGCCGTCACGGCGAGCATCTCAGGCGTTGCGGAAGAACCAGCGGTGACGGCGAGTCTGAGCGCTTTGACAATCCTGACTACCGCCAGAGAGTCGACACCGTAGGCGACGAAGAGATCGATGTCAGTGTCGAGACCTTTGATTCCTAGCGTGTGTTCGATCAAAGACTGGATCGTGATGGTCACTTCCTCTACAGGCTGTGTAATGTCGATCACTTCGGCGGGTTGGTCGTCTTTTCCACTCTGTGGCAGAGCGGCCTCGCTAGTGCGCGCAAACAGTTCTTCAATCTCAGGACCAAAGAACTCTACCGTTGCTCGTCGCTGGATGGTGCCTTTCCCCGCTCGAAGAAATGATTTCTCAGCCGGTGCGATCATAATGTGGTCCTTGCTGAAGATCCTGCCATGCGCGGGGACAAGGTCATTCGCGTGTTTGACGAGATGCCACATCTCGTCGGTGATATCAGGCTCCGACATTCCCCTAGCAGCTGATTGAAGCTCAATGATGGCGGCTGAATGGAATTGTCCTTGCCCGACAATCAGCGCCCCCTTGACTAGCGGTGAGTTCTGGAGATGGCTCTCCATGTCTACGGGATTGATCTTCTCGCCGTTGGAGAAGACGATAATGTCGTCTGACCGGCCGATGTTCTTCCAGTGATGAGGCCGAGAAGGATGCTTTGCGTACAAGTCATGCATGGGGAGTTCGTTCAGATCTGGGAAAGTATACCAAGCAGCGTGGTAGGGGTCGGTCGATTCGTGGCGAACGATGAATTGTTCGTAGACTCCTCCGCCGCGATCGCGGAACTCTATCCCCTTCATGCCAGGGTCGAAGTAGTGGTACTCCCAATCCTCGTTGGCGTAGTGTTGCAGCGTAGGGGCCATGAGAATCTCCGTCGAGCCGCAGCTGTTGATTAGCATCGTGACTTTGCTTATCTCTTCTCCAACGTCATGGGCAAGCGGCCCTCCGGTGTAGCCTACAGCCTCGAGCTTCGAGAGCCTTGCCAAGCCATTCTGGCCACGAGCGAATTCTCCTAGTAGGGAAGGGGCCATGAACACCATGTCTGGCTTGTAGGCCTCGAGCATGTCTTCGATCAATGGAGTGCTTATGGGGACTCCGCTAGGGACGGTCATCACAGTGTAGTCGTAGAACAACGGGCCCAGGAAACCGAGGGCGATTCCGCCGGCCTATAGAAGTATTAGGTTGGTTGGAAGCTCTCCGTCCGACAAACGTACATGGAAGAATGGCAGTGCTACCTGTGTATGAGATGTTAGTCATAGTCCAACCGGCACGTGGCCCAACTACCCACAAGAATCGTCTTCTTTCGAAAGTATTCTGGCTGCATGGTCAAGCCGTCGACTCCCGGATGAGCGTTCTTCGCATCGATAGTGCTGGCCCATCCCAACGAGCATCGTATAGGCTTGGGGATCCCAGTAGAACCTGTCTGGTCAGCTCCATCGCCAAGTATATATCCGAGAGCATCCACCTTACCGGAAGTGTGCAATATGGCAAAAGGGTCGAGTTTCCCTTCGTCGAATGATTTGTCGTATGGATACTTCTGGCCCCGCGTGAAACTCAGCATATCAATCAGAGACGGGACCGCAACGGCGCGGATGTCCGCCATGTTGCCCACTAGCAATTCTTGGGACTTGATATTGGCATCGTGCAGTAGGACTGAGCAATTAGTGAGCGTGAACAATCGGTGTTGAGCCTCGATTGTATTTCTCGGAGAGGGAAGCAGGATCTGCGGAATAATCAGAAACCATCGTTTCCATACTTGTACTATGGAGATCGTTACCTGATGTCCAGTCTTCGATGCGGCGAGCGTCATGATGTGATATCTGAGGTCGATTGGTCCGATGTACGCAAGGACGTCATCCTTGCTTTGTAGTACATTTTTTGTCAACCAGAATGCCACTGTGTCCACGATTGGTGCTAGCTGCTGAAAGTTGACTTTAATCAAACCATCAGCGACTGCACTTGACCGTGGTACGAGAGCATAGACTCCATCCGGGTTCCGTTCAGCCTGCTCATCGATAAGAGAAGGGACCAGGCGGTGTCCGTATTGCGGTTTGAGAGAGGCTGGCTGAGCCATGTTGTGGTTTGAAGAATGTCTGAGAGATGAGTGTCGAATGCGAGTACAGCATCGGCATTTTCGGCTTCATATACGACCTCCGCGGTCGCCACCGTGATGCTGTAGTGTTGCAAAGCCAATGCATGTCGCAACGGACTGAAGCACGACGGAAGAAGTGTAGTGCCCTGATTAGGAAAGTACACAGAATGAATGTAGACGCCAATGCAAAGCTAAGCCTTGCGCCTGCATGAATGGCCATTCCGCGACGCAGATGCGTAGCTGAGCTCTCAAAACGAACCTGCAAGCTTTCGCTATCGCTGAGTCGGTGTGTGCGATCAAAACTCTACAGCTCACCGATATGTGCAGCGTGTCCGAACCTGGAGCTCGTAGTGGAGAACCCGCGGACGGTGGTGGAGGCTGGCAATGCCGCGTTCAGGTCTGATCTGCTGATCGAGTGGAGTTTAGAGACCCTTACGTTCGTCGAACAGATGCTGCAGATGACCGCGTCGTCCTTGCAATGATCAGGAGCAAGGTTGTATTGCTGTGACTGGAGGACGTGAGCTCGACGACAGCTGACTAATCAACGATCCCTTCCCGTCGGTCACGTGGAATCTTTTCGTTTCACTTCACTTCGTGCCGTGAGCGGCCCAGAAGAGGAGCACAATGTGTTACCAGTTCCTCATGTAGGCCCGTGACGGCTCGCAACGGGCAAGCAGTGTCGTCTTATCCTCTCCCTGAGGCTGGACGACGTGAAGGACTGAATGTCAACTCTCAACCTCACCTGAAGGCCAGGTCTTGACCATAACTTGAAAGACAAACCAAGATAGCTTAAGTGGACACCTCTCGGATTACAAGGACGAGGAATTACCAGATGAGTCGCAACATGGTATCCTCACACTACTATGGAGCCGTCGAGAACTCCACTATCGACTTTCGCTCCGCCAGTCAACCTCACTTGACAAACGGCGACGTCTGCCAGCCACCCATTTTGCTGCAGAAATGACATCTCCACCAAACCCACGCGAGATCATCGCATCTCTCATCTCATCCATCCAGTCTCAAGACGGCGAATCGTCAGCCGAACAACCCGCGAACCCTCTCATCAACCAAACTCCACATCTCCAAAACGCCCTCCTCACTCTGCACGTCCTCTTTCCCAACGAGCTCCTCCCCGCCCTCGATCTGCTCGACCGCAACCTCATCACTCGTCTCATTCTCAACCAAGCACACCCTCAGCACAACCAAAATGAAGGACCGCACACCCAAGCTCCCTCCAATCCTCACCCTCTTCCCAGACATCCTCCCCGAACACCCTACGCAGTCAGCCAAAATCCGCGCCCTGGAGAACTTCGGCCACTACCCAACCTACCACACCCCAATCCAGCCTCATCGCCATCGCCTGCGCGCCTGGACAACAAGCAACCTCAACCCCCACACCATCCGCATCCGCCTCCTCATCAAAGCCAAAATCTGGACGGACAAAGTCCTGCGCTTCATCACCCGGACCCCACGCCCGGAAGTCGATTTCCAGCCTCTGGCTTCGCTTTGGGACGGCGGCGCGCGGATGTATACGTGGTGAGATCCGCTCAGGTTCTTTCCAGTCGGGGTTATCGTGGGGTGAAGTACGCTCAGCCTGCTGTTGCTTGCTATGAAGTCCGCTTGGAGGCGTGGAGTTGTTCGTGTCCTGCGTTTGCGTTTGCGGCTTTTCCTGCTACTGCTGCTGCCATTCACACGCCAGGGGAGACTAACCCAGATTCGAGGCGACAATTGCCTGATTCTCGACGAGAGAAGTGGACGTTTGGAGGAGATCTCATCAATCTCCCTACTGCTGCCATGCCGCCTGTGTGTAAGCATCTGCTTGCTTGCCTTCTTGTCGAGCACAGCAGTCTCTTTGCTGGAGCCGCGGAGGAGCGCGAGGTTGGAGCGGAGGAACTAGCGGGCTGGGCAGCAGGATGGGGTGACTGAGGTAGGAGGCGCAGGAGAGGGCCGGTTGTTATTCTCATACATACGTCTGCGAACGAAACGCTTGGAAGCGTCACACGCTCTCTTCGCGGCGCTGTTGCGCTTCATGCTCCTGACGCCCAGCACCTATGCAATGCCATGAAACGATCTCCCTGTATCAAACACACCTCCTCAGCCCTTCTTCTTCCCCTTTTCTTCCTTCTCCTCACTTCCCTTGGCCTCCTTGTCCGCCTTCTCGCTCGTCCCATTCAACATCATCTTCTCCTGCAGCTGCAGCTCCTTCTCCACCTTATCCTCTTCCTCCTCCCGCTCCCGCTTCTTCGCATCCTCGTCCTCCTGCGTCCGCTTGTTCTGGATCTTGTTCTCAATCAGGTCGTGGAAAGCGGTGATGGCGCGTATTAAGCTCGACAGGTAGATGGCCATCAGTTGGTCGTTGGTCTTCACGCTCATGGCTCTGGCCAGCTCTGTGTTCTCCGACAGGCCTGCGGTGAGATGGCCGCCGTTGACTGTGCCGCCGTTCACCGTCGCGCCGTCTTTGGGGATTGCGGCTTTGGGGGTGCTGAGGTTGGGGAGGAGGTTGAAGACATCTTGCAGGTTGCCGAGGATCGCGTGGTTGACGGGGAGGTCGCCGTCGAGCACTTTCTGCAGGTATCGGCCGATGTCTTGCAGGCGGTAGTGTAGGCCTTGCAGCGATTGCAGTTGGGAGGTGATGCGCGTGCTCAGCGTGCCGACCGCCACATCGCGGATGTCGCGCAAGAGATGCTCCACGCCAATCTCCTCTGCTTCCTCTGCTTCGATGATGCTCGGGGTGTGGACAAAGGTCTTTGCGGTGGTTGTGCCGTCCTGAAGTGTGTGATTAGTCATTATACAAATCAGCGTATCCCGACCACACTCACATCTTTGATCTCCTCCACCGCAAAATAGGCATCAGTCGGCACGCCCATATCCCTGGGCTGGACGTCGACGATGACAAGAAGTGGGTTGGGGGTGTATCGCTTGAACAGCTCGTTGATCTCCAAATCGCTCGCCCGTAGCTTGGGCCCGGTGTGATACCATCCGATCAGCTTCTCCCTCGCATTGACCTTCTTGAACATGTCGTTCATCGACTCGACGTAGTTGTGGTCCAGGAACCACACAGAGGGGTCCTTGTCATCTTCTTCGAAGGGCACTGTAGGTTGGACTCGTTAGGACTGTGTCTGCCATCACCACGCCACTTGCGACATGTTTGCGCATCTTACCAGCAAAGCTGTTGGACACCCGCACGCTCGTGCCCTCATTCTGTCCTAATAACACGCCGACAACCCGTCTCTTGGATCCTTTGGGTGATCTGCCGTAGTGATCTGCTGCGGAGAGGAGGACAAGCTGTGCTGCTATGTTAGCGCCACGTGCCGGGGGTTTGCAGATCTGGCGCACCCACCGGAGCGATGATGACACTCTTGTTGATGTACTCGAGCGTTTCCTTGGTCGTGGCAGGCATGGTGGAGGATGGGGGGATGAGTTGTGGCGCACAAGATGGACGGGTCGTTTGGTGAAGTTCGCCGCGGATGGCTTCCCCAAACTTTTGGCTGGACGTGCCAAGACTGCGGCTCAAGGCTGCTTCAGCCACGCAAGACCGATTACGTGAAGTTGAGATTCACGCGTTTGCGATGATGATCTGTTGACCACTTTCAACTAAATATACCCAACACTAGATTGCGAAATCCCGCTTATCTAGATACAATGGAAGCCCTTCATCTCTCGAACGGATCCGTCCATGGAGGCAACCCGGACAGCCCATCATCACCAACAACCAGCTCAAGGACCTTCGAAAGCTCAGAACTATACAAAGGAGTCTACGACTACGTCAAACAATACATGTCCCGCTTCGATGCCTCGCACGACTTCAACCACATTTTACGCGTAGAAGCACTAGCAAACCACATTTTACGCGAAGAACAGCGTGAAAACCCAGACAAGGAATTCGACAACCAAACCATCGTCCTCGCCGCCCTGCTCCATGACGTCGGCGATGCGAAATACGTCCAGCCAGGCGAGAGCGCGGAGCACATGATCGATCAGGTATTACAGAAGCATGGGTGTCCGCCTGCCTTGATAGCCAAAGTAGCGCTCATCGTGGAGCACGTGTCGTACTCGAAAGAAGTCAAGCGGCCGCAGCTCGTGCAGGCCATCCTCAACTCGCACCCTGAGCTGGCCATTGTGCAGGATGCGGATCGCTTGGATGCTATTGGTGCCGTGGGCATTGCACGGACTTTTGCCTTTACGGCGGCGAAGATTTCGTCGGAGAGGGGGTTGGAGACCTCTATTGACCATTTTGGGGAGAAGTTAGAGAGGTTGGAGGGGATGATGAAGACGGAGTCGGGGAGGCGGTTGGCGAGGGAGAGGACGGAGAGGCTGAAAGTGTTTCGGCGGTGGTGGGAGGAGGAGCAGGTGTTGATTTCTTGAGATGATGTCCCCGAGAGTCTGCCTCTTTCTCGGATCTCCTTGATCCTTTGAACAAGCGCAGCGCGTCCTCTAGAGGCTTTGCGTCCTGATAGCGGTGTATGCCATGCATGGTCACAGGCCCCATGCATACTATTAGCGTAGAGGTTTGCGTATCCTTCAGGGACAAGTCGCGCAGAAGCCACCACAAATGCTCCCGCAAAGCCATCGGCACTTCGTCCCGCGAAGCCATGACCTTCTGTTCATGTCCGCATCAACGAGTCATCCTTGCTCTGATCCATTCTCGGAGTCGACGTCCCTCGCCAGACTGCGCAAGCTTCCAATTTGTCCCCATCAACCACACCAGCCCTCACCCCGCCCTCTTCCCATCCATCTTCCCCCCAGCACCAGCACCAACCCCCACCTCCTCCCTCTCAAACAACAAATCCCACCTCCTCCTCAAACTCCGCACAGACTCCTGCGTCGTGTTCCCCTTCTCCTTCTCCTCGCGATTAATGCGCACAGCAGCGGCGGCGATGCCTACGCTCAGGGCGAAAATGGGGTCGAGACGTCTGCGGTTTCGGGAGGGGTGGTTAGTTTTGGGACGGGGGAGATGGGAGAAGCGGGGAGGCGAGTGGTACTTTGAGATGATGTAGGGGATTGACATTGCGACACTTCAACAAGCTGATGGGATGGATGGCGATGTTATCTTTGGTGGAGATGGTGGAGTGTCTGTTTAGATTGGAGTGCTTGTTCGATGCAAGTTGAGGTGAAGCTCGAAAGGTGACTAAGCGAGCGATTGGAGCATTCGTGTTGAACACAACATGAACAATCGTCCAACGAGACAAAAAACAAAGCACCCACTCCGACTCGAACCCAGGACCTGCGGCCAAAAGACCAAAAAAACAAACTCCTTTTCACAGGAGGAAAGCAAGGCGAGACTCGTAGGACCCCAACAGGTTTGCATTTTTGTGGCCGCCGACCAACAGATCTAGTAGATGCTGCGGATCATTGGTTGACCGGCATGGGCAGATGATTCAATATGTAGACGATGGAGGTTGTGACGACGTTTCGCCGAGCATGCTATATCTGTTGGAAAGGGAATGTAATTACAGTCATCGTGCCGTGAACGGCACTTCTTGTTCATCGAGCCGGCTATGAGCAATTTGTGACAGGGAAGATTCTTAGGCAGAGGCAGCTTAGGTCGAGACGTGAGAACAGGCTCGTAGGTTGATGTGGTTGATGAAATGTGAAGACGATCATTAGGGCAGGCTGAGTATGACTGAGACAGGCTCATAAGCAGCAGGACATTGCGTGTCCACGTTCACAAGGTGTATGACCCGTACGCATGAGTCAAGCAGTGTAGGCGCCCGCGTCATATGACAACGATAGACTGCAGGGAATAGGGAAGGCAGAAACGGGTCGAGCATGGGGTAGAGGGATTCGCAGCTACCTGGACGTGCTCCTAGAGTTGTAGGTCGAGCACACAGTCCGATACGACTGTCGTCGTCGAGCTTTCAGCCGCGTGTGTCTTGCCCGTTCCGCCCCGGTTTGTATCTGTGATTGAGGATCCGTATTTGCCAGCTCTTGCACCATATGAAAATCAAGCCCATCGCCATAACCTCGTCGCAAGATATCCTTCTCGTCCTCTCAAGCGCCGCTTGTTCCATTCATCGTTTGCGCTTTACGAAGACTCGCCGAAGGTGTTCTCGCCGGAGTAGCTACAATAACAAGTCAGCCTTGAGTCACACTCACGCTTTCCGGACAAGCCACGTACGTGATGTAAAGGAATCCGTCCTCATCCTTGTGCTCCTCGTAGATGCTGCTCATGAGCGCAGCAGTCGGCGGCAGCACCTCGTCGACGAAGATGAAGATGGCCTTTTCGGGGCTCAACTTGATGCGCTTGCGGATGACGTAGACGAACTGGCCGACGGTGAGGTCGGCGGGGACGAGGTACTTCTTCTTGTCGATCGTCGCAATGTCGCTCTTCTCCACCTTCTCGCAGATGACGGGGATGCGGTCGGAGTACCTGGGGCGGGGGACGGGTTAGTCGGGTGGAAAGGAGGCGAAAGAGGGGGGGTTTCAGAGGGGGTAGAGGCGGTACTTACTTGCTGCGGATCCTCTCTGCTTCGGCCTGTGCTGGGGTCAGTACGGAGCTGGGTGGGTGGTGGGGGTGGTGAGGTGTGAAGGCGTGGCAGCACTGACCTTGCGCTTCTCAAAGGGATCTGTTCACACAGCTGATCAGCACGCTGTCTTGCCTGGCTGCCGTCGGGGCTCGCTTACGCTCATCCTTGAACTTGGAACGCATCTTGCTGGAGTGGGTGCCGGACGCGGTGACGCTGGTGGAGTGCGACCGATAAGCGTATTCGCGTGCTGTAACAGGCGTACAGCTTGGAGTTCACTTGGTAGAAGGTGTTGTTCGGGTGCAGGCGGGTTGAGAGGATGGATTGTAGGTCGATAGGGGATGGTTGGTGAAGGCAGGGTGACGCGGGAAGGTGATGCCTGGGAGGGAGGCGGAGGGTGGGGTAGGACAGGACGGGACAGCGACACCGCCACTTCGCCCGCTTCGCGTATGTAAGCAACGAGTCACATGCACCACCCAGCCAGCACGTGATTATATGTTATCGTCTCACGCTCACCAACAAAGAAGCCCGGATTGCGTGCCGCTTTAGTTGCTGGAATTAAATCAAGAATGACAGATCCCAGAGAACAAAGACGTCCGTCCCATTCACATCATATCCATGGACACCAACGCTTGCTACCCCGAAAGCCCGACAATAAGCAGCAACGCTCCCTGCCTGCTACCCTTACATAGTAGATGTGCTGAAGTAAAAGTCGTCCCAAAGATACTCGTAGTCCTGCAGCAAATTGCCCACCATGTCCAGCAGCGGCTTGTTCTGCAGCTTCTTCGCAAACCCTTGGATCATTCCCTTGGTGACATTCTCATAAAATGTGCCGCGCATCGCCCACCAGCTCAGCGCCCACCCTCGTCGCTTCAACTCCTCCTTCTCCAGCTGCGTGAGTCCTCTTGCGCCGCCAGGTCGTCTGCTTTCGAGGTCCTTCTTTGCAAGTTGTCGCGCGGCGTATTCGATGCTGATGCCGAGTAACCACGGCCGCCAGTCTGCCTTACGCTTCCCTTCATCTCGTTGGCTCCAGTATGACATGGCGGCGGCGTAGATGACGGGGCGCAGAATGTACATGATCTCCGCTGCCTCGCCAATCCCGCTAACGCGATGAAGAAGCGCTTTGGGCGGTTTGATGTCGTCGGCGGTGAGCACTTTGGACATCAAATACGATGAGATGTCGTTGGATGTCGGGAGAGGCGGTAGGGTAAGAGATGTGCGCGGCATGGTCCACTGCTCACTGCCCGCTTCCGAGAATGTAGTCGTCTCCGATGGCGGACTGTGTATCGTCTCCTCCTCCGCCTTTTCCTCCATAGGCTCTCGCTCGGGCAGTGGCGGACTGAGCAGCGGTCGCGAGTTCGTCAGTCGCATCAGCACCAATCGACACAACGCTTTGATCGCCTCCAGCAGCACTACCACCCTCCATCTCGTCTTCTCTCCTCTTCGCTTCGCCATCATCTCCAGTAGCAGCTCGGTGTACTGCACCACCTGCAGCATCGTCGCCGTGCGTCGGTAGGTGGGACTTCGCGAGCAGTAGTAGCGCGTGTAGCGGTTATGCGGGCTCTGGTGCTGCTTCTGCTGCAGCGAATGCGCCAGCGCGCGTGTGAGGAGGGAGTCATGGTAGAGCGAGAGGAGCTGGACGGAGGAATTGAGCGATTCAGACGCAAGCTCGGATTCTCTGAAGCGGCCGGGGATGATGTAGGCAATGGAGCGCAACGCGCCCTCTACCTGGCCCACCGCGCCGGCGTTCTTGGTGATGAAGTCGCTGTACATGTTCAGCCATTTCTCGGGCAGTCGGACGACGACTTTGGTGTGGTCGGCGGCGTGCTTGAGCTGCTCCATGGTGTCGAGGAGGGCAGACTCGATGAGGGTGTGATGTCGATGGACGAAAGGGTGAGGAGGGCAGCATGTGAACGCGCCGTCGATGGAATGGCCACGACGAGCCGAGGCTCTGCCGAAATTCGGAGGGCTGGAGCGACTCTTGACACTTCACCTCATCCAACAACTACATTTGCCCTAAGATCTTTTATTATGAAGGTCACGAAATGTGACAAAGTCTCTATTTGACATCTAGGATGTACAAGCTCGTTGCAGGCCGAGATGCCAATACCACTACTCTCCGGACATCTACCTGCATACTCAGAGCCTTGCGATCGATCTGCAAGGCCTCTCTCACCCATTCTAGTCGATGAGAATGCGTAAGTCGGGCATTGTAACGAGTCCGGGTGAATGACCGGATGACAATGGTGAATGACAATGTCAACCCATTTTCATTTCACCCTGACAAAGAGCCATGGTTAAAATAAGACACAGTGTGAAGGACTTCTTCTTCACCCATGAGCATCCTTTGTTCCTTTGTTGGATTCAGGCCTTTCTCCTTCTATATATGTTGTCCTCTTCTCTCGATCCTGAGAAGTCTTTCCTCTTCCCGCACGAACACAAGAACGAAAACAGCGTACGAAATCGAGACTGCACCGGCAAGATTGTTGTGCATTGAGGGACAGCCCACATCGACGGGCCCCAACCGCCACCACTCTCCAACGCAATCTCGATCGACTCGCTCTCTTCGCCCACCGTTCGCAAAGGCAACTTTTCAACTTTATTTCCACTCCGACACCTCCAGACTCTCTACACTCCGCCTCCCAGACCTCTCTTCCTCGCCGACAACCCAATCCAACCAAGACACAGTCATGGGACCACGGATTGAGCCCCCATACCAGGGCAAAGGTAAGGCCCGGCTCCCGATTGTGCTCACTAACCATCGAGCTGCAGTCACCAAAGCCAACGCTTACCGTACCCAATCGAACAGACGCAACGCAATCGCCGGGTTGACGAAGAAAGACACAGCAACGGTGGCGCTCTTCGACCAGGTTTGGGGAACGGAAGCTGCCAAAGACACAGATCCTGAGATCAAAGCTGCCCAAAGTGAGTTTCTCAATCGCATCATCCTCTCCGAGCCCTCCTACCAAGGTAAAGGGAAGGGCAAGATCGCTGCTGCGACCGTTCGCGAGAACCTCCGGGCTGCCAAGGCTAACCTGGATCTTCAATTCTTCGGGAGACGCATGTCAGTCAGCAGTATGACGAGCGAGGAGATCGATGAAGTGGCTCTTCACGGCATGAAGCACGGAAAGGGATCGCCGCCCAAGGCAGATACCCGGAGCAAGCTTCAAAAGAAATTCATCTCAAACCCCTCGCATGCCCAGAATCGACCCAGCAAAGGCGGCCAATCGGTCGGTACGTTCATGCGGAGATTCAACGGTGCTGGACCCAGCTTCGTGAAAGCCCCGAGTGTCCATAAATCGTCTGAGCCGATGGAGAGCAACGACAAAGACAGCGACGCAGCCAACCTTCCCCTCGCTATGAGCACCATCAACCTGAACACGCAAGCTGCAGCCAACCCATCGACTCCCACCCACTCTCCCGTGTACGAAGGCAGTGCAACCGGAGACATCAGCCCCCTCAGTCTCTCCGGCTACAGCGACGAGGACATGGACGCAGCGCAAATCCTCGTCCCCAAAGACAAGCACGCCAAAGCCAAAGCGCAACACAAAAAAGAGGTCATTCGCCTCTGGTACCAAAAGACCCAAGAGCTATTGCAAGTCCTGTCGGAGCTGCCGGATGTCGACGTCGAGGCCAACCTTTCGGGCGTCGCCAGGACGCTACGGATGTCTGAGGCGATGCTGAGGGCGGAGATTGGGGTGCTTCGCAGTGCCGATGACTTTGTTGGGTTGAGTGTTGATGAGGAGGATGAGGAGCTTGAGGAGGATGAGGAGATCGAGGAGGATGAGGAGCTTGAGGAGGATGAGGAGATCGAGGAGGATGAGGAGGTTGAGGAGGTTGAGGAGGTCGGTGGCGGTCTTGATGAGGAGATGTGACTGGACTGGCGAGCACGGCATTGATCAGGGTAAGTCAGGTGAGTTTGCAGCGTTCTTGGGAAGCATACCGGGTAATGTGGAGCGTTCTTGGGAAACATCATAGCGGGAAACGGCGTTTTGGAGTTGCCAGATATAGTAATGTCTAATGGGATTTGCTTCCTTGCTTAAAAAAACACCCTCTCATCGGTTTGGAGTATCGTGACATCCGATTTTACTTTCCAAGCCAAGCTGCACCGCGGCCACGATAAGCGAAAACCGACCTTCCATTCCCCAAGCCGAGGATTGGTATACTTGCGCTGCCCAAGTGGCTACTGCAAACGGTGTTTTCATTTTCGTCACGGGCTGCTGGCTCATCTCGCCAGATCTCAACGCCATCCCATGGCCCATTGAGAGCGCGAGACACGCGGTGGGCTTGTTCTAGATCCGCGACTTCGAGGAGAACAATCTGAGCATTGACTCGGAGAGCAATATCATGTAGGTGGTGGTAAAATAAATCGCCGTCATGAGCGTCGTTCAAGGAGCCGTTAGCGTTCGCAGGAGGCACAAGAGCCTCGTGTGGTTCGAACTTGCGGACTGAGGGGGATGTATTGCGCCAGTAGTCCGTGCTGGAGATGTAGGGCGGGTTCGAGATCAGGATGTCGAATGTACCCAGCTGGAGAGTTTCCTCCCCTCTCAACACATCGGCGTACATGAAGGTCATGGCTTTCAGAGATTGATGCTTTGTAGAAGTGCTCGATGAGCTCCACCTGAGAGCTGCGAGCTGGAGGCGCTTGTTCTTCTCGGCCAGTCTCAATGCGACAGAGGAGTTGTCTACGCCCACAACATCCAGTCGGGGAAAGCTGTCGTTCTGGCCCTTATGTCGAAAATAGTACTCATGCTGGAACAACAGTGGTATACACCCCGTTCCCGTGCAAAGATCAAGTACACGAAGTCGAGGAGGTAATGTCTTGCCGGCAGAAGAGAGAAGGTTGACGAGATGTGTGACAGAGGCCGCAGTCTCTTGTCTATACAAACAATCAGATAAAATGAAGCAGTGGCACAGATAAGTGAACAGACCTTGGGATCAATACGCCAGGTCGGCATTGAATCTCGAGCGGACCGAAGTACTCAGTCCCCAAGATGTATTGCAATGGTTCGCCTCGTGATCTTCTTAGAACATAGCTTTGGAGTAGTCGATTGGCGTTCTGTAGAGGAGCATTTCTGCAGATATGTTGTGCATGATCCCTCAGCCAGGTCAGCTCCCGGTAGCTCGAGCGTAGATCTCTACATATTGGCAGCAATCTCGCGACGAGCGGGCTAGTTGCATGGGTTCTGCGAATCAGTCCTGGATGGATACGCGGCATGCAATGAAGGAGATTGGCGAGGACGACGACTTGGCCACACACCTGCAACAAACGAGTATACGCCTTGTTGTGAGGCGAAGATCGGAAGAAAGTCCGGCAAAACCTCGGAGGCGAATTAGAGTTTGGCATCTCCCGGGAAATCCTCTCTTGCTCCTCTCCGTCTTTGCTTTGCTCTCCCAGCTCCGTCTCACAGCTCCAATTGCTTCCCATCGCCACTCTACGCCATCCGTCACTCCCTCAAGATGCTGAAGAAGTGCGTACAAGCCCCTTGCAGGCCCATTGGTGATGGCACTGACCCCGCAACAGCGGTATTGCGCGCGCAGCCCGCGCCCATGCCTTCCAGCGCACCATCCGCCCAGCCGGCCTCCGACAGGCCTTCCAGCCCAAAATCAGCGTGCCCATCACCTCCCAACGCTTCCAGAGCTCCGAGAATGCGAAGGAGGGCAAGGTGCACCAGGTCATCGGTGCCGTCGTGGACGGTGAGAGCTCCGCTGCAACCCCCGGCGACGACCGGCAAAGCTAATTTCGTGTCCTCCTCCAACAGTGAAATTCCCTACCGACGTCCTCCCACCCATTCTCCAGGCCGTCAACACTGAAAACAATGGTCAAAAGCTCGTGCTCGAAGTCGCTGTACGAAAATCATGATGAATACAATGGCTGCACGGAAAGCTAATACGAGAAAAACAGCAACATTTGGGCGAGAACATCGTGCGATGCATCGCCATGGACGGTACCGAGGGTCTGGTGCGTGGCCAAAAGGCCACTGACACCGGCTCCCCCATCATGATTCCCGTCGGGCAAGGTACGCTCGGGCGTATCATGAACGTCACGGGTGACCCCATCGATGAGCGCGGCGAGATCAAGCACGAGAAGAAGCTGCCCATCCACGCCGAGCCTCCGGCCTACGTCGATCAGTCTACCTCTGCCGAAATCTTGGTCACTGGTATTAAGGTCGTCGACCTGCTCGCCCCGTACGCTCGTGGTGGAAAGATTGGTCTCTTCGGAGGTGCCGGTGTCGGCAAGACTGTGTTCATTCAGGAGCTGATTGTGAGATTTGCTGAGCTCCTTGATGTGAAGAGTATCACTGACTTGCTATTAGAACAACGTCGCCAAGGCCCACGGTGGTTTCTCCGTGTTCACTGGTGTCGGAGAGCGCACCCGCGAGGGCAACGATCTCTACCACGAAATGCAGGAGACTGGTGTCATCAACCTCGACGGCGAGTCCAAGGTCGCGCTCGTATTCGGACAGATGAACGAGCCCCCGGGTGCCCGTGCTCGTGTCGCCCTTACCGGTGTAAGTACTTGTAGAACCCGGCCACTTTGGGTACTTCTTTATACTAATCTATTACAGCTCACGGTCGCAGAGTACTTCCGCGACGAAGAGGGACAGGACGTGCTCCTCTTCATCGACAACATCTTCCGTTTCACGCAAGCCGGTGCCGAAGTGTCTGCCCTGCTCGGCCGTATTCCGTCTGCCGTCGGATACCAGCCCACTCTAGCCATTGACATGGGTGGTATGCAAGAGCGTATCACCACCACCCGCAAGGGCTCCATCACTTCCGTGCAGGCCGTCTACGTGCCCGCTGACGATTTGACCGATCCCGCTCCGGCCACCACCTTTGCCCATCTGGACGCCACGACTGTGCTTTCGCGTGGTATCTCCGAGTTGGGTATCTACCCCGCCGTCGACCCTCTGGACAGCAAGAGCCGTATCCTTGACCCTCGTGTCATTGGTGACGACCACTACAACACCGCCGGTCGCGTGCAGCAGATTCTGCAAGAGTACAAGTCGCTGCAGGACATCATTGCCATTTTGGGCATGGACGAGTTGTCGGAACAGGACAAGCTCACTGTCGAGCGCGCACGAAAGCTGCAGCGTTTCCTCAGCCAGCCCTTCACCGTCGCCCAGGTCTTCACTGGTATCGAGGGCAAGCTGGTCGAGCTGAAGGACACCATCTCCAGCTTCAAGCGCATCATTGAGGGCGAGGGCGACGACCTGCCCGAGGGTGCTTTCTACATGGTCGGCGGCTTCGACGAGGCGCGGGAGAAGGGCGAGAAGATTCTCTCGGATCTCGAGAAGTCTGGCGACTCGTAGATGCAGCAGTAGCGGGGTGAGAGTGAGAGGAGGAGAGCGGAGAGGGTGCTGTATAGAACACTGGAGCGCCTAACGGGAAGAAGAGGCGCGGCATGTGTTTGTGGTTTTGTAACCGTAGATATCGTGAAAGTCCTTCTCCTTTTCTACTCAGGTGGCTTTGCTTTTCTCATCGCTAACTACTGTACGGCCTTTGCAGTGTGCTCAGCCGCGAGGTGTCCTCTCCGAGGTGCAGCGATGTGGTAAGGCTATGTGGGTGACGTGCCCCACTTGGTTGCTTGGCGCAACTTCATCGAGAGGGTCTCGAAGTGAACGCCACCACCCGCAGTCACTGCCCTGCCTTCACTGAAACTCGAAAGCTTGCCACTGCCTGGAGTGACGTTCACTTCACAAACCCATCACTCCATCCAGGCCCATCGTCTCTACATCTCACTACACATCTCTTCTTCTCATCCTCATCCCTCCCACCTGCCGCCAAACGGCCCCGCCATCAATATGAAGCTCACCTTCAAGGACCTGAAGCAGCAGAAGTTCACCATCGACGCCGAGCCCAGCGAGACCATCGGTGCGGTGAAAGCGAAGATCAGCCAAGAGAAGGGATGGGAACCGGCGACGCAGAAGCTCATCTACTCGGGCAAGATCCTTCAAGATGACAACACCATCGAGTCGTACAAGATTGAGGAGAAGGGCTTCATCGTCTGCATGACCTCCAAGCCCAAAGCACCTCCCGCGCCCAAGCCCGCCGCTCCTGCTGCTGAGCCATCTACACCAGCTCAGGTTGTTTCGACTCCCGCCGCCCCCGCCGCCCCTGCACAAACGACGACGACCACCGCGGCAAACCCTCCAGCTTCGCCCTCGCCGGCCCCGCCGTCCGCCCCGACCACCACCCGCACAACCGAATCCAGCAACTTCAATGATCCTTCCGCATTAGCCATGGGCGAGCAGCGTGCCGCCGCCATCGCCAACATGGAGGCCATGGGCTTCCCCCGTGACCAGATCGACCGTGCCATGCGTGCCGCATTCTTCAACCCCGACCGAGCGGTTCAGTATCTGCTAGAAGGCATTCCGGAGAATCTTCAACAAGAGCAGGCGGCACAGCAGCAGCAACAACAACAAGCGCAGTCACCCCAACAGCGCGGTGTGGCTGCGGCTGGCGGCAACACAGCGACGTCCCCTCCCCCTGCTGATGTGGGCGGTGACGAGCCGGTCAATCTCTTCGAAGCCGCAGCGGGTAGAAATACCGGAGGCGCAGGAGGTGGGCTTGGAGCCGGGCTCGGAGCTGGGCTGGGAGGAGGCGCTAGAAGCGGCGGAACACCAGGCAGCGGAGGTGCGGGAGGTGGTGCAGGCGGTGCTAATAACCTCGACTTCCTCCGCAACAACCCCCAGTTCCTGCAATTGCGTCAGGTCGTGCAGCAGCAGCCGCAGATGCTCGAGATGATTCTCCAACAAGTCGCCGCGGCCAACCCGCAGCTCGCTCAGATCATCACCCAGAACCCGGAACAGTTCATGCAATTGCTTGCCGAAGATGGTGGTGACGAAGACGTGGCCTTGCCTCCCGGTGCTCAGCAGATCTCGGTGACGGAGGAGGAGCGGGAGGCGATCGAGAGGGTGAGTTCAGATCGTTTCTGGCTTATGGTTCATTCGAATCAAGCTAACACATCTCCTGCAGTTATGTCGTCTCGGCTTTGAGCGCGACATGGTGATTCAAGCCTACTTCGCCTGCGACAAGAACGAGGAGCTGGCGGCCAACTTCCTGTTCGAGCAGCCGGATGAGGGTCCAGATGACGCTCCTGGCAGCTAAGGGTGTGAGCAGGTGAAACTCGTGCCCTGATGGAGAGAGGAAGAGTTGTCTACGCTCGCCCGCAGTTCCAACTTTCACTTACAAAAGCACGAGAGTGTACTTCAAGCATGTTGTGATTGAGACTCTCACTACTACTAGTCTGCATACGGCTGCGATACCAGGGCTGCGAGGAGCGTAGGCTCAGGCTGTGTGCAATGGATGAGGCAGAGATTGATAGTTAGCTTACGCTAATACGATCGTGAACGTTCCGTAGCAATTGTTTCGTGTTTACACGGTGTCCCAGTGGTTCAGTCTCAATGATCTACGAGTCTTTCTTACGATCCGTGCCAACAAAAGCAACAGCCTTGACGACGATTGATTTCGAGAGAAGTGGTTGCACGGGCAGCATTCGGACAACTGCAGTCACAAGATGGGTGCTTTGTTGTATCGTCCACGACGCTCTATTACTTCCTCAACCTCACGAACCTTTCCTATCCTCACATATCAACACATCATTACGTTCACTCCTTGACATGCGGCCGTTGGACCAAGACTTGGCGGCACTGGCGGAAAATTGAAAACCGTCTAGCGCGGCACGCTGATTGGCTCGGGCGGGAGAGCGCAACCCAGAAAGCTTAATGCGGTCGAATGCGAATGGATTGATGTGTTGCCGTCCTGCCCTTTGATCGGAATCGACCACGCTGCACGTTCGTCCACCTCCGCATCATCCCCCCAATCACGCGGGTGTTGTTCGTGGGGAGTCTGTTCGCTCGGGGCAGAACTTTGTCGTTGCGTGCGTCTCTTATCACGCCCTCCCCGTTACACGTTGTGTTGGCGGTGCGGCCGTTCCCTTTCCATCCGCCTCCTCCAGGGTGACCTTTTGTTACCTCGACCCACGACACTCTATCGCGTCTACAATTACAGGGAACCCTACAGATCTATCAGGTACGTTGACCCTTTGCTTTGGTTGTGTTTTGGAACGGCTGTGATGCTTGGTTGCCGTCGGGGCCGTTGCCCCTTCGTCACCAGCCGCTCCATCGCACCATCGACGCCGCCGCGTGGTTGCGAGTCGTTTGCGTCGCGGAATCTGTCATTCCAACGGCCTCGCTGCCACATGGACTTGACACAACCTGCTTGATGCTGTTGCAGCGACGCACTCCTCTTCATACCGAGCGTGCGTCGCGGCGGCAGTAAGCAGCCTGCCACGCCTCCTCGACCCGCCAATTTTCATCTTCCCCCATCCTCCACCACGTCGCAACCATTTCACCCACCCTGCACCCATCATCAATTCTAATCAGATCACTGAGCCCATCTCGCTAACTTCATCCCTTAGATGTCGTTTACAGACCTAAACATGTCCGCTACCAGGGGCAAAAAGGTAGCCAGCAAGCCGGGCAGATTCGACCCATCAGAACCGTTGCACATGACGACTCGCCGCGCCGCAAAATCCGTCACTACCAACGGCAGCCCGTCAATCAATGGTTCCCTGGACGGCGACGATAGCCGCCGAGGCTCGTTCGACGACTCCCGCCCCGTCACCGCCCACAGCAACGCCAGCCAAGGCTCGATCAAGAGCCGGCGACTTTCAGATGCCTCTCTTCCCCCCATTCCCCGTGAAATCACCACCAACGGCCTGCTCTCGTCAGATGACCGGCTCAATGGTGACAGCTCACTTGCACCGCTCTCCCCAACCTTGCTCACTCCCTCGCCTTCTCGAAAGCGGAAAAGATCGACATCGCCTGTGAATGGAAGCAGCATCGAGTTGACCCAGCCGGCCAGCATCCTCGACGACAGCAACATCCCACTCGGTGTTGCAGTCGATGCTTCCGCTATTAACGAAGGCGATGCGATCGAAGTGGTCCCGGCGGAAGACCTATCTGACCGTGAAGAGTCGCGCACCAGCTCTCGAACTGACGACGACGATGTCCAACCCGACTATGCCGACATGCAATCCGTGGACTTTACACCAGCTGTCTCGAACCCGATATCACCGCCTACGCGCACGTCAGACTCCGATGAAAATCTGCCCCATGCTCAGACATTGGAAGCTGCCCTCCAAGACGTTGTCCAGGCTGCGGAGGAGGAAGCAGCTGATGCCGGCGATGACATGGATATCGATGTCGATGCCCAAGATATAGACGAAGGTGGAGAGGCTGACGGTGTAGGCCGGCCAGTCAGACGCTTCGGGGGGCGAAGAAGAGCCATGCATCCAATCCCAAAGGTCGAGAAGGCTCTGGCAAGACAAGCAGAGCTCAAGTCAAGCTATCGGGCGATAGCTCGCATGCAGAAAGTGGTGTTGGCCGAGATTGCGCAACGAACTATCGACGGTCTGGAAAGTGATCCCCTTATGCACTCGCAAGCAACCGAGTATTCGTACGTGAAGAAAGGTCTTGACGAGGCTTTGGAAGAGAGGCAGTATCGCGTGCGATACCAAGTCGACAGCAACATGGAACAGCTGAAGCAGAAACTAGAGGCGACCTCACTCATGCGAAAGGCGACTTGTGTGCAAAACTTCAACGACCTGAAGGAGCTTCGCCTGGCGCAGATCGAGCACGAGATGTTGCGAATTGCGAGAGCGGTTCAGATGGAGGCTGGTAATGGAGAGTACGAGACGGAGGACGAGGATGACGTTCTCCCCAAGCCCAAACGCACCTGCTATCGCTTCAAGAAGCCAAGCAAGACGCTCGACGATGTCTACTTCTCCCGAACTCGAGAGCTCATGGAGACCGAGCGCGCCACTGACGACTTGACCGCACGCTTTGAGGTGCGCAACATGCTGGACGAGCTGAATGAAGATGAGCGGCCTGCGAAAGCAAAGGGCTTTACTGTCATGGACGAGAGAGCCGGCAAGGCTGCCAAGGTTCGGCGTGAGGGCGTCGACAACACCGCTCTTCTGGCCAAAGCGGCAACGGAGGTGGAGAAGGCTACGGAAATCCCGGTCATTCGCAACGAGGATGCTCGAGGATTACAACTGCTCGGCGATCTTGCGTCACGGCCGTCGATTGCCATTTCGACGCAAGCCTCTACCAAGCTGGGCCCGTACCCGGGCTCACGCCGTCCGTCTTCGCGCCCCATGCCGCCTCACTTGCAGATTCAAACGCACTACCGCCCCGCTCCAATCACCGTCGAAATGTCGCCTCGCACCTCGCAGGCACTTGGAGACCGCTTTGAGAGTTCTATGCTGCCTCCGGCGACCCCGCGCAGTCGAGGTAATCCTGTGCGTCCCGTGGAATCTCAGCCCGAGGCAATGCTTCCATCGCCAAGGGTGAGCATTACCAGAATCAGCAGCTCTCAGCCGCCGTCGGCCACCGCTTCGGATGGGCGTCCAGAGCCAAGCAGGAATAGCATGTGGGATATCGATCGTGGATCACTGGGTCCTCGACCTCCATCAGCACCAAAGCCAGGAGCGCAATTCTCTCCGCCACAGCCGAATGATCGACGAATGGACTTTTCGCTGTGGAGAGATCTTGGTCGTGGCCCTCCAGCTGAGGCGCATCGACGGTCTTCGAGCCATGATGAACGGCCGCCGCTCACTTTTGGCATGGGCATGCCTCCGCGAGATGAGAGGCAGTACGGCATGGAGCAACGCAAGCCCGATGCTCCTCCGCCCGCTAGGAATGGTCTATCCGTGTTTGACCCGGTGCGGCCCCGACCATCGTGGCCAGAGAGAACCGGTCAGCCCGGTGCCGCAGATACTCGACCGCAGGAGCCGCCGTTGCTTCTGTTTGAATTGCCACCGCGTCCGACGCTGAAAGCCAAGTCGCCTCCGCCGAGACCAAACTCCTCCATGATGTTTACGATGCGCGATTTTCGCAATACGGGTCTGGAGCAAAAGGGCCAGCAACGCGACAAGCCAAAGAATCCGCCGAGCACCGCAAACGCTATGAGCGTCTTCAAACCCAAGCCGACCAAAGATGAGCGAGAAGGCATGTCGCGAAGGAGTTGGTCGCATCAGAGGAAGTTGAGCAAGTCGCTTGGTGGCAGTGGAAGTGCCGGATCTCCCATTCTCGCTTCCCCAGCATCAATCCTCGGCCGCAGTGATGGACCTCCTCGCCCGCCGGTTTCGTGGCCTCCACCTCCTCCACCAGTGTCTCACTCTTCTCCACCGGCACCCGCTCCAGCGGCTCCGCACCTGCAATCACCGTTCTCGCAACCACCCGCGCAGCCTAGCAACTTCCGCGCTGCGCCGCCACCTTTCGATCCCTTTGCGAATCGTCCCTTTCCGCCGCGCCCGGCATCCTCCAGTCATGACCGACTACCGCCGACGCCTCTGTACGTTGTATCTCCACAAGCTACGCAGCCTCAGCAAGGCGCGGCTTCTGAGCATTACAACCGACCTTTCGCCCCGCCCCCACCGCCTGGATATCAGCCTCCACAGGCGGCTCCACAATCCCAACCTCCCCCGCCTCCGCAGACGTCGCAACCCTCCTTCCCTTCTCCAGCGCCAGGCGGATCGTATGCAAGCTCGTTCGGCGGGCCACCACTCGCTCCCGCTGGCGCGAATGCGTTTCATGCACCTGGCTTCCGTCCTGCACCGGCTTTTGCCCAGCAAGCTCAACAGCAGCAGGCCCATCATCAGCAGCAACAACAGCAGCAGCAAGCACAACAGGCACAGCAAGGGCAACAAGGACAACAAGGACAGCAGCAGCAGCAGCCACCGGGGTTCCGTCGTAGGGCGCAGAGCGATGCGAGTTTTTCCAAGTTTCATAATTGGAATCCGCCGACTGGGAGGCGGTGATGTTCTTTTTTACAAGCGAATGATGAGTGTTTCAGAGAATGTTAAAGGGAGGGAAGTCCCTTGAAATCGGTTTTGTTGGATAGCAGCGAGCGGACATGAGCGCATTCCTCGAAGCGCGTACGTTCATTGAGGATGAGGAGTGAGGAAGGCGAAGGATCTGTGGGTGCATGATCTGGGCCGTTCGCTCGTTTGAGCGCCAGATTGATTGGGACTGTATCTGATAGTGTACCTTCGTAATGCCCTCATAATCAGTGCTTGCATCAAGCTTTCAATCTTCATCACGTGACCGCAAGCAACGAGGCCAGGCTGTTCCCCTTTCAAGCCTAGTGCAAACTCTATTCGCCGTCGCGTCTCCCCGCGTTCTGAAGAACTTCCCGACTTCATGCGGTGCTTAGAGGAAGGTGTCCAGCGCCATAGAGTGGGAAATATGGGCCTCAGCATGCTCCCCGACGAGCTTCTGCTCACTCTCGCAGAGCAATGGCCCTGCAGAGATGCGCAGCTCAAACAATTGAGCGTCTTATTATCTGTGCGTACCTCTCACCACCGAAGAAGTTCAAGGCGCAACTAACGACCGCAACCACCAGCCTTCCCTCCCGACTCCCTCCACGATCATCGTCCACGGCTCCCGCGCAACAGGCAAGAGCAGCGTCGTTCGCGGATATCTAGAAGCCAGCAAGAGAACATTCGCTTTCATTCGGTGTCGAGAGTGTATTACGGGTCGACACTTGCTCGAGAGGACTGTGGCCGCTGTCGTACGGGCTTTACAAGACGACGGCGCAACGGGGACGAAAGCGTACAATACTCGGTGCGAGAATTTGAGTGCGCTCGTGCAGCACCTTCAGAAATTGCTTTTGGGCAAAGAGGAGGGAAAGAAGTTCGTGTTGGTGTTTGATGGGATTGATAAGTTGCGTGATGCGCCGCCTACGCTTTTGCCTGCGTTGGCGAGGTTGCGGGAATACGTGCGTCTCTTTGCATCCATCTATTCTGTGCAGAAGCTAACGCATCGACTCCAGATTCCCACCCTCCAAACAGTCCTCATCCTCCGCCATCCAACCCCGCGCCTCCTCCACCACCCTGGAATTCCGCACCTCCACTTCACCCCCTACACTCGCCAACAGACTCTGCACATCCTCTCCCGCAACTCACCCGCCATCTTCCCCACCATCCCACCCCCACGAGATCCATCCTACGACGCCGAACTCCACGAAGAAGACAAAAGCTGGCTATGGCCGCGCTTCTGCGCCGCAGTCTGGGATTCCCTGGGAGCGGCAGCAGCGCGGGACCTCGTATCCTTCCGCGAAGCGTGTCTGAAACTCTGGCCCGCGTTCGTAGCGCCTGTTGTAGCGGGAGAATTTGGAACGCGGGACTTCAGTCGGTTGCTGGTTTCACAGAGGAGGTTGTTTCAAGACGAGGGCGTGCTGTTGCATTCTATCCTTGATGCCGGTGCTGTCACTACCACTACCAATGGTGTTGCTGCTGCGGTGGAGAGGAAAGCCACGACGCACGAACTCCCCTACTACGCCAAATGGCTGCTCCTCGCCGCCTACCTTGCCTCCTACAACCCCGCCAAACTCGACGCAACCTACTTCATGAAGACCAGCGAGCGCGGCAAAAAGCGGCGAGCCGGACGACCGAGTCAGAAGCGCACGATTTCGCGCCGTCTCCTCGCACCAGCCGCATTTCCGCTCGATCGTCTGTTTTCGATTCTGCATGCTATTTTGCCGCATGATTTGCGCACTTCGGTCGATGTGTATACGCTTGTTGCCACCCTTACGAGTTTGCGGTTGTTGGTCAGGAGTGGGATTGGAGGCAGTGGAGGGGATGTGTTGGAGCCTGGCGGGAAGTGGAGGGTGGGAGCGGCGGTGACGTGGGAGTTTGTACTGGGTTTGGCGAGGGGGGTGAAGTTTGAGGTTGTAGATTACATGGCTGAATGAGATGAACGACGCCCACTAGATCAGATCGCCATAGTACTGCTGCTTGCAACGAACGCACTTGAGCATCGACCCGCTGGGGAAGCTCGTCGATCGGTCGTCTTTCACCAGGCGCAGATACCTCGCGCTGCCGCATCCGTCGCAGTCCTGCCTTTCATTGACGAGCTTGACAATCTGCTTCCAGATGGCGGACGCCTTGTCCGCTCGCGCCGTTTCCTTTTTGAGCAGTTCGCCCCGCTGTTTGAGCAGGTTGCGATTGACGTTGGCGACGTTGTTGTTGTTCTCGGCTTGTGCGAGGGCTGCGTCGAGTTGTTGCTGCAACTTGCCCGTTTCCAGTCTTGCGTTGTGCTCGATTTGCAGGACTCGATCGTTTGCTGCTGCCAGTGCTTTGTTCTCTTGGTCGAGTTCGGCTTGCAGGTCGTTTGCCGTTGGTTGCTTTGCTTCCTCTCGTCTGTGCTCCCTCTCCGCGAAGAGCTTTCCAGAGAGGGTGGCGAGGACTGCAGCACCAAAATCATGCAGCCCGATGGATTGGGTGAGAGCTGCCGCGAAGGTGTCGTCGGTCAGCCAGTCGAGGTGGTCGTCGAACAGAATTGAGAGCAATTCCTTTAGCAGGCCATCGTCCGCATCAAGACGGACGATGGAGACCAGTCGGGCGAATTCTTCTTTGTAGGAAAGTGACTTGCATGCTTTGAAGCGCTCCAAGGCCAGAACTCTCAGACTGGGAAGGAGGTAGTGTTTGGCAATGGCGTACGCCTCGGCGTGGCTCATAGCCGCACTGCTGATGCTCATAGCGACGTTGATGACATGCTCGTCGTTCTCTTGACTCTCGACCTTCACTGCAGGGGTGGATGAGGGTGGTGGAACACTTTGGGACAAGCATCGACGCTTGAGAGCTGGCTCATCGTCGATGAGCTCGCGTCCGGTATGGGACGGCGATAGCCCGGGTGTCTCCTTCACGATGTAGTCGCCTTCGTAGAGGAACTGTAGCATTCGTTCCATCGTGTCGGCATTAAACGACGTGTGCACAACGACGCACGCCATCTCATCCTGCAAGTACCATGTTGAGCTACTGCATAGACAAGTTGGTCGGGCCAAGGTACCTTGGAAGCATCGTCGCACTCCTTTGCAAGCACCTCTGAATTTGGGCATACAATGATGCGGTGGACATAGAAGGAGATGTCGTCCACTCGGATCTCGAGATCACAGTATTTCGTCTTCACTCGTAAGTTGTCGCTGTTCTTGGCGAAAGAGGCCATCGTGAGGGAAGCGTGGGATGAATAAAAAAAGGTCACATCCGAAGTGCAATGTGATTTTGAAATGTGGGAGGAAGGGGACGTACGGTCGAGGCAACGAAGCAAGTGCGCGCGGCAGCAAACGGTGAGACAAGGCGGGAAGGTGCATCTCAGAGCTTTGCACCGCGTATGCAAGTGCCCGATGAATGACCAGCAGGGTCATGATTTGCTTCAAGTTGAAGAGAGCGCCATACCCAGATCACAACTTATGCCGCTTCTCCCCACTCGCGATCCGCCGAAACTGCTCCTGCGGCACGCCCTTCATCCAGACATCCAAAGCGCCAAAAGCCTCCGCAACACCCTGCGCATCAAGTGCCTCCCGCTGAGGCTTGCGAATCAACGCCTTGATCTTCGTCAACGACTCCGGCACCAGATGCGGCCCTAATCGATCTTGCACCTCCTGCAACACCAGGCCGAGAAATTTCTCCTGCTCGCCGGGCAGGGTATTAAAGACCTTGTTAATGTAGCCGCACTGCACCAGTTCCTCGCACGTCAGTCGTTTGGACATGATGAGCGCTTCGTTGGCTTTGGCGATTCCCATGCGCTGTACGAAGCCTATGCTCGCACCGCCTTCGCTCACTAGTCCGAGGCTGGAGAACGGGGTGAGAAGGAACGTATGTGGTGTTGCGTAGATAAAGTCCGCCCAGCCGGTGATGGCGGCGGAGAGGCCGATTGCCGGGCCGTTGAAGGCGACGACGAGGATTTTGGGGTGTGAGTAGAAGGCTTCGGTGAGAGCGAGGTTGGCTGGGACGAATGTGCGTAGGCCGGCGGTGTATTGGTCGTCGCCGTCTCTTTGGATGGGTGGTGTCGATACATCAGCTCCGCTGTAATTTGGTCAGACCAGGTCCGACGGCGGTGTTAGATCCAGACTTACGCTGAAAAGTATTTGCCTTTGCCGGTCTGGAGTTCGTATTAGCATTACTGGTAGGGAGAGGAGCGATTGAGAGAGAACTTGATACAACACACCAGAACGGTAACATACACATCATCCCTCAGAGCAATCTCTCTCATGTATTTAGCCAACTGGAAGTAATGGTCGATATTCAACGCATTCAGCTTCTTCGGATTGTCAAAGGTGATGATGGCGATGTAGCCTCGCTCGTTACTGCGGTACTCCAGCTTGACGACGTCGGCCATGATGGAAATGCAGATCGGGTGAACGAGTGGTACGTGATAAAAGTCCTCTCTTGCCGCCAAATACCAGTTATGGGAGGCACTTTCAGCCGTACCTAGGTGATGGTGGTGGTTGCGGAGTGCCTCGGCATGTGGTCTCTAGGCTGGATCGCACATCTCACTCACAACGAATCCCTCTCAGAGCTCGCTGTGCCTTTCCCCGAGCTCGCGGACTTCGGACGGCGTTTCAGGGAAGATTTGGTACTTCCGCTAGCGCCGTTTCGATCTGACCAATCAGAAAACCAAGCGGAGCTCGTCTCCACGATGAGGCTGGCAGCATGGTGACAGACGACAGCAATACTGCTTTTGATGGCCTTCCAAAGTGTAGTAGTATCAGCATAACATCATTTGATGTATCAGTCACCATATATATCATCTCTATGCCATCATATGTACATCTCTATCATTTATACACAGATCCAGCAGAAATCATTCATAGACATGGAACGCCATATCATCCTCGACCACGTACGTCTTGAACTCTTTGGTCGGCAGTCTCTTCTGGAACATGACGTCCAACTCGTTGAACGTCCGTCCCTTTGTCTCCGGCAAGCAGCGCCAGCACCAGATGAGACAGGGTACCGACACGCCGAAGAAGACAAACGCCAGCTTGCCCTCCAGATCGCCCTGGTCGGGATTGATGGCGTATGGAATGCCCACGGCACAAGCAACATTGATGAGCGCGTTGACGGTCGTCGCGATGGCGATCGTCTTGCCGCGCAGCTTGGCAGAGGATGTCTCGGAGATGATGACGAAACAGAGAGGCCCGATGCCGAGGTCGTAAAAGAAATTGTACACCACCATCAATGCAGCTTGCGCCCATCTTGGTCCCAGGTCGCCGGCTTTGAGGGGAATGCAGTCGAGGATTCCGATGAGGAGGAGCAAGATCATGAGCGTCACAAGCCCCCAGTTATATATGCGCCTTCGGCCGGTGACTTTGATGAGTGGCCAGGAAAGACAAGTGCCCACGAAGCCAAGCGCGAGCAGTCCGACACCGAGATAGAAGGAGGAATTGACGGGAAGGCCAGCGAGTTCAAAAAAGTACCTGTAAAATCACGAAACGTCAGTGGCGCGCAAACGGTACAATCTGCGTCTCACATGCACTCACACTGCGTAACCGATGACCAAAAAATTGCCGGCGAGTGGCTGGATGGCATAGACCATGGTAGAGATGGTAGTACGTCGCAACTCCGTTCCACGAAAGCAATCTGCGAAAGTTGCAGAACTACGCTCCTCCAGTTCGAGTTCGGTCGTCAATTTGATGTGTGCCAGTGTCGCCGTCACATCGACCGATGGATGTGCCAGCCGGGTTAACGCCTTCTTCGCCTTTGCATCTTTGCCATTCCGTACGAGCCACCAGGGGCTTTCTGGGGCCCATGGGAGCAGACACAAGATGATGATCGGGAAGACGAACTGAACGAGGAATGGGATGTCGTAGGACCATCGATCCGTCCGGCTCTGCGTTCCAGCAAGCACCCCGCTGGCGACCAGTTGTCCGATGACGAAGGAGAGATTGACAAAGGCGGCGGCGAAGCCACGGAATACCACAGGCGTTACTTCCGAAATGTAGGTAGGGGCGATTACAGGGTAGGCTCCCAGGACAACACCATTGACCAGCTCGGCAACCAGGATCTGAGGCTTGTTTTGCGAGGAAGATTGCAAGGCGACGGCGATGCAGGTGATGATGCAGCAACATGCCAGTGTCCAGCGTCTGCCAATCTTGTCCAGGGGTATACCAACTCCAAGAGATCCCACGACTTGACCAACGGGAACACCGAGGTTGAAGGCTGACTGCCACTTGGCCGCGACGACCCATTCGTTGGGACCGATTTTCTGGCCGAATTGTTTTTGGAAAGTGGGAATGGCGACGAGCGAACCGACGAGCTGGGGATCAAAGCCGGCCCTGTGAGGGTGTTAGAGCATGTAGAGAAGTGCATTTCTGTCCAAATACTCACATGATAACGCCTAATGAGAAAAGGAAGGACCATGCTATCGCTGGCCTGTACAGGCGAAAGGAGTCCTTGACGGTAAGCTCATGCTGCTCTTGTGCACCGAGCTGAGCATTGACGGCTAGTTCCTTCTCATTCGTCGTCGTCGTTGCCGTCTCCGCAAAGAACGTGGGTTGTTTGTCGTCTGCAGACATGATGGGCGTATGTTGGAGAAGAGTCGAAGTACCGGTCAAAGATGATGGGTCAGAGCAGAGGCATCCTCACTTCTTATAACGAGTCGATCAATACCCCAAACGCTCTCGCCCTGGCCGTGGAGTAGAATACCTTATCTCGCCTCTTGCCACATGGGATCATGGGGTTTGGAAACCTGGAGACTGTGGGGGTAAGGTGAGATCTCCGTCATGCCGCCGCCGCCCACGCTGCGATGTCGTAGCCGCGCTTGACGCCGCTAGTCCGTACTGGGTTAGAGAGAGGGTCCAGGGCCGCTGATCTGGAATCGCCGCTCAAAAGCCTCGCCGACGCTTGCCGCCCGCCAAAAGTCTAAAGATTGCTCCATCTGGTATGTTGTTTCGGACGGTGAGTCGAGGTTGCAATACGTTTCTGCTTATAAAATCATCATCTTGGTCGAGTCTCTATATTCATCTCCTCACACCAAGTTGAAGTCGTAATCATGACAATCAAGCTGGACCAGACCCCGCACAAAGTGCAGGCCAACGGCCATCCAGAGTCATTCATCTTCCACCGCTCACAACGCACCAAGCCGGCCAACATAATCTCTGGATCGGGCATCAAGTTTACTCTCGACAATGGCAGAACCATCATCGACGCCTCCGCCGGGCCAGCGGTGGCATGTCTTGGACACAGCGAACCGAGAGTCGCCCAAGCCGTCATGCGTCAGATGGAATCCCTCTCCTATGCCTACTCAATGGGTTACACGACCGATGCTGCCGAAGACCTTGCAGCACACGTCCTCCACAACCGACCCGGTGGACTCGGCAAGGCCATCTTCGTCAACTCGGGCAGTGAAGCCACCGATGCTGCTTTGAAGCTAGCAACGCAATACTGGATTGAAGCGGGCCGCCCGTCGAAAAATCAATTCATTGCCAGAAAGCAGAGCTATCACGGCAACACCCTCGGTGCGTTGTGTGTTTCCGGCCACGAATCCAGACGCGAGTTCTACCAACCATGGATGTCGAAAAACGTGACCTTTGTCGACCCATGCTACGCCTATCGAGGCCAAGGTAGCGACGAAACAGATGCACAGTACTTGCAGAGACTCGAGACTGAGCTCGAGGAGACCATCGTTAGAATTGGATCCGACAACGTCGCAGCCTTCATCCTGGAGACCATCCCAGGCACCACACTAGGCTGCGTCCCTCCCGTCCCAGGCTACCTGAGCGCCATGCGCCGCATCTGCGACAAACACGGCATCCTCCTCATGCTCGACGAAATCATGTGCGGCATGGGCAAAACAGGCAAAATGCACGCCTGGGAGTGCGAGGGCGACTTCCGGGGTCCAGACATCCAGACCATCGGCAAGGCTCTCGGCGGCGGCTTCGTGCCCATCTCTGGCGTTCTCGCTTCGCAGAAAATCTTCGATGCTATTGCTCAGGGCTCTCAGACGCTCGCTCATGGTCATACGTTCCAGGCGCATCCGAATGCGTGTGCTGCTGCGTTGGAGGTGCAGAAAATTATCGCTGAGCGGGATTTGTTGGGCAATGTTGCGGCGAGAGGCGAGCAGCTGGAGCGGGAGATGAAGGCGGAATTGTCGTCTTTGCCGCATGTTGGCAACATCCGAGGAAGGGGTTTGTTCTGGGCGATTGAGTTTATGAAAGATCCTGCTGCTCGCACGCCGTTTGCCAGGGGAAGCGGATACTCGGATCGCGTGGTTGAGGTTGCGCAGGGCCTTGGGCTGAATATTCTGGGCACGCTGGGTCACACGGGCGAGTATCATGTGGAGCATGTGATTATTTCTCCGCCCTACATCATCTCTCAGGAGGAGGTGAGCGAGGTTGTGAGGCTTCTGAGGGAGACGATTGTGGCTGTTGATCAGGAGGGCAAAAAGTGGTGAACATTCTAGCTGATTCTATCTGCGATATAAGCGACATTCGTATGGCTTCAACGACATTTTTCCGTCTCCTTCCTGCACATCGTAATTCGACATGATCAGCTTGCCTTTTGCCTCAATAGGACAGTTCCACGACACTTCCTTTGATTTGAACGAGCACACGACCAGGAACACACCATCAGCATCGCTTCTGGTATAGGCGTACACATCCTCCGACGCTTCATCGACCAGCTCAAACCTGCCGTAAACGAGAGTAGGCTCACTCTTGCGGAGTTTCAACAACTGCTGCCAAAAACTCAGCACGCTGCCCTTCTTGCCCTCCTGAGAAGCCACATTCCAAGTCTGGTAGTCTTCGTTGACTTTGATCCACGGCGTCCCCGAAGTAAAGCCCGCATTCCGCGAAGCGTCCCAAGAAATGGGCAAGCGCGAGTTGTCTCGTCCGATTCGCTGGATATCGGCCAAGACATCGCTCATATCTGCGCCCTCGGGTCGAGTAGCTTTGATGGTGTTGTAGTGGTTGATTTGCTCGACGTCCCGCAGTTCGTCGAAAGTCCACTGCTTTGCATTCGCCATTCCGATTTCCTGGCCTTGGTAGATGAAGACTGTGCCCCGACCGGTGACATGGAACAAGGCGAGCATCTTGGCCGCCCTCTCCCTAAGCGTGTCATCGCCGTCGTCCGCCCAACGAGACACGATACGCGGCTGGTCATGGTTCTCAAGGTAGAGACTGTCCCAGCCGTCATGGTCTTGCATGTACGTCATGAAGCCTCCCAGAATCGCCTTGAGTTCCGTCAAGGCCCACTCCCGCTTGTAGAAGCAGGTCTTGCCCGGCTGGTGGTCGATGTACATGTGCTCGAAGTGGAAGAGCATCTGCAGAGGCCGGCCGGCTTGCAGGTATTCAATGGCTTCCTGAGGCGTCGCCACGCCGGGCGTTTCGCCTACTGTGAAGATGGCAGGCTGCCGTTTTGAAATCACCTTGTCGTACATTTCGGTCAGGTATGGGATGACTTGCGGTCCGTTGAAGCGCGATTTGAGCCCGTATTGGAATTTCTGGGATTCGTCGAGGATGGGCACGTCGGGGAAGCCGGGGTCTTTGGAGATGCAGTTGATTACGTCCATGCGGAAGCCGTCGCAGCCCTTCTCCAGCCAGAACTCCATGATGTCCCAGACTGCGGTGCGGACGTCCGGGTTCTCCCAGTTCAAATCAGGCTGAGAGACGTCGAACACGTGTAGGTAGTACTCTTGACGCTCAGGAGACCATTCCCAACAAGAGCCGCCAAAGATGGCACCCCAATTGTTGGGTTCCTCTTTTTGGCCGTCTGTACCAATTTTCGCCGGTTTCCAGATATACCAGTCCCGCTTCTCACCACCAGCCTTGCTGTCCTGGAACCACGCATGTTGATCCGACGTATGGTTGACAACGAGATCCATCACCACTTTCAGCCCTATCCGATGCGCTTCCGCGACTAGATTGTCGAAATCCGCCATCGTGCCCAGGTCGGGGTTGATGGCGCGGTAGTCGGAAATGTCGTAGCCTTGATCCTTCATGGGAGATGCGTAGATGGGGCTCAGCCAGATGACATCGACTCCGAGGTCGCGCAGGTAGGTGAGCTTGGAGGTGATGCCATTCAGATCTCCTATGCCATTCCCTGTGGTGTCTTTGAAGGAGAATGGGTAGACTTGATATACGATGGCTTCTTTCCACCACTGTCGCTCGTTGTTGGCCATGATTGTTTGGATTGTAGAGGGTCAATTATCGATGGAAGGAAAGAAAGAAAGAAAGCATAAAAAGCGAGAGATAGAAGACGTCAAACGTTCATGCATCTGTGATCGTCGTTACCATACGCAAACTCTACTCGGTGGAGAGGGCCCATATTCCTGATCTCTGGCACCAGAGCTACCATCTCCAGTGCATCTTAGTAATAAGGCCGAATAAAGCAAACAGGGAAGGCGGATGAGCCGCGCGATTAATGACAGTCGCGCCGAACTCTCTTCGGTGTTGACTAGGATCAGGCAGTCGGTGGAGGCAAGGAGGAAGCATTCAATCCCTGCTCCCAAACGGCCACGCGATCCCCACAAATCGGCCCCACGTGAGCCCGTCTTAACGTTATCTGCTTACGCCGGTCCCTGGCGCCAATGGCGCTTCTGGCGCACTTCTAGATCCCCACGACCTCCTGCATGATATCTCTCGCTCTGCCACACCCCACACCCCTCATCAATGTCTGGACGATGGAGAGCGCCGCTCCTGGCCGCAAACTGCACAAGCTGACTGGATTCACTCGTGATCGGCAGGGTTGTTTGACATGCCGCCGGCGCAAGAAGAAGTGTGCGGAGGGTGGGCGGCAATCGCGGTGCGCGCAATGCACTCGTCTGAATCTCAGGTGTGTCTGGGAGGATGAGCGAACTGTCAGAGGTAGTCCGTCTCCGGATCGAGAGGAGAACACTTCCACCGCGCTGGTTCTGTCGACGCCTTTGACGCCGGCGTGGGCGGCGGGAAGTGGCAATGAAGCTCACGACATATCGCATCGCCAAATGGCCCTCCGATATTACATTCAATCGTTTGCCAGTACCCTTTCGACCAATGCGGAGAACAATGGCTTCCTATCCATCCTCCTCCCAATGGCCATGACGGACGCGCCCCTGATGGATACGCTTGTAGCGTGGTCGACTTCCCATCTCGCCATCCGTCAGCAAAACGTACAAGTCAAGGCACTCGAGGACCGTTCGGTTGCTTTGAGATCATTCGCGACGAATCTGCGCGACTTGCCTCCCCTGACCTGTCTCGCCATCTGCCTCGTGCTCACATCCATGGAGGCCGTTCTCGGCAACACCCTCAGCTGGTACAGCCATTTGTCCGCCGCTGCGCGCATCATCAATTCCACAGTATCCCCGAGACTGGACGACAGTAGCCTGGCAAGTTCCTTGGACAGCAGTGCAGAGGGACGGTGGCTGCTCCGCAATTTCTCCTATCATGACATCCTCGCCAGCGTCTCGCGAAGCCGCGCCATGCTGATTCCCGGCCTGGACTTTCTCGGAGCAGACGCCATTCAAGTCCCTGACACGTACCTCGGATTTGGCGTACCGCCCATGAAGCTGCTAGGCGAGATCAACGTCTTGTCTCAAACCCTGACCAACTACGAGAACACCAGCAATACTGCGTCCGCTGCAGGCGATAGTTCCGACGCCGCCGAGATAGCCGCAAGACTGTACGCCATCGAGGCAGAGCTACGACAATGGCGAGCGGATGGCTCCCCCGACGACCCATTGATCATGCTGGCGGATAGCTATCGCAGCGCCATCTTAATATGCCTCTATCGCGCATTGCGATACCACCGACTAGCCGATCCAACAACCGCAACACAGCAGATCCAAGCAGAAGTGGGCGAGATAGTCACCCGGATCACTTCATTACCCCACGGCAGCTCGCCGGAATGTACCCTTCTCTTCCCCCTCTTCATGGCCGGGGGAGAGGCGCAAAGCACCGAGCACAGGGCGGCGATTGAGAATCGAATGGAGACTATCGCGGAGAACAGGGAATTCCAAAATCTCCGAGAAGCGCTGGACGTTTTGAAAGAGGTCTGGTCGGTGCAATCGCGCACTACCGCCATCGACCCTGCGCGGCCATATGACTGGACGTGTGTCTTGGAGCGACGGCAATGGGATCTGGCGTTGAGTTGAGAACATGATGAGTTTCAAGAACCTATGATAAACCGATCTGGAGCACAGTGCGAAAGCAAAGGCAGGTCAACAGGTTGTCAGCCAATGCAAGAGCAAGGGCGAGTATTGCTAAGGGGCCAATGATAAAACAGAGGCGGGTGGTCGGTGCCAGTGATAAAAACAAAGGCGAAACGAAAATCACTGGTCGGATTCCCAGGCCTCGTAGATCTGGTCCTCATCGCGCACTCTCTTCACTGCCGTCGCGGCAAGGAATGGATCCTCGACGGCGGGAACGTCCACTTCCATCGAGGTGAACGTCTCTTGTGGCGCATCGGGTCGGCCTTGTTCGACGGCCGATTGCCTAGCGGTTGGCTGTTGAGTAGTCACCGCGGAGCTAGACGGTGCTTGTTGCATTGTGCGCCGCTTTTTCGATGGGCGCTCATCATCACCGTGATCGGTCGACGGCGCGAGGGCATTCGAGTACTGTCCAGACAGAGACAGAGCGTCTACCTGTTGTGACAGAGTGCAGTGTACAGAAGTATCCGCGCTCGGTGGGGGAGCGTTCGCATTCCGGTCCGATGGCCAAGTCGTCACCTCAACGCCGTTCGCGTACGTAAACCTCCACATGCCAGTTTTCCACGACCAGGTCTGTGCCACAACCTCGCCGGCGATCGGGTCTGCTGGAGGCCGGGGGTACCATGGCGCTGGATATTGCGGCAGTGCCGAGGCTGAAGTGCTCGGCTCGAAGAAGGACATCACATCGCTGTCTTCACCGTCGGATTGGCCCTCTGACGCTTCACTGGCATTGGAGGCAGCCGTTTCTTGGTTCTGGAGAGACGCCCACGAAGGATCTAGGTAGGCTCTCGGAAGCTCGCGGACGAAGTAGGGGAGCATTTCCTCTTTTGCTAGCAGCTCATCCCTCGATTCACCTCTCCAGTCGGGCTTCACCCTTGCAGCTGGCATGGCGATGGGTGCAGATCCGTCGGGGTTGGCGTCAACATCGCGACGTCTGGGTGCGGTGAAGATCGTATAGTCTTCGTCGGCGTTCATCATCATCTGAGTCCACGCTTGGTCGTTGTAGCTCCAGTCCTGGATGATGGTGCATCGACATTCCTCGCCTCCGAACCAGCGGCACTCCGAGCAAGGGTCGTCTTCGCCGCCGCGGCCCCGTTTGTCGCACTATGATTTCCAGCTTGTTAGAAAACGATTCCTGGTATCTGGATCTTCTGGCCGAGTGACTCACCTCTCTCATTGTCTGCAAGCATCGTTGACAAGCAACGCCCGGCTCTTTCGACACCTCGAATTCTTGCTCTTGGTAATCGCGCAAGTATGGGCTCAGGTTGGGGTGGTGCTCGCGCATGCAGAGCCCGTCGTAGCATTCACCGAGCGGGTACTTGCGACAAGGCACCGATGGTGATTCTGTAAACGCCATATAAGACATTGCAGTGGTGACTAGTGGGATGTGCCAGTGTTGAGGTGATTGACGGTAGTTGGCCCTGCAAACAACCACAACGATCGACGGCGAAAGAGAGCCTTGCCGGCGCGGGCCGTCGTGCCGGCGGGTAATTAAGATGCAGCACGTTTATAACTGGTGCGGCGCTCTGACGTTTGCAAACAGCCTCACAGCTTAAGGCAAAGTCGCCGCAACAACCACTCTTCTCAATCACCTTCTCTTCCAAAAGCAAACAACGTTGTCCTTTCCCTCCACAAAGTCCGATCGTCTCTGCCGTCACGAGGTCTATCGGAAGGGATGTTTGTTGCATTGACGAGATCGAGAGGCTGCGGCCCACCCGACGATGCAAACCGTGGCTCGCGACAGTCTACCATGCCGACATTGGCCACGAGGGCATTGCACAGATCTGCACTGTTCTCTCCAACGTGCCCCTAGCTGACTCCATTTTCCCATGTGTGTGGAGCGTGACCGAGGCTGTGACGGACAGTGTCGTTTGCAAAGCCGACCCGCTGCCCTCTGAAATCAGGAGAGTCGATTGAGTCAACGGAGGATGTCATATGCTAAGTGTGAGCGCACATGCTAGGCTACCTAATCTAACACATGTCAAGCTCCTGCCTGAGGCTGACACCGTCCGAAGGCCGATTGATCAATGTGGGCGATGTCGCGGCCAGCATCCGAGCGAAGTGCATGAGTGTACGCACGGTCGACCATGCCGGCAACAAGGGCCATCATGCGGATGGTCTGTCGTGTCTGGTGGATAGCCGCGGGCTTGTCGATGTGGACGTATCGTGCAGCGCGTTGATCGAATGCAGCAAGGACGGGGGGATTTGGAAACAACCACACGACTTTGCGGTCTGATCGACGAATCGCATGCTCGAGGACATTCTGAATGAACATATGGTCAGTCACGAGGGAGTGACGCAAGGCATGAGCCAGCAGCAAAGCGGTAGGGCAGACGTGGCACGAAGACGAATCGACGACCTCGACGGTAATGCGTGCGCGGAGCTGCGCAAAGATCGGCGTATCTCCATCGATGTAGAGTTCGATGTGGCGGTATTGCATGTACTCGATGCCCTTGTGGCGGTCTGACCGGCCGGTGTCACCGGCGCGCACACCCAAGGCGGCAACCAAGACGGCGGATAGGCAACGGGCAATGACCGTATCCCAGCATGTTGTGCCGCGGGTGATGACGTGGGTGAGATATGCTCGCACCGTACGAGAGAGGGTGGCCAAGCCGATCCACGTTTTGGCCTGCGTGCGATCCTTCAGGCGGAGGCGGACCCTTCAGGAAGAGGCGGGCCTTCCAGGAGGAGACTAACCTTCAGCAGGAGGCGACCCTTCAGCAGGAGGCGTCCATTCAGGATGATGCGATCATTCAGGAGGAGGCGACCATTCAGGAGGTTACGATCATTCAGGAGAAGGCAATCATTCAGGAGGAGGCGATCATTCAGGAGGTGACGACCCTTCAGCAGGAGGTTCAGCAGGAGGTGACCCTTCAGGATGATGCGATCATTCAGGAGGAGGCGACCCTTCAGGAGGTTACGATCATTCAGGAGGAGGCGACCTTTCAGGAGGAGGCGACCGTTCAGGAGGAGGCGACCGTTCAGGAGGAGGCGACCTTTCAAGAGGCGACCCCCGCGCGTTGCGTCGTCCAGCCAGTGGTGGAAGACCGAGCTGTCGTGGGCGGTCATCTTGAAGCCCTTGGCCTCGGACCACTTGAAGTGACCGTAGGAGATCAGAATCTTGGCGGCATTGAGGAAGATATTGCGGTTCGTTTGTTTGCCTTGATGTCATGATCCAGCTTGTCTAGACGTGACGGGCGGAAGCGTGAGCAACGCGTAAGCAGATCATATGTTTCGTGTCTACATATGGCTAATAGAATCCCTGCCGGATTGAGGGCAGAAACGGGACGCATCCAGCAATGGCGGCTCCCTTTGGGAATATCTTCCACGTCTGATTCTCCGGGCAGACGTAACTTTCATCGTCTTTGCCTAGGGAGCAGGAGAGGTGGCAGTGGGGGAAGCTCTGGCCTTGGACGATGCATTTGAGAATTTCGCTGCTTGGAGGTGCCGGGGCCGTATCGAGAGGGCCCGTCAATACGTAGTGGTCGGAACTCAGCACGGCGGCAGAGTTATTGCGTGGACCGTAAGCGCGGTTCCCCTCCACCAGTTGGGTGCCGTTCAGGGCCCATTGAATCACTTCGCCGCTGCGTTTCTTATCCTGCGGAACAACTGTTGCGCTTGTCAGTCACCTCCCCGTCTGGAATCCGCATACGCTTCGTGGCGCTTTCGGAGTGCACGATCAAAGCACCCGGCTTGATACTCACTACATTGCGTTAGTCTCTTCGGCTCGCAAAAGATGGTCCACGTTACTTGCCAGAATTCAAGTGCTGCTGAGGCCAGACTACCGCCCAGGGTACCGGCAAAAGAGCCATTGTGCACGAGAGTGAACCCGCCAGCGACGACCTGAGCGCAAGAGGTCGGTGTGGCTGCGGCCCAGGCCAGGGGAAGGAGAGATAAGGCTGTGATGAGCAACATGCTCGCTTGCACAAGACTGTAGTTGAGTAGAAGAGAGAAAGAAGATGGAGTGGAAAAGGATGGGAGAAGGGAGACGAAATGGTGCCGGATTGCTTGCCTATATATCAATAGATGTTGTGTGAATAGCCTCGAGGTTGTGCTTCGTTTACAATCCAGACACGGGTGCAACAGTGGAGGCACAATGCTTAGTGATGAATTGCAGCGCCGCGGAAGACTTGGTAGCAGATCATTATTGTCCAGGCCATTAGAAGGCTCTTTCTGGGCATGTATAGGTCGTAGCAAGTCGGGCAAAGTACGGAAGCGAGTAACTGACGTCCGAGTAGAATGGTAGAGGCAACAAGCTGCGGCCAAAAGCGGAAGGTATAGTCTATATTCTCTCGCTTCGAAAGACGTTATTTGAGACAAGGAAGTGCAACATTCATCATCAGTTCCTCGTTGCTAGCGCGAGGTTGATGAATAAAACACAGTGCTGTTGTTAGGCGAGCTGCTACGCGCAGCGGCCTTGAGGGCAAGCGAGAGTGGCGATCAAACAAACGACAGAGAGGATGAATTGTCATGTCAGGTGGCGAGACAATATGATGACTACTCCCTACCCGCGGCCCGCGAGCGACCTCTGACACTGGAGACGAGGGAGACTGTGCAGGCTCGAACTTAGCCACCTCGATAGTTTTGATTGTCATCTTTGTGGGAGAACAAGCACTGCATAATGCTCCCTCACCACTGAGTCGAAGAATCGAACGAGATCTTTGGAGGTGAAGGGCCTGTCAACTGATTGCCCAGTTTCCTTGCGGAATGCCTCAAATCTCTTCACCCAGGGGCACTGATGGTAACGAGTGGCCGGAGCGCCCGACCCAAATTGAAGCCGCGTCGACGATCACGAGCTGATGATGCAGTCATGGACAGCTGAGTAGGAAATTGTATGCTCGCTCAATGAGGGCGTCACAAGATAAGACCGGCCGGACTCTGATGCCGTTGAACGTTTGATGAAGACGGTGGTGTGATAAAGACGAACGTGTGATTGAGACTGACATCTGACGGAAACGAACGTCTGATGGAGACCGCGTGTGATCGAGGGACGGCGGCATCGACATTGACAGAAGCGACAGCGATCACGAGCATAGCAAGATCGACTTTGACGCGAGCCGCCTCGATGATCACGAGCTCCGTCACTTCGACTTTGACACAAGCTGTCGAATGTGCTGAGCTTGCTCGACGACTTTTTGCATGAAGCGCTCACCGACCCGGTTCCTAAACTCCTCGAAGTCGTCAGGCCCGGGACCGAAGTCGAGATGCTCAGTATCTCGTCGGCTTATACGAACGGAGCGTCGTGCTTGTTTGAGCACTGGTATGCTCACTTGGACCATCTCGATCATCTCTTCAGCCGAGCAGCAGCTCCTGTTCAAGTCCAGGGCCGCCATCATGCTCCCCTGACCACGTGTGAGAGCCGACCTCACAACCCCACCAGTAGTCAGCCCGGTCATTGACCTCGTAGGAGACCCAGATGTTCTCAATCAAAGTCAGAGCTGTCTCGAATTGCGAATATCTTGCCGTTGTTGACCAATGCTTGCAATACCGGCGAACAAAGCAACGGCTGTCTTCGTCCGCAGTTTCCACCGCTGCCAAAAAGACGGGCAGAAGGACCTGCTTTTGCATCATTTGCGTCACCCGAATACATCGGATGTGGTCGAGGACCGTCCTGGAGAGATGTTGTATTACTCTTAAGCCAGCTGCGTCCTGATGGGAACGAAATACCCTCCGCGAGTAAAGGAGAACCGAGCATCGCCATGCTTCCACTGTGTGAAAGCGGTCTATTCTGTCCTCCGGATCTTCATCACTGGCTTCGACTTCCTCAAGTGACGTGGTGTATTCATTCGCCCATCCCTTCAAGTACGCCACCAGTTCGTCGACTTGCTGCATGTCCAGCGAATCGTGCGCTAGTGGTGTTTGTTTGAACACTGCGGCAGCCTTTGCGAACTGTCGCATAGCTTTCATGAATGCGTAGGGACAGCCGTTGAGCGCGAAGAAGGTGCGTTCATCCATACCGTCGTCGACCATGAGGGCATCGACATAGGTCTCGGGCATGGTGGGCATCTCGCGAGAGATGAAGGCGATCGTGGTGTCCCACCTGTTTCCAATCAATATATCTTCGGACTGTACCCGAGAGGCTCCGGGAGGACTCACCATAGCAGGATAGCCAGCTGCGCGCGGAGACGTCGACTATTGGTGAATATCTCCGCGAAGTTGAGGCCGTCGAGGATGGTCTGCGCGCCTTTCAGGTGGACATTCCAAGACCCGAGGGCTGATTGACTGATCTGCTGGCGAGTAAGTGCTTCGCCAACACCTGGGGAGAAAACCAGGATGGCCGACTCACCTCAAGATTGACCAAAGTCAGCAGCGTATCGAGCAGTAGCGGTCCTCTGGAATCCGTGAGCGCCTGGCTGAATGCGTGAATGGCTGCCGATCGGTATTGATGCGTCTGTTGCTCCAGTTCTCGACAGTCCTGCTGTTTGGCCAAGTGTTGGAATGAGAGCGCGAGGGTTGCGTGTAGTACTGAGTCTGAGTGGCGGTATGTGTCTCTGAGACGGTAGGGGTTGTAGGGGACATCGCTGCTCAGCGGTAAAATGCAGAATTCTCTGTCGACTACTCGCAGTCAGTAGGCTCATTGACGTGATTTGAGGCGTGTATGACGCACATAAATCTAGGATAGGTTCCATTCTATGGGCAAGGTCGTTGAATAGTACGCTCGAGGGAGCGGGTGAGCATGCCTGCCCGAACTGGACTATCTCCATGCCCGCTGCGTCGAAGGAGTCGCCCTCGACCAGGCTGGAGGACTGCATAGGCGTGAAGGCTTCCGGAGACGTGCTTGTTTCGGCGCCGATTGGAGAAGAAGACGGGCTCGACATTGCGGACTCTTCAGGCTGATCGTGCGCATTCTCCGATGGGCGGCATCGATGCCTGGGCGCACCTCCATTGGTCTTTCGCTTCGATCTGACACCGCCTCCTGCGAATCTGAACCCATGTTTGGGGGTCGCTTTCGTCCCAATATGAGTAGTTGCAGCGCGGTTCTGCCATCTCAGATCAACAGCAAAACCAGCGCATTGCCGGTGGTCGTTGATGCAGGTTCCACATCGCGGTCGCTGGCGGTCGCAGCGCTTCCCTAGTTCCTGGCACGTGTGGCAGTCGACTTTTGCAGATCCAAGGGAGTTTGTACGACCAGTGGGAGCTCGTCGCTGTGACATTCCGTGTACATTGTCGATATTGAAAGGAAATCAGTCGAAATCTTGCGATAGGACGTTGTGAGCTGTGTTGGTGGGGAAGGAGCAGGATCCGCGGCCTGGCCGATGCGACCTCGGACTCACGGGGAACAAGAAACATTTTGTCACTACTCTTTCTTTCAGAGGATGAAACAATCGTCTTTACAACTCATCAGAACTACGTTGCCGATGCAATGGACGACGAAGCATCTCGAAAATCGAAGAGCAACGACGACGAATTAACGACCAACGACAAACACATTCATATCGAAGACCCACACGTTCATACATAAGATACTCTATGAATCAGGACACGGTCACTTCGGAAACCGAGTTCACGACACCGTTCGCCTTGTAATCCACACCATTCACGAACCCGTTGACATGAGCACCCGGCGTCTTCTTCACCTGCCCATTTTGACCAACGCTATAGTCAATGGCAAAACTGAACTCGTCCCTCCAATGCATGGCCCAATATTCATCCCAAATGGCCTTCGTGACCGGTCCGAGCTTGCCGTCCTTGACGGGCTGCCCATCGAGCGTGGTTATTGGCATCACACCACCCGCGGTCGTAACCATGAGGCATTCGTCGCAGTCGTACGCCAACGAGACCGGGACGACCTCTACGCGGATTTCAATCCCGTTTGCTCTTGCGGCATCAAACGCGCTCTTGCGAGTGATGCCTTCTAACACGCCCCGATCGGCGGTGTAGATAACACGGTCTTTGACGAACATAATGTTGAATCCAGAACCCTCCGTGATGTTGGCGTCGCCGTCGGTGAGGAAGCTGTACGTGGCGCCGCGATCGCTTGCCTCGATCAATCCGCGGGTCAAATCACCCCATTGGAGGTTCTTGATCGTCGGATCGTGCGAACCAGGCGGTGTCCGACGCACAGTCCGCGCGACGATGGCGTCGCCTCCCGTGAGTTGCATTTCAGGTGGCATGACCCATACATAGGGTTGAATGAACATGTACAGGTTGTTCTTCAGCGCGCTGGGGCTGGTCTTGTTCACGACGCACTCGCGGACGCCTTGCATGCCGCGGGTGACGATGATTTCGACAAACGCGTCTTGAATTCCGCTTTGGGCCACCATGTCGACCAATGTCTGCTTGATTTGTTCGCGGGGGATCGGGAATCGGAGTCGCATTTTGGCGCAGCTCTTCTGCAGTCGGTCCAGGTGGTCGTCGAGTCGGAAGAAGCGTCCATCCCACACGGCAGGTACGTCGTAGGTCAAGTCGCTGTGTTGGAAACCCTGGTCCATAAGAGGTATGCGAGCCTCATGGAGTGGGACGAGTTCATTCTCCACCCACGCAACGCCTCTGGCGAATGGGTTGTTGCTCTGTTGCAAGACGGCAAGACGTTTGGCGTAGCCTTGGAAGACCTCGTTCATGGTCGACATTTTGACGGAGATCTGCTGTTCAAGCACTGGGAAAGAGTTTGGAGTAGACAAAACACAAGCTGTAGGTCATGGAAGAAGTGAAAGTGATGAGCGACGAATGCTTCTTCGAAAAAAGCTGGATCTCCAGCAACTTTTGAATCTCCCTTCAACCCTGTCGGCGTTATCGGCCAACTGCATCGCCGGAGTGGAGATCTTTGAAGCTCCTACGACGGGGACGTACCGCCTGGCCAGCTCCCAGCATGTGTCCAAGATATTTACCTGTTTAGGCAGGCGAGGATGCCGGCATGTTACGAGCGGCACCACCTCCCGACCAATGACTTGTGCTGAAGTATTGCCTATTTAGGCAGGAGAGATATGGATCGTCAGCCTTATCTCTGGGGCGACATCGAGGACTCTCACACTCGATTCAGTCGGATTTCAGATGTTACCATCCAGGCTCTAAATCGCTCAGTGGCCAACTTGGTATCGGACGTCTCGTCAGATCTCCTGGGAGTCGGCCGAGTGTCTGCACCGGGTTGGCCAGATCCGAGCGGGTCTAACAATGCAATGCGAGTACCGATCGGTCATACCCGACCATGCTTTGTGGAAGGATTTTCAAGCCGAGCAACAGACGAACGTCGCGCTCTCTGTCCACTCTCCAGTATCAGCTTAGCAGTAGAGGAGAGATTATGCCTGCTTCATTGCTCCCGTCGAGTCGGAGAGCGTACGACTGGTCGAAAGAACAACTCTATAATTTCGCTAGATAACCACCCAATGCCTCTTGAACCAGTTTCACCGCTTCCTCGGCGCATCCGTACGAGGACTGATATCCTGCTCCGCCATGACCATAGTTGTGCACCACCCAAACCCCATCGATCCTCTCCTTTTCAACTCTTGCACCGCCTTCCCTCACAGGTCGCAAGCCCACCCCATGTCGCACAACATCCAACTTCTCAATGCCCTGTCCGTCCGTCAAGGCTGGACATACGGCAACCGCTCTCTTCATAATTCGAATTGCAAGGTTGGGATCGACCTGCGACTCCCAGTTGCCTTTCTGGTAAGAGCCACCGAGAACCGTCCCACCGCCGGCGGCCCTGGTCATGACGTAGCAAGCCTCGTCGTCGCCGTCGTCTGTGCCTGAGATATCAATCATCTTGCCTGCATCGTTTCGCACGACGACGATTTGACCACGTGCCGGAACGACGGCAGCATCTTCTACCCCTCCGAGCTTTGCTGCTCCCAGGCCGGTGCAGTTCACAATGAGATCGACCTTTTGCGAGCGATTGGTGAAGCGGGCTGCTTCAGAGATGTGCTTGAAAGTACCCCTCTTGAACACAACGCCATTCTTCAAGCATTGCGATGCCAGCCACGGCAGATATAGTGCTGTATTGATGCAAACAGATGTGAACGATGTTGCCGAGTCAATGCCCTCGGGCAGAGATTGCTTGTCCAGATTTCGAAACTGCAACTCTGTTAGCCGGGTGGAATATGGCAACATCGACTTCCCACTCACGTCCGGAACGACATCTTTGAACCATGGGCTCGGAGAAAGGAGTTCGGAAAACCACTCTGCCGTCGCAGAGCCAACGTCCTTGGATCGATTGTGTATCTGACACTCTGCCATCTCGTCAGTGTTGGTAGCATGCGTTCCTTGTTCGTTGCGTACCTTGGAAATGGACACCGGCCTCTGGGTGATGTCGCGCAAGGTTATCTAACGGAGCCCAGGTGTTCTTATCCCATTCAGCAGCTCGAGTTCCGCGATTTGACACCCTGAGAAGGATCAATGGCAGTCCTTGACAATGGATTGTAGATGTACGAACGGCATGTAGTTTGCTCCCGCCCATGGCGACGCATACTCGATGTCGTAGTCTCCGGGCATGTGTTTCGCGACAACATAGATTCTATAGCGCGGATGTCTCGAGAGCAGCAGTGCTGTTGTCAGGCCTGCCACTCCCGCCCTGAATAGTGAATGGTCAGCTTCAGTTACTTTTGCATTCGTTTGAGAGATTGATGGTCACTTACCCGATTACCACGAGACTCGCCTCCGCCATGAGAAAGACTTTCCTCTTCAATATCGGGGCAGAAAATCAACTTGCGAGCGCCTTCCTTCCGCGCCTTCATAGCACAGTATTGGTCTGATTGATAAAGGTAGATGTAAACGACGGATCTCGTATGCAGAGCCTCTGAGTCAAGTTGCATGCGCGGCGGCAAGGGCGGGTGGTCAAAGCGCTTGCTTTCCTATTTAGGAAATATCCTTGACGCTTGACGCCCCGTCGGCTCTCCTCAACTGAACAACATTCGGATCGAACCTTCGACAGCCATGTGGAGAGGGGGTGTTATCATGCCGCATGGCGCGCGGAGTCATGTCCTCGTGGCCGAGTCCGGATCCGGGGTAAGGATAAGAGGTCGCAAACCGGGGATCCCGCCCTCGCGGCCTATGAGGTCCAGATCACTTGACTGATAAGGTGAGGTGGGCAGATATATAAACTCTCTCAATCCGCCACAGATCTTGTCATCTTCCCAGCAGCTAATACAGCCACAGTCTTTCAAAATGGCCGAACGAAGTTCTAGCACCCTAAGCACCGTCGTGATGGACGACTTGGAGCTCGATGCCGTTGGCTACAAGCGAGAGATGCCCCGGCAGTTCTCGCCGTGGTCGCTGGGGTCGCTGGCCTTTACGCTCACCTGCACCTGGCTCGGCACGGGCTCGTCTTTGGGGATCGCCCTGACGGAGAGTTCAAGTGCCGGTGCCTTATGGTCGCTGCCCATCGCTGGCTGCATGACATTGATTGTGGCCTCCGGGATGGCAGAGCTGGCTTCAGCTTATCCTGTTGCGGGAGCCCAGTACTACTGGGCGTACATGGTCGCCGGTGACGGATACAAGTGTGTGGCCGCATTCATGTAAGTGACGGCTCAAGACAGTCAGCTGGTCCCATCGCTCACAAACCAACCAGGAACGCGTGGGTCGCCATCATAGGCTGGTGGCTCGGGAGTGCCTCGGTCTCCAACTTCATCTCGTCCATGATCCTCGAGATCGCGAGCATCTGGTATCCCGACTACGAGCTTCAGCACTGGCAGCAATACCTGATTTACATTGCACTGATCTGGCTCGCCGTTGCCATCAACACCTTTACCTCCCAATGGATCCCGCTGTTCAACAAGCTCATCTTTACGCTCTCTGTCACGACCCTTACTGCCACCATGCTGTGTCTCTTCATCGTAGCTCGAAATCATCACGCTTCGGCCGAGTGGATCTTTACCGACACCACCAATCGAACCGGGTGGCCTAGCGACGGTTTCGCATTCATGCTAGCCGTGGGCAACGCTGTTTTCGCCTACTTAGGCAGTGATTGCGGCGCTCATGTACGTATTACCTCGAATCCGCGTCCAAAACATGCGCTGATCGGTTGCCGCGCCCCTTAGCTGTGCGAAGAGATTCCGAATCCCGGCAAGAACGTGCCTCGAGTGATCCTGTACCCTTTGGTAATGGGCTTACTCACAACCTTTCCATTCACATGCAGTCTGATGTACTCAATCACCGACTTGCAAGCTGTCCTGAACACGCCGACCGGCATTCCTCTCCTCGAGATTTACCTTCAAGACACCGGGTCGAAGGTCGCGGCGTCCATCTTGCTGGCAGTCTTCGCGTTCTGCTTTTTTGGGTGTCTGACCGCAAGCGGTAAGAACTCTGCCTTCTCACTGTCGCAGCCAGCTACTGATATTCCCCAGCGACGACCTGCTCCCGCACCATTTGGGCCGTATCGCGCGATGGAGTCCTTCCATGGTCCGGGATTTGGATGCGAGTGCACCCGACCTTTAAAATGCCCGCCAACGCAATGCTGCTATCCGGAACGTTCATGAGTGCCTACGGCGCGATCTTCCTCGGCTCCACCACCGCCTTCTCCGCCATGGTCAGCGCGGCCATCGTCTTCCAACAGACCTCCTGCATCATTCCCCAAGCCATCCTCCTCTACCGCGGCCGCGATCGCATCCTTCCCGAACGCTACTTCAACCTCGGTCGTTTCGGCCCGTACATCAACGCCACGGCCGTGGCCTGGGTCGTGTACCTCGACGTCTTATATTGTTTCCCTACCGCCTTGCCCGTGACGCCGCAGAACATGAGTTTCGTGTCGGTGGTCAGCGTGGGACTCGTGGGATTTGTTGTGGCGCTGTGGTTCACAACGAAGAGAAAGACGTTCAAGGGCCCGCGGATCGACTACGAGTTATTGAAGGCGCGGCGCGAGGCGGCCATACACTCTAATCTCGAGGGCTTGGAGATAGACGAGGTGGAGTCGACTCATGTCGAAGAGAAGATGAAGTGTTGAGTCGCTTGAAGGTTGCGGATGCGAGGAGATTGAGGGTTGGGAAATATCTTGAACGGTGCGTTTGAACTGTAAGAGGCTGCTCTCCTCACCTGAGTAGGGAGCGGACCTGCTCTGGGAGTCCTTCACTGTAGATACCACAACGAGGAATCATCGGGATGGGCCATGAGTTAGCAAGGGCATTAGTATCCACGCTGGACGATCTCGATGGCTCTCTCGTGCAGCGCGCTACTCTCAACGAGAAAAAGCTTCTGCTGGAAATTATTTCCGAGTTGAGACGATTCCAATCGTCCGCCACGTAAGACACATGCCCTGAATAATAAGTCTGGCGTATAAACGTCCTTCCAGCCTCGTATTGTGGAGCTCCTTCCAAATCGGGACCGTCCCACGTGCACCCACAGTTCTGCGGAGGCTAGTCCAGAGGCTGGCCGGCGCCACCTTTTCTTCCTTCGACTCCGAGATCTGCCATTCCTCGCACGCAAATGTGTCGGCAAAAACACAATGGCGTCTCCAGACTTACGGATTGCACTGATCCAGATGCACCCGGTGGTTCGTAGGTCTCTTCTCCGCAATTGGGCTCGTCTTTGCTAAATCGTTCGTGTTCACCACCAGCCCCTGGACGCCGAACGCAACTTCGAGACGGCGTCCAAACACATCCATGAAGCCTCCACCAAAGGCGCCGTGCTGGCCGTACTTCCCGAATACCACCTGACCGGCTGGCAACCCGAAGATCCCCGATTCCGTTCCATCGCTTCCCAGGCGGACGAGTACCTGGCCAAGTACTGCGAACTCGCTCGACGATGTGCCATCAACATTGTCCCTGGCACTATTCTCAGCCTTTCTGGCTCGGCTTCCACAGGCATGCTGAACAAGGCGTACTTCATCAGCAGCTCCGGCGAAGTTCTCGGCGAGTACACGAAGACGAACTTGTGGCATCCGGAGCGCGAGCATCTTCTTTCGGGGCCAGATCATCGTGGTGCGACTACGGGACCTCATCATGAAGTTATTGATACACCTATCGGTCCGATCGGGCTACTCATCTGCTACGATCTCTTTTGGCCCGAAGCCACGAGGGAATTGGCCAAGGCAGGAGCAAAGTTAATCATCATACCGACCTTTACGAAGATGGATGACCCGTCACCGCTGGCACGGTCGTATAATCCGCATGGAGAGGCGCTTTTTACAGAATCCGCATTGATCACAAGAGCATTCGAATGTACGGCTGCTATGGTGTATTGCAACGTCGGTGGTCCGAAGGAGGAAGGCTTCATGGGCCTCAGCAGTGTCGTCCTCCCAATCGTCGGGAGGGTAAAGGGAAGTCTCAACACTGCCGACGAAGGCGTTGCAATTGTCGATGTGGATATGAATGCGCTCGAAGTGGCCGAGCAGAACTACAAGATTCGGGAAGATCTGTGCAAGAAGACGTTCCATTACAAATAAATCGATGATAGACATTCCGAAGACCTATACAATGCCACATCCTCATCGAACGAACTGCTCTATGTAGCTGTCCGGAAACCCCATTTTACGGTAATGATCCCTCGCTTTTTCCAATTTACTGAACACATCTTCGACTCCTAGCGTCCTGCCTTCAGTATCCACGTATATATAAGCCCCAGTTACGTGAAAAAGGGTCACCATCTCGGAAACATCATCAGGGACCTCCAAAGTGTGAATATCGCCCGGCGGCTCAAAGGCATGACTCCCCTCGTTCGCCCACCAATCGTGCTCGAGGTAATGCCATCGTCCGCGAAGAACAGTCGCGTGAACGGGTCCAGTGTGTCGATGGCGAGACAGAATGCCGGATTTTCGCACGCGCAGCAGGTTGACGAAGTAGCCGTGCGAAACAGAGAAGAGGAGTGGCCGGAACCAGACGCCTTCAGCCTGTGGGACCCAGAGTTTCTCGTCGCAGTCGTCGATGTTGAGGACGTCTTGAATGACTAGGTCTTCGGGGACGAAGGGGAGGGGTGGACCAATGTATTTGGCTCGTTCGTTGTCAGATCCATTGGTTGGTTTTGTGGGTTGTTCTTGAGGTTGGATTTGCTCTTCTTGAGTAGAGACGGCCATGGTGAAGGTTGATGAGGTACGATTTGATAACCTTCCGGTGCAAGGAGGTTGTTCATATACCTATTGCCATTCTCAAAAGGAGCTCCCGATATCGTTCGCCGAGGCCGGAATGGCATTTCTTTGGTAAAATCAATGGACCTGCTCTAGAACGAGGGTGTGATGCGGCGGCTACGGCGACAACGGCGGCGCGGGATCTGGATCTCAGCCTTCTGTCTCCACTCTGCCGCCCAAAGGGTTCCGTCCGTGCGCCAACGGCCGCTTAATCAGCGGAGATGGTTCGGAGTTTAATCTACAGGCATCGACCTCATCTTCCATCCTCACATCCAACCAACCACAACCCATCCACTAGAAGGATCCGCATCTCGATCGCCCATCCTCACGTCCAACAAGACCCCATCTACCTAAAGATCCGCATCTCGAACGCCCATCATGGGGGGCCCAAACCTCGAAGTTGTCAAGGTAAAGCAGCTTACCATCACCCATGAGCCCCGAAAACACTGCTAAAACGTCGCTAACACATCCCGGCAGTTCGGCATATATATCGCCTTTCCTATTTACTTTATGTACTACTTCGGAACGAATCTGGACTCACGCTTCTCCGTCCCGGACTTCTGGCCCAAGCCCGGGCAGACACACACCATCCCATTCGAGAAAGAAGACATCAAAGCGGAATTGGAGCGGTTAAAGCAAAAGAGACTGGCGGCGAGAGCAAGAAGGCTCGAGATGGAGAAACAGAACGAGGGGGTGGAGGGCGATGCGAGCACAGCGAATCAGCCAAGCATACAACCACGGCCGGAAATTCTGGAGGCTACAAAGTTGAATGAGCCGGAGAAGAGTCAGACCGCGAGGCAGAGTGGTTGGACAAGCTGGTTCAGATGAAATACACGATTTGCCGCCCCAAGTTACAATCCCTTTGACCATATCAGAAGCTCCCGAATCCAGCGCCCATCCCTGTTACACCAAGAAGAACGCCGTCGATCCAGTAAATGCCTTGCTCTGTATCGACCGCATTCTGAAACACCTCCACTCCGCAGCATGCGATTCCCGGCGGACCATCAGAAACCTCTTCCTCTCAGTAATGACTGTATTTTCTCTGATGATCATCATTCGATCTGTTCCGCCAATTTGCAACCGCAGCCAGCGCAACTGATTGAGCGGTCCTCTTGACCAAATCACATTCACTTTGCGCTCCAATTTGCCCAGATGACGACAGCACACCCGACGAAGATGGAAACCGGGAGCAGCAGCATCCAGACCCCGTCCGGAGCCACTCCCCAGTCGAGGCCGGGGTGCGCTTCGGCTTGGAATTCGATGAATCTGACACGGAGCGCCTCTTGCAACTGTGCAGTCGACGCAGCGACGAGGCGGACATCTTTCTCCATCTCGCTGATAGTGTCTTGGAGCTGCTCTCGTTCCTTGGCATGCCTCTCTGCGCGCTTCGTCTCGGACCGGATTGCCGATCTGAACATCGCCGCCGCAAACGCGCCTCCGTCGGAAATGTTGGCCAACTCTTTCCAGAACTCCTTGTCCTCCGCGATCACAGCCCGGTTACCTGCGATGCAGCGGTACAAGGCGTGATGCATGTCTCCCGGGCCTTCCTTCTCGAGAGCGCGAACGGCTTGAATCGCGTCCACGAAGCCCTCAATTTCGATGCCGCACTTCGATGTGACTTGTTCGAATCGTTGCGTGGCGAGGCGCTTCAGAGTGGGGATTTGGAAGTGGCTGGCGATCTTGTGCACCTCCACGTGCGCCAGCAAGGCTTTGTTGATCGTGAGCTCGGTGTCGACTGGATACTTATTCGAATCGTCGTCTAACTGGCTGCAGCTCGTCTTTGAAGGCTCTTGGCCGCGATCTGGAACACCGATGCCTTGTCCGTGGCCTTTGTCATCCGGGCGTTCTCGATTCGTCCCCACTGCCCCCCCTCCACGTCGATCCTCGTTCTCCTCGGCACCTTCCTCCACAACCGCGCTCTCACCGGAATTCTTCCCAGCTGCTTTCTTCACCGCACAGGCCTGACGCTCGGTGGAAGAGCTCCCCTCGCTCGAACTCTTCAATCTCACAGCATCCCTCCCCTCGCCCGCACCCTCCTCATTCTCTTCATCTGACACCTCCACACCAGCCTTACCCACCCTCTCAAACAACTCCTCCTCCCCCACCACGACATACGTCTGCCCATAGCAATATTCCAGCATGCAGCGCATCGGCTCCGCGTCGAATCGCTCATAGAGAATGCTGTCGTTCTCGTCATCCTCACAGTCCCCAGCCAGCACGGGCGACAGGGAACACACGACGGCTCTGTGCACGCGAAACTCGGCGTCGTCACGACAGTGGATGGCGATGTCGGCGTACTTTGCGTTGGGTTTGAACAGCGTCGCCATGTTGCGGAGGAAGATTTGCTCGTGTTCGTTCGCCATGGTGGGTGGGTGTTGGAGACAGACAGAGAGGGAGTTGTGCAAGGCATTGTGTTCGGCCTTATAACTGTGATGGGGGTTTGCTGTTTGTCTTCCATTTTGGGGGCCAAATGGCTGCTGTTGTTGTAGCATACGCTGGTTTGGCACTGACTCGAAATACACACAGCCTTGTCTTCTTTCAGAGTCTCGTGTTTGCCAGAGAGAAAACATAGGCAAACGATTTGTCAAGCCAGACTGAAAGACATTTACTTTGTCTGGCTGAAAGCAAAGGCAAGAATTAGACAAGGAACGAGAAAGCAGAAGTCAGGTTAGGAGTCTTCCAGTATGAGCGAGAGGAGGACAGGCAGATGGGCATTCCTGAATCATTCAGTCGCTCTCCATAGCCCTTCCGAAGATGCGGGAAAGCAAGGACTTGGAAGATATGCTTCATAGGTACGTACGTGCTACTCATTATCAAGAGCCGAAAGATCGTGAAATCCCCACCTTCCTCCTCCACCACTCCTCGCCTGATCCCATCTCATCCACCAGCACCACCTCCGCAAACGAAAGCAAAGCGCAGCATCTCACTAAAACGCCGCGCCCGCCCCATCAGCAAAAACCACATCCCCACTCCCCTTGCGCAAAGCCTCCTCCGCCGCCTGGGACCTTATTCCCGCCAGCTCCGTTTCGCGGCTCAAGCGATCCCACTCGCGCACAACCTTGCGCTTCTTCGCCTCCTTCTCGTGGATGATGCGGCGCAGCCTCTCGGCATCTTCTTCCAGTTTCGTGAGTTTGGTGCGGTCGACGATGGGCTCGGCTTTGAGGCCGCCTTCGATGGGTTTGGGGAGGTCGAGGAGGGCGGGGTGCGGACCTGGAACGTGGGGTTGGCGGAAGGAGGAGGCGCGCGGACCGGTGGGCGTGCCGTTGCTTGAGACGGTGTCTGGGATGGATTGGCCGTTGGGGCCGAAGCGTTGGGTGTGGGGATAGGTGTTTGCTGAGGAATTGCTGCTCTGGCGGAAGGGAGCGGGAGGAGCTTGGGAGAAGGAGTGACGGGGTGCAGCTGGGGGAGCGCCGGCGTTGCTTGGACCAGTGGGAGGGGTGCCGTATTCTGATTCCCGGTCGTAGCTTTCGCTTCTGCTGGGTAGTGCGTAGCTGCCGCCCCGACCGTAGCCGGGACCAGAAGGAGGGGCGCCGCCTCTGCCACCACGGATTGAAGGGCTGTTAAACCCACCTCGGCCGCCAAAGTCACCTCTGCCACCAAAGTCGCCTCTGCCACCAAAATCGCCTCTGCCTCCACCTCGGCCTCGGTTAGCGCCAAAGTCTCCACGCGAGGGCGTTGCTGCGGCGCGTGGTCCAGACGGCGGAGCAGCCGGGGTCCTAGAATGGGCAGACATGGAGACGTTTGAAGCCGATGGACCAGTAGGTGGGACGGTGGGTGTAGAGGGCACGCGGTAGCCCGCTGGGCCAGTTGGTGGAGGTCGAGAAGGTGGCTGATCGTCTGCACGATAAGGCACTCTGCGATCGTCTGTGGATGCGTAATCAAGGGATTCGGGGTAGTCGCCAGCCTGTGGAGCATTTCGCCTTGGTTCGGGGGAGCGAGGGCGGTAGGGTTCACGATTGTCGTATTGGTCGCGGGCAGCCGGTCGAGCAGTTCTGTCATCGACGTGTTGCAGTCTGCTCGGATGTACGGGCGGCGAGGATCGGCGGGATGTGCCTCCTGACCGATCACCATTTTCCTGGGCAGCGTAAAAGTCCTGTTGTCTGGAGAATCGCTGCGCAGAGGGAGACCGCGGGCGTCTCCACTCATCTGCATCCCGTGGATCGGCCCTGTCGTTTCTCGGCGGCGTCCTAGAGCGTGGAGGATAGTCACGGCCTGGCGAGGGTCTTCTCTCCCTCGAATCAGGCGAGAAGCGGCGGCGTGGAGGACTCGACGGCCCCGAAGGTGGATAGTCATTGTATCTCCCTCTCGGCGGCGAGTCGAGCCTCTCACGTTTGACAGGCGGCGGTGACCTCTGATCCCTATTGCCATACGGCGACGGCTCACGGCCTCGCTTCAACGGGCCCGGGCTACGGTCTCGTTGGCGAGGCGGCGAGCGCGCACCAGCATAGCCTCCGGCCCGATCGTCACGATAGTTCCTGTCATCACCGTATTCCCTGCCATCTCGAACCGGCTCTTTCCTGAATAGGTCATCTCTTGGAAGATCTTCTCTTCGCAGCGGAGATCGCGGACGGGCTCTGTAACTGTCTCCACCACCTCTCACATCCCGATCGCGAAAGCGTGGAGAAGGACTCCGTCTGCGGAAATCATCTCGCCTGGGAAGAGGACTGCGGCTTCTCGGCCTTGCACCGCGGTATGAGTCGCCGCCGCCAAAGTCGCGTCGGGGAGGGGATCGCGCGCGATAGCTGTCTGATCGTGGAGGAGGGGTGCGTTCGCGTGCGCCACCAGGCCGATAGGACTGACCACGGCCTGTACCGTACTGATCTTCAGGAGGAAAGTCGAGAGGTAATCTGTTTGAGTGAAGTGTTAATGCTGCATTCTGCGTCCAATTCAAAGTCCTTTCGCGCTTGAGTCCTCAATCTCGCCCTCTTCCAGCGAGGACGGTCTCGGCTTTCGGCGGCTCATAGTGATATATGGATGTGATCCGTTGACAACAACCAAAGGTTGACAGAATGCCAGTCAAACGTACCTTCTGTCTCGATCACGATCACGGTCCATCTCCAAGTCTAGCGAAGCACTCGCGACTTCCCCAACAGCAGCACAAATAAGATTGTGCGAGGCAGGAAGTGCACTTCACAGGTAGTAGCGAAGGCAAGTCATGAAATCGTGGAAAGAAGTCGGTTCGCGCTCGAGAAGTTGACGGAGGAAGAAGTTCTGAAGTTGACGTGAAGTTCCAGCCGAAACGGGAGACTTTTTGCTTGGCGCTGGACCAAGCTTTGGACCCCGGCTTTCACGTGCCATCAGGCAACCTCACTTCACCATCTCCTTTTGCCACGGTTGCTGTACTCGTGCACCCACAACCCTTGTGACCACTCCATATTCATTGCAAAGTCTTGAATACAGCCCTGGCAGGACGACTATGATCCTCCGTGTCGATATCCCACGCTATGCATCCTCTTCGAACTCCAGTTGCATGCCGACCTCGTGGTTCACTTCGATCGAATACGCTTGATCGCACAATCCGTAAACTCCTCCTTGACCAGTCCGTCCGTTTCCATAGAACAATCACTCTTCCTTCCTTCCCTCCTCACCGCCTCCGCTTCTCCCTCTCCGCATCCCGCTTCTGCCTCTTCGCACCCTCCTCCGCAATCATCTGACTCAAATCTTCCTGATCCACAACTCCCTTCCACCCACCCACACCCTCTTGGCTCCGCTGCAACTCGTACTGCCTGCGCAACTCATCTTTCGACAGCTTGTCATCCCTCTCCAGCGCATCAGCATCAAGCGACACCTCCACCTCGCCCGCCTTCCTCTTTCTCCCTCGCTCATCCCTCTCGCCCAGAATGGCATAGTTGCTGTTGGGGCGAGCTTGGTTGAGATCGTATGCGCGCTCACCTCCAAAGAAGCCTTCGGCGCGAATATTGCGTTCTTTGAGTACCTGTCCCGCGGCGCGGGGATGATGCGACTCCTCCGTTTCCGTGCCTCTTCTAGCCTTGCGCAGATTGAACTCTTCCGCCATGCTATGCGTTCCGAAGTCGGTGGGAACTGTGCTTTGAATGCCGCCGGGAGTTTCCATGCCACCAAAGGGTGTCTGTAGTCCAGTCGTCGCCGCGTCGTCGTCTTCCTCTTTCTCGTCTCCCTCCTCGTCTTCATCCTCATCCTCCTCCACCTCTTCCTCTTCCACAAACGGCTGCAGTTCACCCCATAGACTCTTGTCGGCGACTTCAGGCTCCACGTACACCGCTTCATCGTCATCTTTCTTCTTCGCATCCTCTGCCTTCTCCTCGCCGTTTCCAAAGATGTCGCCTCCCCAGAGTGGTTTGCCCTCCTCATCCGTCGGCGGCTTTCCAAACCCGCCCGGGTGGAAGCCCCAGCTAGCACCAGGGGGCGGAGGAGCGTTCAAGCCGGGAATCTTGATTGCAGGGTAGCTTGGCGGCGGTCCGGTTTTCTGCATGTTAATCAACCAGGGCGGAGGTGCGCCCGGGGGCATGTTCAGCGCTTCCCTCAGCTCGTCCGATAGATTTCCAGGCCGCTGGCTTCGAGGCTTCGTCTCACTCTCTTTGCCTTCGTAGTACACCTCTCCATATCCCGTAAGCTCCGGCTTCGTCTGCCGCCGGAAGAAGGCTTCGTACAGCTTTGTGTAGTCAATGTCCAGCTTACCCATCTTTGGCTGCACGCGCTCCCTCTGCCTCTGCTTCAGACTCGCATCGGCTTGCTTCTCCAGGACCGCATCGCGCATCTCGCTGATGCCCGTTTCGGCGATGAACTTGGGCAAGGCGAAGCCTGCCTTTTCGATTCCGCGTTTGGAGCTCAGGTATTCCCGCTTCAAGCTCCAGTGCGTCGGCACTGGAACCACATTTCTGGCACACTTGATGTTGACGAGCAGTTTCGGGTCAGAAGCAGAAATGTCCGTCCAATCCACAATATCCGGCCTCTTCACAATAGCCTTGAGTTCCGCAATCGAGAGCTTGCCGGCAGCTTTGCGCGCCTTCTTCGACAATCGCTTCTGCGTCTCCTCTTCCTCTTCTTCTCCCTGAATGTTGTCGTCGTCGTCGTAAAAGACTGTCGGCTTGCCCGACTCCTCCGAAGCGGGATCTTCTTTGCTCTCCTCGCGGAACTTGGCAAAGACATCGGCGAATTGTGAGTAGAGCGGGTCGTCTAACGGGCCATCGAAGTCGACCACGTCGGGCACGTCTTGGACGGGGTCATCTTTGGTAGGCTCGACGGGCTGGAGAGGGTGATTTGCGTCGGCTTCTTGCGGGTCGGGTGTCTCGTTTGGGAGTGATGCTGCGATGGGTGCTGGTGTGGTTTCGGTCTGCGCAGGGTTAGTGCTGCCACCATTACCATGGGTGAGGTCGACACTCACAGCTTTCTTTGCTTCCTTCTTGTTCAATCGGCGCTTCTCATTCTTCGTCAACTTCCTCCCCTTCGCATTCTCTGCCTCCACAATCAGGCCAGGCATCGTGCCTGCCTCTTCCAGACCAGATTTGACGGTTCCTGCAACTGCTCTGCAGAAGCCGGAACTTCACCGTTAGATCACACAGACTAGGCCTGAAGGATGCGCAGATCCACACGTCTCTTTCTCCTCCCCCCCGATCGCGAAGCTCGGACAGGTGCTGGTGGATTCGGCGCTCGTTCTTCGTGGACTTACTAGGTTTGGGAGACCAGGAAGTGATCGAGATTGGAGGGATGATCGCTGGAAGTCGGGGTGAGAGAAGCCACGAAAGCGCGAGCTGGAGGTATCGTGTCTTCACGACAAGAGTGCGTGAAGGAAAGGGGGATAGGAAGATGACAAGTCCGATATGCGCTTCAGATGTCGATGTTGAAACTTGAGAACGAGTGACAGACGATAAATTAAGTCATGGGAATGCGAATGATTTTTTGGCGGATGACTACTTCGACTTCTGTCCAACAGCCTCCTCGTATCAAACGCCGCCCCATGTCTCCCCCTGAAAACATCACATTGATGTGATTGATCCGCCATCGCATGCCTCCGTATTCAGTCCCCCCTGATAGTTAAGGTCATGCTCCTCCCAACAAACCCATGTTGACGCCCGTGATAGCACTCCCCTTCACTCCATGACGCACTTCCTCCTCTTGTTCCTGTCCATCGATCCGAGCAGAAGCGGGAAATCAGGCTTCTGCGTGGTAGAGAACGCGCCACGGCGCCCAGTGCGAGGGTCGCGCTTGCTGAGATCGCCCACGCCGTCCTACGACGCGGCGGCCTCCTGCTCGCGCTCCAGCCGCTCCGCCTCTTCCACCAAACGCAACTCGTCCGCCAGCATCTTGATCGAAAGCTTGCCCGCGCTCAAATCCAACTCCTTCAAGCAGTCGTCGCAGATGCTGTTGCCGCGCTCGCAGTACCGGATCTTGGGCGTGCTGGGCCGCTGGCACGTCAACGCCGGGTAGAGGTTGGCGGTGCGGCAGCGGTACAGGGGCAGCACATTCCTGCAACCGCAGCCGCTGTACACTTCGGTGGTTTCGACACACATGGTGCTTGAGGTAGGTGTGTGTGTGCGTTGTATTTCTTCTTCTTCTCGCTTTCTTGTCTTGGTCGGCGCTGCTTTGGCGTCGTTTGCGCTTTGCTGGCTTGCTTTGCTTGTGGTTTCAGGGTGTGTGTTGTTCGATGTGAGGAGGATTGGATTGGATCTGTGTCTTCTGTGCGTGAGCAAATGTTTTGCACCGTGTGGTGCGAGCGGTGGAGAGAGTGGTGTTGGAGGGAAGAGATTGTGAGGGGAAGAGAGCTTATGGTGCTGTTTTGAAGTGAAAAAACTCATTGTACGACCTCACGATGATGCATGAGTTTGATTGCACCAACGTCACATTGCCTTGCGAGGAAGGAGCGACTCATGGCCCTCGCGTGAGCTCGGAATGCACTGCGAGTTCACACAATCAGAGCGGTATTCGGAGCAGAGAATGGGAGTGTATGGTCAGGTGTACCCACCTTTAATGAGTGCATGACAATCAGAGAGGGATTCATTGGACCACCTTGGTCACGTTACCTGGTACTGCTCTGGGCTATTAGAAAGACTCCAGAAGCCTGCTCGCCATGCCGCCGTCGATGCTGAGATCGCGTAGATGCCGCTCCGTCCCTATCCCTTCCTCCAATTCTCGGTAGTTCACGCGAGTCTCATCCTGCTGCAATCATGCCGAAGCAGCATTCTCAGTCTCGTATGCCATAGCCTCCTCATAAAGCGCTTTGGCTCTCTCGATGCTCTCGAGCGCAATCTGAGCCTCGTTCTTCAGCATCTCCACAGCCTCTGCATCCTCCTCAGTCGTCGGAGCCGCGGTCTGATAGCGCAAGTCGAAGTCCTCCAGCACCTTCTCGGACGCAGACGCGAGGTCGTCCTTCAACTTCTCTTCGTAGTTCTTGATCAGGGCTGTAAAGCAGGTGCGGAGTTCCTTGCCGAGCGTATCGTAGACTCCAGTGACGCCTCCATCGCCGACGAGCTTCTTGCGTAGCTCCTCCACCCGAACGGCGTGCACTCCACCCTTCTTCTTCTTCGGCTTGGCCGTTCCGGTCTTCCCAGTGCTCTTCAGCGGCGTTGGAGCAGTCTTCGCAGGCGCTGGAGCAGTCTTCGAAGCACTCTTCGATGGCATTGGATCCGCAGGAGGGACATCTGCCGCCTTCAGCTCCGCGCATTTCGTGTAGGTGGAGTCCATGATGTCGGTGATGCAAGTGTATTCGGAGCGAAGCGTGGCGGAGTTGCGAATCTCCCTGGCCTTGTCTTTCAACAGTATCTGGAAGTGCTCGGTCACATCGTCGATTAGGCCATCCCTGATTACACGGAATTGCCTAAACAGAGGCTTGGGGTTGACACCCTGAAGACCCTCGCAGGCTATGTTTGCTTGGTTAGCACGTACGCAGAACATGGCAAGAACAGGCAGTCACATACCTTCCAGCTTCCTCTCGAGGTCCTGGAACAGGGTGTTGATGGAGTTGATGAGCCCAGATTCGGTCGCGTCGAGGTCCGCATCCACCAGATTGAAACCGCCGTTCAGCTTTGCTCGGTAGACTTCCTGAATCTCGTAGTTCCAGTTGCTGAAGGGTTCATCCTTCAAAGCTTTCCATACCCCCTTGCGCCTGCAAAACGCAGTAAAGGTCGCGGCTTTGTACGTGCTCCATCCCTCAAGCTTCGCTTGAATGGCGGCCACCCACTTCGCGTGGTTCGCAACTGTAGTTTGGTTAGCATCCAGTCCACCGCCCAATCATTCAGTCAACTCACGGAAAGCTCCCCTGATATGATCCTGGTAGCTCGAGTTCAGCTCAGCCAAGATCCGCCCGACAATCGCCTCCACTTCGTCGAAGTGATTCCTGATCAACGTAGCGACCTCCGACTTCCTCTCCAGGCTCGACTTCGTCAACGTCCCGATGATGCCGTTGAAGACGCCAGGAAGGTGAACATCGATGAAGCGGCCAAGTGTGTGAGTTTTCCCAATGGCCGGCACACGGTAGAGCACATCCTGGACTTTGGGGATGCCGGTGGCCTCACGGTCCAGAATTGGGAGACTGTTCTCGTCGTATCCAGTGAGATGCTTCTGATACTCGGAGTTCGAAGTGAAGATGACCTTGAGGTCTGGCGCATTCTTTGATCCTTCCAGTTCTCGGAATTTGTTTTTCACCATAAGCTCGATGCTCCTGTTGCGTATCTCGACTGCCACTTGCTGAATCTTCATCTCCGCCTGCTTGATTTCGAGTGCGACCTCGTCTCCACGGGCTTCGAGGGCTTTGTATTCATCGAAATCAGATTCCGACTTCTTCGCCTCCATCAGGCGAATATGCTCGTGCTTCAGATTGTGCAGGCGGTCTTCGGCGTCCTGATATTGGGCTCTGTCCTCGGCGCGTAGGTTTGCGAGATCGGTCTGCTTGAACGATGTCTTGCCGTCGATGTTGGTCACGATAAGATAAGTGCTCTGCATCTTGCCCAGGTGAATGCACTCAGTCAGGTTCTTGTCGAGGTCGGGATTGTTCTTGACACGGGTGGGCGTGGTGAAGACGAAGATCGTACCAGCTTCCTTCAGGTAGTCCTTCGTCTTCTGCACAACGGTGTGATTCGTGTCGGTAACTCCAGGAGCGTCCGCGATCTTCACACCGTCATCGAGGACGTTGTTTGACAGGTGTATCTCGATCTTGGAGATGAGTGGCCAGGTAGAGACTTTCCCACGCGAGATGTCGTTCATCCCCGCAGGCCCTGAAAGTGCCGTGAAGATTCTGTTCAGCTCCTCCTCGTCTTCCGCCTCCAGGCTTTGGGTCATGTCGTTTCCGACAACACCTTTGCTCTCGAGGAGCTCAAGGATATACCCGCATAGCTCGTCAGCGAGGTCAGGCACATCCTCGCCACTGTTGTCTTCGAAGTAATCAGTATCCTCGAGGTCGACATCGAAATCCTCGCGGTCGCCGAGCAAGGTGTTGAAGAAGTCCATCGCGGTGTCGTGCTGCTTCTTCATGTCATCCTCCTCCTCTGCATCGAACTGGCCTTTCTCGCGCTGCCTCCAATTGACGACAGCACTGCAATGCTTCTCTACTTCGAGCTGGACTTGCTTAAGCGGGGCGTAACGGGCAACCACGCGATATTTCGAATTTTGATCATGGCAAGCCGTAGAGTACTCATGAACAGTCTTCGTCCCGCGGGCGCCAGAATCGCTCTCGACGGCTACGGCGGTCTTGTCCAAGTAGCAATTCAAGCCAGAGGACTTGCCGGCACCTGCAGCGCCTAAGAGTACGACAGGCTTAGGGACCGGATAGCTGGAGGCTGGGAAGCGAAACTTGGGAAGCCTGGAGTGAACGATGTGGTCGACCTCGGCGTTGCAGTAGCCTTTGTCCTTGAGAAAGGCATGTTGGTCGATGAAACGGTTGCACGCCTGGGTGGCTTCTTTCTCAGACTGCTTGAAGGATGGATGGTACACAGCAAGGCATGGACGCCGGTCGCCTAGCCACTGCTTCAAGCCTGGGACCTTTCCATCGACGATGATGATTGTAGACTTGTGCTTGCGAGATGGGGTCTTGGGTGGAGATTGAGGAGCGCTGTCATGGTTCTGCTCAGGAGTTCCGCCCTGAGATTGAGAGGCATAGGCGCTGTCGAAATTCTGCTTCTGGCGCTTGGAGTCTGTCATCACCGTTAGCTATGCTGCGGTAACTCCAGTGCGTTGAACTTACTGTGTCCAGCTTCGTCTTCTTCATCCTCATGAACGAAGAGACTGTCGGCATCGCGCTTCTTGGGCTGGTCGATGTCCATGGCGTCGGAGTGACCGCCTTGAGCGAGCGGGTCAGGAGTCGACATGGCGATGCGATAGCTGTCGCTGCTGAGCGAACTGCGGAATGGAAACGGTGCGTTGCGTTGCGTTGCGGAAGATAGAAGACAAGGGAAGAGCGGTGGACTGCGGTGAGGGAGGAAGAAGAAGAAGAAGAAGAAGAAGAAGAAGGACGAGAGGTTGGTGGATTGTAGAAGAGTGTGTGAGCAAAGGAAGGGGTATATATACACGGCCCTGCAGATAGAGTTCAGCCTAGAGTGGTCAGGCACGTGAGCATGTGAGAGCATGTGAAGGAATGAACTGAACTGAACTCACTACTTTGCCTCACTTTCACTTCCATCCGCTCACTTCAGTTCAGTTGCAATCGGCTCACTCAGCCCAACAGAGCGTGCTACCGCTCACTGCCAAAGTATCGTGCATTCGTTCACTCATCAAATCTTTCACTCACTTTCCAAGTGAAGCGAAACGCATTCGGCGATTCTTCTCCATCCGGCGGAGGCACGGGCGGGAAACCCAGACTCTCTCAGTCAGAAATACCCGCCTCCATCCCTGTCCTCCTCCACCGGCAAACAAAACTTCTTGATTCGCGGCGGCGTCATCGGCAACAGCGGCGATCCCTAAAAGCCCGCCGCGCCAACCTTCTCGCGATACTCCTCAAAAGTCCTCGAAGGGATCAACCCCGCCTTCTCCTCCCCAGCACCATCACCCCTCTCAAGCCTCTTCTTCTCCTCCCACGCAACCTCTTCCTCCTCAATCATGCCGCGCATTTGCCCACCCTGGCCCTTGTAGAACCACACAGCTCCACCTTTCCGCTTCGCAACCTCCTCGTTGACGAGAACATGCCGCACTCCACTGCCGGGACACTCGAACATGCTGTCCGCCAGCAAACCCTCCATTACCGTGCGCAGGCCGCGCGCGCCGGTGCCCATTTTGCTTGCGCGCTCGGCGACGGCCCAGAGGGCGGCGGAGGTGAAGCGTAGCTCGATGGAGGAGAGGTGGAAGAGATGCTCGTATTGTTTGAGCAGGGAGTTGCGGGGTTCGGTGAGGACTTGGACGAGTGCCGGGATGGAGAGGGAGGAGAGGGCGCAGGAGATGGGGAGGCGGCCGACGAGTTCGGGGATGAGGCCGTATTTCTGGAGGTCTTGGGGTTGCACCAGGTCGAGGGTGTTGTGTTTCTTCTTTTCTTTCTGGCCGCTGGTGGTAGAGGCGGACTCCGGGGGCGTGTAGAAGGGTAGGTGCATTTCAAACAAGTCGTCTTCGCCTTCGATGAGGGTTTCGTGCATTCCTGAGCTGCTAGTGGGAGAGGACGGGGTTCCTGGAATGGCGCGTACTGTTGCGCCAAATCCAATGCTGCCTTTGCTGATTCGGTCCAAGATGACTTTATGCAAGCCGTTGAAAGCGCCGGCACAGATGAATAATATGTTGTCCGTCTTGACGTTGTACACCTCGCCCTTTTGCCCGGGTGCGCCGGCGGAAGGAGAGGACTGCTGACCACTCGGGTGGCCCATGTTACCCGACGATAGGGGGCTGTTGGTGGGAGAAGGAGGATAGCCCTGCTGTGATGGTGATCGTCCTCCTCCGCCTCCACTTCCTCTTTCTGGTTTTGCTTGTACTTGAACTGTGGTACCTTCCACGAGTTTCAACAATGCTTGCTGCACGCCCTCACCACCCACGTCTCTTCCGACGTATCCGCCTGCGCTTTTCGACGCAGCAGCGATCTTGTCAATCTCGTCCAAGCAGATGATTCCACGCTCCGCCCGAGCAACATCGTAGTTGGCGGCTGCGAGCAGTCGCTGCACGCATACTTCGGCATCTTCGCCAATGTAACCAGCTTGTGTGAAGGGAGTGCAGTCGGACATGCTAAAGGGGACTTCCAGAACACGAGCGAGAGTTTGCGCCATTAGTGTCTTTCCCACACCACTGGGGCCGAGTAGGAGGATGTTAGATTTGGATAGAGTAAGGGGAGTGGGGTCGTAAAGAGGAGGCGGCGGTTGTTGCGCCGCACGGGAGGGACGAGGGGGAGGTTGTTGCTGATGGGATTGTTGATCACCAGCGTTCCATCCGTCTCCTCTCAAAGTGGTTGTTTGCGGTTGGCCGGGGTATTCATCTTCGCAGCGAGTACTTGTCAGCGCGGGCACATGAATGCCAAGCCACCAATGCTCTTTGGCATGATCATCTATCTCACCTTCTACGGGATGTCTGGGATGAATGGCGATTCGCCGTCTCTCCTCCTGCGCCAATAGCTCCTCTTCCTCCTGATCTCGGCGTTGCAGCTCTTGAATACGCTGGTAGTGGTTGTAGACGGCGGTGGCAAGGGTTCGCTTGGCGCGGTCTTGGCCAACGACAAAGGCATCGAGGTGTTGCTTGAGGAGGGAGGGGGTGATGCGAGGGGGCGTATAGGCATCTCTGAGAGGGCCCTACGCAGAGCTGGGTATAAGCGTGATGCAGTGTAGAGGAAGGCGGGGAAGTGTACTTCAGTAGGGCCACCGGGTTCATAGTAGCCGGTGTATGGCTGGTTGGTGAAATCGGACCGTTGATATGTGCCAGAGGACGAGGATCGAGAGGAGGTGGATAGGTGTCTGCGGATGGTGTGGAGGTTGGAGGAGATCTCGAGATAGTAGAAGCGCGCCAATGGAGACGCGGAGATGGGGGCGACGATAGACATGGCGTGCTGCATGCCGTATCCAAGAAGGATGCAACGTGGAAGAATGATAGGGACAAGTAGAGAAGGAGTAGGGTGTGTAGAGCGGAGAGAAGCACGTCGTCCCCTCACCGCTGACTGATACACACGTGCCCCGCGTGGCCCAAGCTCGCGAGACCCTGGGGCAGATGGGCGATTAGATAAGATGCCGCCTGGGGCCAACGCCGCCAACGGTTGAGGGGCGATGGCGGGACAATAGTGACGTCTGGGGAGAGCTTTGGGAAATTGGTGGGAAGAAATTGCCCCGAACGGCCTCAATGCAGGGAATACGAATAAGGATCAACTCGACGTCGGGATTGTTATAAGGCTGTCTTTCTCATCACTACTCCTCCTCTCTTCTCTCCTTCTCCACACCACCCCGTCCACTCCTTTCGCTCCACTCCAATCATGGACGCCCTCAACGAGACCTCGCAAAACTCCGTCAATGGCTCGGTTGGAAGCAACCAGATCGCTCACGATGGCACAGGTAGATACAACCATCCCTACAACTCCCTCTCCACAGACACTAACAGAACGACAGGCGTCGTCAAAATGGACCCCTACCTCGAGCCCTTCACCGATACCCTCAAACGTCGCTTCTCCAAAGCCCAAGAATGGATCAAACGCATCAACGCCAGCGAAGGCAGCCTCGAGCAATTCTCGCGCGGCTACGAACGCTTTGGCTTCACCGTAGCCCCCGACCACACCATCACATATCGCGAATGGGCTCCCTTTGCCCTTCGTGCATATCTGATTGGCGACTTCAACGGCTGGAACCGTGACAGTCATGAGATGAAGCGCAACCCATACGGTGTCTGGGAGCTCACCCTCCCGCCAAAAGACGGCAGACCCGCCATCGAGCACGACAGCAAGATCAAGATCAGCCTGGTGGTGCCGAACGACCACCAGAGGCAAGAGAGAATCCCCGCGTGGATCACACGAGTCACCCAAGACCTCTCCGTCTCTCCCGTCTACGATGCACGATTCTGGAACCCGCCGCACAAATATCAGTTCAAGCATCCGCGTCCTCCCAAGCCCGCCTCTGCACGCATCTATGAAGCACACGTTGGTATCTCCAGCCCGGAGCCCAAGGTGGCTACATACAAAGAGTTCACGCAAAACACACTCCCGCGCATCCGCGATTTGGGTTACAACACCATCCAGCTCATGGCCATTATGGAGCACGCCTACTACGCTTCCTTTGGCTACCAGATCAACTCCTTCTTCGCCGCATCCTCCCGCTACGGCTTCCCCGACGATCTCAAGGAGCTCATCGACACCGCACACGGCATGGGCATTACTGTCCTGCTTGATGTTGTCCATTCTCACGCAAGCAAGAATGTGCTCGACGGCCTGAACATGTTCGACAACAGCGATCACCTCTACTTCCACGAGGGTCAGAAGGGCCGACACGAGCTCTGGGATTCCCGTCTGTTCAACTACGGCAGCCACGAAGTCCTCCGATTCCTCTTGTCAAATCTGCGCTTCTGGATGGAGGAGTACCAATTCGACGGTTTCCGCTTTGACGGTGTGACCTCCATGCTGTACACCCATCACGGCATCGGCACCGGCTTCTCTGGCGGCTACCATGAGTACTTCGGCCCCAGTGTGGACGAAGACGGTGTTGTCTACCTCATGCTCGCCAATGAGATGCTACACAACCTCTACCCCAATGTTATCACCATTGCGGAAGACGTTAGTGGCATGCCGGCGCTGTGTGTGAGGCTCAGTCTAGGCGGAATAGGATTCGACTACAGACTGGCCATGGCCGTGCCTGACTTGTACATCAAGTGGCTGAAGGAGAAGTCAGACGCCGATTGGGACATGGGCGAGCTGTGCTTCACCCTGACCAACCGAAGACACGGCGAAAAGACAATCGCCTACGCCGAGAGCCACGATCAAGCGTAAGCAACACCCTCCCCCTTCCACACAAACCTCTACTAACGCATCTCCCAGGCTCGTCGGCGACAAGACCCTCCTCTTCTGGCTCTGCGACGCGCAAATGTACACTCACATGTCCACGCTCTCCGAGTTCACCCCAGTCATTGAGCGCGGCATGGCCCTGCACAAAATGATCCGGCTCATCACGCACGCCCTCGGCGGCGAAGCCTACCTCAATTTCGAAGGCAACGAATTCGGGCACCCAGAATGGCTCGACTTCCCGCGCGAGGGCAACAACAACAGCTTCCACTACGCGCGCCGCCAATTCAACCTCGTCGAGGACTCCCTGCTGCGCTACCGCTTCCTCAACGACTTCGACAAAGCAATGCAGCACGCGGAAGAGAAGTACGGCTGGCTGCACAGCCCGCAAGCCTATATCTCCCTCAAGAACGAAAGCGACAAGGTCATCGTCTTCGAGCGCGCGGGCCTGCTGTGGATCTTCAACTTCCACCCCACCAACTCCTACCCGGACTACCGCGTCGGCGTCGAAGACGCAGGTACGTACCGCATCGTGCTCAACACCGACAGCGCCGCTTTCGGCGGGCTGGGCCGCGTCGCGGACGAGGGGAGCCAGCGCTTCTTCTCAACGGATTTCGCGTGGAATAACCGCCGCAACTTTTTGCAGGTGTATGTGCCGAGTCGCTCGGCGCTGGTGCTGGCCAAGGAGGAGACGCTCGATCCGGCGTGGAAGAGTGCGGTGCATTTGGGGTATGATTGATGGTCTGCTTAGAAGAAATGTTTGAGGGGGCCATGCTCGCCCTTCCTTGCTTTGCGTTCGCTTGCTCGCTGCTTTGGCTTTTGGCTGGGGGGAAAAAGGTCTGCCTAACGGCCGACAGACTATGCGAGAAATGACAAGTACATAGGCACGTTAACATGAAGTCGTTGGAATTCTATCACGTTCGCCGATTTTCGCTGTATCAGGTCAGACCAAGGTAGTAACGCGAGCAGCACATTCGTGTGATAGTCGCTCGTCCCAACCAAACCATTTGTTGAAAAGCTGTAGAGGCTAGGCCATGGTTTTAAAGCACAAAGAGATCCCAGCAGATGCAGCAGATTGCAAAACACTTGCAATCCGCCGCTACTGCCGTCGATGATGATGATTTGGTTGATGCTACTGCCTTGACGACCCGAGAACACTGGACGACTCGACTGACTGAAACCCCCGGACCACACCACAGTAACCACTCGCACACGCACACGCACACGCACTGAATAAACCATGCTCCCCCATCGCATTCCCCACCCCCATAATCAAGCTAGCTTAGCATCCCGTTTTTCGCTTTTCCTTTCGCCTTGCCTTTCCTTGTCCTTTGCCCTATCATTGACTTTCAGCTGCTGGCCTGCCCAGCCGGGGTTCCGTCGTCGATTCCAGGTCGTGATGTTGTTGTTCGAAGTCGTAAGTGGAAGATTCCTCGCCATGTTCGGTCATGGGGTTGGTGAAGATGATGCGGGATGGCGGAGGGGGTGCGCCGGCTCAAGCCGGGCAGTCGGCTTGCATGTGGCCGGGCTGCTTGCACTTGTAGCACACGCGCTCGCCGCCTTCAGCCGGGCACTCGCGCGACAGATGTCCGATCTCGCCGCCTGGAGAGATGGTTAGCAGGGGTGAGAGAAGACTGGCTGAAGGGCAGACTCACAGTTGTAGCACTTCTGGCCCTGGGTGCAGTCGCGGCTCATGTGACCGAAGCCACCGCAGGAGTAGCAAGTCATCTCGCGACCACCAGCACCGCCGGCGCCGCCGCCATAGCCACCGCCGTACCCGCCGCCGTAGCCACCACGACCGCCGCCGAAGCCGCTGCCGCCGCTGCCGCCGTAGCCTCCAGACGGGCAGTTGCGTGCAATATGGCCGATGTTACCGCACTTGTAGCACTCCTGTCCGCCGGAAGCTCCGCCGCTGGCGCCGCCGAAACCGCCGCGCTGCTGGCCGCCGCCGCTGCTGGGGTTGGTGCACTCGCGAGAGAAGTGGCCGGTGCCACCGCAGTTGTAGCAGGTCTGCGACGGGTCAGTAGATGTATGTGAGCGGTGGCTAGAATGAAGACGTACCTTGTCCTTGGGGACCGTGCAATCACGCGAGAGATGGCCGGTTTGGTTGCAGTTGTAGCAGGTCTGGGTGCAAAGTCAGAGAGAGGGGTGGTTGTGTGTGAGGGGTGAGAGCGACTTACCGGAGCACCCTTGGTCGGGCAGTCACGGGAGATGTGAGTGGTGTCACCACCTGGAGATGTGTTAGTTGCGGATTCGCGAGGCCATTTGGCTCAGAAGAGCACAGAAACCCAGCATTCCTTCACTCGAGCGTCGCAAGCTGCCCAGAGTGAGGAGTGCAAAGCTCAGAGCTGGAAAAGGATGGCAGAAGACTTACAGTTATAGCAGGCACGGCCGCCGGAGGTCGCTTGGTAGTCCATTTTGAGTGTTGTGGAGATGTTCGACCTTGATGGAAGCTGTCAAGTGTGGCTGTTTGGGAGGAAGGTGGAGCTTGGAGTAAAGCAATGTGTTGTGAAGGTTTGTGAGAGAGGAAGTTGTTTGCTGTTTCGGAGAAGATCCCGAGGAGTTTGGTGAAGGTTCTGCGGGTTTCTTCGCAGAGGCAAAAAGTCAGTGAAGGATGTGTCGTTGCTTGGTGATGACGATGCCCCACATGGAAGAAAACGCACGGGAGGCGAAAGTTTCGTGGAGTGTGCGTGCGCTGCGCCAAGCCTTTGCTTTAGCACCGCAGAATCAAGGCCGTTGGTGTCAAGCAGTGACGGATAACACGTGATTGAACGGTCAAAGAGGACGCAAAATGACGATTAATGATCACAAATTCAGTCACGAGGTTGTTTAGCTTTTCTTGCTCGTTAACGCTGGCTCACTCGTCACTTCACACCGCTGTGAAGCACATCCTCGTGTTTCTGCATTCGTTCACTTCCACCCGTCGCCTTGTGGGCTCGTGCGTCCAAGCTAACATCGGACGCTAATGTACGCCTTAAACTCTACCGACTCCACGTGGCGTTCGATGCTTCGTCCTCTCGGGCGCCCCGGCGCGTTTGGCTTTTGCGTGTGCGCCATGCAGACGGAGAGATGATGCTGTGCAGAGCGGACGCATCTGCTTCGAGATAGACGCCAGGTACATTCCTCGACCTGCATGTACCTCGGGTATTCTATGTGAAGTCGTACACCACCAGGGCTTGTCGGCCTCCACTCCGCTCCTTCAGCACCACGACTTGCTCGTCATCGAATCCAATCCAGCCTCGTGTTAACGTGAGCTCGGCGGCGCCATCTTCAGTGCCGTCATCCGCTTTATCCGGCGCTGCAGAACCGACGCTCGTCAGGTCAAGACCAGCCTGCGCTGCTTCATGCATCACGCGCTTTTCGGCCCGGATCTGAACACTCAGCTCACCAGAGGCAAGCCTTTTCCTCGCCGCAGTAGATGCAAACCCGCCTTCCAGTTCCCACACTCGTAGCTCATCGCCACGTCTGCTGACCGATACCGCTTTCCCTCGCGCTGCGACGTGTGCCCCCGACACTGAGGATGTGTGTCCCCATAGCCGACTTCCTGCGCTAATGCATAGAGATTCGGTGTTCGATGTGACCAAATACAGGGTCAGCGTGTTGTCGGGGTGCGATACGAGAAGGTAAGGGTGTGTGTATGACAAGGACGTCGGCTTCGAATGGATGTGCCTCATCTCCATCATGGTCGCCGTGGCCAATGATCCCGAGACAGGAAGAGGCAGATGCTGCATCATCGGGGGCAGGGAGAAGGCCAACGGACGATAGTGCTGATCGATGGCCGATGCGAGGCGTGAGTCGAGTAGCTTTCCAGTGAGGTCCAGCTTCACTTCTTGTATCCCAACCGTCCAACCTGAGAGATATGTAGGCAGCGCGTAGGCAATAGATATCGTAATGTTTCGTTCAGATTTCCGTAGAGACGTCGATAGCGGTGGCCAGACGTTATGCGATTTTAGCGAGTAGAGAAGCCGTGGCGGGTCCAACATCTCTGTCTCAGCCTTGTCCGCCTGTCGTGAGAAGCGATAGAGAGACATGAGGTGCGTTGCCGTCATTGTGACAGCGTATGGGTATGCCACAGCGACTGCAGACACGACTCCATTGGACGATGCCTCGTGGCCGTACCGAGGAACAAACTTCTCCTCATCGACCTGCAGCGCGTACATGGCGAATGCTCCGTCCTGAAATCCGACTAGTAGGGTCGAGGTAGGCTCGGGATGTTGCTGAGTATCAATAGCCAGCGCGGTTGGGGGTCCATGGTCCTTTTCAAAAGCCCGCTGTGCAATGAGTTTGCGCTCGCCTTGTGCCGTCCACGCTCGTAGGCCATCCGTTTGATCAGCCATATAGATGATCCCATCGTGCATCTGCACGAGCAACGGGGGGACAGCAGCCTCCTCGGCGACTGGAATCTCGTTCACCGCACATGTGCCTTTTGTCCAATTGTGGCGAAGCTTGTACTGTCTCTTCCAATTCGTCTTCCGTCCGCGCTCCACGAGATGTTCATCATCCAGCCATCTTGACGCTTTCGAGGCAAAGTGAAGACTGTGACTGGAGTCATCGAGCTCTTTCAGGCCGGGTAATCGACTAGCACGAGGGCGGACGAAGCGGTTGTAGTAGTGCGACTTCCATATTTGACTGTCTCCCGCGAGCGTGTGATATTTGGAGGACAGTCTACCATACGGTTAGCAGATATTCTGGGTCTCGCGCGAGAGGCACCACTTCAACTCACCTCTGACAAACCGCCAGCTGCGATACTGGTAGAAAGGCGAGGACTCGGAGGATTAACTCATCGCTCAGCTTGGAGAGGAGGTCATCGGTCGACGACCGCGTGCACTTTGTCGGTCGCTCTTTTGCAGCAGCCTCATCTTCTTCTTCTCGCGACCTCTTCCCCATTGCGCCGATGATGCTCGAAATGATGAAGGGCAAAGGAATGATATCACAACCACGAGACTCAACTCTTTGTTCATCGGCTTGGCGTCGGATGTATCTCGGGCTTCTTTCGGCTTAGCGCGCTCCTCGCGTCTACCTGGCGAGCGCGCTCCATCAACACCACCTCGAATGCACATCTCTGCATTCACAATGTGGATGTTCTCAAAGGATGGCGGACCAAATGCAAGACTTTGTCCCAGCAGAGGTCCACCAGAGTCTGGTGCAGAAGTACAACGAGCTGTATAAACTGTACAAGACGTTGTCTGCGGAGCATGCGAAATGCGAGCCTCATATCAAGAAAGCGAACGACCAGTACACGGCCGCCAAAACAAGTGCGCGGGAATGGACCAAGTACCTGGAGTCAAAGGGTTACATTCCCAAGAAGGACGTCTCCCCAGCGAGAACGTCAAGTCCGAGGAAGGTGCCGAATGATGAGTCTGCAAAGGGAGTGACTTCGAGTCAGACTACCGAGGGTGAACTGGCCGATTTCGAACCAGAGGATGCTGCAGCTGTTAGCGACGACGAACCAGAGATTGTCTCTGAGCGAACTATCAAGCGAAGGAAGCCCAATCCACCCACGGAGATGCCACAAGCGGTCAAAATCAAGCTCGAGCCTGCATCACCCAGCCGTCCCATTCTTGTAAACTCGGAAGGCAACTCGAGTCCCGTTCGCGAACAACGAAAGCCCGTTCGCGTGGAGACTTCGGATCTGGATGCGATCAAGGGTCAAATGCGAACGCCTCGCAAGCGGAGACCAAGTCGAGCACAGTCCGAGGAAACTACACGACCGCCTATACTACTGCCCAACACCTCCTCTCTTTCCGAAAGCAACCTGGCGGATCTCTGCGATGATCACGACGCAGCGGTCACGAAATCGGCAATCAGCGATGAGGGCACCGCCATAGCACGGCGTGACTTTGCTCGCCGTACTGGTTCTAACTTCGCTGGTGAACAAGTCTTACGACAACGCGATCCTAACATTGCGAATGGGCCGCGGAAGGATGACGACCGGACCAGAACTATGAATAAGCGGAAGCGCGAGAGCCGGCGCACGGGCATTCTTTCCGAAGATGGCGATGATCATTCGAGCCAGGTCGTGCTTGAGGCCCCCCAAATCAAGACAGAGACCAGCGCCGACCGACGTCTTGACGTCCTTCTTGACGATGCTTTACCCGAGAAACAGCCATTACAACCAGCCAAGACCAACACGAAACCTCTGCAGCGTTCAAAACCCTCCCCAGTACCGGCAGGACTCACGTCTGCCACCGCAAGGACACCACCAGTTCGTCAACCGAACACTACACCCAAAATCCCACACAAGGCTACACCACGACCCCCCTCCCCCAAAGCCAGCGGACCGCCCCTCCGCTCCCGCTCCCCCAGCCGTCTCCGCTTGGAAGACTTCAAAATCAACCCCAACTACCTAGGCGCAGCCCACGCCTTCGCAGACCCCATCCGCGGCCGCGAACAACGCCGCTGCCTCCCCGGCTGCATGCGGCCCGAATGCTGCGGCGCCGCCTTCCGCAGCCTCGCCGAGCTCGGCGCCCTGCGCGACTCCAAAACCGACGTGCAAGTGCTGGAAGAGTACCTCGGCCCGGAGTTTGCGAGCATCATGGGGGCGTACGGGCCGGAGAAGCGGCGGGAGCTGCTGGTGCAGGCGCGGGCGTTTGCGCTCGCGAATGCGCATGGGAAGCATCGGAATGCTTTTGAGAGGCGCGCTACGCCGCCCGGGTTTTGGCGGACGGATATGCCGAGTACGCAGGAGGAGGAGGAGGATCGGAGGCGGGCGGCGGAGTTGGAGCAGAAGCAGGTGGAGGAGAGGTGGGCTGAAGCGTTGCGGGGGGGGAGGTGGATGTTTAGGGATGAGTAGGGTGGTGGTGTTGCTGATTGGCAGAGAAGAAACGTGGGCGGCATGGCTACTGTCGAGCGTGCAGGTACGGATTCATTTAATGTGATGGCAGCGTCATCCATACAGGTTCAACTATTAATGACATGGAGCCCGAGTCTTGTTGGAAGACAGTAAAATAATCCTCGTGTAACCCTCTGGGTATCCCGCTAAAGCAAATTAAATCCCATCGCTCGCTCGAAAACAGACAGATACCCGAAAGCACGTGACCGCCTTTTTACCCATCCTGTTGCATGAGTGACGACACACCAAAAAGATTATCAGCAACGAAAAATCACTTCATCGCATCTCCCCGGGATACCACCCGTCAAACTCGCCCACCTTCTGCCTCAGCGCGACAAGCTCGTTCCGCAACGCCGCATTCTCCCGACTAAGCAGGGAAATATGATCGATCGCGCCGTTGAGAATCTCGCACTTGCTCGGCTTGACGCCGCCCTCGCTCGCACTAGACAAGTGCCGGCTGGGAGCGGCGAGTGCAGGCACGTTCTGCCGCAGCTTGTCGAGGTGGGCGTTGAGGTTCTCGCGGTAGCGGCGCTCGACGGCCGTGTGCGGGATGCGGGCGCGCTTGTTGCCCCGCGATTTGCTGGCTTTGGTGATGGCGGGGCCGGAGTCTTGGCTGGTCTCGGAGGGGCAGATGAACATGTCTGCTGCCGGGGAGTCGACTTTGTAGATGGTGGTGGTGCTGGGTGCGGGAGTTGCGGCGTGCATTGGCATTGGAGTGGGGCTGGGCGTGGGGCTTATGCTGCCGTGGGAGCTCTGGGGACTCGCCATGGGGCCCATTGTGCGCCGGGATTTGTTGGGGAGTTGGAGGTGGTCGGAGGGGATGGGCAGCGGGTTGAAGCAGGAGTCCATGTCGTTGAGGTAGCTGGAGGTGGAAGGCGTGCCGACGGTCTCCGGGTCTGAGTAGGCGTCGTATTGGCTGTAGCTGAGATCCGGGAATTGCTGCTCTTCGCTGGCGAAGAGGCGGAGGTCGATGTGCTGGAGGCTGTTGAGGTGGGATGGTTGCGTCTCGGGCCATTGGTGGGTGAGCATGGCCATGGGGGGCATGCAATCGCCTCGCCAGCTGGGCTCGTCGTGGAATGTGCTGGCGGCAAAGTCCGGGCGCCGGTAGGGCGACGAGACGAACGTGGACATGGCACTCACGGGGTGAGTGTGGGATGTGGATGGGGTTATGTTGCTGCGAAGAGAGAGATGGTATGACGAAGAGAGAAGACTTGACTTGGTAGCGAAAGCTGGATGAGAGGATTGCTGGTGATGAATCGAGGTGTGCTCTGACTTACTTCCAAGCACGCCAGAGGGGGGAGAGTCGTGGGTATTTTATCGTTGCTCTGCAGCCCCGCGACCCCTCGCTGAAGCTACCTGCACAGGTCATGGACGGATCAGCCAAAAGGTAAACGGTGACATAAGGCTGAGAGACTTCGAGGCTAAGCAGGGGTGGGCCCAAACATCAGCTTAGGCAAGGCCCCAGATTAGCACCCGGTGGAGGAGTGTAACTTTGGCGCTTGGCAGGCGACCTGACCACGGCACGCTGCCATTCGCCGCGGGCACTCGCGAGGACCTGCATCCCGCCGGTTCGAGTGGCCTGCGAAGAGCGGATGGTGATAAGGTTGGACCTAATGGCGCCGCGGGACCATTCGCAGCATGTGAGCGCTCGCCAGGGGTCGTGGTTGCACGCGCGATGATGCCATTCGCAGGACACCGCCCCTGGGCCACGCTCATGCGTCCTTCTGGAAGGAAAGAAAGGCGCCGAGACTAGAAGCGAGCCAGAACGTTCGAATGCATGCGTTTTGCCCGGAAGAGGTTTAGAGCGAGTGCCCGGCGGAGGGAGGCGACCAGGGTGGATGGCGTACCCCGCGGCGCTCTGGTACTAGCGTGGTGGTTTCCCTTTGCCTGTACCTTGCCTCGCCGGCCCACTGCCGGATCTGCGCTGCCATCCTCGACATGGGGAAGAAAGAAGCGACACATCCAGACCGATGCAGCAATGATTGACACCTGGGCGCGAGGAGATCAGCGCTGCTCTATCTCGACGTCTGCTTTCTTCGTCACACCCACCTTCAGCATCACCATCATCATCATCGTCATCACCGCTCGATCCAGCGTCACATGTCGTCGGGGCTACACCAACGCCCTCGGGCATACCTTACGCACGAGTCGGCCCTTTGGTCAACTCTAAGCGGAATACGGGTGGCAGCATCCAGCAGGTACGCCAAAAGTGGCGTTTCCCCCTCGAGAAGGTTTCGATCTTGGGCGAGCTCCGGCGGCCAATCACAGCTTTCCGCGGGGTGTCAGCTTGTTCGCTTTCCGCTCTAGGAAGGATGCCGTGGCTTGTCTCCAAACTCTCCAGTGGATGTAAGCGAGGTGAAGGTTTCACGTGCTCGCTGGTACTTGGCAGGCAGCGCAATCTCTGGTAGAGTCCCCTCTCGTACGTCCGTAAGGATGATACACTTTTGGTCCGTGGGAAGGCTTTCACGTTTCGTCGGTAGGGAGTAGGAGTGCACACTTCGTCCGAAAGCACCGGATCGCAACGGATGCGACGTCGCGCAAAAACACGTGCCAGGCCGCCAGATGAAAAAAAAGGAGGCAGCCGGTAAAGGGAAGGGAGGGGAAGGCCTTGGCGCTCGTTGTCTGCAGCGAGAGGTTGCAGTCCGTCAAGCGCGTCTAAAAAAGGATGCTGCAATTGGCCGAATGGTCACCTCTCATGCACCCCTTCGCGGCAAATGGCAGGAGAGGAGTCTCTATCCTCGATTGGTGGTGAGAGCCTATTTCCTTCAATTAACCCAGGTTTACTGTGGCAGCTCGTATACGGCGCAAGCTCTTCGTATACAGCCTTCATGTGCTATCATTAGTAGTGCTCGTTTGGTTGAGATGTACGCTGCGCCCGTACTCATCGCACTGGCGATGTAGCGGTGACCTTGCTATTTTTTCGGCCGGCTTCAAGTCTTCCACATCCCGTCGCTCATAATAAACATGTCTCAGCAATGTTCAGAATAGAGTCGGGTTGGTGGAGGGAGGGTTTTGCTGGTAGGAATGAAATCACCGGGCGTCGCAGTCCTGGGGATCGCCGAATCAGGCAGGAGCAAGCGTCGGGAAGAGTTCACCACTAGAGTAAATAAAGCGAAAAAGGGCAGACGACGAAAGGCCAATATCTTTTTTACATACATGTACATGCCTGCATTAACTGCGAAAGCGAGCGTCCTACCATCAATCAAGAGGAGGAATAAGAATCGCCAGTCCCGTTCCATCCACCCCCACCACCATTCCACCCGCTCTCGCCGGCCGCATTCATAAACACCTTCAGCAGAGCCGGGAAGTTCGGAGTGCCTAAGCCAGTGGCTGGATCCCAGCCAGGCGACGCAGGGAAGCCCTGCGAGCCGCAGCCCGGGTTGGTGCCGAGCGTAATGTCGTGGAAGGCCTGGGGGTTCTTGTAGAGCAGCGGCTGGACGAAGCCGGCGGGGCTCTTGCCCGCCTTGGTGAGCTGCTCGTTGATGAGCGTGATGATGGAGCCCCACGTCGGCGCGGCCAGGCTGGTGCCGTAGAAGTCGTAGATGGTGCTGTTGTAGAAGGCGGTGTAGTTGGCGCCGTTGGAGCTGACGTCGGGAATGCCGCGGCCGGCGCGGTTGTAGAGGCCGCCGTTGGCGCCGACGTTGCTCTTGTTGGAGAAGATGTCGTGGCCGTTGTACGTGTAGTATGCGTAGTCGGGGACGTATTTGTCGAGGTAGTTCTGCACGGCAGAGTCCTGCCACGACGGGCGCGGGTAGTAATTGCTGAAGCCACTGCAGGGAAAGAGTTAGGAACATGCCGCCAGTGCTATCGGGGGGATGAGATCGACTTACCCAGAGCTGGAGAAGATGGCTCCGCTCGTGTAGTTGAACATCGGCTGGTACATCACGTGCTCGGGGTCGTTGATGGTCTCGTTGGCGTATAGCTGCGTTGCGCCCACGGCAAGGACATACGGGCAGTCCGCAGGGAAAGGCGGCATGAAGATCGGGCCGCTCTTGCCGACCTTGTAGTCGGGGTTGAGGCAGCCATTGTATTTGTTGGTGGGGCCTTGGGAAACGCCGTAATCGCCAGAAGCAAAAAGGATGGTCGAGCCCTGGAGAGACAGCTTCATGAATTCGTTGCAGCTTCGCTCAACGCCCTTTTGGGGGTTGTAAAGTTCGGGCGAGCCTGATGGCTACAGTCAGCAGAGCATCAACGAGGTCCGTGGAGGGCTTTCTCACTATAAGAGACGGAAAGGACGCGAGGGACGGGGACGGTGCCGCAGTTGAGGCCGTTCTTGTGGTCCGCTTTGGTACAGAAGGAACCATCGATGGCTGTGACGGGTCAGCATTGGAGGAGCATGTAACAGTGCACCACTGGCGAGGAACGTACCATCCAAAAGAGGCGTCACAAACGTAAGGTCGTTCTGCTGCTCGGCTGTGTAGCCCCTCGTCCTGAACTTGCCAACCGAATAGAGCGTAGTGACCTGAGGGTAAACGAGCGAAATGGCAATCTCAAAGTCAATATCTGCTTCGTCGCCAGCGTCGATCGGGGGAACCAGACCAGGGCCATGCTCGATCGAATAGACCGTGGGGCCGGTGTTCTGCGGGACGTTGGGTGCGAATTTGTTGTAGAATTTGTTCAGATCCGACTGGCTCGGGGCCTGACCGCCAAACTCCGCGATACCGAAGTTGTTCGCGGGCGTATTGATGGTGTTCATGGGAATGTCATAGAGGGCTCTTTGGCAAGCTGGCGTGATGTTGAACCCACAGAGCCGGAGATCCGGTGGCAGTCTGCCGGCAGCAGCGGGAGAGCTGTTCGGCCCGGGCAAGTGGGCAAGCTTCTTCGCAGGTCCAGTCGTAGGGGCCTGAAGGTACTGGGCATATGGTTGCGCAGTCGTGTCACGGCGTGTGATAGATCGCTTGTCCAGAGGTGGTGACAAAACAATGCCCGGCTTGATGTAGTCGACCAAGTCGGAGATGTGAGAGGGCAGGGAGTATCTTCAGGTGCGTTAGCGTAGAAGGTGTGATCACGACATCCAACCAACTCACTCGTCACATCCAATCCTCAGAGAGTCATCATGGCCGTGATGCTCATGGTACTCGGCGCCGAGGAGGTCTTCCGCCTGCCACACAGGGATGTTCGCACCGACCCACGCTCGGTCCTCAGACTCGCCAATCAGCTGGGGGCTGATGCCCGCCTCCACCAACCACGCCTTGACGGCTTCCAGGGACGAAGCAGGTGGGGCAAAGAAATCCTGCACCTGCTGCTTGGTCCAATGCTTGCCTGTGGACACATTAGGCTTTTGCTACGCTGTGTGTATTCACTCCGTTCGTACCGTAGTTGGGGGAGTCGGGGTCAGAGACATCCATGACGACATCGTAGCCACGGTGGAGGTTGGTCTGCTTCAGAGCAATGCGGATAGGAATCACGGCATGTTCCTCGATCCTGGCCCCCTTGATCGTAGACAAGCCTTCGCGCTGCTCGTGCACCACGCGTTTTTGGTTAAGAACGGGAGAAGCAAAGGTAGTGGAGGCGAAGGTCGCCAGAAGGAGCGTATTGAAGATCATCTTCGCCGGTTGCCAACGACCGGGGCAGTATTAACGAAAAAGTGTGATGATAAAAGCTTGAGAGTCTTGGAAGGAAAAAGAGGAATGCATAGGCTGTTACCCGCTCTACATCTTATACCTGTCGGCCCTGTAGGCCAGCCCTGCAGGCATGGGAAATGGTGTGGCGATAGGCGTGCACTGTATCGGTTAGGTTCAGGGAGGCAGACAGTACGACCTGCCCTTTCCAGGCCATGGTGCGAACAACCTCCCGGCCATCGTGAACGGTCGGTGCTGGGATTCGCTGGTGCTCTAATTTGGACAAGGAGGCTTGCTTGCCGTAGTGCGAAGGGTTCATGCACATCGCTTGCGAAGTCCTGCCTCCATCGCATGGCGCGAGAGGTTGACATGAAGTCGGCAAGCCGTAAAGCGGCTGGAAGCTAGGGCGGCGCTAGGCGGCTCGGAGATTAAGCCGCGGCCGTGCGAGATTGCCCAACGTCGCCTTGCGAGCCCCTACCTCCTCAGCAAAGGAGATTTCATAATCGGTTCAGAGTCCACTCGAGGGGTTGCGATGGGGTTGCGGGGACGTCGATGCGCCTTGACTAAAGCCCTGCCTCTTTACGGCGAACCGAAGAAGCATTCGCCAACCAGCCATGGCAAAAGCGTGTATCCTGGTGGCAGCAGCATGAAACGCGGTTGGTAGTGAGGACAAAGGCCAAGGGGCTTGTCGACCGGGAACTCTGGACCTCATTTCTGCTAGACTCGGGCGATAGATTGATGCCGCTTTCGCCGGCACGCAAGCCTCAGCACCCTTGTCGAGCGTTGGCGTTCATAACAAGACTGCATACCGATGAGCGGCCAGCTTAACCCCCACGATACGTTGCACTGAATGAAGATCATACCCCGGGATGTGGCGTCAGACTGTGAAGCTCGGTGCGTGCAAGGCCGCGAGCGCGATAGCTAAAAGTACTGTAATTTTGTAAACGAGCGTAGTATTCGATGCCAGTCATGGCTGTGCTCGTCGACGCAATGAGTCAAGTGAACGAGAATGAAGCGACTGAGCCAGATGCGCCACGCTTCGCCTACATCCACCACGTCTCTATTCCTGTCGGTGAAGTCCGTGCCGTTGAATTGACTGGACCTCGCACTTAACAAGATCCCGAAGTGTCGCTCACTACGCCCTGTTGAATAGCCAACTCCTCCTAGAAGTCGAAGTGTGATAATGGGTCGGTGGGAACCGAGCCTGACGCGAATAGGCTCGAATACCTCTTGGAAGTTTCCTGCTTGTTTTCGACGTCTGCCAGTTGAGGCCGTTGAGCGTGTGGACATTTGTGCCGTTCCCCACAAAGCCTTGAAGAAAGCAAAGCCTGGTGGAGAGGAGGCAAGCGTTGCTTTGGCTGGTCTTTTAGTGTTCTCAATGGTAGAGTCGACGGTGTTGTGCTGGCCACATATGGCAGGTTCAACGGCGGTAGTGTTCTCGATGATAGACTCGACGGCGCGGCACAGGCCACATCTGGCAGGTTCAAGGGCGGCAGTGTCAACCCTTCCGACAAAGGAGATTCTCGCGAAGGAACGGCTGCGGAATGGCCTGCCTTGAACTGTTCGCTGTATCGTTCCCATTCGGATCTGAAGATAGTTGAATCCAAGTCCGCAAGCCCGCGTTGCGGCGAGTCCATGCGAGGCATTCCAGAACTGGCATCTGACATTGAACACGCCAGAGTATTTGCGTCTGGCTTCTGCACTGGTGGAGGTGTGCCCGCGTTGCCGGCCCTGGTATCAATTTCGAGAGCCTCCAGCATGGATGACAATGGCGAAGTTGGTGTGAGACCAAGAGCCGGCGGCTTCTCGGGCAAAATAAGAGCATGTCGTGCTTCTGTCCGATAGGCGGCCGGGAATATGCTCCGTGGCGTCCTCCGTGGCCTGTCCGAGTTCACTGAAGACGCATCGTTCACTGAGGCCCCTTGGACGGAACTCTGGTAGGTCAACGTCCCGGCGGGAGAGACACCGGCCCATGAACCTGATCGAACCGGCCGCCCGAGCGTTGACGTTCCGGCTGGAGATTGCTCTTGATATCTCTGAGACCATCCTGGTGTTTGCCGAGCTGTCGAAGCGGGTGTCTCGCTTCGAAAGTCCGACATTTCGAGGTCGTCATCACCGACGGCGGTGACTGAGTCGCCTACCTCTGTCCTCGAGAATATGTCCGGGAACAGGTCCACTTTGACGGCTGGATGGGGCGGCTCCTGGTTCGGTGTTGCAAGACCTGTATCTTCGAGGAGCTTACCGGCTGAATGATCGGCCAGACTTCGATCGAGCATTGTAGACTGCGAATCAAACCATACCACAGCATCGCGATGGGTTTCAAGGAGCTGCGGACACTGGACTGAGCGTGTAAGAGTCTCTTGTCTTGTGCTGAGCACGCTGTCCAGCTGCCATCTTCTAACATGCCTGTAAGTGGATTCATTTGAACTCGTGATTCCTCCACTGCTGAACGACCCGATGGATTGAGGCGGGTAAAGCACTGGCGCATCTGCCCCCAGGGCTAAGACAAGGTTGAGCTCTCCGTGTACAGGGTGGTCGGGTGCGTGTGGATCAAGGGCATCTTCAACCGCGCTGGATGCATCGAACGACTGTCGCGGGACAGTCTCGACTGGTTGGGATTGATTGGATGAATCAGGATGTGCTTCTCCGGCTGCTCGGGATTGCTTGGATGTATTCTGCTGTGATCTTTCGCCAGTAGCCAGCGGGCTTGAACTCTCCTCCTCTATGAACAATATTGGGGACTGTGGAATTTCCTCGCTCTCGGATTGGTCCAGTATTGGAGACTGTGGAGTATCATCGCTTGGAGATCGGTCCGGTTGCGGATTGGGTGCAGACTCTCGCGATCGTGACATTGATTGCGGCCTAGGTGCAGACTCTCGCCATGGTGACTGTGATATTGATTGCGGACTAGGCGCAGACTCTCGCGATCGTGACATTGATTCCGCAGGCTGCGATGGTTGCATTGGCTGCGCCGTGGAGTCTTGTCGTGTATCTCTGGCTCTACCTTTGCCTTTGTTGTCGGCACTGGGCAGGAAATCCTCGTCCTGCAACGATTCAACTGGCGCTTGTCCCACTTGTTGTCGCGCTTGCTCGACCTGTTGTCGCACTTGCTCAAGGTAGTCGACGCCCATAATGTCGGGATCAGAGACAATGGCTCTGTATCGACTTGGTCCGGCTTGTACTTTTGCACCGCCAGCAGGATCCTTTGGCGCGGGTGCTGCCGATGCATTTGACGGAGAAAGGTCTTTCGTGGCTGGCGTGGTCTCTGTCTCTTTCGACTTTTGTGCAGTCCTGGTTGCCTTCGCCGTTCGCGCAGTACCCCTGATGTCCTTCGCCGTCCGCGCAGCCTCCTGATTTTCCGGGGTCGTGGTGTTTTGGGGCTCGATTCCCAGATCTCGCCGACTGTCCAATCCAGCAATCTTTGCGGCAGAGCACACCAAGTCCCGACCAATGGTGAACGATCCGACAGGCGTCTCAAAAGTGTAGCCCTCTTTGGGAACGGCAAAGACGATTTGTTCTCCGCGCCGAATTTGCTGACATATGAGGTTTTGCATGGCTTCGTCTGCCTTGCCATTGCGGACATGCCGAGTGTATGCTGCCTCCATCGCTACCGTCACCCATCTGCGGTTCTTTTGGGCGAAATCGGCCCAGACCCGGATGAATAGCTCACGTTGTGTGACGCTGATGGGTATGTCGTACCTGTAAGCCAACGCGGCTCTGTATTGCGGATGCATGTTGTGTAGTGAATGCTGGGATTGGGAGAAGATAAGGTAATGAACTGAAGATCACAAAACTTCTTACACTGGTAGATACACGTAGGAAAGACGTTGGAAATGCGGGAAGGAACACAATCGCGATTGACAGAAGGTGGGCGTCGGCATATCGCTATTGCTGGCCAAGAAGGTGAGGAGATAGAAGAACAGAAAGAGCATGCACTTCTTGCAGGCAAGTATCGTTCACTGCCGCAGAAGCGCAGAGGGCGATGGCCGTGATGGAAGCACGAGCGTATTGAGGTGCTCGTCTCATGAGCTGGGATTCCACAGATCGAAGCCCATACAGAGCCTTTGGAAGTGTATGCCTCGATACAAACGTGCTCATCTTTCACTTTGTTCTGCTGCTGGCGAGCAAAGGTGAAAGAACGTTCGTGGGGACGAAGTGAGGAAGTGCAGGAGGCTGGCGCTGGCTGGCGCTTACTGGTGCGCGGCGAGTGGGTCAATCGGCCCGAGCCTTTGTTCCCAGCGCGAGACAGGAAGCTACAAGCTTCAGTCATCTCCATACCCACGACTCTCCGCCACCTCCCTTACTCTGCCACTACAACCTGCTTGCATTGTCGCTTGCATATCGGATGCTGTGGAACTGGACCTGAGATCCAAGATCTCCCTCACCTCCAACAGCCGATGAGAAGCAAGGATGCTGCGCACCCAACTCCGCCTATGCAGTAGACGACTGGGCTCTGGCAGACCGACTGCCAGAAGCTTCTCCGACCTCGCCCAGCATGCCCCCCGAACCGCACTCATAGCCAAGAGGAGGGAGCTGGGCCTCACACATTACAATGCCTTCACCTCGCAGTACCGCCGCTATGCTATCGCTGCCGAAGACACCGACAAGGGTGTCGACCCCTCCGACTCCTTCCTCCAGGGCAATACGGCCAACTACATCGATGAGATGTACATGGAATGGAAGCGCGACCCGTCGAGCGTGCACATCTCATGGCAGTACTACTTCAAGAACATGGAGAGCGGCGACATGCCCACCAGCCAAGCCTTCCAAGCGCCACCGACCATCGTCCCATCCTCCACTGCAGCGACGGGCGCGGCGTCTACCTCTGCTGTGATGGCCATGAGCCAGGCGGAAGGCAACAGCAATGTCATGAATCATTTGAAGGTACAGCTGCTCGTGCGCGCGTACCAGGCCCGAGGGCACCACAAGGCGGCCACCGACCCGCTTAGCATCCGGAACCAGGCCAAGGGCGTGGGATATGACAGTCCCCGAGAGCTTGACCTCAAGAACTACAACTTCACCGAGGCGGACATGGATCAGGAATTCACCCTCGGCCCTGGCATCCTTCCACGTTTCCATACGGAGAACCGCACGTCCATGACCCTCCGCGAGATTATCGAAGTGTGTGAGCGGCTCTACTGCGGCCCCTACGGCGTGGAGTACATTCACATTCCCGACAGAGACCAGTGTGAGTGGCTGCGCTCGCGTTTGGAAATCCCAGATCCGTACCGGTACTCGGTGGACGACAAACGGAGAATTCTCGATCGCCTCATCTGGTCTTCTTCCTTCGAGGCCTTCCTGGCCACCAAGTACCCCAACGATAAGCGCTTCGGTCTGGAGGGCGGCGAGTCTCTGATCCCCGGAATGAAAGCTCTCATCGACCGCTCTGTGGATTATGGTGTCAAGGACATCGTAATTGGCATGCCGCATCGTGGTCGCCTGAACGTGCTGTCTAACGTTGTTCGCAAGCCCAACGAGTCCATCTTCTCGGAATTCGGCGGCTCTGCTGAGCCATCGGACGAAGGCTCCGGAGACGTCAAGTACCATCTCGGAATGAACTTTGAGCGCCCTACTCCATCAGGCAAGCGGGTGCAGCTTTCCCTGGTCGCAAATCCGTCGCATTTGGAAGCCGAGGATCCGGTGGTACTGGGAAAGGCTCGCGCCATCCTTCATTATAACAATGACGAGCAGACCGCCAATACCGCCATGGGCCTATTGCTACACGGTGATGCAGCATTCGCCGGCCAAGGTGTCGTGTATGAGACTATGGGCATGGCTGCACTCCCCGCGTACCAGACCGGAGGTACGATTCACATCATTGTCAACAACCAAATCGGCTTCACCACGGATCCGCGTTTCGCACGCTCTACCCCATACTGTTCCGACATTGCCAAGTTCGTGGATGCGCCGGTCTTCCACGTCAACGGAGACGATGTGGAGGCGGTTAACTTTGTCTGCACACTGGCTGCTGATTGGCGCGCCGAATGGAAGACGGACGTTGTCATTGATCTCGTCTGCTACCGCAAGCAAGGCCACAACGAGACCGATCAGCCATCATTCACCCAGCCTCTCATGTACAAGCGTATTAGCGAGCAGCCACCCGTGCTCGACAAGTATGTCAACAGCCTCCTGGAGGCCAAGACGTTCACCAAGGAAGACATCGACGAGCACAAGAAATGGGTGTGGGGAATGCTGGAGGAGTCGTTTGAGAAAGCCAAGCACTACCAACCCACTTCCAAAGAATGGCTGACGAGCGCATGGGATGGATTCAAGTCGCCAAAAGAGCTTGCCACCGAGGTGCTCCCGCATCTTCCTACTGCTGTCGATGCCGATACACTGAAGTCTATCGCCAACGTTATCAGCCAAGGACCGAATGACAAGTTCAACGTCCATCGCAATTTGAAGCGTATCCTGGCGAATCGCGCAAAGACTGTCAACGACGGCAAGAACATCGACATGTCCACCGCTGAGGCTCTCGCATTCGGTACGCTGTGTATGGAAGGCCATCATGTGCGTGTCTCTGGGCAGGATGTGGAGCGTGGAACGTTCTCCCAACGTCACGCCGTGCTCCATGACCAGGAGTCCGAAGAGACCTACACTCCGCTGCAGCACGTCAGCAAGGACCAGGGGTCGTTTGTCATTACTAACTCCAGCTTGAGCGAGTACGGCGTGCTCGGATTCGAATATGGTTACTCGTTGTCTTCCCCCAACGCACTCGTGATGTGGGAGGCTCAGTTTGGTGACTTTGCAAACAATGCTCAATGCGTCATCGATCAATTCGTGGCCTCGGGAGAGGTCAAGTGGCTGCAGCGATCTGGTCTCATCATGAACCTGCCCCATGGATACGACGGGCAAGGCCCAGAGCACAGCTCCGGCCGCATGGAGCGCTTCCTGCAGCTGTGCAACGAGGATCCTCGCATCTTCCCCTCCCCCGAAGCATTGGACCGCCAGCATCAAGACTGCAACATGCAAGTCGCCGTCATGACGACCCCGTCCAACGTCTTCCACATCCTGCGCCGCCAGATGAACCGTCAATTCCGCAAGCCGCTCATCTCCTTCTTCTCCAAGAGCTTGCTCCGTCACCCGCTGGCGCGCAGCCCGATTGAAGACTTCACGGGCGACAGCCACTTCCAGTGGATCATCCCAGATCCCATGCACTCCGAGCAGTCCGAGTTCCAGATCGCGCCGCACGAAGAAATCGAGCGCGTCATCCTCTGCTCCGGACAAGTCTTCGCCGCGCTGTTCAAGTACCGCCAGCAGCACGACCTGCGCAAGACGGCCATCACGCGCATCGAACAACTCAACCCCTTCCCGTGGGCCCAGCTGAGGGACAACCTCGACTCCTACCCCAACGCGAAGACAGTCGTGTACTGCCAGGAAGAACCACTGAATGCCGGCGCGTGGTCCTTTGTGCAGCCTCGCATCGAGACGCTCCTGAACAACACGAAGCATCACGATCGCAAGCACGTCATGTACGCCGGGCGCAATCCGAGCGCCAGTGTGGCTACCGGGTTGAAGAGCACGCACATGAAGGAGGAGCAGGAGTTTTTGGAGATGGCGTGGAGCGTGACGCAGGACAAGTTGAAGGGACAGTAGAGGGTTGGAAGAGGCGGGGGTGAAGTGGTGACCTAGCAATGATCGGACCTGTGGTGTGTAAAGTTGTGGAGGGCAGCAAAACCTATGGAGTTATTTTCTATTATCCTATGCTACTACGAGCGTGTGCCTTCTCTGTCGTGCTCAGAGTATTGAACATTTAATTGAATGCCGAGAGTTTGACGTACGACGGAAAGCCGGTCGGAAATCTCGACGTGACTGACAAACGCTAGCGCGCGTCAAACCTGACCAATCAGAGCGCCTTGAACTGATCCTCCAAATTTATAACTGTGACATCTTGGGAACACTTCCTGTCTTCGCGTTCCGACACCGCCGTTCCGACCACGATGGATGAGCCACCGGCGAAGCGGAAATTCGATGGCGCCCCTTCTGGCTCCAAGAAAGCGCCGAAGTTGGGCGGCGGAGGAGGTGGAGGAGGCGGAGGAAAGATGTCCTTTGCCGCGAGGATGATGGCGAAAATGGGGTACGAGGAGGGCAAAGGCCTGGGAAAAGAAGGGGAGGGTATGGTGAATCCGATTGAAGTGAAACTACGACCACAAGGAGCGGGTGTGGGGACTATCAAGGAGAAGACGGCGCAGTACAAAGAGGAGCAGAAGCGCGCTGCGGAGAGACGAGGAGAGGAATACGAGGGGAGCAGTGAGGAGGAGCGCAGGAAGCGGAAAGAGAGACGCAAGAAGACGCAGGGACTGGCGAAGGCGGATGGCGGGAGTGGTGCTAGCACGCCTGGTGGTGCGCGACGACCGAAGACCAAGTACAGGACTGTCGCGGACGTGCAAGCTGCTGCGCCTGGACTGGATGTGCCGCCGCAAATGCTGAGCTCCATTATCGATGCAACAGGCAGCAGTACGAAGATGCTCACGAGTGCTGCTGGAATCATGGTGCCCGCTTCTGCACCTGTCGACTCGGAGGCAGAGAAGATTGCCAAGCGAGAGAGGCTGGAGCTGGAGGCTTTTATCGAGGCATGGCATGGGATTCAAGAGCAGAAGATTTACATTGAGGAGCACGGCGGCCAGCATCAGATCGAGCTCGACCAGAAGATGGATGAGTTGAAGCAGCTTCAGGCCATCACTGAGCTTGTTGAAGACCTCAAAGTTGTTGATGTTGTTCCTTCTACGGATAACGATGATGCGCCCTCGCCATCTCCCTGGGAGATTCTCATCGACAAGCTGGAAGCACTGCAGAACAACCACAGACACGAGATTACACGCCACGGACTTTCGGAAGCCGCCATTGCAGCCATAACACCCAAGTTCAAGCAGCGACTAGTTGACTGGGAGCCTCTTCAGAAGCCAGACAAACTGGTACCCGATCTAATGCGGATCAAGCCCATCCTAGGACTTGATAGTCAAGACGAAGTGGCAACGACGAACGGCCATGCCGACCTGGACGAAGCATACGGCAAGACCAGGAGACAAAAAGCGACCTCTGCCTACGAAACGCTCATGTACACCATCTGGCTGCCCAAGATCCGGAGCGCCGTGAGAGAATGGAGCGTGCTCGACAGCACACCCATGACGGCGATCGTGAAGGCTTGGCGTTCCTTGCTGCCGCCTTTCATCTACGCGCATCTTATCGACCAGATGATAGTTCCGAAGCTGGTTGCCGGTCTTCAGCAATGGGATCCTCGAAAAAGGAGTCACCATCACAAACACGGTGCCATCCGGAACGTGGCCCCTCACACCTGGATCTTCCCCTGGCTGCCATATCTGCCTCCGTATCACCTAGACGCAAAAGCATTAGAGGGCCTGCTCGTAGAAGTGAAGCGCAGGATCCGACACGTGCTCGACAGCTGCGACATTTCTTCTGGCCTCCTAACCGGCCTGAACGAATGGCGTGCATTACTCCAGACCGAGCTCAACAGCATCCTCATCAAACACCTCCTCCCCCGCCTAGCACTCCACCTCTCCGCCAAACTCGACATCGACCCCTCAGACCAAGACCTAACCCCCCTAGAAGACGTCCTAAAATGGACCGAGCACTTCAAACCCGAAGTCTGGGCGCGTCTCCTCGTCGCCGAATTCTTCCCCAAATGGCTCTCAACCCTGCACCTCTGGCTCACGACCGCCGACGCAAACTTTGAAGAAATCGGCCAGTGGTTCACGTGGTGGAAGCAGCAGATCCCCGCGACTCTCAGCGCCCACCCCGAAGTGGCGCGCGAGTGGACCAAGGGGACGGAAATGATCAATCGTGCCCTCGACCTCCTCGAACAGGACCAACCGCTCTCCCAACTCGCGCCCCCGGCCGCTGGGCCAGCGAAACCAATCGCAAAGGAGATGGCGAAGAAACTCGACGCCCCGGGCCCTGCGGCCTCACGAGCACATCACCAGCCCGAAGCGACGGACTTCAAAGAAGTCGTGGAGGCTTGGTGCGCAGAGGAAGATCTGACGATGGTGCCGATGCGAGAAGCGCACCCGACTACCGGGCTGCCGCTTTTCCGCATCACCGCCAGCGCGACGGGGAAAGGCGGTGTGATTGTATTTTTACAAGGGGATGTGTTGTGGGGGCAGCGGAAGGGGGATCGCGGCGTGTACGATCCTCTTGGACTTGGGGAGAAGTTGGTTGAGCGGGCTGAGGGGAGGTGAGGAGGTGGTGGTGGTTCCCCCTTCTTGGCTGTCGATGCAACCGGGAGTCTAGTCTGTGTTGCGTTTCTGCTTTGTCGAAAGAGGAAGCCAGCCGGACTGGACTGCTGCTTCCAAAGGTCAGATCCATTGCTTTTCCTGACGCCGAACTCGTGCGTGGCTCAGCACTGGCTCTTTGCTAATTTTGAGGATGGAAGATAGGGAGTGACATGGAGGGTGGATGGATGCGGCACGAGAATTATAGCAGATCGGACGGTCTGCAAACAGACGTGCGACATGATTCACAGCCAAACTCATTACATACCTACATCACTCAGATCACGACAAGATCATCTACAAAGACAAGAGACATACACCCACCCAAATCTTCCTTCGCAACGCGGAACGCTGGGAACAGGCCGCCGACCCTGGCACCCTCGTCATTAATTCGACTCGACCAACCCCCCGTCTAAAGCGCAGGAGCCTCCCACGTGCTTCGCGAGATTTTGAGCAAATTGCTCTGTTTGTGCGGAAAAGTGACTTCGCCGGCCTTGTGGAAGCCGGCTTCCAGGGCGTAGTTGAGTAATCTGCGACACATCGTTAGCATGCTTGCGGGAAGACAATGGGTTCGAGCATGACATACTTGGTATTATCCACCCTCGGCTCCATCACCACCTTCTGCGTCCTCATGTCCGACAGCCAGCAGTAATGTAGCAACGCAGAGAGCCAGACTCGCACCCGATGTGGGCCGCGATATTCCTGCTCACCCACTAACAAATGGAATCCGCGATCCCAATCGCCCGCATCACCGCCCATAAGCGCTGCAAGCTTGTCTTCCTTCAGCCAGTAGACTTCAAAGAAGCCAAAGGGCCGGCCGTCGAAGCAGCCGATGACGGGGAAGGAGTGTTTGCTGGTGAGACAGGCCTCGAGAAATTTCTCCTGCTTGTCAATGGGCCCTTCTTCGCCCCAAGAGTAGGCTACGCGCGGGTCGTTCATCCATTTGTGCAGGAGTTCGACGTCCGTCATGTAGGTGATGTCGTCGGTGGGGTTAGCGGTAGCTGGGGTGCCTTTGAGGTTGAGGCCTGCGATGCTGGTGATGGTGCTGTCCACGTGGCGGGGGAAGCGGATGTCGGCGCTGTGGCCATTGATTGAGGTGGGTCCGCGATGGACTACCGGGTTCTTGCTGAGGCTTGCGATGCGGAAGCTGAGGTATTGGCCCAGACTGGGGATGTAGCGCGTGTAGATTGTTTCGCCTTGCCGGGCCGGCTTGGGTCGCACGGGATGGCGGATGTGGTTTGTCAGGGTGTATTGAAGCGTAGGTGGAGGGTAGAAGGTAGGGAGGTGGGAGTTTGATGTGAAGGGGCCTGGGGGAGTGTTGTGACGTTTGAGTAGTGGAGGCGCTCCGATTGGAGGAGTAGATGTTCCTGAGCTGGGGAAACCCTCGTCGCTTCGTGGCGCCACTGCCATGCCACCGGGCTGACCACGTGTCGGACTGGCCGGACGTGAGGCCGCGGGACTGATGCTGGGGTAGGGCGAGCCGGGGTGTTGCGGACTGAGGGTGAAGAGGTAGATGCGAGGGTCGAGCTGCCAGAAACTACGGCGACTGACGAACATCTTGGCCCAGCCTTCGCCAGTATTACTGACACCATCCTCCGGATCGAGACCGACGGTGGAGTCTTCGGATGTGATCAAACCCATTCGTTCCAATTTGGGCAGCAAGTGTTTCCCTTTGAAAATACCCTCGCGGTTGATATGCACAATCCACTCTCCTTTGGGTTTCCCGTCTTCGGGAGTGTTGCCAGAGGCAAAATTGTGCAGTTGTGGTGCGGGTTGGGGCTGGTGAAAGTACCACCATAGAGTCGCCCAAAGCATCATAGCAATCTGCCTCGTCGGGCTGCTTGCCGGCTTGAATTCGCTGGTGTTGGGGTTGGAGATGCTCGAGATGAAGAGGTGGTCGTTGCGGAGACTCGGCTTGCGATAGCGGTGGATGTGATGGGCTTTCTGCGCCTGGTAGACCGCAGTGTCGTTGGTGGAGGTGTGGGCTGCGACAGAGGCAGGAAGCTCTTCGTCATCGTCATCCTCGCTGTTGAGGATGATGGTCCAGCCGGGGGGGAAGACGTTGTGGGAGGTGTGCAGCTCGTTGGACTTGAAGCCAATGCCGCCAAAGATGGGCGTGACGGTCAGGGTGTGGCCGTTGGGCAGGTGGACTATCGAGGGCGCCATGGTTGGGGAGGGTGGGAGAGGGGCATGCTCCGAGTGTGTCGAGTCTCGGATAGCACGTGCGTCGAGTTTGGAGTCGAATGTTGCGGGGAGATGCCGGTGTCAACAGTCAACAGAGACAGTGGTCCGGGCTAGCCATGACACCTTCCACGAGGGAAGGATGTACGGGTTGGATGGTGTGAAGTTGGAGGAGTTGGGCAAGATAGGACGAGGTGCAAGCCAATGGCGGGATGCAGCTGGCAGGTGACATAAGGCAACTGCAACTGCTCTGCTCCTGCTCTCCCCAGCAAGCTTTTCCTCCCCCGCGCCAAACTCTTTCCGGCCGCGCAAGCCACTCCCGCTCTCCCGCCCCCCGCGTCGAGATGCGCTGCGCGGTGGTGAGTTTAGCTGAACTAGCGGCAGTTGGACAACGCCATTCTAATCTACGCCCCCCCGAATAGGTCGACACAGGGTCTAGTCCGGTGCCACAGGAGACGGCGAGGTGCAACGAGAAGAGGGTTGATGTCCATCCGCGCTGCCATTTCGTGACAGACATCTCCACCCTCGCGGCAGGATCACCCTCGTCATCTCGGACAACTCGACGCGCTTCCCGTCACGCAATATCGCGTACACTACCTACCTCCAATCCTCCAACACCCTACTACTCCTTGATGAACGACTCGACGACGCTCTTTCAAAAGGTCGCACGACGTACATGCCAAATGCCATGATCGCACACACCACCGCCGCCACCAACTCCCTCCGCGGTGGAATTACCCTTGTCCCTGCGTGACCAACCATTGATCATGTTCAAGAAACGTCGCAAGGATGCCGCCGGCCTTCCCGTGTCGCCTGCAGCGCCCTCACATCCCGGCCATGTCGCATCCCCTTCGCCTTCCGCCGCAACCTCGCCGCACAATGCGCGAGATGTCTCGAGTCCCGGCCAAGGCTTCGACTTCGATCTTCCCTCTCCCTCCTTTGCCCACGACGGCAGACCGCAGACGAGCGACGGCATTGCGTCGAGAAAGGGAAGCGTCAGTCCTAAGCCACCCGTCTTGCCCGACATTGTACGGGTCAGCAGTCAGCGGGAGACTGGCCTGATGAATTTCGGCGAGCTCATGGGCAGCTTGGAGGAACCGGGAGCAATAGTTGGGGAAACACACATGAAGGTGGGCAAGGATGCATCTGTCCAGCCCGGAAGCAGACCCGCCGCGAACCGGAACGTCTCAGCACCCTTGAGGCCATCTGGTCCTCGACCCGAGCCTTGGAGTAAGCCAACCCCGTCCGAAGCTCTGCAAATGGAGCCGAGTCTGTTCCCATTGAAGACCCCACCACCACCGCTCGACACCGACCTGCCCATGGGTCGCGCATTCGTCGATGCGCGGGACAAGCCCTACGGCCGACCTCCGTTCCGGCCTCAACTGCAAACCACAACCAGCTCCCCCGACCTGCGATCGCAAATGCGTCCTCAAACTGCCGATCCTTCTACCACAAGTCCAATTTCTGCCAGGCCAGCCGACCCGAATGCGCGAATAGGTCCAATGCATTCTGCAGGCACCCCGTTGGAGCGGCCACCGTCGAGTGCTCCGACTAATTACAGCGGCACGACTGCGAGAAGCAAATTCTCGTCCAGGTCAACGGCCGCGGGGTCTGATGCCTTTGTTCCTACCATAGGAACCCCCTACACAAACACCTCGTCATCCTTCCCACTGCCGCAACATGTCGCTACCCGGCCAAAGAACTTGGGAGGTACCTCTACCTTGGGCGGCGTCGACGTACCCACACACCACTCCTCCTCGTCCCCCGTCGTCAAGGTAGAGAAACGCAAGACGAAACTCCTCAACCCCATGGCCCTTCTTTCTCGCCGGCGAACTGGTCAAGATGACGAGGCTCTGGCTGGTGTCCGAGCCGCCCAGGCCCAAGCCCTGCAAAGGCAAAAGAATGTCGTCACTCGCGGCATCGACAACCTCCCAGAGGGGTTTGATCCTCGAATCCGAGGCAAGGTCGTCCATGACTTCTCCGCCCCGCGCGAGCCCCGGCGCATGTTCTCCTATAACGATGCTCTGGATCCGTGGGGTGAGATGCAGCGGCGGAATAGAGGAATGCAGGAGCCCTTCACTCACTCATCGCCGGACCAGCGACATGTTTCGGAAAGCAGTCCGGGACGAAGTGTGCACACGCCAATGTTTAAAGAGCATCTCTCTGACAACGGGCAGGATGCTTCATCTGCTGCCGCCGTTCAGGCCGAGAGGCTTGAGAACAAAGCGTTTCTCAACCGCGCCGGCCAATTTTCGCCGCCAGGAGCCTTTCCACTTTTCACAAGGAAGAATCAGGATGTAGCGCCGCACGGTGCAGACAATCGTGTCTCGGGAGATCTCCCACTGCCAGGGCGAAGGGAGGCGGAACGCGACTCGCATATGAGTGCAGCAAGCAGCGGCGTCAGTCCTATCACTCAACGAAGTAGCGCAGTCGCTGTTACGGATGCCACACGGCAAAGCATCAGCAGTGCCGTCAGCCCCATCACCAATCGCAGCAGTGCTGTGGCTGGGACGGCTACAGACATCACCGGGGCAAGTTCGAGTCCTGTCTCGCCGGCGACGTCCGATCGCTATGGCCTTCCCCTTCCACGAACAGACTCGAGGCCAGCTTCAGAAGTCAGCAAAGGCTCTCTCGAGGGCGGCAGACCGAAAGCACCTGCAGAAGGAAGTAGACTCAGCGGCGCTGATGGCAAACCTCTCGGCTCAGAGTCCGCGGCGGAAGAGAGCATCAACTCGAATTCATGGCATGTCACCGCCATATCACCCATAGTGGAAGAACAAACGCCAAAGCTCGGCAATGGCTTCACTCCTCTGCCAACGCAACCGCCCCCCGTAACTCGACAAATGTCGGACGAAAGATCGATATCCAATTCTTCGAATGTGTCGTCTCCCCTGCCAACCCCCGATGCACAGACATCCGAGGACGCTCCGCGACTGGTGCAAAAGCGATCCGACGCTGTTGGCCACACGAATCGAAACGTCTCCGGCGCGAAGCCCAAACACCGTGTCTCTAACGCGTCACGGTTCTCGTTCCAATTCGGTGGCGAGAGCGCGGCAGAAGAGCTCGCTTTGGAGGAGAAGGCGCGCAGGCTCGGCGTCTCGCCACGAACTCCACAAGTCGCCAGCAGTCCTCCGGCAGACGATCTTGACGATGACTATTTTGACGAGGATGCCATGAATGACATGGACGAGATGGAATTTGAGGCCCAGCGAGAAGGTGAGATCGGAGGTCTCGACGACTTCGCCACCCCAGTTGCCCCAGCTATCCAAGAGTCCCCGACTTTCCTCATGGCCAACGCGCGGAAGCAGCTCCAGATTGATGACGAGTCGGATGGTGTCAGCGAAGTAGACTCGGCCGATGAAACCCCCTACTGGATGCACGACGACTTCCGAAGCTACACTCACACCCGGGAGCCGTCGGCGGTCGACGGACCGGCGAATGTCCCCTCCTCTACCAGTCCTGGCAAGCTCAAGCTCAATACCAACCTCACCCCTGGTGGGAACGCATTTTACATGCATCCCCAGGCGGCCTTCGGCCATGCTGAGAGTCACGCTCCACCGCAGCGACCTGCCCTGCCGCATCGTGACAGTGGCAATAGCGAGCGGAATCGTGCTGCGTCCGGACTCAGCTTCGGGGCAGGGACACAGTCATCTACCGTGAGTCCCGGGCCCGTAGGACATAGCAGCTCAATCGCGAGCGGCTCGACGGAAGCCACTGGGCTCGGTTTGAGCGGCTTGGGCGGCTTCAAATTCGTGGATACGCCCGACGTCAGCCGACCAGTATCCCTCGAAGCCCAGCAGAAGCTCAATCACTACGGTCGGAAAGCGAGCCCCGGAACCTTCCCCCAGGATGCGACGTTTGTGGATTCCGGCGTTGGCTATGCGCAGGACCACGACAGCGATGATCATTACGAACTCGACGACATGTATTTTGACGACGGCGGGTTCGAATCGGACATGAATGAGCAAAGTCATCCGGGAGCGACCGTGGACGAGGCGGACTTCGACGATGATGGTTTCTTAGACCCGAATAATCGGATGGCCCGCTACAAGCACTCTTATGCGCAGAAGCCTGTGCGCGGTGGATTCGAACTTCCTGCTCTGGGTGGCGACGGCCCGTATCCATCATTTGCGCGCCCCAACTCTGCTAGGACCAGATCACAAGACTCGCAGATGCTGCTACAGGACCTGCCATTGCTTGCAACCGTGGACCCGAAACTGATCCCTCGTCGCAATCCGTCCGAAGATGCGAAGAGACTGGGGTTGAGCAGTAGGGCGCCTCCTCTGCCGGCTATGCCGGGGTTGAGTGCGGATGGAACGGCCAAGAAATTACAGGCGTATCATGCTACGCTTGCGGATGCCGCCAACAAGGCTTTTGCCGAGGGCCGATTCATGAGGATGCCGAGTACGTCGACGACGAAGAGCGTGCCTGAAGATGCAATGTCCGGTGCGGACAATCCGACTCGCGGTATCGAAAATGAGGACGAGACTGGGTGGAATGGGACCTATCCCGTTGCTAGAAGCGATTCGAAGAAAGCACCGGAATATCAACTCCCGCCCAAGCTCAATTTCGACTTTGGCTTTGGCAACGTCAATCTCGACGACTCCCTTTTGATGGACGACGGCTTTGACGGCGAAAGCGACGACGATATTGTTGCCGCCGCCAACGCCGAAGCACTCGCGAACGATGACGACGGCTTCTACGGGCAAGAGTTCGGCTTCTACGCTAACGCAAGACCCAACTCGAGCGAAGTGCAAGCCATCAACGGCGGCTTCTTCGGCGCAGACGGCGATGATGGACTTCAGCGGCAGAAGAGCCTCAAAGAGCCGAACCTGACGCCCATCACCGAGCGCTCCGAGTTCAGCACGCGCAACAGCTTCGTCGGGCACTTCAGCCCGCTCACGCCCTTCACCCCTGGCGGAGCTAGGTTTTCCGCCTCGCATTGGGAGCAGAATGAAGTGACGACGTTCGACCAGCTGCGCAGACTCAAAGCCAGCGCTTTCGGCGGCAGCAATGCCAGCTTGCACAGTGACGGCAGCGGCCTGCAAATCAACTACGCCGGCAGCAGTGCGCCCGTCAGCGCGCGCTCGCCCATCACGCCCTCGGCGTCCTTTGGTGGCGCCCCGCCCATGGCATACGGCTACAGCACCGACAGCTCCGGCTCCAGCAATCCAGGCAGCGCGCACCCGCCTCCAGCAGCCGCTTTCCAGCATCACAACGAAAGCCCGCACTCTGCTACTATGCCCTACGTCCCGGAGATGGAGCCTACGCCCAAACGTGCGCCGGCTGCAGCGGATTTGCCTACCACCCCGGGCACCACTACCGCCCGCCGCTTCCCCGGCAAAGTGCAGTCGCATTCGCGCCAGAGCAGTGGGGCGGATTCGGTGACTTATGTTAGGGAACAGGCGCCGGATGGGCAGGGGCCGCCTAGGTGGGTGTTGGAGAAGAGGAGGACGAGCGAGGCTGGGCAGTTGGAGGTGTTTTCTAGGGAAGTATTGGAGGGATGGGCGGTTTGATGGGTTGGGGACGCGACTTGACGCTCGTATCTGGTGTTTTAGCGTTGGTGTTGGGGCTTTTGGATAGCTATACTGTTCGTCGAATCATGGAATATTCTTATTGGAACTCATGCAATGCGCGTCTCTGCGTATTTACTACAGAGAGTGGACGGATACCTTACCTTATGAATGCATGGACAATCGCCCCCTGTCAAGCTTGTCCCGATGCGGCAAGTCGCGTGAATGCACCTGAAGTCATTCAAAGCGTCGAAGACACATCCGCCAACAAAAAGCATCCCTTTCTCTTCACATCATGCATCTCACTCCTCCTCGTGCCGATGCAGCATGCCCTTAATGTCTAATCACGACAATCATGACCTGTCCCGAGAGAAGAGCTAGTCGCATATCTACCCCAAGGCAGCAGCCAACACGTCGAGCATGGCAGGCCATCAACGGCGAGAGATGAACGGCACGCCCACCACACTCCTCCCCCCACGCGACTCCCTCGAACTCGCCAGTCTAGCATCAACCTCTAATCGAGATGGCGCCCGCGAGTCCGAAGAATCCTCCTCCGCCGGCGTCTCCTCCTCCCGCAACCTCTCCTTCGACGACCCCATCCACCCCAATGGCGACCTCCCGCGCATAGGGCGAAGGAGTTACTCCGTGTCCAGTGCCTTCGACTTCAACAGCGCGCTATTCCCGCTCTCTTCGTCTGGGCCGGGATACACCGCGTTGGGAGCGCCCAGCACGACACACTCAGACCCTTCCGCACAGAGTTTGGAGAAGAACAAGAGGTTGACATACTTGAATGGCTTGTCGCTTGTGGTGGGCCTCATCATCGGCAGTGGCATCTTCTCTTCGCCAGCGAGTGTGAACAGCAATGCCGGGTCTCCGGGTGCGGCGTTGATCGTGTGGCTCATCGCTGGGCTGTTGGCGTGGACGGGAGCCGCGAGCTATGCGGAACTGGGAGGAGCCATACCGCTCAATGGCGGCGCGCAAGTCTACCTGTCGAAGATTTTTGGCGAATGGGCGGGCTTCTTGTTCACGTGGTGTGCTGTGACGGTGCTGAAGCCGGGCTCCGCTGCTATCGTTGCCATCATTTTCGGCGAGTACATGGTTCGCGCGCCGCAGTCTCTCAGGGTTGCTGACCCAATGAATCCGCATCCTGACCTGAGCCCGTGGATCAACAAATCTGTCGCCATTGCAGGTCTCGTGGCTATCACGCTTTTGAACTGCGCGTCTACCAAGATGGGAGTACGCAGTGCAGACTTCTTCATGTTTTTCAAATTCGTCGGGCTCCTGGCCATTACCATTACTGGCATCGTTGTCGCCGTCACCGGCTGGTCTGTCAACGCAGACGGTCTCTCAACTGCTTGGAAGGATACGGATTGGTTTGGGGGCACGAGCACGAGTGGCAGTCAATGGGCTGTGGCTCTCTACGCTGGCCTTTGGGCCTACGACGGATGGGACAACACCAATTACGTGGTCGGCGAAATGATCAACCCGGCCCGCGATCTCCCCCGAACCATTCACACCTCCCTCCCCATAGTCATTACCGGATACCTCTTGGCAAACCTGTCCTACATCTTCGTCCTCCCGACCAGCGTCATCAACGCGAGCAACACCGTGGCCGTCGCCTTTGGCCACACCGTCTTCGGGCCCCTCGGCAGCCTCTTCCTCGCCCTCACCGTGTCGGGCTCCTGCTTCGGCACACTAAACGCCACCACCTTCACCGCCGGGCGCCTCGTCTACTCCGCAGGCAAAGAAGGCTACGTCCCCAGCATCTTCGCCACCATCGGCCTCGGCCAAGGAAGTCCCCCCATGCGCCTCCCCCGGCGCGGCTCAAAAGCCAAGCGCATGGAGCGCTGGTTCGCCGACGAGCACGGCTTCTTCCACACGCCCATCTTCGCCATGGTGCTCAACGCGGCCATCACCTGCATCTACATCGTCATCGGCGACTTCACGACGCTGACGACCTTCTACGGCGTCGCGTCGTACCTCTTCTACTTCGCCGCGGTGGTGGGGCTGATAGTGCTGCGCGTCAAGGAGCCCGAGCTCGAGCGGCCGTACAAGTGCTGGATTGTGACGCCCGTGGTGTTTTGCTGCGTGAGCTTGTTTTTGCTGAGTCGGGCGATTTTTGCGAAACCGTTGCAGGCGGTTGTGGTGTTTGCTTTTATTGCGGCGGGGCTGCCGCTTTATTGGTGGCAGGTGGGCAGGAGGCGGAGGAGGAACAATGGGAAGAGGGTGCTGGTGGAAGGGGATGGATGGAAGTTTTGGAAACGATGGACACGGCCGTGAGCATTCTGCATAGCGTTTCTATATGTAGCTTTGTCGTGTTTTGCAGGTGCTGCAGACAGTCTTCTGTGTAGTGACTGCCTCGCTGCCATTATGCGCCTTGAGCAGGAGGGAATGAGGATGTCCCTCTTTGTTTCAACGTCCTATACATCATATCACTTACTCTGCACTGGCGATACATCGCCGCGCCGCGCCCTACGCATCTCCATTCACAACCCCATTCACAACCACCCTATCACTCAGACCGCAGAAACCTAGCAATGCCCCACACCCGCCCCCCAAAAACAAGCAGTAAGCCTTTCCCCTCCCCACCCCTCCCCCCAGCATCTAACCAAGGGCCAAAAAACCAGACACCTTCGGCCTCATCTCCGGCTGCGTAGGCCTCGCCCTCTGCCTCGGGCAATCATACAAAGGACACGTCGACGCGGCGCACGAGCGCGAGCGCCTGCAGGAAATGCACGAGCAGAAGATGCACTATTTGCATGAATTTCATCGGCAGCAGGTGCAGGCGAAGGACCATCGTATTGCGGCTATGGAGGCTGAGAAGAGGGCGAGGGAGGCGGAGAGGTTGGTGGGGATGTTTACTTCGAGTTCGAGGAAGGGTGGGGAGGAGGGGAGGGAGAGGGGAGGTGGGAGTGCAGGGGAGGAGAGTGGGAATAGGAGTGCGGTGGAGGGAAGGGAGGGGAAGAAGAAGGGAGATGAGGGGCCTTCGGTTGGGGGGAAGTGATGAGTGTCGGCGGGATTATTGATATTCGTATACTCTCGATCGCGTGGTAGAGATGGGTGTTGGTTGGTTGGACATCCACCAGTGACAGCCTGTCAGCCAGCCGCGTCGGAAGTGCTTGCGTCGCCGGATCCTTCCCCGACGCGGAAGTTCGGCCACCTCACCTCTTGGATTGCGCGAACCTAGCTCTTTCCTTATCTTCAATCCATCCCCTCTCGCGTACTCCCACGAACCTCGCGCGCGAGCTGGTATCGGCGCGCCTACTACGACTTCATCTCCGCGAAGGATTTCGCATATCGACGGCCTGTTCGGAGAGCTGGTGACCGAGTGCCCCCACACTAGCGCAGGCGCATGCCACTCGCCTCCTGCGCCCCTATGCGAGAACACCGTATCAGCTGAGCACCCAAGACATACAAGATGCCCGGTCTAGACGTACTAAAGGTACCCCACCCTCTCCCGCCCCAAAAGCAGACGCCCGCACTAACTCCCACCCCAGCTCCTCTTCATCCCCGCCGCTATCGCAGCCCTCATCTGCCTCCTCCTAGCCTACGTCATCATGCCCCTCTACCGCAACCACTACGCCCGCTACTCCCAATACCTCCCCCTCGACACCCTCTCCTCCCGCACCTCGAGCCTCCGATCGCGCGTCGCGAGTACCCTCGGCCGATACCTTTTGCCTAGCCACATGCGGTGGCGGAGTGAACTCGGCGACCATCGGGGCAGTTTGGACGATTTGTATTTTGGCGAGGAGGAGGGGGAGAGTATGGTTGGTTTCGATGTCAATCGGAGGGAGCGGTCGGTGAGGGGTGGGCGGGTGGTGTCGGCTGTTGAGATTGATAGCCAGAGGAGGCTGAGTCGGGATTTAGAAGGCGGGTTCATGGATAGTGGGGATGATGAAGAGGAGGACAGTGCGAATGACGATCGTCGGCGGTAGCGTAGGCTCAAGCTGCTAAGAATACTGCAGCTTGTTGAAGAAGCCTACGGGGTATCGATTGCACTTCAGCCGAGTCCTACGCTTCCCCCTTCCACGAAGCTCTCGACCCTCCTAGGGCCCCCTAGGACAGTCTTCGATCGGAACCTTTCCTTCTCAATATCCGAAGCGGACCGTTCAGATCTGCTGTCAATGCAGAGCAGGCTTTCCGACAGCTTTATGTGTCTTACGAATACGCCCTCGCCCCCTCCCTTCAGGAATCGATCGGGTGGCCTCTAGACCCGGATGCAATTGACCTGTCCTTTGTCCCTACGGCCGCAGGGACATCCGCCCTCGAAGTGAGGACCACTCTATACTCATTTAGAGTGTCACAAGTGCCCCCTCTTTCTTCGTCCCGATCAGGAATATCAGATGTCCAAGTAGCTCTCTAGGTCTACGCGCGGGCCTAGCAAGCCGCACGTTTTCGCAAGCCATATAGGACTCGGACGCGTCTTCGGATCGGCCCTACTACGGAACGACTAGATCAGGATCGGAGGTCTAGGAGTATGACGTGCGTAATATATGGCCGACACGCATATGTCGTCTTTCGGGCTCTTGATCGGGGTAGCTTGGAGGAGTGTAGGCGGTGTGTTGTACGCCACTTATGCCGTTGCACATTGTCTGCCGCGCACTGTCGGGTCCCACTAACCTCCTGTGATGTTCGACCGAGTTTGTATCGTGAAGGGTTCGGGGGAGAGGTGCTCGAGATGCTCGACGGGGCTGAGCCAGGATGAGGTGAGGTCGAAGCGGGTGCAGGGGCCATGGGGGTGGTGGCGGCCACTCCCGGTGGGCGGAAAGGTAGCGGCGTCCCTTCTCGGACTCGGATCGAATCACCTCTTGCACCGCGCAGAAGCAGCGCCATCGGAAAGGCACATACGATCAGTGCAGCAAGAAGTCTCATCTACGCGGCGGTGTCGAATCCTCGCGTACGAGTGCGACGGACGGGTGGAAGAACGTGCTCTACCCATCCCGTCCAGTTTGCTCCAGTCCACCCCCCCTAAGCCCCACGGGAAATTGGTGCTGACCGACTGCTAGCCCTCGGTTCTCCTCTTACGCGATGCCACTCCACCCCTGAAGACCGGTCGAGGCCTCCACCCCCTTCCCACACCCAAATACCGACGTCCCGGCCCTCCCTACTCTCTTCGCTCCCCCCTTTTTCAACCCCCCTCGCCTTTCATCCTCCTTCATCACTATCGGTACTATCGACTCCCGGTCGGACACAATCATGACCGGTCCCTACACCGGCGGGGCCAAGGTACCCTTTGTGACGTTGTCAGATGAAGAAAAGCACACGACTTACGAGTTCCCAATACCCGGTTCCATCGCGGACGTTGAGCCGGCACGCTTCCATTGCCCGCGCTGCACAAAGAGCATCGCGGTTGGCCGCATCTGTGACAAGACGGCTTCCAAGGCGTGCTCATGGTGTTGTCATGAGTCGACTCAAGAGAGGTGCATCTGGGTACGAACGCATTGTCTTCAAGTGCGTACGTGAAGCTGACGTGGGCAGGTCGACGCTTGCTACTTTCGATATGTTGACGAGCTTGTGCATCTTCGCCAGCTGTACAAGAAAGCGTGTAATGACCACCTAGTGGGCTGCACCACCGACGCGGAAAAGCAGGCCGCGTTCAACCGCAGTGAAGATTGCAAGCGCCACGGTCGCAATCTTGCGATCGCTCAGCTCACCTACAACCGCCTCATCGCCAAGAAGGAAGGAGAGGCTCGTAAGCGTGCTGAACGAAGAAGCATGGCGAGTCGTCGGAGTACCGAGACCTACACTACCAATGAGACTGCTTCTGGCAACAGTCCCGAACTCACCACCCCTGCCCCGCCCATACCTGACACTATAGAACTCAGTTCTCCCGACACCGCCGACCATGCAGTCCATTCACTTCTATCTTCGTTCATCAACCGTCGACGCACTGGAGTAAGACAACTCTTGCGCGTTCAGCTATTTGACGAGATCATGACTAACACCATGACCAACAGTGTGCAAAGAAAGAACCGGCTACTGAACCGCCGGAGTCTCACCAGCCGCCCAAGCAGCCTTCGGGGTGTCAACCTTCAGCGTCCCGGCTGTCTACCTTGCACCGAACAAGCCATCAACGTTTCGATCCTCTGGGTGAGAGTGCACAGCGGAAAAGCAAAGAACGCGAGAGCCAGATTTCACCCGCGCACGACTCGATAGCTGTAGGCTCATCATCAGCTGCTCCCGCTTCCTCGATCCTCAACGGTGCCGCGGGAGAACAAGCAAACGGAAAGAGGCCGAGGTCGGACTCCATGACTGAAGGGTCCGCGACCGAGGTCAGAGCGACATCAAGAGCGAGCGAGATCAAGCGACTGAAGATGAGGCTGGAAGAGATCTCGATTGAGAGACGGTTGATGGAGTTGGCGGAAGAAGTCTGATAGCCAATCACGATGATCGAGCTGTCTCGGACACGGCGATTTCTTGATAAAGGGACGGGGTTTGCTGGAGCCGCGGATGAGCATGTGTCCAGGGGCGAGTAGCTTCAGGCGAGTGAAAGAATGCAACTTGGCTTCGCAGATGGCAACGAAAAAGCTGTTGGACGTGGCTCAGGAGTAAGACTGTACGTGTAGTATCCATTGTTTCCTCAAAGTACAACGTCCCGAGTACTGCCGTTATGCAATCAAAACATGCATCTAATCGAGCGCGTACAAGGGTCGCGATGTCGAAGAGCGCACGGACATGAGATGAAAACCGCAAAAGAACCATGAGAGAACCGTAGATACACGGTTCTTTTCAGATAAACCGTCCTTTCTTAAAAACCGTTTACTCGAATAAACGAATCTAAAGTAGAAACTTGCCGACCGCCGCTAGCTCCCGCTCTATGCAGCCAATCAGCACAGGCGAAAGCGGCACTTCATCTGTCTCGTCTGTCCTCGTCTACCTTTCTCTTGTCCTTCACTGCCCATTACGTGCATCTATGCCGGACCCCACCTGGCGCATATGAAGCATGGAGATGCAACGAGTGATCAGCCGATCGGAGCTGGTGTCGGTAAGCGGTTCAGAAGACAGTTCACCGGAGCCTACAGCGGCGGAAAGTCTGAAGACACTCGACGCATTCAATTCAACCGACTTCACAACGACTACAATTGCAGCAGATGTAACGGCCAACCCTGCGAACGAGAGCGAGGATGATGAGCTAGACTTTCGCCTCTTCAGCGCAGGCGCAAAACGCCAGGCCGAAAGCGGGAGGGAGCCAACCGCCGTACACAAAATCAGATTACGTTCACCCAGTGTCGACAGTGGGAAAGCTGGATTCATTCAACCGGAGAGGAACTCAGATTACTATTTCACATCACCAATAAACAATGTCGAGAAGCAAAACATCATACTCGCCGCAGTGACAGGCAAGCAAGTTCAAGAAAGGGCAAAGCAACCATGGCCCGGATCCGCCTACCCCTGGAAAGTCCTCCATCTATCTTCAACCCACTTGCACAAATCCATGCGGCGCCCGATACCCGCAGTCTTCAGCAAAGTTGTCGATGACAGCTCTCCGAAAAAGCGCACACGCCCGGGAAAGAAGTACAGGATCCGAGTTCGAGCGAAGAAAGCCGCTTCCGAGGCTGCCGTTGCGTCAAAGGAGCTCGCCGAGCGGGAGAATCGCGCGCGGAAAAACCGAGAGAAGAAACTGAAGAAGCGCGCGCGCGACAAGGTGAAGAAAGCTGCTGCTGCTGCTGGTACCGCCATCGCCGGAACCGCAGATAGCGATGATGAGGGCTGAGCTGGCTGGCAGAAATGTCAAATCTCAGTCTCACGGATTGCCTGCGTCCAGGTCCAACTCTGCACACTGCCATGATCGCCGTCAGTATCGGGGAGAAGCGTCAGTCCTAGCCGTCGAGCTGACGGTTGCGCAAAGTAGCCCTCCACGCCCCGACCATGACCCTCGGGGTGCGCTCTCGGCGCGCGAACACGAAGAGAACCTCCCGACACATCGGACAGCTATTGTTGATTTCGACGGTGTGGTGGAGATGGCCGTGGTTGAATCACTCCTCGGCGCAATCGATGCAGATGGCGTGCTCGCCTGCGCAGGGGAGGCGCAGGGCGTAGCTGGGCTCGCACTCCTCCTGTCAGACGGGGCAGGTGTTGATGTTGGCGAGGTTGGGGTTGCGCACGCAGATTACTCAGAAGGTGGGCAGGGTGGTGGGCCTTGCCGCCATTCCTTCGTTGGTGGTTGTGTTTGTGAGATGGACAGTTGGGCTTGGGGGGGGAGTTGAGTGAGCTTTGCACAGGCCTGAATGGTTTGTCGTTTCTCGAAAGAGAAAGGGCGAAAAGGGAGCCGGCGAGTTTCCTACATAGTATCCAGGAGCGAAAGGGAGCGAAAGAGACCCGCCAAGCTGACCAGGCCACTCCACCGTCTGTCCTCATCAACCAAACTACAGCGGCCCATCACGACCGCCGCCTCTTCTCATCAAAATACTCCGGATAACTCGCCTTGTACCCCAACACATACCCCCCAAACCACCTCCCAATCACCACGCCCATCGAATACGTCACAAGCCTCATCAGCCAATCCGGCCCCCAAGGAAACGCCATACTGATCTCCGCCCCATCCAGCATAAGCAGCAACTGAGGCAGCGACGGCTCAACGCCCTGCAACCAACAATCATCCAAATAAGTGTAGATATTTCGGAAGCTTTGGAGGGAATTAAAAGTCAGCATTTCCCTCCAGATCCACAAGGAATTAAAGCGAGCAACATACAACTGCTCGCTCGCTCCGTTCGCTTCTGGATCGTCGAGGCGGCTTTTGGGCGAAATGCCCGTCGTGATTTCCACCGTGCACGGTCCGTCGTATGTATCGTCGACTTTGAACGTATGTCTTGCTCGCGCAGGGATGCGTACAGGCTGGGGGTCGGAGGCGGAGACGGTCGTGTCTTTGCCTTCGAGGGTGAAGATGTAGCGTCTGCAGTCTGCAGTTAGCCAAACCAGACATCCTGTAGAGGAGGGAAGAAAGGAGACACACCCCTCTTTCACGTGGAAGAATTCATCCTGATACCAATGCCCTGCACAACATCCAAATTAGCAACCCCCTCCACACCTTCCCAAAAAATCAATGATGTACCTACAATGATACGGCGGCGTCAAGTAATTCTTCCCCGCAGGCACCTCCTGCAACGCCGTGGGGGTATGCGTCGTCTGGATCTCCAGCACGCTGAGCCCATTCGGCGGCCGCTCCCATCGCGTCGATCGAATGCCTTTGTACTGCTGCAGGGTATCGAGGTGCGCCGTGTCGGTGCGTTTGACGTGGAATGCCATTGTCTCAATAAAGGCGTGTATAAGTGATGAGGTTCGCGGCTGGGTGCCTTTGTACCCTTCTAAGTACCTCACGCAATCGTCAGGCGTCCTGCGCGCCTGACGCGAGATTCTCCACTCCACCAAAGCGAGAGGGCGGAGAGTAAAGCGGTACCAGCATTTGTTTTGAGATGATGAACGGAGTTGCATGTGCAATGCCATTGGCGTCAAATACACAGGCTAAACAAGGCGTTTCCAAAACAAACGCTCAAGTACAAGTATGACAGGTAGGCGCCGCGCTCTATTCCATGCCTTGCGAAGAACGTCGCTCTACCGGGCCAGCGCGTCTGGTCCCAATCCAGAACACCACGAACCCAGCGCATGGAGGTGTATCTACAAAATCAATTCCAAGGAGGAAGCAATCACACACATCGGATCACCATCACTCGCCATCGTCTTCCGTTCGTTGCGTCTCAGACGCCGTAGGGGAAGGCGGGACGACGATGGTCCTCGGAGTCGGAGTCGGCAGCGACTGCTCCTCGCCATCTTCGCTCGACCGCTTGTCTTCATTGCTGTGGCGTGCGCCTGCTTCCCCTTCCCCACCGGCTGGCGTTGTTTCAGCCTCGACATTCTCCTTCTCCTGCTCAGCGACACTTTGCTGCGGCGGCGGCGGCGACGCGGAGGCATTAGTATCAGCAGCAGCCGCCGCGCCACCCCTTCGCCTCCTCTCCCTTCTCCTCTGTCTCTCCTCGTCAGCGCCCTCCCTCCTCCTCCGCACACGCAAACTCTCACTCGGCCCCAGCCCCTCGCCTCCACCCTCCCCATCGCGCCTCAAACCCTGCAAAAGCGACGCAGCGCGATCCGCAATATCCTCACCCTCGGATGTGTTGCCGCCGCCATCTACGCCTTCGCTCGACGCAGCAGTAATAGCAGCTTCCTCCTGCTCCTCTAGAATCTTCGGACTCAGTCGTCCACTGCCCGTCTCGTCTGATACTGTAGCGTTCTCGCCTGTTTCCGGGATCTTCTGTCCAGACGCGATGCGAACCTGGTGTTTGTCCTTCAGACGCGCGCGGCGTCGTCGATCTCGCGTATCCCTCGTGGCAGGCGCGGCGGCTCGTAGTTTCTCCAGTAGGCTGTCCATCGCGCCGGTGGAGGGACTGTTGGTTTGCCCATCTGGAGACCCTCCGGCCCCGACGCCAGCTTGCGTGTTAAGCTTCGTCTGCTTCCGGCGCATGTTGGCTTCGTTGCGGCGCCACACCTCTTCCAGCGCGAGATTCTTCTCATGCGATTTCTGTGAGGTATCCTTGTTAGTTTCTCGGAAGACAGAAGAAGGGGAAAGGGAATACTGCTCACCTTATACTCCTGCACGAAATTCGCCAGCTTGCCAAAGAACTCCCGGCGTGCATTCTCGTCCCGTGGATCGTCGCCAAAATAAGTCAAAATGTCGTCGTACACCCGCTTCATCTCCTCCAAGTACACGGCCATCTGCTCCGCCTTGCGCCGCGCCTCCTTCATACTGCGCTGCACCACCTGACTCACGCGGTCCTCGGGGTGAAACTTCTTCGGGTCGCTCAGGTTGCCCGCGTCGAGGCTCTGCTGCACATTGTTAATGTTGTCAATGTACTTCTTCGCGTCGGTGAGGAGCTGTTCGATGTTGATTTTCTGCGCGGGGAGCACGCCGGCGATGTCGTCGGTGAAGCCTTCGTACTGCGGGTACTGCTTGCGCACCACGCTCTCGACGTAGTCCATGAGCGTCTGCTCGTTGTTGTTGTCCTTGACCATGCCGAGGCGCGCCAGCGAGGACAATTTGAAGCCCATGGCTTGCTTGTTAGAGTCGTTCATGTAATTGCCAATGTCCAGAATGAGTCCGAAGACCGGCATGAGCTTGACGGAGTCGCGTAGGCTTTCGCTCACGTTCACCACCTGCTGGATCTTGGCGTAGATGTATTCGTACTCGGATTCATACGTGCGGGTCAGAGCGAGCGCCCTCATCCGTGCTTTCCAGTAGTGGTGCAGCTCGTACGCGGTGTACAAGTAGATCTGGTCTTCCTTGGTAAGCTCGGCAGGATCCGATTCTCGCGGCTCCTTAAGCGCATCCAGTGCGGTGTAATCACGCGCGTACGGCGCCAGCAATTTCGAAACATTGTCTGGAATGGTGCAGAGGTACTCTTGCTGCAAAAAGTCCATGACGGTACCGTTGTCGAGGATGTCGCGATCGCAGTGAATGATCATGCGCACAATCTCGTCGGGTTCGACCTGCGAGAACTTGGCGAGGGAGATTTGCATGGTGTGCATCAAGTCTCTGCTGATGATTTGCTTTTTGTCGTTCTTGCCGCCCTTGCTGCCCGAGCTTGCGCCGATCTGCTTGATCTCCTTGGCCATGAAGAGCTTCTCGATCTCGTCGAGAATGCCCTTCTTCGACAGCTCCTGGTACTTCTCCTCCTTCGACTCGACGGTTGGAGTATGCGACGCGAACAACGTCACTTCTGGGGCATCGACCTTCTCCCAATGTAGCGCCTTGAGCTTCTTCTTCGGTCGAGGGGCCACCGGAATGATTTGGCCTGGTGCGCCAGTATAGATCGGCGACGGCAAGAAACCACCCTTCTTCGCGCCAGGAAGCGGTGGAGGAGGTGGTGACATCGCACCGTTTATTTGAGGGAGCGGAGGAGGTGGCGGAGACTGGGCGGAGAATCCAGGCATCGGCGGTGGCGGAGGCGGCGGACTGCTCATGAACCCGGGCATTGGCGGTGGCGGAGGCGGAGGCGCATCATTGGAGAATCCTGACATGGGCGGCGGTGGAGGCGGGGGCCCGTCGAAACCAGGTAGCGGCGGCGGCGGAGGAGCCTGCGGGCCATCGAAATGCGCTTTGGCGTCTCTGGAACTGTCCATGACAGCATCGGATGGCGTCTTCGGACTATCGCTCTCGATGCTTGGATGACTAGTCCCGGTCGTAGCGCCGTCGCCCTCCTCCTCGTCATCGCTCCCCTCCACCCGGGCGGTCTTGGAGGTGAGCTCAGCCAGCATGTTGTGCGTCTGGCCAGTGACTTTCTCGCTCGGCACGAGAGGTTTCTTCATCTCCACCAACCGAGGCTTCTCGAACACCACTTCCTCCGGGCTCTGTTCGTCTTCAGTCGCTGTTTCGGCGTCCTTCTCGGCGGGCATTTTGCGTGCGCCAATGGGTTTCCTCCTGACACTGGCCGACCCCAGATACTCCATCTGCGCCTGATAGCCCTCCACGCCACCCGGCATGCCCGCACCCTCCATCTTCTCCCGCAACTCTCTAAGCTTGTCGGACGGATTGAACTGCTGCCACACCTTGCCTTCGAGTTTCGCCTGCGTCTTGGCCCGTTCGAGCTGCATTTCCAAACGGTCCATCAATCGTTCACGATCCAGGATGCCCTGCATGGACGTGGGATCATTCGATTCGCCATTCTTCCCGCCCTTCTTGACATTGGAGGCCGCAATATCTTGTGCGTCGCGAAGCATCAGATACAGCTCTCGCGTTTCCAGCTCGTTGCGTTGAAGCTCCATCGCCCGCACCCTCTGCAACTCGGCAACCTCAGATTTGAATGCCTCTGTCTGTCTTCCTTGTAGATCGATTACAGCAGCTTGTTCGTCCAACCGCTTTTGAAGTTTTGCGACAAGTCCGCCCGCGCCCATCTCCACTCGGTCTTTCATCTCATCCCGTTCGGCGACGGCCGCATCGGCGATCAGTCGGGCTTGATCCGCGTCTTCTCGAGCTTGCCGCGCCTCGGAGTCGGTATACAGCTTGTCCATCAGGTTCTGAACAGTGAAGTTGAGGCTCTGCTTGAGGTCCATGTCCGGTAGCCTCCGATCCATCGCGACGTAGCTGAGCATTGAATCGACTAGTTGGAACAAGCGCAAGCGATCTTCGCCTTCATTCTCTCGGATCAAGAGTAGATGCTGCAGAGCAGAGACAAAGTAATCGCCTTCGCGTCTTCCGGCGATTTTGCTCTGAATGGCTTCCACAATTTGCAGAGGGTCGTTCAGATCCTTGACCTCCGCCTCACTGCCTTCGAGAATGCTGCTGTTTTCCCGCTCCAAAAGGTCCTCGTAGTCAATCGCCTCATTCGACCGGTATCGTTCAATCTGCTTGTCAATGACTTCATACTCAAACCCTTCCATCTTCTGCAAGAGTCTCTTCAACCCGCACGCCACAAACTGTGCGCGAATGTGGCACCGCAGCTCCAGATCGCTGGGTTTGTCAGGCGCATCAACGATGCTGTTGACCAGGAAGAGAGAAGTGACGGCGTATTCCATGAGTAGGTTCTCCATCCCGATCCCTCCACTGCGCACCTCATCTGACGCACCCACGAGGGAACCCATCTTGCCCCGCCCGTCAATGGTCACTTCGACGATTCTCATCCATGCATCGAAGCGGCCGTTCTCTCCTTGCTGCGCTTTCAGATGATCCAACGCTTGCAAGACTTTGAGATGGCCTTGGCCATCAGCCCAGTGACAGAGGAAGGTGAGGAGTTCGGAGACGAGCTTTCGGGTGTTGAGTCGAGGAGAAGTGAGAGAGGCAGCCAGGGCCATGATGATCGTGTCGTGTTGAAGAGCATCGTCGGCACCGTACTTGTTGTTCATGAGCGCCTTGAGACACTTCACAATGTCATATTCGCGATCCAGATCGCGGTCCGTAGTGGCAACGTTACTGGATGAAGGCGCCGGGCCTGACTGCTGTCGCTTGTTGAGTCTCCCCAGGGCATTCGTCAGAGCCACCTGGCCCTGCGCCTCGACGAAACTCTTGACCCACCCAATCTGCTGGGTTCTCAAGCTGACCGCGAGGCTCTGGAATTGCTTCGGGGTAAGGCTGTTCTCCAGGATCTTCTTAACAAACCACTCCGGACTGCCTTCCTCATCCATGCGCCCATACACCGCGAATCCGTCGTTGTTAGAAGCGCCTGCGGGTCTATGGGTCAAACGCCTCTTTTGCTCGCCTTGCCACTCCGCCAGCCGATCCTGGTACACCAGTGTCCATTTCTTACTGATGGGGTAGGCCTCCATCTGCCGCCGAGCTTGCTCTGGTAGAGATTTATATCCACGCTTGTGCATGAGGTCCAAAAACTCTTTCTCGATAACGCGCTCATCGGTGGGCCGATGGAATACGAATCCCTCGGGACTGAAGGAGGCGGTGGAGGAGAATCCGATGGAGTGATGGGAGTCAAGGAAGGGCTTACTGACTCGATCGGCGTGCGTGCTAGGTTGGGAGGTGTTGGGGTTGGCGAGGAATCGATTTCGGTCGAGGGTGGAATTTTGGGATCGAATGCTGCCATGATCGCTCGACTTGCGCGACGGCGCGTATGGGATGCCGTTCACGGAGGCGGCATCGCTCTCAAACGTTCTATCCCTCCCCATGCGATTCACTGTGCTGTCGGTCCTCGGGGGTCGCGGGGCGGAGCCGCTGGCCTGGGGGTCCCATGGGGGATACTGGTGGAAGTCTCCCCCGCCTTTGTTGAGATGATGTGGCTGTGGTTCGCGCATGCTGGGCCGTCGTTCATCGCTAGATACGGTGTGGATGGTGGTAGGAGGCCGGGTATCTCGATTCATCGACTCGTAGGGGATGCTCGTGATGACACCGGTTTGCGACTGCAGCACGTCGTGCTGCCTGCTCGCGAGCTCCTCGAGCGTGGAAATGGAGCTGCGCTGGGACTGACGCGAGCCCAGGCCAGGACGGGCATCGTAGTAGTTTTGGTATTGGGCGGAAGAGGCGGTGTCTGGGAGGGGAGGCGGTGGAGGGTCATTGTTGTTTCCTTTGTCCTTCTTGCTCCTGCTGAACAGCGAGCGCGCGCCGCTTGACTGTCGTGCAGATCTGTCGCTCGAACTGAACATGTCGGCAGAGGGGAGGGGCGTGGTTGTTGTGTTCCCAGTCCAGCGCGCCGGGGAGATGAGGGAAATCACTCATGCGCGATGCCTCGTCCACACCCGCACATATCGACCACACGCTGTCGTGTCAACTGCCAACTGCTTGTCGCACGCTCTTCCTCTGCCTCAGCTCCGAACAAGATATGTAGCGTGGTGTAGTCGTATCCACAGCCGGCGCGAAGGATTGCCAACGCCGGTGATCCCTCCAGACCAGATGTTTTCCCCCGACAAGGCACAGTGCTATGCAAACGCCTCGCTCAGGATGGAACTTACGACAAAGGAAGGGATCCAGGGACAGGTCGTCAAGGAAGTAGGCGGAGAGGCGGAGGGGAAGAGGGCGCGTTCGTTACGGTCGTTGCTGGTTGGGATGTGTTGACAGAGGGGATGGATGGAGACGTGAGCAAAGTGCAGGGATCTGGCGGGCCGCTCGGTGGAGATGCGACGCTTCAATGCGCCGCCGCCAGCCCCTATCAAGTAAATCCATCTCCTTCCCCCGCTAGATCTTGGCGTGCCTGGAAGCTTATTCAATTCATCGATCTGGAAAGTGCACCACACCTCATCACCTTCCACTGCACATGGTGGGCCATAGCACTACATCAACGTCCTCGATCACAATTGGCACATCGTCAGGCCGCAGTCTAGACGCAGGACTGTGCAAACCGCCTGAGTTACGAAGAATATGCAACAACCAGTGTACAGTAGATGTTCATCACATCAGGGGAACCAGATTACCGGGATTTGTCAGGGTCCGTTCCCGATATCCTTAACGTCCTCCCCGTTAGCAGAACCCACAGTTTAGCGCAAAGTCACTCATGAACGTAACCCCTGTGATCGCCAGGACTGGACGTACCCTCTCGAAGGTCATGACTCCATGCAAAATCAACTGTTCAGAACCATGCTTCCATCGCCGGCAAAGAGGTTCGCGAGAACGTGCACAAGGCCCGCCAGATCGCGGATTAGCCAAGAGCAGCGTAAGATGTCTCTCAAAGTCTACTGAGTAGTCTTCGTGCCCTCCACGGTGGTAGTATGCATCTAGTACCACGTCAGCGTATTCATGCATTCAATCTGAGTCGAGTGCCTATTCATCTAAGGCCAAGGCGTCTACAAGGTCTCGATAAAACATGTCAACTAAGACGTCCAGGTTCAAATCAGTCACTTTGCGAGCGTGCTGGCGCCGATCGCATCGAGCGAGCCATGCAACAGTGTTGGCAGTTGGAGAGGAAGTACAGGCGGAGCTGATAAGAGCCAGACGATGGTGGGAGGTACACGAGAAGGAAATCCGCGTGCGAGAGTCGAAGTCAAGTTTGGGGAGCTTGTGCAGGCCGCCAGCCCTGGGAGGCACGATGAAAGAATACCTAGCAAAACTCAGAGCAGAGTGCACATTTTCAAAAGTCCATTTCGCAAACAAAAGCAATGCATATGTAAGATGAAAATACAAAAGCGCATAAACATATCACCACTCGCATGAAACCCGTCCCCCATTTGTACCACAGCAGTAAAATAAAAGCAAGTAAACTTCGTATCCTCGACCGTCTCAATCAGATACCACCAGCCAGCGCAAACCCGCATGAATTCCTCCCTCTTCCCCAGCAAAAAACGTGCTTCAGTCCAGGCCGTTCTATCGCATGTTCGTGCAGCAGTTTGGGAAATAAAACGCTCAAAAGGGTATGTTGATTCCGAGACCAGAGCGGGGTGCATATGCCACTCCACCCGTCGAAAGAGAAATGTCCTCTCCCGAATTTTCCACCTCATGCCGCAGCAGTAATCAGCTCCTTGGGCGTCCCGTTCTGCCTGTGCAGCAGCTCGTACGGCGGCCGCTTGACCACGCCGCCCGTGACCGGGAGTTGAGTGCCCATGCCAGTGAGGAAGGAGTCGACGTCGCGCGCCGCCTGGCGGCCCTCGTTGATGCCCCAGACGATGAGCGACTGGCCACGGCGACAATCGCCGGCAGCGAAGACGCCGTCGATGTTGGTGGTGTAGCGGCCGGGGGGAGTCTTGATGTTCTTGCGCTGGTCCTTCTCGACAATGTCGCCGAGGGCGCGGTCCTCTGGGCCGAGGAAACCCATGGAGAGCAGGATGAGCTCGGCGGGGAAGAACTCCTCGGTGCCCTCGAGCTTCTTCATGTCCCAGCCGCCGCTGGCGGACTTGGTCCACTCGACACGGATGGTGTTGATGCCCTTCACCTTACCGCTGCCGTCGTCGACAAAGTCTTGCGACATGATGCAGAACTCGCGCGGGTCGCGGCCCATGTGTTGCTTGACTTCGGTGTGACCGTAGTCGACGCGGTAGATGCGCGGCCATTGCGGCCACGGGTTGTCGCGGGCTCGCTCTGGCGGGGGCTGAGGCAGCAGCTCAAAATTGATGACGGACTTCGCGCCGTGACGGACCGAGGTACCGATGCAGTCGTTGCCGGTATCACCACCTCCGATGACCACGACGTTCTTGTCCTTGGCGGAGATGTAGGTGTTGTCCTCGAGCTTCGAGTCGAGCAGCGACTTGGTGTTCTTGTGCAGGAATTGCATTGCATAGTAGATGCCATCCAGATCACGATTGGGGATGGGGAGATCACGGGCAACAGTGGCACCCGTGCAGATAACCACCGCATCGTATTCCTTTCGGAGAGAGTCGAGAGTGACCTCTCCCTCGCCGACATGAATACCGGTCTTGAATTCGATACCCTCGCTGGCCATGAAATCAACACGGCGCTGCACAATCTTCTTGTCGAGCTTCATGTTCGGGATACCGTACATGAGCAGACCACCAATACGGTCGGATCGCTCATGCACAGTGACTTGATGTCCAGCTTTGTTGAGCTGATCGGCGCAAGACAGACCCGCAGGTCCAGAGCCGATGATGGCGACCGTCTTGCCACTTCGGAACTTGGGCGGCGAAGGAACCATCCAGCCCATCTCGAAGCCGCGGTCGATGATTGCGCACTCGATCGACTTGATGCCGACCGGGTCTTCGTTGATGCCAAGCACGCAAGCACCCTCGCAAGGAGCGGGACACACACGACCAGTGAACTCGGGGAAGTTGTTCGTCATGAGCAGCCGGTTGAGAGCGTCCTGCCATTGGTTTTGAAACACCAATTCATTCCATTTGGGAATGATATTGCTGATCGGGCACCCAGTATCAGACTGACAAAACGGCACACCGCAATCCATGCAGCGCGCAGTCTGATACTTGAGCTCATCCTCCGTCAGGCGGGAATTCAGCTCGCCCCAGTCGCGCGTGCGCGTCTTCGGGCTGCGGTAGTGCTCCTTGCGGCGCTGGTACTTCATGAAGCCCTTCGTCTTGTCGAGCACCAAAGCAGAGCGCTTCTTCTCCGCCTTGCCGTCCTGCACGCTCTCTTCAATGTCGAGCAGCTCGTTCTTCTTCTCCTCTTTGCCTTCGCGCTCGTGCTCCTTTTCGCGCGAGTCTTCGTGCAGTTTGCGGACGGCGTTGCCGGGGAGAAGTGGCAGAGGGTACTCTGCTCGCTTCGCCTCTTCGTCCTTCTTCGCTTGCTCCTCGAGCACTCGCTTGTAGTCTGTTGGGAAGACCTTGACGAATCGCGGCAGGATCCTGTTGAAGTCCACCAGAATCCTGGCAGCCAGCTCGGAGCCGGTGTAGTGGTGATGATCCTCAATAAGTCCACGGAGGAAAGCAATCTCACGAGGCTCCTCGACATCGCAGAGCTCCACCATCTCCTGGTTGCACTTGACATCGAAGTCGTTGTGAAGATCCAGTACGTACGCGATACCACCAGACATGCCGGCCGCGAAGTTGCGGCCAACGCTGCCCAGAACGACCACACGACCGCCAGTCATGTACTCGCATCCGTGGTCGCCGACACCCTCGACGACAGCGGTGGCACCAGAGTTGCGAACCGCAAAACGCTCGGCAGCCACACCGCGGAAGAAGCATGTCCCCTTCGTGGCTCCGTACAAGCAGACGTTGCCGATGATGACGTTCTCCTCGGCCTTGAAAACCGCTGTTCGTGGTGGGTAGACGATGAGACGACCACCCGAAAGACTCTTGCCGACGTAGTCGTTCGAGTCGCCCTCCAGCTCCAAGGTCACACCAGGTGCGAGGAACGCTCCGAACGACTGTCCGGCAGATCCCTTGAGGTTGACGTGGATGGTGTCATCCGGGAGACCTTGCTCGCCGTATTTCTTGCTGATGTGGTAAGAGAGAGTCGCCCCGACGGCGCGATCGGTATTGACAATGTCCGTCTCAATGGGGCATGGCAGGCCCTTGGTCAGAGCCGGCTCAGACTCAGAGATCAACTTGTTGTCCAGGCGGATATGGAGCTTGTGATCCTGCTTGCGGACGTTGTAGGTCGCTACCCCGGATCGCAACGAGTGTGCAGGGGTCAGGATGAGGGACAGGTCGATATTCTCCGTCTTTGCGTTACGGAGATCCTCCCGAACCTTCAGGACCTCGCAGTGGCCAACCATCTCATTGACGGTGCGGAACCCGAGCTTGGCCATGATGGCGCGCAGCTCGTTCGAGACGTAGTAGAAGAAGTTGATCACGTGCTCGGGCGTTCCCTTGAACTTCTTGCGAAGCTCGATGTCCTGGGTTGCGATACCCACCGGGCAGGTGTTCAAGTGGCACTTCCGCATCATGATGCACCCCATGGCAATAAGAGGCGTCGTAGCAAACCCAAACTCCTCCGCACCAAGCAACGAAGCAATAGCCACGTCCCTCCCAGTGCGAAGCTGCCCATCCGTCTCAACAACCACCCGCCCACGAAGATCATTCAGCACAAGCGTCTGATGCGTCTCCGCGAGGCCCAGCTCCCAAGGGAGACCAGCATACTTGATCCCCGTCCACCGGGAAGCACCGGTGCCGCCGTCGTGACCGGAGATGAGAATGTGGTCGGCGCGGCCCTTGGCGACGCCGGAAGCGACGATGCCGACGCCCGTCTCGGAGACGAGTTTGACGGACACGCGCGAGCGCGGATTGCCGCACTTGAGGTCGTAGATGAGCTGCTTGAGGTCCTCGATGGAGTAGATGTCGTGGTGGGGAGGCGGGGAGATGAGGCCAACGCCCGGGGTGGAGTGGCGGGTGTGGGCGATGGGGCCGGAGACCTTGTGGCCGGGCAGTTCGCCGCCCTCGCCGGGCTTGGCGCCTTGGGCCATCTTGATCTGCAGCTGGTCGGAGTCGGCAACGTAGTTGCTGGTGACGCCGAAGCGGCCGGAGGCAATCTGCTTGATCGCCGAGCGCATGGTGTCGCCGTTGTCCATGGGCAGACTGCGCTCCGAGTCCTCTCCACCTTCGCCGGTATTGGACTTGCCGCCCAGTCGGTTCATTGCGACTGCGAGCGTGGAGTGCGCCTCCATGGAGATGGAGCCGTACGACATGGCGCCCGTGCAGAATCTCCGCACGATGTCGGTCCATGGTTCGACTTGCTCGATGGGAATGGGGTTACAGGCGTCAAAGTCGAAGTCGAGCAGGCCGCGAAGCGTGCAGTGCTTGATCTGCTCGAATTCACTCTTCGAGTATGCCTCGTACGACTTGTCGTTCTTGACGCGTACGGCGTCCTGGATGTTGGCAATCGAGGTGGGATCGTTGACATGAGGTTCGCCGCCATCACGCCAATGGTACTCTCCAGTCTCAGCAAGACCAGGGATTTCCAAGATGTTCAGCGACGGGAAGCCTCGCTCGTGTAGGGCAAAGGCATCCTGAGCAATCAAGTCGAAGGTCATACCTCGAATGCGGGTGGCGGTCCCGGCGAAGCAGCGGTCCACGACCGTGTCATCGATTCCGAGAGCCTCGAAAATCTGAGCGCCCTTGTAACTCTGGACGGTCGAGATACCCATCTTGCTCATGACTTTTAGAATGCCACCGTCGCAAGAGTGCTTGTAGTTGCCAATGAGCTCCTCCTTGGTCATCTTCTTTCGAATGAGACCCTCGCGGTCGAGCTTGAGAATGCACTCCATGGCGAGGTAGGGGCAGATAGCGTCGGCACCGTAGCCAACAAGGACACACATATGATGCACCTCACGAGCTTCAGCCGTTTCGACGACAAGTGCGGCTTGTGCTCGCCACTTGTTGCGCACCAGATGATGATGCACCATACCAGTTGCCAATAGCGACGAGACTGGTACCCGGTCGGCAGACATCTTGCGATCGGACAGGATGATGATCTTGTCGCCACGCTCAATGGCTTCAGTGACTTCCTCGCAGATGGTGTCGAGAGCCTCGAAGTAACCCTCGATGCCAGACTTCTTGGGGAAGGTGATGTCGATGGTCGCGACCGACCAGTCGTTGTGGATATCCGTAATGTGCGTGAGGGCATTGAACTCCTCCACAGAGAGCATGGGCGAGGGGAGGTAGAGTCTTGCGCACTGGTTTTGTGCCATTTCGAGCAGGTTGCCCTGAGGTCCAACATAAGACCCTAAAGACATGACGCATGCCTCTCGGATCGGGTCGATGGGCGGGTTCGTGACCTGGGCGAAGAGCTGACGGAAGTACTCGTAGAGCAGACGAGGCTGTGAAGCCAGGCAAGCCAATGGAGCATCATTGCCCATGGAACCGAGGGCTTCTTTCGAGTCCGCTGCCATGGGAGCCAGAAGGAGTGTGACTTGTTCCAAAGAATAGCCATAAGCTTTCAGTCTCGGATCCTCCTGCACTTTGGTCTCGGTCAACTTGTGTTCAATGTCGGTGCCGTTCTCGACGACTTTGTCGTAGATGTCGGGCATCACCAGGAGCTCGGCATCCATCCACTCGCGGAAGTTCTCCCGGCTGGCAACGTTCTCCTTGAGCTCGTTGTCGTCGATGATTCGGCCGGCGACGGTGTCGACCAAGAGCATTCGCCCGGGCTGCAATCGGCCTTTTTGAATGACACGAGATTGGTCAACAGCGATGGTGCCAACTTCCGACGCACAAATGATGCGATCGTCATCGAGAACGTAGTATCTGCACGGCCGTAGACCGTTGCGGTCGAGATTGGCACCGCAGTACCTGCCATCGGAGAAGACGAAGAGCGCGGGTCCATCCCACGGCTCCATCATGCAGGCAGCCCATTCGTAGAAGGCTTGCTTCTTCGGTTCGAATTGGGTGTTGCCTTGCCACGCCTCGGGAATCATCAGCATGACGGCTTCTGGGAGGGAGAGCACGCCGTTGATGGTGAGGAGCTCGAGAACGTTGTCGAAAGCGGCGGAATCGGAGCCACCGTCTTCGATGATGGGATAGAGGAGGTCGAGCTGGTCGCCAAACCAGTCCGACTTCAAGACACCCTCTCGGGCTCTCATCCAGTTCTTGTTGCCTCGCAGCGTATTGATTTCACCGTTGTGTGCTGCCCAACGGAGAGGCTGAGCGCGGTCCCATGACGGGAAGGTGTTGGTGGAGAAGCGGGAGTGCACGAGTGCGAAATGCACCTCGTAGTCAATGTCCAGCAGATCATGATAGTACTCGTACACCTGGGCAGGCGACAGCTGGCCCTTGTACACGATATTCTTGTTGCTCAGCGAGCACAGATAGAACCAGTTGTGTAGTCCAATGACATGCGTGGCACGCTTGCGAAGGATGTACAATTGTCGCTCAAAGACTTGTTCGTCGAATTGCTCCTCGAAATCATCTTTGGGCGCCTTTCCATCGCCGTAGACCGATTTGGTTACCACAATGGGCTGCAGAATGATGGGCTCGCGAGATTTGGCCGCGGGACCGAGCAATGTGCTGTCTCGCGGAACCTCACGCCACCCGAGCACTCGGAGATCCAGCTGGTCGGCGACGTCTTCAAAGGTATCGATGGTGTCCTTCAGCGCCTCTTCCTCGGGCTTGAAAAAGATGTTGCCCACAGCGTACTGGCCCATTTTGGGCAGCTTGATGCCTTGTGCACGCTCGAATCGGTTCACGAAGAACTTGTGCGGGATGGAGGTCATGACACCGGCACCGTCTCCGTCGCGGGCATCGGATCCCACCGCACCGCGATGGGTCATGTTGCACAACAGGCTCCGAGCTGGGGGCGAATTAGCGAAAGTGGCTTGCAAGGCGAGGAGCATAAAGCATACCATCTGTGACAATTTTATGGCTCGGCACGCCCTTGATGTTGGCGGCAAAGCCGACACCACAGGCATCCTTCTCGAGCTCCGGGTCGTAGAGACCCTGCTTCTTGGGGAGCGCACCAGCCCATGACTTGTTGTCGGGCGTGTTCTCGTAGGGGTAGATGTTCACGGGGTATTCGTCCTCGGATTCATAGTCCTTGACCTCGTCGATGGTGCGCTCTTTCACATCGTCGGCGAACGAGACTCGGCCCATTCTTTCGGCAGAGGGCCGAACGCGGGTGGATGAAAGGAGATGTACACCCTCTGTGGCGAGGAAGTGAGGAGGGTACAGATCCTGTTTTGCACACAGTATTTTGTCAGTAAACGCGCGCGTTGGAGTCTTGTACAGAATTGTGGCAATGTTGATGTGAGGGGCAAAAAAAAGTGACGAGCTGCAATGACGCCAAGAGAATGGTCAAGGCGGTGTCGGGAAGGCGGAGCTAAGAGACGAGCGGCGACGAGAGCTCCAAGACGGTGAGCAAGCCGGCGATTTGCAGGACCGCGGAGAAAAGGTGGAGAAGGATCGCCGGGGGCGGAAACGATGATGTCGACGAAGGGGGGGAGGAAGATTGCCGACCCAGGCAAGCGGATTCCTGCTCGTGGACGTGCAGGTGGTGCGAGGACAATGGCAAAAAGCAGCGAATGCCTTTGCTGTCCTTATCGGCAACACGACTTTCTGGCCTCCTTCCGCGGCGGGCTCCGAGACCGGGGGCGAAGTGGGCTAGCTAGCTGGACGGGTGGGCGAGAGAGGAAACGGGCAATAGAACTCACCACGGCGTGTGGAATGCTTCGGCGGCGGGCTGATGGGGCGATGAGGGAGTAACGTGAGGAATTGGATGGAGAGAGGGAGCGGGAGAAGAGGGAGGAGGCAGGTGGAAGGCGGCGGGGTGGGCGGAGGTTTTGTGTTTCTCAACTGTCTCTCTCTGCCCGCCCAGGCTGGGCGCGGATTGTCCTCTAGCGCAATGGGATGAATACCGACACACCCACCCACTCTCCACTCCACTCGCACACTCTCCAATGTGGGCAGCCGGTAATTCGACGGGATGGATGTGCTTTGTCAAGCCTTTCACTAATACGATGTCCTTGCCTTTGCCTTTGTAGATGTCGCGTGTAGAGACTATGTAAGATGGCACAACGCTGTACACATGGCCAATTCCGCTCTCCAACAGCTCCAACTCCATCATCTCAATGCATTGGCGATGTCGCACACAACTTAATAAATTTCCCACGCGCCTATCTCATGATAATGACCATTCGCACCACCTAACGAGACCCTGGCAGCCGGGAAACGCGCACAAGCACCACAGCACCAGCACGAGCTCCGCACCAGCCGAATTAAACTTTTAACTCGCAGCTGGCAATCTGCGGCTAGAGGAAGCTGTCGCTCACTTTCGCCGCCGCTGATTCGTCGCCGCCATCTACTCCTCAACCCTTCGCAGCAGATCTGTCGGCTGCAGTCCCCACCCCGACCCAGCCTTAATCCTCTGCCGACCTCGCACGCCGCTGATGCGCGCCTGCGCTCATTGGCGCGCGCCCCCCCCGGCCGCCGGAGTCATTCATATGTGTCCCCAGTTTGGCTGCTGGGGGGCTTATCGGGTGCGTGTGAGAGGAGCGATTGCAGACCGCACCTCAGATCATTAGCATCATCGCCGTCTCTCCTTGCCGTTGCTCACTGCTCACTGCCCACCCTCTCCTCTCGCCGCGCTGCTCCGAGGCTGCTGGTGATGTGCATGCGCGTCCACTCTTCTCCTCTTTCCCCCCTTCTCCGCTTCTCCCAACTCAAATGCCGTTCCCGACATCCATTCGCTCGGTCCCTCGGTAGCCTCTTGCGGTACTGCTCGTTTTCGTCTTTTTCCCTTGGCTCTCTGTTTATCCTCGCCTGTCTCCAATTAAAAAAATATGGATGATGAGGCTATGCTCGTCATTCATCCGACATCGGGCCCAGACTCAACAATTGTTTCACGCCACCCCGCCTTTCCCCTGCCCGTGCCGTTTGCCCCGGGGATAAGCCCGTCAGTCTTTCACGTGAAAGAAATGTGAAGTCTCGTGTCGGACGCATGCAAGCCGCGGGTGGCGTCGAAATTTAAATATGCGAGGCCGGAGCCAGGGTTGGGCAGGTACTCACCTCACTCGTCGCAGCACAGCATGTATGCACGTCTTTACGAGGAGCATTGATTGTGTTCTTATATCCAGAGTGCGGGCAAAGTAGAGATTCGTCCAAGAGTCCTCCTAATACTCACTCATCAACACCTTCTTCAGCCCCGCCGTCTCCTTCTCCAAGGCCTCAATCTTGCGCTGCGCCGCAGCAACATTCCCCAACAACCACTCCACCCTCGCGTGCAGCTCGCCGGGCTGCTTCGGCAGCTCGCCCAGCAACCGCAACTCCTGCTCCCAGCGGTCAATAGACTTGTTCGCACTACCCGTCGCGTCATTAGCCAGCGCCAAATCCATCTTCGCCGCCAGCACACGGTCCTCCACTAGACGTTGGAAGGCCTGCTGGTACACGGGCTTGCCGGGCTTCACGCTGTACGCTCGGCCGTTAGTCGATTGCACGGTGATGAGCTCGGCTTGCTCGAGGGCTGCAATGGCTGCGTCGCCGCCGCTGCTGAAAGAGGCGTCGAGAAGGAGTTCGTTGTAGGGGAGGGTGTCGGTTTGGGACAGCTTCTTGACCAGCGTCCAGGCTTGCTGGGAGGTCCAGTGGCGTTCTTCGTTGGTGCTGGGTGTGAGGTACATTTTCAGCACTTCCGACGCGGACTGATTGATGATTTCTTTGACGGCCACTGTTGGTGTCTCGCCGGCTTTGATGCGTCTAGCCAGGAAGTCGAGATCTGTCAGACGTCCGCCCAACTGTCCGATGACGCTGTCGAGCTCGCTCAAGTCCTGCCGCTTCTGGCTGGCCGTCAGACTATTCGTTGCTTCCCCGTCGTCTTTTTCTTCCCTGACCACTAGATCAGGAGCAAGATCGAAATCGAGATGGTTGATGACATAGCGCTTCGCAACCTCTGGCGAGCAGTCGGCGAGAGCAATCTGTCGGAATACTCTATCCGGCAGCGCCTTGCTCAACGACTTTGTAAACGCAATATCGTTCGTGAGGAACACGACGTGCGCAACGTAAGATGTCGTCAGCTCTGCCGCCCAGTCCGCAATCTTGTCATAGACCACTTGTGCTCCCGGTTCGTTGTTCTTGTGCAAGAAATTGTCCACCACAACCACTGGCCGGTGTTCGGGATGTGCTTCGAGGAACTCCTCGTCGGTAAGATTGGCGTCGACGTCCGTCTTCTTCCGACTTTGCAGTGCGATTTTCCGCAGCGCAACAGCCGTGTTGTTGTGGATCTTCACTAGCTGCGTTTCCAGCGTCTCTGAAAACCCGGCTTTGATGCCCGTCATCCCCTGTGCTGCCAAGTCGATGAGACCACTGATGTTGTTGATCCACGAAAACACCGGCCGATATCCAACTTGAGCAGCTGCAGCGGCGATGGTCGCGGCATCACCCCGAGCCTCCTGCACAGGCTTGCAGTCGATGACCAGTAACTTTCGCGCCTCCCGTTTGTGCTCCAGCGCGTGATCGACCACCAACTCCTTCTTCCCGCTGCCTCGTGGTCCAAGAACCACAATAAAGGTATCCGAGGACTCCATGAGCCAAGACTGGATCTGCTCCACCTCGTTCCTCCTATCCTCCCACAGAGCTTGCATGCTGGCCTCGGAGCTGCGATGCCCGGTGCTCAGCTGCTTGACCTTGTTAATCAAGTCTACGCTTTGCCGTCGGAACCATTTGAAAACGAATGTGTCTTCGACGTGGAATGCTCGCGTGATATGCGCCTCGATCGATAACGTCCGCAGCGGGTCGAAAATGGTGTAGGAGATGCCAGCAATGAGCGCAGCGAAGAGCGGAATGGCGATACGAGGGTGATTGACGATCCAGTCCTTGATCCAACCCCAGCGATCCTTCTTCTCATACGTAATCCGCAGCAGCGTGCCTGACTTCCCGCCTCCCTGCTGTTCGGGTATCGTGAAGCCATGCAAGCAGTTCTTCGCCATGACCGCCTTGCGAGCCTGCGCGTAGTCCAAGTATGCATATCTCGGCACAATCTTCGAGTCCGAGGGCTGCGAAATGACATTGGCTAGCTTGCCGTACGGCCGGAAGAAGCTGTACAGCTGCTCCTGGCTCATCTCCGCGGCTTCCTGCCCAGGCTGCGGCGGCAAAAATTCCACCCGCAACCGCGACGAGGGAAAGATGTAAAGATCCTCAATCCACGGCTTCCCAATCACCAGATTCGCCCCGACGTTCGAGAAAGGATTCCACCAGGGCCGGATCGGGTTTTCGCGAAGATGCGAGCGGACGGCTGCGGTGACGGCTTGCGCATCGACCCCAGGCCCCAGGCGGAACTTGAGAAAGGCACCGCCTTCTTTCAGACGGGGGAGCACTTCCACCACTTCGACGTTGCCGACGCTGCTGTCTTTCGTCGCATCCTGCACGACTTTCCCCGGCGACACGGCGCCGACGTTGTCATCTTTGGCGTCCTGGAGGAGGATGGGGCGGCGGCGCTGGAGAGTCCACGACAGCCGGTAGAACCACTGCAGATTGAAGGGTAAGATGCAGTTGAAGAAGAGGATGCCCTCGTCCGCATTCCGCGAGATGTGGCCGGACTTGTGCTCTCCCGATTCGCTCGCAAGGCGCCTGGTGACGGGTAGTAGTAGTGGTCGCTCTCGGAGTAATGACGTTCTTGATGGAGCTGCCAGAACTCGGGGCCGAAGCATGTTGGAGACGCTCCTAGGCCGCGGCGCAGCCCATGTGTCTATCCAAGTCAGGTCGTTATGAATGTAAGCAGGACATACTCAAGAGCAGATGGCGCTCATCGATTCGTTAAGAGAAGTTGGAAGACGCGAGGTCCAAGGTTGGACGCGCAGAGGTCACTGTGGCGTCATGCCAAGAGGGATCCAAAGGGTCGTAAGAATGTGGCGCATGCGTCGCGGATACGGAGTGACTTGCGACAGATGTCTGACAAACATCTGTAGGTATTTAATCTAGATAAGTATATTGCATCGAGAGCATGAAGGACGGTGACTTAAGTTGAATGCCTTGGACAATTTCAGTCTCCTGATAAGAGTCAAATCGTGACAAATACCGATGCATCAGTTGTCAAGCACTGCGTTTCTATGCTCTGAGTGAACACCACCAGCGCCTCGCTTGAGTACCGTAAGGTAGCTAAGATCAACAAGATGCAATAAATCAACGCCATGCTTTCAAAAATCTCTCTTAGACCTCACTTCTCCCTCTCCTGATGCTTCTCAGCCTCCACAGAAACAGACACGTGCCGACTCTGTTCCGAAGCCGCATCCCCGTCGCGATCATCCTCTTTCCGCACACCACCTTGCGTATCAACGTTGAAGAACGGCACCAGGAGAATCGAAAAAGCGGCCAAAGCAAAGCAGCACCAGTAGACGGAGGTGTACGGCTGGACGTCCCGATCCCAGTACGAAGAAAGCATGGGCCGCTTTTGCGCGGCGTCGAAGATGGCGGTAGTGACGCCGAGGCCGATCGTGCCGCAGAGCTTCGTGACGGTCTGGAAGACGCCGCCGGCGACGGATTGTTGGTGTGGCGGCATGCTGGACATGACGTACATGTTGACCACGTTGAATTCGATGTCTGCTCCGACGACCCTGGTTGTGTGCATGTTAGCGGATGGCAGCGCTGCAATGAAAGTGTGGTAACGTACATGATGCAGAATGCAGGGAACCAGAATGCCCAGTATGAGGATGAAGGCCGGCTCACGGCGAGGAGCAGAAATGCAATGGCGTAGCATGATGTGGCAATGTACATCAGCAGCTTGTTGCTGACGCGGTGCAGTATCAGGCCCGCGACAATGTTGACAATGGTCCCGCAGACCGCCATGGGAAGGAGATGCACGGCGGCCATGAGGGCAGAGAGATGCCACACATCCTGGAAGAAGAGGGCGACGAAGAAGCTGACGGGGATGAAGCTCGCGTACCCGAGGGAGAGAATGATGAGGCCCATCGAGAAATTGCGGTCCTTCCAGATGTTCATGGGCATAATCGGGTCCTTGTACCATCTCTCCCAGAAGACAAAGGCGACGATGAGGAGGATACCAACGATCAGGAGGGCCAGGACATAGCCCGTCTTCCAGCCTTGGGGAGCGGTGGGACCGAGACTGATAGCAGCGGAGAACATGCCAATGCCGCCAACGGTAAGCAATGTCCCGACGATGTCAAAGTGCTTGACAGTCTGCAAAGTCAACGGCTTCTTGTCCGTCCAGTCCTTTGGAACAGTGAACTGCCCGATGATGGTGAAGACGAAAAAGATGATGGCAATGAGCCAGAAGTTGGCGCGCCAGCTGAACAGCGTCGTCGCAATTCCTCCGAAGATTGTTCCAAACACGAAACCGATGGGGTTGCCGCCGGAGAAACAAGCGAAAGCGGCATTCTTTCGTCGGCTGGGTTGATCATAGGCAGCGCCGAGTATGCCTACTGCTGCCGGGACGGCGGAGGCGGCGAAGAGGCCGAGGATGCCGTTGAGCACGTCGAGAGGGATCGGGGAGTTGATGAAGCCTGCAGCGAGCGCGAAGATCGAGTATAGGAAGAAGGATCCGACGAAGAGTGTCTTGCGGCCTGCGTAAATGAGGATCCGTCAGCGGATTGTCGACGTGAGGAATGATTCTGCGTGGAGTCGATAACTCACCGAGCAAATCGGCCAGCCTCCCAAAGAACAATAGAAACGCGCCGCTTGTCAACGAGCTCGCCGATATGAGCCAGGTAATCTGAGCATTGGTCATGTGCAAGTCGCGGCCGACAAAGGATGTGATGACGATGATTGAACCGGTTAACCACGAACCCAAGGCAATGGCCACTGTGGTGCGAGTTAGCAATGTGCGGTGAAACGACGAGGGACAACGTCGACTTACTGGTCGCAGTCAGGACGAATAAGACCTCCTGAATGGTTGAATTGAAGCACGCTGGGCGAAGGCCCTTCCCTTCTCCTCTTCTCCCAGCATCGTCGTCGGCACTTTGCTGGGATTGAGGTCGTTCGTCTTCAACGGCATCGATTGCCGGGCTCGAGTCAGTCTTATCCATTGCGGCGTCGACGAGAGGCGTAAGGAAACGAATCAGGTAGATACGAAAGGCAGCGACATGGTTTCATTGCGAGCATGTAAATACTAGGGCGGAAGACTGCAGGTTGATTTCGAAGCCCCGGCAATAATTCCGTCGCGGGTTAAGTAAGCGGCGCGGAAACGATGTCGGCACTTCGCCGTCCAGAAGGCTCGGCCTTAGGCATTAACGTAAGCTGCCATGCACCGTATTCCTTCAAGACAACTGCTCTAATTGTAAGCGCCGCGGAATTCTTTCTCCAGTCGGATCAGCAATGCATTCGACTATGCCAACCATTCGACCTCATAGCTTAACAACCTCCCACCCAGTCAGATCCATCTTCGCCAATGCTCCCCCGACTGGGCCTTGGACTTCCTGACCGTTGACCCATATCTTCCTGAATGCCCAGTGATTGACGAAGCCTTCCGGACCAGCGACGAAAAGTAGGTCCTTGCCTTCGGAATCGCTGCTGGGTTGGCTGCCTTTGCGAAGGAGGGGTGCGACGTCTTTGAACTCAATCAAGGTCGCTTCTTCGTCGACGTAGTAGTCCACCTGCAGGCTGCCAGGTCTCCTCGTGTTCGCCCTTTGTTTCAAGGCTTCCACCTGAGCAACGATAAGACTCGGCCCTCGTGTAGAGTCGTGTGGCTGTACGCTCAACTGTGACACCCCGAAGAGCCCTTTCACTTTCGTGAAGAGGCTGTCCTGAACACCTGCGGGGTTCCCGTCGCTTCTACCCCCAACACAATCCTCTCTTCTCCTGCTTGCCCACAATATATGTACATCCGCCTGCCCAGCCAGCGCATCTGCGACCTGCATTGCAGGCGCAATACCCGTCCCGCCTGCCAAGAACACCACCCTACTCACTTTCTCCGGCAGCACATATTCCGCAGAGAGCCCTCGAAGCTGCACCTCCGCTCCGACGGTCAAGCGGTGGAGGTAACCCGAGACTTCGCCATTCCGCTCCTGCCGTATTAAAAAGCGCAGTTCGCCGGCATCTTGATCCTGCAGCGGCGGTAGGATGGTGTAAGATCGCGCGATCTGCAACTGCGGTTGCTTGAACTGCACGCTTGTGATGCTTTGCCTGGAGGAGAGGGCATCGGCACTACGCAATATCGAGGCCGTAGAGGGGCGCACGGTGAAGATGGAACACGTGCTCGACACCTCCTCTTTTCTGACCAACACGTATTTCACAAAGCCATCTGTCTGCCCGGCATCTTGACGGGTATTGATTGCGTAGCTCAGCACGTAGCCGAGGGGAATGCAGAGGGCGAATAGCGTGATCGGGCGGATTGCAGCGCGCCGGGCTCGACCTTCATGGCCATCGGATTCGCACCGAGGGCGTTGTGAGAGGGCGCGGCGGGCGGGCGAGGAGGAGAGGGTTGCGGCAGCTGCATTGCGTGATGGCCGAGTGAGAATTAGGGCTGCAGAGCTGGCGGAGGGGATGCTACGTCGGCATGGCTGGCGGCCGCACGGGAACATCACCGGTTGAAGGGGAGGAGCAAGTGCATGATCTTCCACGACACGGTGCCGCTTTTGCGGTGATGCAGACTGTCTCGTGGCTGTTGGCTTCTTAGTCAAACGTGACACATCGCCATGCATTGAAGCGCTCATCGAGAGCAGCTTGTGGAGAGCGCAAGCAGGCCGACGCGAGCTAGGCGCGCCAAGCGGGCGAAAACGGTGGGGCTTCCGCTCGAACATTGCCTCTTTGAGCAAGTGGAAGATGGGATGGCATCCCTGCCGCGCTTACCTAGACGGCTGCTTTGCCCTTTGACGATTAACCCGCCGTGTCAGCCCTGACACCCTTCAGCGCTGCAGGATCCAGCGTGCCTGTCGTCTGCGATACTCTGGAGCTTACGCCGTCTAGGCTTTCGGGCGATCGGGCATCATGTCACCCCGACGGCTGTTCAAAACACCACTGGCCCCCTGCCTGCTGATAATGGCGGACCACAGCAGCTCCCCCCAATGGATTGCCCGATGCCAGCCGGCTGCGACGGTCGTCGTGTTGCCATGGAATCCCCCGCGGACACACTATGGCAACGCCATCCATCGTTAGACATGCTGCTGCCCGGCATCAAAGACGACTCCTCCGTCGACGGCGACAAGGCCATGCCCGCCAGAGACTTCGCCGAAGAACTCGACATGTATCCCCGCACCTACATCACCGCCCTCGACAACGGGCACGCCGAGGACGCGTCGGCGCTGCAAAAGCAGTACTCCTGGCCCGAATACCGCGTCGTCTACGACACCACGCCGCGCATCACCGTCGCCGAGTCGCGCTCCATCTTCCGCAAGCGCCGCGATGCCGATCCGCAGAGCCGATTGTTCGTCGTGGATTCCAAGGTCTACATTGGCGACGACAACGTCACCGCGTCCACCTTTCTCGACACCGAAGTGCTGGAGTGGCATGGGAGAATGCGGAGGCGCGGCGTGCTGGTGTTCAAGTGGAGGTGGAGCGTGATGCGGAAAAAGTGGTTGGTCCACGAGTTGGTGATGTGTAAAGGGCCGCCTGATGACTGGACTTGGCATCGATGAGGGGGCCGCAGATGTGCATGCTTATGGCCATTGAGCCTGTGGGATTTGGGAGCGGCATCTCGCATTGCCCCAACATGAGGGCTGGGATCAAGCCACGCTGCGCCAGGCACTCCGGGGCTAATCCCAGCATCACTCTCCGGCTGACCCGCTGCACAAACCGAAACGGCTGTGAAGCGCGATGCCATGCGGATGTAGTCAGCCTTTAGTGCGCCAGAGCGGTAGCCGTCGATCACACTAGCATGGACAAATGAGGGGCCTAAGAATAGAAAGCATCGATGCTATGTAAGCTATTGCTATAGCCTAGACAATTCGTCATCAACGAACATCGGCTCAGATCGCCGGACCGATCCATCCAAGCACTCTACGGCTCAACACCCGTATGCCATCCAACCTGCACATACGTCTCACAATTCTGCTCCGTCGAATTCCGCACCAAGTCCTCGTCCAACGTCACGCCGCCCTTGGGATACAGCGAGATGACCGTGCTGCCGCCGTAGTAGAAGGCGCCCAGACACTGGCCACGATGGACTTCGGCGCCCACTTTCACGCCTTCGTTGTACTTCATGCTGCCCACCAGCATGGCGCCGACGGCGATGACGGCCACTTTGCTGCCCGAGGGTCGCTTGAGAATCATGACTGAGCGTCGGTTCTCGCAGAAGACGTCGAGGGTGCCTGGTTCGTTGATGGCTTGTGGGTTGACGGTGTAGTAGCTACAGAGGTGAACGGTAAGATTAGAGCAATGGCAGCAAGGAGAGCCGAAATAGTCACTCACGTCCCCGGAATGTCGGTGATGCTCTCCACCGTGCCGGACTGCGGCGAATGCCACCTGTGGTAATCCTGCGGAGCCAAACGATGGATGAGAATGGATCCATCCTTGAACTCGTTCGCCAGGTCTTCCGAGCCCAGGAGCCTTGCAACGGTGAAGCCGAAGCCCTTGATCCAGTACTTCTTTGCAAGGTCGACGGTCGGGAAGACAGTCAGCCTGCAGTCGGCGATACTGCTGACGGCCTTGTCGTTGTCTGGCTCGGCAATGGGGCGAGCAGATTCTTTGATTTCGCGGGCGAAGAATTCGTTGAAAGTGTTGTACTTGCTGGGATCCGGTTGGACCTGAAGGAGGGGTGTAAGTAGTTCAACAGGAACATTGGTTGTGATAGAAGCCTCCACTTACAAACTCATGCAACCCGCTCTCCAACTGGAAACTCTGAATAAAAGGCGCAATGTGAGCCTTGCTCTCAGGAGAATCATACTGCCTCCCCATCTTCTCGCTCTGCTGCTTGAGCATCTCCTGCGCGCGCTTCGACTGCAGCAGATTCTCCTGCTTGGTGCCATAGTAGAGGAGATGCATGCCGAGGCGCACATAGATGGACATGGGCTCAAACGACTTCTCGCCCGTCTTGCGGTCTACAATATAGTTGCCCAGGTGCCAGGAGTTCTCAAAGTCCTGCAGCGAGTTGTAGGGGAAGAGGGATTTGAGCCAGCTGTGCGATTTCTCATGGTGCGAGGGCTGGTGCAGGTGGTCCTTGGGGTCTTTGTCGTGCTTCTCCGACTTGTCTGTGACATCCTGGAAGGCGGACTCCACGGCTGCGAGGTGCTTGCCATCGGTGTCTTTGTCGACTGGGTTGCTGGGTGCCATGTTCGATGGTGATTTACGGCACTTCACGAGCTGAGAGCTACAGTCTGAAGGGAAGTGGGGGTAGTGCCTATAATGATATCAAGCTTCGTGTTCCTGATCGCCAGTTTGCAGTAGGTGAAAGAAGTACCGAGTAGGTTGAAGAGGGCTGAAAACGAAAGAGGTTCCAGACCACGGCTTTGCGGAGGGACAAGTCGTCAGCTCGGTCGTGTTGCCAATCGCAGCTGCCCGCTGGTCTCGTTGCATCCCACTGCACTATTCCAGGGCGAGTCAAGCTCCCCTCGAAGCTTGTTTTCCACGCGCCAAAGCTTGGTTGCGCTGCGTCACGTGCTCGACAAGTTTCATCCAATCTGTACACAGCTTGCTCATTGTGCAAGTCGATCTAATTACAGTGCAGAATAGCAGTATAAAACTCCACCCATGCACCAGCCCATATGCCGCCTAAAAAGTACACAACACTTGCATCCACGTCTCCTTCCCAAATGCCGCCTTGATCCGGCTTCCCACACCCTCCTTGCGTGCATGCTCCCGCGCATAATTCTCCTCAAGCACGTTGTGCTTCGTGATGATGCTCAAAAATACCTGGTCCAGCGTCGCCTGGCTGACAGAGTAATACTCCAAGCCCAAGCGTTCCTTGTTGGCTTCCAGCTCGGTGAAGAGAGCGCTGATGCCGCGGCTTGGGCCACTCTTGTCTGGCTCGAGGTTGCTTTCGTTGACCACCGGCGCCTTCTCTGCGTCTCCTGAATGCTTGATGGCAGGATGGGTGATCTCGTTGGGCACGCTGAAACGCAGCTGGCCATGGAAGCCTCGCTTTTCCGTGACGGCGCGCGGGAAGCGGCTGTTGATGAATGCGATGATCTCGGCCATGCTGGCGTCGCTGGTATACGGCGCGTCTTTGTGGACGAGATGCACGTGGTACGCATCGCCGTGCCTCTTCCTCAATTGATCCGCCGTGCCCAGCGCCAACATTCGGCGCGCCATGATGCCCGCACGGTCCGCCAAAGCGTCTGCTTCTTCCATCGAATGCGTGGTGAGCACGAGACTCCTGCCTTCTGACACCGCAGCCAACGTACGCCACATGATGCGCTTGGAAGCGGCGTCCATGCCGCTGCTTGGTTCGTCGAGGAGTAGAACAGACGGATTCCCCATCAGTGCTATGCCGAGAGAAAGTTTGCGTCGGTTGCCGCCAGACAATTTCCCAGCAAGACGAGTCTTGAAAGGTTCCAGGCCGACGGCGTGCACAATCTGATCAACATTGTGCTCGATATCGGGAACGCCACGCGCTCGGGCATAGAAGCGGAGATGTTCAATGGCCGTCATCTGATCCATGGCGTCGAATTGCGGGCACACGCCGAGATTTGCACGTGCCGATGCTCGGTGTCTTACGATGGAGGTGTTTTCGACCAACACGTCACCCTGTTTAGTGCTTGGGCGTGTATCGCCGCGGATCAGTCCGATTGTAGTCGACTTTCCAGCTCCTGAACGAACGTCAGCATGATTTCAGAAAACTTGTCGCGAACAATCACTCACCGTTGGGCCCAAGCAGGGCAAACACCTCTCCTTTCGGCACTCCAAACGTAACATCATCAACAGCCACATTCGTTCCGAACGTCTTCGTGGCATGCATAACACGCAACTCATCCGCGCTTCCTTCGGTCCTCTTGGCTTCAGCAAAGACTTCCGCATCCACCTCCTCGCTCATCTCCGCATCCTCATGCCGGTACTTTGTCCGAGTGAGGAATGCAGGTCTCCATCCACTATCGTACCACACAAGCCAAACGCCAAAAAAGAGGGATTGCAGGATGAGATAGAGAATCGGGCCGCCAAAGACCGTGATGGCTCCTGGGTAAGGCGCGATGCTCGTTCCCTGACAGAGGATCGAGAACTCATTCAAGGTGAGCAGCAAAGCCCGCAGCAAGTTGGCCGCGGGGAAGAACAAGCCGATGGTGAAAAAGGCAATGTTCACGTTTGTGTCGATCTCCGTCGTGACCGAGTACGTGATGATGCACATGTACGCCACGAAGTAGAGCAGAAACATGGAGCACTGCATGCCAGCGGCCACGGCGAAGGAGGCGAGCTGACTCGTGGCGAAGAGGGAGATGACGTAGGCCATGAGGGTGGCAGACAGGCCGTAGAGGACGAAGACGATGAAGAGATACCCGGGTCCGTACCAGATGCTGGAGACGGCCGTGAAGATGATGATGGTGATGCCGCTGACCAGCAACACAATCATGAAGTCGAAAAGCGTGTATGCGATCCAAAGTGGTGCCGCGCGGATTCCGTTGCTGTAGTGCAATGCTCTCACGTTGCGTAGTCGCTCGACGTTGGTGTAGAGGGCAAAGAAGGCAGGGTATGCGCTCATGGCCAGCCCAAAGTAGAGAGCGAGCTGGAGACTCTTGCCGGTCGAGGGCGTGAAGGGGGAATCGAAGGATTGGTATGCGGTGATGATCGGCGTCCTGGTGAGACTAACGTCCATCAGGTTTTGGACCGCGACCGGGAAGGATACGTTGTAGTTACCCCTCCAGGCGAACGTCGGGGTGTCTCCCAGGTAAAAGCCACCAGGGACGGCTGTGCTGAAGTTCGCATTGATGTAGGCTTGGAGAGCGTCAAGAGATGTGACACCCTCAAGGGCCTGCTCAAGAAGCGGATACAGCTGCAAAAGAGTATTCCGCGGCACTTGACTAGCAGGTCCATAGGGTATCTCCGCCCCGATTGCCAGGTAGCCATCGAGAGACGTGCTCTCCGGGATGTATAAACCAGAGGTAGGAGCACAGGTCAAGGCGGAGAAGTTCTTGAGAAAGAGTGTTACGAGTCCAGCGGCGGCAATCGGGATCAAGAGCGCAGCGAGATACGGCCAGGTGTTGCGCCGGAGAATCGTGATCCGCTTTCTGAACAGTACGAAGGTTTGCTGCCAGAATGACAATGGCTTGCCGGTGCGAAGTTGCAGGCCTTTTTCGCCAGACGCCGAATCCGGTTGGCTCGTAGTGTCCAATTGTCGATCCTTCTCCAGCTCGTCCTTTACTTCTGAAGCGAGCTTCAGGAAGACGTCTTCGATTGTTGGGCCGCTCACTTGATAGTCCTTCACTCCAGCCTTCTCCAATTCCACGATAAAGCCTGCTGCAGCACTAGAGTCGGCAAGCTGATAGACCGTCTGATCGTGGTAGACCTGCTTGTTCATCGATTCCAGTTCCGCTGGGAGAGGTCTGGCGTCCTCGTGATAGATGCGTGCACGGTAGCCACCCCCAAGACGATGCTTGAGCGCCACAGCCGAGCCATTCGCCACCAGCTTTCCTCGGGACAGAATCGCAATATCGTCAGAAAGCAGATCGGCTTCGTCGAGGAAGTGGGTCGTCAACAAAATCGTTCGTGCACCGCGCTCAGCAAGCAAAATGTCCCAGATCTTCCGCCTACTCAGCGGGTCCAAGCCAGAGCTGACCTCGTCAAGCATACACAATTTCGAGCCTCCGGTCAACATCATGGCAAGCTGAGCCTTTCGCTTCTGCCCACCGGACAGCGTGCGCGTGGTGGCGTTCAGCTTCTGGTCAATGTCGCAAGCGGCAATCAGCTCCTTCATGACGCTCCGGGAATCGGGCTTGCTCGCCTTCAGTCGGTTGAAAATGCGCACATGCTCGTAGACGGTCAACTCGTCCCAGAGAACATTCTTTTGCGGACAGAGGCCAATGCCCCCAGTCGCATCCATTTCGATGATTCCACTCGAAGGGACTTGCAAGCCTGCCAGCATATCGAGCGTCGTGGTCTTGCCGCTTCCATTTGCGCCGAGAAGAACGCAGATCTGGCCTCGCAGAACGGCGACATTCAGGTGGTCGACGGCGTGCACGGTAGGCTTTGGCTTGTGGGAGAATCTCGGTGCTACTTTTCCTTCGAACCAAGCCGGGGCGTAGTCTTTGGACAAATCTGTGATTTTCAGTGCTTCGGGGCTCTCCGATTCGTCGTACCGTAGATGCCGGGCCTTGGAAGCCGTGCCGTAAAGCTGTCTTTCGATGAAGGCGCCAAGAATGGGAAAGGCGACGATTTGAATGGCACAGAACACGAAAAATAGATATCCTGGGGTAGACCAGGGCGCAGTGGGTGGGCCGTGGCGCAGGTCGATAGCCAAGCCCTGCCGTTGCCAGTAGGCTGCGTAGATGATGAAAAGGACAAAGTTCATCGGGGTGAACAACAAGCTCACCACCGTTGCTGTCGCAGTCGAGGAAGGCGGAACGACTTGTATGATGATCGCGAGGATGATAGAAGTCATCACCACCGTGATACCGGACAGTTGAGCCTTCTTGAACAAACTTGCAAAGGCGACGGACCAGCTCGACAAGGCAAGTCCGGACATGATGAAGTAGCCGACGAGTATGCCAGCATTGGAGTAGGTGTAATTCAGGGAGCCCACGATGGCACCCATGATGGCCCAACTGGGAAGGTACAGAATGTCGAAGGAAAGATGCATGGCCAACAGTCGAGTCGCCTGCGTCGTCCAACGGTGGCGATTGGGCATCATAGCCTCGATGAGCTGCGTCATTCCCAGTTCCCGCTCCTTGGCCATCTCACCAGTTAGTTGGTAGCAGATTCCGACGATGCCAATGAAATAAGCCACGGCAAGGATGTTGATGAGTGCTCCCATGTAAGAGTGGTTGATTGACTGTAGCCGTTCTTCAGCCGTTTGGTCGGTGTATGCGTACTCCTGCACATTGTCCGGCAGGGTGGCGCCTTGCACAGAGGCGATTGCCGCATCGACGGCATGTTGGAGAGGGAGAACGTAAATCTCGGCGGCATTGTTGTGTTGGTTGACAAAGATTTCGCCGCCGAACGCGCCGTCGGCACGTATGGTGTAGTTCCACACCGATGACGAGCCCTCTGTCGGAGATGAAGTGAAAGACACCGCTCCGAAGCACTGCGTGACTCCGCGAACGGAGCCTCTGCAGATTCTTTGGATTTCGGAGTCCGCGCTGATCACTTCGACTGTTTTGCCGTGGGCCTGGATAGGCTGAGAGAGCTGATCGATCACTCTGGCGATGTCGCCACCAGTGTGCCCGTTATTGACGAAGACCACGGTATTCCTGCCGCCCGAAGAAGCATCCAAAGCCGCTCCAAGCGATCGCAACGGAGCGGGAGAACCCACGCCAAAGTCGCTGGGCGGTACGAAGAAGTTTTTAGCATAGCTGATGATGAACATGAAAATCACCGGCGCAATTAGCGCTCGGGTCAGTGTTCCCAGCCAGTGGCGTAGGAAGACGATGGTGAGTGTCTTTTCGCATAGCGTCCGAGTTTGGCGGATGAACGCCATTGCGATCGCGTTGAACTTGGCGACGTTGCGCGGAAGAAGAAAAGTTCAGCTGTGCGTCAACATAGAGGAGAACGAGAGCGTCTGAGAATTGTTCAACGAGTGCGGATGCCTGTGGCGAGATTCCGAGATTCCGTAAGGTAGGTGTGTAGTCAGGCGCATGCAGCCGGCGTCATTCGACTGTGGCGAAACTTCTTCTCAGCAATGAACGTGGAAAATGGAATGCAACGAAGGCAAAGTAATTACAGACGACCGCTCGAAATAGCGCAGATGGCGAAGATATCAAGAAGAAGAGGCGAAGACTCGATGAAGCGTAGATGTCGCTCGGCATTGCGTACTGCCTTCCAATCCTGCACGGAATGTCGTGGACGAAGCTCCGCGCTAACGCCCGGCCAATTTCCTCATTGGGCATAGTGGGACGGAACCGGATGCGAATCGCTCCGGGCTGGCCTGGCACACGCGCAAGGCGGCACTGGAACCACGGCTGGAAAAGTATTGGCAACAATTCGATTAAGAGTGACTACTCATCGACTGATAATGCCACCCTCCATGCCCGGCGCATACACGCTTCTTGCCACTACTCCACAAAGTTCTTGAGGTACGAGCTCTGGCTCAGGGCGGCGCGAACGCCCTTGCGCTGCAAGATCCTCTCGATCCAGTTCTTGACAAGAGGGAAGCTGGCATGGTTGTAGCCGTTCTTGTCAAAGAACTTGACCATGATCAGCTGCCACGGCAGGAAGGACAAGTCGGCGTAGGAGTATTTGCCGCCCACCAGCCACGGACCATCGCCGCCCTTGCTCTTTTGCTTCTCCAGCTCGCCCTCCAGGACGCCGGTGACGCGGTTAACCTCCTTGAGGTAACGTTCCTTTACAGACGGCACGTCCTCGGAGTGGAACTTGTGGAACCAGACGTTCTGTAGAGAGCGGTCAGTTATGGCTCATCTTGGGAGCAATCTCGAATGCGTGAAAAGCGTACCTGGCCGTAGTAAGGTCCCTGCCCAGACACCTGGAAGAAGAGATACTGCAGGGCGAGCGCGGCGTCGTTGCTCCCGGCAGGGAAGCTCAGGGCCTGCTTCTTGTCGTATCTCTCAATGAGATACAGGACAATGGCGCCCGACTCCCACAGGGTGAGGTCGGTGTTCGGGTCGTAGATGGCTGGGATGCGGCCGTTGGGGTTGACCTTTAGATACTCCGGCTCTTTGGTCTTGCTGATTTCCACGGGCACAATCTCGTAGGGAACGCCGAGCTCTTCGAGGACGATGGGAACCTTTGGGGGGTCTTGAAGGTATGTCAGCATGGAATACTTCAGATCCTTCCACCGTACTCATGCCATTGGAATTGTTGCGCGTGGGTGGACTTACTCGGGCCATCAGCGCCCCAGACCTTGATTGGCTTGAGAGAAGACATGTCGGATCAATTGTACTCGATGATGTTGTTGGACAGTTGAAGGGGAGTAGTAAGGAGCAAAGTAAACCTGAGTAGAGATATTTCAACCAAAAAAGATCCCCAAATAATGAGCTCGTCACCCAGCCTTTATATGACGAAGCCCACCAGCGAAACGCCATTGAAAATCTGCCGGGCAACCATCGTCACGGCAGACAAAACGTGGGGCGCTCGTAGACGGAGGAGACAATCTAGCCGTCCTGCGGTCTGGCAAATACCTCAATTGGTGCGTTTAGCCTCCATTGTGGCAAGACATAAGGTGGATTAGTGATTAGTCGTAGATTGCTTGCATTTGTAAGCCGGGGAATGGGGCGAGAGCATCTCCACCGTCGCCGTAATGTATCATCGCGGGGTCGATTTGCTGGTGCAGGCAGGTGGAGCATCGTGTGGAATCCAATACGCATTGGCACTAATTTACTGCTATTCTCCCTCTTTCGGTTGGTTATCGATGCATAAGTGATGTGCACGCTCTTCCATACAAGGATCATCCCTCCATCCATTGGGGTCAAGGTTTGTGGGAAAGACCCCAGCATTTGGCGAGCTCAAACAAATGGCGAAGCGAACTCCATTCATCGAAACCTCAGGTGTACATCACCCCCGGGACGGTATCTCGTTGCTTTTGGCGCTCAGCCTTGCACCTCTTCGCAGCCTCCTCCCTTTCTGGCGTCCATGTAGATATCAAATATTGTATCGTGACTCCATATCCCAGCCCTACTCGTATTGGACAAGACAGGATGCCTACATGTATGCCAGGAATGAAGTCAGACACTCACGCAACGAGGGCGATGCATCAATCCTGGTCCCTACCCACCTTCTCCCACTCTCTTCCAACGATCTAGCAACTCGGCAGAACCTCGTCACCATCCAACAATCTCTACATGTACAATCATTCACGCCTCCCCTCCAACCAATGACTGGCAGCATCAATCGATGCGCTCGGTCGGCGGCCCAAAAATGCAAACCTGTTGGGGTTCTACGAGTCTCGCCTTGCTTTCTCTCCTGAAAAGGAGTATGTTTTTTGATGTTTTGGCACGTCCCGGGTTCGAGTCTGGGTTGCTGCTCGCCTTTTTTGGTGTCTGCTGTGAATGGCAGGGGGCCCTAGAACTTGTCACTGGATAAGACGAATGCACGACCTATGAGTGAGAAGACTCCACTTTCATTCCATTGATCATAAGGCTGCTGCCACATCAAAACGTCTAGAGGACGAAGGCAATTCCCTCTAGTCAATCCATCATGCACCGGCATCCAATTCCCCAGGAGAAAAAGAACCCCATCGCCTCGCTCCACAATGAGAAACGCGAACAGTCCAAAAGATCAAGAATGAAACAAATCCCAAGCCCGCTCGCACAACCGCAGAAACTCCTCCTTCTTCTCTGTCGAACTCATCCCACTCCTCCAATCGTCCTCCGCCGCAGCGAAAGTCGTGCGCTTCGCCTCCATCCGCTGCGGGAGATGCTGCTGCGCCGAGCGCGGCGGACTCTCGTTGTCGCGCTCGTATTCCTCCCGCCCGCGTCGTCGGCCGTTCATCGATGATGTGCGAGCTAGGATGTCGAGGCGCGAGGTGCCGTCCGAGTTGTACGTGGCGCTGTTGTTGCTGTACGAGCGTGCGGTAGGTTGGTGTTGTTGTTGCGCGCCGGTGGAGGAGTACGAAGGCTGGCTGCTGTTGTCGGCGCCGAGCATGGGCGACGGGGGCGTGGGGGGTTGCACAAGGCGGCCGTAGTGCACGACTTTGGGCATCAAATCGTCGCGGCCACCTGAGAGGCCGGCCACGGCTTCTTCTGCGGAGCGGAACTCGCGGCTCCTTGTGCCTGGTAGGCCTTGGTGGGAGGGGAAGTTGGGGGAAGCGGCAGAGGGAGGAGCATAGGCGTGGGGAGGCGAGTGGGTGCTGGTGGGGTAGTTGCTTTGCTGCATTTCCGACCGGTCTTTGGCTAGTACGTCTGCGATTGGCGGCAGGCGGTTGCTGGTCTGCGTAGCGGGGACGTGGTGGATGTGGCTCATTTGACTCAGCGCGCTGGGACCGTGCTGGACGTGGCGGCTGTATGCTTGATCGCCAGGTCGGAGTCCGGTGAAGGTCTGATTGATGGGGGCGGATTGAATGACACGGTCGTTGGCGAATTGGGCGGCATTTGGAGCGGCGATCGTGAGGCCTGGCGGAGCGCCTTTCCGTCGGGAGGTGGTGGGCGTGCGTGTCTGAACGCCAAACAGAGTGGAGTCTTGTGTTCGGTTGGGGTTGTCGGCCTCGTGTGCACTGCCGGGCTTCGTGCCTTTCTGTCTAGCTTCTATAATCTGCCTTTGCTGATCACGAACGTCGAGGCTCCTCTGTAGCTGTTCTCGCATGCCTGGGTCGTTGGTCTGGAAGCCGGGCGAAAGGCAGGCCAGGCCGACGTCTAGTACCTGAAGGCCGGCAGATTCTCGAGAGGTGAGTGGGGCGGAGGGATTGGAGGACTGAGCACCAGTTTGTGGACCGCGGGCGGTGGCCGTGGATGTGCTGGCGGAGGTGCTGGAGGAGAGGTCGAGCCGCTTTGGTCGCGGTCGGGAGGACATTTGGGGTGAGGCGGGCTCCTTCTTGACTTTGATGACGGGTGGTGCGCTGGCGCCGGCTCTGCAGGACATACTTCATTAGTCGAGCTCAAATAGCCCTTGAGCTATGCCATACGTAGGAATACTCACGAAAGCGGGGATTTCTTGCCGGCGAGACTCGCTCGGTCTGCTATGCTGCTGCTCGCAGTCTCCAGCGGGCTCGGCGAGGGATTGCTGCGCACTCGTTTGAACACCGGCTCCCGGTCGCTAGTCTGCGGTGCGGCGGAGGCAGTGACGACGGCGGGGAAGTGGGAGGAGGGGGAGAGATGCCTCTCCACGCTGGGAGCAAAAGATGCAACGGCGGTGGACATGGCGGGCGAGAGAGAGCGCGGGCGGAGAGGTGCGAGGTGTGAGCCGGAGGCGGATTGCGTGTTCGCGTGCGTGCGGCGGGATGGACCTCGTTCGGCGGAAGCTCTCGAGCTGCAGGTCGATTCGATATTGCTCCACACCCGCGCGTTTGTCTGGCCCGGCGCTTGACGGTGGACGGGAGGAGGTGTTTGCAGCGTAGATGGAGGTGGCAGAGGAGGGGGAAAAAGAAGAAACGGCGACGAGGTGGCGGCAAGGGGGGTCAGGCAGCCTGGCGAGCCCTGCCAGGCCTGCATTTAATTAATCGATCGCGCTGGATCGTGTTGCACTTTGCGGCGTACAGCGCGGCGCGACGGGCGGTTGGCGGCCTCCGTGTTTCATCTGTGTCTCGTGTCGCAGCCTATCACAGGCGCGCGCGTGCGCCCGCCCACCACGCTAAGGCGCCACGTCGGGTAAGGCGCTGCTTACCTCATCCACTACATGTCTCACGTCGCCTCCACCTCTCTACCAGGGTGCCTGAAGCAGATGCGTACAGGTAGGTGTAGGATCAACGAGGATTGTGAGCATACGTCAGGCTGCCAACGCTCCAAACAGCAAGTACGTCCTCCGCCAGTACTCGCTCGCGCTCTTCCTCAACCGCTCCAGCGACCCTTCATCAACTTCCCCATTTTTCGTGAGCTTCTCGACAAGGCTGTGGAAGGCCTCTCCGTCAGCCAACACTTGACCGAGATAGAGGGTGTCAAAGAGATTCTGCACAATCCGTGCTCGTTGACGCGCTTCCAGTCGATCTGATTTTTCATCCTGTGCAGGACTCCTTTCTTCCTCAACGTGTCCATTCGCCTCGTTATCCTCGGAATGCCCGTTGGTCAACACTTCTCCCTTGACGACGTCAGTCGAGGAACAAAGCGTGAATTCCGGGTCATCTAGCCCTTGTTCCAATGCATCAGCAATGGCCTTCTTCGCCTCGGCTACGCAGTGCAAGTTCCAGACATCCGTCCCGCCCTCTTCCATGGCTCGATGGAGTTTCGTCAAGAACTTGATAATCATCGGTGAGCACTGAATGGGCAGCGGTGGACTGCCATCCCAGAGCGTGGTAGGTACGTGACGACGCTTCTTGGACAGTTCAATCGCTGCCGGTACGACGGCTTTGGACAACGACTGTGCAAGGTTGCGGTGCAGCTCAGCAACGGAGAACGAGTCGCTCGGGATGCTCAATCTGTTGTCCAAAGCTTGACATCGCCAGTCAATCTCTCTCCAGATGCGAATGTAAAACGCAGGATGGTTGGTCGAAGGCGCTACAGCATCCAGCTGAGTGCGAATGCGCGTCAACGAGTCCTGAATCACTGTTCGTAATCTGCTTCGCAGCTGCTCCGGATCTTGCTTGCTCAGGATCTGCTGTAAAGAGTCATCACCGTTGGTATCGTCCAGGTGAAAATCGGAATTGTCCTCCCAAGTCGTCGAGCTCATCTCATCGGCAACATCTAAGAAGTCGTTCAGTCGCTTCATCCATGCGTCGAGCTTCTCAATCTCCACTCGCAGCTTCTTGTCCCTGCCGTGTCGTGCATCCAGGAGAGCTCGGCGCAAGCCGAACGCTCCATGTGCGAGATCGTAGTCCTCAGTCGCCACGTCCCACAGGCTTGACAAAGATTCGCTCGTCGGTAAAGCAGGCTCATCAGCATCTCCAATTGCGAGATCGTCGACGGTTGCAGCTTGTGCAGCAAGCTCGGACAATCTCTCGAGAAAAGCCAGTCGCACACCTTGTACCACCTCCGTAGAATCCACGTCTTTGGTCGTATTGCTCATTTCCATAAAGTTGGAGATGAACTTCTGCCGTGCATCCAGAATCGTCTGCGCATCGTCCTCACCAGACAGATACTCCGCCACACCCTCAAACACGCAGGATCGCGCCTGCTGCGTCCACGCGGCGAGAGCATCAGTCACCTCAGTCGATACCAGATGATCGTGCCGGAACCAAGGGGTGAATGTCTGGAAATCCTCAGGCATCCACGAGCTGTAGATGTCGAGATTCAGCTCGAAGAGGCTCGTTACTTGTTCATCCTGCACAAGTGGGCCTTTCGAAACGCGAGCGAGCAAATCTGCAAATCGACGCGGGAAGAGGTCGCGGGTGTCGGCCAAGGTCTGAGTGTATAGCTCCAGCATTTGCACGACGTGCGATTCGGACGGCGTCTCGGTGGCTCTATTGAGCTCGTCCAGCCGCATCTGCAAAAAATGTCGAAGGACCTGGCGTGGCGTCGAGCTTGTGACGAGAACATAGCCGCAAAGTACCCGAGGGAGCCTCGCCTTGTCCAAAGACACTCTCGCCATGTTCCTCTCAATGTACGAAAGAAGCCGAGTACGGGTGGCATTCAGCTTCCGTCGAAGCTCGTCCAGAACAGCCGGCGGCCGCGAACTCTCCGCAACACTCTTGATCAAAAGCCTGGCCAGCACAAATACCTTCGCAGCAAGCAGAGCATCCCCACCACGCTTAAGCGTCCGCCGAACAGCAATCAAGCAATTCTGCAACACCCTCGTCTGCACCACCGCCCTCCTCCCCTCCCCCTCTTCCTCCATCCTCTCCCCCACAAACCGCCTATGATTCTCCGCAATCCGCTGCACAACCGCCGCATTACAATTCTTCCCAATCTCCCCTAGCGACGTCTCCACCGTCCGCACCTGCGCGTCCATCTCGATGATCGTCTCCGCCGTCCCGAGCAACTCGCGGTAGCTCGCTCCGACGAGCGAGCGCAGCTTTTGGCGATTCTCATCGATGTTCTTGCGGAGCTGCTGCTCCAGGCGCCGCACGATTGGCAGGGGGTGTTGGAAGGCATCTTCCCAGGAGTTGAGGGTTCGCGGGTCCAGGATTTGGCCCGCCATTGGGCGAGGTTGGTTGAGAGGGAGAGGGAGGTTCAAAAACGCGTGGTTGGAAGTGGAAGTGAGCCGGAAAAAGCGGCGGGTGTTTCCGCGCGTGCATGCTGGCATTGAACTTCACGCACATGCATCCTCTCCATCTCGCTACCTTGACAATCACCACAATGTGACAAAGTCCCGCAACAAGATGGCAAACCCAGACACTCTACCACCAAATGAACAAACACAACACCCAAAACGAAAACGCACTTCCACCAAACCACCCACAACCTCAATAACTCTCAGCAACCCCCACTGGTCCTACATCCACCTCCAACACCTCCCCTCCACTACCGCCAACAGCAATACAACCCCAAACACCACCCCCCTCGACGCCCCCACAATCCACCTCCACCTCCGCTCCGCCCTGACCCAATTCCTAGGCCTGCACGGCTCAGCAATTGCCTTCGACATCCTCAAAATCGAGCATCACAACGTCTGGCTGCGCGTGCAGGCCGAGGATCGCGTGGCCTTCGTGGCGGCGATTGGAGGGTGGGTCGGGAAGGACGGGAGGGAGGGATGGAGGGTGAAGGGGTGGAGTTATTGGGATGCCGGCGGGGGGTCAGACGGTGATGCCGGGGGACTTTTCGATTGAAGCCTTGCCTTGGGTGGTTTGATAGTGTTTCAAGATTGGACGTCATGGGGTATACCTAGCTAGCATTACAGCATCGACCAAAGCTGTGGGTGAGGTCTCCTTCACCCGAGATCGACGCAGGCGCGCGCGACGGCCGCGGCATCTATATCTGAGCGCAGAAGCAAGCCGGGACCTTCCAACAACAAGAACAAGACCACGACAGATCACCGCCTCGCCAAGAGACAGACCGGAATGATTGAGCAAGAGTCAGCTTACTGGCCCGCACCTTCCGTCGCTTGCATCGCATCGGCTTTCGCCCCCTCGGACTCCCGCGCCCACGCCAACTTCTCAGCCTCTTCTTGATCCGGGGAGCCCGTCGTCGGCGGCGTGGCAGTTTGAAAAGTCTCCGCTTTGAGGAAATCAGCGCCTCCAGATGCACGTGACGGCAGTCCGTGGACTGACAAGCTCTCGTCCGCTCGGTGGCCATTGGCATCGGACGGACCGAATGTCGCAGCGTGCACGGCGGTGATGGCCTCGTGGGTAAAGGAGCCCGAGACGTCCTGGGCTGTGCTCATCTCTGCACCTGGATCGGTGTCCATTGCTTCGCCATTGGCCCATTCGGTAGGAGGGGGAGGGGGAGGCGGCGGTGGTGGCGGCGCGAGGGAATCCGCTTCGCCATCTAGCCGCAGCTTCTTCAACGCCGAGTCTTCCTCTTCAGCCGTGGGATCGTCTCGCCTCCGTTTCAGCGCAGCGAGACTGTCGACTGAATCATCTGCCGGCGTGGCTTCGACATCGTCTTCGCCCTCGTTGTCAGAAAGCTCGGCTACGTCGTCATCACCGTCCTTGTCCATCGGACTTCCAGCCGTGGCAGGAGGCGAACCCGTTGGAGTATGACTTTCTCCCCCAGCAGCATGCGTCTTCTTCACCCCACGCTTCTTTTCCGCCTCCTCCTTCTTCCGTACCGCCTTCTCGAAAAAGTCTTGCGCATGCTTCTTCACACTCTTCGCCTGCTTGTCGCTGATCTTCGAAGGATCCTCAACCCTGCCCTTCCTGAAGTCCGACTCGACCATCTTCTTCGCAAACTCCTTCGCCCACCGCTTGAGGTCGTCTTTGGCGAGTTTGTGCTTGTACTTGCCTACCACGTGCATGATGTGCGGCTGTAAGGAGGACTCGTAAATTTTCTTCTGCTTCTCCTCGGGCAAAGATCGCCATTTGTCTTCTTTACGTTCCTTTTTGGGGGTCGCGGTTGGCGTGGCGCCGGTAGAGGCAGCGGGCTTTGTGGGCTCCTTTACCGTGGAGACGATGTTTTTGATGAGATCTTGAATCATTTGTTGGTCAGAGACGGCCTTGGGAGGTGGCGGTGGAGGCGCGTTGGCAGCAGGAACCGTCGGTCTTTGCCATGTTGTTGCTCCGCCGTGGTTATAGTAGTAGATGGAGCCGTTGGCGGCAGTGGCTTCAAACCATCCATGCGGGAGAGCACCGGTAGGAGGTGGCGGTCTGAAACGTCCCGATGGGCGTGGGCCGGCAAAGTACCCTGCACCTCGCTGAGGCGCATTGCTCCGAGGCCCTGTAGGAGCGAATACCCGCTCTGGCGACTTGGACTTGGATCGTGAGCGTGACCTCCGCCTCTCACCATCGCGCCTGTCCACTCTATCGACCTTTCGATCATTTGCCGCGGCGTTGGGGTCTCGCTTCATGCGAGGGATCCGATAGCCGATCTCCAGCTTGCTCCATGACTCCAGCAGGGCCTTGGCCTGAGCCGCGACTCTCTCGTCGGCGTTGTTCGCCAATGGCTCCACGGTCTCCTCGATCTTCGAGTCCTGGATCTTGTTGCGAGTAAGACGAGGCATCTTGTCGAGCACATCCAGCACCTGAAGACAGACATTGACATCCTCGATGAAGTTGGACAGCACGGTCTTGAGAATGCGGTATCCGTGGAAGCGCACCACCCGATTGCGCACCTTCTCGTCGTCGGCGCGCTGGATCCGGGTAAGCAGCTTGACCGCAATCCATTTTTCCTTGCACTGCATGAGTGAGGACATGACTTTGTTGACGCCATCTTCGTCCAGGCCTCTAGGCTCGACGTTGTTGACGTACTCCTCGTCATCCTCACCCGTCTTCTTCTTGCGCGGTCGCTTCGCCACGGCAGTATCCCAAGCATCGGCATCGTCGATACCAAGCGCTTCGATGATTGCATTCGACAGCTTGGTTGCACGCTCCGTCTGCGTCTTGCCACCGATGTAGCCCGTGCAGTTCGGCTCGCCGCAATAGCAGGGTTGGGGCTCCGCGCCGTATCGATCGACGTTGTAGTTGAAGGTCAACTCCTCGCCAGCTTGGACCTTGCGCTCGGCGAAAATGCCCATGCGCAGCCTGTCGCCCACCACCCATTTGTCGACGTAGCAATTGGGATTGCAGGAATGATTGCAGAATCGGCCCAGATTCCCCTTCTTGGTCGCATCCACAAACTCGCCTTTGGTGAGAGACATGAAGTAAAAGTGCTTGATGCCCTCCTCATCGTACTGCTGCATGCGCTTGCGGAAGGCATTTTCTCCAATCACCTCACCAATGTACTCGAATATGAACTCGTTGGCCTGGAGGTCGTTCTCCGCTCGCAACCCATAGCCCTTCTTGTCCGTTTTGATGACTGACACATCGGCGTATTGCTTTTGCTGAAAGCGGCGATTTTGGCAGGTGGTGCCGCAGGAGCAGTCGCCAACGCACTCCATTTTGGTGGCGCGGTTGATGCAGTCCGAGTCATCGCCGCAGGCATGATTCGTTCGGGTGGCGGAATCTGGACGTGAAGTGTTAGATGGGCGTTGTGGTTGATGGTGGAATGTGTATCTTCGCGGGCTGTGACTTACCCCACTCCTCCGCACAGTCGCACTCCAAGGCATGTTCGGTGGTGCCGAGATATTTATTCGCATAGACGCACTCGGACAGCACGGTGAATGCCGAAGTCGCTTCCGCAGTCTTGTTTTCGTAGTCGAAGAACAGGGGTGGAAGCCGCCGTTCGACTTTCTGACTGGCCTTCCTCTGCAGCTTCGGGGGTTTGCCGGGCTCCAGCTTCAGCTCGATATCACCCCCGACCATTTCCTCATCATGCTTGACGGCAGGAGATTGAGCCATCTGCTCACTCTTTATAGGAGATCGAGACGCTTTCTTGGTGCTGCGAGGGGTGTTGGGGCCAATCGTCGCAAAAGCCTCCCCGGCCACAGAGGCAGAGCGCTCTGACTTCACCGGGTGTGTGACGGGTACTGTGTCCATGTCCACATCGCCATTCTCTTCTTCTTTGAGTGTGATCCCACGCACGTCTGATTCTAATCCCTCTCCATTCTGCCGCGGGTCGTTGACGTGTGCCATGTTGTGGGTGGGTGGGTGAAGTTGAAAGCTCGGGCACAACAAGAAGCCGCGAGTCTAGCAGCCGGGGCGGGAAGCAAACGAAGACCCGCCGCACATGCCCACGCCACTGATTGACTATTCGGAAATGATCGAAGCTCCTGAAGGCATGAAGCGATCGTGGAAGGCGGCAAGCGAGCGATAAGATTGGGTGGTATGGCGATGGGTGATGGAAGTGAGGTTTGGATTGCCCCAGGCGGGCCTCGGCGGAGAATCGGCGGTGCGGGACAGCTGAAGACAAAGGTTCTGGGGCCGGGACGAAGGCGGCAGTGCTACAGACTGTGCGTGACAGTCTGATCAAGACTAATTACATCTATACGATGAGTACCTGCTTGCGCTTGACGAGGAGAAGAAACCCACTAATGCCATGAACTCCAGCGCGCTTCGCGGAAACCCGGGGTGGGCGAAGGAGAGGGATTTAGGGAGTGTTGCAATGAGTATGAGAGAGACAAGGAATGCCCAAGGTGTGTGCAGTGAGGGAAGTGCTCGACAAAGGAATTGAGAGGGAAGGGAATCGACATGCCCGGGGCCTTGGCAATGGGCTTCTTTGCTTACTCATCATCGGGCAGGCGTGAATGCAGAACAGTATTTCATCACACCTGCGCGCAGAGAGCTATGATGGCATTCCCTCAATCCAAAGGCGTGTGTTTGATATGACGAAGGCCAGTCCATTGTCCTTGGCTATGCCGGCGATGGCAGATATCAGCTCGAGTGGGCGGGTAATCCGAATCTACGAAGTCGTCGCGGCCTTGCGTGGTCGATGCTGCTCCAGGGCGCTTTGCTTCGTTCTTGCCATTCGTAATCCTCGGCCTCGTCGATCTGCAGGTGTAGCGTTCTCTCACCAGCTTGTGGATGCGTAGTCTTGCACGCTCTGATCCTGCGTTCATGTCAGCATCTCCGGACGCGTGTGTGTCACATCGCCACAGTCTGTAGCCGCAAGGTGTCTGCGGAACAAGTAACCCGAGAGTAATCATCATCACGCGGTGTCAGCAGACTCGATCCTTGATGAGGTGAAGTCTTTAGCAAGATCATGGAATTTCACTGAGACGCACGTTAGATCTCGAGGTGCTGTAGTTGAGCTTGGGCCCGGTCAGCCAATCACATCTTCGATAGGCCATCCTCCTCCACTTCAGCCATCAGAGTCGCGGTCGATAGCGCGCCATATGCTACGCTTCACGAGCAGCCAGACATGCAACACGGCTCTTGTACTCTTTCATGGTCGTCCTAAGGCCATCTCACCTCCTTAGACCAATCATGGCAGGGGAGAAACCACGACTCACACTCGCCAATCAAACGGAATGGAGCAAATGGCTGGCACGCGAAGCAGACCGATCGGACGGGGTAATGCTCACGCTCGTCAAGAAAGGCAGCACCCAACCGACCTCCTTGACTTACGAGGAAGCACGAGACGAAGCTCTCTGCCACGGCTGGATCGACTCGACGGGCTACAAAGCCGATGACTTGACCCACGTTCGTCGCTTTACTCCTCGGAGACCCAAGAGCGTCTGGTCGAAGTTGAATATCGAGTATGTTGATCGATTACGGAGCGAGGGTCGAATGAAGCCTCGTGGCGAACTCGAGGTAACCATTCTCCACGCATTGGTACGCTCTCACTACTAATCCTTGCTCGCAGATCGAAAAGGCAAAAGCAGACGGAAGATGGGATGCCGCCTATCATCAGGCTTCCAACGTAGCACCCCCAGACTTACTCGCCGCCATCGCCGCCGTCCCCGATGCCCAGGCGCAATGGGACATACTGACCAAGGGCAACAAATTCACCCTCTGTTTCCGCCTGGCATCTCTGAAGACGGAAGCGGGGCGACAGAAACGCATTGCCGCTACGGTCGAGATGCTGGCGCGTGGAGAGACGCCGCATCCGCAGAAGCGGAAGCGAGAGCTCGTCGAATCGAATGGATCAGTGACGACGACGAAGCAAGTGAAAGTCCCGGCGAAGTCGAAGATCTCCGCAACGCCCCCTGAGCAGACGCGGTCGTCGCAGCGTAGATCCGGACGGCTGTCCGCTGCTGTGGATGGGAAGTGAGCGCAAATTCACGCCTGAGCGGGACAACTTGCGCAATGTTCAAGGCGGATCAACTATTCAACCAGCTTCTGTGCTAATACAGTCGATTCGAAGGAGATTCGATGCTCCCCCCGGCGCCAAACGCAACCGTCGCGCGAATTTCTCACGCCCGTCGAACGGAGCACGGAGTCTGGTATTGTGTCGCGATGGACTTATGTCTACGGCACCAATGGACTTCGACGCCATCGATCCCAAGGCGCCTCCAGCATTTCGAGCATACTACCACCGAACCCTTCATACCATTCAAATACTACTTGACGGAAAGCCGTCTTCATCGCCACTGGCATCGGAAAAGATACAAATTACCAAAAACCCCCCAAGTCACAAGCCATGCACCATCCATGCACGCATGCAGACAGACATGCAGGGGAAGCTGCAGTAACTCCAAGGCCAAAACGACACCTGCATGCATTAGTCTCACAAACGACTCGACATTTCCAATTTTATCATCAACCGCACTGATCAACATAAAGACACTTGCACTCTGCATACTAAACGCCGCCGCCGCCGCCGTTGTCGTCGAATGAAGCCGCCGTCATCTTCCCTGCTTCCCCAAGATTAATGTCTCCATTTGCTCCCCCTTTCCCCTGCGAGTCGTACAAATCGTCGGCTCGATCTGCTCATTTTCTCGTCGATAGATAAAAGACAACGTGGCGTACATTACATGATATCATTACATCTTTTCTCATTTCCTCCTCCCTCCTCCGGCCGTAGGTAGTAACATCGAACGTAGAGCAAACGTTACAGAATGCAAAGGAAATGCGTGCGTGCGTGCGGGCGTATATCGTACACGTGAAATGCAAAGAAATTCGCCATCCCCTTCTTGCAATTACGTCTCTTCTCGTGCTCTTTTCTCCCCTTCTTCTTTTATTGTTGTCGTAAGTCAGGTCGTACGGCGACTGACTCTCTCATGCGAGTGGCCGTGAGGTGTGGTGTGGTATGCAATGCTCCTACGCGCAGTGCGCGTCTCTCTCCTGCTCATCCTTCTCCTCCATTAGACGTTGGACGTTCCAGCGGTACAGTGCAAAGGTCGAGTAGTGCGCTCATCGTAAATCAGGCCGTTTCCCCAGCGCCGTGGCCGAGGGGCGTGGTTGCTGCTGGTCATCACCATCGCGGGGCTCATAGTATGCAATTCCCGAAGGCCCCGCGGAAGGCGTATCATACACGTGCGCGCCAACCGGATCCGAGCGCGTGGATCGCGCCGCGCGTCTTCTTTTCCCCGACGAAGAGCTGGACTCGTTACTCTTGGGCGGGTTGGGAGTTACGATGTCGGAGATGGAGAAGCCGGTGGGCGTGTGTCGCGGGGGGTCGGCGGAAGGGTTGTTGGATGCTGGCGGCGGCGGACGCATTTCGGCAGCGCGGTAGGAAGAGGAGGATGGCGGCCGTTCGAGAGCTGCTTGAGGCATGGGCGGTGTGAGGGTCGCGTATGTGGAGGGGCCAGCGATGACTTGCTCGACGGGCCGGCCTCCGAGTGCCGACATGCTTGCTGCTCGTTGCGACGGTCCGGCTCGCGATTGGACTTCTGCTTTCGTTGGACGGCCGCGCTTCTTTTTGGGGGGTTCGTTAGGTGTTGGTTGCTGATTTGATGAGCCGTCGGGGGGTGGTTTGGGGCGGATCTCGCGCGGGGCAGGCAGGGTGTTTTCGAAGGGTCGCTTTTGATGCACGGGGCCGAGGGTGTGTGGCATGGGAGAGGGTGTCTGTGGGCCGGCAAGTTGAGGCTGCGAGGCGATGAGGTTGTTGAACATCTGCCTACACTGATTAGGGGTGCGACCTGTACAAAATTAGTATGTGCTGAGACATCGCCAAACACGCGACTCGAACGAGGATTAATTTCAACGAGACTGACCTGGAGGAGGTACGATGTCACCCCATTGCGGAAAGGGATGGAGGCCATTAACGAAATTAAGGAGGTGTGTGAGGTTGGGACGGCCGGCTTTGACGATTTCGGCAAGTAAAGCAATCTGTGGTGATTGTTCTCAGCGCATGATATGGGGAAGGAAGCACTCGTGCCTTGTGCCCATACCTTCTCGTATTCCGACCACGGCTGCTCATATGGAGGGGAGCCAGCCATGACGAGGGAAACACGAAACGCAAGAGACACGTCGTGCTTTCATTAGCGACACATATATGAGAGTCGCGAGGGGCACAGGGAGGCAGGAAGCTGCGATGGATTGATCGGGTGGGTGCGTAAGAGGGCGCGTCGTAGCAGTCGTGAAATAAATCCGGCGCAGCAGCAAGCAAGACAAGGGGTTGCTGGACTGGCAGGTGTTTAGTGATCGTGAGGAGCCGCGAAATGGGCAGGCAAAGGAGCAGAAATGCAGGAGGGACAAAGAGCTGCGCCTAAAACGAGTGGCAGAAGCAGAGCAGACGCGGCGGCGACAGTTTAAAGAAAGACATGCATATTTTGCGTCGCGCGGCCGTCAAGAGCACAAGCGGAAACGAGTGGATGGCGCCAGGCGCGGCGGCTCGCAGGTTCTCGGAGAATTTCAAAGAGCGATGAAAGAATCGGAAAAGGATTGTGAAGGGAGTGGAGTTACAGAGGAGAAGCGAGGGAGGGGAAGAGGGAGAGAGGAGACGGAGGCGGGAAAAGAGGAAACGCACGACTGCAACCTGTTCCTTGCCCCGGTTTCATGCCTACTGCTACGGCGGTGCCAGAAACTTCCCCCCGGCCGTGCAGACGCACGTCGCGATGCCATGTTTAGCTTTGCAGAAGTAGTCGCATTAGCCTTGCAGGACCGGGAAATTGCAGGCGAAGCAGCAGCGCGGAGAGCGACGGACGGCCGCTGCAGGCGGAGTACAGGCGTCTGGCCGAGAGAGCCATACGGGGACGCCAGAAAAGGGCCGGTGGCATCGGGGTTTGGCTGGGTCGGAGGATTGGTGCGACATCTTTTGACGTCTGCCGTGCCGAGTTTTGGTCGACGGGCGCGCGTTAAGGTTGCGGCGTTGCGCCATCGCGGCCCAACCTTGTTCCCCTGCCGTCGCCCTCCCGCCCCAAGTGTCCGCTGATGTTACATCGAGTGTATTATTGCGTGTCTAGATTTCATGTTGCGGTGTAGGGAAGTGTTCGAGTATTGGGCGGCGCGTGTGGCAGGATTGATGTCTCAGCGGATGACGCCACCCATTCGAACTGCCGGACGCAGCATCCCGAGGAAGCGGTAAAACCCCACGCCAGACAATGCATTCCCCGTCTTCATGTACGCGCCGGGGCCATTGTCTGGCTCAGCGAGCAGTCCATGGGCGCGTGTCGTTTCAAACTGGACATGAGCAGATGGATTGATGAATGGTAGACGTTCTCAACCAAGGCATGGGCGGCCCACTCTTGTATCCCTTTCATCGCCGCCGTTGCTGCCCAACTCTCGACCATCTGCCAGCTCATCGTGCATTGAACATTGCTCCAGCTATGACCAATGAGCATGTGGAGTGATGACTGGAAGATTATGCACATTGTGCAGTCTGCCCTGCCGTCTGTACTAATGCTCGAGTCGTCAATCTTGTGACCGCACCAACACCGCCCAAATGCTTCGTAAGTAAATGTACAGGATATGAGGGTTCCAACGTGCTTCCTCGCCCAGCCGCAATCTCAAGCGTACCTCCGCTGAACAGTGAGCCTTTGAACTCTTGCTCATCGCGCGTTGACCTTTGGCGGCTTCTCATCCGGCTTCGCATGCAGTTCATCCGACTTCTCCTCCTTCTCTTTGCCTTTGCCATTCTTCTTGCCATTGCCATTGCCGTTGCCATTTCCATTTCCATGGCCGTTACCATCTTTCTTCTGCTGCTGCTTGTGCGCCTTCTCCCGCTCCTTCAGCTTGCGCTCCTCCGAAGCAACCATGTCCATCCACTGGTCCTCGCCTTCGTAACTCTCGTGATGGATCTTCTTCTCAATCATATGCTTGTGTGTAGGGTCGTTGGGATCCAGCACCTTGACCGTCTCCCATCGGCCCTTGCCCCGCGAGGAGTCACTCGTCTCAAACGCCAGAGAGATAATCACCACCGCGAGCGTAAGTCCCTGCGCATACACACGAGCCTGCACGAGCTTCTGCTGCCCGGTCAGGTATGGATTTCGGCCGACGAGCCCAAGCGCCGTGCCCATCGATGCCACCCACGACCCAAACACGACACCATAGCGATTGTCTGACAGCCAATTCATCGTGCGCTGTTTTCCCGTCTTTTGTGCGTCCGCCTGTTGCCGGATGCTCGCTTGTTCATCTTGATACTGGTTGTCGGGGTTTCGCTGTCGCTCGTACGCTCGAGAGCCGGCATCTGCTGCTACGATGGCTGGAGGGGGTGTGAGTACGAATGTGTGTCATGGTTTAGACCGCTTGCAAGAGTCACGTACCTCCGAATGTGCCGGAGCTGGTGATCAAGAAGACTCGTAGTGGAAGCGTGATTTGGCGAAAGGCAGGAAAGCGAAGAGACGCCGCCCACACTCCCGCCGCGCCCAGACCGAGGCCGCCCAAGCCGCCCACCAGGCCTCCTTTCAATGTGGCACTGTTGTTGTCATTAGATGGGCAGACAAGATAGCCAATGGTCGCGTGGCAACGTACTAATAATTGTCGCGTTGCTCTTGCTCCGTCAAGATCTTCATCTTGAATCGGTCAGTGAGGGGATGGAAGAATAAGACGAAACCAGGATGGAAAAAACACTCAAGCAAGAATGAAGAAGCAGTTTCAACAGGAATAGATGAGGTAGGGATGATATCAACATCTCGACACTCGCCGTCCGTGCTCGCCAAACTTGCCGCCCCAACTCTTTTTTTCGCGGAATTAAGCTCGACGTCATCCGCGCCTGCCCCGCCCCGAGGCTTTTGCCTTTGGCCTAGCGCAAACCCTATGCCCTGGGCCGATATCTGGTTGTCTTTTTGCGATGCGACACTGCACTCCGTGGTCGGCGAAGGACTCCAACGCGCACACGGACAACATGGGCCCAGCTAGGCTTCTGGGTAAAAACGTGCGGCCTCTGCCGTCCAGTGCGTACCATGAGGACGAGATTGTTGCGGACGACGAAGACTTGGAGGATTTTCACTCGGACGAGGATGCCAGCGAAAATGACGAGGATGCCAGCGATTTGGCCTCAGAAGCTGGAAGCGATGGTGACCAGCCCAAAGCGCAGGACGCGGAGGATTCTGGCGAAGAAGGTGTGCAAGAGCAACTCAACAATGTCTCGTTTGCCGCCCTCTTGCAGGCGAAAGAGGCACTTTCGAAAAAGCGGAAGCGCAATTCTGACACCACTGCCGACCATGAGGCCAAACTGGGAGCTCTGAGAGACAGACTGCAGTCCATCAAGTCAAATAAGGCTGCTATGGAAAACCGCCAAGCACCCGAAGATAGATTGTCAAAAGCAGGCAAGCCATTGCCGCGCAGTCGATCCCAAAATGGACTGGCTCCTGCCTCAGATGAGGAAGAAGACGACGCCGATTCAGACTCTGCGCCTTCGGAGATTGAGGCCGCACCGTCCAAGTCTCGCACCTCCAAGCACGCTCCAGCGGCGCAAACTTCCAGGCGCCAAGTCACGCGCAGGCGCACAGTCATCGACGTCCCAAAACGCTCATATCGCGACCCTCGATTCGATGCCCTCCATCAAGGCGCAATCCATCCAGGCAATGCAGACAAAGCCTACAGCTTCCTCCGCGACTACCAGAAATCCGAGATAGCAGAGCTCAAAGCGGCCGTCAAGCAAGCACGCACGGAAGAAGACAAAGAAGCACTAAAGCGCAAGGCGATCAGCATGGAGAACCGACTCAAAGCGAAAGAAGCCAAGGAGCGGGAGCAGGAGGTGCTGCGACGCCATCGCCACGAGGAGAAGGAGAAGGTGGAGCAGGGCAAGAAGCCTTATTTCCCCAAGAAGAAGGAGCTGAAGGAGAAGGCGCTGGTGGAGAAGTTTGAGGGGATGAAGAGTAAGGACCGGCAGCGGCTGATTGAGAGGCGGAGGAAGAAGGAGGGGCAGAAGGAGAAGAAGAGGATGCCGCAGGCGAGGCGCATGGCTGGGTGACAGGTATTTCAAGCCTTTGATAAGCTTAGCGTGCTTACTGTTTGATATGAAGTGAACTCGAAGCCTGTTCTCTCGACCTCATTCACGCTATTCAAGGTCACTCATAGCCTTGCAGTGATACCATACACCAATACGCATTGACTTGCGGCATGTATTCCGCGCCCTCGAGCATGCGCAAACTACCCACCGTCACACAGGCTGCAGGTGAATGCAGTTTGCTGTCTGCACTCAATCATAGAAAGGAATCCACGCATCTCCTACAACCACTTCTCTCGTTTCTCCCCCGATACGTACAGCTAACATGCCGAAGCAAGCTCAGAAAGAGTCCTCGAACAGCCCTGACTCCCTACGACCAGAGCGACGTCTCAACACGATGTCCCCATCTCGGCAACCACAAGAGCGATCAGCAAAGAGGACTAGAATAGATCCCGCACAACTCCCGCTCGTGCCAAATGTAGCTCCACGGAAGGAAACCCGCCCAGCAGCCATAGAGCCCGCACAAGACTATCCATGTCTCATGCCAGCGGAACAGGAAACCCAAGAGCCCATCTTCTCCACGTACCCGGTTGAACGCGAACCACCGGTCATCTCCTCTCAGCCAGCGGACCTCGATCGAGAAGGCAAGCGTCAACGTTCCAATACAGATTATCAGCAACTGCCCGTCACCCAGCACGAAATCATAGGTGAGTACCCAGCCACCATCTAACGCCAGTCTCAACACTCAACACGTTAACTCCCCCCCACAGAAGAAGCAAAGACCCTCTGGCTCCTCACGCACCCCAACGAACCGACTCCAAGCTTCGCCATTGGGTATCGCACGCCCATCGACCGTTCCGGCCAGACGACAATCTCGGCCAACGTGCTCTATTTCTCCGACGAGCCGCCGCGCGAGGGCATTTTGGTTGTGGGGCTGCTACGGTCGACGATTGCGGAGGCGTTGCGCGTTTTGAAAGTGTGTGTTTGTTCGCGACGCCGGATTGCGGAGGATGAGGAGAGGGTGAGGGAGGAGGGGAAGGGGAAGGGAAAACAGAGGGAGGGGAGGTCAGAGAGCACGCTGAGATGATAGTATTCGATTCACTGTTTGATCGGAGGATGCAAGATGGCTCAAAACACTTCGGCAGTGGTTTAAGACCGAAGCAACACATACCAATCGGTTGACGCGACGTGTTACCAAACCAATCCCAGCCAGCCTGCACAATAGTTTTCTGTCTGACGCAGATCTCTAGCCTCCAACGCATCCCCTTCTGCACGTGAAACCACCGAAGTTCCACCGAGCAGAAACGTCACCATATAAACAATCTTCCGCCCTGCGCAATCACCTTGACGGGAAGAGTTGGTCAAAGCACCAAATTTAGTACCTCAATGGGTCGAAAACTGGGGGTTTGTAATGTTTCGCGGAGAACGCGAGTTCGAACGAAACTAATTAGAGCGCTGATCCACCGCTGGCACAATTGTGTCGGCGGGGGGCTTGTGGAGTGTCTTCTCTTAAGTGAGGGGGCCGGGGGATCAGCTGTGGGCGGCGACGTTCACTTTTTGATTTTGGCACATGTCACGGGTTCGAACGTTTGATGTTTGATGGCGTAGTAAATGTGAGCTTCTTTTTTGCTTCCATGTTTGTAGGGCTGGACCCACTATTCACGTGATCCGAGCAAACGCGGGAGACTGAGTGCAGTGTTACACCAAACCTTAATCTGTTTCGGTCTTCACGCCACGGCTAGGCTTACCAAACTTGTTTCGCAGCTTTTCTTTCCACTTCTTTTGTTTGCCTACAAGAGCAAGGTCGCGTTCTCGACACAGCATCCAACCTCTCTCCATCCCACTGCCATCAGAAGTCATCATGGCTCACATCATCGACTTCTCAGGATTGTTCGCCAAGTTCGAAGCCACAACGGCGGCTGTAGACGCCCTCACCAAAGCCGTTCAAGCCAAGGATGCCCAAGTGGACGCTCTTACCAAGGCTCTCCAAGCGAAGAGCGCCAAAGGCGGACTGAGTGACATGCGCGAACAGATTCTTGGTCAGTGCATCCAATCTGTATCGCTTGGCCCGATGTACTGACCTATGTAGCAAACGCCGAGATTCTCTGGCCGATGGTACAAACCGAGTCGTCTGAGAAACCGACGCTTCCACCGCGCTCGAATGCGATACCATCTGGCCACGACGACGAGTTCAAGGCACAGGTCGTCTATTCCTTCAAGCAAGGCGGTACAGAGTTCGTGTTCATCAAGGGCGATTTTGCACACACTGCAGAAGAGGCTATGAGCTATTTGTTGGAAGCTTCGATGTCGATGATGGAAAATTGGCTTCCCTCGATCTACATTGAAAGGGACGGCCGGGGTAGAGCATTCAAGAGCAATGCTACCGTAGGAGGGGACTGGTTTGGTGCAGTGCGTTGATAGTGCACGACAAGCCTCAGAAACGGATGAACGATCGTCGGCACGACAAGGCGTACAGATAGCAAGCAGGAAGCAAGCGAGAAGCAAACTAGTTCAGCGTGCACTCTAGCCCAACATACATTCTCATTGAATCGTCGCAGTAGCCGGAATGTAGGTAAATCTGTACAAGGAAAAGCCACCAGCAAAAAGCGTCCGTAGTAGGTCTGTATCGCTCCTTCCCTGCAACTTAAGTTTCCCAGATTTGGTTGCGGTTGTTCCTTCCACTTCTTTGGTTGTGATCTCACAGTTTGACCTCACCCCGAATTTGTACGCATCGTCCAACTTCTCTCGTTACCTTGTCACCGCCCTCATTGCCATCACAAGTCATCATGGCTTCCTCAATCGAGCTCTCCCTCTTACTCAACAACCTCGCGGCCGCAACAGCGATCATGGAGACCTTCACCAAATCGTTGCAAGCCAAGGACTCCCAGATGGAGGAGCTCATCAAAGCGAATCAGGCCAAGGACGTACAGATCGAAGCCCTCACAAAGGTCATCCAAGCCAAAGAGAACAAAGCGGATTTCACTGCCATGCGTGAGCAGATTCTCGGTGAGTGTACTCACTGTCATTTCATCAGGATAGCGCGTACTGATAGAAGTAGCCAACGCCCTCGTCTTGTGGCCGATGGCGAGAGTCTCGGATACGCATTATATGCACGATTCGACGCCTCCGGACTTCCATATGGTGGTCCACGGAAAAGACAGCTCCTTCCAGGCTGTTGTTGTTCACGGCCGCCCCATGCGCGGCACAAAGCACCCGTTCATCGAGGGCAACAGTGCAAAGAGTCCAGAAGAGGCAATGCGTGTGTTGTTGGTGGCCACGATGTCGCTACTCGACTACTTCAGTGAACTCTTTATCATGCTCGATGAGGATGATGAGGACGAATGCAAGACGACGGAAGGCGGACAGTGGTACGGGCCGGAAGAAGCTTGAAGCGGACGTCGCGCGGGTGTGGGCTCATACTTCAGGAATGGAACGTGAATACGCCAACGTTTACTCATGGCCTATTAATCAATTGCCAGATGGCTGACCATCACTCGCGTCGGGCTGATCACTGCTCGCTTCACGAGTGGTGGACTATTCGAGACCACACACAAAGTGTTTCGGACTGCATATTTTCCCACCCCGTTTCTGTTTCTTCTTTTCACTGCCCTTGTTCTCGTAACACAACTCAATCTCGTCCTTTGCACGTCATACAAACCTCTCTCCGTGTCACGGCCTGCCGGAGACGTTATGGCTCAAGCAACCATTGACCTCTCCGGCCTACTTACCAACATCGAAGCCACTACCTGGTCGGCCGCGGAGGATCTCGCCGAACTTATTCAAGTCAAGGACGCCAAAATCGATGCACTCGTGAAAGCAATCGAAGCCAAGAATGCCCAGGTGGAAGCTCTCATCCATGCACTTCGGATCAATAACGAAAACGTGGACGCGCTCACTGAAACGATTCGAAGCAACGAAGGCATGGGAGGCGTGAGTATTATGCGCGACCAAATACTTGGTAATGACCCTCTTCCGCCTCCAAGCAGCACGAATTCCACTGATGGAAGTAGCAAACGCCCGCGCTGTGTGGCCGAACGCGCAGCGTTACAACGGAAGAGGCATCACGCACGTGGCTCTTGATGTGATCGTCTTCGGCCAAGGTTGCACTACGGCCGCTGCAGTGGTGCATACCAGCGAGGATGGCCGATTGATTGTGTTTGTCAGAGGCGGCGATGCCAATAGCGCGGGACAGGCGATGTACAGCTTGTTGGAAACTACGATGGCGATGCTGAGCCACTTTGGTCAGCCAGTCTTTAGCGAGGGTGATGTATACGGAACCATCGTGCATGGAGATGTCAACGGAGGACATTGGTATTGTCCACCACGCTCATCCTTGGACGCTTGGAGCACATGAAAAAAGCAGACGGAGGGCGTAGAGATATCGGGAAGCACGACAAGCGACAAGCGAACTAGCACCACACAAGCACTCACTCTCATTCTCTTCAACTTCCTGATTGGCCATCATCACAGGCAGCCGGGAAACACGTAAAGCCGCGTAGGTGAAAGCCATTCGCAGTAGGCCGTAAGATAACCGCACAGGACCATGTGTGCAACAGCACCACGATAGCGGCAGTGTTCGTATCGTAGTTCCGGCTGCTGCGACGGCGGTGCGTGTCTCAGAGTGCACTGAGCCGGGACAGTTTCGATTGATCGGGCGGGTTTTGGGACCTCATGAAATATAAACGAAGGATCTTCGATGTTCGATGTAGTATTACAGCTTCATGTGTTCTCGTGTACGGCTAATGCTTGCAATATTCCGTATGAAAGGGTATCCAATTATTCCTATTATTCTTTGTTTCCACACGTTTTTCCTCCACGGGTAGAGCAACTATTCATCCTTTTACTTCGATGACGGCCAAGAGCTGCCGGTGCTGGTGCTACCACTACCGCCGTAGCTACCAGTGCTGGTGCTGTTGGTGGTAGAGCCGCTAGGACCACAGCCGTTTTGGAGCAAGAAGTTGAGCACGCTGGCGTAGGTGGTGGGGTGGTCGTACTCGAGATTCAGACCGTGGCCGGCGCCGGGGATGATGGTCACGTTGAACACGCTGGCATCGGTGAAGTACTTCTTCGACGTGCTGGGGATGTTGGGGTAGCCGGTCGGTGCTGCGAGGCAGTTTCCTCCGCAGTACGGGACGTCTGGGGACATGTATTAGCGATGGGCTGTATTTCGGTTTTGAGAGTCTGGGAGTTTCTTACCTCGGCCACCTGTCACGATGTGCACAGCGCCGGGGAAGGTGTTTGGAACGGCAATCTCTCCGCCGATGGTCAACAGCTCGCCAATGGTCACGGGCTGGCCGTTCATGTAGGCGTAGGTGAGGATGTTGGGGTCAAAGTCGCCCGGGCTGAAGAAGTCGTATTGCACGGATTGCATGTTCGCATTGGCCTTTTTGACCGTGTTAGTATTGTGCAATCTTGTGGGGAGGACGGGAGAGGGCGTACAAAGTAACCGTCAGGGTACGAGCTCAATGCTGAAACGGTGTTGGCCTGGACCAGGTTTGCGGCGAACTCAAAGTCGGCAACGAAGGAACCGTTTTGGCTGAAGCCGGTGAGGGAGATGCATTTGGAGATGTTGGGGTACATGGCGGTCAGCAGGTAGGTGTGTTGCGAGCCGAACGAGTGGCCGGCGTGGGAGACAACTTCGAAGCCGCCGGGGATGCCGGGAATGGAGCCCGCCTCCAACTTCTTGGTCAGCTGGTAGAGGGCATTCACTTCCAGGTAGGCCTGAATCTGGGTGAGAGGGTTGCCGTGCGAGCTCTGGCCGATGCCCAGACGGTCATAGGAGAATGTGGAGAATCCGTATTGGTCGACGGCCTCGTTGACATAGCTGTAGTTGTAGTTGTTGAAGGGCAGATCCCAGTAGGAGCGGTCAAAGCCGATGCCGTGGGTCAGGATCTGGAGGGCGCTCGATTGGCCGGCGTCGGGCTCGCAGTAGGTGGCGGCGATGTCGAAGTTGCCGGTGACAGTCTCGTAGCCAGTTAGGGTTGCCGCTGAGTAGTTGGCGCCCTGCTGGGCGAGGTTCAGGATGAGGTCGGTAATTTCGATTTCCGTGGTCGGAATCGTGGCGTTAAAGACACCATTTCGCGCAGAGGCGGTGATGGGGATAGTAACGTTCTTGCAGTTCTTCGCCGACGCGACGGTCGCGAGAATGGCGGTAGCTGCGGCAAGAGTGAACTTCATTTTGCCAGTGGATGATGGATTGAAAGTGACGAAAAGAAAGAACAAAATACCTAGCAAGGATGGAGAGGCATTTTATGCGATGCCGGTGCCTGAACTACTTGCAATGGCTATGACGCAGAGCTGTCAAAGTTAAGATGCCGCAATGCGCAATTTTCCATTGATGATTTGAGAAAGCGAGACACTGTGAGGTCGGAAGAGGGAAAGCCGGGGCGAATCAGGCGTTAGCCAGGCACGCACAAGTACGGGAACCCACCCGATGCGTCGATCAGAGTGATATTTTTGACGTCATGACGACGCCGGATAGGCGGGTGGTGTTCCGATGCAGTTCGATGCAGCGTCGATCTGGCCCTGAATGCGTCAGGTATTGAGCCTCATTCGGGGCCGGCCCTGGCGCCGAACCGCTCGACGGCAACTCTATTTCTCATTGAGCTCCCACGCCTTTTCCGGCCTGACGACATGAGGTGATGATAAGGTTTGAAGCTGTCGTCACGGTCGGAAGGTGCGGCGATGGAGGGAAGAATGCCGTCCGTGCTTTTCCGGCGAACTTCTCTCTTGGCGCATTTTCGGTCTTCCACCACCACGCATATCGCGCCGAGATCATCGTCTCTTGGCCCAATCTATCAATCTATCAGTCCATCCATCGCAATGGCCACCAAGACGCGCGCTGGCTCTGCAGTCGCCCCAGCCGGCAAAGATGAAGACATCGCGCCGAACAACCCGCTGCAGTCCGACTTCACCGTCGACGACACCAGCAGCATGGACGAAGACGAGCGTTACCTGGTACGGCACACGGCAGGCTAGGAGAGGGCAAGCATGAGCGGTTGACAGTATCTTTGTAAGCAAACCAGTCGAGCGTCCAAGTTGTAGCCGCGGGTGGTTGCATGCGAGTGCAGCCTGAGATCATACCGCACGAACTTGACCGCCGTAATTGGCGCGTAAGAAGATGCTATTACTACTAGCGATGCTCCCAGCCTCTTTTCCCTTCTCCATCTTGGGTTGATTGCTGACATCCGCCAAGCGTGCTCTTGGGTACAAACAAGTATGTACACCCCACGCGCATTGGCAAGGGAAGAGACGTATTGCTAACCTCTACCACAGTCCCTCCATCGACAATGGAAATTCTTTGAGAGTTTCGCCGCAAGCTTTGCCGCCCTCTACTCCGTCGGCGGCATTCGCACCACCTTCACCATTGGTGTTGGAGCCGGTGGACCCGTTGCTTACTGGTCAGTCCATCGTCTCATCTTGTGCCCGATAATTAAGCTCATGCGCTGCCTAGGTCGAGCTACGTAATCACTTGTGTTTTCGTCTTCATCACCGCCGCAGTTCTCGCGGAAGTCTGCTCCGCCCTGCCCGCAGCCGGATCCATCTACTTCTGGGCCGCGGAATCCGGTGGTCGCCGTTATGGCCGGTTCTTTGGCTTCATTGTCGCTTGGTGGAGCACCACTGCCTGGACCACGTTCGTCGCCTCCAACTGCCAAGCCACTGCAAACTTCCTGCTGTCGGAGATTACGGTGTTCAACCTCCCCTTTACCACCGACACCAACGACATCAAATTCCGCGCTGTGCAATGGATCGTCTCCGAGGCTTTCCTCTGCATCAGCATCGGCATGAACTACCTCTCCCCCAAGACGTACTCGACCATTTTTCGCCTCGCTACCGGCATCATCATCCTCGACTTTTTGCTCAACATGATCTGGCTCCCCATTGCCGTTTCCCAAACATATGGCTTCCAGAGCGCAGAGTACGTCTTTACGAAGCAGTTCAACGAGACAGGTGCTCCGCCCGTTTGGAACTGGATGTTGAGCTTCTACGTCACCGCTGGAGTTCTCGTGGGCTTTGAAGCGTCTGGTCATATTTCAGAGGTCAGTCTCGTGCCGGAATATCGTATTGAAGCTTCACTCACCCAAACCCGCAGGAAACCAAGAACGCCAGCATCACCGCCGCCCGCGGCATCTGGTGGTCCGCCTTTGCCTCCGCTGTCATCGGCTTTCCCCTCGTCATCCTCTTCCTCTTCTGCCTCCCCGACCTGAACCTCCTCTACAGCTACGGCGCCCCGCAACCGTTCGTCGAAATCTACGCCCACGCCCTCGGCCGCGGGCCCCACGTCTTCATGAACGTCATCTGCATCATCGGCCTCATCTTCAACACCACCATCGCCGGCGTCGCCAGCTCGCGCCTCATCTGGGCCGTCGCCCGCGACGGCGCGCTCCCCTTCGCCGGCTGGATCTCGCGGGTCTCGGACAAAAAGGAGCCCCGCAACGCCATCATCGTCATGCACGTCGTCGCCGCCCTCCTGCTCTGCACCATCCTCCCCTCCGCCGTGGCCTTTGACTCGCTCATCAGCGCCGCTGCCGTGCCGACCATCACCGCTTACGCCCTCGTCGCGTTCGGAAGAGCCTTCATCACGCCGCACAGCTTCAAGCATGCGAAATTCAACCTTGGCCGCTGGAGTCGTCCGTTCACCATCATCGCCCTCTTCTGGAATCTCTACCTCGCTGGTGTGCTGTTTTCACCACTCGTGTTCCCCGCTACTGCTGCGAATTTCAACTATTCGCCTGTCATTTTCGGCGCTATTACCATTTTTGGGATTATCACGTATTTCGTGACGCCGGAGGAGAAGTGGTTGCCGGCGGGCAGATTGGGCAAGGTGCATCAGCTGGATGACGAGTACGAGTCTCATTCTAGTGGGAGCATGCAGGAGGGACTTGCTGGTGTGAAGCGGCGGGGGTCGGACCGCACTCGTGTTGAAGAGTGATGGATGGCATTTCTCACGTGAGAATGGTTATGGCCTAGGAGAACACGCTTCCACTGCTGCGAGACGGAGCATATAAGAAGACGGATGTGGATGCAGAATCCTGGACGTAATATCCATCTATTGCACATAGACAGGTTGGAACCACGAGCGCAACGCGCTCATTCCTTTTCGACGACTATCGTACACGCAAACACTTTTAATTCATCCCAGTAATTACCCCCAACCCTACGCCGAAACCTCAATCAGCCCCGGCCCAAAGAGCGTAGCAGCAGCCACCTCCTCCGGCCCAGCAAACGGCCCCTGCCCATTCGTAACAGCAGCAACCACCAACCCGCTCAACTTCCGCGTCTCAGCGGGAAACGAAGCATTGAAAAAGAAGACCGCGCCGCCATCGCTCTTGGTAAAAGTCATAGGCACGGAGAAGGGGGCATTCTGCTGGTTGATGTACGTCATGAACGCCTGGCTGCTGCTGTTGGTGCCGCTTCCGTCCTGTCGCTTTTCGGCGGGGTAGAAGGAGGCAATGCTAAAATCGCCGGTGGCGTCTTTGTCCGCAGTGAAGTTTGTTGATAGCACTTCCAGCACGCCGAATTGCTTGAGTCCGCGGGAGACGAGGAGGTCGAGACTAGGGCATGAACCGGCCACGACGAAGTTCTGCAGGATCAGGTTGAAGGCGAAGTCGAGGGCGCCGCCTGTGAGGAAGGGAAGGGCGGGCGGGACTTCGCCGAGGAGCGAGCGGTAGAAGCCGTTTTGCTCGCCTTCTTGGCCTATGATTGAGCCTACCAGGCCGATGAGAGCGGTGTCGTTGTGCGAGGCGAAGATAGTTTGCACGTCTGCTAGCGTGCCGAGGAAGAGGTCTGTGAACTTTGAGGCTAGGGCAATGGAGGCGTTGAAGGAATCCACGGGGAAGGTGTAGTTGCACGGCTGGATGGTTTTGCCGGTGAGGTTCGTAAAGGCGCCATTGGCGCTCAGCTCGTGCAGCTGCTCTTGCGCTACGACGGCGTGCAGCGTGCTCAGCACTTGGTCGCGGTTGGGGACGTCGGTGTAGCCTGGAGCTGCGGAGGTGATGTTGTTGAGGAGTTGGGTGAAGAAGGCGACTTCGAAGAGCTCGTTGAAGGCGATTAGACCGAGCGCTGTTTCGGATTCGGGATCCAGGGTGGAGGGAGGCGGGGTGTTGGGTAGGGTGCCATGGGCTTGTTGCTCGATGGTTGTGAGTTGTGATTGGTTTGGATTGGGGAAGCCGTTGGAGAGAGGGTAGGCGAAGCTGGTCGGCGCGGCTGAGGCGACAGTGAGGATGGTAGAGAGGAGGGTGAGGAAGAGAGTGAGCTTGGCCATTGTCGACGGTGTTGTCTTGGGGGAACAGATGGGAGGTTGTAGAGAAGAAAATGAAAGATTGAAGGTTTGGAAAAGTCAAGGCTGAGGCTTACTTGTTGCAAGGAAGGTACGACAGCGGGGTCTGAATTCGATGACGTGAAGTGGATATACGACGAGGAAGGAGCGGACACAGCCAAGACATCCTGCGTAACCATTGATTTAGCAATACATGTAGCAATAGTGGGCGAAACGCTGCTCATCGTCTTCGTTGAATCGTGGAATACTGTACCTGCGTGCGATGCTCACCGTGCAGCTTGCCCTGCATCGTCTGCAGGCCGGTTGAGAGATGCGCGCCTTCGGGGCCGAATGCGGGCGCCATCCAGCTGCGCACGTGCCATCTGATCCACAATGTCGTCTCGCCGAGCCTGCACAGGCGCGCGCTGCAATTGACGCTCTGCTCTGGCAAACTCCTCGGCCTGCGCCGCCTCTGCAGCCTCTTGGGCTTCCGCTGCTCGGGCGGCTTCAATCGCCAGCTGCTCCCAGTGTCGCTCGCCTGCGAAACCTCTCCCATCTGCAGGTGCTTGCCCTTCGTCTCCTTCTTCCAACTCCCACAGTCGTTGATAGCATGGCGTGCCAGGCTTGTTGAAATGTTGGTAGGGATTCTGGGGATCAAGCCACGAAGAGCAGAGGTAACAGAAATGTGTAGGCGTCTGGCACGTGGCGCAGATCATATGGTTGCAGCCCATCGTCTTCTGCGTCGGCGAATTGCAGTACGGGCAGGGCGTAGTATTCAGGCGAATGTACTCGTAGCTCGCCTTCTCCTCCGCCGAGAGCTCCGACGGATCGCGAGGGTAGCAGCGCGCCAAAGGGCCGTGCCAGCCCATATAGCAGACATTGCAAAAGGCCAGCGAGCACTTCTCGCAGACTGAAAGGCGGTCCGAGGGGTTCGATGGAACGGTCCTCTTTTCCTTTTGGTCGGCGGGTGGCTTCGCATCTCCTTCATCGTCTGATGAAGACTCCGGGTCCACGAGCGTGGTGAGGTCCGCCGGGATGGGTGGGTACTTTGTGCTTTTGGCCGGGCCTTGACACCATGTGCGCGGGCAGTACACGGTGCTCTTGTCCGACTCGATCCTCTTTTTGCGTTTCATCTCCACATACCGGCGCACCATCTTCTCCTCCGCCCCGATCGCAAGCAGCTCGCGCGGCTGCAGAAGCGGCCGAGGTTTGCGCTTCGCGACAGATGCTCCTTTTGAAGAGTCCTTGCCGCACGTTGGGGATAGACACTTGACGCTCAAAATATCGCCTTCCGTGATGGCGTTGTTGTAGAAGTCTAGCAGACACGTCTTGCAGAAGACGTGACCGCACGTTCTCATAGCGTGACAAGATGAACCTTTCTTCGGTTCCAGGCAAATTTCACAGTCGTACGTGCCTGCGTTGAACTTTGCCTGCCTGGTTGCTGTGTTGAAGTCGACGAGCGCTGCCTCTGAGCTGACAGGCAGGACGAGACAACCATCGGGGCTCTGTTCCAGGGAGAATCCGGCTTCCGCAGATTGCTGGAGGAAGTCGATGTAGGCGAACAAGATCTGACATCGGCCATAGTCTTCCCACAAAGACACAACTTCCTTCTCCAGCTCGATCAGCTTCGACGCTGGTAGCCAGTCGTAGTGAGTGGTGATCTGCACCGTCGGAGGGGCATCTGATGGGTACCGTTCGGGCAGATGGAGTCGAATGCTGAGCGGAGGCAGATGGGAGAATTCTACGTCCCGTTCAATGTGCGCTGCGTTGGAGGTGGCGGCAGCATAGGATGTCCGCTGGCCAGAGGCAGGCTTTCCAGGAATGAACCGCACCAGCAGTGGTCTCGTCGGCGTCACTTCAAGCTCCAGGCTGGCGGAGAATGGATCGTCTGGATGTATAACCAATTCCGGGTAGATGGCATTCAGAGTCTCGAGCTCCTCTTGACGCTCATCCGCCGTGTCCATCGCTGCTGGGGATGTCGGGGCGGCTTCGATAGAAAAGGTCGCACGGCCAAGGTGGCGTGGACCTTTGAATCAGTGCTATCTGGGTAGCATCTCAAGAAGACGTGGTGGCAAACATCCACGACTTTGCAAACTTATATCCGTGAGATAGGTATGCTGGTGGCAAACATGCACGACGAGGACCGAAGTCGATGTCCGGCCGGAAGGTTAAGATTTGGGACCCTGCGCACGGTCCGCTCCCGCCCCGAGGTCTAGCACTGCACGTCTTCATCTGCCACGCGAACCCCGTGTTCCCTCCACTACCTATCCACACACTTATTGACCGCCACCATGGAGGACCCTCCACTGGCCTCCCTGTCGCTGACTCACGTCCACTACGATCCTAATGACCTCATCTCGCTCGCCTGCGCGTTTCTCGCCTTGGTCCCGCAAGGCTTGACCATCACCTATGTCACGCTAATCTGGAGCACGCGAGAGGTCGAGATCCTCTTGATGTTCGCGGGGCAAATGGGGTGTGAAGCGCTGAATTGGATTCTCAAGCGCTGGATCCAGGAGGAGCGCCCGACTCGTGCGTTTCTGTCTCTCTTAATGATTCTATCTACTCCCACGAGACTAACAAGTGCAAAGAAATGCTCGGCAAAGGCTACGGCATGCCATCCTCGCACGCTCAATTCGTCGCCTTCTTCTCAACCTTCTTGTCTCTGTTCCTTTTGCTCAGACATAATCCGCACAACCACCCGCATGCTTCGGCCACTCACATCCCGATCCCCTTGTGGCAACGTCTGGCGTTATCTCTGCTGTCTCTAGTGTGTGCGGCGGCCGTGGCGCAGAGTCGAGTCTACCTCAACTACCACAAGCCTCGGCAGGTGTATGCTGGAGTGGCGGCGGGAGTAGCATGTGCTGTGGCGTGGTTTATCGCGACGAGCCTCGCGCGGAGGTTGGGATTGGTGGATTGGCTGCTAGACCAGCCAATTCTTCGCTGGGCGAGATTCCGGGACTTGGTTGTCAATGAGGATCTAGTGGATGCCGGTTGGGAGCGGTGGGAAAGCCGGAGACAGAAGAGGAGCGAGGCGATTAAGAATCTCAAGAAGCAATGACATGTCATTGTTTCGCTGCATCGATCCGTCCGCTCTGCATGCTCGGTGGCAACCAGATCATAGGCCAAATGCACACTCCCGGCCCGCCAGTTTCAGGCACTCCGCTCGCCGCATGCGTGCCTTCACCCAGCTTCATCATCGTCGTCTCCTCGAAGCCGACTTTCGCATACACATCTCGCGAGCGGGGCGTCGTTGCTTCTAGCCAGATGGGCAAGCCTTCCGCGGCAGCTTTTTGCTGGTACTCTTTGATCAACCTGGACGCGAGACCTTGGCCGCGAGCAGCGGGATCGGTACCAATGAAGAAGAGGTAGTGGTAGCGCGTGAATCTCTTGCCATGCGCATCGACGAGAAATCGGCGCTTGCAGTCGCCCGATTGGCCTTGGTAGTCAACTAGCATGCGCTGGGGAGACCTTTAGTATCTGCCATCCGACATAAATATACAGTAGAAAAAGAACGTACCTTGACGCCCACAACCCCCAACCTCCACAAACACCCCAGCAGCCCCGCCTGCAGCATCGTAAACGGATTATCCACCGTCTTGCCGGGGAGCAGCCAGACCGCCACGCAAGCCCAGTCGGCCGCTTCGGTGAAAATGGCCGCGTTCAGCGCCGCCGCTTTGAGCAAGCTGTGCATGTACGCCGGGTAGTAGGCTTTGCGCGCTTCGTCCGTCATGGAGGACATCATGAAGCGCACGACCGGGTCGTCCCAGAAGCATTTTGTGAGGACTTTGGTGGCTTGGAGGAGGCGGTCTGGGTTGGGTGGGAGTGTGAGTGGTCGTGGTCAGGCTGTTGGAGGAAGTACGTACCTTTGCCGCCAGAGGTGATTTTGACTTCTTTGTCCATTCTTGCGCCTTGTAGAGGTTTGGTTATGAGGAGTCTGAGGAGGGTTTATAAGTGTTCAAATACATGGTCGGTGGAAGAGAGAAGCCAAGTTTTGGTCTAGACTTTGGTGAGATGGAATTAGCCTAATCATCCCACTGTAAGCACCACAGCCTTCCCGAGCAGATGCTCCAGAGTGAGAAATACAGAGACGTTGTGCAAAAGATGAGATTTGTGTCTATCAATCGTCGTCGTCCATCAACTCGGCAAGCTCCGCTTCCTCTTCCGCCGTCAATACACCTTGTTTCGCTTGAACATCTCCCTCCCCAGCATCCAGACCGTCAGCCTCTCGCTTCAACTCCTCCTGATACGACGCAATCTCTTGCCCCGTCAACCCCCAACTCCTAATCGTCCCATCAATACTCACACTAGCCACCCTGCTTCCCTTACCCAGCAACACAAGCGCCGTCACCTCCTCAAAATGCCCCGAAAACGCACACACCAAGTCTCCAGACGCAATATCCCAAACCCTCACATCCTCGTCCCGACACGCAGTAACGACGACACCCAACCGCTCCGCAACAACCACATCTCGCACGAAATCCGGGTGCGGCAAAACGGTATCCGCCTCCCAGTCTCGCGTCCGCACGAGATGCTTCGCCGTCTTGTCCGCCGACGCAGTCCACAAATCCCCCTCGCTGTCGAAGCACAGACTGTACACGCTCGTGTCGTGCGCGAGGATGGGCTTCGCGATCGAGTCGGAGAATTCGCGCGCCCCGCAGTACGAAATATGCCACCTGCGGATTTCGCGGTCGCTGCTGGCGGAGAAGAGGACGAAGCCTGCGTCGATGCCCGTGCCTTCGTACACACTGCGCGGATCGATCGCGAGCGCCTGCAGCGATTTCGTGTGGCCCTTGAGCTTGTGCAATGGTTTGCTGAATTCCACGTCCCAGATGATAATGGTTGCGTCGGCGCCGCCGGAGACCAAAATCGGCTTGCCGTTGAGTGTAGTTGACAGTAGACATTTCACAAAGTCCGTGTGCCCCTGCAGCGTTCGCACGAGTCGCCGGTCCCAGAGACGGATTTGATAGATGTTCTTGTCCCAGCAGCCGGCAAAGACGGACTGCGAGTGCGTGCAGATAGCAAGGCTGGGCAGAGGCGCGACTCCTTGAGCAAACACCTTGCGCACTTCACCCGTCTAACGACACAAGCAAAAACGTCAGCGACAAGTTCTAACTCCGGCCGCCAGAGATGACGAGAAAACGCCTTCTTACACACATCCACATTCACCCGCTTAATCTCCCCCGCCGCTTCCGCAACATAGATGCACGCATCGTTGTCTGGATCTGCTCGCGCCGCGAGGATTTTGGAGGGAAGTTTGATGGGTTTGCCGCGCTTGTTGCTCGCTTTCGCCGTTTTGCGCTCGCTGGTGGCGAGGGCTTCGGTGGTTTGGAAGAAGTGGCCGGCGTCGTTGGAGCGCGACATTATGCTGGGATGATGTGTGTATTCGTTGCGGATGATTGCATTGATAATGGAAAGTGCAGCTGGCAGAGGAGGACGCGTTGCCAAGACATTTAAGTTAAACATCTCAGCCTCACGCTGCTTTGAAGTGCTCCATTCGGCAAATTGGTAAGCTATCGACCACTTACATAAGTGTTTGGAGACCGATTACAGATGCTTCTGGTACTTTGTACAACCCTGGTCCGTCTTCGTACAAGCCGTCCTTACCGCAATAGCCCATCTCAACCCGCAGAAATCTCCTTTTGCACCCACTTCTCCAAGCCCCCCCTCGCAATAATCTCCTGCACATTCGGCGGCAACTCGCCCACCTTCTGCGTCCACATCTCCCCGCTCTCCCCCTCGCGAATCTCAACCTGACTCCTCCGCACATCCCACGTGAAAGTCCAGCCCGTTCGAATGGTCAACGCTTTCTCCGCTGCCGGCTTGCTTTCCGGGGCGGGCGGCGGCGAGTCGAGACTTTGACTGTTCAGCGCGGGTTCAGTGATGGAGGCAGATGATGCGTTGGCCGTCTTGCCATTGACGAATGCTTCTCTTAACCGCTCGATCAGCTTCGGCACCTCGACGCCCATCAAAGCGTTGTTGATGCTGTTCCGGCTGAAAATGTTGCCGAAACTCCCCGCGACCACGAGAGGGATACCTTTGGCGAGGATGGCGGTAGCAGCTTGTTCGCGAGAAGAGCCGCAACCAAAGTTGAACCCGGAAACAAGGATATCACCCGTCTTGGCGATGGAGGAGAAATTGCGGTCGTAGTTCTCCATCGTCACGGTGGCCATTTTCTTCGGGTCGGAGGAGAAGGCGTCGTCGTAGGTGTACTTGCCCGGGTAGATGGCATCGGTGTTGACGTTGTCTGCATTGCACCAGACGATCTCGCCGGTCACCTTTTCGGGGAAGCCGGGGAGGACATCGGTCAGGCTGTCGCTGCTAGTAATCTCTGCATCGCTCGTGGCGGCGCTCCCTCCGAGATTCTTCTCGCCCTCTTGGATGGCAGACTCGGCATCGTTGATGAGCTTTTCGAGAACATCCTCGACGCTGTAGGTCGCGTATCCGCCTTCGCCCATGATCACACCCTCGGCGCCCTCTGGCTTCTGATACCATCCTGGTCCGGCAATCTTGCCTTTCAGCGCACTAGCGGCCACGACTTCAGGGGACGCCAGGTATGCTTTCGCGTCCGTGCTGCCCATTCGTCCTTTGAAGTTGCGGTTACTCGCACTGATCCCGACTTCACCGGGCTCGAGTAGGCCCGTGCCAAGTCCAATGCAAGGTCCACATCCAGAAGGCAGAGGTTGCGCCCCGGCCTCCAACAAAGCTTGCCAGTCACCTTGCTCTTCCGCCGCTTCTTGTTCTGGCAACGACGCCGCTGAGATGTAGAAGTTGACGCCGTCTGCGATCTTGGGAATTTTGCCGCCATTAGCCTCCGCTGCGTCTTTGAAGACTTTGGCCGCGGCGGCAATGTCTGATCGCCGGCTGTTGGTGCAGGACACGAGATATGCCTTGTCGATGCTGATCTTGATCCGCTCTAGCTCGTCCAGCGGTGTGGCCACCTTGACCGAGTTGGGCCCTGAAACGTACGGCGAGAGGCTGGACAGATCGATATATAGCTCCTTCGCATACTTTGCGCCTCGATCCGCCTTTAGAGGTTGCGCGAAAAGCTCATCCAAACGTTGATGATTGAATCGGTCGGATGTCAGGCTTGCGGTCTGGGGAGGTGACTTGTACATGCTCGCTTCTGTCGCCTTGTATCGGAGCCAGCCTTTCAAGACATCATCAATTGGGAACAAGCCGGAGAGAGCACCCCATTCTGTAGTCATGTTTGCAATGGCCAGTCGGTCATCCACAGGCAAACTCTTCATCGTTTCCTCGTTACCGGTGAATTCGATCGCATGATTCAGCACCTCGTCGTTGTTGAACAATCCACACAGAGCCACAATGACATCTTTCCCTGTAACGCCAGGAAGCAAGACCCCAGTAAAGGTCACTTTGGCAACGGGCGGAATCTGCCACCACGTCCTGCCGGTCGCCCAGATACTCGCAGCATCAGTCCTCACCACCGGGGTCCCCAAACATCCCACCCCACCATACATATTGCTATGACTGTCGCTGGCAACAGCCATAGTCCCAGGCCAAGCATAGCCCTCCTCCACCATAATCTGATGCCCAATGCCCCTTCCAGCGGGGTAGAAGTCCACCCCCTGCGTCTTGGCAAAGTTCTCAATCTGCTCGTACTTTTTGAGATTCTTCTCGCTCTTGTTCTGCACGTCGTGGTCCAGCGTCATGACTATCTGCTGCGGGTTGTGAATCTTGGACGCGCCAATGGACATGAACTTCGTCGCGACGGGCCAGGAGTTGTCGTGCGTCATGCATTTGTGCGGCGCGAGGGTGACGTAGTCGCCGGCTTTGACGTATTTGCCTTCTGCGAGACCTTGCGAGTACTTTTGAACGATCTTCTCGGTGAGGGTTTGAGGGGAGGTGGGCGGCGCATTGACTTGGTCGAGAAGGCTGGGTCGTACGGCGGCGAGCTGAGAGGAAAAGGCGTCTGTGGCTTCGGCACGTTGCAGTCGACATGTCGCGCAGATGTACCGCGGTCTGTGGTGAAGATATGACACCGAAGGCGCGAGATGTCTGGTGGAGGAGAGGGGAGGGAGGCGGGAGCCGCGTGCAAGTCTTTGCAGACTCCTGCCAACCTTGAGGGTGGCCATGAAGGGTTGAATAGCGATCGCGGGTTATCAAGATGACCTCGAGACCCTTCAGAGCATTGCGCGACGGAAGCAGATGCGGCAATGGCAGTTTGGTTATTGGAGTAGACCAAAATGAATTCCCAAAGCGATATCGCACTCCCCATCGCTGAGTCATCCCCATTTTTCAAACGTCACTCGAAAAAGCGCAGATGACATGCTCGATCCCACACACATCTAGCACTCAATTGAATCAAACCAACAAACACCAAAATGCCCTCTCGAAACGACGTCGACTACTTCGGAGCCGGGCCGGCGCCCTTGCCTGACCCCGTGCTGGAAGAAGCGGCCAAAATCCTGCTCAACTACAAAGACTCTGGCATCGGGATCCAGGAAATCTCCCACCGCGGTGCCGACGCGGCCGACATTCTGGAAAAGACGCAATTGTGTCTGCGGCAATTGCTGAATATCCCGCAGTCTGATGGCCCTGAAGGTTACCAGGTCCTCTTCCTTCAAGGAGGCGGGAGTGGCGAGTTTAGCGCTACTGTCTATCATATGGTGAGCGTGTGGGTTGCGAAGCAGTGGAAGCACCTCAAGGATTACAAGTTGCTTGGTCTGGATGAGGATGCGGTGGTGGATGGATTGCGGGATCTCGTCGAGGAGAAGATGAAGATTGACTACTTTGTCACCGGATCCTGGTCGTTGAAGGCTTCGCAGGAAGCCGCGCGACTGGTGGGAGGCGAAAAGGTCAACATTGTCACCGATTCGCGCAAGCATCGCGACGGCAAGTTTGGCGTCATCGCCGCGCAAGACACATGGACGCACACGAAGGAAGAATCCGACGTCGTCATGACGTACTACTGCGACAATGAGACGGTCGACGGCGTGGAATTCCAGGCTACGCCGTCTGGTCACAACTTGGTCGCCGACATGTCGTCCAACTTCCTCTCCAGACCCATCGACATCACCAAATACGCCGCCATCTACGCCGGCGCGCAGAAGAACGTCGGAAGCACGGGCATCACCATTGCCATCGTCAGCAACAAGTTCATGCCGCCTCACGCCGAGATGGCCGACCCGAAATTGCTGCGTCGCCTCGGACTGCCCGTCGGACCTTCTGTCCTCGACTGGCCGACGATTGCCAAGAACAAAAGCCTGTACAACACGCTGCCCATCTTCGACGTCTGGGTTGCAGGCAAGGTGATGCAGCGGACGCTCGATTTGTTTTCGGAGGAGAACGGTGCTCCCCGCTTGGCTGGCCAGGCGGCCGAGTCGAAGAAGAAAGCGGATATGCTGTACTCTGTGATGGACGAGCATAGCTCCATCTATCAAGTCGTTCCTGACAAGAGCATTCGCAGCCGGATGAACCTCTGCTTCCGGGTCAAGGGCGGTGATGACGAGGCGGAGAAGACCTTTCTCAAGGGCGCGGAGAGCCGTGGGCTACTGGGTATCAAGGGCCACCGAAGTGTGGGCGGCATGAGAGTGAGCAACTACAACGCCGTTCCTGTTGCGGCCGTTGAGAAGCTGGCGAAATACCTGCTGGACTATGCCAAGTCTGAGGGCGCGAATGGCAGTGTCTGAGGGGGGAAAGGGGAAGCGCATTGTCGAAGATAGATTTAGCGTTGGCGTTGGATTGCGCTTTCAACAGATGCACCGTCGGTGTTCAACACGGTCAAAAAGGGTGTAGCATTATGTTCAGCAATAGATTCTGGACACATCCAACTTGTAAGCCATCCGCTATGCAAGATCAAAACCAGCCACCACCGCAAATGCATCCAAATTTAGCCAACCAACTCCACGCTGAACATTCGAGCACTTTTTCACACATGCTGCCACCCAATCGGCGACAGCACCTGCATCTCATTAATCAAGCACACCGTCCCGACCTCGCGATGCTCCAGCGGCGCAGTCCGCTGCCAGCTCCGTACCCGCCGTTTGATAACCTGCTGCTTGAACCAAGGACTTGTAGACCAGCGTAAGATGCGATTACTCCACGTGCCTGTCACACTCTGCCACATCGATAACCAGGGCGGGGTGGGAGATATCTTGCCGTACGCTTCGGTGTCGTATGATACGCGGACGCGAGGATTCACCCAGACGCCGCGCGAGCGTGCGAGGGGATTGTCTGCGTGAATCAGGCAGCACTCGGATCCCTCGTTGTGCGACGCTGCGAGGCTATCGGGGATTCCGCGGAAGGCTAGCGGCTTGTCTGCGTAGAAGGGAGCCGCGTCCATGACGACGATACCGTTCCAGCAACTGTCGACCGGGACAGGATCGCCTGCTTTCATTGCGCGCCGCGAATTTCGCGAGCGGAAGAATGGCCACCTTTGCGATAGGGGATCGTGGCCTTCGGAATCGCGCAGCGCCATCGTATCGTAGAGCACCGGCGGGTGTTTGAAATCCAGAGAGCAGGCAGCCGCGTAGTCGCCGCCTCTCGTGGCCAGCAATGTCCGCACGTCATCGGAGTTGAACACGACATCGTTCAGGAAGAGAATCTTGTCAAATTTCTCCCCCTTCTTCTCCATCTCGTACAGCGGCTGCATGACCAAGTTGCGTAAATCGGCAAGGTAAGGGATACGCCGCCGCTCCAGCTGCTTCCGCGGAGTCCTAATCCACCCCGTCTCCGCCGGCTCCTTCATTATCTCATCCGTGTGCGTCGTCGGGTCCAAGACGAATTTACTCCGCACCCCAATGGATGTCAGCTTCGACTCGAGCAACTGCAGCGCGCCCTTGGTATCGTCCCAACTCCCACTCTCGTGTATGCTAACAAAGACATTTGCACGCCCAATTTCCTCCGCAATGGCAATCAGGGCGTCGCCGTAGTGGCTGCGGATGACCGCCTCGTCCATCCAGAGCATGCTGGCGATGTAGATTCTCTCTCGGCCGAGCAGCGGCGCCTCTTCTTGCTCTGCCGTCCATGCCTTGCGTACGTGCAGCACGTCTATGAGGGTGTAGACTAGTGTAAGGAGAAGGAGTGTCCTCAGGAATTTGTATGTCTGCGAGCGGCGGAAGGTTCGTAGGCGCAGGGCTGCCCGCTTCGCCATTGTCTGTCGTGGTCACGCGGCCCAGACGTGGAGACGGGAGAGGTGAAGGAGGGAAGGGGTGAAGAGCGGGCCAGCGAAGCGACCAACGAGGAGAGAAGGAGATCTGACATGCGGCAGCTTCGTGCTCATGAAACGAACGGAACGGAGTTGCTTGACGCGAGGCCGTCAGACATGGCCACCGCGGAGGTCGAAGGATGCTCATTTAGGCTCCACCTTACCTCCGGACCGACCCACTTACATTCGCGACGGGCGGACCTCGTAAGGCCCCTGACGCCTATTATTAGCATTTATCGTGTGTTCGAACACACGTCCGTTGAGAGTAGAGGGCGAGGCTGAACCTGTCGCGCTCGATGGGTGTGGTTTATTGTTGTACGTGTTGGAAGTGAAGTTGTGACCACCTCTTGACTTATCCCCGATATATCCGAGCTGGCCTCGCGTCTCACGCGTCTCCTTCCTCTCACCGTCTTCAGTGTTATCGCTACAGAGAAGTCGCCAAATTCGATACGTGGGAGATTGATAAAACAAATACCTGTGCCCTGTGTGCAGGTGTCGACTTGGTCGCATCTCAAGAGCGTCGAAGTGGCTCGTGACCGCCTTCGCCATCCACAGCCTTGCACGTACAGCAGCATCGACACCGAGATGCAACATCCGTCCATACATTATGTTCAACGGCCGTACAATACTACAATGCCTCTCTCCTCCTCTCCATACATCAAAATGCTCAATCGCCAACCAATCTACTTCGGATCAAAAGCAGACTGCACACTCCCATACCCAGCCGGACACGCCTTGCCCAAAGCCGCGCTGCCCGACCGCATATAGCAAATCTTGGCCGCCTGGCACTCAGTATTCGTGCAATTAGGCGTCAACACGCTCATCTTGCCTTGATAGGTGTTGTACTGGCTGACAAGGCTGGTGCTGTTCTCCATTGCTTCCGTGACGGCGTGCCAGAATGTAGCGTTGAGCGGCGCATCGGCAGGCCAATTTGCTGCTGGTCCGTAGGCTTCGCGAGTGCTGTATTCGAACTTGAAGGTCGGGCCGTGGCTTGTGTTCTCCAAAGCCGGAAAGACGTTGACGTTGGCGTAGTATGTGTATGCGTCGTAGATTTCGAAGTTCCCAGAGTCCACTGAGTACAATCTGTACCCAGAATTGAGGTTGGTGAGCGGTGTGACGCTGGGTCCAGTCCAGCCAGACATGAGCGCCGTATCCCGACTCTGGACAGTCGCATTGTTGGCGTAGTAAATCATCAGCTCGTCCTCATGGGTATGGCCCCAGAAGATATTGGCAATGACGTGCGGACTGTAGCGATCGACGATCTGATAGAAGAGATTGGTGGGATTCACCAGGGGATTGGAGCCGTCCCAGCCGCTGAGGACGTGGCCGAAGATCCAGACGCGCTCGCCGGCGTCTTCGGCGGCTTGCAGCTCGTCGATGATGAATTTGAGCGAGCCGCTCACGTCGGGGTTGCTGGTGTTGATGAAGTTGAAGATGTTCTGCGATTTGAGAGTTAGCGTGATTGCATTGGAGAAACAGTGCGTGTGGTAGGGAGTCCGAAAGCACTCAATCGAGGGATATTTTGACTGACCGAATGATACCTAACATTGAAGGATTAGCGTGTGCCTTTGCCTCGGTTTCAAGGGTGAATAATTACCAAAAGTCAGTATTGAGAGTTATCATCCGGAGGCCATAATGGTTCTTAATGCTGTAAGCGCCATAGTGCAAGCTCGCCTGACTGGCCCCAGCATCGTCAATCCAACCATGTTGCTGCCAAAGCTTGGAAACATGGTCGTAATTCCAGCTCATCTGCGTTCCCAGGGATCCAGGCAGCGAGTGAGGAGCATTAGTGTCAACCGGATTGGTATCGTGATTCCCGAGCACGGGGAAAACAGGTCCGGTCAAGTACTCGCTGAGCATTTCGAAGATCGAATCTTCGGCGTATTCGACGTAGGCCCTGCTGAGCTGTGATTGCGGGTCGTGGCTGACGAGGTCGCCCGTGTAGATTGTCCATGCGAGGGGATTTTCGTTGTTGGTGCCGGTCAACGGGCCTACGGATTGGAAGGCGGCGAGCGCTAGGTCGTACGGGCAGTCGCATTCGTAGTAGCCGAAGGGTGGAGCCGGGTAGGAGATGGTGCCGTTGGGGATGTTCTTGTTTACGACGTTGGAGCGACAACAGAGGCTGCTTGTGCAGTTGCCTTCTGATCCGATGTCGTATCTGGGATCAAGATGTACATCACTGAGCTGAGCGACTTTGATGCGTTTTCCGCTCGCTTTGGGCACTCTCGCGGCTGCGTCCGCAGGTTTCGGACTTGGGAACCACTCCGAGATGTTCAATGGAGAGACGGCCGGGTAAGGACAGAAGCTCGAGCTCAGGTGATTGCAGATGTAATCTCCATCCAGACCAGTGACGTTGGCGAAAGCAAGCACTTGCACCCACGATGCACCAAGGTTCGTTGCAGCATAGTCTTCTGAACAAGAAGATTTCGAGGCAAATCCAGTGCTGACGCAAAAATCGACCATAGCGGCTGGTAATTTGGTAGGAGCCCGTTGAGCGACATACTGAGCCACCTCTAGGGCTGCTTTGCATTTCGTGCAATTCGATGATTGCCCGGTGAGGATCTGAGCGATTTCGTGGGTGGCATTTGAGATGAGTTTCTCCTGCTCGCTGGATGTGAGGTTCGCGATGGGCTTCGGGTAGTAGACTGGGTCGTTGTCGACGTCTGGGATGGTGTTGGGGTCCGTGAGATTCAATGGAAATGTGACTGCGACGTGAGTGTCAGTTTCATTCGTTGCTATGCAGGGAGTCTTGTGGGTTGCGTATAACGTACTGCAGAACAAAGTCAGCGATGATTCAATCTAAGTGCTTTTCAAAGGCACGCACCTGTTCAACACGGGATCGACCAACACAGGCTGCGGCTCCTGCCCCGAAGGCACCGGGTAGTAAGTCGAGAAGGCTGTAGTCGGGAAGCCAGCCGGAGCGACATACGAAGAAGCCCCCGGCAGCGAATTGCTGGACTGTGCCAGAGTGTACTGCGCCAGTGAGAGCGCCATGGCCAATTTCCTACCTGTGCCTTTGGACATCATGGTTGAGATGAGATGAAAGTGCTAGGCTTCAATCCCCGGCTGCCATCGCGGTGTATATCACTAGCGTTGTTGACGACTTTCACCTACTCTGCTAGAGACCCTTTGCTTTCGTCATGGGCTATGAAAATTTCTGGAAAAGATCAGGGTGCACGGTTTGCGCCGGTCAGGGCCAATGGCTGTCGATCGTCTTGACACGTTCTTTGGCGTTAAAGAGGATGGAGATCTCACTCGCGTGGCCCTAACCTTCCGAACTTCCGGAGGTGAAGTGACGTCGTCATCGGATGCGGAAGCGCGTCGCGTGCTCCAGCGGCTTACCATCGAGTCAGCCCGTCTGACGAACATCCGCTTCATCAGTTACATCCAACACAGCATGTTCGTCTTCAAACATGGCTGCAGAAATGCATCTCGAACCGTCGCGAGACGATTTGATCGAAGATGTGCATCCCGCATCGCAATCCCGATGGAAACCCCTCCGTTCCCCGTAGTTGAACACTGTCCAAGCCCGACATGTCAGTGTCGAGAGACGCCGCAAGGCCTGGATATTGAGCGCGAGACGAATCTGAATGGCTCGATTGCGTCTTATGCCGAGCAGGTGCTCATCAGCACGGGACGAATGGATTGGAAAAGTCGGATTGAGGAGGAAGAGGAAGGCGTGCTGGTGCGGCAGTTGAAGGCTTATCTGGGGCGAGGTGGGAAGTACAGCGACGTCCGTCTACGAAACCTCGATAAAGTAGAGTCCTCATTCGCTGACCATTGCTAGCCATTCCACAATGTTATGCTCACCAACTCGTCGTTCCATCCTACACAACCACTGGCACATCAGACAGAGGCTACTGGAACGCCCATCCCGACGGGCAAAGCATCGCCCTTTTCCAGCATTAGCAACAACCAATCGGCGTCAAGTCATGAAACGCCCACCGCCTCAGCCTTCCTCTTGCCCTCATTCCAGTACATCCCGGCCATTCCAACCGACCCCGCGAGCATCGAAGCTTTCATTCAAGCCTTCATCTTACCATCTCAACTCCATCAATCGCACGACAGCCTGACAAGAGAGCAGAAGAATGTTCTGCGCCGCCAGCCCGAACGCCAAAAAAGCTTCGTAGGCGCAAGGAAGGCCGACGAAATTCTAGTTCTAATCTGCGGCCACGGAGGTCGAGATAGTCGATGCGGCACCCTTGGTCCTCTACTAAAAGCCGAATTCGAGGACAAACTACGGCGACAGAATATCCCCTTGCTGGACGAGCCTCCTGTTGCCGAAGCTGTGGAGGTTGAGACGGAGGTAGAGGGCTATACGCCCACCGCTCGCGTGGGATTGATCTCGCATATCGGGGGGCATAAGTGGGCGGGAAATGTCATTGTATACATCCCGCCTTCCTTCAAAGCGAACGCTCTGGCCGGAAAGGGGATTTGGTATTCACGGGTCGGACCCGAGCATGTTGAAGGCATTGTAGAGAAGACGGTGGTGGAGGGGAAAGTGATCAAGGAATTGTTTAGAGGCGGAATCGACCAGGAGCGGACGATGTTGCGAGTGTAGGAAATTGACTGTCTGCGCCTTGATAGATCGGATGGGTGATGGTCGCCTCCCCATTGAAGCCCCACTCTCCACTCATTGATGGAAGGCGGGGAAATGTATTTTATTAAAACAGCAAAGGCCAACTTCACTCCTTCCTAGTACAACACATAAGGAAAGGACACCTCTCGCAAAGCCCTTCAATAATAATTCCCGCAAAAATGCCAAAACAGACCTACACCACCCTAACAACCTACGACACCGCGCGCGCGCACGGCGGCGACATCAAATACGCCCAATCCGCCCTGCCCTCCGACCCCGGCTTCGTAGCCTACCACGCCTCCTTCTCCCAACTCCTTGGGTCGGCGCCCAAACTGCACCTCGTCGAGCAGCGCGCGGACAAATTTGCGCACGAAGCCGGCGTGTACATCAAGTCGACGGGAAAAAATTACTTTACTTCGAATTACCAATCCGGCCGGACGGTGGAGAATTATGCGGTGGATTGCAAGACGTATGAGATTACGGAGGATAAGTGGGAGGGAGTTGTGAATGCTAATGGAGGTGAGTGGCGCTTACCTTTCCCTGAAGAAGTCTTACTGATGTTGCTCCCAAGCCTGCCATTGGAACGATCGAGTTCTGTACTGCGTCCAAGGCAGCTACACCGTCCCGTCATCGCTCATTGCCGTCGATCCTAGCACGGGAACTTCCAGCGTGGTGATTGACAACTTCTACGGCCGCGAATTCAACTCCATCAACGACGTTGTCATCCATCACGAGCGCAGGGAAATCTGGTTTACGGATCCGACGTATGGATACGAGCAAGCGTTTCGCCCTTCGCCCTTGCTCCCCAGTCAAGTCTACAGATTCAAGCCGTCTACGGGCCAGATCTGGTGCGTGGCTGATGGCTTCGCACAATGCAATGGTCTGTGCTTCAGTCCGGATTACAAGAAGATGTACAGTGAGTTCCCCACCTTGTTCCAGACTAATAGAAAACGGCGATACTGATGTATTTATCCAGTCACCGACACCGGCGCTCTCCAAGCCCACGGCACGCCCGGAACCGGCCACGCCATCACACCCAACCCCCGACTCCCAGCCTCCATCTATTCCTACGACGTCGTAGACAACGGCACCCGCCTAGCAAACAGGATGATGTTCGCCTTCACCGACTCCGGCATCCCAGACGGCATCAAGTGCGACGAGGCGGGAAACGTCTACTCTGGCTGCGGCGACGGAGTGCACGTGTGGGATCCTCTCGGGACGCTGATTGGTAAGATCTATACGGGATGTGTGGTTGCGAATTTCAATTTTGTCAAAGGGGGAATGTGGTTGATGGCGGAGGAGAAGTTGTTCTTTTGCGAATTGGAGGCGAAGGGTACGCTGGTGCAGCTGGAGTGTGAGTGAATGAATGGTGGACGACGAGTGGTGTTCTCTCAGATATGTTTTATTCTAAGCTACCGCCTGGCGGTTATTCCATTTCCATGCTGCCCATCACGGAAATTGACGAGTCGATCCTTGCTGCTCCGGCGGCGGAGAAGAAGTTGGAGTTCGATTGAGTGAAGGGTGGACGGTAATCGGCGCCCTCTCGGATAGACTTCTCTACTGTGCTGGCCACTGGTATCTAATTCATTGCCATGCTGCCCATCATGGACATTGATGAGTTCGTCCTTGCCGCTCCGGCCGCGTAGCAGGCGTTGACATCTGAGTTCCAAGTCTGTACATCTGGTCGCAATACTCGTCGGTCGTAGGTCAGCATGCCCTGATTCCAAAGTTTAGCAAGAGTCGTCGACAAAGTCAAACCAAGCGCGGTCAAGATTTGTGATCACGTGATAATCACGTGCAGCTGTTGCTCCTTCCCATGCACAAGAATGAACGAGAACGAGCCTCAAGCACTCAGCACGAGGCTTGAGGACCCGGAAGGCGGGACAGAGAGGCAGCGGAGTATGCAGGGAGAGCGACTCACATTAACCTCGCCTTCCACATCCGTGGTTTGCGTCCAAATCGCTCCCGAACAGGCGTACATCTCGATCTGCATGCGCAAGTCCTCGATCAACTGGTGGCCTCGAAATCTCCACGAATCCAGCGAGACGTTGATCTCGTAGGTCTGGTTGATCGTTTTTACCGCCTCCCAGACCGGCCAGAGGTTCTGGATCGAGGCATTCATCCCAATGCCTCCAAACTCGCCCTGAATTCCGATATAAGCCGGGTCGTATGGGGCGGAGTTGATCGAGTAAACCGGGGCACCGCACTGCGCTTCCGAGTAGTGATGATTGTCCAGATAATCGCCCGCTCCATGGAAGAACCAGCCGCTGACCGCATCGACAAGTCTCGTTGGGTCCAGTGCTCGTACGACTTCCGTCAAGGCGATTGAGGGCCACGGAGGCTGAGTAGCTTGTCCCCAGCCTTCGTTGTAGATGACCTGTGATTTATCAGCATCAAGAGACAACAGTTGAGTAGGAAGGAAAGGAGATAGGCCATACCCAAGTGAAAATACACGGATAATTGCGGTGCTGGCGAATGGACATCTCCAGCTGACGCTGGAACTCAGCCTGTTGAGTGGCATTGGGTAGAATTGGCTCCGCAGTGCAGTTTGGCGTGTCGAAGTAATGGAGAGGATCCATCGCTGGCATGTCTTGAATCACGAGCAGGCCGAGCTCGTCGCAGGCTTGATAATAGAGATCTTGCTCTACCTTCATCTGGAAGGGGTCAGCAGGAGCCTCGATACTCTTATTGAAGTGTGGAAAGCGTAGAATGTTTGCGGGAAGCGTCAGGGCCCTCCTCGGTGCCAATATATGGTCAGACTCACATGCTTGCGAAGGGTGTTGTAGCCCAGCTTTTTAAGCGTAAGCAAGTCGAATCGCATGGCCTCCATGTTGGGTGGGGTATAAATGCCATCAGGCCAATAGCCCTGCGTTGTTGTAAAAGTTAGCGTTGATGTGTTGTATCAGGGGACATGGATAGGCAGCGAAAAGCCAGACTTCCCAATTAGGAAGGAGCCGCTTTTCGCACAAGCCGACTGAATCTCAGCACGCAATGAGAATTAACGTACCTGGTCCAGAGTCCCGAAGAAGAATTTGAACTCTCCGTTCAAAAGCGGCCGTTGGATCCCATTGACCACTCCCCTCGAAATCGTTCGGAAGCCGGTATAGCTGGAGACGGTATCATTGCCGAGTGTGATCGAAATATCGTAGAGATTCGGCGTGTCAGGCGACCACAAATCGGGAGTAGGATAATTGAAAGAGAAGTTCTGGTTGGCGTAGACTTGGTGCGTGAACTGACTGCCGCTGGAGTTGCGGGCGGTGATGGCGATCTCCGCGGAAGTGCTGGCATTCTGGGAGGTCGTGATGGCGCCGAAGACTGTCACGCATTAGTTGTGTCACGGAGATAAGGCAGGCAGTCAGGCTCTTACCGTTTCCATGCATGTCTGCGTTCAAGTTCAGATCCGTGATGTAGTTGGAAGGCGCAGATTCAATCCACACGCTCTGCCAGATACCGCTGCATGGCGTGTAGAATATGTGCGATTGCGTGAGCGTCTGCTTCCCAATTGGAATCACATATGGATTCGAGTCCGTCGGATCGAAAACGAAGACCAGTAACTCGTTGGTCCCGCCGGAAGCCGACAAGTAACTCGTGACATCGAACGTAAACGCAAAGTACCCACCAGTATGTTGACCCACACGCTGGCCATTGACAAAGACAGTAGCCTGATAATCGACGGCTCCAAAGTTGAGAAGCACCCGATTGCCCGCCGTCCAGTTCGAGGGTACGGTGAAGGACGTCGAAAACCAGGAGTAGATGTTGAACGTTCCCTGGACGCCTGTTCACTCAAGTTAGCCTACCGCTGCAGTAGCCGATCCATCGATCGAATGGCTGCTCACCGGAGATTCCGCTCTCCAAACAAGACGGAATCAGAACAGGGTTGTCCAGCGTCTGGTTGAAAGGCGGAGTATCGATAGCTTGCGGCACGCTGGCATTCTCATATCGCCACACGCCGTTCAACGTCTGCCACGCCGCGCGCTCGAGTCTAGGCCGCGGGTATTGTGGCCACGGGTGCTCCCCCACTTCGTACGTCCATGGTGTCGTCTGAGGTTCAATGGTTAGAACACTGCCAGATATGTACGGGGAAAGACAATAGGCCATGCGCTTACCAACGGCGGCGTCTTCACCGCATATCCGCTCGTGCTGTTCGTACTATTCGCTTGTCTCGGGAGCAGCAGCGAGCCTGATACAGTCGTTGCAAGAAGCAGAGATTGCAATGCGCGAAGGAGAGACATGGTGCTCGACGTTCCCTGGAAAGGAAACAGAGCAACACGAATAACCTCGAAACCAAGATTTGCTCGAGCAAGATATGGAGAACAAAGCGGACTGATCCTAAAGCAATTGCGAAGGTGGGGAGATAAATAAAACTGACCTACGGCGCGACTTTGACAATACATCCACCTGCTCTCCATGTAAAGATCGTCAGCAACACAAGCCCCTCACCATCCCAGTGCGCTGACGATGACGAAGAGAAGGCCCGAGATCGTCCACTATAAGACTGCATTGGCACGTCCCGCTGCAACCGTTCTCCACGGGGACCCCTCGAACGAGCATCATCGGTCGTTCAGCAAATGCGGAGTGTGGAGGAATTGATAGGCAAGCTCCCGCGGGGAAGGTGCGATCGGGTCGGGTTGTGGAGGTGGTGACTTTCTAATTCTCCGATGACAGCATGCCCTGCATTTGCCGCTAGTTACCTACTCTACGCTACTTATGTATAGTGAATGCAAAGACCTAGTCTTGGTATTGATCGAATGTAACCACCTGCGCCTTCGCTAAAGCAACACAACAAAGCAAGGACAGCCCTACGCACTGTACGAGCTGATGTAATACTGTTCACTGTCAGTCAGAGAATCGCAAAGGGTTCGAATAAACCAACTCACCGTCAGCACCGACTCGCCAACCCCCGACTCCTCGCCCCCAATAAATACATACAGCACGAGCGCATGTTCATGGCAGAAACAAGCAATCACCCGTCCCCCTAAGCGACCCACACTCAACACCCTGCCCCAATCCCTCCCCTCCACCCTCACCGTAGCCCAGCCCTCATCGCTCTGCCCCGCCGAATCGCCCAAACCCTTCATCCGCGTGCTGGGATGGTTGTCGAGTCCGTCCGCCACCTGGTCCGGATCGAGCTCTGGGTTCTCGAGACCTGTCCACAGCGATGAGATGCGAAGACTATCGGTGTTGAGCGAAAGGCGTAGACAGCCGTGCATGTTGCCACTGAGTTCCAATTTGGGGCTGGAGGTGGAGCTGTTGAAGCCCGTTCGTGTGGAGGACTTGGTGGAGAGGGCGAGTTTGGTGAAGCGGTCGGAGATGCTCTTCAGTTGCACCAGATTGGGCAGGGTGATGTGCACGTCTGGGTCCCTGCATACGGGCTCGTGGAGGCCCTCGACTGAGGCCGGGGCGAGGACGCGGATAGGGATGTCCTGGGTGACGGTCGTTTCGCGATCCTGTGCACGGCTGCTGAAAGCCTCCACGGATTCCTCTCTGAACTCACTCGACGCGTCGAAGCCATCCGTGCCATCCTCGCCCGCACCTCCTCGCGCATTGAAAGCGGATGCAGACGGGGGCCCGCTGTTGATAGTGCTGGTAGTGATAGTAAGACTAAGCAAGGGAATATTGTCCTTCTTCGTCAACCGGATATTGGCAGCAATCGCGTTCTGCGCGCTCTTCAGCGCCCTCTGCAACGGAGCCAAGGGAACCTCGAGGTTGATGGTGTTGTTAGGCGCC